AGTATACCTCTTAGATCTCCTATAAAAACCTAGCCCAGGGAAGAAGGGGAGGATTCTAGGGAAGGAGTTCTTAACCCCTAAAGTAGTAAATATCTTTAATAGATTAAAGAAAGTATTTATAGAGTAGGTAGTACTTATCTACTTTTATAAAAAGTATTACTTATAAATAAAAATAGATGCATTAGGGTATGCTATCTATAGGATATTATTATAGCTAAGTAAGGAGGGTTATTAGTAGCTAGTAGCCTTCTTCTTATAAAAGATATAGCTAGTAGAGAAGAACTATAGCATCTATAACTAGGAACTCCTTATAATAGTAGAATCCTTTAGGGAGTGGTGCTACTACCTAGAGAATTTATAAGAAGTTATAGAAGTTATTACTAATTATAATAGCCTTTATTACTTTAAGATCATACCCTAACTATTATAAAGATAGGTAAGGTGGTCATAAATACTTATAGTATTTAACTTTAAGATAGTCTTTTATATAGAGAAAAAGAACCCTATAGATAGACCCTTATAAAGGGCTAATTATAAGAGAGAGGCTATAGAGGTAGATGCCTAGGGTTAAGGGGGCAGAGACCCTAATATACTATAGTATTAGTTAATACTTTATAAAAGAGAATATACTAAGGTGAATACCCTAGAAGATATAGAATAGAAGGTTTATATAGTACTAGTCTAAGGGATAGTAAACTTATAAGAAGAATTAGCTTAGGGAGCTAATATCTATAAGAGTATCTAGAGGCTAGGCCCTTATATAAGGGACCTCTCTATAGAAATTTAAGCCCTCCTTCTAAGATTACTTATATAAGATAAACTTATAAAGAAGATTTATATAGTATAAGCTAGAGCTATAAAGGAGTTATTATAGCCTTACTATATAAAGAATAAATTATTATATTAGATAAGCTATAAAGGGCTCCTCTATTATAAGGGCTTACTCTATATCCTAGATTATTATAGCTTAAGACTAAGTATTCTTATAAAACTTTATAATAACCCCTTCATAGGCTACTTTATAGAATAAAGGATAAGAGAGTTAGTCCTAAGGTACTTCTAGTAGCTAGAAGTAAAGAACTTTATCTATAAATACTATGCAGCTTATAGGGTGTGCTAAGGATTATAATAGACCTAGGATAAGTAGTAAGGCTTATTAGAGCCTATACCTACCCCTATAGGTATCTAAATCTAAATTACTATAGATCTAATCATAGATCTCCCTGTGAGTATTTCCATAGTAAATTTATAAGAAGCCTTTAATAGCATCTTAGTGATAGTAGACTAATTTAGTAAGATAGGCTATTTTATACCTATCTAAACCATCCTTAGTAGGGAGAAGTTAGTAATAACTCTTATCTATAAGGTCTTCTAACTTTATAGAATCCTAGAAAAGGTTATTATAGACTAGGGTTCTATCTTTATGAAAGATTTCTAGATAGATTTTATATTTTATCTCCTAATTTATAAGGGGCTCTCCACAGCCTACTACCTATAGATAGATAGCTAGATAGAATACCTAAATAATATGCTAGAATAGTATTTATAAGCCTATATTAACTTTAGTTAGGAAGACTAAGTTAACTATCTCCCTATTATAGAGTTTACCTATAATAATATATACTAGGCATTAATTAAGAATATACCTTTCTATATAGTTATAGGTATTAACCCTTATGTGATAGTAATAGACTCTATAAATTAACTAAAGAGTAAGGTTATAGAGAAGTTAGTTATAAAGAGACTAACTAAGCTAGAATATACTTATAAGTATATAAAGAAGGCTCTAGTAAAGGCCTAAGCCTACTAAAAAGGATATTATAATAAGAAATATATTATGAAGATGTTTTAAGTAGGAGACTAAGTCTAGATCTCTACTAAGAATATATTATGGATTAGACTAATTATAAAATTAGATTAGTTAAATACTAGTCCAGTATAAATTATAGAATATATAGATAACCTAGCCTATTATATAAACCTACTACCAGGCCTTAAGATATATAATATATTCCATGTCTCTATGCTCTATAAATATAAGGAGATAGAAGGGGTAAATTTATAGGAATGCTTCCTTATTTATAAAGCTATAGAAGAGGATTATAAATACTACCTAGAGGTAATCTTAGACTTATAAGAGGATGGATAATCTATAGAGTATTATATCTAGTAGAAAGGGTATACTAAGAAAGATAATATTTAGGAGCCTATAAAAGGGCTATACTACCTATAGATTTATAAGGACTATATAAGGAACCCTATAAGGAGGGGAAATATATCTTTATTAAGGAGAAGATAAAATAATAAATAAAATAAATATAAAAATCCCTAACTCCTAAATCTACTATTATAAAGATACCTAATATTAAGTATAAGTATAATATAGTTTATAGGGCTAGAAAGGTAGCTACTAGACCTAAGGCTACTTAAAAGAGTAGCTCTTATAGCTATAGTAGAGATAATTATTATACTTCCTAGCTAGCCTACCAGAAATATATACTGTAAATACTAAGCTTATACTTAGATTATAGCAGGTACTATACTTCTAGCTAGTAGAAGGTCTTACCCTAGCTCTAGTTATAAGGATAGCCTTACAGAGCTAGGCATAGACTTCTAGCTAACTAGGTGTGCTAAAGCTATACTAGTTAATAGAGTAGAGTAGGGTCTTAGTAACCTATACTTACTCCTGGCCTAATAGAGATTATAATCCTATCTAGGGTAGGAGCCCTATAACTACTACTAGATTTCCCTGTGAGTAGGGAAGGAACTAGGCATCTAGGGGTAGCTCTACTATCAGGCTAGAAGCCTAGGTGTTAATACTGCTAGCAGTAGGTACTAGGGTATCCTAGTTGGCCCTGGGAGTACCTACTAGAGGTAGTAGCAGCCTAAAGATAGAGGCTCCCTTTATAACAGGGGCTGGCCACACTCTTATTAGATTAATAAAGAAGAGGCTATAAACAACCCTATATAGGGGGAGGAAGGCCCCCACAGGCATAAGGGAGAGAGAGGTAGGAGAAGCCATAGTAGTAGTAGTAGCAGTAGTAATAGGGGTGATAGCAGCAGGCCTAGTAGGGGTAGCAGCAGCAGGCCCAGTAGGGGCAGTGGTGGCAGGCCTAGTAGTAGGTAGTATAGTAGTAGTAGTAGTAGTAGTAGGCATGGGAGGGAGGGGCATAGCAGGTAGTAGTAGTAGTATAAAAGCTACCTCCTCCTTCTTTTATAAGGATTATTAGTAAGAGTAATATAGACTTATAAGCCTTTACTTACCTCTAAGAGGTCAGAGGGGATGAGTGATAGTAGGGATATAGAGAAGGAGGTATAGAAGGATATTTTTCTAAAAATATCTTATAATATATTAACTACCTCTTACCTAAACATTATAAATTACAGAGGGTCCCTTACTAAAACTTTTATAATAAAAACTAGGGAAAATACAGAAGATAGAGTAGAAAAGAGGTTATATACTCTATAAAAATTACTACTACTCTAAACCCTACTCTACAGAGATTTTATATAATAAGGCTATTAAGGGATTTTTAGGAGTATCATAAGAATAAGTAATATAAACCTAAAATATAGTATAAGAAGATTTTAATAGTAATAAAGATATTATAATTAAAGGGATCTACTCATGACTAAGCCTTTATAAGAAGATGAATAAAATATATTTATAAAAGAAGGGGATAGTAAATCTTTTTTATTATTTATAATTTTCTTTTTATAAAGAGGGTTTTTACTAAATAAAGATTTTTACTAATACACCCTATTATAAATAAGGAACCTTAGATAGATCTTAGAGGCTAAGATCTTCCCAGGGGGGGGGTAGTTATAAGGATTATAAAGGTCCTTTATATATTATAGTAAAGTTATCTTTATAGAGGAGCCTACCTAGAGGGAGGATCCTTATAAGAGGTCATATAAATAGTTATATAATATATAAAGATAATAACCCTACCTATAACCACTAAACTCTGAAGTTTAGTAATAATCTCTTTAAATAAGGACACCTATATTTGAACCTATTTACAAACATTCTTCTTTCACACTAGTTTCCAACTCTTATGGATCATAGATCCTTATACATAGTTAAGATGGATATCTTACCCATACTATTAGGAGGCCTTACATTTAATATATTTAAATCATATTAATAGGTATAAGAGGGCTAATATAATATATTATAGTTATTATTATATAAGAATATACTTAATATTTATATATTTATCTATATATTTTATATATTTTTAGTTATAAATTATAAACTTATCTAATATAACTTAAATTTATTACTTATTAGATTAAGAGGAGACCTTTATATCTTAACTCTTATATAAATAAAATTTTAAATTAAAATAATTAGTATATAAAGAGATATTATTATATCTTTTAAGCTTAAGATATCTAGTTAAAAATAATGGTTTAACTAATCTAAACCTAATCTAAATCTAACTATAGTTAGTTAGTATAGGCCTACCTATACCTAGATAGGCCTAGTAATAGGTCTTATAGTAAAAATTATAATCAACCTAGATTAGGTCTGGGGTGATTATAATTTCTAAAATTTAAACCTAAAACCACTGTAGTTTAGTGCCTACTAGGCTTGAACCTGCCCAAACCTGCACTAAATACAACTCTAAGTATTCTATAGATAGATAGGGATATATAAATAGTATTTAGATAGGTTAAACACTATTTACCCTTACCTTTGCCTCAGCTGACACTCCACAACAGCTGTTCTCATGTGATGTACAATACAATTGTAATGTCCTGATTCGCGGATCCCGCCTGAGTTCTGAAGCATCTCGCGAATGAGAAATTACCTAGGTACCTTAGTTGGTTGTGCCGCTTGTTCCAATTCCAAGCAACAGAAGCCAGAGCTTAATAGTTACTCCGTAATCACTCTTGCCCAAATCGCCGCTTCCTGTCCTTCGTCAGTTCGTCTCAATGTTCAAAAACCATTTCATGCTTCCTTCGTCTAGGGTTGAGCAGTTACATTAGGGATTTCAGAAAAAGTACTCCTGCTGAATCTCAGCAAACAAGTCCCAGATCTGTGGTGAGCAATTCCCCTGTAACCGCCGCGCAATCTCATCTATCAATTTCCAGTCCCGACCTTCTAGGAACCATTCACCACGAATTGGACGCAGAAGGATAGCATAGTAGGCCAAGAGTAGTAAAGCGCCTGGACGATTTTGTTTCAATAGGGCCAGATACTCGGGCATAACACGCATAGGCCATGAATTGAGAGCATCCCAGATAGTTGACGACGGCCCGCGTTGCTGGATAAACGCAAAAGCCTCGGTCAATTTCACCGCAGAATCGCGATAGATAGGATATTCGGGTTCGTGCTCTGGGAACACGTGCAGTAAAGTCACCAGAAGTGGGTCATTGGCATCGGCCGTGACGCCCAGGTCGTCCCGCCAAAGGGCCGCAAAAGGAGCCAATGGACCACCGGTGAGTTCGGTCCAGACGGGGCAGAGCATGGACCAGCCGTTGCGGAGGATACTGATCCAATGCAACTGGTCATTATCATCGCTTAGGAAAAATCTTGAATCCTCGGACCCGGAGCTCAGGGCACAGATGACGAGGAAGAATGCGAAGGCCAGCACCGCCTCACAATTGTCGCTGTCCACATGCATGGTTGCCCGTCGGAATGCGGGAATTGCTTGATCTTGGTGTCGCATTGACTGGATTGTGTAATATGTTCGATTGCCGGGATCAGTGGAAGCGAGGTGGAGGGCAGAACAGGCTAGGACGCCGTGAAGTAAGAAGGGAAATCGGGAGGCCAGCTCTAAAACAATGACCCCAAATGCGTCTTCTGTCTCGGGGTTGCATGAGAGCGTTTTATAGGTGTAGGCTCGATAATGATCGAGCAGGCCTTCGTCGCTTCTGATCAACGATTGATGGGGGTCCCATGTTGAAAGACTTGATTCCATGCGAGCTTCCCTTACAGCGGGGGTTGTAACAGTCTGGGGGGAAGAAATAAAAAGTAGCGATCAGTACGAGATATTGATGGTGCATGAACGGCCTTGTCACTCACTGTACTGGGGAATCCGTCACTCGTCAGCCCATCGGAGCTGTCAGACGCTGACGCTGGCGATGGAACCAGCAATGCCGGGTTGGTAAAGTACCGGAAGGCATTTCCCCGGAAGAAAGTCTGCAACGGTGCTGGTTTCCAGAAGCTGCCCCCATCCGAGGCAGATGTACGGTGCACAAGCCTCCAGTGCTGCTTCATACGCTTGGTGGTGGCACAAAGATGAGCGCAGCCTTCGAAACAGCAGGCTATTCCATCTTGGACCGGGAGTAAAGGTACTGGAAATTGCGCTTCATCAGGCAAGACGACATCATTGGGCTGGGCCAGCTCAAATTCGGAGGCATATTCGACAAAGGCTTGACGAGCTGAACGATGAACATAATGGATTTCCTTGAGATGGCGCACGACTGCGCCAGGCTGAATGGCGTAGCGGCAGCGTAGGCAGATCAGAACCTGGTAAGTAGGCAAATAATGTAACAGTTGGGATGGGGGGACCACATCCACTGAAGTTGAAGCCATGGTGAAGATGACAAAGGAGAATCGCAGTCATCTTAGCCGAGGGGGGGGCGCCTTGTCCCATAAGATGGCCGAGGAACAGGGATTGTTAGTCAGGACATTATCCGGAGTACTCTCTCATGGAATATTAATTAATATCATAGAATATTTTTCATTTGGACAACTAGACGGCTAAGCATAATAGAGTACCTTAGGAATGGAGGAAAATGAAAATTGATCAGTGGGATTCCTTCCTTGGTACTCCGTAGAGACATGGGCTTCCTTGAATCTGGCCCAGGCGGCGGTTTCACCGGCGTTGAGAAGAGCAAACCGTTCCAGGCTACGATTGGCCAGCCTAGATTTAAGCATGATTCCCGCCTTAGGTTGGAACTGAAAGTGCCGTTCTCAGACACTCCTATTATCCTATACCTAATGGATCTGACAGTCAGACCATCAGGCAGTATGAACAGACTTAAGGTGGATGCTGTTCCGACCTTGTCGACCCTGTTACTCAACTGGCTTGATAATCTGCTTCTTGCTAGCGCTAACGCTGCAGGAGTCAGGACTGTTTAGGACCATGTTTGAGTCCATCTATAGCAGCAAGCCTTGTCAGCCCAGCAAATAATTGCATAACTTACTGACCAAGACAGCGGCAACGCCTTCAATGTGCAAGGGTAATGGGAATCCTTTGTTTTTAAAAAAAGGAGGTTGTTAGGGACACCTCCTACCACCACCCCCGGCTGGAATTAGTTAGAATTAATGTCATGATAACCTGCACCGGTCGCTGCAAACCTAGCTTTTTGATTTATCATATAAAATCAAGATATAGGGAAACCGCAAGATAGGTGTCATAGGGGTAGAATATCCCTGAATGAGATGCTTAGATTTCTATCTACTCTGTCGGTGCCAGCTATATGATCATGTGATGCTTACTTCAGTGAGCTTAGTAAAGGTCTTGGCAGATGGCGCTGACTAATAGTAGGGCAGGCCCACCTCCAAAGTATTACGTAGTAGGTTATTTATTTATGGAGTACTTCTACTCTGTATAGCTAATCAGATTCCTATTATTCCTTTGTATCTTTGTATTTACTACCGAGTACCGGCAAGCTGCTGATGGGTAACATCTTATACTCTACCTACTACTACAATCGTGACCCTATGGTTGTGCCCTAGGTAGTGTCACCCCCTGGGGTACTGTACATACATAGGGTGGGGGTATCTCAGCGTGAACCTGGGGAGCAAAAACTCCCACTAGCCACCTTCTTCATACCTCGAAGCCTTTGGTGCTATAACAATAAAATGACCGCTACAAAAGCCCCCGACCGGATATTTCCAATCTCAACATTCATTTCAGACCTACCAATCAATCTCATTCCACAGTCCCTCCGGTCATCTTCCGAACATGACCCTGGTAAGAGACGCTTGGTCATTGTAGGCGACGTACATGGGATGAGCAAGTCCCTGCAGGCACTCCTAGACAAAGTCGCGTTTGACCAAAGCAACGGAGATCACCTTATACTAGTCGGCGACTTGTTCAATAAAGGACCCGATAGCCCTGGCGTTGTGGACCTGGCGATCAAGCTCGGTGCCAGCGCAGTGCGAGGCAACCACGACAATGCAGTTCTTGACGCGGCAGCGGAGATCAAAGCTTCAGGCGGGAGTCTACTACCATCTGAAGCCGACGTGCCTGGGGATATCGCCCGCGGTCGTCAGATCCCCGGCAAATGCGCATCTGCGACAGCTGGCAGTGGTATGAGACATAGCGCGACAACGTACAGTACGGCAAGGGCGCTTTCAACGGATCGGCTCGACTGGCTTGCCGCGTTGCCGTTGATCGTGCGCGTCAAGCTAAAGCTACCACCTTCCCCAACATCCCCCTTCGGCGACACGTTGGTTGTCGTCCACGCGGGCCTCGTTCCTGGTATCCCATTGGAAGAGCAGGACCCACACGCTATTATGCATCTGCGTAGCCTCGTCCGCGCGCCGGATGATGCGGCTGGATTCATCCCGGCTGAAACTTCCGGGGAAGAAAGCTGGGTTCAGGAATGGGACCGGTGGCAAGAGAAGCAAGCATCCAAGACTACGGTGATATTTGGGCATGATGCAAAGCGTCGTTTGCAGCTGGGGAGGTATGCGATCGGGCTGGACTCGGCGTGTTTATACGGCCACCAGTTGAGCGCAATTGTGATTATGGCGACCGACAGGGGAATCGAGCATCAGATTGTTCAGATCGAATGTGCTGATGAGCCTGTGGTTCCTAAAGAGCCGGTGAAGGAAGACGACCAGACAATGGTTGTGTAATTAGTATATACTTACCACAGAGTACTCTGGGCCCTGGAGTTGTGGTACATAGCCTAACCACGAGGCTAGGGGTCAGGCCGTGCAGGGGTGGACAGAGGCCTGGTAAGGGCCAAAACCATGCCGGGTTTAGCCCCTAGGTTTAAGGATCTAGGTCGGGCTATGTCCCCCAGATATACCCTGTTCCCTTGGCGGCGGCCTTCTTGGTACATAGCTACTTCATCATGTATTTGAAAGAAGGTATATGAGAGTCTAGAGTATTATTGATTATTCTATCCTATCTCTATCTATAGATCCACCAACGACACCTCCTGTTCCTCCCCCGAGCCAAGAAGCTGCTTCTGCCAGAGATTATAGTACCTCTCGCGCTTCCCCAAGAGCTCCTGATGGGTCCCCTTCTCAACAATAGCACCATCATGCACGACCATGATCTGGTCCGCCCTCACAACAGTCGAGAGCCGGTGCGCAATCACAAAAGTGGTCCTCCTACTGCTCAGCCGCTTCAGCGCGCCCTGGATCTCAGACTCGGTCTCCGTGTCAACGGCACTGGTCGCCTCGTCAAGGACAAGGATCGGCGGATCTTTCAGGAAGACTCGTGCAATCGCTAGACGCTGGACCTCCCCACCGGACAGTTTGACGCCTTGCTCGCCAACCTTGGTGTGGTAGCCTTTCGCGAACGTCAGAATCTTGTCGTGGATAGCCGCGGCTCGGCAGGCGTTGTAGATTTCCTCGTCCGAGGCGGAGGGTTTCGCGTAGCGGAGATTCTCCATGATCGATGCGTTGAAAAGGAGGGGGTCCTGCGGGACAACGCCGATGACATCTCGCAGAGATCCCTGCGTCACGTCGCGGATGTCGCGGCCGTCGATTCGGATGCTTCCCGAGTCGACGTCGTAGTAACGGAGGAGCAGCTTGGTGATGGACGTCTTACCGGCGCCCGTGGCGCCGACTAGAGCAATGGTTTCGCCTGGCGCTGCAGAGAGGCTGATATCCTGGATCGTGGCTTTCCTGCCATTGTAAGAAAACCCGACATGATCGAACTCAACCCGCCCTTCCACGGAGCCGAGATCTGACGCACCCTCTTTGTCAGTGACGGTGGGCTTTGTGAGGAGCAGATCAAGCAAGCGCTCTGCATCAACGAGTTGGGAGACGAGCCAGCGGTAATCCTTTGACAGAAACTTGATCGGCCAGATGAGGTAGTCCCAGTACTGCGAGAGGAAGACAAAGTCTCCCGGAGAGGCACGACCCAGCTGGACTTCGCGCGCGACAAGGTACGCCAGAATAGCAAATGTAGCCGGGAAGAACGCCTCCGTCAAGCCCGTGGTGAACGCATCTCTCCGGGACCAATCTCTCGATGCTGACAGCCGCGTGTCAACAGCCTGTCCGAAGCGGTACCGCTCATACGAGAACATGTTGAAGATGGACACCGTCTGCCACCCCTGAATGGCCTGGTGCATGACGCGCGCCTGTGCGCGCTCACTCTTGGTCTGCCGACGGCGGTTGTCCACGTTCCAATCCGATGTGACGACTTCCAGGGCCGTGAAGCCCAACGAGGCCACCAGCATGCACAGCGCAGCGGACGAGTTGAATTTATTATACAGGAAGATGTATGCGACAGCCATATCGAGAACAGCAGGGGTGATTTCCAGCATGGCGACATCCAGGAGATTGGTGAGCGCTTCACCCTGCTCGATCGCCTTCATCACCTCAGCGGAGTCTCTGTCAGAATGAAACTCCATTGCGAGGCCCATAACGTGGTTGAAGGCGGCGTTGGTCAGCTGTCGGTACGAAAATTGCTCGATGGGGATTTTGGCCAGGGATTCGATCATCCCCAGGCCAGACTGGCCGTGTAAGATGTTGAGGGAGAAATAGATTAGCAGATCCGAGGACGGTAACTCTCTTGCGAAGAGCTTGTCGGCCACGATGCCCAGCTGGCGAGGGACGAGAATGTTCAAGACGCGGTCAGCGATGAGGCACAGAACGCAGACGAGAAGACAAGCTTGGACTTTGAGGTTCTTTCTTGGAATCAGGAATGGCAGAAAGACCTTGAAGTTCTGGAGGTAGGTCATCCAACTACCACTCTTGCGAAGTTTGCTGGTAGGAGAATCGAGCTTGTCCTCATCACCGTCGCCATCGGAATCGGAACCCTCTTCATCAGAGGACGTTTCAATATCATTAGCAGATCGAGATGCCACAGGTGTGGCACCATATGAAACCTGACTGCTTATCGATTGATCACCCAAGGGATCAAGACAAGGCCTCGTCTCCTCCTCTTCCCCAGTCTTGAGCCCCTTTCTCCGTGAGAGGAAGTGTAATGAACAGTTTATCAGAACCCCACTGACAAGAAATAATCTAGCAGACTCTACGACCAGCAGCGATCGATACGATGCAGTCTGCTCAGGATGAATTGCATCTAAGACCAACCCCGGGATGCCAAAGAGAAGCGAAAGCAACGCGAGGCCAGAAACCTCCGTGACAATGATATCTCTGCGTAAACAGGCTGTAGCCCAGCCTAACGCAAATGCAAAGGCCGCAAAGATATGGTCTGGACTTTGATCAAGACCCTCCTCTTGTCGAGCAAGGATGATCGTCTCAACTATGTAAGATGCCGCAATGCAGGGGAGTAATATCCCTCTCAAGACGGTCTTCCGTAGAACCGAAGACCTGGGGCGTGCCTTGGGATTATAATTGACCAGAAAAGATCCAAACACGAACAGCAGGGTGACGACCGTGGCCACTGCGTGGAGCAGTTGGGCAGCTCCTGGAACGGTCATTGTCTGGAAGTAAAGTGTTGGTGAGTACCATAGCAGTAGTACGAGTTGCCAATGAAGCTTTTTTATTAAAAAAAGAAGAATCTGATGCCTCATAGTGACTCATATTAAATACCATTCGAGTCAGGGCGATCAGCTTCTATCCACGTTTCACAGTGGTGCTGAAGATCGCTGCTGCCTGGCATGCTGATCAGACAGAATATGCTTCAGTAGATCTATAATTGAGATGAGAATCCACGGCAAAATCTTGTTCGAGCCTCCTGGGAGCTTTTAAGCTTTTAACCTTATGTGGTAATAACATGTACTTCTAATATGTTCTTCCAATCCGAAAGTATCTGGTGTATCCAACACACCCAGACATACGGAATAAAGGAGTCATGTCTCCTCTTAGCATGATCCACCAGAATGAAAAGATTTTGGGTGAATACCAAATATCATCAGGCTACTCAGCCTAATTTTTAGCATAGACATAGACACTCAAGATATGTTCACAAAGCATACTGTGTAGCCAGGGTGTATTTTTAGTCGAAAGGAGATGCTCGTGAATCGTGATAGAAAGCATGGAAACCTGAGGCAGATGCAGTCAACCGGCTGAGTCATCCAGGGGTCAACCCACTCTGAAATCAAATCCGGGGGCTGTGCAGAGAGTCTGGAACTGGAAGTGACTGCAGACGCACAGATGCTTCTCAATATGAATTCCATTTGGCACAATGGATGGAACATATCCATCTTCATCGAACAAGCCATTCATGATGATGGAAATATGTCCGAGAGTCCTTCGTTAACAGGATGAATGAGACATGATTGAGCCGCCCGCTGCAGGCATCAAGGTTGGAGAGCATGCGCAGCCGAAGAAACAACACAACGACAAGTTAGTTGTGATATGGTGCCCAAGCGCACCTCTTAGGTTCTCTTATCACGTTCAAGGAGCCACCCGATACCAAGTTCTTGAGTGGTTTGCCATGGCGGCATTGGTCGATCAGAAACGCTTATATGAGCCGTATACCCGATCCCTCCGTGGTCTATGCTTAATTGAGGTGTGGCTGACCCCGAAGATGGCATTATTAGGCGAGCATGCAGATACCAGAGAGAGCAAGGTGCGCTTACTGGGTCTGGACGTCAGACACGAAAAAAGGTCATTCAGCCGCAGCAGCTTTGCTTCCCCAGAGAAGATCTCGAGGAACCGATGATAAATTCATGCTTACCATGCGAGATATGTTGCTTTGAATCTCCCACAATTTTCTGGATCTCTCGTTGTTTGGCGTTGCCATGTCTGATTCCATTCATGTCTATACAGGGCCATGGGTCAATTGGTCCCATGGTCTCTATCGCGGTGCCACTCTGACTCTCTCTCAGGAATATGCGGGGTTGCTGACGGCCTTTCTGGCCCTCTTTGTCTCCTTTGCGGGGACCATGATGTGGAGGATACTTTGCTTCGTGATCCACCAAGCCTGCACGACCCGCCCTTCCGAGCGACGAGACTTTTTGCATCATACACGCCAGGTGATTCTGCGGAACAGTAGCTCCGGTGCGGGAGCCGCATGGACACTTACCTGGTTGGCTTGGACAGTAGGCAGAAAGACGCCCCGAGCTCTCCTACGAATCGTGCCCCTGCTGTTCCTAGCACTTCTCCTCGTGGCTTCATTCGGTGTTGCGGGTGTCTTCACGGGATATGTCACCAAAGTTCCTGGCAATACAACTGTTATTCTTGGTCCTCATTGCGGCGGCTTTACGTTGAATGTACAGGCGAATTCGACGCTACTCAGCCAGTCAGTTGTCTTATCGAAGTCGTTGGAGGACACAATCCAAGCCGCGACCTATGCAGACCAGTGCTATCAGGGTAGCTTCTCACTGACCTGTGGGACATATGCCCGGCAGCGACTGCCTTTTACTACCAACGCCAATGCCTCGTGTCCGTTCGAACGTGGCCTGTGCATAGCCAATGATCAATCTGCTTTCGCGATGGATACAGGCCTGCTGGATTCCAATGATGATTTCGGCATCAATTCCCGACCTGATAACCGAGTCAAGTATCGGCGCCTGACTACATGTGCCCCCATCTACGGTTCGTCTTTTGTAAATACAAGAAATGACTCCGATTCCGGTCCCATCGTCTATGTCAATGCTGGCAGCATCCCGGCACTAGCAGGAGTACAGAACTGGACTTTTTCGCACACCACTCGTGTTGCCCTGGATGATGTGGATGGATATACTCTGAAGTACTTGCGAAACTACATCCCGCTCGTTGCAGTTTCATACTAAAAATTGATTAGGGCAATTTATAGCCAAGCTGATTCCACCGGGATCCTTCATAATGAAGGTACAATGTGGTTCCCGGATCCATCACTCAATCGAACCGATGCAGACCTCACGCTTATGATGCTGGCGCAAAACAGCGTTAATTACGTGACCCCGAGTGACGATCCCTGGATGCCAGCACACGTAGACCTCAATGTGACATACATGGGCGACTACTACGTGAATCTGCTTGGCTGTATTGATCAGTACCAATTCTGTAACCCCAACCTGGCAGGGGATGCGGGATGCACCAAGCTCGGGGGCATACATTCAGTTGCTCAAGACATGATCCTCCGAAATCAACGGTTGAGTTTCAGTGAGGACCAAGCCACGACCATAGGGCGTTTCTTGTCTGCGGCGGATTACCGGTCCATGTATTACGCTGTCCAGGGACGAGGTGGCTCAGCACTCAACAGTAAGTATTTTTGCACTGTCTCAGCAACCGAAGAAGACGTCTATTTTCCTTGGTGTCTGTCTACAGTTACTATTTGGATTACAGCTAACATCAGCTTTGTTCTAGTCGCACAGAAATTATACAACAACTTCCAGTACTACGTCCCCCGGAATCAATGGCAGATCGAAGTGTCCAACTGGTTCGCCGCGTCTCTCGCCAAAGAACAAGCCTGGGCCGTTGAATGGGCCACAAGTCCCCAAAACTTCGCATCTCGCCAGCCGGGGGAGAAGGAGGTATGGGAATACAATCCCGTTTCGACGGTCTCTGGACAGCACCAGTGCCGTAACCAACTCGTGCACAGCAACGGGGAGTACAAAAGCCTATCAATCCTCGGCATGGCTTTGACCCTGGCAGTTGGCGGTCTAATCATCGTCACTGGCTTATTCCTCGACATAGTGGTGGGTTTTTTCCAGCGTAAGAAATGGCTGTATTTGCGGGAGCAGTGGGAGATGGAAGAGACACTGGCATTACACAAGGCCGTCTATCAGAGCATCGGCTTCTCCCCCGATGCAAATGAAGATCTGCCGCCGAGTTCGGCTCTGCGTGACCGGTTTTCTACTACGGACTATCAGCGCACGAGCGCGGTAGGAAAGCCCGAGAGTGGACTTCTTACTAAGGAGCAGGACATTTCGAGCGCATATGCATGAATGTGGAGACAGTTCAAAGGGCAGACATGTCGGGCGTGTTATCTGCTTGGCGATGGCTATCTAGAAGGTTCATATATGATGGAATGGACGCCATTCTGAACTCAGCAGCCTAGTGATAAATAGTCATATGCAATGCAGCAGGGTGGATCGGCTCAAGCGAAGAACTTGTCAGACATTAGACAGTAGATTTGCCAGACCGCCAATAAGCACATTCAACCAACTAACTTCCAAGAGTCAAGAGTGCATACAGATAGAAAGAGCACTGAGTTCTGATCAAAGCATTAGAGACACACTGCCAGCACGAGGTCGCAGTCACCGAGTCTGACATATCTCATGACAGAAGCACGTCGAGTAGTGGAGACTGAACCCAAACAGGGATAGACATCAGACATATCAGATTGTATGGGATCCCTCGCGTCAAGGCATGAGCCTACTGGGCGCCTGGAGTAGTGGCATTCGGCAAGCCTGACCGCTGATGTTCAGATAGAACAAACCGGTAGGTCACTGCACGCGGGATGACCATAAGCTCGTGTATAAAGTCTCCTCTTTTCCTCCCCCCATCCACAATCCTCGATCTCAAACATCTTCCTATCAACCCGTCCCCTGACCCTAATCCCTAATCTCCCATCTTGTTTCAGTAATTCCACCGCAATGCGTTTCCTCACCTCCATCCTCGCCCTCGCGGCTACAGCTGCCGGTACGCCCTCCAACGCATCCATTAGCACGAAGCTCTACTAAACTAACAACAACAATAACACAGCCCTCACCATCACATCTCCCAAGAGCATGGACCAAGTTGACATGAGCAAGCCCGTCGATATTGAATGGACCGCCGTCGAGTAAATTCCCTTCCCCCGACTTCCCCTAGATCAAGAACCCCCTCAATCAAATCATATGCACGTATATATATTTATATATATATATATATATACTCACAACTATTCTACAGCTCCGACCCCAAAAACTTCACCATCATCCTCGTCAACGTGCAATCCAACCCGCCCGTCAGCAAAGTCCTCGCCAAGGACGTCAAGTCCTCCGACGAGAAGTACACCGTGGATGGAGCGTCGGGGATTCCCAAATCGTAAGTTGCAAAGGAGAAAAAAAAAAAAAGAAAAAAAGAAAGAAAGAAAAAACTAACATTCTCACTCAGAATCGGCTACCAGATCAACTTCGTCAGCACCGGGCCCATGAACACCGGTATCCTGGCGCAGTCGCCGCAGTTCAATGTCACCGACGTCAAGTCCGCCTCCACCACCACCACAAGCACAAGTGCGTATTCTTCATTCTTCACCTGGGGTTAGAGGAAGGGGGGGTGGGGCTACAGGTACAGCCAGGCTAATGCAGCACAGAGAGTAAAGGCACGGCCACGGCCACGGAGACGACCACGGCTACTGCGTCCGCGACGGAGACGAACGCCGGGGCGGCACTGGCGATCCCTGCGGCCGGGTCGTTCATGATGGGTCTTTTTGCGTTGGTTTTGTAGAGGGGGATAGGGACAGGGACAGGGATGTGGGTGTGAATGTGTCAAGGGGGGTGGATGAGGTTGTTGTAATGGCTTTTTCTGGCTATACTTTAGCTCCCCTTTCTTTTCTTCAAGTCAGCTGGGGTTGGATATACTTTACGAGTGTTTAGATCGTTGTAAGTGAGGATATACTGTCTAATGGGTAATGAGCCTTGTTCAGGGTACTTCAAGGCTGCTAGTATTGCGCTGGGCTGGTTGTTGGGCAAGTTAATCGCCATGCAAGGAGCAAAGCTAGATATGCATCCATGTATCATTTCGATAGCGGATTTGTGTGATATGCATGGAGCCTTTACTCACTTGTATCCAACATAAAACTTGGTCAGAGTTGGCCAGGGAAACTACCAGAAGATCATAATAACGAATGGGTATAGAGTGGAATACATATGTACAGAAATATCCAAATATTCATGAGTACCTCATGATAAACCCGTGTTCGAGTCGGCGAGCCCAGACACTGACCCGGATCCTGTCGCACTGGCACTGATCGCCGGTGATGAGGATTGGTCGTTATACTTGTCGCTAATGCCTTCCCGAGGACGATCCCAGGTTCGAATGTGGCCTGCATTTGCTATGTGAGTACATGCCCCAGAGGAACAGGTATAAATAGGCCCGTACCTTCAAGTGAAGAGGTCATGATGCAGTCTTCTTGGAAGCCTAACCAACAGATCGGGTCTGACCCTACGACTTTAGACTTTGAGATTGTCAGCCAAGGACTTGCCGTTCCCATGCATAGAGGATGCATCACAAAAATCAGGGAACTACAACGAAGCTCACCATAATAGGCGGTAACAGAGCCGTGCGTGCTCTTGGCTCGACGGGATGGCGGACAGCCTGGTCGCAACTCTCGTAGGTGTTTGCCGTCTTCTGGGAGTCCGACCTCATTCGATTGCTCGCACTATCGGCTCGGTGACGATTACCATATTGGGTGTTACTCGTAATCATGCTCGTTCGTTGGCGGGCACTCGCTTGATACTATTTGTGATGTGACCATCAGTAAAAGGACAGGCCGGCCACCATGATGCATATGGATGATCGCTCATCGAACGTGCTAAGGTGCCCCCTTGGAGATTCGGCTTACCACTTTCGGGCGATGCAGCATGCCAACACTAAAATCCCACAGCAGTAGCCTGCAGTCATCGCCAACACTGCCGAACCGGTATGTCCTCTCATCGCATCGCCATGGATCAAACGCCACTGCAGAAACCCAAGAGTTATGGCCTTGACAGCGAGCGACTATCTTGCGCTCCGGCAACGACCAAATAGTCAATAAGTCGTCTTGCCCACCAGTAACGATGTATTTCCCATCTGGCGACCAGCAGACACAGATCAATCCACCATAGTAACTGCGAAAAATATCAAGCACCCTATGTGGTCGGTCAGCTGACTTTGCCTCATTTCATGCGCTGGCAGGAATTGTAGAAAAAAAGACCTACTCTTCCTTCAAATAATCCATCACTCGTAAAGATCCATCTTCCAAGACAACAGCCAGATGCCTTTGATCCGGGGAAAAGGCAAAGTGAGAGATTCGCTGATTTGCAAGCTTCCACAGGGCGACGGGGTTGGTCTTCTGATTCCTCGAGTTAACGGACTTCAGAACTTGCAGCGGCTGTCGACCGGATGCCTTGAGCGCCTCTGCCGATTGGTTCTGAATTTCGGGGGTGAAGAGGGCATCCTCCTTCTCCTTATCATAAACTGCCAATTGCCCGTTCGCGTGCGCAGCCATGAACAGGTTCTCCGAGCCAGGGATCCATTTGATATGAGTGACCGGCGAGTTGCTGACAACTCCGTTCTTGTTGATCCGAGCGTACTTCTGGGACATAGGCTCGTACCAGATGATGTCTCCGGCAGAGGAACCCATGACGATATCAATGTGAGATGAGCTTTTGGTCAACTCATTCGTGTCATGGCACAACATGTGCGCCTTCGTGAAAAGAATCTTTGTAAGCGGCTCTTCCTTTTGCTTCGAACTAAGATCCAGCCATTGAAATGCACGGTTAATATTGGCAAAAGCGAAAAGGCCCTCCGGACTCCGGTCATTCAACCGTTTCGTGGCTGCTTCGTGGGTAATGACACGCGAGACAAACGACGAGCTGCTCTTGATGATGTTGTTCTTGGGCTTGCGTCTCTTTAACCCATCCTTGACTGGCACAGGTGCCAGCGCAGGATTCCCATCACCAAACGGAGGTGCTACCACGGTCTGATTCGGAAGAGACGAAGGAGTCTTGGTTCGAGGACTGATGCAGATAAGCGATAGTTTGACGCCCATTGTCGGAGGTGTAGGAACGGTCGCGAGCGGGTTGGGGTTCACGATGGGAGCTTCAGACGGGTGAGGAGGAGGGGTCGCTAAGTGTAGGTTGTCCTTGAGATGATATGTACCTGTTGCAGAAACACCATGTCAGTTCTGATTATGAAACAAAGAGTAAGAAGAGTACGTACCCTCTCCAACCTGCAACGGACAACCGCCCTCGGGATGGCTAATGATGTTATTGGTCTCAATGACCGGCACCGCCATGCCGTTCGCCGCACCAGCTGCATAGGCAATCGGCACAGTGTAGCGAGGGGGTGGTGGAGGAAGAACGCTGGGGGTGCAGGTCAGCTAGAAGCATTCGAGGGCACTCGCAATTGCTAATCTGTGCTCAGATACGGGATAGAAAGGCAGGATATGTAGTAGTGTTCAGTAGGAGATGCAATGCTTACAACATGGTTGCGATTCCAGTGAGGCCGACGGCCTATATATATCCCTAAAGATGTGCAAGTAGATGGCAGGCGCCGGCGCAGGAAAGATTTATCGGTCGATCCAAAAACCTGCTGAGCCTACGTAGAGTCGCAGTGAATATTCCGAGAGTAGCACCTGACGGGTGCACACCAAGGCAGTGCGCAAGGTCTGGAATCGGCCGCAGAACGTTATTGATTATGAAATTCGGTATCGCAAGAATCAAGACGGCGAAGGAAGGACGCTGAATATGCTGTTCAGTGTTCAAGGTCAAGGTCCAAGGACTAGATTCTATCTATTCCTCGAATCAAACTGTCAGCCAGGCTCTGATAGCCCACACGCGCAGACGTAAGCAAAGCATCGAATATCTCACCTTGGAGGACAGAATATGCGACTTTAATCAAGGGTGACGAAGAGGAATAATCAAAAAAAGATATATACAACGATTCAACAGATGTAGATGCAATACTTGAGGGCGTGTAGAGAGGCGGGTGTAAGGGGAGATCGGCGAAGGTGAGGAGCGGAGAGGAAGACGGGGAAGTCGGGAGGGAGGCCCGTGAGCCCCAACTCAAGAGGACTGTTAGCCTGTTTGGTAAGGATCTCAGTATGGGGTCTCAGCCAGCCAATCATGCTACGTCTGCGGCTGATGGGGAATTAAGCTCAGCATCACGTGGCAGTCACATGACAGCATGGCTGACTAGCCGTTTTCGGTGATTTGTTGACATGCATCACTCCGGGGATACTACTACAATACGGTGGACATTCTAGACATAACATGACCTCCAAGAAAGCTATCAACCTAGAGGTTAACTAAGATCGTTGGTAACTCAGAACTAATGGTCGTAACATCTTTTACCTCGTTATCTTTCTCAAAATCTATAAGCTCGGCATGGTAGACTTTTAAAACACGCTTTGCCTCCCCTAAAACATCAATTTAGATCTCAACGCTTTCCAAAATCTTCGCCACATTCTCATGACGAGGCTTCAATCCAATGCGGAACGGCACGGGTGAGCGTCCCGAGAGGCCATCGTATTCTTTCAGGTCGATGGGCTCTCCAGGGATCTCATGCATATCGAAAGCCCAGAGCATGCGGGAGATGGTAAGCCAGATCTCACGCTCGGCGACGATCATTCCAGGGCAGATACGACGACTAGATTTGCATTAGTTAGCTTTAGCTCCTTTTGAGCGGTACTTGAGCATATGAAACATACCCGGCACCAAACATCCAGTGGTCACGTTCCATGGGGTCGGCCAGATTGGCACTCTCAGCGGAGGTCAAGTGGTCGCGAATGTAGCGATCAGGCTGCGAGCATAGGTGAGCAACATCATCCTCGAGGAGACAACCGAAGAGAGATCACATACATTGAACTTTTCAGGATTGGCATGGCGGACAGGATCATAGTGCATGGTCCATGTGTTCAGAACGACAACGGTATCCTTGGGGATGTACTGTCCTCGGTAGACAAAATCCTCACTAGCGACGTGGGGGGTTCCAAGCCAGAATGGGTTATGGACTCGCTCGACTTCCTTGACGATGGCGTGGCAGTAGGGGAGGTTCTTCTCGTCCTCAATTGTGGGCAGACGGTCACGTCCTACGACGCGATCGAGTTCCGCCTGAGCCTTCTTCTGAATCTCAGGGTAGGCTGGAATAAGAGCAGAGAACCATTGCATGATAGCGGCAGTCTGTGTCCAAGTCAACGATTTGAACGGATATATCAACATCAAATACTGAGCAACTTACCGTTTCAACACCGCCAATCATGAAAGCCGAGGCGAGAATGGCCATGTCCAAGTCATCTAGATCTTCCTTGTGGCGCAACTCAATCATTGTCTTTGCTAAGCAGTCTGTGACCTTCTCTCCTCTGAGCATCTTTCGCTCGGCTTCTTTGATGAAGCCACCATAGGTGTCAACCAAGCCCTTGTGGAGCTTCTTGCCGCGTCTGAGCATTGGAGTGGGGAGATATTGAAGAAGAGGAACGAAATCCACCAGATTGGACATGGGACCAGTGCAGTTCCTATTGTCTCACTCAGCTTGCGGATGCAAGAACTACCATGGATGCTGCACTTACATGAACTCACGACTGAGCTTCAAAGCTTGCTTGACAAGAGGGTGTTCGATACTGTCCGTTCGAAAGCCGAAAGTGATAGTCGTCATGTTATTCAACGAGCAACGTCCAGCATGAGGCTTGGGCCATGAGTAAGTGACATTGCAAATAGAGAACTGAATCGAAAATACCTGAGGATTGATGGGGACCAGTCCACCCTTGCTCTCCACAAACAAGGCCTTCACCAACGACATAGACTCGCGGTCCAGAACAGGAGAATAGCCGTCGACGGCGCGTTGGTTCAGCCATGTGGTTGCGATACGACGGTGTTTACGCCTGAATAATCAACACAGATAGAGTGAGCAGCAGTGACAGCAAATGCACCATGGGATCCAATTACCACCGGTCATTGTACGGAGTAGCGGTGATTCCTCTGCCAGCGAAGACATTTTGACTCTTGATGAACATTTCTTTGCGGGACGAGAACACATTGCCATTGGTGACCATGAGATCCTTGGCAACATGGGGATCGGACACAATCACAAAGAGCTGATTCCCGAGCCAGATGGAGTACAGGTCTCCGAATTTCTTAGCCCAGTAGTCCAGAGTCAACTCCGGAAATCTGGTGAGAGAATAGAAGGAGCCTTGAACATGTCAGCAACAGTCAGTCATTTCTTATGTTTGGACAGTTGATGTACCAAAAATAGGAAGTCCCCGAGGACCCTTGGGGATCTTGTGTCCATGCGCGTCAGTCCATGTTCTTCTGAACCAGGCAAAGACGGTCACTCCGGCAAGCACAGTGATTGCCCACAAGGAAGGCGAGCTGGCTTTGGCCACAGCAGCAAGACCTAAGGACGATGAAATCGTGTCCAAGGGCAGGACACTGGCCAAAGTGTCGGTGTCGTTCATGACAGACATACTGTTCGACTGAGCGACCGATGGGCTTGAAACAATTCCTCAAGTCGAAACGACATCCTGCCCTTATATAGCCAGAGCCCTTGCTATCGCTCGACCAAGTTCTTGTTCCCCTCGCTCAACAATCACTTGACTCCGCTCACATGCTACTCGGCCTTCTCTCACAAAAATTCAGACTATAGAACGCATTAGCTCCAAGGCAGTGGGGCTAGTTTCGACAACGCAGAGTCTCATTTTTTCCCTACAGCGCTGCATGGTAGACGCCCACGTTGTCTCCCCATGCATGATTGAATCCATGAGATAGCTGGGAATCCTTCCATACGTTTCTCGGAGACAATCCTGGCTAACTACCACGCTGGAGATCCACATACAATACTTAGATAACGGCCGAGCTGGGGGCTTCTGAGCCTAGGCAATCAATGCATGTTTCGCCGGTGGGCGGGACAGAAAGAAGATGGGATCATATTATTCCGAGGCTGGCTGTGCAATCTATGAAATCCCTTATGGAGAAGGTACCTTCGTGTCCGGGGCCGAAGGATGAAATACAGGACGTAATTTACATAACCGACGGGTCAAGACCTGCGAGATTGAGCGAGTTGTCTGCCTTCAACGACAACTAAAATCCTACATAGGGGCCAAAAACTAAAATCTAGTGCTTTTAGGTTGCGTCTGTCCCGCTAGGAAAACTTCGAAGATAAGGGATGAGCTTCCTAACGAGCTCTACAAAAGGCGATTCTTGCGAATCTGCACATCTCGAAGCGAGCCGATCTAGAAGAGTTTTGATCCCAATGATCTGGTAATTACACTGGTTGCGAGCGACTGCGCAATACAGGATGCTGGTTAATGAAGTTGGTTCCCCGGTTGAACATAAAGCAGATGCACCCGTGTGGAGACTACCATGCATGGAACTAGTGGGAGGCCTGAGAAATCGAGACCACTGAACTCCGACCTGTATCTAGTATATAACAATAGGATGCAATATGCATATTGCATGCATGGCTAAGAATTCCAGACTTCCAGTGCATGACCTACGAGTTCTAATAGGCTGTCGGTGACGGGCCGGCCCATGTAGGTACAAATAGATTGTGGGGCACAGAGGCTGAAGGATCTTAGGTGGTGGGGTCTGTGGAGCTTAGGAGTACAGCTGTACTACGTACTCTGTAAGCCAGACTAGGTATAACATTAACAGGTAACTGTATTACTGTAATACAGTGCAAGGGCAGGCATTCCAACAGTCAAGCCGCCTTTCATTAGTGGACACCTCCTTTAGTATCTTTACCGAATCTAAGCCAGGTTGGGCTTGCTCGAGTCAGGAGCAGCGACTTTCTCGGCCGGGTCAAGATGACCTCTTCCTTTCATGAGACTTGAGAGTTGAGACATGAATCTCTTTAGTCATTGCCGTTAGCTCGGTATCCAGCATTTCGCTGTGTGTCGCCTACATACCTGACTAATCCCGGGACACTACCTATGAAGATAGTAGGTAGTTAGTAGTTAGTTAGTAGTTAGTAATAGTACAATCATTGTACAAGTTAACCGTAACTCTTAACTTCATATTTGGGCAGCATAGTGAACTGGAAGTTTCGACTTTCGACCGTTTTTGGTACGACGGGCGATTAATCGGAGTTCGCAGGTTCGTCTAATGGGCCAATGGCAGATTCTGATCCGCCGGAGAGCCGCGTACCTAGTTTCATACTTTCATTACCTACAATGTACATTGGTATGGGCGTCCGGCGATCCTCCAGAACGGCCGGTTCAATTTCCGGGACTAGCCTTTGTTTTGCGGCTTTTCCCGCCTTTCCCAGCGATCTTCGAAGGATTGCGCCCTATGATACTATCGCCGAAAGTTCACCGGAGGGTGCCGTGTCATTCCCGTGAAGACTGACAGCCAGAAATCCGGATTTTTCGTGGTGCGGCTGGACTACATACGCGACGTTCGGTCTGCATCCATGGTTTTATCAAATCCTCCAAAGGATTCTACATCGTCCGAAGCTGCGAGCCTACGACTGGCGGACTAGCCTACCGGGCTCATTTCCAAGTGTGATTCGCTACACGCAAGATGCAACTAATTTCCGTATCACTATCTATCTAGCGTTGAAGGGATTCAAAAAATCCTAAGAAAAACGGTTTTTCATAGCCGAAAGCTACACCATACTGAACAGTGACCTAGTCTATATTGAATCATGCGTCAGATCTTTATGCAAAGTCCAAGGAGTATAACCAATAGGAATTCCCGTTCCGGATGAAGATCTTTATCCCCCCGCCCCCAATAATGAAGATGTCGCAAACGTAGCCACAAGTAATTCTAGAGTGTTTGTGGTTCTCTCCAAGCTGTCTCTCAGAGAATTGTTGTCCTCATTTCGTAGTGGTGGTAGCCTGAGGAAGGACAGACTTAGGCTTGGGAGGACTAATCCAGAAGGTTGGATAGCGGCGCTGGATGTTATTCAGGACTAGAGCCACAGCGAGGACCATCGTGGAGGAGAGCAACACGACAGGCAGATAGTACCAGGACAAGTTCCACACAACTTCATCGACGGCAGGAAGAAGAGCCGTCGCGCCTGCCGGGGGATGAGTTGTCTCCGTGATCTGCATAACCACAATGGCGATGGCAGACGAGAGCGAAGCGGCTAGCCAGCGCAAGGAATTGAACTTCTCCTCATCTGGCATCAAGCTGAAGAGTTTCGTCACGCAGATGCCGATCAATGCGCTGAAAAAATGCCCAAAGATCAAAGGGCGAGGCTGTGCCAAAGGACTTTCAATGGCCCCGTACACGAGGACTGCTGAGGCTCCCTATGGTTCCATTAGTAGCATCCTCCGAAGACGACCTGAGATTAAAGAAGGGATACCCACATAGGACGCAATCAGACCGGGCACGCCGCGGCCGACAAAGTAAGACGAGTAGTTGAATATCGCTTGCACGACGCAAAGACCACAGAAAGAAGCCAGGAACGACCAGAGATAGACCAGATACTTTGGACGAGGCTTTGGCGCATTTGCCCGGTAGCCCAACCAATGGCTGAGAAAAGGGGGAAGGCGCGACAAGAACTCTTGTTCAGAAAGCATGATGAAACTGGTCAGAAGAAGCTGAGATTGAGAGGAGACGGAGAGGGCTGAGAAGAAGAGATAAACATAGCCAAGAATTGGGAATGAACTAGAAAATATTTACATATCCCTAGGTACTTTTTCCAGCCAACATAGGGAGAGAGTCATGTGAGGATGTGCAGTTTATTTTCTAAAAAGGCATTAGATTAGACACTACTACTAAGTGAGTCATGATTCTCATGCACTTACACAGTAGTAGGCTACTCAGAGTAGGTAATTACTAAAAAATTTTCCTGTCTAGTGGTGTTATTTAGTACCTGTACTAATGCATCATGCCAATTCATTTCACGTCCGGTGCGAAACTAACAAGGATCAGAACTCGAATAGAAGATTGATACCCAAGAAGCAACAGGCAAGCTCAAGCTTCGCTTAGCATTATATTAACCCTTGGGTTCCACAAGCAAGTGCTTCTTGTCCCGCACCCTCCATCCAACTCCGTACCTACCTCCATATGCTGTATGTCCTGTATGGAGTAATACAGTACGAATTACATGACTAGCCGTTTATCCGGATTGTGGAGCCTGATCCTTCGGACAGCCTAATCTCTTAGCGTGCGCTGATCATCGGGTACCTATTATGAATTATGATTTATGCTGTGTAACATATTTGTACCTTGTCAATTTCAGCCATTGATATCCCGAAGGCAAATCCCGAAGAAGATTGATAGCCCAAAAATGGTTTTACAATACACCCAGGGTGATGACGATGTACACTATGCAGACACTGATCCTTGTGCTCAAGTCGATTGCGATTTTGCCATGTGTTGGTAACCCACTCCTATACTGGACGGCGAGACGTCAAAGTTGTGGGCAGGGATAGCCTGGTTGGAATGTATCCAATCTCTATAAATGCTTTACTGGCCATGTGTAACCTATAAGCCCTGTAGTCGTCGATTTTCTCTTCTATATCCATATCTTATGCATTTTGAGTTAGTGGACCATTGCATCGGAGACTTTGTAGTCAGGATATCCTCCCCACCATCATGCCTCTCCTACGGACAGTAGAGGTGAACGAAGATACACGGAGTCAGTGGAAGATGCTATCAATCGATCCTGTATCCACACTGACATGGCATTCCAGTCCTTGGCTTTGATCCGTTGATGCCTCCCGATTATCTCCAGCAACAGATTCCTGCCGTAAGTTTGGGCAGCCTTATCGTCAAAGACAGGAGGGCAAGGTACAAAAAATAACAACATCTGCTAGGCATCTACGTCCCTGAACACCGTGCGGTCCAGTCGCAAACAGATCATCGATGTCCTCGAGCGACGGGATGACCGTCTGCTCGTGGTAGTGGGGCCGTGTTCGATCCACGATACCCAAGCAGCATTGGAGTTCGCTTCGCGGCTGCACAAACTTTCCAAGAGACTCTCGTCCAATCTCTGCATCGTGATGCGAGCGTATCTGGAGAAGCCACGCACCACGGTGGGCTGGAAGGGTCTCATCAATGATCCCGACCTCGACGGGTCGTACAAGATCAACAAGGGACTCATGATCTCCCGCCAACTTTACTCGGATCTCACTGCCATGGGCGTGCCGATCGCCAGTGAAATGCTGGATACGATTTCCCCACAGTATCTGGCGGACTTTATCTCCCTCGGAGCGATCGGGGCCCGGACCACCGAATCGCAGTTACACCGGGAGCTAGCGTCGGGCCTAAGCTTCCCCATCGGATATAAAAATGGCACCTCCGGGAGCATTGGCGTTGCCATCGATGCGCTCCAGGCCGCGTCAAGTCCCCATAACTTCCTCGGGGTCACAAAACAGGGGATGGCAGCCGTCACGAGAACCGCGGGAAATGAGCATGGGTTTATTATCCTACGGGGTAGCTCCCAGGGTCCGAACTATGACAAAGAGCACATCGGCCGCGCGAAGCAAGAGCTCCAGTCAAAAGGGGAGCGAGAGAACATAATGGTCGACTGCTCCCATGCCAACTCGCAGAAGAATTATCGAAACCAGGCTATTGCCGCTCAGAATGTGGCTGGCCAGATCGCCAGTGGGGAGACCGCGATCATTGGCGTGATGATTGAGAGCAATCTCAACGAGGGCAATCAGAAACTACCTCCGAAGGGTCCGGAGGGGCTTCTACCGGGAATTAGTATTACTGATGCTTGTATCAACTGGGAAACAACGGTTGAGATCCTTGAGATGTTGGCAAATGCTGTCCAGCATCGACGCTTGGGAGAGGAGACGATGGCTAACGACTGTCTTGAAAATGTTGGCGTGCGGCTCGACAATCAGGGCACTCTTTTGTCGACTTAGATTATCATTAAAATTTCTTTCTGTTCAAGCGCAGCGTCATCTGTTTCAAGGTCATATTGAATGCTTTTTTTTTTTTTTTTTTCTCTCTGGGATTTCCTAGCATGTCTTCCCGTTCGGCTGTGGACAGTCCAAAAACCGGACGTGTGTCGTTGGATCGTACAAACATTGGCTCCAACATCCTATACCGGGATTGAAAGTGCTGTAAATCGGTGTCAATCGGAGATTGATATTTCGACTCTCTCTTCCTCCCTCTCTCTCTAAGAGTTCATCCTCTCGCATATGTAAAAGGACTTTTAGATACCCTCATGGTAGGAATGATGATTCGGGTCATTAATAGCTCTTGGATGCAAAAGTGCCATGTATCAAAGCACGGGAGAGTTGATTTACAACGCGCTACGGCGCCATAGCGAGTTTGAACCTATGCCTATATAAATGTACAAAATACCGACGTTTCCAAATGTTCTCTGGACGAGGGCGATATTAATTGGTCGTACCGCACAATAGGCAGTAGTGAGAAGATTTTCAATCTCCAACCTATCCACCACCACTCACTCTGCGCCAGATCATTACAGCAGCAGCTCCAGCACAGACCACTGCGCCAAGGGCTATACCCCAAGCCATCCATTTGCCCTCGACATCTTCCTCGCTTCGAGGAAAAGCCGTGCTAGGCTCCATCGCCGCCTCAGCAATGTGGACGAAGACCTCCTGGATGGAACTCCAGGTGGCACTAACATGAAGTGGTGGACTAGGCATATTCAGCATAGCTGTATATTCATGGGGCTGATGCTCGGCCCGTTGTGTGGTGCGATCTAGGTCGGCCTTGAGAGCGACAAATACGCTGGGAAGCTCTTCAAGATGTGGATGATTTGCTCGTAGTTGGGGAATGTAAGCAAAGGAATCCGGATCGGACGAATCATATGTGTATACAATGACGTCGCACTGGTCCAGGAGCTTTGCTTGGTTTTCTAAGATGGCAGGCTCCAACTCGCCAAGCTCGTCCAGGATGAGGTAGCATTGTTTGCCTCCCGGCAGTTCAACTGTGTTGACTGTAGTCCGGGGTTGGATGGTGGGGCGATAGGTACTATTGAAACCGCGAGAGAGGAAGGCATCGAGAAGGGCGGATTTGCCCGATCCAGGAGCCCCAAGCACGTGGCCCAGGACTACATTTCGTCCCACGCGTCCGGGGCGCTTTCGCCGCTTTCGCGGTCGAGTGACTTTTAATGCGGCTGTTGTAGAGGGGTTGCTGCGATCGGATGACTCGAATCCAAGGTAAGCGAGATACTCTAAGGTTGTTTTCGGTGATTGGAAGGTCGTCATGCTCCACTGAGCAAGCCAGCCTTGAAGGGTGACGTGACCAGCTTCATTTCGAACGGTGGAGGAAGGGAAAGAGCCGTCCGCCCAGGAAGCGGGGAGACCGGGGGTCGGTGCAAACAAAGACGCCAGCTCGGCGTCATTCAATCCACCGTCGTTGTCTTTGTCAGATAGTAGGAACAAATTTACAAAGAATCGGTACCCTTCAGGCGAGAGCTCAGCGGATGCATAAGGGGGAACTTCGAATCTGGGGTGTAGGAAGCTCTCTTGCAAGGAGAGATTGTCGGTATATTGAAATGCTCGTAGAATAATCCAGACTGTCTCATGGCGACCCTTCTCCGCATACATCTTGTTCAAATGAATAAACCCTCGGCAATCGATGCCAAACGGGGTAACGGAGCCCGGGTGTGTCTTTTGAATGATCTCTTTGATGTGTACCAGATCCTCGGTGCTCAGAGGTTTGTCAAAGCACCTCATCTGAAAATCTCCAATTTCCTTGTCGGAGAGGTAGCCGTCTCGGTCCTTGTCACTGAGATAGAAGATGCGCTGCAGCGCTGCAACAGCTGCTGGCTTGAGCGCGGATTCCTTGGTGTCAAACAGTGGTGCTATCGGATGCGTGACGGCCTTCTGGCAGAGGAAGAAAGCTTCATTGACATTTCGGTGTTCGCGGGCGCTGGTACGAATGCACGAGTCGATCTCCTTGAATTCCGCCATGACCGGTAGCATTTCCTCCTCGATGACTTGTGCCTCGCTGTGTTCCGCCGCCAGATCCGATTTGTTGGCGCATAATACCACGGGCACATTGACCCCCAGAGATCGAAAGTACGGCAGCCAAAACAGGGCCACTCTCTCATAGCTGTAATGGTCTGAGTAGACAAGCAGGATCACATTTGATTTCCGAATCTCCCGAGCCAAATTATTCCGCTCCTGCGGGAGAGCAGAGGTGTCTACCACCGTTGTCGTCGTCACATTCTCGGGTGTTCCGATCGTCGGAGGGATGGTGATCTGAGGTAAAACGGGCTGGATCTTATTCGTCACGAAGACCCCCTTGACAAGTGAGGTGATGAGGCTGGATTTGCCGGTGCCCTCATCTCCGCAGACGCAGATACGCACTAGCAATGTCAGTCAATTCAATCCACCATAGCTGGGACGTGTCAAACCTGTAGCCATTATGCAAGAAGATTGTGGTGGGAAACGGAAACAAGTGCAAGATTCAAATCATCGCTCAAATCATGGTCATCAGTTCATTAGAATTTTGTCGATGCGATAGCCAGTGAAGAGTATTGCTACTTGGCTAGAATCATTGTGGCATTATTAGCTGCTGCTCTCTGTTGCTGATCCCCGGAGTTCGGGCGATGGCTGTGCCGTGGTTTCAGCCTCAGGCTTCCCCGACACCGCATGCCTAAGCAATCAACTTGAAGAGAACACCACGGCCAACTACCAAGTGCACAATGTGATAAATCAGATGGAACGTGCTATTTGAATTTGCACCAGGCTCGGAAATATGCGAGCTTAGATGGCCAACGGTGTAGAATGACTCAATGAGTGACCGAGCCACTGCTGACTGCAGATCGGGGAACTAAGTGCCTATGCAGCGATGCTGAGGCCAGTATCTCCCAACTGTAGGACTTGACACAGATACCAGTGAGGAGCAGTGGAGGGCTTTCTGATTGTATTCTTCCTTCTTCCAGCTTAATATTGATTTGGTCTGGCTGGAATCCCAAAGGAAGGTAGTAGCAATTACCTACATAGCTGTCGAGCGGATATCTCTCCTACGGAGTAGACTTAGACTGGGGTCAGCTGTCATCTGGTCCACTTCCGGACAACCCATTTGGGCAAACGAGCTTCCGTTGCCAGAGCATCCTGCGATCTCATCTTTCCCCTTCCTATTACTACTCTTCTAACCTCCATCTTCCTGTCAACCTGTCAACCTGCCATTCCCACAGTCCGACGAGCGTCGCCAAAATGCCTCTCGGAATACATAATCCACTGCCATCGTCTCTATCGAGTCTGTACCCGTCCCCTCTTGCTTACGTTCTTCTGGTTTCCCCGCAATTGGTTTCCGTGCTAACAGTGTCCTTTCTCAACAGGTGAATGTAAAAAAGCCGGCAAAATCCTTGCGTCCTTCATCGATCCGAGACAAGCTTTTGGTCCTGACAAGATCATTCCTCCTGAGATTCTCGCTGGCGCCAAGGTTCGTGAGGGAATTCTGTTTGTTCTTATCACCCAACCCAGGGACCCAACTAATCGCTCTGTCGCTTAGGGTCTTGCCATCCTTACGGTCCTTAAAGCTGGATTTCTAGGGTCTGCGCGGTTCGGATCTGGAGTTGTCGTGGCCCGTCTGGCTGATGACTCCTGGTCTGCCCCATCAGCCATTGCGACTGCCGGTGCTGGCTTCGGCGGTCAAATTGGGTTTGAGTTGACCGACTTCGTCTTCATCTTGAACGATGCAGCCGCCGTACGGACATTCTCACAGGTGGGGACATTGACTCTGGGTGGAAATGTGTCCATCGCCGCTGGACCCGTGGGAAGAAATGCCGAGGCAGCGGGCGCAGCTAGCACAAAGGGCGTGGCAGCAGTGTTCTCCTACTCGAAAACAAAGGGATTGTTTGCCGGAGTCAGTCTGGAGGGTAGCATGCTCGTCGAACGTAAGGACGCGAACGAAAAAATGTACAACAGCCGCGTTTCCGCGCGTCAACTGCTTAGCGGCACTATCCGGCCTCCTCCCGCTGCGGATCCTCTCCTTCGAGTGCTGAACTCTCGCGCTTTTTCCGGCAACGTCAGAGGGGCTGGGGAAACGATGTACAACGACATCCCAGTATACGACGACAGACATGATGATGTCGTATGGGAGGGCCGACGCAGAGATGCATTTGGCCAGGGGACTCAGCGAGATCGTGGTGGATTCAACGCTTCGGACGATTATGAATACCGTGACCGTCCTCGTCGAGCGAACACCTGGGCAGACGACGTGTACGACCGACCCGCTGCAGGGTTGGGCCGATCCCCGACCACAAACCAGGCCGACAGCTTTGATAGGTTCGGCGGCCGCAGTCGAAGCAACACCGCGCCATATGAGGATGATTACGTCTACTCTGACAGCAGGCCCACTCGCCCGACAGCACCGAAGCCGGTCTTCGCGCAGCATACCGCTCAGGCTGCCGCTCTGCGATCAGATCAGGCTATCGCCAAGTTCACGTTCGATGCGGACCAGGAGGGTGACCTGGGCTTCAAGAAGGGCGACATCATCACGATTCTCAAGCGCACGGACAAAGCAGAAGACTGGTGGACAGGGCGTATCGGGGACCGGGTCGGTATCTTCCCAAGGTGAGTCCGCAAACATAGCGACAGGAAGAGGATTTGTTGTATTGACGCAGGACTTAGCAACTATGTCGATGCGGTCTAGACGGTCGAGGACCTTTTTTTAAGTCTGCTTGACGCAGCATGATATTATTAACGAACCAATGATCAACCTCCCAGTGTACGAACCGTCCTTCCGTGATGCAACGGTATCTCTCAGATCGGACCAGGACACGTCTCTTCTTCTTTTCTGTCACTTTTCTCAATACAGGCGCCGGAAGTTTTTGTCAAGTTTTTTTTGGGATCCATGCGCCACGAGTCATTGAAAGCAAAATTTCGCATGGTTTTTATTGTAATGAGCTTCGAGGAGGCTCATATTCTCCCATCGTTGTCATAAGCATATTCCATATCCTTGCCTCTTCTCTTCCTTTCATAGTCTTCGGCTCGTCTACGGTACCTTATTGCAGTTTTTTGATCCTTAAGATGATTGCGTGGATTTGATTTTTTTTTCCCCTTTTTGGGTTGTTTCTCCTAGGGGTATTGTTATATAGCATCGATGCCTCACATCGTAGGCTTTAACCATTGTCAAATGCATTGTGGAAGGGTCTGCTTGTCAATCACAAAGTAGTTTACTGGGTGGACCTCTGGCATGTTGCACCCACTGAATAAGGCATGTTGATGACCGTGTCCCAGGCAGCTGGGTCTCAGCAGGTTTGATTATACTGATGACATATTTCTGCATACCATCTGCATACCATTGTTGCATGAAGCATTCTTGGAGCGATGAGCGAGGCACAAGACCTACGCTCTATATAGTATATACTGTATCGGTCGTCGGATGAATATAGAGAGAAGAAAAAGGGTCCATGCTTGCGCCTTGAATTCCTTCGGGTCTATCTTTTCTCCTTAAAACTATGACTATTGAATATTGATTGATCTGATGGGGATCACCTGGATAGAGTTCTACAGAATCGGCACGAGGGGGAATAACCCAACCTTGCACATGAGCTGATATCTACTCGACAGGGTTTCAGACTCGACAGTTCAGCAGTTCAGCTATACTCGTATATAACTGTAAAAACCATTGGGAGTCCTGGTCGTGTTAACTCTTTGTCTTTGTCGAGAATAGGGACATACTCCCTCTGTAGTGGAAAGTGGTTTGCGATCCGACTTTTAAGGAAATTGAGTGGAGCAGTGGTTGGCATAATTAAAGAATAAACTATGATTAGAGGCTTGCAGTTGGACAGTGGAGGATGGGCATAAATCAGAATGATCTGGAATTATGGATAACTACTAGGAGACTACCTAGATATTAATAGACAGACAGACAGGTTCATAGATATACTTGCACAGCTGTACTTACTTACTAGTGAAGTTGGAGTTGGTAATTCCTCCCCTCTCTCCCAGTCCCTGAAGGTATGCAAGTCCTTTATAGAATAGTGCATAGGGTAGTAGTCCCTTGCTATTTAGATTCCCCATTGCATATTAAGAAAAAGAAACGTCATTTGGTTCCCCCATTTGAAACTACTACTGTTAAATAGTAGATAGATATTCATCATCATCATCATCATCATCATCATCAAAGTCTTGAAAAGAAGTCCCCCATACGCAGCACACTAAGGGACAATGCCAAGTCAGATTAGCTGGTTCGTTCTATCTCTCTTACCTCCGCTGCCTTAACATGATCGACTAGTGAACTTTTTCCAACTGAACTCTCGTCTGCTTGCTTTACAATTCAATCCCCCGTATATTGTGTCAACTTTTTTGTTTCGTCTCTCTCTACGACCATCGCACGCACTTGCTCTCCCCCTGCTCACTAGACGTTGTGGATAGCTGGATGCCTGGCTGTCCTCCTTTTCTTTCTTCTTCTTTTCCTTTCTCCTTCTCGAGCTCCCTGGTGGATGTTTTTTCCCCTTCTTTTCTCGTGTTCGACGCTGCTCCTGCTTCTTCCCCGCTTCCATGATCATCCTTCACTGTCGCTCGGCCTAGGTGCTTGATATTGCCTGACTTCCCTCTCCACGAGCCAAGTTCCCCTGTCGCTCTTGGGCCCTCAGTCAAGAATTCGGGAAGATCGAAACTTGTCAGGCTTCCGGTTTAATTGCTCTGATGCAGGTACGTTTTGCATTTTCTCTGCCTCATTGATATCCAGCATCACGCCTTCTATCCCTTTCCCCTTGGTCGTTCCAGCCATTCTTCCTCCAACCACCCCCCCCCAAAAAAAACCCCCCATGGACCTCAACACCCACTTCGGAACCCCATGGATGTCCTCTTGCATTTATCTTTTCTGGAAGATTTGTCATCGAAAGAAGCTTCTGTGTCTAATTGTTCCTTCTGTTCCTACCAATCCAGGCTTCAACGAGCCCCTCTGAAACTGGCAGAGGATACGCGACACGGAGAGGCCATGTGCCTCAATTGTCCATCAGTGACCCGAGTCACCATGTCACGGAAGCGATCGGTCATATGTACGAGGACGATTACGACCGACAGGACCCAAACCGTCTCAGTTTTCTGTCCTCCCCAGTGAGCGAGAACATATCGATCATACCCCCCAGCCTCGCTGGGTCCGAGAACCCCTCCTCACCGCAATCGCTGCAGGTACAGAATCACTTAAATACAGTCAATAACCGTCAGGCAAATGGACAGCCGTCACGGCCGCCGTTGAATCCTTCCCAATCCTTTGATCGAGAGAGCAGCAGCCCGACGTCTCCCGGCTCGACCGACACCGCCACGACCTCCTTCCCTCTAAACGATATCGACTACGAGTCCAATCCGGCTGCCGTGGCTCAGGAACTCAGTAACCTCGCCGCGATCCGTCGGATGTCTATGGATGTGGCAGCCGCAGGGGATCCTGATCTTCCGAGTTATGGCTCCAACGTCTCCGTGCCGTCAATAGCCCCCTCCCCCTCCGCCGACGAAAATGACGCCTCCCGTCTCTTCTGGGTCCCAGCTCGCTTGCACCCGGAGCTGGCTCCTAAAGAGTTCAAGTCATTTCTCGAAGGCAAAGCGGAGCAGATACATCGAAAATCGGGCGAGTTCTCGCCCTCCGGTTTCGAGCGAGAAGGATCGGCCGGGTCGCTTCGGCGGAAGAAGTCCATGTTGTCGAGGCAGATTGATAACTCCCAAGGATACACCGATGGTGCTGAGCGTCTCGAGCGGAAGCGATCGCAAACGACGAGCAGTGCTTTAGGCCCTAACTTGCTGCAGCTTGAGTCGTTGGTCGATGACTCGAAAGAGCACGACTCGGCCGCTGCGCCTCTCGTGAATGGAGTCCAGAAATTCGCCATATCTACGGACGATGACATGCCAATCCTTCCTCCAGCTCCCCCAGGCCACAGCCTCCGGCGCTCCACCCGCACACAGTACAGGAAAGCTGGAAGTCTACGGAAGGGAGAGAAGCTTCCGTACTCGAAGAGAGTTGCCAAACCGTCCGAGCTGAATGACCGAGTCCCATCGATAATCACCACTCCTGCAGACGAGCCCACCCTGGGGTTGACCCGTGTAGCAACCGATCCCGCCCCGACGACAAAACGAGCGCAAGCCGAGGTCGATGCCCCTGACGAATCGACAAGGAATCAAGCAAAGGTTGGTAGCGAGAAGGATAAGAGTCGGTCGGACACGGATCCCTCAGGTATAGCGAGTGCACCCCCCCACGGACGTCATGCATGGCATTCCCGTATCAGCTCCAATGGTCGGTCAACCTTGAATCTTCCACCCACCGAGCAACGGGTACCAGAAATTATTGAAACACCCCCCGCTGAGTCTGATCCAGTCTCTACGACACCCACCACGCCTACGACGCCTAAGACGCCTACCTTCCAATCTAGCCACAAATCAGGACTGGATGCATCGTACGATGCGTCGCCAGGACTTCCTGGCAAGGATTCCCCCGTTCAAGCTCAAGATGTCAAACCATCAAAGCGATCCGCATCCGCGCGACAGATTGTAAAGGAAGGATCGAAGACGCTCAACGACCTCGCCAACAACCCGCAGCCACTTCCCGGAAACACAATGCGAACGGACAGCCTCTCATTCATCCCTACGATGACGGAAGATCGGAAACCGGAAACCAAGAAATCCAAGGATAAAAAAGAGAGCGACGGTGGCCGCAAGTCGAGTTGGCACTGGCTGCTGGGCTCTGAGGAAAAGGAGAAAGAAAAGGACACAAAGAAGAAGGACAAGGACAATGAATCCAAGCGAAGCAAATCGAAGTCAGTAGACAAGACTCATCAGTCTGTACACACGTCCTCAACCAACGAGATCAGCCCGCGCGGGCGCGAAAGTATCACTCCGGATCGACTCGACCCGAAATTGGAGGAGGAGCGCCGGAAGGACAGTGTCCGACGCACTTCTGGGGAGTCGAAAAAGGACAAGGAATCCGGTCTGTTTTCGTCGATTTTTGGCGGTGGAAGAAAGAAGAACAGTGGCGATAGCCATCATAAGAAGAGCGCATCGCGGACGTTGTCCCCTGAGCCCCCGGCGCGCGAGCAACGGCCAGATGTCGACTATCCTTGGACCCGATTTTCCATCCTGGAAGAGCGAGCCATTTATAGAATGGCTCACATCAAGCTGGCCAACCCTCGGCGGGCGCTCTATTCGCAAGTTCTGCTCAGCAATTTCATGTACTCTTACTTGGCCAAGGTCCAGCAGATGCATCCACACATGATGCTCGCATCGTCCGGGTCGCAAAGGCAACAACAACAGCCACAACAGCAACAACAACAACATTCGCGGGATCAGCCGGAGGAGTATTCACAATATCAGCGATATCAAGAAGTGAGTGATACCTCGATTCTGACGATTTGCAGGTGTCAGGTTGTTAACACCAATAGTTCCAGTCTCAGCAGGAGCAGCAGCACTACAACGATAGCTCGTACGACGACCCTCAGATGTACGAGTACAATGACGATCCGCGCGATGCCCACCGGCCGCACTCGAGGGGTAGTAAATATGAGAACGGGAATGCATATGGTCCCGGACATCACCAACATGGACATTCAGCCGTTGGTGACGATGCCCAACTGGATGATGATGATGACGAGATGTGGTGAACAGGAAACAGGAGTACTGTGACTTTTACTGCTACTACTGTTTGTTCTTCTGCAGCGCACGAATACCCCTGCTTTTGTCAACTCTCGTCCTTCTTAGACTTGTATACTGAGGCCCTTTCCTTCCCGTCCTTTCTCTTGGGTTTTCCGTTTGCATCCTCATTTTATATGGTCACAGAAGTGGAGAGAGGACATCACTTCCACAGCTTTCTTGCACACTATTTGAACCCTGTGTGTATATTGCGGGTCCCCCTGGGAGACTGCGGCAGTCTAGTACTTGATGTGACTTTTGTTTCTTTTCTCATGTCCTTGTTGTGGTATTTAGGTTCTTGCACTGTTTGCACATTGACTCGATATATTAGCATAGCGTCTGGGGTTCTTCGCTTCTCAATCCGGGTCCACTTTCATCTAGCGTGTTTGTCGATAGGGCTTTGTACTGAACTGCGATGGGCCATTGATTCTTGTGATTAGATGAGTTTCTACTCTGATGAATAGATATCAAGAACGACTTTGTAGTTGGTAACTCGTGACTGGGAGTCCGCATCAATCACGTGACGTCTCCCTCTCCAGATTTCCGCGTCATCGCTCGAATTGCCTCGGAGATGGTGTTGCTGCTCAGCGCCAGCTTTCGATCGTATCCTCCTCGCTCACCAGGTCATTTCACCAACTGCAAACGTTGATCACTAGCCATACGCCTCAGACAGAAACCAGAACCAGAACCAGAACCACATCAAGAAGCAGAAACCGAACCCCAAGTCCCAAACCCAAATCCAAATCCAAGCAGCAGAGAAAATGGGCGACGCCTACGAACGCGAACAGTACGATTCCGATTCCTCTCTCCCCGTTTTCCATTAAGAAAACAAGCTAATAAGGGGGGGGGTGTGGTTTTACAAATAGACAAAACAACGCCCTCCTCAACTCGCTCTCGAGCAAAGTCTCCGCGCTCAAGTCCGTGACTGTTGATATCTACGATAATGCGCGGGATCAGGAGACGCTGGATCACTCGGTCCGTTCTTCCTTTTCTTCCCCCCCCCCCTTGGTACCCTGAGAGGGCGGAGAGGCTAATATGCAATGGGATGGGGGTGCGGTGAAACAGAGTCAGGTGTTCTCGTCGCTGTCGACGAATTTAAAGGGCAGCGCGAACCGGTTGACGCGGATGGCGAGGCAGGGGGATACGGTTGCGGTGTTGAAGGTTGCGGGGATAGTGGTTGGGGCGGGAGTTTTGCTGTGGATGCTGCTCAGGTGGATCTTTTGAGGTTCGGGGTGCTGTTTCTGTTGCAGTTGATGTTTGCTGAGGGGGATGGGGGAGTTGATCTTGCGGGCTCAAGATTGATTGATATGGATTATTAGCGCTTTGGGGGGGGGTTTGTTGTATAGGGCTGTTGTGAGGCTTGGTTTTTTCTTTCTTCTCTTTTCTCTTTCTTTTTTGTTGTGTGAGCGTGGGTATAGTATCTGGGACTCTGCTCCTCCAGTCTGTATAGTGTATGGGTATGGGTATGGGTATGTTTAATATATGGGACTTTGCGCTTTGTTACTTGTTTTAACTTTTGAGGCGGAATCGTCAACTTGCTATAGTGATGGTTGAAATGCCAACGGATAGGACAGTTTAGCCCCCGAGATAAGTAGTAGTAACCATGGTTCTGTCATCAACGGCCCTCGATCGACCATATCAAAAGGGATGAATCTGATATCTGGCCTACTCGGAAGTCGGAAGACAGGGGAGTGTCTCCTATCTACTCTCTCGACCATGTAGCCAAGTTCCAGGCTCACTTGCCATCTCATCCCAATCAGATCCAGTGAATAGTCGAGGCATTTCCCTCTACGCCTTGATTTGATACCTACCTGGACTACTCCAGGCCTTGCACCATCACCACCAGCTACCTACTCCATAGGGAGGCAGATACCTCAACGCCGACAGTCGTCACGCAACACCGCCAAGGCACAGACACAGACACAGACAGCCACTGACCTAGATGGCGGTGACGCCGAGCGAATCAGCGCCGATGCATAAGCCGTGGCTGGTTATCACTTATCAAGTATCATCCCCTGGTTCCTCTTCAAGCTCAGCTCACAGCTAGGCTGGGATATCGCTACTGGCGGTTGATTGCATTGAGATTCGAGGTTCGAGAGTACCTGGATGGCTACCTAGACTTGGAGGGTGGGATGGGATCAGGATGGTCGAGGTCTAGAAGGTATCGGACATACGCTGGGAGGATAGGTTGTACATACTTACTACGTACAACCTTACCTGGATCCTAGGAGTTGGGACCTTGAACTAAGTATTTAGGTACTACTCTGTAGTCTGTAGATAGATAGGACGTAACTAGATACTATATTCGGGTTGGATGATCGACAGAAGAGATTTTTCCTCATCCTAGCAGGGTTCCGACTTTCTAGCTCGAGGATGTTTGAAGAAGGACAAGGACAGGGGCAACGGCCCGGGTCAGTACCTCTTGAGTCTTGAGAGTCGACTCGGAAGTCGGAAGAGAGAAAACTCTCCCCATGATAGGTGCAGGAGCATGATTCATGGTGTTATTATTGGCTGCAGAGCAGGTCATCGTCTTGTCAAAGTGGGGTGATAAGATCCTAGTACCTAAGGTACCTTAGGATCTCAGTACCTGCTACCTAGTATCTAGTACCTACTCCGTAGTACCTACCTATCTGCTATGCACCTGGTAGGCTTTCCCAAGGTAAAAGGTCTCCTGCCAGACGCCAGCGTGATGGGCTGTACCTCTGACACTTCGGATAGCTAACTACCAACGAACCCTCAGATAATGCAAGTAATCCTCCCGGCCAATTAATGCATCTCATCGAGTCTGTGCTCACCCGTTGAATCCTCCAGCGTCTCACCACCAGCAGTAATTGGCTGTATGCAGCGAAGTAATTAATTCCCTTGAGACTTGGGCAGCCAGTAACTATAGAAAGATGGATATCATCATTCCGGAGCAACCAGAGTTCGAGTTTGAGGAGGGCCAGGCTGGCCGCCATGCCCCGATCCCGACTTTTATTTTCTTTTCTATCTGTTGAGTCAGAGTGCCACCGACAGTGACTGTGACATTTTCCGATAATCCAGTAGACCACTACATAGTAGTATCTATCGGGAATCCGGGCAAGTAGTTCCAGCGGAATCTGTAATCTGTTTGGTCCAAGTGAGAGACCGATCGATCATTATTGAAGAGTGCTACAGTCTACACTCCTACTAGGCTACTAGAGTAAGAGCTGATAAGGGTGGGTAAACTGGTGAAAATTTGGAAATGGACGGGCCAACAACCCAACGAGTCAAAACCACACCGGCGATCCGCTTGTTCCTGGTTACGGGGCTGGGTTGGTCGGTCGCTTCTAAGGTCTAACGCTCTAACCGAGTTGGCTCGGCATGCCGAGTTGTCGCCCCCCCTCCCCCCCTGCAAACTACTAACTAACTGAGGCCAGTTGCGAGGGCACGTTGCACAATGCACACGCCATCGGTGTGCCGTCCTCCGTATCAGGTTTCTAGACCGTGGACGCTGAACCAAGATTTTTTTGCCTGGTGTGATTTTTAGGCTAATCTGGGTAAGTGGATACTAACTACTGACTACTGACTACTGAATACTGGCAGCCTAAGTCTATAATAATATACAGAATACAAAGTATCTACCTAGTATCTACTATCTAGAAACCTGTCGTCGATTCGGGTGACGAGGATTGTAGTCGTATAGAGAGTAGGTAACTTTACTTCTGAGGATTGTAGCGACAAGGAACCGACAGCGTACCAAGTCCTAGTTGATTGATACCCAACACTAACAGACAGATCAACGCCAGTATCACTACTACACAGTATATTGCCTGTAGAGGCCCAAGTCCAAGTCCAAGTGCCAGCTTCAGGGTTTATCTCTTCAGACTGAGGGTTCTAGAATCTAAAGATGTTCACCGAATCAACTCTTGAGGACTCGGCAAAAGGAAGATGGGTGGAATTGCGAATTCCCTCGGTGGGTCGACCGGGTGGGTCAGAGCTAACAATTGCTATTCTCTTTTTTTTTGGCCCTTTTCATTTCATTTCATCTCCAAGGGTACTCCGTATGATAGTGATAACCTCAAGCTGTGAGGTCATTGCTTGCGCCAGGGTATACGTCGCGTCGACCTTGCAGGTTTACTTCCAAAAAACCCAACAAGCGGTCTAGGCTACTGTTTTTTTTTTTTTCTCTATTAAACCACTATAGAGTATCGACACCGGGCTACCTCATTTGTAAGAGGCAGGGGTTGAAACAATGAGAACGAATGCGACGGTTTTGATACTGATGGTAGTTAATTCAGATTGATCTCCTGTCGCCATTCGCGAGATTCCTAATGTGGGTATGAGAGGGCGATCATTACGGGACGGCCAGAAGTCAGGTAGGAGGCTAGGAGCTAGAGGCTTAGAGAGTAGAAACTAGAAACCCTTAAGGTCCCGGACTCCCGACTTCCGGCTGAGATTGTGGACTGTGGGCTCGCTACCATCACCATTAAGTTATTATTAACCATGTCAGTCGAGGTAGTATGAGTAAGTAATCGGAGAAATAGGTATTCTCCCCGATCACACACGTATTCGAGTCATTTCAAGTCCTCGAGGTCATCATATACAGCGTACATCTCTGTCGAATTGAACAGGGATGGTGCAAATTGCAAATTCATGTGATAGCTTACTAAGAGCCAGCATGAGGGGGAAACCTGCAGGCTTCTCATGCCGCCTCCATGCAACAGCTAGCTGCAAGCTCCAATCCTCGGGATGATGAAGAAGCATATGCATCCTGCAGCAGTCCTGAAGCCGATCGTGACGACGATCACGGTCACTTCGGACCAAGTCTGGAAAGTTGGCCGGCAACCCAGGGTCCCTTCAGAAAGCTTGACGGCGACAGAGGTCTCCGAGGCTTGACCGCTTGAGAGTAGAGAACAGACATAATAGAAATTGCCTCATTTTTACTGCAAAGGTACTCTGTAGTAGTCGTTTTAGGCTTTCCTCTGGAGAATGACAGTGAGATAACGACCGGAGTATCAAACGCCAATGGCAATATCGATGTCGATGGCTTTCTTCATGCTTATCATAATTTCATTCATGATTTGACGATGAGATTGGTCAACCGATCAGGCCATCAGGAAGAAGTACCTACTAGGAACGGGGAGCTAGGAGTAGGAACACATGATCGATGTCTGCATTCTGCACCCTCTGTAGCTTCGAGCGCAATCGATTAGGATGTTGCAGGGCCGCTCAAATTGCAGTGGAGGATCATTTACCCAACTTTGCCATTCAATATCAAGAAGAGCTATATGTATTATTATCTATGAATGTATGCATAGCAGCAGTGGATCTTTATCTGAGAAAAAAAAAAAAAAAAAAAAAAAAAAAAAAAGCAAAATAAGAAGAAGAAAAAAGCCATTGCCGCTTGATTAAACATATGCAGTGTAACCTGCGGTCCGCGTACGACGAAAAGATCATGCCAGCGCAGCGCAGGTTGACAGCTAGTTGGTCGGGGAATTCTCGAGGACATGAGATGGATGATAGTTGGAGGGATTACTACGGTCGATCCTGAGGTTGTCACAATAATGTCTAACTCTACGGAGTATCACCTACACGGTCTGCTACTGGTAATCACATTATCAACATCGGGTCCAGGTATCAAGGCTTGGCTGGCGGATGGACGGGAACAGGCTAACAGCATATATAAGGTAAATGGCTTCTAGAAACCGGCTCAAGGCCAATCATCCAGCACCAGGGTGGGATCTTGTGATAAATAACGCCCGTATTAGAGTTGACGGTGATCCCTTATATTATGAGACCAAATTCGAAATCCCACCGGATAACCGGACTCCCATTACGGCAGACTAGGCCTCTTGGAGATACACCTAGCGATCTCTTGCATCTTGATGAGTGATGAGGGGGGGATGGTGTATCATTTGTGAATAAACCTTACCGATTCCCTTTACAATTTACATCCATCATCCATCCATAGGTAGTGACTGTGTAGACGGAATTTATTCCCAACACAAATTGGGGGATTTAATTACCATTTCTCAGTGTTTCAATATCGTGTCGAGGAAGGCCGTTCAGTCCGTACTTAATTCGGCCTCTCGCTCGGTCTGTCTTCTCTCTTTCTTTCTTACAAAGAAAGACACCTACTCATCCTCATCCTCAGTCACCTTCTACTTGGACTTTGACTTCTACCTGCCTACTGATAGGTACTACTCATTATTCTCTGGTATGTTTCTGACGTAACTACTACACATATCCAGATCAAAAAAACCAAAAGATGTGGTTTTGATCCCAGTTATCTGTTTATTTGTTGGGGACTGTTGTTTATTGCATTCTTTGTTTTCCTTCTTTTTCATCTTCACGCATCGGTGTCTCTGGCCGGATATAGACATATCCTCCTCCTCATCCGTTGTCTTGGCCTCTCTCTCTTTCTCCTTCTCATCGCTTATCGTGATCGATACTATCATACACCCTGGATACTGATTTCTTCGGCCATGGATTAAGCAGACATCTAGTTACATACTGCTCGTCATCGGCTTAGTCAATTCCGAGCTGATTGATCCATTTATCGCATCATCTCTGGTTCATCCAGAATAAACAACCTCAGGACAATCCGTTTCAAGCAGACCCGCCTTGCCACTCTTCCCGCCCCAAAGAAAAAAAATAAAAATAAAAATAAAAGGAGCCACCCTTTTTCGGTCAGACGGTGACGGAAACGGCTGATTCTTTTTTTGTTGGCGCTTTGGCACGTACCAACTACCAAGTACCAACTATCTCTATCTCCCTTCTATCTATCTAACACGCCCCCCACCCACGACCACCACCAAGCACCTGCGCCAACTCCGAATACTGTGACCCAGTCGATCATTGGCAGACTTCTATCTCTTGCGCCATATTTCGCTCTATCTCTGTGTCATCATCTTTCTTTTTTTTCCCCTTTTTTTTTTATCTGGGATCGCTTGATTATTATTTTGTTTGATTATCTATCTACGGACGATCTCCTATCTTTTCTTTTTTTTTTTTTTTCTTCACTTTTTTTTTAATTAAAAAAAGAAGAATCGTCGTCTGTGAGATACAGAGGGGTACTTCTCCTCTCTCCATCACCCTCTCCTCATCTTCTCTCACATCTTCACCCCTCGCTGTTTTCGGCCTCTCTTTCTCAGCTGCCTTGTCGCAGCTGTTGGTGGATTCGTCATGGCTCTTAGCTTCTTCAGTGGCGGAGGCAGTGCGAGTTACGCAAAGTACTTCGATATCCGGTAAGCCATTGCAATGCATTGTCACTTTCGAATGATTCCAGCTAACCCGCCCCCTCGCTCAGATTGGATGAAGGTTATATTGTATTTAGAGGAGGAGAGCAAGAGGCCGCCAGTGCCCAACTCAGTGGAAAGCTACTTCTATGTCTATCGGAGCCTCTTGCTGCCAAGCACGTTAGATTGAACCTCACTGGCATCTCGCGAGTATGGTAAGTAGCCAATTTCCCCCAACGAGGGGCTCGGTGCACATCTCGCTGACCCTTTTTTTTTTTGCCCTGCAGTTGGCATCTCCCATCAGGTTCGGCCAGCGGTAGCAGGAAATCGTGGAGGGAAAAGGTGTTTTATGAAAAGACCTGGACCTTCCGGGACGCCGGCAAGAGCAAGACCGAGGTCCTCGCTGCGGGCAACTACGAGTTCCCCTTTCATGTGATTCTGGAGGGCTCGATGCCGGAGAGCGTCGAGGGTCTCAGTGATACCTACGTGACCTACCGCTTCAAGGCGGAAATCGGTCGCAAGTACGCCAAGGATATTGTCGTGAGGAAACCGCTGCGGATTATTCGGACCTTGGAATCCAGTGCGCTGGAGCTGTCTCATGCGATGGTGAGTGGATACTTATTGTCTCGAACTCTCGAGTGTTTTCTGGACGGTTCGCTGACTGCGCCCAGTCCGTGGAGAACATCTGGCCCAACAAGATTGAGTATTCGATCAGCACGCCGACCAAGGCCGTCATCTTTGGAACCAGCCTTCGGGTGGATTTCAAGTTAATACCCCTCCTCAAGGGCCTTAAGATCGGACAGATCGTCTCTCAGCTCATTGAGAGCCACGACCTGACCCTCAACCCGGAAGATCCCGATTCCATCCGCAACACATACAAAAGCACCAGGACAATTGTCAGCGACGAATACGAGTTGGATGACGAAGGCAGCCTCGAAATCATCGACGAAGAGGCGGAGGGGTATCAGTTTTCCCGGTATTTGGACCTTCCTAAGACCTTGACGCGCTGTCTGCAAGACACGGATACTCGGGGCATCAAGATCCGACACAAGTTGAAGTTCCGGGTCCAGCTGCTGAATCCTGATGGTCACATCAGCGAGGTATGTGTTGTCTCACCGCTTAGGATCTGGGGGGAGGTGGAAGATGCTGACAACCACAGTTACGAGCTACTCTCCCAGTCTCCATCTTCATTTCTCCCAACCTTGCCATCGATGAAAACAACAACCTGGTCGACCAGACCCCCCAGACCGCCCGGCGAGCGGTCGACGATATTGCTCAGCAGGCGCCTCCCCTGTATGGCGAGCACCAGTTCGATCAACTCTACAGCGAAGTCGACCCCAGCGGCTACCGGACCCCCGGACCGGGCAGTGGACCAGGCACTCCTTTCGGTGCCCTCAGCCGGAATATATCCTCAGAGAACCTCGCGTCGATGAACGCCTTGACCAGCACCGACCTCTCTGTCTCTGCCTTGCAGACTCGATTGTCCAATCTGCATGCGAGCCGATTCAGCAACCCCTCGCCGACCGAAATCGATAATCATGCCGACAGTGAACAGCGACGCCTGGGCATATCGACGGCCGACTACTTTGGCCCTTCCTCCGGATCCAATTCGCACAGCCCCGCAAGTCCCGAACTCTCCCGCAGACCTTCCGATGAAGGATACCGCGATCACGACCACATCCCCTCGGGCATGGCCACTCCATTCCACCCTCAGTATGCGGAGGTCGAGACGCTCAGCCGGGTCCCCAGTTATTCGACCGCCATGCGATCCACTGTCCGTCCATGCGATAGCGAACTGCCAGACTACCAGGCTGTGGTCGCGGAGGATACCGCGATGCCGGCACTGCAGTCCCCGCAGCAAGCCTACATCCGCAGCGCCGGCCGGGGGACCTCGATGAACACGGGAATTGACGTCCATCAACTTCGCTCCGGGCATTTCAGTTCGCGGACTTCGAATTCACATGATGAAGAGGATCGCCGGCTCCGACTGGTCCAGGCCCGGGCCAGAGTTTAAGCCTTGGTTAAATTTCTTATTGTCTTCCGCCCCCCCCCCCCGTTCGTTATTTGTACGACCACCGCCCCGACACGGCCCTCTCCTCCTCTCCACTGCTCTCCTGGTTTCTCTCGAAACCATGCATTTAACTCGTACGAGATGCGTAAGAACGCATCTAATCAGTTGGATCAATCCCCTAATTTTACGCTCTCATGTTCGAGGCCTTTTGCGCTGGACGCAGAAGATCCCATTTTGCGTTCCCATTTCCGACACGATCTGTTCTTAATCACATGTCCATATATTCATTAGACCGGGGGGTTGGAGTTTTTTTTTTTTTTTTTTTTTCCTATTTCTGCTTTTGGGGCGTTGATATTGAAGGGATGACAAATAGACGGATCAGGCACGATGGACCTACATATATACGAAGCTTTCTTTGGAGATAATGATACGAATCAAAAAATATCACGAGCCAGCTGGTCACACGGATCAGCATGAATTACGCATATGATGTGTTTCCTTTTGAGTCTTGACAGTATCCCCCTACTATCCATCATCTCCTCTGTACTGAGTACTCCGTAGTTTCGGCAGAATCATCGCTACGTAAGGGTGGTGTCCCCCCCCCCCGTGGCCCGGGAGCTGATTTCCCGATCGGGTCGACATCTTGTGGCTTGGATTGAGTGAAGTTGGGGCTCGGGGCTACATTCCGCGGGAACTTGGAAACTTTTTTTTTTTTGGCCATCCAGGATCTCCAGCCTACCTAGACTCAATACTCAATAGACTATGGATGGGCAATCGAATCGAATCTAGAAAGTCCAGATTCCGGCGTCACCGACGGAAGAAGGACAATTCCGAATATTGTGCAGAGATGATGTCGCTGTGGCTGGATGGAAATCAGGTCTGGTTTTTTTTTTTTTTTTTTTCTGTAGACTGTAGACTGGTCTCCCAAATCCAATTGAGACAGGATGGTCATTGTGGCGATAAAACCCGATTGACAAAAAAAGCTTATCGCCTCTTGTAATAATCCCTGGAAAGAAGAATTCGGTTCGATCATTAGACAAGAGAGATTGCTGCAGAACCCGATACTTCTTGATATTCATACCCAGAGATCGGAGGGTCTTTAGTATGATAACAGACGTGGCTGAAATTGAATACCAACAGACTGGTGATCTAGGGCATAGATTTTATATATGAGATGATGTAAAACGAGGACCTGGTTAGCTTTGCCATTCCACTTGACTAAGGATGCAGATATAGACTAGATACCTGCCCTTCTTGTGACCTCCAGTACTTTGTATACTCGGTCTCTATTTGTACCAGCCTAGAATTTTATATAAATACCATCAAGGTGCTATCATGGAAACCCATGATAGCATGACAAGGTGATTGTTAGGTGACTACCAGTACTACTACCTGTCATGTGATAGGAATTATCTTGAATTCTTGATGCTTATACTCTGTATATCTTATTATTTAAAGGGGGTGATTCCAACAACTTCCTACCCACAGTCCCACACTACTTTATTGAACTCCAGCACTAATGAGTACTCTCTCATCTTTTATAAGATATTCTGCTGCAGACAGACTGCATGATTCTCCCTGACAAGCTATACAAGACAGACGCTGAGCCGAACAGATTCAGGACTCCTCGTCTTACTCTTACTTGATACCACTATTGAAACATCATCTTCACAATCGCGCGGGATGCCGATGATCCCCAGACACAACCATGCATCATTCACTGGGACCCTATTGAGGATGGATTTGGCCAGCCGGGGGTGTAATGCTAGTGCATTCCAATTATGACTTCACAAAGGACCTGCAACCCATTCAAGTCAACTCAAACCAGCGGCGGGCAAGGGATTGGGGACACTTTCGAGATCATGAAAATACTGTGGTGTGGATTGATGGCAAGGTCCGCGATCTGAAAGATAATGGGGGCTTGGGATGCTTATTTTGGCTACTATGTCACGTGACCATTAGCATAGCAGCAATATGATACAAGTCAACAGAGCACCAATCTGGCATTTCAGAGCGTCGCTATGAAATACCAGATCAGCACTCTGAATTATAAAGAGAGATAGATTATCCTAAGACTACACAGTACTACTGTGTACTACAGAGGGAGATGTCACCTGATTCTGTCATGTGACAGAGGGGAAGAGGGGAGTGACCTCATCACGCTTGGCGCTCTGCATCTGACGATCGCTTTTCCCTCTCTGTATAAATAACCACGACGACAACCTGTGATCTACACAGAGGGGTGTGGCCGTGTGGGAGTGCTGTCAAATCTCTTTTCATTATTTCATTATCATTATCATTATCATATCATCTGAGTCCTTTATCATCTCCCTGTGAGCGATTCTTAACACGCCATAGTATGTCTGCGTTGTACTTGCTTGCTTCTGCCCCACTCCCCTCTCCGATCAAGTCTGAGCATACAGAGTTAGTTCAACTAACGATCAACTAACGAAGTGACGAGAGCCCCTCCAGCTCGCTAGTTCGCACTTTGCAATATATCGCAGACAGTCCGAGTCTCTTGACTATCGTCTAGCTAATTTAACTAACTACGAAGTTACTACGTCCGTCTACACTACTAGTAGTTGATAGTTGATTCCAGACCTGCGTCTCCGTCTGTGTTTGCGTCTACTTCCCGACCTCCCTTTCCCCTCATTTCTTTCCTCTTCAGCAACGGCGCCCGCCCAGAGCGCATCCTCTCCCAACCCCTCACGCTGAAATATTTCACTGCAATTCCCAGACATCGACATGTCGGCTACGAGCAGTCCCGTGGAACAGAAACTCCCCCAGCGCTCGTCGACCCTGGCGAGTTCCCTCGGTCCGACCCGTCGGGCTTCGCTGAGTGACGACGAGGCGATCCCGGAATCGGATAGCAATGAGGTATGATTTCTCCGTTGTAGTTGGGGATTTTAGTAGTTGGGATGGGGGGGGGGGGGGTTTTTTCTCTTTTTTTTTCTTTTGCTGATCATGGCGCTGGCGCCATCGCAGACGACCAACCTTCTCCTCGAGCGGCTCCGGGCCTGGAAGCATATGTGCGGATACCTGGAGGATTATGTGGAGGTGACGGCCAAGGTGCAAAAGTCACAGGCGAAGGATTATGAGAAGGTTTTGAAGGTAAGGTTTCTCGAATGTTTGAGGAAAATTTGAAGGTGTACCGTGTATATGAAGAGATGCTAAGTAGTTGCGCATAGACGGTGAGCGATCCGTTGCGGGAGGGGCATCATTTCTCGCAGAGTGAGGGGGGCGTTGCGGGCTGGTTTGATAATATCCGCACCAACACCCAGGTATGTCGTTGTCCGTCCGATTTAGCAGTCGTTTGATCACTGATGGTTGGGGTGGGGTAGGGAATCGTGAATGGGTATCTTGATACGGAGAAAAACCTGAAGGGCTCCGTGCTGCCGAGCTTGGAGCGGCTTCACAAAGAGCTCAAGAACAAGTCCAAGGAGCTACAGAGCGGCGCCTCCAAGAGCGCCAAGGCCGTGGAAAAGGCTCGCGGCGTCACCCAGAAGCACATCGAGCTGCTGGCGACGCAGGTCGCCTCGTTCGACTCGACTGCCGGTAACCGGTTCGAGCACGCCCACGACCCGTATATCCTGCGTCGCGGCGTCAACCACCGCCTGAACAAACAGGTCATCGAGGAGAACAACAACCGCCAGGACATCATCGCCGTGCAGAACAACTTCCAGCAGTTCGAGGCCCATGTCCTCAGGACCGTCCAGACTGCGATGGAGCAGTTCAACGTGTTCATTGGCAACCAGCTCGATCGCCAACGCGCCATGTACAGCGACATGCTGGCCTCTGCCCAGCGAGTTCCCCCGGATTTTGAGTGGGTCAATTTCATCACCCGCAACGCCCACGCTCTGGTTGACCCGGATTCGCCCCCGCGATCGCTGTCCCACATCACTTTCCCCAACCAAGACCATCGCGCCACTGTGCCTCTCATTGAGGGCACACTGGAGCGCAAGTCCCGCGCCATGCTCAAGGGCTACAGCACCGGCTACTATGTCATCTCGCCGGCGCGATACCTGCACGAGTTCAAGGACAACGACGATTTCCGGCACGACCCTTCCCCCGAGCTCTCGCTGTACCTGCCCGACTGCGTGATCGGCGCCGTCGACGGCAACAAGTTCACCATCAAGGGCAAGGATGTCTCCGGCGGCAAGGTCGGCAACGCCTTCCACACCACCAGCGAGCTGAACTTCAAGGCCCTCACCCCGAGCGACGCGGAGAAATGGTGGACCATCATCCGGGACGCGGCCAAGGGACCCCCCGCACACAGCGCGCACTCCTCTCAGCCCACCAACCCCGTGGCAGCCGCGGGTGGCGCTGCTGCTGGTGCTGCGACCTCCAGCACTCCCACGGCGGTCACTGCTCCGGCCACTGCTCCGGCCACTGCTGCAGCTCCCGAAGGGCAGGCGCACCCGCCCGCTTATGCCGAAAAGGAAAACGTTGCCCCAGCTGCGGAGAAGACTCCGGCCGCTGCGGCGGCGGCGCCGAGCCCGACGACTCCGGTCACCGAGACCCAGGCTCCTGCGCCTGCTCCTGCTCCGGAGAAGCTGTGATGACTTGTTCGAGTGGTTTTCAAGCCTTGCGTATACCTTAACTTTGATGCATTTCTATCCTACGTTCTGATAGCTATTTCAAATCATGTTTATAAACGGCCAATTCCATAAATCCTCTATTAGTCTATACCACCACCCCACTGGGCATCTCCCTCATCCAAACTCCATTTCAACACCACAATCGACTTGACCCCCCCGCCCCGATTCTCCGGCACAACCGCCCAATCCTCCAGCTCCCACTCCAACCGAAACCCATTCTTCTCAAACACCCGCATACTCGCCGCGTTGTCCGCATACGCCGACGCCTTCAGCACGCGTGCATTCAGCCGCGGGATCGCCCACTCGCGTATCACCGCCGCAATCGCCGCCGTCATGATCCCGCGCCCGTGGTACGCCGGCGACAGATAATCTAGTCCCCCTTCGCGTCAGCTATCGTCCACCATCATCAACAGGGAAAAGGAAGGAGGGGAAAAAATACCGCCAAACCCCCACACGATCTCCTCACTCCCCGCCGGCCACGCCTCGTTGCGACTCACCGCCGCCGCCCGCTCGGCACTCCCCCGCTTGAACTCGTAGAACTGGTACCGCGAGAGCGAGATGTTGCCGATGAAGGTCCCCCAACCCCCGCCCGCATCCCCGCTGCCGGCGGCGGATGTCGATGTATCCCGGATACAAACAAAAGGCATACCATCGACGGCGTCGGGGGTGCCGGCGGCCGTGTCTAGCGCGCGGACGGCATCGTCGTAGGTGCGCTGGAGGTACTCGTCGGCGTGGGCGGCGAGGTAGGGGACGGGGGTGGATTCGAGGAACGGGTAGATGGCCGGGTTGTTGAGGAGGGCGAGGAGGGCGGCGCGGTCGGAGGCGTTGGGGGCGCGCGGCGGGGTGAGGATGATGTGTGGGTGGGAGGGGAGCGGGATGTAGGGTTCGTTTGTGAGGGGGTTGGTGAGGATGGGCATTTTGTTGGTGATGCCCTTCGGTGATGCTTGGGTGGTGTTACACGGTGGTTGTAGTCCCAGGGGGACAAGGGGATTAGGGGGGGGGGGGGGAAATGGGTTTTAACTATATATGCTGCTTGTGGTTGTGAGTCATTACGGTTCTACTGGAATGGTGAGGTGGTATCGACTTGTGAAGAGTCTTGGACTTGGATATATCGACTAGGTGTCTGGGTATCGCTTATTGCTCGATGTGGGTTTGAGTCATGTTGATGCCGATGGCGGCTGGCATCTGCCCTCCAGCGGAGTTCCGCCTCGTATTACATCCCGGGAGTTGTGATTAGCTTCCCCGGCGGCCCCATATCGATTTCTTGGCTGTGGATAATGTTGGTGAAATCTAGACTGTGATATTGGACACTGGAAAACACTGGAAACGGATTCTGGATTCTGGATTCTGGACAAGACGGAGGTGAGGTGCTCATATACAGTATGACAAGCCAAGAGGATATCACAAACAAACGCTTCAAAACATCAAGATACAGATACGAACAAAGGCAACATCGTACACGCTCGGAAACACAAATGCACATGGGAGATATCAGAAATCCTCGGGACTCTCGAGATCCTCTAGTTTCTCGCTCAGGAATCTGCCCAGCGCGGCGGCCTTGGACTCAAGCGCCAGCAGGGTAGATGGCGATGCCGAGAGATTCAGGCTTGCCAGGCGCGCGAGATCGCTACTCCGATCGATTGCGTACTGCGTCTCCAGCTCCGCGTCGGCTTGCGTGTGGGCTTCGTTGTCGTTGCGCGAGGTACCGCTCGGCGATGACGTCGCGTTCGCGAGAACCTGGCTGTATGTTCCGTTGGTGGGCGGCCGTGGTCCGTTCGAAAGCGAGTCAGTTGCCGACATTGCTTCGGCATCGATCCTCGCTGCCCCATTCTGGCTGGCTTGGGTGGCGGCCTCGTCGGCGGTATCCAGATTCGACGGACCTACCGCCGCAAGAAGGACTTTGTCCGCAATCCTGGTGACGACAGCGACCGAGTCGTCCAGCTCAAAGACAATAGAGCCCACGTCCCCCAGCGACACCGACTGAGCCGTGACGTATGATGACGGATGACTGGCCGGGTTCACCCCTGTCAGGTTCCCGCTTGAGGCGTTCTTGGCGTAACATGTGTAGGCGGCTCCGTACGTCGCGCTCAGGTTGCGCAGCTGCCGGGAGGAAAGGGACGACGCGTAAGCGAAGATGGCACCATTTGTAGCAAACACACTGCGGGAGCAACATCATCATCAGCACTCTGCAACTGGGGCCGTCCAATCAGTGCACATACAGGATAGAAGTGATTTCCGGAGGCGACAGATTATCCTCAAGCAGATCGCTGAGCGCCTCCGCATCGAGCATCTTGATGTTGGGGAGCCCGGGAATCATGGTGTCACCGTCGCAGTCGTGCTGGTCCGAATCACTACTGGTGGTGAGATCGTCTTCGGAATTCTCGTCGTCAAGGACCCAATTTGAAGGTGGAGACCAGGAGCAATCCTCGGGGAAGAAGAAGCAATTATCTTGGTAGTCTTCGTCCTCGTGATCGTATTCGATGGGTTCGTCGGAGCACTCGAGCAAATTCTGGGCGTATTTAATGTCACTTCGCGCCCAGTAGGGGAGATTTGGGATATCGTAGACTCCGGGAGCTTTCTTATTCGCTTGATGAGACAGAACTGGGAGTTGAAATTCAGCCATTTTGCTTTTGACAGTATTGATGCAGCGCGATGATCAAGTGAGCAGGACAAAAGACTATATATCACAGGCCGATGAATCACACCAGAAATGACTGTCACAAGGCAGCAGTAGCGCCGATGGGATAGACACCAGAAGAAAACAGTGTTCAGTAGCACAACAGATACACAACAAGAGGGGGAAGCAGTCCTTTTTATATCAACAACTCAGAAGAAGAAAAGTCATTGCCTGGGTTGCCCCCATTCCATCTACCGAAACAAACAGCCCCCTGCCCATCGCGGATACGAAGCTCACACGACAAGGCAGCCTCGAACCAGGTCGAGGAACGTGGGTAGTAAAGGTTGTGGGGGGAAGATACAGGGAAGAATGCGACAAGACATGTTTTTTTTTTTTTTTTTTTTTTTTTTACATAGCCGCAGTAAGACGTGAGAAAATGAAAGACAAGGAAGCTTCAAGGGGATAGGAGAATGCCAGCAAGAAAAAGAAAAGAAAGGCGGAACCGGGTGGGCTGAGATGGATGAAGCTCGGATGTCCAGCACAGAGCCTGAGGGGGGAAAGGGAGCAAGCGAACTAGGAGCAAAATCCACGGACCTTGGCAGATTGATCTCTGCAACGACCAGCGTTGGAAGTCGATGGATGATTGATTGATGGAAAGGTGAAGATGCAGGGAGGATATTAGTTGTCAAGATCGCATGGAGTATGGAGACGACGGCGGAGAGGTCGAAGCGCAAGTTGGTTCGAATCATTCATCCATTCATGATTGATTGATTCATGGCGGTTGGAGACGGAGGCGGAGAAAGCGCACCCGCTCTTGATGCCTGATATTTCAGGCAATAAGGCAGTCAGGCAGTCAGGCGGTCAAGTAGCTCCTCTGGAGCTTCAACGATCAACAACGATCACAACGTCTGTCAGTGTCCAGATCTCCGAGTCTGATATAACCTGGATCTGTTGAGAATTTAGTAGACACCCCTGGTATGAGTGATAAGGAGGTACTGTAGTGAAGAGACCAGCAAAACCAGCTGTTTCTCGGCCGATTTCAGAGGCACATCGAGTTCATTGCCCTCTGCTATCGTCGTAGTAGAGAATCACCTTGTCTCTGGTTGCTCAGCATCTTCCATTCAAGATGCATCGATCCCAAATCACCGACTTATTTCCGTGCAAGAAACGTCTCCATTGTTGCTGAACAATACAGTGGATTGACTTGTTGTTGGAGTCTTCCAGAATAGCGTCATACTTAGGCTGACCCCACCTGCACTTATCTCGGCCGTGTAAAAGATCTCAAGTATTCCCTAGGGCCTCTCGTATCCCACGTTTCTGCTCCTCCAGCCTTTTGTGCTTCATGTTCGCCCGTTCCTTTCCCTCTATCTTCCGTAATTCTTCTCTTAGGGCCCTCATCCCACGATATTCGATTCAATCAGGTATGCTCATATCCCCCCGTGCATTGACAAGGGCTTTCTACCCCACCTGCTCATTCATGATCTCATTTGCTAAGCAGCTGCTACAGGAACTACGAGATCACTGGCAACCATGGCGTCGGATCCCTCCAAGTATAAGCTAAACCGTTCGTGCCTCTTCGCTCCTCAATTTGCTATGATAGTCGGGAATCTGGAATACAGTCGAGTCTAACATGGCCCGCAGACACCATGATCCGGGTCAAGGACCCAAAGAGATCGGGTAGGTTGCTCCGACCTTATCCTTACCCATGGCTGCAGGATGGACACTAATATGACTTTGCTTTTCTGCAGTGGAGTTCTACAAATTCCTTGGCTTCAATCAGATCCAGCAGCTTGACTTCCCCGAAAACAAGTTCTCGCTTTACTTCCTCGCCTACAATGGCCCCCATTCTCTGCAAGGTGATCGTCACTGGACGGACCGCAACGCAGTGCTGGAGCTCACCCACAACTACGGCACCGAGAACGACCCCAACTACACCATCAACAATGGCAACGTCGAGCCCCACCGGGGATTCGGCCACATCGCCATCTCCGTCGACAATATCGAGGCGGCCTGCAAGAGACTCGAGGACGCCGGCTATCCATTCCAGAAGAAGCTCACAGAAGGTCGCATGAAGAACATCGCCTTTGCCAAAGACCCCGATGGATACTGGGTCGAGATCATCCCTCTTCGCAACCAGGCCGTCGATACCACGACGACGGATCCTGCCACCTACCGTCTGAACCACACCATGCTGCGGGTCAAGTCCGCCGAGACCAGCCTCAAGTTCTACCAGGAGGTCATGGGCATGTCTCTCATCCACACGATCGAGAACAAGGATGCAGCCTTCAACCTCTACTTCCTCGGATATCCCCTATCCAACCCCCCGGTCAAGGAGAACGCTACCAATCCGCCGACTGATTGGGAAGGGGTGCTCGAGCTCACCTGGAACTATGGCACCGAGAAGCAGGAGGGCAAGGTCTACCACGATGGTAACTCGGAACCTCAAGGCTTCGGTCATATTTGTAAGTTTATTTTGAATCGGATTCTTCGAATCACGTGAAAAGCGCTGACAATAATGCGTGTCTAGGTGTCTCCGTCGATGATCTCAATGCCGCCTGCGATCGGTTTGAGTCTCAGAAAGTGAACTGGAAGAAGCGGTTGACCGACGGACGGATGAAAAATGTGGCTTTCATTCTCGACCCTGATGGATACTGGATCGAGGTGATCCAGAACGAGACGATCAAGCGCACCAGCAACTGGTAGATAGATATTTCTGATTTATCAACATCGCAACGCTGAGGAGCAATGACCATGTCTGTGGGGGTTGTATATAATAAACAAATACATAGTTAATCGTCTGCTGATTAGTCAAACCATTCGCATAATTGCATTGTGACGTGGAGGTCAAGTGACTGCAGTTCATCCATCGGCCACCTGACCCAGCATGCACAAGCATCGACTATCTAGGCTGCGTTTCCTAGTCTCACGCCCATCTCAATCCGGTAAATCAACATGTCTCACAGTCCCGGCTAATCAATGATGCTGATTACTGCAATATGCATCAATCGCGGCGAGTCTCATAGTCTCATAGTCTCATAGCCTCATAGGCTGTGGCTCTCCTCACGCCTGGTGGATCCATCTCTCCCCGCTCCACTGAAAATTGCTGCGATCCTCCAAGGTTCCCCAGAGCCCATGCTTGGCTCAACAGCCCTCTCCATCAAAAAGCAACTTAGACCTTCACCATTCATACCCTGCATCGATATCATCCCGCCAGACCCCTTGACTCGAACATGTCTATTGCCCATCAGGCCACTGTGGAGTGTGGAGGCTGGTTGACTCGGCGTTGAGTTTTGTCCGATCGGGTTCCATCCCCCACGCTATTATTCCGCTGTGACTACGCATTCGACGAATAGAGTGGTTATCATGGTGACCATGCAATCTCAGCCCGAGAAGCCCAAGAAGGCTCCTCGCAAGCATGTCACCACGGCTTGTGTCCCTTGTCGGGAAAGTAAAATTAGAGTATGTAGTGGCGTGCCGCTTCTTGGTCTTTGTTCGTCCTGTACTGACTGACTGTATCAAGTGCGACGGCACGACTCCGCACTGTCACAATTGCGAGAGGAAAGGGAAGGATTGTAGGTATCAGCATGGCGATGATAAACGGAAGTAGGTTCTGACTGGCTCCATATTTTTTTGTCATTGCTGGCTGGTTTGGTGGATGCTTTCTCTCTTTATGTCGTGGTCCTCAGGAGAGAGACATTTTGAGACTGAAATTCCCAATCTGGAGAACATAGAGGCCGAATCCTACGCTTCGCATGACATCGTATCCGACGATAGCTGACATGGGGTGCCAGGGTCTCGCTTCGTGCTGCGACAGAGTTGTTTTCTGCGCGGATCGACCAGCTGTGTCAATTCATCTATGACCATGGGCTGGAACCGCCTCCTATGAAGCCCGAGGATGAATCGGGTATGAATAGGGTGCTGGAAACACTGCAAATTCCCCGTGCAGCAGTAACGAGGAAAGAAATTCCGCCGGCGGAGAAGCAGGCAACCGTGCAGTCCCATCCAGTCATTCAGCCGTCCTCTGACCGCAACTCGCCTGATCATCCTTCCCCTAATGGGCAGGTAGGCGTGCCAGGGACTGCTCCCGAAGCTATTCCATCGACAGAGAACCTGGTTTCAAGTCCACCGCACATCTCCTTGGCTGAAAGAACCCCGGACCCGGTAAACTTCTTTGCGGTCAACCCAGCTTCAGCAAATCAGTATCCTTCCACTCACTGGGGATTCACTCTGCCGACCGCTGAGAGTCTAGGAACGATTTATGCCAATCTAAGCGGCGCGCCCAATTTCCGAACCGAAGGCAGCATCAGCAGTCCGGACAGCCTGCCGTTGACTCAGGACTTGGCCCAGCAGCCGGGAGCACTTCTGGGTCAGCCGCAGAACGACACTGAAGACGGCTCGGATAGTGGGGAGGAGGACGAAGCAGAGAACGATGTTATAGAACAACTGTCGCATCGAATTGGGACCTTGAAAATTGCCGGAGATGGCCACCTTCGGTTTTATGGAGCTACCTCGAATCTCAACCTGGTAGATGTTTCGGCTACGCAGCAGCGCCAGCGTCCCGACGCACGAACGGTGCGACACGATGGACAGGACATCTTGAACCACCTGCGGGTGGGACAGCCAGTCGATCAGGCTCTGGAGGACCATCTCGTGGAGCTCTACTTCACCTGGCAGAATCCTAGTACTTATGTCGTTGACAAAGAGATGTTCATCACCGCTCGGTCAAGATGGAGGAATGATCTAGATGACACACCATTCTATTCCGAGGTCTTGACAAATGCAATGTATGTCTTCCACCATCTGCACGGTGCTTCTGTATTGACAAATATAGGTGTGCCGTTGGCAGTGCGTTTGAAGCGCGATACCACCCTACTTTCATCACCTTCCCCAAGTCGCTGTCTGAATTCTTTGCGGATAGAGCCAAGGCTCTGTTGGAAATTGAACTGGACTCGCCTTGTGTCGCTACCGTGCAGGCACTGGTCATCCTGAGCTGCCATGAAGGGGCTTCAAACCGGGATGCACGAGGTTGGCTGTACAGTGGTACGTTTGAGACCAAGGCACTTTGAAAGTTACTCTAACTTGACTCAGGAATGTCAATGCGACTCGCATTTGACCTTGGGCTACACCTCGACATGACGCCATATGTCGACAAAGGCGACATCAGCGCTTTCGAAGCCGATGTACGTCGCATAGCATTCTGGGGTAGCTACACCGCGGACCAGTAAGTCAATTCGCGCTGCTTGGTGACCCGCCCCTAACAAATTGTTCTATAGTTTTTGGGGATTTTATCTCGGACGACCTTTCCGTACCAATGCCGGAGATATAACGGTTCCCAAACCTGCTTCTAATTTGGGCGCAGAGAAGGAGAGCATCTGGTATCCGTATGGATCGCAGGCAAGTTCGGCAGCGCTGCAGAACGGTTTGAGAAATCCGAATGAGTTGATCAGCCGGCAATTCGCCGTGCTATGGGAGATCATACTACCCATTGGCCATATTTTGTAGGCTTCATCTCAAAGCTGCTTGTACTGTTAATCCCGCTAATCCATCTAAGGTATGGCTGCTCCGATATATCTCGACATGATCTTCAGCGCTTGTGCTATAATGTGACAGAGGATCTTTTTGCATGGAAAGAGAGCCTGCCCTCGAATCTCGAGATTGATCTGGGGGATGACACGACTCCACGTTTACCCCATCTCATGATGCTACAGTATGTCAATCATTTCCTAGCGCGGATGAGGATATAAAACTGATTTTACATAGTATGCAATATCACCAGATCGTCATCTTCACTCACAGACCATGGGTATCTAAGAACTATATTCAACCACGCAGTCCGCGCCAGGGACCTGGATATCACCACGCACGACGGATGTGCGTTGAGTCATCGATAGCCATTGCAAGGATCCTCCAAATTTACGAAAAACACTATACCTTCCGCCGAATGAACAACCAGGTCGTGGCCATCATCTTCAGCGCGGCTCTCATGCTTCTTTACGTGACCATTTCCAACACATTTTCGTCCAGCAAGTATGGCGCCGATAACGCTACTAACAACGCGGAGATGGTGGCATACCTGAATCTGTGCTTCCGCGCACTAGACGAGCTAGGCCAGTCTTTTGAAAATGCTAAACGAACGCGCGACTTTCTTGTTAGCCTGCAACGCCGATGGCAAGCCCACCTGCGTCGATCCGGCTCGGCAAAGAAGCGTCAGGTCAGCAAACTGCTCTCCTCGCAGCAGTCCAGCGGTCCGACGGTCGAGTCAGACTCATCAAGAAAGAAGTCACGCGTCAACGCGCCACGAAACCATCCAACCTATCCGTTCTCTCTATCTTCGACCTCATCCGCCACAACAGGCATTACGCCCAACCACGGCCGTTCACATACACAGTCGCAACAAGCCGTCCCTCGATCAATGCCTGAGTCACAGGGATTCGGTGCGTGCCAACCAGGCGATTTGGACTGGATCCGCGATTCGGATTTTCAGCTGCTTGCCGAGAATCTTGGGGATGGCAGACTGGCCCAGCTAGGGACAGGGAATCAGTACACAGAGGAGAACATATTACCGACTCTTTCTGACATCGAACCATGGTGGGACTCGACTAACGGGAACACATTTGGGGGGTCTTCATGATAACACATAGCTACAAATATAATTCAATCATACATACATTTTCCATATATTGTTGATGATAGCTGAACAGCTCTACGGGCAAACTCCATCTCAATACTCATTAATTTTTTTTGGCTTATAAATAACTACAATTTGCAATAGATATCAACAGCTCGTATAGCTCAGTTGGTAGAGCGCGTGACTAGTAATCACGAGGTCCGCGGTTCAAATCCGCGTGTGAGCATATCTTTTTCTTTTTTTTCCCCCGCCTCCCACCACCTCTATATTTATCTTGCGATTGATTATCTTGCCCATTTCTCGTACGGTCTCCATCCATACCATAGTTGTTCCCGTGGAAGATAGATGCTAGCCACAAGCGCCGTATCAGATCAGCATCATGACCAGTTCCTTCTACTCTGTAGAAAGAATATAGGGCTATGGGGTTTTCCAACCGTATTCCGTATATTTTGAGTCTGTTGTATGGCCATCGGAGCTTAAATGGATTACATATATATATAATATATAGCATGGTCATATATGTCAGAGCATGGCTCTGATCCCCTAGGCAGAAGCAAACCTGTTCTAGCTACGCCGGCTAGCTTTATGCGACTGTGGACTAATCCTATGATTAAATCGCTAGGAGAAGTTGATATAGACGAAGCAAATGTATCAGTACTTGGGCACACCACTCCTATGGACCGTCTAGACATGCCTTCTTCGAGTCCGATGAAGGGGGAGTAGTAGATTCCATAACGGCCTGGCCTGCTTTTCCTCCGGACAATTTTTCAGGTCCCAAATCTCTGGATTGAGATGGTTGGTCTATAGATAGGTAGTACAAGTGATGGGGGCGGACAACACTGACCTCATTTGTTTCCCGAGCACGGTGTAACGATTCCCAGTCCGAAAGACTAGAACCAGAAGAGGGCTACCTTTGCAGCAAGATGGGGAAGATTGAACTGAAATGACAAGGTATATTCAAATCGATGCCCAGCACAACCCTTCCCACAACGTCATTGTCCAATGCTTCGGTAGGACGATCATGGGTCTCAGGGACCGATTAATTGCATAATTTCACCCCGGGCCGAGCCTCAAATGGTACAACATGGTGGTCGGTGCTCTCCACGGACTCAACTACCCCGTAGCTCCCCGACGGAAGGCAAAATCCAAGCAGTCATTGCAATGCCAACTGGGACTTTGGAGGCTGGGACAACGTCAGGGGTGCATTGGGACCCGGGAGGAAAGCGAGCCGTCGCTGGCTGGACTCATGCTAACACCCGCAGGACGGAGATCGGGTTTCTAGGATTGCAATAAGCACTGGACATGGGCTACGTGTATGACGAGAATCAACCCGACCTTCGCGACACGATGAATCGTGACGCTGCGGTATAAATGAAGGCAAGTCTTCTGCCTCAATCCAAGGCTCCATCACCTCGACTACCTGCCAACTCCTCCTTGTAACATCTTCAAAGCCCAAGTACTTTCTAGTCATTATTCTCACCATGAGGCCCGTTACTGTTACCTTCATTCTCGGCCTGTGCGATGTACTCCTCGCTATCCCCGTCCAAGACCGCCTGACAGACAAACGCCAGGGCACCGGAGGCAGCTCTGACCTGAGCGGTCTCCTAGGCTCCGGTTCCTCGGGCGCTGGCTCATCTGGCGCCCTGTCAGGAGCTGGTGGTTCCAGCCCTGGCAATAACCAGGGTAATCAGGGTGTACCCACCGGCGGCGGCGTCTCGTCGGGCCAGGGTGAGTCCTCGGGCAACACCGACCTCTTGGGCTCCTTGCTCTCAGGCCTGATTCCGGGGACGGGCGGTTCAAGCTCCGGCTCCGGCTCCAGCACACTTGGTGGGCTCGGGGGCTCGAGTTCGTCCCAGGGTGGAGTGTCCGGCTCCCAATCAGAACAGTCGGGACAGTCGGGACAGTCAGGGCTTGGAGGTTGGGGCTCGTCTAACCAAGGTGCCACGACTGGCTCCCAGGCTGGACAAGTTGGAGGACCAGGTGCGGGTTCTTCCGGCAACGGCCAGAACGGCCAGTACGATGGGGTTGACGATTGTGATGATGACGATGAAGACGAGCACAAGGATGGCCACAAAGACGACCATAAGGATGGCTTCAAGGATGAGTACAAGGACGGGTTCAAGGATGACCATAACAGTGGCTTCAAGGATGATCACAAGGATGGCTTCAAGGATGAGCACAATGGCGGCTTCAATGGCGGCCTCAAGGATGAGCACAAGGATGGGTTCAATGGTGGCTTCAAGGATGAGCACAAGGATGGGTTCAAAGATGAGCACAAGGATGGGTTCAAGGATGACCATAACAGTGGCTTCAAGGATGATCACAAGGATGGGTTCAAGGATGACCACAAGGATGGGTTCAAGGATGACCACAAGGATGGGTTCAAGGATGACCACAAGGATGGGTTCAAGGATGACCACAAGGATGGGTTCAATGGTGGCTTCAAGGATGGGTTCAAGGATGACCACAAGGATGGGTTCAAGGATGACCACAAAGACGACCACAAATTCGATGGCAAATATTAGGGATGAACTCTGGGCAGAAGTTCATGTTGGATCAGCTCATGGCGACGATTTGATAAGATCCCAGGATTTAATCCTGCTTCATCACATCCGGTAGCTTGGACATTGAGAGAGTTGTTCATGCGTATTAGACGACCTTTCGGGAGCAAATCTGGCTTAGTTTAGTACTCAATCCTGTTCCTATAATCATTTTTGACTCTTTCAGCCAAGCTCCTTGGGTACGCTGGGAGACTTCTTAACTAGTAATGATGATGGTCAGTCTTCAGCATAGATATCCACATTAACTCATAGCTCGAGATTTCTGCGTGATATTGGTGGACTTTAGAAACAGACAGGAATAGCAAAGCCATCTACATAGATAATGGACTTATGGCTGCAGTGATGGATCGAGATGGCATCCATGAAGTCACTGAGAGGCCGATTATGTCATCTGTGATTGGCACATCCTGGATTCTCCCCGCGCTACAGCGAATTTCCTTTGTGGCTTCTAAGCAGTCAGCACAAAGAGTCACAAACAGTGTTGGGCTCACTGGTTCATCAATAAAAAGGAGTCGAGTCCCTGATATTCCGAGTAATGAAACAGAGACCTCAGATCAACTCCAGACTTAGAACTAGTGACTTCAAATATGGGTGACAAGGCCGAAGGGTTGTTACAGGTGAGTCCCGCATAAACCTCCAGCACTAAGTGCAATAGTCATTGCTGGGATTTGCACAGTTCAGAGAGGCTGATCGATGACTCCCTACTTTCCACGAATTCAAGCATCTGGAAAAAGACTACTGCCCCCCTCTAGATTCAGCGCTTTTTACGGCTATCGTATGCGACTATGATCTCGAAGATTCCGCTCAGCTTCAGCAGCTCCGCGACACCCTGGATGCGCTGAAGCTCTCGGCATGGGAGCAGGAAGATTTACCGTTCGATCCGTCTGGGACTAGTGGGCTGAGTCCCGTCACCAACGGCGCCGATGCGGATGGGATCCTATCCGAGCGCAGCGGATCGCAAAACGGCACTGCGCGATCGCGCGAAACAGATCTCACAAGTCTGGCTTCTGAACTCTCGTCCGTTGGGCTAGACGACAAGGGCGCGAGAAACCAGGGCAGAGGGAGCAGTCTGAGATATACTATCCGCGCCGATGGTTCGATTTCGCTCTCCGGCGCATCGGAGGAGGATAAAATCGGCTATCTTTCGGAGATGTTCCCATCCGTGGATCGCTTTACCATCCAACATACGCTGCGGAAGTCGGATGGGGATGTTGATCGCGCCATGGATGTGCTCTTGAATGTCGCATTCTTCGACGAGCAGCCGACAATTGAAGACGGGACCAAGGTCGCCATTCCTAAGGGTGTTGATGGCTTTGGAGAGAGTTCATATGAGGATCCTGGACGGAAGAAAAACCGCAAGCGCAAGGGGAAAAATAAAAACGGCTCGGCCGGACTCTCCTCTGTCCTGCCTAATAATCCATCGGGTTGCAATGAAAACTCCACCACCAATAAATGGGATGCCGGGCAGAAAGACATGGATTTCATTTACTCGCGAACTTTTCCTGTCCTAAAGAAGGAGACTGTGGCTTCATCCTACCATGCGAATGGGGCATCGCTGCCTGTCACAATTCGTTCCCTTGCTACAGAACATGCGCCCAAGGAGGAGTATATCCATACGAACCCTGTCATGATTGCGCAAGTCGCAGAATTGACGCAGGAATTTCCCTCCATCGAGCCAACCTTACTGGGGGGCTTGCTCTCGATCACACGGAACTCTACATCTGCTGCCGGCGAACTGGCTGTTGCTATGCTCACCCGCCCGGCGGCTCACTCCGTGTCTGAATTGATCAAGATCACTACCGCGCCCCCTGTCTTAGACTTCGAGGACGACGAGCCCAAGCAGCCTAGTGCTGGGCTGCGGGGGACCCGTGACTATGGGGCTGCGCAGACCATCGCTGGTACTCATTTCGTTAGCAGTGCAGAAGCGTTTAACAAAGCCACCGCTGCATATCGTCGTGGTAAGTCAGACAGGTTGATGGGCGGAGCAGCTGCTTATTACTCTGCTGTGGGCCGGGATCATCTCGAACGGGCAAAGCGGGAGGCAGCAGCTGCGGCAGAGGCTTTTGTTGATTCGCAGTCGACGTCCAATGCACTGGATCTACACGGGGTCTCGGTACAGGATGCCGTCCGGATCGCCAGTGCCCGTGTCTCCCAATGGTGGGATTCCCTCGGCGATGCGAAGTACATCCGTGGTGGAGAAGCTGCACGATCGGGCTTTCGGATCATCACCGGAGTCGGACGGCATAGTCACGATGGCACCTCTCGTCTGGGCCCAGCTGTTGGCAAGATGCTGGCTCGAGAGGGATGGAAAGTGGAAGTCGAGGAGGGTGTTCTGAGGGTGACCGGTGTTGTGCGACGTCGTTGAAATCTTCCGCCATATTTGATATATTGATGTTTGAGATACCTATTGAGCTACTTGCATCTTTTCAGTGTTATCCTACACGACGATATGTATATATTCTATGCGCATGATGATGATGACTTGCTCCGCATGATGACGTAAATCCGAGAGGCGAATCGGAGATCCGACGATGCTTTGAATCCAGACTCCATATCGGTATGGCGTCTTTTTTGCAGTCATGTATGGCTGATAATCTTCTGGCTTCTTATCCATTCTGGTCTCTCTCACTGGATCGTTCATCACTAATAATACGAAGCCCCTCAGTCTAAAATCTCATCCCCAATGCGCTTCCAGTATCTCATCCGTGGTCTCCGCATATTCACCACCACGAGAACCACCGCCACCCTCCCACAATCCTTCAGCCGGATCCCATTTCCTATATCTAGAACGACAGCGCTCAAAGCTGCCCCTGCAATCCCCTTCCTAGGCTCCCTCTTCGGCTCAACCGCCAAAGCCGAAAACTCCAACATGTCCTACCCCGACCAGCGCAGCGAGGAGGAATGGCGCGCAGTCTTATCCCCTGGTACGTTTCCCCACCTCCCAACCGCTCCAAGCAACAATCTAACCACTCCGTCGTCATGAAGAGCAATTCCGCATTCTCCGCGAAAAGGGCACAGAGCGGCCTTACTCCGGGGAATATGACGGCCAGTACCCGTCCCAGGGCGTCTACACCTGCGCCGGCTGCAACGCGCCGCTGTACAAGGCCTCGCATAAATTCAAGTCCGGCTGCGGGTGGCCGGCGTACTTTGATTCAATCCCCGGCGCGGTGACGAGACATACCGATTCGTCGTTTGGAATGGAGCGCACGGAGATTGTGTGCAGTAACTGTGGGGGCCATCTGGGGCATGTCTTCAAGGGTGAGGGGTATCCTACGCCGACGGATGAGAGGCATTGTGTGAATAGTGTTAGTTTGAAGTTTACGGAAGACGAGGATAAAGCCAAGTCGAAGGCTTGAGAGGAGAAATTGATGAGATTTGATGTTAGAGATGATGTAGCTGCGAAGAGCGGGTGCCTATTGATTGTTTTTGTCTGGGAGAAAATGTTGAGATACACATATAGTACCATGACTACAAACGATCTTTTTGAGATTGTCAGCCAGACAAGTCCTCCCATCGGACTATGTTATCCTCCTCTTTTGTCATCTCTAGATATTCGCTCTCGACAAAAGCCATTCCTGCAAGATCTGCCTTCTCTCAAAACTGCATCTCCGGCATGTGCAGCCCTCCGCATCGGGCATCACACAGTTGGCAGCCTCAGGCCGGCACCCGCAAGCCGCCACTTGGTGCTTGCCGTTCATTGAATTTCCCCAGCATCATCCATCCATCCACCCTGTTCTCTCCCCGAGTCATCGAGACCCCCTGTCTACTATGTTTCGACGCGCGACCCCGTCTCAGGCTGCTCAGAACCAGCAGGTCATCAAGAGCCTGCTGAAAATTGAATGCAACAAGATCTGTGCCGATTGCAAGCGCAACAAGCGTGAGTCCCTTGCCCGCCCCCCCGGGATTTACCCCCATGTTGTCAGTCGTATCTGCCATTCAACCTCCAACTGTCAATTCGTGCACGCTGTGGCTGTCCCCGACTCGGGCCTGTCGAGTTTATGCCTACTGACGGTTGTTTTTGTTAGATCCGCGATGGGCTTCTTGGAACCTCGGAATCTTCATATGCATCCGTTGCTCGGGTATCCATCGGGGCATGGGCACCCATATCAGCCGGGTGAAATCTGTGGACCTCGACTCGTGGACCGATGAACAATTGCAGAGTGTGGTGAGATGGGGTAACGCGAGAGCAAATAAGTTGGTTCACCCGTGCCATCAATGCTCGCGAAAGGGGGTGTGCTGACACGCCGTGTAGATACTGGGAGGCCAAACTCGCTCCTGGTCATGTCCCCTCGGAAGCGTGAGTTGTGTCTGCGATATCTAGTCGAAGATAATGCTGACGTGAATGGATGGCTAGGAAAATCGAGAACTTCATTCGCACCAAATATGAATCCAAGCGGTGGGTCATGGACGGACCGATGCCCGACCCGGCGACTCTGGACGATGGCGACGATAATGTGGTAAGGTGCCCCCCACGGGTGTTGTTGGTTAGAAAGCGGAGATTGATGATATTCCCAGCCTCTTGCCGTCGTCAAAGAAAAGGCCAAAATCGAGCGTTCCGCGTCCCAGCGAGTAGCGACTGCTAGTCAACCCCCCGTCACACACCGCCAACAGGCCTCCATCGACTTCTTCAGCGACGACGATCCCATTGCACCGCCTGTTCGCCCTAGTACTACAGAACCTACCCGGGTGTCCGCACCTAAACAGTTGCAGCAGTCACAGCCTGCCGCGAAAGCCGCTCGCCCCGGCGACTCGTTGCTCGGACTCGACTTCTTTGGAAGCACCCAGGCCGCCCCTGCGAGTCGTCCCGCCAGCACTGTGTCTACACCTGGTTCGACGGGGATGTCTCGACCCGATTTGAAGCAGTCCATCCTATCACTATACTCAAAGCCTCAGCCCCCTGTGCAACATGAACGCCAGCCCTCGTTTGGCGACCTGACGTCCCCTCCCCCGCAATCGGCATCGTCATCCAGCATGGGCGGTTTGACCGATGCCTTCAGCGGACTCAGCTTCCCATCGACCACTTCCCCACCTCCTCCCAAGCCAGCCGATAAACCCTCGCCCTTTGCCAACCTGACGAGCTTCACCAGCACCAAGTCCACCCCGGCAGCTCCCAAGATCTCCTCGCCCACCGCGTCCGCCAGTAGTGGTCTCGGCGGTGGCCTGTTCGATAGCCTGACATCCCCGACCCTCCCCCCAGCAAAGTCCCATTCCCAGCCCCGCACCACGTCTATCTCATCTAACGGCCACGGTCTTGGGTTCTCCGGCTTCGAGTCCGGCCCGCCCCCATCCAAGCCGACTCCAGGGCAGTCATCCTTCTCCGACGACCTCTTCGGCTTCTCCTCGCCCCCGACCTCGACATCTCCCGCTCCCGCTCCACCACGCATGACAAAATCTCCGCAACAGGAGCTCAAGTCCGCTTTTAACCTGAGCGGCCCTGCCCCTACTCCAGCGCGGGCCCCGGCTCCTCCCGCCCCGAAACCAGTCACATCTACTGCATCGACCGCGTCCGTTACAAGCATGATCCCCAACCTCGACCCCTGGGGAGGTAACGCCTGGAACACCCCAGAGCCTGCCCCTGCTCCCGCTCCTGCCGCGCCCTCAAGCGCATCCATGATGAAGGTCCCCGACACGCTGACGGCTAATGACATCGGTGCCGGCTGGGGCGCCCCCGCCTCATCTGCCGCAAGCGCGAAACCGGCGCCCACTGTCGCGGCCGATGAGGATTTCGGCGGCTGGGCCAGCGCGGCCCCTGTCCCCCCGGCTTCGATCACGACTACCTCGAAACCTCCCTCTAAACCGGCTGGCGGGTTTGGCGGTGCTGATGATCTCTTTTCTAATGTTTGGGAGTGATTTTAAATTATTCGCTCCCATTTTTCCCACTCCTGTGTTGGTTTTCATTCAATTGCATATAATGTTTCAGGTGTCGTTTAGAATTAGGCGCCAGCTTCAATGTGAATCTTCATGACTTCGTTCAATGCAAATTGACATGGTATACTCACTAAAAGAGCCAAGAATTATAGGAATATAGGATTGGCATCTCATATCGTAAACATTCATTCATCGAGTCTCATTCGGAGCCGAGGCGTCCCCAATATCGTACAGGAAACCCCTCCCCCAAGGAAACAAAAAAAAAAGAAGGCAAGAAAACAAAGCACACCGGCACTATAATAGCTCCCGCACACTCGAGGCATCCTCCGGCATGTGCGACACCGACTCCTGCGAGACGGTAGTCGTCACCTTAATTTTATTCATGGCCTCCTTGGAGCTGGGCTGCGAGTCCGAGGGCTGAAGATTCGAAAGCGGCTTCATGGGGAAGGGCGGGGCGGTCGCCGTGACGGAGGACTGGTACTGGTAGTTCGAGTGGCGCAGGTTCCGGCTGCGCGGGGTCTTGGAGTATGTGTTGCTTTTGCTCTTGTAGCTGGAGAGGAAGCGCGGGAGGAGCTTGGATAGGAAGGCGCGGATGCCGGGGAGGCAAGCGCAGATGATGGCGACGTTGCACTCGATGGCGGACCACGTGGCGGCGCCGGCGTTATCGTCTGTGGGGGGGTTTAATTGGGTTAGTTGAGTGTTTGTTGTTTTCATGCTGAGGGGGGTTTTGTTTCCTGGTGAAAGGGAGAACGTACAGGTTGGGTCTGAGGAGTTGGAGATGTCTAGAAGACTTTGTAGACGGAGGATACTGGTGACCAGGACGCTTTTGGTCGTGGTAGGTCAGCGATGCTGGGCTTGTTGGTGGGGGGGTCTGTCGTATAAAAAGAAGGCTTACAATGCACCAAGGGCGAAGATGCCCATGAGAGCGAGCTTCTGTCGGCGGGGAAGCTGCAGGTTGTGGAGCACCGGCATGGGGAGGATTAAGATCAGGATGTCTGTGAAGATATGAAAGCCGGAGTTGGAGAACCAGAGGGCCTTCTTGTTGAGGCAGTAGCCGTCGATTTCCGGATACCAGAATTTCGCCACGGGAATGCATGTGAGCCAGGCGCTGATGAAGACCCATGCGCCATAGACGGCCAAAAATCCAATCATGCACCAGCAGGCAAAGCACATACGCGGAGTCGAGAATACGCGTTTGATCTGCAGGAGGAGCGAGGCTTTGGTGGTGACTAGGCTCAATTGATAGATGGGGATAGAAACCCAGAAACACTGAGAGAGGTGGGGGAGTGCATCAGCCAGCGACTTCGACTTTAAGACGAAGAGAACGCATACCTTCATTTGCTTGACAAATATCTCCGTTGGGATATCAGCAAAATGCTCCCCCATGAGATATTTGACCTCTGTATTTGATATCAGTATGGGACAGCCGGCAGTAAAGCATACAACAAGACAAGTATGCACCTCCAACGAAAAGACCGAAAAAGGCCCAGCTCAAAGCCTGCATAATTTCTGATCAGCCAACACGTCAACTATATATGTGGATATGCGAACGCTTACGAGGGCTACCAGGATGGCCCAGTCGTCGGCTCCCATCTGCTTGACCAAAAACGCTCGTGTGTAAATCCGGATGATTGTGAAAAGGGTGGCCAGTATCGTAAAGGCAATGCTGAACGAGAGGGCCTGCCGCCCGCGAGCAGTCCCGAAGGTCATCTTCACGAGCAGAATCCAGAACGAGAAAGGAAAAAAAGAAAGGGAGAGAAAGCGTCAAAACAAGTCGATAAGGACGGTAACCGCAGATGGCGGAATTAAGGATTGTAAGGCTATAGTAACGAGTGTTTTCAACATCCAATCCACCGATATTGGCCAAGCTCGAGGGCACTCAATCTTCATTATGCATTGTGATGGCGTCAAGGAGAAAAATGGAACACTGCATCGAGATCTGAAGGGATCATAAGATGATTAGAATGATGTTTATACTTTATCGAGTTCACGAGGTCAGGCCACCTCTATGTAAGAAGTTGCCTTAAGGAACCAAGGAACGGGGGTAGCTAGACTCTGAATTCGATATAGCTAAGTAGGAGCAGGCGGGCTGGTTGAAGACTTTTAAAGTTCAAGTAGATGATTAGGGCTGCTCGACGACCACAACGCTTGTGAATCAAAGTCACGGCCATACAGCTTGGCCACCAACGACAAATTTTGACTTTTGAGTTTTTGACACTAGTGAAGTTGGTTGAAGTTGGTTGCGTTGATCTCAATGGTAATGGTGGATCCATTGACCCACGTCCTCGGTGAATTGCTGGACGAATTGACGCATAATACATTAGCAGAGTATGGAGTGCATATTACCCAAGACTCGTGAATCGTGATGGATCATCAGACATGTCTCAGAATTATCCGAGTGTCTGGATAACGGTTTCCTTCGGCTTGAGTGAGCCTGGACTTGGAGTCCTAGACTCCCAGCGAGGAGGATTCATTTGCCAAACGTAGGACTGGTAGAGTAGACTAGGAACGTTGGATAAAGGTAGACTTGCTCCTAGCGTGGGTCTAGCTCTGTATAGTGTAGATTGACCGCCGAAGCTGAAAAATAGAAGGAATCTCTTATCTCAAGAGGTTGAAGCTAAAAGGTTAAAATTAAAGGGACATCGCACTAGCTCACCTGATATGCCATGTCAGGTGATCACGATAGTTCTTTCTCAGGAAATCATAGCTACATTCTCATCCTTGGGAACAACGACCAAAGTCCTTGAGCGATGGCTGCATTGAGCTCATATCAGCAGCGCTTATCCACACTCAAGAGGTGGGCCCTTAAACAATCCTTCTCACCATAGATAATGAATCCATACACCGTCCCCCGAAGAAGGCATTCGAGGAGACGAGAATTCTTCGAAGCCCAGTATTCCTCCCTATGACCCATCTGTTCGCGATAAGGCTTTGCTCAATCCCCTTTGCACTGGTAAGGCTTCAGGCTGCCAAGATATAGGACAAACTCATTGAGCTGGACGGAACCAACAATACTTTTCAGCTATACTAGCTAGCCTAGAAGTGCTAACTCATCTCTTTGGGGACATGATAGTGGTATCTTGGCGATTTTCCTTCCGATGATCGACAACGAAGTCACCCGTCTGCTCATGGGAAGGAGAACCATGCAAGTTCTGCCAGCATATTGAAAGTTCACTAAGGCAGCCGATCAATCGAGGGGGAGTCCTTTCAGGATGCAGCACGCACCACAAGGGAACTGATCCACCAAGGAAGTGATCATCTTGTTGCCATTCCTTCATCATTTGAAAGGCCATTTGCACTTGATATATGATCCTCATGATCACCATATTTTACTGGCCATCACAGCTGCTGTGTACCCAATCAAGCATCCAATCTGTAGGTCTCAACGTCGTCATTAGCACGACGCACAATTGATGGACAATACTCTCAGTTGCAGGAAGATTTTTGACCATTTTTTCTTGGGTCACTCTGCCCTACCTGTCCTAACAAGCTTTCTTTCACCTCGACCTTGCACACTCCAAGATTGATGGGGACTTGCGAGTAAAGGGCCACCAAGTGACCAAGGCAAATTATTGGGAGTGAGTGAAGTACTAATGACGGAGCACAGCGTCAGAAGGACGCTTCCCTATAGGACTAGACATAACAGAGCAGATATCTAACCACAAATGGGGATGAAATATCGCCCTGAGAACCTAACACACGTGTCTTGAGGTGTCTTACCATCGGGATGGTCCTTCCATGTTCTCTCTACTTTGCCACTCTTTTCTCCCAAACCAGACGCTAGGGGTCATGGTCATTGTAGTGCTCCCCGGACCATTATCTGAGTGGTTGTTATTGACCTGCATAGGGAGTCCCGGGGGACTTAGATCTTTACACGGGTAGTTATGCTCCTCGCAACATCTACGATATGAGTGTGTCAGAAATCTGTTTATTAACCTCCAACTAAGGTCTATCAATGGTAGATACACAACAGCAAGCCACTGAAATCCCATAGAGTATTCCAGAAAATTTCAAGAAAGTAAAAAATTAGGGAAGATTGCTGTTAAAAGAGGATCGAATGCTCATATGCCAACTCCCACTGTGTCAACTCCGTTCCTAATCTGTAATGTTCGTCAATATAGCATGAAAAATGTGTCAAAATCCCAGACAAAAAGCAATTTCATGCATGATGTATATCTCATAAAAGTGAAAGTTATATGTGACTGTGTCTGAAGTCAACTAGAACTCGTCGGAGTCGTAATCTTCCTCAACCAATAGGGCACGGTAGCCTCTGGATGCGAGATTTTCTTCGAGTCCACCATCGGATCCCGGATCAGCATAGCCTGTTGCCCATGTCAGTATACAAAATTGGCAGATCTATAAATTTGTGGAAGGAGAAGAAGAGAACTTACCCTCCCCACCAAAATAGCTGAGCATCACTGGCAGGAAGATGAGCGCATGAGTTGCCGCAAAGATGACCAATGCTAGCCAGACCCGGAAATAGTAAATCTCGAAGATCTTGCTTCGGGTAAAGGCCAATACGCAAACACCAAGCAGCTTGGTGATGGTAATGCCACTGAAGACACTGCCGCCGACATTAACCAAAGCCGTCCACGCGCGAGCATCCTTCCCGCGGAACTTGGTGGGCGTCTTCTCCATGATAGCGCGGGAAGGGAACATGAAGGCTCGAGCAATATGAGCGCAGAACTCAACTCCAATCCCAACACAAATGATGAGATTGACCAGAGAAACAGCGTTCAGCGATACCCCCGCAACAGCCATGGATCCAATAATGTCGACCACGATCATCACAACAGTAGCAGTGACTACCGCACCAGTGGCAACGGATCCCAAGATAATCGATGTGATGGCAAAGATGATGGCAACGGCACAACCAAGCAACGTACCAGTGAGCTGCACAATGGAGACATACTGATCGAAGAAGATATAGGGCTTGGAGTAGGGGAAAACATCAATGCCATGTTCCTTAGAGAGTCCGTCCGCGATGCGACGTGCTGAAAGGTAGGCCTTGATGAAGTCGTCCTGACTTCGAAGAGGCGTATGGCTGGTTCGGAAGTGACTGGCGTTCGTCATAACCCGCTTAGGATCGATGACCAGCGCATTGCTATATGGTGCTTTGCCGCCGAGCGGGCAGGACGCGTCCGTAGGCGCTTCAACCCACTTTTCCAGATAGTGAACAAACTCGCCTCCCGTGGGCATGCCGTGGAGGGAGATATTCCATGCAGGAATCCGATCTTCAAAGCAGATCTTTCCATCTTCCTTGCAGCACTCTTGCTGGGGATTCAGCCAATAGAAAAAGTCATCGATCCAACTCGCAGCTGACCCAGAGATATATGAGACATTCGGTCGCTTCGACTCCTGCTCCAAAACAAAAGATAAGGAGAATTCCTCGCATGTGGTAAAGCGCCCACAGAGCTGTTGCTGATGACGCCTTTCAGTCACATTGACATCGCGTGTCACAAAGTAAACCGGAGGTCCGGTGCCAAAGTAAGCGTCCAGGTCGTCAAAGTACTGCACAAGGTAAGAATCGCTAGGAAGAGCAATACGTTGATCCAGGCCGAGTGGCACTTCAGGAATGAGCGCCAAGCCAGCGGTGAAGATGCCCAGGAACGCAATCACAACTGCCACCTTGATCCTGCGGCCGAGCAGACAGTTTGCGTAAACATTGCGAATGAATTTCTGCAAGAGACTCTCGTCTTCCTGGTCATTGTAGACGTCTTCGTCAAACATGCCAGATGAGGTTGCCTTACGAACCGTTACGCAAGGCATGCAGTCTGCACGAAGGCTCTCCACCCGCCTCTGGTTGAGAGCAAGTACAGAAACAAACATGGTCATCTGCAGAATTGCGTTGATAAATACTGCCCCGGCTGCATAAACTGCAAAGTTCTTGACGGCGGGCATGCCCACAAAGACACCGAGGGCAAAGGCAACAGTTTCTGTCACAGCTGACAAGAAAATGCTGGGGCCAATTCTGCCCACTGCACGCGCAACACGCTCATCAATTTCTTCGTCGGGATGGCTGACATTGATCCGCTCGAATTCATGGACTACCAGGAAGATGTTGTCCACACCCACCGCCAATACAAGGAATGGAATGACCTCTGCGATAATCAAGGTTGCTCGGACACCTGCGGCGGAAAACAATCCAACCGACGCAGAGACTGACATCAGGACAATCAAGATACCAACAATGCCGAGAGTAAACTTTGACTGCACAAAGATATTTGCGGGATTGCTTAGCAACGATCTCCAGGTGACCGTGGCAGAGCCTAGGGCAAAGGATGCATAGATAAACATGATGATGTAGCTGATGACCACAATCTTAGCGTCAGTGTTGCTTGACTTGTTGAGTTCCTGTTCCAAACTGATCTCGGCGTTAAAAGAGACTCGAAGACCACGTTCCTTGGCTTCATCTTGGATATCAAGGAGGAGACTCTTGAATGTGAGTTCCCAGTCAACAGCATAGGCTTCACCCTCACTGCGCTGCTCAAAATTGTTTACTACCCATGTCGTAATCAGTGCTTTGGCATCGAGGACGTTACCAGTCTCTTCATAACCACCCAGGATCATTTCAGGCCTGAGAGGCTGGCTAAAGTCAGGGAGACAGCTGGGATCACCAGGTGAATTGGCGCAATGCTTAACGCGCTCCTCCCAAGTATCTGGCTGAATATTGGACGCAGAGCCACCGAAATAGCCTGTGATCGACTGAATCACGCAAGCATCACCGGTGGGCTTGAAGCAGACCTGATCCAGCAGGAGCCCGTGGTCTGAGGAGTTGACTCGACGAATACGCGATTCAACGCCGGACCACCAGGTCAGTGTATCATAACTAAGCACTGGTCCATGGTCGTTTACAAGGAAAGCCTGCTCAGCACGATAGAAGGGTCCGAAGTTGGTATCGAAATACTCCTTCTCTTGAGCTGCTGCGGAGGTGGGGCTAACCCAGAGACGCACGGGGTCTGTTTCCACAGCAAACCGCAGCCATCCTAGACTCAGGAGTCCGACGAACAATATGCTTGTGAAGATGGTGATTGCAGGGAATCGAGCACAAAAGCCTCCAATCCGATTAAACATTGCGTCCAACATGGAGTTCAGCTTATAAACCCCGGTGGGTTGTTCCAGTAAGCCACCAGCGTGAACAATGTCGCCTTCATCCTCATCATCACTAGGGGAGGGGTCTTGCAAAAGTCGGACCCGTTCTGGTTTGCGATAGCGGCGCTCTCTGTACGTAAAATAACTAGAGAAAGATATGATAGCGAGTATAAATAACGAGTAAATGAGGATGACTGCAAATGACATGCATGGCAACAGGCCGACATGGCAGTCTTTGTCCGTTTTCACTTCCGGCAACTGGGGACAAACTTCCGGACAGTCGACGCAGGAGCAGCGAAAAGCCTCATCGGCATCATTGCAAGCCTTGGGTGTGATAGAGAGCGGTCTCATTCCCTGATCATCCGGCCCTGTAGGCTCCGTTCTATAGTTGATCTGGAATGGACTACCAAGAAGCTTCTTATCACCCAAGAATTTCAAGAATTGCGTATAATTCTTAGCCCCGCCACCGATAAAGTCGATCGCTTTCCCACCAGAGGCACCATTTTTCACGTTCTTGCAGCTATCGTAGAAACCACTCTGGTATTCCTCGGACCAGATGTTGTCCAGCTCAGTGACCAGCGGCTTCCCGGAGCTACCCTTCTCGGTTTTTGTGACATTGATGAAGAGAGACTGGTCCGGAGAACAGGTGAATGTACAGAATATATTGAAGAAGTTGTCTTTGCACGCTGGACACGATGCGATGATGCCCTCGGCGAGCTTCAGGTTCTTGGCGAGCGCATCAATCTGCAGATAACAAGTGGAATTATTAGCATCATATGATATCAACGGCCTTATTATAGAGGGTAGTCTCTTACCTGTTCTTCTTCACAACACACAGGACCTTCCTCCCATTTACTACCACACAAGTTCACCAGCTTCTTCCGCGCTGATACTTCGGGCTCCCTTGCAATGTCATTATCCGGACATGGTAGTTCTCCACCGAAGAACGACTTCTTCCCACAATGACCGCGGATCGCACAACGGCCCTCTTCGTGTATCTTTGTTTCTCCTTGACCGAGGACGAAGGACTGGGGAAGAGACGAGAGAAGGCCGAATGTCGCTAGGATTGGGGTAAAGCGGAGTCCCCGCATCGTTGGAACAGAGGGTCAGCGACGACCAGGAGCTCGGGCACAAAGAATACTCCACGTATCAAGCGAATGTATCCGAGAAGGATATCCGGACAGAACGTTGAAATCGTGAGGTGATGTTGCTGTGTCGATAAGCTTTAAAGGGCGGATGAGAGCTCTAAGGCAGCAGTTCACCGACTATACTTGGTATCTTCGGTTCGGATCGGATACGTCTCAGAGCAAGCTGGGGATGAATCCTTATCAAACAGCTCCCCTATCCAATAAAGGACAGACAATTCAGTCTGGATAATATTAATCATGCAAAATCGAGGATGGAGTTGAGTGAAAAGGCTGGGGAAGAGCCGATGGGGAGATGACGATAAGAAACAAGGAAGCAAGTCAAGTGACTCCAGGCCAGGGACGATAGGCGCACATACACAGTACATACGTAAGCGGAGAACCTGGCGTTGGAGGCTTGGAGGCTTGGAGCTGATCGGGCGCTAAGCCGCTAACACCAGGGCACGCTGATCAGTGGAGGATCTTCTAGTTGTCTAGACTTTAGTTACATCTTGATGACCTGATGTATTGTTGGATCAACAGATCGAGCGATATCTTGCGAGATAGCTGGTATATACTGATCTTCTATAGGATTTTCTCGCCAGTGATCTGCTGATACCTGATGCGTTAGTATTACTCACCGTATGAACAGGTCAGAATTGAACTTCCGTAGCTCCCAATATATACTACATGTCTTCGATCATTGACCAGCAAAAAAAAAGTACCAGAATAAATTAGTGACAACGACAGTTTTCCAACAACTCGCCCATTTCACAAGACCATTCTTGAGACACCGACCATGCTTGTGATATTGATGGTCACCCTCCTGTTCTGTTACAGCCATCAAAACACCAACCCACCCCCTACCAGCGAGTTAGCATCACAGCGCATCCACACAAAAACAAAAAACGTACCATCAACAACAATATCAGCCCCATTCACATAGCTCCCCCCAGTATCGCTGCAGAGAAAAACCACCGGCCCCGTCAGCTCCAGCGGAGACCCCATCCTTCGCATGGGATTCCGATCCGCCCATATCTGTCGCCACGGCGCAAGCGCCTTGCCTTCGTTGAGAACCGTATCCATGTATCCCGGGGAGATGGAATTCACCCGAATCCCATAGCGAGTCCACTCCGCCGCGAGGCTGCTCCGTAGATGTAGCACCGCGGCCTTGGAGACGTTGTATGCAATCTGGGGCTGGGGGAAGTTCACCCGGTGACCGCTGATGGAAGAGATGAGGACAATTTTGCCCCCGCGTCCGCTGGAGATCATATGTCTGGTTGCGTCAACACTCGATTTTTTTCTGGGATAGGTTGGATGATGGTTGGGAAAGCGCACTTTCCTACAGCTTGTGCGGCGATCCAGGAGCCCGTTGTGTTCACATCGATGACTCGGCGCCACTGCTCGGTAGCTAGGTCTGCGGCTGCGACGCAGTTGACCATTCCCGCGAAGCAGCAGAGGATGCTGAGGTCTCCTAGCTGTTCGTGGGCTCTGTCAACGGCCGCCTGCATGCCTGCTTCGTCTGTAACATCGCACGTGTGGGTTATTATCTTCGAGGTCGGAAAGTCCTTTCGAAGAAGATTGATCTCGGTTTCGCCCTTCTCCAGGGCTGAGGGAAGATCAAGGAGGGCGATACCAGATAATCCATGCTCAAGAAGAGCTCGGGCAGAGGCTAGAGCGAGCATCCCCGCTCCACCAGTTACTGTATGTAGTAAGATGCATGGTTATCGAGTAGATGGAAGGGCAAGGGAAAATTGACCTACACACTGCATTTCCGCTCACCTTGAATCTTAGAGCGGCCCGTTGCTCTGCCGTGCTATGCTCTGGAAAAGAAGCCGGTGGAGGTGTCAAGGTGGTAGCTGGGTCGAAGTCTCCAAGGCGTATCCATGGCATTTGAGGTTGAGTGTCGGAGGCTGAAGGAATAGGCTCTTCATCCTGACCAGATCCCATTCTTATCAAAGTATGGCTTATCCTATGGACCTGGTAGAATACCCTTTATGTGTGTTGAAGCGGAATCCAAGATGGCACTGGTTCACTGAGGAGAAGGACGATAGGAAACACTACCCCGCGCACGACCAACTCACTCTACATACATTTTTCATCTACCTATACCGAAGAGAGGTACACCTACATACTGGAAGTGAAGAGCTCCGACTAGCGACATCTCAAGCGTGTTGCAGCTCTAGTCAGGAACTTGATCAACAAGACATTGGACTACATCCATCTATACCCTGTAGGATACACTAACACCTTTTACCTACGAATCGAAGATTGATCATCCCCTTTTTCCTCATTTCCCGTCGACCTTCCTCCTCTTTGCCGGCTTCTTTTCCGAGAACTCATCCGGATAAGCCTTGAAGAAATCGACCAGCTGCTGCGGCTCATCCCCAGTGACGTCGCAGAACGCCGTGGTGCAGACATAGTTGGTCTTTCCCTCGCGGGCAAGCGAGTAGTACTCGAGGATAAACTGGATCTCGCTGTTGTCGGTATCCGTCTGGCTCTTGAGGACCTTCTTAGCCTCGAACCTGGATCTGTTAGCATGGGCGTTTCAGCTGATTCGAACCGGGAGGGGGGGGGGGATCAGGTATTACTCGGAGATATCTTCGAACTTCATATCCTTTCCGAGAGCCTCGCTCGCTGCTCGGGCTAGTTCGTCACCGTTCAGGAGGGCGGGGCCTGGGGTATGTATGTTAGTTCCAGGACTTGTTGAGCTGTTAGCTCGATGGAAAGGATTGGGTGCAGTACACACCGGTTAGGGTCATCAGTTGCCCGCGGTGCTTATCATTGAAGCCATTCTTTCCTCGTCCCGTGAGGACATGCGCTGCGAGCAATGCAACGTCCTTCCATATACATCAGCAAGGGCTCCGCTGCTATAGAGTTCGACAAGACTTACACCCAACGCAACAGGAGGAAACTTATGGTCCTGCCCAATCGGTATAGGCAGGTATCCCTCCTCCCTCGCCTGGAGCGAGTACGCAAGCAGATTCTCGGCGTAAAAGCCAGCGCTATCAACACCCACTCCTCAGTCAGCTTTGCACAACCACCCTACCACAAACAAACACAACCCCATCTCAAAGGCATACCGAATAACAACCGGCGACCTCCCCGCCACCGAACTCGGATCCCCCTTCAGGGCCAGAAACATGGCCTCGAGATAAATGAACTCCCTCAGAAGGGGCTGCTTATCGGGCTCAGCCAGGTCACACCCCGCAGCGCTGAGGAAGAGCACATTCGGCACGCCGGCACGCTTCGTCGCTTCGATAAGCTCGGTGGTGATGTCAACCTTGTCGCGGCTGGCGGGCGGGACCAGGCAGACGGTGTCGGCGCCGGTGTTCTTGATGCTGGCGGTGACGTTCTTGAGGCGGCCTGGCTGGCGCGGGACGATGGTAGCGCCGAGGGTCTGGAGGTCCTTGCAGCGCTGGGAGTCGGGGTTGAGGGTGATGCCGAAGACGGTGCCGATCTGTTTGGAGAAGTTCTCATCTGAGAGGAGGAGTTCGGCGATGAGGAAGCCGGTGTTGCCCTCGACGGAGGTGATGCAGATGTTGCGGGACATGGTGGCTGAGGATGGCTTTCTGGGGGCTTGGGGCAGGCGATAATGGATGCACAAGGGATACTGGGCATGCTGAGGGTGTGTGTTATTCTGCGTTGCGTTTGGTATGACTATAAATACGGAAGGGTTGTCTGCGTCATGATACTATAATGATTAGGGAATTGGGCCACCTGAGACTCGGGATACAGATGCTGGCCAATGGATGAACATGATAACAGGTCAATTGAATCTGTATGTTTTGAGGGATAAGCTCTGTGATAAGTAAGTTGGTCTATTATAACTACGCTGCCATCCGGCACACCTCTTCACCAGCAATAGTAAGTAATGCGTAATGGAGCAGGGTTGAAGGCCTTAGTGCCAACAGGTTCATAAATTGAACTGCTGCGGCTTCACCTTCGTTCATGATGACTTACTTTGAGCCGTCATGCACACGAATGCCAAGCTTTACGGTCAACCATAAGGCTGATGACCGGAACTTCGACGAGAATTCCACAGAATATCTGCCTCAGTCTCGCGCTTAATCAGTGCGTGCCACGGACCAGACCAAGTAACGAATGTCCCCTCGCAAGGTTGATCAACTGCCGGCTGGAAAGGGCTCTACCAAACATACATCTGACTGCCAGATACCACTGGATGGTCCTCTGATACAGAAGACCAGAAGACCCTATCTCAGAAGATTATCATCAGAACAGTGCAAACCCAAGGGAGGACTTGGGGGAAGGACTCAAGGGATAGCATGTCACCCAAGATCTGCACATCCATATTCTATGTACGGTATACACTCATGCCCCGAACATCAATTCAAAATGACTTTATCTGCGTCACTACTGTTTCAGTTAGCGATAGGAACGAAGCATTAAGACAGAAGACGTGGACTGGTAACAAGAGAGAACAAATTGTAGACCCGATGCCCAAATAAGTTCGTAACAAATGGACAAACAGGACATATCGCCTGCGACTGTTTCCACTCAATAGCCCTCGTCCTCCGCTTGCTGATAGACATGTCGTGATCTCGAAGGATCTTTCCGCATCTGTTGGCCAGACCCCGTGAACCCCACTTGTAAGAAGAAGTTAGCATATCGATCGTCTTGAAAATATAGGAATGCAGTACCTCGAGCGTTCATCCCATCTCCCGTGCGGAACATGCTATCTTTCCGTCCCAGCTTGCCCTTGCTCGCAAAATCCTTCCATTTCATCTTGCCTTCCTCGAGCTCACGATTGGCCTTGACCTTTCGGGGTACCTTGGCAGGCCGCGCGGGACCATCGCCGACCTTGCTGGGCTCTTTGCGCACCTGATTAGCCAATGCAGGATTGATATCAGCCGCCGCAGAGATTACGCTGGCATGAGGGGGTTGAGGGACAGGGGACTGCGACGAAGAGTAGCCTGAGCTTGCATCAGCCTTGCGTTTCCGCGAATCACTGTTGGAAATGGGCTTGATGTCTTTGGCCGTTAAGGATTCCACCGTTCCGTACGACTTGAACGAGACCAGGTAGACGGGGTTGCTGGATGAGCCGGTGATAGAGGTAATTTTGGCAGGATAGAAGGAGTTATCTCCCGATGTCCAGCGAGCAAGAACGTTGTCGTTGACGGAGAAGGTTACCGGAGCCGAAACCTCCTCCGGTTGTTCGACAACGGGTTTGCGATAGCTAGCCGCATAAGCGGGATGATTTTCTTTGGACCATTTCTCCTTCGTTGGCGCGGGAGCAGGTTTTGTGGAGGTCGCAGATGGAGTAGGCGGCTTAAGTTCGGCGATGGATGTTTCGGTGAGGTTTATAAGTTCTTCCAGCTCAGTTTTAAGACTCTGTAGTTCCGTGTTGTCTGGGTCTACCTGCAAACTCGATTGGACTGTTTCGAGCTGGGACAGAGGGTCGGAAGTTAGAATCAGAGTCCGTACCATGAGAGAGCAAGCCAGCATACCTGTAGCTTGAATTCCTTGACCTCCGCCTCAAGAGCTGCGACGTCTGCCATGTTGGCTAGAGAAGATGGATCGACAAAAGGATGAGATGATTGGCAAGAGAGGCAGAAAGGCAGCTGATCTGGATGAACAGCTGAGTTTTATATGGAGAGTACAGGGGCGGAGTAGACTAGATAATAACAAACAGAAGTCGAGGAGCCAAAAATGATCTGTCGGGATACAATCCTTCTAGGCTGATCGATGTTAAGTTGGAGATGTTCAGTGTGGGACTCTCCAACTGTCAAGACTCAAGAGATGCCCAGATAAGGAATCACGTGATATACATCTGGGCGGTCTGTCGGCTGGAAGCTTGGAAGGCTTTCAGTCCTGTCTTGTCATCCATCTTGTGATAGCATCTCAAGTGAATATTTGCTCTCTAATTCTCATTCACTGGATGGGGATCTCCCTCACTAAAGTCTTCATAGAATAAAACCCCAGAAAGCCCTCACCAAATTGGGAACAGTCTTGATCTCGCGGGGAGTCTGGATAATGATCAGCCTCCTCCGACTGGCCAAAGGTCCCTTTTGCCACTGAGATCCTGGATGGAGCGGCGAATGCAATATTCTTGAGTCTGTGAATGGCCAGATCAAGTATTTGTCTGATAGAAGCCATAGAAAGAGTTGAAGGAGCATTAGGTATGGAGTATCTCTACCCCACAAACTCAATCGACGCCTTTCAAGGCAGTTTCATTGACGTTATGGAGTTAGTTGACTTGTCATTTTTGAGTTCACTGTTATAACTACGAGCCTTGAATCAGATAAGAAAGCCACATATATAATGACGCTATCCGTACTCATCGGCCTTCCGGTAGTTGTGAGTTGTGACAATACAGAAGGCGGTAAAGTTCCATGATCTGGATATGAGTCATCCTGACGGGGGTTATTACCCGGGATGATATGGCTTGAGGTTTAAGTCTTTGAAATACTCCATAGGGGAACTTCATTCGTGCATGATGCATCATTATTGATTACCCATAGGGATGAAAGCCTTATTCATTAAGAGCAGGCTAATCCATGGAAGTCATCGAAGGACATGGCGCATGGAAGAAGACGAAGACGAAGAAGAAGCAGATGACCGGATAGATTCAATCCCCGGGCCTGCTCTGATTTATAAGCATCGAGTCCCCTACCTTAGTTTTTCTCTCTCTCTGTAAAGCAGCGATGAAGTGTCAGACGGGTTGATTGGACGCTCCCTATCAGCTGTTTCAGATCAATCAATGAAACTGGCTCACTTACAGTGCCGCCTTTGTCCACCACTTTCGCCATCGTTGGATTTTCCCTCATCCCGTCCAGCTTTCAATATTCCTTCAGTCGGGTTCATGATGGATGTTCTCACTGCGCTGATTCTGCAAGATGGTACCTTGTCGTTCATACTTAGTAGCTAGCACTATATAATCTCTAGTGCAAAGTGATACGCTTACATTCGACAATCATCCATCGGTGTCTGCGTCTGTGAGCCTGAGAGGGAAAAAAAAAAACAAGAATTGTAAAAAAAATAAGCCGTAACTCGTAACATTCATTACTCCTACCGATTTCCCCCTCTTAGCCACAGTCTTCTAGATTTCTGACTGTATCCTTCCCCAACCTCAACTCTCTCCCCATCATCTACCTGACCTGACCTGACCTATCTTCTCCCTTCATCAAGATTCATAGCTTGAATATTGTCTCCTGGTCTCTGGCTTCGCAATTCTATCCAATTCAGTCCGTCACTATCAGAACCTCCAATTTGATTCATTCGGTAGCCCCTCGCCCGTCAGATCGTACTTTTGTCGACACTCGACACGCCTGCATCGGCAGCATTCTTATCCTAGTTACAGTGTCCCCTCCCCCTTCTTGCTGGCACTAGGCGACGATTTTAGCATAAGCTCCTTGGCTTCTGCATCCTCTCTTCTGACTCGATCGTTCTGTCTTTTTTTTCTACGGTCTTTCGCCTCTTCATCGCCCCGTATTTCCAGACCCCCCCCCCTTGACTCCCATCTATCTATCCTTTGTCTTCACTGAGCTTCCCAGGGATATTGCTACGCAATCTCTGTTCTTCATCTCTCAAACTTCCTCACATGCTTATTTGAAGTGGGGCGGTTTCGGAACAGCTCCAGTTGCCTTTCCAACTCCAAAGGACGGCAACAGCAGCAGTCTTGCTTGAACTGCTGCTCTTTAAATCGATACATCGAACGGGCGGGAAGCCCGACCCTTTCAGTTAAACGACACAGAAAAGGGTCAAATCAAGAGTGCTACTGCTACGTAGTGCTTGATTATTATTATTGTTATTATTATTGACGCCGATTACGCCTCACGGGCAATACATCACTATCAGTCGGCCTCGGTCACCCCACCCTTCTACCACCCCCAATATCATATTCTTATTCTTCTTCCTTTTCCTCCTCCATCACAACCACCATGGCGGACTACAACACGCTTTATCAGCAAGGCCTCTATCTCACCCCCGATCAGCAGGATCTCCTCCTTGCCGCCTTTTCCACAGCCAACCCTCAGAAACAACCCAACACTTCCCAGCACAAAGTTGACTCCAACAGTGACCCGAATCATACACCGGGCCATACTTCATCTGGTAGCTTCAGTGTTTCTCCTTCCGGCCGGATGGACGGCTCCGGGAATCATTCAAGCACCTTCGGCTACGATGACAGCCCATTTCTCGACTTCAACCCCGACCTCGACCTCGATTTTCTGGACAATGAGAACTTGATTGGGGACCTCCCCCCGAGTCTGCCATCTACCGAAGATTATGAACCCGGCGATAAAAGAAAGGATATAGATGGACCGGAAGACGAGAAAGAGGAGTCGGGGAAGAAGCGGAGAGAGAGCGACGAAAAGGCAGCCAAGAAACCTGGGAGAAAGCCGCTGACTTCAGAGCCCACTTCGGTATGTTAGACCTGTCACCTCTCGTTCTTCACGTTGCAGACCATTTCATGTTCCGTGTGGCTCACCCAATATCAATTTCTCTCCGACAGAAGCGTAAGGCACAGAATCGGGCAGCGCAACGAGCATTCCGTGAGCGCAAGGAGAAGCATCTGAAGGACTTGGAGGCGAAAGTGGACGAGCTCCAGAAAGCCTCTGACAATGCAAGCCAGGAAAACGGCCTCTTGCGCGCTCATGTGGAACGGTTGCAAGTCGAACTCAAGGAGTATCGGAAGCGTCTCTCCTGGGTTACGACCGGCAGCGGGCTTTCTCCCATGAACGCTATTCCGGCCGTCCACTCACGGGCAGTGTACAATGGTGTGAACAACAATGACTTCCTATTTGACTTCCCCAAATTCGGAGATCTTCCTGGCTCGCACATCTTCCATGGTCGACCGGGCAATTCACCTCAGAGCAGCTCGGGAGATAGTCGATCAGCTCGTCCCCGCAACGATGCCCATGTTCCTGGTGTCCTCAATCGCAACGCCTTGAACAGTCCAACCACTAGCGGTACTCCGTCTGCCAACTCGTCTTCGAATGTTCACTCCCCAGCCTCTCAGACGCATACCAAGTCCACCGCTGGAACTTCAGTCGGCACGGATGAGACTAACGGAACTCCCAGGGGCTATACCCCTAAAGTCAATTCTGCTTACACTTCAAAGCAGACATCGCACGACACGCCCAGCTCGGACTCTCCGTCATCGTCCTCAGATTCGCATCACAGCCAGCTGCTTTCGTCTAGTGGCACTTCGCCTGAACCAAGCACACACTCTCCTGCAGTGAAGGCTTACGAGGGCGGTAACAATCATACATGCACATATAGCACCGTTGGTGGTGAGGAATCCTTCTGCGCTCAACTGGGCATGGCATGTGGCAATATCAATAATCCCATTCCAGCTGTGAAACACAATAGCGAGAGTGCAACGAACACACCCGCTCACGCCAACCCCACCGACCAGCTTCTCGGTCTGGACCTTCTCGCTCAACAAAACGGAGGACAGTTTGATCCTGTTCTATTCGGAGATTGGCGTGAGCCCCAGGATGCTATCTTGTCTCAAGACTTTGGTACATTCTTTGACGATGCCTTCCCTCTGCCCGATTTGGGCAGCCCCTCGCACAACCTCACTGAGGTGGTGAAGCAACCAGCACCACCCAAGAAGGACCTCATTGCCGAGATCGATAGCAGGCTTGAGGAGGATGATGAGGTTGTTCCTGGCGAGGACAAATCCCAAATGTTGACATGCTCTAAGATCTGGTATGTCTTTTTGAAGGGTTTCTCTTCAAATGAAAAGTTCTTGGTTCGTCAGGGCCGCGTATTAACTGATTCGTACAGGGATCGCTTGCAATCGATGGAGAAGTTCCGCAATGGTGAAATTGACGTCGACAACCTCTGTTCCGAGCTTCGCACGAAGGCTCGATGTTCCGAGGGCGGCGTAGTCGTGAACCAGCAAGATGTTGACGACATTATGGGTCGCGTCAAATAGGCGATTCCCGGGCGACTTTAATACGACAGGGATGTTTGATTCTGCAAATATGTACAATCTTCGGAGCATTCTATCATCCACCCTCATTTCACGAATTCGGAGACTGATACCCATTTTACACGACGCTGCTATTGTTTTGATCACGAACAGATATATGAAAAGGCGAAAAGGAGATATGGACTTACATTTATGTCTTTGGATTTGCTGGGACATTCGTTATTTCGATTTTATTATCACTCCAATCTTGAATCAATTTTGCTGTCAAATTCCTTCCCTTTCTTCTATCCAAACAACCTACTTCACTCCCCTTTGCTATTTTCTTTCTTCCTGCACCGGCACGTTCTATCATTTTTTTTTTCAACCACATCTCCTGCTGTACTTTCAGTAAGGTTTTTTGTTCTTCTTCCATTATGAAGGCGAAGTTGGAGGCAGAGGCGCTGTTTTTATTTTTTTTCTTTGCTTTTCTCTTCTTATTTCTCTACAGGCTACCAGGTGTGGAATGGTATACCGCATTGGAGGCCCTGGTTGGGAAAAAGATTGTACACCACGACCACATACAGGTCACCAGTAACACCTATCTGCTAAATGAATGACTTCTTCTGCACCTGTCGCCCCGGATCCAGCCTTGGAGACATACCTATCTACTATTTTTCGTGTTTCGGTTTCTTTGGCTGGGTTTGTGTGTTTATGTGTTTCCTTGAGCTCTCTCGCTGCTGTGATGCAACGCAAATAGCACACGCTACCTACATAGCAAGTAACTCAATCATATCATATCAAACAGAGCAGCACAGCCTTTCCAACCTCAAGTACTCCATAGTATACTGTATACAGATAGTCCAGACAGACGGAAGGAGACGTGAAGCAGAACCTGAAGCTACAAGGGTATCGATATTGGCGCGTACCGGGAAGAAAACAAAAGACTCGAGTTTAAAATACACAAAAGGGTCCGCCTTGGGTGCCTTCGTCTCCTCTCCGTTTTCTGTCCGGGGTCTTCCTTTTCCTCTCCTCTTGTTGTTTTCACCTCCCTCCCTTCTCTGTGTTTTTTTTTTTTTTGTAGATGGTTTTTTCTTCGGATACCCTCCCTCCCATTTCTTCCTTTTCCCAATCATCATCCGCACCCAAGTCGGAAAGGCGAACTGCATCAGCATCGGGAGAACAAACCCCCCCCGTCCCTGCTTGCTTGAGACAATGACTGCGTCCGGACCAACAACTTCCGATACTAAGCCTGTCAAAGGGGGACCGATGTATCAAAGCAACGTGCTTCTACTACGGGTAAGAAATGTCCATGTGCATCTCGCTCAGAAAAGAAGAAATGACGAAGAGAATAAGGAACTGGAAGGCGAGAAAAGAAGAAGTAGAAAGAAAAAAAAATAAAAGCATTGGCTTTGCAGATATCACAAAAAAGAAACAGAAGAAGGTGGGGGGAAATTAACATATCGCGAACCCATGAGGAATTAATGGAACACAACGTGATGAGGAGATTGGAAGAGTGCCAAGGAAACAAAAGTGGTCGAAAAATGGCTGAGCAAAACAAGAGAAAGGCGTCATCCATACTCCCTTAAGAGTCCCCACCGGAAGGCGCAGGCTTGTCACTAGAGAGTGTCGACGTCGAGGGTGCGTTGGAGTCTGAGGCGCCTCCCTTGTTGAAACCCCCACGGCCTCCTCGCCCACCACGTCCACCCCGGTCGGTGCCACGGCCACGGCCACGGCCACCGAATCCACCTCGTCCGCGACCTCCTTCACTGTCACTGGCGCCGCCGCTCTGATATCCGCGCTGAGATGTATTACCGCCTCGGTTGCTAGCTCCCCATGTACCAGCGTTACCACGGTGACTGCCACGGTCTTCGAAAAACTTGAGGTTGGGCTTGCGGGGTTGACCAGCGCCGCTGGGTTTCTTGTGTTCGATGGGTTGACGGTCGAGAGCAGCCTTGGCTTCCTCGACAGTGGTGAAAGTCACAACATGGTTATACTTGCCCCACTTCTCAACCTTGACGATCTTGGCCTTGTCCTCCTCAGGGAAGAGATCGCGGACTGCTTGTTCATTATCCACGTTCGAGACAAATAGTCCATTGCTTTGTTTCTTCTCGCCCCGGGGCAGAGGAGATTCAAAAGGCTTCTCTGGTTGCGCTGTGCCATTAAGTTCAGAGGCACCCGCCTTCTCGGGCGACATGGCACTAGGCTGAGCAGCAGCGGCAGGGGGCTGTGGGGTGGCAGGCTTGGGGACGACGGGGACGGGAGATGCGCGACTAGCGCCCGCAGCTGGACCTTTTCCTGGAGCCTGCTGGGTGGTAGGGGGAGCGACCCGAGCTGGAGGTGGGGCCTGTCCAAACTGAGGGGGGGCAGCACCAGGAACACGTGTCGCGGTAGCTGGCGAAGCGGGAAGCCCACTGGCTACAGGCTGGCCAGCAGCAACCTGAGGCTTACCAGTGCGGTGAGCGAAGTTGAAGCCTTGAGCACGCATCTCCGTCGCAATGCGGCCTCCCTCGACCTCAAGAACAAGAAAGCCGAACGCAGCATCCGCAAGATTGAAATTCCACATGTTCTTGAAAGCGCTCTCGTCGACCTGGCCCGCAGCATTTCCGGGAGCAGTGGGACCGCCAAATGGGTTTCCACCATTGGCGACAGTGGGCATTCTCTGAACGACATCAAGAGCATTGTCCAAGAGAGTCTTCTGGGCCTCATTGGAAGAGATGGCAGCCTCCACCTCTCCACGGACCGTCTCCCAAACATCGTTGAAAGAGGCTTTGGAAGCCGCGAGCTTGCCCCGGTAGTGATCCAGAGAAGGGTTGACGGAGAATTCGTTGTAGGAGGAACCATAGCGGAAGTGGAGACCGGCGGAGATGGAAAAGTCGGCCTTGAGGGTCACGGACAGCTGGTTCAACATGCCCTCCCGAGCGGGCGACGCATGAGTGACGAAGATGCGGGTTTCTGACGGGTCGTACACACGGTTGGCAGTGTCGATCAGCTCACCCATCTGGAGCAAGGTGGTCCACATGGTGCCCTGGCCACCAGCAATCGTGGTCTTGCCTTCGCCATTGTCGAACAACTTGTGCATCACCACCGCGCCGCCCAGACCCAGCAGCCGCAGCTTCACACCGCCTATGTCCAGCAGCCGCGAGTTGGCCTCGTCAATGATGTGCAAATTGTTAACCTTGTACTCTCCCGAACGGAATTTCTCCAGCACTCTGACATCCTCACAAGCACCCCAGACGGTATATACGGGGACATCGAGAGTGAGCCGCTTGTCGAGCAGCATTGAGAGTTCGGAAAGGGGCAGCTGATCCGGAGTGAATCGTTGTTTGATCGACTGCTGGGGAGGAGTCTGAGCAATCGTGCGCTTCACGGCCTCGGGCAGCAACGGGGAATATTGTGCCACATGTTTGAGAGTCCTAATTTCCGTCCATAGCACATTAGAATCATGCGTCGTAATGGGGACGAAAGTTGGATGATTGTCACAAGTGCGGTCACACTTACTTGTCTGCAATTCGCTCGAGAGAGGTATCATCGTAGAAACCAAAGTCACCGGTATGGATAATATGATCAGCGCGAGCTTGCTTAGCAAGCTCGTTCAAAGACTTCAAATTTCCTGCACACAACATATCTGTCAGATCGTGTTCCCCGGCTGTCATGGTGGCGACTCAAGCTCTTCAGACAATGGCCTACCTCGGACATCCGCAATGCACAACACTCTCACGGGGCCGTTCTGAATGACCCGGCCATTGTTAGGAAGAAGAGGGGTGGCACCAGGCACAGGACCAGCAGCCGCTGCTGCTGCACCGTTCGCAAGAGGATAGCCTTGGGGAGCAAAGTTGTGAGGACGGGGCTGGAAAATCACGACGGAAGTCGCCAGTTAGTTTAGCTCCATCAAGTATTTGCGCGCTAGAGCCTGATCCAACACATCACTCTAGCCCTGGGAGCCGAGGAAGCTACACGGGGAAAGCAACGGGGGAAAAGGCGAGCACGACGGGTGGGGGGGAGGTGAGTTTGCTTGCGACTTACAGAAGCCATGGGTAGAATTTAGATGGAGATAATCAGAGAGAGAAGAGGAGAAAAGCACGACGGAGCTAGACAGAGCAAGAAAAAAAGGGGAAGAGGAGAAATTAAGGGAAGAGGAGAAGGGGAAAAAAAAGCAAGCCAGTTGGATTGGGATGTTGGATGTTCTGGCGTTGTTCTTGTTGCTCGCTGGTTTCGCCCCGAAAAGAAAGCCCGCCGTCACGGCGCTTATGTAAGCGCCACCACAGGGGCAGCGTCGCCGCAAGGGATCCTGGAGCTGGTCTGGATGGTGATTGTGTCACTTCACGACAGAGGCGATGCTTGGAGTTCTGTCTCTCAGGGGTCAAGGCTCAGAGTAAGGGTGTGCGAGGTCTTATAGAGCCCTGAAACAAATCTCCAGTGGGTGCGCTGCCCAGCTCTGACTACCTTCTGTTGTCCTTTTGACTACGGCTCACTTGATTTTATCACCTGCTTTAAGAAAGCATCTGAGAGGGAAACAAAGGTAAAAAAAAAAAGACAAAAAAAAAAAACGAAGAAGCTTGAGACTGTATGGTCAAAGAGGTATTTGTGGCTCAAATCAGTTCGTCCATGTATATACACGACCGCTACCCGCATCTCTCATTTAAGCCTCAGATCACAGTTCTTGTCTCTCATCTCCTAAGAACTGCTGGTCTCCTTGATGCTTGACATTGGATTCCTCCTTGACTTGTAGTGCGGTGAGCTGCAGACTCCTGGGTCCTTCCAGTGCCAGCAAGGCAAAGTGCCCACCCACGGTTGGGCGCGCTCTACATAGCACGGGGACACCAGGACTGTTGCCTTTTGCGGATGTCGCGACATATCTATCTGAGAATGGCCAGTTATGCTTGCCGTTGGTCATGAAAGCCCACAAGTCATCCACGAACTCGTCGCGGGTACTGTCGTTAAAAGTGCCCGATAGCCACATGTTCCAATCCGACTTGGCCCAGTCCTGTCGGTGATCCAGGGGCACTCCATACTCAGCCCTCACGGATTTGAAGAATGCGCTGCTCATTTGATGAGCTTCCTCTGGGAAAGTCCTCAGACCCAACAACACGTCTGGGTAAAGATTATAGGGCGTCTTCCATGAAGATGGCTTATCCGGATATTGCAGCACAAAATGCGTCTTTTGATCATCTAAACCTAATGCTTGGGTGAAGAACAGGTTGGCTCGTTCCTCCCCAATCTTTGAGTATTCTGTCAAGCCTGTTAGCTCTCCAAATGCTTTGAGGCCAACGGCAGCCTTGATAGCAAGATTTGTTTCATTCGCTAGCGGACCAGCCGCATCATTCGAAGACAGCTGCTCGGCAATGTCGACGCTATTCTCGACCAGGTAATCTGCGTAGCCTCGCAAGATGTCGAAATATGGTGCTGCCCAGATTTCGTCTCCTGTCGCACGTACATAGGCCAGAATAAGAACCATCAGATTCCCGCATTCTTCAATGGGCATCGGTTCTGCTTGTTGGTCGTCGTGCCCGGTTGCGTTCGGATAGTGAGTGCCCATATCGTGGATTACATATGGTTCGTGCCAACGTCCGGCTGCGAGGTATCTCATCATGGGCTCCAGTAGAAGTCGAATGTACTCTGGATCCATAACGTAATAGATGGGAAATGCAGGCATGATTACATCCACCGTATTGATGTTGCCGTCGCTGGAGAGCTCTTTGATAAACGCTAGCACTTCGCTCGTATCAAGAGTCTCATTGGGAATGGTCAAATCGATCCCCCCATATGCTTGACGGGCTGACAGAGTGACAATGTCCGCGTATTTCTGGCCAGCCACGGCTTTTGCTTTGGCAGTCATTTCCTGGTCAAGAATCAAGGATTCGAGAAGCGCATCTGGATAATCATCCATGAAGTATGTGACCGCTTCATATGTCTCCGGGTACTCAGCACGGTAGTACCCAGTATATGCCTTTCCGAGATAGTTGACCGCTTCTTCTCGCACGTATCCAACAACGAAATTGACACGCCGGTCTCCAGTCACGGTCCCGAGATCATGAGACAAGGCTACAATACCTTTGGACTCACATTGCTGGCTGCTACTGGCTAGAATACCAGTGTTGGCGAACTGAGAGAATATCCCTGATTGTGCACCAGAAGCAAAAGAAAGCTTTGAAGGAGTGTTAGGTCGTGCAGCAAATATCGTCTCACCCCAGAGAGCCATATCACTCTCCTCGGAGTACAATGTAGCATCCTGTACTTTCAAAGAATAGATAGCAGTGCGACCTGTATTCTGAAAAGTGCAAACTGCATCGTCAGATCTTCCTGTCCATCTACCGTCTATACTAGAGAAGACTTGGATGCTGTTGGCAGAAGCCCCGGAGACAGATACTGTCAAATAAGCTGAGATCATCACGTTAGCCTTCGTCTTCATCCAATGAAATACAAGATACGCACCAAAAGGAAGAGACTGCGTAAGGTAACTTGATGGCGAAACGGGCGAGAAGAAATCGAGCTTGAACATTACCGGCCCAGCATTGAGCGTGAATATGGAGTGGGTTGCCGTATACTCAGCGCTGCACACAACTGCAGGTCGGATTTCTTTCTCAGGATTTTTCACACCCATCAAGCTATATGTCTGACCATCAACCCGCGCCATAACAGCCCAACCCAGCTCCTGACCCGCCCAGAACTGAGGCTCGGCATACGGTAAAGACTGGACCCTGTCGCTGGGCATCCATGTTGAAAGATACGGATTGCGTACTGCCAACGGGTATGAAGGGGGCAGAACTGGTAGATAGGACACATTCTCTTGGTGGCCTGTGTAGAGAGAGAGCACAATTGTGCATAGTGAGCTAATTAACAAGGATGTTCTTCCACTGGGGAGGTGCATTCTGGGCGAGATGTCACTAGAGTGGCATATATCTCGAAACTAGACATGGACTTAGTCGGGTGGGGGCGAGCAGCAGAGGTATCTTCTGATTGAAATATCTCGAGCTTCACGGGCATATGCTCTAAAAGAATGAGCAGAGATACAAATATCTTCTCGCAGTACTCGATTGCGCAACTCACGGCCGGAGATGTCGATCCTCTCTCTAACCGCCGTTTATTTCGTCATTGCAATGAGGACAGACTGTTGGTCTCGAATAGTCACGAGTCATAGGCTACTCTATTATGTGGTATTCTATAGGCTCACTGCTGCTGTTGCTAATATATAGATGGATCGTTTTGATAAATATGGGATGAAGGATGATGAAGGATGGATGTAAAGATGGATGAGAGTCAATCAAGGAGTAGCCAAATGCATAGAGAAGAATGCGGGGAAAGACTGCAAGGACATCGGAAGACTCAATATGCAACCTCAAGTCTGATGCTCCAATAGAATTTACTTGAAGATTATCTCGATTCTAATACTCAAGCATGGAAATTGGATGAGTTCGTGTTCCATCAATTCAACTCTTTCACTGGACTTATACTTCCCCATCATGTACAGATAGGACATTCGAAAAAAACATGAATCTAGACTGTATTTCTCACGATTCGTTCAAGCAATCTCATCTTCAACCAGTGCTTCATCGCAGGAGCTTGCTCCGTCTCATGAAAGTCGTCAAACACGGGCCAGACAAGGGGAGCAGCATGAAATTCCTTCTTCCCAATCACAATGTGACAGCGGAATTGTGCTTCTGGACCTCTGTCAGTCTGCATGTTGGATCAAGGTCATACCTTCAACTTCTCGATGTATCCCTCCATAGGATCCAGCAGGACCTCGTCCTCCCCAGCAAGCACCAGCGTCTGCTGCACTTTCATGTCTTTCCACCACTCTTCCGACCCATGAATTGCCTCTCATGTGATCGTTCGTCGGCACACCATTCAGATACTGCGAGGACTGCCCCATCGTAACTTCTACCGCATCAATGTCCTTGTGCTCATTGCATCTCATACTCGGCCAATCCTGGTCAAAAAACACCCATGGCGACATTAGCCCTACCACTTTCAGAGGCGTTGTGATACCCAAGCCCATGAACATCCCCTGATGGATGCGTCAAATGAGACAGGGAAGTTAGAGAGACTTGCGCCGGCAGAGTCCACGAAAAGCAGAATATCCGACGGGGAGCGCCCAAGATCGGGGACGATATATCACAGGGCTTCCACTCTCTCGTGGAGTTGGGTTGGTAACTTGCATGGGGCGTTAAAGTGAAGGCAATCGAACCAAGCAGTTTCTATATCACTGGTGGCAAGATCCTGCTCTATGCCATTCCAGACATTGAGGTATGTGTGCGTGGCATCCATGGCGAATCCGCTCCTACAGATAGAGTCAGAGCAGTCTCGTAAACCTTGAGCATGACTTACCATGGAAGGTAATCACAACATATTTATCTGCAGGATATCCTATCCAGAAACCCTTCAGTCCGTGCTCGTTGGACACGAAGCGAGATACGAGGATGTCAGCTCTAGAGTACTTTAGGTAGAACTGGTCGTATGAAGGAAGAAGATATCTGTAGGTGTCACTCAGCGCTGTCGACCGCTTGAAGTAAATAATCGTACTGCAGTTGAAGAGCACTGAGCCTGTCGTAAGCTTGAAAAGTCAGCCCTATGGATCGTCTGTTGAAGAGTGATTCTTGTAGGACCTTCTTGATCGCCGCTTGTATCAAGTGGTGATAATAAGTATCTGCTCCTGATGTATCACGAAACGGTCCTGAGGCCGTAGCATAGAATACCTCTGCAGCAAAATCCTCGTTAGAGAAGAATTTGTATTGTGCGCGAGTTTTTGGTAATACCTGTTGAGCAACCGCCTAACACCGTATCGAACTTCCCCCATAGTGTTAGGCTCTGCCTCGACGGGTTGGATGCCATCTTTCAACAAAGGCTGGTTTCCAGTTAGTAGATATCTTTCAGAAGCCTCAGTTAGCCCAACTAGATCTTCATAAAGGTCTGTCGATCTCATTGGGTTCGTAATCAAGTGTATGGTGTAGGGATTGTCAACAAGAACCAGGTCTTTCTCGCAAAAAAAGGCGTGTCTTGCTTGTTGAGCATGCAGTAGTAATAAACAGGGTCGAATAATCGCAGGCATAATTGTAGCAGTAGTAGATCATTGGATATACGGTTTATTGGACTCAAGAGCCGGATGGGACACATCCCAGCTGGTAGCTCCACCGAGAGAACAGTGGTATGATGGGGATATTCTTAGTTCAACGGTGACATCTCGGCATAGTATATGTAGCACTTTGGCCAGGCCGATTGAGTGCGCGACAATTTCAATCTCTCCATCCAATATGATTGTTCCCAGAAGAGGTGCGGTCTCGATATGCATCTGCATGCATGCCAGTCCGATAAGCGACTGCACGTGTAGCCAATGGACTAGTTAAACTAAGTCCAGTCGATCCCATCGCACTCTTTGTTTCACCCCAAACACATCTTTCATCTGATGCCTTGTGCAACAATGAACCAGGATTCTTTCACAACACCCTCAGCCTGGTCATTCACTTCTTGACGTACGCAAGCCAAGTATGTCTGATCATCGTCGGTGGCACCTGACTGCTGTGCTGAGGCGCTCAGGGGTCGACGATCACAGTCACACTCGCTCGGCCTGTACACTATGGCTCGCCAATATGGCAGTGAATAGTCCTCGAATTTGACACCCCATCGTGTCTATCTTCATATTCTGCTTGAATCACTTTACTCTAGTCTACCTAAATAGCGATGTCTTCATTCTTCTGGTCCAGACTGAGACGTCATCGCGGCGAGAGCTCCATCGTCGAATCTTCTCCGCATCCGGCAATGTGGAGCTCAGCAGCATCGTCACCAGTGTTTTCTGCACACGACAGCAAATCCGGATGCAATCATCACGCAGATACTAATAAGAGGACCCAATCTGCTGCGCATCATGAGGGTCTTGGTCGACGTGGCATGCCCTTTAAAAAAACCGAATTCCTGACACCTCGTCGACAATCTATGAACTCAACCGTTGACCCGGCAGATCACGAACCGGCATTCATTTGGAAAGACATTTCTCCACCAGTTGATTCCGATCAGATAGGGATTACAGTGTACTTCAACTCGGAGCTTCTACCCGACGCAAAACCATATCCGGACTACATGGACTCGCGATCCGCAGGCGGCATCTCACTCCCAGCATACGCCAACTCAATCCGCACCACCCCAATGAATTCAAGCAGCTACTCGCCCACCCAGTCTTTGCAAGAGGACCACGAGCGGCAGGCATTCCTGGAGAACGCTGTCCGCGAAAAAATGCTGGGGTCCGGCGGCGCATTACCGCTGTACAACGAAGTCAGCGGCGCGGTGATAGTGGACCAAGAAGGCCTTCCGCACTTCCTCTCACCGCAAGAAGAAGCGCAACGCAAAAAGTCCCTGAAGCGCGCGGTCGAGGAGAAAATGAAGGGCCTGCCCCGGCGTACCGAGTTCAATTGGGCGCAAGCGCCTCACGGCCCGACGTTGCCAGCATACTCGCCTGGGAGACACGGATAATCCCCACTTTCGATATCGAAATACGTTTAGATATATTCGCGGGTTGTCTTGGGTCAATGATTGGAGCGTTTAGTGTGGTGTTTTTCGGTTTCCTTTTCTTCCTCAATTCTGGGCTTGGGTGGAGGACCTAGTTACTTCTTGTCGGTTTCGATGTGGCCCGATACGCCGTCTTGTAAGCAGATAGGCACACGTGGCCGAGCATCCTACATACCATTTACAGCTAGGAGCTTAGGCCAGACGTGAATCACGGTTGGTCAGCACTCTGTTCAGTGAGGTAAGAAGCAGTTATAAGTATATAACTCTGTAGACCAGAAGGTCACGCGCATATCTGGGGCAGAAAGTGGGTCTGAGACGCTTATCCTGTTCCAGCTAAGTCATAACTAACTATTCTGTGGTAGTTAATTACTCCTGCATGACACTGCTATAGCCTATGTCTACAACCTAGATATAAAAGGACTACAGTACCTGCACTTATGTTTTTTCAAATAATGTCAGACTAACATGAAAAGCTCGCTTCCTGATATATATGAATTCCTAGAAGCACTGAGGCTATGCTCAGGAGATCTCAACCAGTTTCTCTCATTAAGAAGCAACATTTTATTGGAAAGTTCTCACAGACGCCCTCGTCTTCCCATCTATATCAGTCTACCATTCCTTCGCAACATAAGCTTGGTTCAGACACAGCAGGCATGCGCTAAATTTCTCCAATATACCAGTGGTTGCTAGCTTTAGGCTGAGGAACAACAACTTTGTGATTAATGATACCCATTCAATTTATTAGAACTCTAGAAGGTTGCTGCATGATTGAAGCAAACGAGTGCGAAGGTTCCTTCAATAAGACTTTCAAACTCAGTATGGACAATAGGCCCAATGTTAGTACAATTCCACACCCTATTTAGGGCCTAAGTACGGAGTACTACACTTCGCTACAGATATTGGCGCGAACTGGGGAGTTTGGCTTTCCTTGTCCTATTTACTTTACACAAGAGGAGCTTTATATGCATGTAGAGGACAGCGAAGGATGGAATGACGTCCAAGATTTCTGGAACTCCGTAGCTAACGTGTCCAACCATCTCTATAATAATGCTGTTGCCCTTTTGGCAGAGTGACGGAAGACTAGATTAAAGACTTTGGCAGGGAAGGAAAGAGAGGATTTTAAAAAGCAGACGCAATGAGGAAAGAAAGTGTAAGCACCAACTGCCTGGTTTTAAACTCTGTGAACTATGTTCCCAACACCTAGACTATGAATAATGATCGCCTGCAACAGCTCTATATGCAACTTTTGGGTCTCTTGACAACGATACCTGACACAGGACTATACATATTTGAATAAACGCTTAACTGCGGAACAACTTCAAGCCACCCTCCTCGCGGTCCTCATCGCTCTCCTCGGCGGCACTAACTTCCTCGTCATCACCCTCTCGCAACAGGCCACTGGCAGTCTTGCCAAGGAGCGAAGCGAAAAATTCTTCTCGTGCGGTATTGGTCCAGCGGCCTCGGTCTTCGGGTGCCATGAAGTTCTGCAGCCTCTCATGGACCTCAAAGCGCATCTTACGCCCCTTGGATGCTCGGGTATCGATCTCCCTTTTGACCTTGTCCTTGCGCATGCCCGTAACAGGGTGCACGGATAGCCGAGTAGGCAGCTGGATATGGAGGGTGTCGATACCGTTTGTGATGGCGTCGGAAGAAGACATGCGTTGCTCTACGAGATCACGGAGCAGAGACTGGTAGAATACGGTGTCGTCGTAGATGGGTTCATGTTCAGCATCAGCAGATGTAGCATTGCCATTGGATGACGCGTTCTTCCGAGAGCGTTTAGCAGAGCGGTCGCCGATCTCCGAGGCGATCTGCGCGTCAATGACGGCGGTAATGGTTTGTTGATTCGCAGCACTGGTGCCCATGAGTTTTCCCCGAGCGTTGGGGAGTGCAGCATTGGACCCGCGCACCTTGAGCGACCACTTGTCAAGGATGGTTCGACGGCGAGGGACAGCATCGGATTCCACATCTGCCATGCGCTTCCATAAGGAATCGGTGGATGTCGTCAGGGTAGCAGCAGACGGGCGCTTTCGTTTCTTCGACTCGCCGGGTGCCTGTGCATCGGCCAGGGCGAGTCGCAGATCTTCGAGTGTAGACCAGAGAGCGAGGGCAGCGGATTCAGCGGACTTGATAGCTTCTCCGTCGATATCATTGCTCTCCTCGTTACCCTTTGCGGCGATGGAAAGCTGATCGATGGCAGTTAGGCCCTTCTGTAACTTGATGCGCGTGTTAAGTAGGGCATCGAAAGTAGCACGCTGTTGTTTGACTGCTTTGCCTTTGGCAGCGTCTGCCTTGGCGGCTTGCGAAATGGTGGCTGCAATTGTTTTCTGATCAGAGGACATGAGTCGGCGAAGTTCCTCCCGATCATCGGACTTCGACTTCTTGCTAGATCCCTCATGTCGATCCTCGTCGTCGTCATCGTCATCGTCATCGTCGTCTTCGTCTTCCTCATCCTCATCATCCTCCTCGTCATCGTCGTCATCCGATGGAAATTCGCCGCCCAGGTCATCCTCATCGAGCTCGTCCTCCGAGCCCTCCTCGCTTCCTTCGATTTCTTCCAAACCATCGGTTTCCATGCCATCCATGTCCTCGTCCTCCGATGAAACTTCCAGCTCCTTCTTTTGTTGTTTCTTATCGGCTTTTCCGGATTTCTTGGATTTCTTGGGTCGCTCTTCTTCGCTTTCCTCAGATAAGTCTTCGTCGTCCTCGCTTCCTAATTCGGAATCCTCTTCCTCCTCATCCTCACTATCTTCCTCGTCACTCGAGCGTGCTTTGAACGGATCATCGTCGCTTTCGGCTTCGAGAGCATCTCTACTGATACGCGATCCAGCGTATTGCTTTCCAAGGTTGATTGGATCCTGCTTGCGAAGCTTTGCTTTGCTGAGGGAAGGTCAGCACTATCACCTCTTACGAATGAAAATAGCCAGAGGGCGGTGCACAGAAGACAGTAACTCACCCTACAGCCTGGTAATGCTCCCGTCCAGCATTAGGGTCAGCAGCTTGACCAGCTTCGTCGTCACTGTCTGGTCCAGCACGATCCAAATCCTCGGGATCGAAATCTGATCGCAAACAAGATTAGCTTCAGGGGAACGCGAAATGGCCGATCGACCGGATACAAACCTTTTGGTGTTGGATCTTCCAATTCAGCTATTTGCTCTGCGAGCGACTTGGGCGCCATCTTTCCGACTGGGATACGGTGCAGGTATATACAGAGAATTGGAACTCTTCGTGAATTTTAGCTCCGCCTCGTTTTTATTTTTTTTTTCTGCCTGCGATAATTTTTGGCCAGGCGGAATGCGGTGTCGGATAAACTTTCAGAATTGGTAGCCCCGTCTCCGTAACAGGCAAGTTTCCCAGGGCGGTGTGTCTTTTCCTCCGGCAGTAAATGATGTCGATGATCATCGCGAATCTCCATTGTTATACGTGCATACAGCTGCAACCATGATACAGAGGAGGTTATTCTCGGTCCTTCGGGTCCTTCAACATGATAACCCGTTGGTAGTTTTTAAGTGCTTGAATACCACAGACAAAATGTACTGACGATAGCAGGGTCTTCCTCGTTCCGGCACTCCGCCGTCATTCCCTCGCCGCCGAGATGTGCCAGAGAAGCGCAAGATCCGTGATGTGAAGAAGGTGATCGCAGTGTCGTCAGCTAAGGGTGGTGTGGGTAAATCTACAATTGCCGGTATGGGAGCCCGATTGCGATCTCATCTGATCCACTTTGTGCATTGCAGGTTCTCTGCTAGTGAAAATCTGCCGATACCAAACTAACCTATCTATTAGTGAATCTCGCTCTGTCTCTAGCTCGCCATGGAATTCGTACTGGCATTTTGGACACTGACATATTCGGGCCTTCTATCCCAACTCTCCTCAACCTCTCCGGTGAACCGCGCCTAGACGAAAGTGAGCTCCTTGTTCAGTCTCAACTGGCTAACTCGTGCTTTCTTGTCTACCCATCTCTGACTTTGCCCAGATAACTGCCTCCTCCCTCTTACCAACTATGGCCTCAAATCCATGTCGATGGGATATCTCCTCCCCCAACCCGAGGCAGACGCCTCACACCCCTCCGGCAATGTACCCATGGACACCACCCCAATCTCATGGCGCGGTCTCATGGTCACCAAGGCCATGCACCAACTCCTCCACTCAGTCTCGTGGGGCCCCCTTGACGTGCTAATTCTAGACCTACCTCCTGGCACCGGCGACGTGCAACTGACAATCGGTCAAGAGATCGTCGTTGACGGCGCAGTCATCGTGACCACGCCGCAAGACATCGCTCTGCGCGACGCAGTTCGCGGCTTCGGCATGTTCGAGCGGCTGAAGATCCCCGTTCTGGGGATGGTGCGTAACATGGCCTACTTTGCCTGCCCGCAGTGCGGCCACGAGACGAAGATCTTCTCCCACGGCGAGAGTCACGGCCATGGACCAGAAGACTGGGGCGTCATTGCCGAGTGTAAGCGACTAGGCGTCGACTTCCTGGGCGATATTCCTCTTGACGCGAAGGTCTGCGAGGATGCCGACCGTGGTATACCCACAGTTGTATCGGAGGAGAGTGATGGTCGTAGCGCGAGGCGCAAGGCGTTCCTTGACGTAGCTGAGAGAGTTGCCCGGAAGGTTGGTTTGGAGTGGCATTAAGGTACTCTTCATGATGACTGGCCCCATGTACATTACATATATACCCTAAGATGGTCCTCTCAGGTCACACCGGAGCGGCCATTTAAATTCCGGCATTCTTAGTTTCCTAGAAACGCCAACATCTACTGCTTAGTACCTCCATGGCTTGGTTATACGATGGCAAGTTCATCTGAGTTATGCGTCCCCACATATCGATATAGAAAATAATAAATTATCTGCACGCAACAAGCGGCATTATCATGCATAGATATGATACACAGAACAGCGAACCCCCAGTACTCTGTTCGTGGTTTCCTTCCATACAAGAATACCTAATGACTTCAAATATATTATTTATGGAATACCCCCCAGTAATAACGTCGCTCTACAGTATTTTGCAAAATCAGCTTAAAAATGTGGAGAGTGCCAGGCTATAGATGTCATGTACCTAACCAACAGGACCCCCTAATAGTAACTGTGTAAGAGATACAAAACTGCCTACATGAGCAACATCCAAAAAATATTATTTGAATATGTAAACTAAGGGGCATATTGTTAGTCTAATCAAGCAAGTACAATACCATTGCGCTATATATCGATGTCAGTATGGATTTTTGAAGCCTGAAACCAGTATTTTGATTATATGATTTTGCCAGGAACGAGAAATACAGCAATCACTGAGATCTCAGTGGAATATCACATAGCCATCCCATCAACGGGGTACTTTTGTCCTCAACTATGGACATGTCTTTCATATGTACTCCGTATGGAGTAGAAAAATGCAAAGGTGATTTTAGAATGTACCTTTAGTAATTACATGGCTAGGACTACATATCATTATTTGCCAGCTTTTTCCAACAAGAAGCGTTAGTGGTGTAGCGGTTAGCATTATTGCCTTCCAAGCAATAGATCTGGGTTCGACTCCCAGCTAACGCACAATTTCCTTTTTTTTTTTTCCCTCTCTCTCTCTCTCTTTCGGCTGCTTATAGAGCCCTACGTTCTTAGTTTTTGTTTGTCTATGAAGTAATTGTTCAATAGTTATTTTCAAAAGGATATGCTCAAAGGGAAACGACAAACGTTAGTTCTATTTTAAATTAGGGTATAGCTATGTACAAGTGAAAGACAAGGCAATAGTATATAGCATGTGTCTAAATCCATTATCATGTGGCATGTCATAAACCATAAATCAATGGTACTCATCCGCCGTCTTGAAGACATCCCGGTCTGGCATATCCGGACGACCGATGTAGGAATAGGCATCTCCCTCGGTATTTGCATTGATCGAGTAGAATGAATCGAGATCTCCCGATCGACGAGCGGCGGAGAACGCATCGACAGAATCATTCGTCGAGTTCCCGTGGTTCATCAAGCTCACCACGCCCTTGGAATTGCGGACGGCGCGGGTACTTGCGTTGTCCAAGCCGGTGGTTGTGGTGAGGGCCAAAGACCTCTGGTCGTCAATCGTACTAGTCTCCTCCAAGTCCGCAGTGAGGACACTTCGTACTGTGCCCGACCCGGCCTGAGAGGCAGGCCGTTGGTTGTCAGACGTTGCGGGAAGAGTCCCCGCGGCATGTAGCAGGGTTGTCGTGCTTGCATTCTCTCGCGTGAACTGCCTACTTTCATATTCTGGCAGGAGGATCAGGGGGTTTGAGGACTTTCCAATTGAGAGAGTGTCTTGACGAGAGGGCTCATCCTCGCTAAGATTTCCAGCAGCATCAATCGGCTCCTGTTTTGATATTTTATGGCTGGTGATCCCTGCATCGACAAGGGCAAGTCCTTGAGCATCGGATGTTGGCTGTTTCTGTACATCCGATCCACTGGGTTGCTCAGTCGGAAATGATTCAATACGATTCTCAGGCTTTTCTTTCCCCATGGATTCTCCAGCTCGCCCACACTCCACGCTCTTTCTTCTTGAGCGATCTCCCAGTTGGCGTTCCCTTTCAAGAGTACGCTCATCATGTTTGCTAGCAATTCGACTCCACATAGTCATCGGGTAGCTCTTTCGGCCCATACGGGCCTTCTCAGCCGGTATGACGCCAGGAGCAAGCCTTCTTGCAGCCAATGAGCTTGGAGGAGGAGTCTCACCCTCAAAATCCTGGAACCCGTGCGCCAGCTCCTTCAAACGTTGTCTTTGGACCCGGAGTTTGGCTTTTGCAAATTTGATATCCCATTCCTGCTTACTGCTTATCCACTTCGTGACAAGGTGCGGGTTCATGGTGCCGATATGAGACTTTGAGCGCTGAAGAACAGCATAGGATGCTGGTGGCTCAAGAGGATATATATGACCTCTTTTATCGACTCGTTGGCGTATCATGCGGTCCCTGAATGATGGTAGCGGATCACCAGCCCTACCCACGGAAGCGGTTGAAATATCCGTATTCTGCTTCTGTACGCCCTTGGTGGCTGCGCTGGGGCCATCGGTATCAGTAGAGGAGATGGGTGAGATCTCATCATCGTCAATAATATCAATCCCAGATGTCTGCGCACATGCAAGAGCCCATGCCCCGAATTGAGCAATCGAGCGATACATGTATTTTGCGGGGCGCGTGAAGCTTAGAGCCGGTGTGACGTGACAGAGATCATCCCATACTTGAAGCTGCACATAAGTGCCCGGATATTTGTGCAGTATCTCTCGCGTGGGGTCATACTGATCAAGGAAGGCATTGCTGGGTGAATATGCTGTCGGATTCGCGGCCTTGTGCGCAAGGTAAAACTGCTCATCTCGCAATCGTTCACCTCCCCCGACAAGAATCTGGAGCGGAGGTAGACCGCCAAGTGAAGGTTGAAGGACCGGGGAGACCAAAGGGTGAGATATGAGCTGATTCGTTACATACATTTGAATCTGATCTTTCAACTCGATTGTCTTCCCTTCAATAGGAATTTTGATGTTGCCGCACCCGTCATGTATAGTAGCCTGTGTGCCTGGAAAAGCAGGCTCCATAGCCTCCGGCCCGCCCTGCTCAACTGAATAGCCCTTCACCGCGGTCTCATGGGCCTCGCTATTTTTGTTCAACAGGATTTGCTCCACGACGCTTTTCGAGGAACTCTTCCCGGCGCTTTTCCTCATGGCCTCAATCTCATCGGCGTTCGGAGGCGGCCAGGCTGCGGAGGGCTTGTGTCGAAAACCATTCGGAGGAATGTAGTCCCCTGGGCAATCTGATACCACGCTTGGGAATGAATGGGTTAGGTCGACCCAAGGAGAGATCAGAATCGCTCCTGCGGGTAAAGGTAGTCCTTGATCGCGGAGAATGACCAAAATACTAGATGAGGTTAGCGAGGCTCTCCTATCAAACAAAGTGACCTGACTTACGAAAGTACCATGCCACCCCCAGCGGAGTCCCCAGCAAAAATAATGTTTTTTGGGTCATGCTCATCCAGGAGATAAAGGTACGCAGCAAGACAGTCCTGCAAAGCGCAAGGGAATGGAAACTGTGGTGCTAGACGATATTCCGCTTAACACAACATTGGTTAGTCATTGACCTACTCTTAAGACCCGTAGTTCAACTTACTACACACACTTAGCGATATGTTGGGACATGGGAGGGGAGCTACTTACCGTGCAAAGACTCGTCCCCTAAGTTTCCTAGCATGACGCTGCAACTGATACCGATGTGTTTCTACACTGCCGAAGAAGTATGCGCCGCCGTGAATATACAGCATGATTCGTTTCTGGCTCGGATAGTCACCCTTTGCGCGCTTCCTCTCATTGTAGTCCTTTTTCATCTCGATCCATTCCCCCTTGAGGCCGTCCGATGGCCCTCTCCATTGCCACCATTTCTCTCCACCGACTCGGGATACCCCTTTGGAACCAAGTTGGTTAATAATCGTAGTGGCAGCCGAGGACAAGTGATTTTCTGAAATTGTGACTTTATCCGTCTTCACCCAATGTGGCGCAGGCACTCGCTGAGCTGTGAAGGCTTGGAGATCTTCGACGGGATGCTTAGAGGCATAGGTAAGAAATTCGCGGATGATCTGAATGCCTTCGTCGTAGGAGATGTGAACGGTAGGCTTGGACTGTCGAGATTTCCGATGCAGAAACTGCAGACACAAGATCGTCAATAGTGTCACATACTACTGGTTTGGAGATGAATTAACTTACATGCGAGAACAGGGTCGCAACGACAGTAGGCGTGAGGGCTGCACCCAGTGCCACCGTATTCAATGGCATGGCGCGATTATCACCGAAATAAAAATCACCTACTTGTTAGAAAAGTTCCATGCGACGGGGATCCGGCCTCGCTGATATTTAACAGGATCCGGTGCTGAGGTTAAGCAATCCACGGTTGCGAAGGATGGGATACAGATTTGAGGAAAGAGTAATGCAGAGGAGAATGACACAGGGCCTAAGTAGTGGGTATCAACAGGGCCCCAGCGATCACGCAGCCATTGGGCATCAAGACTGGCTGGATCATCTATTCTTATATCGCGGACTCGTGGTGGCCTCGCAATGGACGCTCTTGTTGGATCGCAGAGGGGGGAAGAGCCTAAGGCCAGTGATGTCATTGCTTAATTGCGTGTAGGGGATGCGCTAATCCTGTTCGGGTGGAGACATGTGAGATCGTTTTGAGAGAAATAGTTGATCATCGTCCACTGGAGATACAATCGTCAATAGTCGTCATAAGTATGAATTAGACCGCTTGAGCATCTCTTAAAGGTTTTTCCCATCATCAGGGTCAAATGCTGTCAACTGGCTTGCTGAAGATACGGTACTTCCAAGCTTTCCCGATGGTCGATAAGCTCGCCTGTAAGTACTTAGTAGATAGTAGTACTCCGTAGAGACTAGAGTCTAGACTCTAGAGTAGGATCCGCTGTGAAACAACGAAGAGCTTGACAGTAGATAACTAATAATGCATGAATATGAGAAGACAATAAAAGACCGAGCTGGCATGTCTGGACTCTGCATCGACTGGAGGCTCGCATTAAACTCCTGGGTTGTTTGTGACACATTGTGGTAGTCGGTCCAGGCTCTAGAGAGGAGGCAAGTAGACAATATGATCAGGTGCATGTACATAACTATGCATGTGCCTTAGTAAGCTCCTGCATAAATTGAGGTCAGAACGACATGTATAACTTTCATCATAGAAACCTCATATCCTGCAAACAATCAAAGACTCACATTGTCACCCTTCACATTCCAACAACCATATGAAAATTTCATTTCATATATTTGATCACTGATTTGAGGATTTTAAAGACCTACATCTGCCGTTAAGGTCAACGCGGAGGATTGCGTTGTCCATCCGAGTGACCGTGTGACACTATATAATCAACTTCTTCAACCATACTGCTCTCTCACTTGACTTTTAAGACGGAATTACCCTCTGCTTCAAGAAAAAAGATTTCATCAAACTTTAGTCTCTCATCCAAAATGACAGAGTCTCTACCTTCGACAATGAAGGCCTGGCTCTATAGCAACGCCTCTGGCGGGCTCGAAAAGCACCTCACCTTCAACCCTGAGGCACGCACCCCAGGAACCCTGCGCCAGAACCACGTCCTGATCCAGGTGATCTCAGCCTCCATCAACCCCGCAGACTACAAAGTGCCCGAACTGGGTCTTGCATCCAAAGTCGTCATCACCACGCCCGCCACTCCAGGCATGGACTTCTGCGGCCGCGTCGTCATCATCGGCCCCGATGTCTCCGACTTCCACCCCGACCAACTAGTCTACGGCTCGATCGGGATCCCGTCCCAGTTCGGGTCTCTGGGCGAGTATCTCGTGTGTGCGGCGAGCACCATCGCAGCCCTGCCCGAGGGTGTGGATCCGGACCATGCAGCGACGGTGGGTGTTGCGGGCCAGACAGCGTACCAGTCGCTTGCGCCGTATGTGTCGGCGGGGGAGAAGGTGCTGATTAACGGCGGATCGGGCGGGGTTGGGATCTTTGCAATCCAGATTGCGAAGTTGCTGGGATGCCATGTTACGACGACGTGCTCGACGCGCAACGTGCAGTTCTGCAAGGACCTGGGCGCGGACGAAGTCATCGATTACACTCAAACGGATGTCTTGAGTACCCTCAAGAGCCAGGGCCATGTGTACAGCCATGTCGTGGATCACATTGGACTGCCCGAGGGGCTTTATAGGGAGTGCGATGCGTTCTTGCTGCCGGGGAAGGTGTTCGTTCAGGTGGGCGCGGCGTCGATGCTCACGTTTGCTCGGCGGCTGGTTAGGCCGAGTTTCTTGGGCGGCGGGAAGAGGAAGTATGTGATTCTCCTGTTCAAGAATAACAAGGCCGATATTGTCCGTATTGGCGAGTGGATCCAGCAAGGCAAGGTGCGCGTGGTAGTCGACAGCACGTACGAGCTACAGGATGCCGTCAAGGCATTTGAGAAGCTTCGCTCGGGAAGAGCGAGAGGAAAGATCATCATCCATGTTGGACAAAAGCCTTGAACAAGGAAATGATTGATGTAACTTTACAATTTGCGGTTGTACTATTCGGCGCTCTGGTAGTGCAATTGTGGGATATCCCTACTCAGCTCAAAAGGTATCGAGATATGATGCTCAAGTTAGTGTTCATATTTATGTAGGTTGAGAACTATTTACTGTGTGTTTTCTACCTTTGTTGTGAGGATCACGCCGCCTCCTTCCGCTGGAGGAAAGTAAGTGCACCAAATGGTTATTACATCTACTGCCGTGCAAAGACAAGGTTGGATACACGGTGCGAAGAACAGGGAGTGATTACTCGGCAGTTCAGTCACCTTGCTCCTGGCGACAGCATCGTCCCATGTCTCAGTATCAACACAGCCAAACGTCTATATCACGTAAGGGGCTCCCACTACTGTAGTAAGAAGCGAGAAATCCTCGCTGGCCACCGCGGGCTTTCCGACTTAACCAGGTTATCTTTGAGATAGGAACTGAATGTCCCCCGTAAGGCCTGCACAGTAGCTCTTATCGTTGATGGTAGCTGGTGCGGAACTGATTGTTGTAATGGATGGTTTCTTGACGACTCCGGCGGCCTCGCACTCTGCTTTAATGATCTTCTTGTTGGATGTAAGCACTCGGCCTCGTACATCCGTGTTGTATGTGCGGATATTGAGCTTGAGATCTAACTGGTCTGGAATGATATTTGCCGTGTGACCTGCTTGAATGCTCCCATGGCTAACGACGGCCAGCTTGCTAGGTGTTACTTCGCGACTCATAATAGTCTGTAATCTTGTAACAATGGAAGTGCTAATTATAATAGGATCAACACGCGTCTGCGGAGCTGAGCCGCGCCCACCCCATCCATAGATTCGTATATCCAACGCATCAGCTGCCGTGAGCAAGTGACCCAAGCGAATGCTGACTGTGCCCGCCTTCATTCGCATCGCATGCTGCGCAAGCACCACATCCGGCTTGGGTATCTTCTTGTAGGACCGTCATCGATCATTGCTTTCGCGCCGCACAGCTGCTCTTCTGCTGGCTGAAAGAGATAATCAGGGCTCCCGACCAGCACTCACGCGCCCCGCCTGCAAAAGGAGAACATCCTAGTCGTCCTAGCCGCCCCGGGCTATTGCAGGACCAATTTCGGGGGTGGTTAGGGCGTCAAGTCGGCTGAAGGAGCTCAGCCTATTGTCCGTGCGGCTACTGAGGGCAACCCAAAAGAACTATTTGGCAAGCAAATCGACGATGAAAAGACTCTGGTGGAGTTTGGTTGGTAGGGGAGGGATAACAGGGGGATTCTGTCATTCTAGGACATGAGAGAGAGTGGGAGGGTAGCGTAATTGCCGACTGCCCGAGAGCCCTTTAGTCGCGTGACTAGAATGGACTGACCCACGATCTCGGCCTTAGGCTCCATAACTATAATAGTGCTTTCTAATATCCTGGGATACTGAAATGCATGTTTCGCCTTCACACCTAGAAAAGTAGCCACTAACACTATACAATCCACATGCGCACTATGCTAATATAGAAACTGACTAATTTAGTGCAACATAAAGAATTCAACCGCCTCCTCTCCTAGAAATATCCCATAGATATACTGACAAGGGTTCAAACTCTTTGCAGAGCGCGTCCTGATCATCACATTTCTAGGCTGAGTCAAAGGATGGCTCGCCCAATAATGTCTCATGTGCTGTATGCCACGTTGCTGGTTCTGACACTTAGAGGCTTGTCCTTAGGCTACCACTGATGGCTTGCATTGAGGTACAGCGACTGAGGGCACATGTTTATCATATCTCTCCGTCGTGTACGTTGAAATTCACTCAGTATGAGAGCTATTCTGGCCATACACAAACGATCCCTTTTTAGAATGCCAATTGATTGTCCATGCTCTCATCTCAAACTTCGGGTGTCACTAAAATGATCCGGTCTTTGAACAAGAGTCAAGTCTGTACGCATGTACTGGTTACCTAGTGGAGTCGATCACCTCTTTATACTCGAGTACTCGATGTAATTGATCAACATCAAAGAAAGAGAACGTAGATCTGGTGATCTGGGGTAATATTAGTTTCCAGATTCTTTGTCCTACCAAAGTCCCAAGCTCATACTTCAACCAAGAAGCCGGCAGCAATCATCTATCAAGGTGTATGGCGATTTAGGGGCTGTTTAGACCTATCCCAAACTCATTTTCCCATGAACTATCTACTTAGGATAAGACATTCCAAGGTATGACCTGTTGTTTGCCGAGAGATGGCTTTGACTCGAAGATCCAGCAAATTCAAAAGTTGAGGTTGCACTGCATCAGGCACATAAAGAAACTTGCATAATCCTGGGTACATGCATATTCACTGAGCTTTGATTTATTGTCTGGCTTACAGCCCCAGAGTGCATTATCAGCTAGGCTTAATGACAGGTATTCCCTGCTGTAAAGAGTATATTTGATGCTGATTAATATGCCATCATGGTTTCCTGCCTTGCTGGTGTGACTCTACCAGACAGCAGAGTGAAAGCTTCATACTAACACCTCCTATACTCATTCACTGCCAGTTTCTCTATTGACAGACTTTCATTCACTTGAGCATCTCTTCTCATTGTTTAAATACCTCCCAGAGCTCGATCCTTCTCCTTTCTCCTCTTTAACCACCACTCTTCTACTCTGCTCACTTTATCTGCATTCACATCTGCAAGTTAACCCATCTCAACCTTCTTGTTTTAGCACACTCAATCGATCCAATTCAATCATCACCATGAAGTTCCTCAACATTCTCACCCTTGCTTTCATCACTGGTATGGCCAGTGCTGCCGCTGTCCCTGGTGGCACCACTACCAACGACGCAGCATCCACCCTCGACAACCTCAACAACAAGCGCAGCGTCTGCGGACAGCTGTGCTTCAACAACAAGGACTGCGGTGGCCCCTGCCCCAAGTGCAACACCAAGGAGGGCGTCTGCGTTAAGAAATAGGTTCGTAGCACTCTGCTTCCCGGTTCCACTTTTCTGACATTTCATCTGATGGCATCTTAAACCAGACGAATGAGACTGTGCATGGGCATTATTGCTAGGTTGATCCATTCAAGCAAGCGCAATGGTAAGAAGTTTCGAATACACCCTGGGGAATTGGACTTGTCTGACAGATTGCCAGCCAGCACTGACGACGTCTTTGGTGCTTTGATATTTTATGAATAACGACATATCTCACGAACAAAGAATTGAAGTATCTGATGACAGGACGCTGGTTTATTGGACTTTCAGGATGGATGCGAATGGCTTGGACTTTGCACCTTGATGGTGTCGAGGTTCGCTGCCTGAGGACAGGATCTAGATAGTCAATACACTGCTTTAGTCATCTTTAAGAAGGCGCAACATTATAGTCTGTAGCTTGTGGCGCTTGATCTGGAATGAATTAGTCCTTCTGCAATTTAAATAGATGTACTTGATTGTAAAAGGGATGGTCATCGTAATAGTAAATAAAGGTTGGTCAATATAGGTATTCTACACCGTACAGGCCAAGTGCCAAGGCCAAAGAACTTGGGCCCTAAAGGTGGAGCATGTCAAATCCAAGTGGAGCCAAGAATATTGTTTCGTCCAACGCCATTGCAGTCCACAAACGAAAGATTGCAAAAAAAAATTTGCTCCCAGGCTACACCATAAGAGTAGACTGAATAAGAGCAAAAAGAGAAGCCGAACGCGGGGGTCGAACCCGCAACCTTGAGATTAAGAGTCTCACGCTCTACCGATTGAGCTAGCCCGGCAGGCTTCTTGAAGACATTGATAGCGAAGAGATTTATGACGCCCAGTACTTTACTCAGGGGATCTCTCGCAACAGACGACACTGACTATCTTCTTACCTGCAACTGTAGCGAGCACATAGTTGGTAAATTGTGCTTGCGGGACGTTATATCCAAGTCAAAGCACACGGAGGTTATGCATGGCATGGGATTGTTCGGAGTGTCTTTTGTCGAATGAGGGCGGGATATAGATAGTGTGTAGCGCTGTCTTCGTGTTTCAGCCTCGACATCTCTGCTTCATTGTTCAGTGACAAGGATGACTGCTAAGAGATATTATTTCGAGCAGTAAATCAACTGGTTAGAGGGACTCTAAGCAATAATTGAGTCGAGCCGCGCGACAACTATCGAGCGTTGTGAGCCAGCGGTAGTAGAGAGCTGCTGTCAACGTAGACGAGCGGGAGGCACCAACATTACCTCGTGCCTATCCCCATTTGGCGGTTTGCTATTTTGATCTCGATATCACTTTGGGGAATCTAGAGGCCTAGATAGATTGCGAGCAATTTGGAGTAGAACAGGATATGACCTACATGCCAAGGCTCCGGAGCTCGTATCGAGTTGTCAGCATGTGGCTGAAGCACGATAAGGAAAGGAAGAGGAGAGATGAAGGAGCCACAATCACAGTAGGAGTCTCTGTGGCTTGAGGCTGAACACCGTGAGAGAAGGATTGAGGCTGAGAGCCTGGGGCAGTGCGACCCCTGAGGCTCGAGCACGCTTCCCAGTTACCACTGATTATCATCACAAGGAAGCGAGACACTCGTTCTCGACCCTCGAGGATAGGGGTTCGAGCAGGAATGCTTCCCAGCGCTGTTATTTACGATCCGCAGAGATAATGATATGGCATAGGTTACCAGTAGAACGGTTCGAAACCACGAGGTGTCTCAGGAAATGCCCGCGGCCTAGGGCGGCAGCGGTTGCGAAGCAAATGGGACACATATATATGTTCGGCGGATAGAGAGAAAGAACGAGCGCATCTGAGCCAACCGAAGATCCCGAGAATATGGTAAATCTATTATCGTGTGAAATGACTTCGATGAAAATCCCCGAAAATGAAAATGAAGATGACGACTTCATGTTTGTTGTGAACTTGTGATTATGTTGGCGGCAGTTGATAGACCCTGGTCGCAGTAGTCAGTAAACACGAGGATCAAGCCACAGTTCACTCTCGATAGTCCCTGACACTCTGTCCTTGACCAGCTGAAATTTCGTCAGTTCGCTGCAGCCAGGATGACTCGAAATCCTCCCAGGCTCCCCGACTCCCAAACAAGTAATGCACTAAGATCTTTATGAGCAAAACAAGGGTCTAGAGATCCCTAGATGGTCGGCAACCTGCAACTGCCTGCAAGTCACTTGTGCCTCCGTCGTGCAGCATCCACACCAGATGGAGTCACAAAGAAATAAACGCATGACGGGATGACGGACTAGACTTCCACTTGGTGTGGGAGGTGGAGCAGACAGTAGTGGAAGTGTGGGATAGGAGGACAATAATGGATGCACCCTTGATCCTCGTTCGGGGAGCGAAAGCAGTGATTGACCGCCAGTTATCGTGATCAGGCCAATCACCAGATCAGAATTCCACCAACAACTACTGAATTGTGACCGAAAGTGTTGCAGGAGACGCCCACTTCCTGATCAGAATTAGAGGGATTCTGTTTAAAAAGCACTGCCTGCATGCACCAGCCACAAGCAGACTGACCATTCGCAGCTCCTTTCGAGTCATCCGCCCCAGGCAACATTAGGCACTAAGAATGGAATGGGGATAGCATCGTCTTCCCAGGCTACCGTGCGCACTCTCCCGTCCCTCCCGCAAGGCGTTTTTTTTGAGAAAATCTACTTGTGACCAATGCTGTCATCCTATCTTTAGTAGATCGATTGCAGTCACTAGACCCGTTTCTGCTAGCTGCAGTCGTATATACTCTGTTTTTGAATATGGATCCCTTTTCCCCCAGGTGACTATATAGATCCTCTGCATCCCTCCCATCTCCAACCGATATTTCCTTTCTGTCATTCATTACATTCAGCGTTATAAGAACTCAGAATAGCAAAGCATTCATCGCAAACACTGTTCTCCAAGTTATCTGTGCACCGTCTACTGGCAACTGAGCGCGACCCAACTTCCCACCCCACGCTCTTGAGCATACCTTCAGAGCCGTCACACTGTCGCCCTACGAGACCTCTCGTCGTGTTTTCGGCCCATCGCCTGCCTTCTCGTCCATACGAGAACGAATCCTTCTCCGAAGGACAACAACTCATCAACCGCTCCGTCCTCGCAGATCATTCACCATGCCCGCTTTGATCGAGAGCTCCGAGCCCGTCGTTCCCGTGCTGCGCGTTCGCGAGCTCGAGGATGACGAGGAATACGTCATGACCGCATTCGAGCGCCATGCCAGCCATTGCTCGCACTGCGCGGACCCCCTACGAGCTCACCAGGAGGATCGTTCCCTGTGTGACCGCGGCCACCAGTATGCGCTCGACGTCGCCGAATACCTGTACAGCGAGAACGGAAAGGCCAAGTCTGTGATCGATCGCGAGCTGCACCAAACCACACTGGTTAAGATTCCCCGGCACTGCACCGCTGTCCGTGGCCTGCTCCTTGCCATCGAGGATGGTTTGCGCCTGCAGCGTAAGGAGAAAACGCAGTCTCAAGTCCAGGTTCGGGTTCCGCCTCAGGCCCCCGTCATCAGCTACGATAAGACATATCCCGTTGCACCTCGTCGAGTGGTCACCCAGCAGCCTACTACAGTGAATGAGATCATTGAGCGGGAGCCACGCACCCTCAAGCGTCGCCGGGTGATCATCTACCCATCCCCTCGGGAGTCCTCTTCCCGGGGCTCCCTGTACGACTCGGATGCGGCAGATCGTATGGAGCGCTTCAAGGAGTCTTCGCGCATTTACCGTCCCACTACATACTATCGTTGAGCCGATTTCTTGTGTTTCACGTTTCTTCACTATCAACACAACCATCAAACCATAACAAAAACCCCTCCTGGCCTTTTCTGCACCGCCAGACGCCGAGACGAGCCCCAGGACACCACAACGGTGTCCACGACTCCCGTGAGCGCAGAGCGCCCGGCACTAGTTTCTTATCTTCATACAAGCTCATGATTCACCTCTTGGAAATTGATTTTCCATCTCTGAATTTGCACAAAGCTTCGATGAAGCCTTTTTGTTCTGAAATTCGACCTTGCTTACAAGTACGAGTTCTTCGAATACACCTTGAACCACCAGGAATAAGAAACCACAAAAGAAAAAAACAAGGAAAAATGAGAAAAGAGAGATGGGGGGGGGGATCCTCACTCTCATTCCAAAACTCCTGCCATTCAGTCTGAACGAAGCGATCACGCATCCACCTGCAAGTCGCATGACTCATGCCTTGAGTTTCTGCAAGCTGTCCCGATGCAAGTTGATCGTTTCTACGTCTGTTCATTCATCAATCGCAAGCCATGAATAATCTGGCCACAATCATTGGACGTGTACTTAGTCTAGTATTTCCTTTGTACTCAATACTACAAACTATGCTTCGGCAATCGATACCTCCCATACCTGCACTAAATCCTTCAAGAAGTCCCTGATAAAAGTGTGAGTCACAAAATAGACAGCAGTATGGTCTGGACGTAAGCTGTCAGTAGTAATCATGCATTAGCTTCTCTGTGCAGGTCCCAGTCATAAGTGCATGAGTGCTGACCCCACAGAAGTATGGCGGTGCACACTGCAGTAGCTTACCCTTAGAGATATTAAACTAGAGATCACATTCTCTGCAGCTTTCTATGCGTGAACCTTGTAGGGAGAGCATTAGACATAAAGAGAGTGGGATAATAAAATCACCTTCAGGCTTTGTCTGACACAGGGAGTACAAGGGACCCATTTGCCTAGTATCACTGAATAAAGAAAACAACACAGCCAGTGAATATAGATACTGTTACCTCCTACTAGGGAGGTGTTAGGGATCTCTTTTGACATTTCATTCAAGAAATATGAATTCCACGTATATGCCATTTATATATATGCCATTTCAACTAGCGCGGGTGGGTAGGCTCTTGGAGCGAACATGTGGAGTTGATTAAGCAGGGTTTACGTCTTCATGAAGTGTATAAGTGCCTCTAGTCACCAATTCCAGACAACTATTCAAGGGACCTGCAGATATATTGGCTCCTAGGATGAGTGTCAAGGTACCTTCTTATACCCCAAACTGCCAAGATCGCTCTTATACTTCCGTGAGTGTCGCGAGTGGCAGGTTCGCAGTCAATATTTGAATGCCATAGCCTTTGCCAAATAACGGACCGCTGTGCTTGATCTAAGCAAGCGGAATGATCTTTCGGAGGTAGCATGCTTCGTATAGCAATCTGGCATATATAGTCATCATACAGGGGGGAATGGATCATCAACATTGTACGAAGTATACATCGTCACGTGGTTAGTATCTGAAAGCACCTGGGTTATACATCTCTACTCGAGATTTTCAACCATCAGAGCCCAGACAAAACATGAAACAGAGTAGGTATCAAGTTTGTAACAACATGCAGTCTTAGGGAAAGATGAAGCTTTTGCATAATTTGATAGAGCTTCTGCTTTTCACTGATATACCCAAATGCCCACTCCACAGAAAAACCTACAGGTACAACGCTAGGTATTATCTTTCAACAACCTTCGAGTATTGGCTGAGATAAGTTTTCTTGTTAAAGGAAATGGGGAACCTTTTGTGAGAAACACCAATATGCAGCAAAGTAAGTGATAAGTTGATAACATACAAAGAGATGCGAACCTTGGCACTATTCCCCTTCAGTAACTCAAACCCACGTGACTCTATCTCAGTCTCCAAAGTTCTCCTCCGCAACTCCGATATCCTAGGTCCATCTAGACCAGGCTCCATCTCTCCTACTAGTTGATTCCTCCAATTCAACTCGCCAAAATGGCCAAGAAAGGTATGCACACAATTCCTCGAGCCCAACATCCTGCCACTCGACGGGATTCGACGTTGGGCTCAAGCAACCGAATACCCTCACAAAGGACTGGTTTGTGACTGACCTTTGCGATTCTTCCGCAGCGAAATCTCGTACTATCATTGTCCGGCTGATCTCCATGGCCATGACCGGCTATTACCGCACAATGATCCGCCCTCGAACGCACCGGCCGTTGAGCATGCTGAAGTACGACCCCGTGGTGAAGAAGAAGGTGTTGTTCCTGGAAGCGACAAAGGGTGGAAGAGCGAAATGATCCACGGTTTCGATGATCGAGTTTATTTCCGCACGCTTTAGCCCTGCTGCTCCGACAAGAAGGTCTTGACGAATTCGTATCCTTTCGGCGCGACGGATCTTTACATCTCCTACCATTATCCCATCTTTTCAACATCACCCACAAAGGCAGCGGCTACTCGAGCTCCACTTCGTCAATGATCATGTACATTAAGAGAAAACAACAGTGCAGGCGATATCGTGATCATGGGGTCATTATATTGCTAAGCTGTATCTGTTCTGGTTTTGCATTCCGGCGTTTAGAGCAGTACATTCTGGGTCAATTTATATGTTCGATATCTTGCGTTACTCTCATCCTTGATCTCCGACTTGGTTCACCCTTCGACCGTTCAATCTCGCGATAGATATGCTGCATGGCTGAATCTTCCTGCTCGTAATATAAACCGTCACTAACTGCTAGATTCATTGCCGTTCTACCTCGATGTCATCGTCCCAGTTGCATGTCATGAAGCTGACTATGAGTTTTCTTGACTGAAACGGGCATTATATCGATCACCTGTGCTTATCAGTAACCATGTAACCTTCTTTTGCTGAGTCTAACTTACCACGAGTCTTCCGCCCGCCGCGCTTTGCGCTTCGGCCCCATCTATTGTTCTTTGGATGGTTTCCATTCGCAGAGGGCTGCCGACTGCTTCCAGAGCCTAGACTTGTGGGGCTTCCCCTGGGTTCAAAGTACTCAGAGGTACCTTGTGCCTGCTTTCTGGTCCTGGTATATGACGATACCATGGACACTCGTGGTCTCTTGTCGTTACTCGTGTATTGATTATCAGAATGGTTGTCCCTGTTAGGAGCCTCACCCACCGAAGAAATGTTCGATTGGGTTGAGCCTCTCACACCTTTAAAAGAAGAGCGCTGAAGTTTGCTGTAAGTTCGTCTCGCCGTGCGTTCGGAGCCTTCAATGACTTGTCTCTTCACCATCCTGCTTTCAGACTGGCTGTCTAGAACTGCCGAGAACTTGCGCTTCTCACCTCCAATATCTTGGTCATCTGCCTCAAACGTGACCATTTTTTGGCCCTCCGCGTTCGCGGAACCAGTAGCAGTATCCAAGGCTAGTAATTCTTGCTGTGTCTTCGGCGAACTCTGATTGCTCATTCGGGGCTGGTGATCCTTGGGCGAGGATGTTAAAATGGTGTTTCTGTCTTCTTGTCTAGGCGTCTCCACGACGATCGGATTGCACCCATCGAGTTTGGTCTGCGGTGGTGTAAAGCTTAACATATCGGCCAGATCGCTAGGTTCTGGGCTTAAAGAGGAGCCAAGTGCCGGTGACGCCTGCTGCCGTATGCTTGAGAATGGCATAATCTCATTCGATGGCCCTGGCTCCGCAGGCTGACTGGCGCTATTCGATGCTTCAATATTGGTTTGATGCTGACCTGGGGTTGACAACGGTCCACTCTGGATGCTTTGTGTCCGGTATATGAATTCTGTCCGTTGAACCAAACCCCGTACTGGAGTTTCACAGACCTTATTTGAGGCTGAAGACGCCTGGGTCTTATTTGCAATATCGTCATTGCCAGCAACAATAGCATTCTGCAAATTGTTCATCTCATCCAAGCTTGGAGTGTTCGAATCTGGAAAGCCGAGGTAATCTTGGAGTCGACCCCAAGTACTTGCGGGTAGTCCTTCCACTGAAGCACCTGATGAACTGCTAGATTGACTGATCGCCTCTTTGATGCCCTTCATCCATCGTTCGGAGTCTTGCAGTCTTTTGAGAAGGGCGTGTATTTCGGCTTTCGCCTTGGCCTTACCTGCCTCCAGATTCGATTTGGCTGAATTGACATCATCAAGGTCTTTTCGCATCTGGGAGCACTCATCCTCTTTCTTCAAAAGAGCATCCTGGAACGAATCCAGCTTGCTCTGTTGGTTCTCGACTTCAATATCCCGCGAAGATATCACACCATTGAGTTCGACAACCTTCTTCCTTGCTTCATCAAGTTCTTGGGCAAGTGAGCCATGTTTCACTGCAGCAGAAGCTTCTGATTGGTGAAGTAACTTTATTTCCTCTTTTTGTTCATTCAATCGAACGGCATCCTGCACACGAGAGTCCTCCAGGCTTTGAATGTGCCGCTCCCTTGTCAGAAGCTATTGAAGTCAGCATTTTCTTCAAAGTAGCCTACCAAATCGATGTGCTCACCATTGCCTCCAATTCGCCTTGCCTCCTTTTCGCTTCATCGGCACCTTCAACCTGGAAACAGTTAGTATATGGCCCAAGCTGAAAATTAATGTAGAATTACAATTGACGTCCTGGCTTCGGACAGCTGCTGCTTAAGCTCATCCATATCTTTCTCTGCCTCGGCTTTCTCCCGTAACAATTTATGGATTTGTTGTTCAAATCTCGCTCTGGTTTGATCCCTGGATATGACACTCGCTCGGTTCAATTCCTCGCGGATCTCAGATTCAATTGATTCGATTTTCTCTTTTGAAGCAACGAGGTCAGATTCAAGATTGGCTGCTCGCTTTTCAGCTTCTTGGAGTCGCGCTTCCGCTTCAATCAGGCTGCGCTTCGTCTCTTCATTTTCGAGCTCTTTGGTTCTAACGTCTTCTTCCATTGAGCTTAATTCTGCTGATAGATGCTGGATCTGACTATTAAGCGCAGAGTTTTCAGCCGAAAAGTCGTCGATATCTGTTGCTGGGATTCCCACTCTATCTAAAATTCGTGCTTCAGAGAGAGTATTCCCGAAGTGATCAATTTTCTGAGCAAGACAATTCTCCTTCTCCTCCAGATCAGTGACAGTAGAACTGAATCTGTGGATGCTCGGCTCTAGCTCGCCGACCTTCCTAAGCAGGACTTCATACTGCTCTTGGCTGATGCTGAGCTGTTTAAGAAGCCGTGATTCATAGCTATCGTTTCCTTCAGCCAACTTTAGCTGTGCATTGATGTTACATGCCATTTTTTCGTTGAGCTCGCAGCTTCTCTCGATACCGTTCCTCAGCTGGAGTTCGAACGTTTCCATACTGGTAGCAAGGGTCAGCACACACATCTTTAGTGATGATATCTTGCCTAGACACTATGGACGTACCACGAAGAGACTTTGCTAGCAATTTCGCTGCATTGTTGAACATCTGCTTTGTCCTTCAAGAGCTCAGCTTTTACCTCCTTAACAAGCAATGCCCAGTTCTCGAGTGTCGAGCGTAGCGTTGACAGTGTTTCCGTTTGAGAGGCATCCAGTTTTTGACTCAACTTATCTGAAGCAGACTTGATTGTACTTTTCATTTCCAACTGGTCGGTTCGGATGAGCCCTAACTGCTTTGCTTGGACACGCGAGCTGCTTTGAATGTACGACTCCAAGATCGACGACCGTCTCTTTTCCTCGAAAAGCTGATGTTCGATAAACTTGGTTCTCTCCTCCGCATTTCGCAAGCCTAGGGCCATAGAGGTTATCATATTCTCTGTTTCAGAAAGATGTTTCCTTTTCTCATTCACAATATCGACCACTTGTGAGACTCGTCGTTTCGCATCTTCAATCTCAGACTTGATCTCTTTCCCTTCATTATCCAGAGAATCTTTGATATCTTTGAGTCGAAGGTTCTCCTTGCGAAGGTTTTGATATTCTGCGCCAAGCTCATTTAGAAAAACTTTGAACTTTCCGAGCTTTTGTTTCCAGCTCTCTATTTGCGCTCTATGTGTCTTGATCTGAGATTGGCTTTTCTGCACTTCAGTATTGAGAATCCCTACATGGCTCTTGAGAACTTCGTTCTCTTCTGCCAGCTCGGAGATATGGGCCTGCATTTGCTTCTGTATACCTGAAGCAGCAAGCTCGTTTTCTTCACGAATCCTCATCCGATGGATTAGAAGCTTAAATAGGTCCTCCTCCGATAATTGCGAGCCCTTATCACTGGGCCTGCATGTCACAAGTCGTTTTAGGCTGGTTGGCCTGTTTCCATTCGCAGCACGTCGCTTTGAGACTCTATGTCCATCGCCCATGGGGCCCATGGAGCGCGAACGAGATCCATAATCCTCATTTGTAGCCTCAGGTTGCTGAATAGGACTTTCTAACCCAATTGGCCCCTCTGGTACATTATTGTTCTATTTGGGAGAGGGCTGTCAGTCTTGCATGCTTTTAGCCCAATGTAACAAGAAACATAAATGGAGGTTTACCGTTCGTTCTGTAGCTATAGATGTGATATTGACTGAACCAGGTTTAACACCACCAAGTCAGACTCTTACAGAATAGTCACATACCTTGCTCGATTGCTATCTGCTGCCTACTAATCGCTAGTTGCGGAGCATCACCTCTTTCAACTCGGCCATGTTGTTGATCGCTATCGTCCGCTGAGCTGGTGCGGCTTCCTCCTGTTTTTGGCATTCACCGGGGATTCGTATCTGGCGTGAACGATCTTGTTGAGACTTGGCTGTGCTCAGTTGATTGGCAGGCAAGGTGTGTCTTTGACTCTTCACCAGTAGTAAAACGAATCGAGCTGGAGAACGGCTGTCAATGCAGGTCAAGAGCAAATGTATCTTTAGAAGCTCACTTCGTGTGGTTTGGCCCCTTTACCCTGTTGGAAGGCTCGCTCTTGTCGATTTGCTCTTGGGAGATAGTAGTGATTTGAGCTAAAGAGGGTTGCCTTGCTGAGTGTTGCAGCAACAACGGCTTTCCACGAGGGGCGGGCTTTGCGAAAGAGAACCCACTGACATCAAGCCCGGAGCTCTGTGGACGTGCCAGAAGCAATGGGGCAGTACGACCAATTTCTGGTCTGTCCGTCTTCTCGATATTACCCATGAATGCTTCCAAATTGGGCGAGATAGGCTCCTTGCTAGTCTGTTCCATCTGAAGAAGCAAGACTTCATCATCACTACCATGGTCCAGCTCAGAAATAGCCAAGGACCGACTGGGGGATGAAAGCCCGTTGCCTTGGTTCTCCATCCTGCGTTGTCTTTGTGTTGCAGGCTTTAATGAATGTTCGGTCTCAAATCTAAAGCGTACTCTTTGTATAGCTACAGCATCGGCCTGAAAAGTGCTTCACGCTAGAGTCCCAGCGAAAGACAAGGACAGAATAGAAGGATGAGGCGGATAGCAAAGGGGAGTTAAGACTGCCTGACTGACCCAGCATAGAAGATTTCCCCATTGGGAAAGTGCCTCTGGAGTGCCTGATGAGGCAGCGAAGCATATTTGCTGGATAACTAGCAAATCTATGGACTCCATTTTCTTCTCCTCCCCATGAACTTGAAAAGCTAGAAGAAAGTGAGATAGGAGCTCAAGGGCAGTAGAGGAGGCTAACACATGCCCTACTCGATCGTTTTTCAGGGATGGACAAAGCTCAACAAAGGGACATTGTGATAGATTGCTAGCAATAGCTGAAGGAGCTCAATTTTACTATGGATAGAAGCAAGAGAAGGGAACCATCCAGGAAATCTATTGATACATCATACAAGATTTTTGAGAGGGATACCCAAGAGAATACCTGTAAAGTAGATATCTAGTAGTGGGTGCAAGGCGATCGCACAGCGCGGTCAAATTATGGAGCCATGGATGTCAACATAGGTATCTACCCATCCACTACTAAGACTCTTCATGACACTCCTAACCTCTCACTGGCCTATCTTTACGCTTGATCTAAAATTAATCATCACCAACCTCAAACATGGAGACGACCCGAAGTCTTCAGATCCTGGCGACCAGCGCGTAGCTACCATTGGCTGCAGGCTTTAGACGTCAAAACGAGCCGTCGCACCCTGGGCGTCTATCACAGAAAATCAGCGCCAATATCACACCGTGACGAGCATTCTGCACAACTGATTCGCTGATGAAGTCTTCCCTTGAACTCTCAGAATAGCGCACATACCCCTGGTACTGCAGAGTCTGGGATATTCACGCTTTGAGATCATCATCTTCGAACCTATCATTATCCTATTCGCTGCATTGATGCAGTGGATTCTTCACGGATTGCTAACCCCCCTGGAGGGCTGTGCTACGTTTGGGGATGTATATACAGGTCTTCGAGCCCTGTGCTCAAGTGTACGTTGACCGTGTGTTTACCCTCGAGTGCCTGTTTGTTTGTTGTGATCATTATATGGAGAGCCGAGATACTTTGATTGCGCATCAAGCATATTTCATCAAGTTCAAAAACCTGCTAAATTGACTGAGCGGCCTGTCACCATGTCTTCGGCTGCAGTCTTTTACCACTGTGCTGTTTTCGCCCTCCTTCTCGCGCAGTCAAACGCTCAAGAGACGGACTATGCTGAAATCCAAAATGAAGCTGGAGCATCCGGACCAGAATCCGATTCAGTCGGATTTTCTACCAAAGGAATGATCGCTCTGTGCACTATTGTTGGAGTTGTCGTGGTCATTGGATGTGCGTTCTTCTTCCATATGTTGACTGTTCCATCATCTGACCGGGAATACTGACTACTCTTCTCCTACAGTGTCGTCCACAGCTCTCTTCTTCATCGCCAAAAAGCGCCAGTGGGAAATGCGCGAGACTATGCGTCGTTCAGCCAGACAGGTCACCCAGGCAATTAAGACGCCGTTGACACCCAGGTTTCCCAAAATCTCGGATCCCCACAAAAGAAACCAAACGAAGGAGAGAAAAGACCCGAAAGGCCACGAGTTCAGTGATTTGGAAAAAGGACTCAAGTCCGCAAAATCAAACAACTGCTCTGTTACAGTCACCACTGGAGAGACGGATCAGAACAGTGAGGGGAAGGCCAGAGGCTGGGGATCATTCTTTGCTTTCAGTCGCTCATAGATTGAGTGTATCTGCTGAAGCTTGATCTAGAATAAATCTCGAGCTTTATTCCATTTCTTGCTGTTACTACTCTGATTTTCACATTTCGTTTGGAAACATTTGCTGGATCTTCCCCACTGGATGGGAAACTAGGGCTACATATCCGATTCATTTTGAGATTCCCCTTCTTGTTTTATGAGGTGCAACATGTCAATTTACGATGTCCTAGAATACTGGGAATTTACCTTTCCTCTTGAAGCTATACTAGAAATACACTCCAGGTAATGTCACGGGATAAAGCTCGTAGTATTGAAACAGTTCAAAACAAGAATACAAGGTGATACGAGGTACTTAGATTTACTTTCCAAGGAGAATGGAGGTCCAGTAACGGTCGAAGCAGGTATGATCCATGGTCATGCTCGAGATCCTCGAAGCACTAGGAGGTGTGCCCGACGCATCCACTGGATTGACATGATAATTAAAATTCAATCACCACAAAGAGAAGGAAGTTATGAATATCATCTGATTGTGCATAGTATAGCCATCCAGAGACACATCATACTGGCCACAACTCGCCAGGGAATCGCCGCAGAGTTCAAAGCATGGGCGATAGTCCTTGATAATAAAACAGCGCGGAAAGTACACCCACGAATAGCAGACTGTGGCCCCTTGTATTCGGGGCTACTATGCCATCCTGCAGGCAAAGGACACACTCAGTCCGCCACGGAATCAAAGGCCGGGGGCAATTCTCACGAGTATGTATGATCCTTGAGAAACCGGCCAACAACCAGAGAGTATCATTTTACTGCATATCGTTGAATCTTCTGAGACTCTCTGACAGCCTAGATAGAGGGAATCTTGTCAAGGAAATGGCATTTTAAACACCGGACTAATTCCTCATGCGCAAGAAGTGAGTTCGAGACAAGCTCAGTGGCCGGCTCAATGACCAGTTATTCCGCATTTGAACCATGGAAAAGACCAGATATCTATCCAGAACACCAGAAGCTGGATTCTGGATTGAGTCTTATCTTGCTCGAAAGAAGCTGTCGCCCGTGAATTTATACGGACTGAGGCGTATCAGTTCCCTCTCCACGTCCTTCTGCCATATTCAGCAAAAATGGCTCGATTCTGTATCAAGGTTATTGCTTCACTGCAAGTTCTTTCGCGTCCCGACTTGACGGCTACTATGGCCGCCTCAATACATAACGACCAGAGATTTAATTAAGCTTGAGGAAAGTCTTCTGGTTAAAGTTTGACAGTTGCCATGCTGCTAAATTGGCTCGACATGGCCATGGTTAGCACCTTACATCTCTGAATTGCATCCAACGAACCGGGGAAAGACCCGACATACACAGAGATAGTACCCCAGAGAAGGCCTTCTGGCTCTCCCCAAGTTTTCCTGGCTATCTTGGATGGAACTGTGGAGTGGTGACCGTGGAAGTTCCTGGAAGACTAATAAAATAGTATATGGGGGTGGAAAACGTACTTTCCTCGCGGGGATTCACTTGGAGCTCTGCTTTGGTCCTTCACCTTCCATCTCTCCCTGTCTTTCTCTTTTTCTTTCTCTCTTTGGCTTTCATAGACTTCCTTTTTTCCCTTTGTCCTTCGCTCCTGCTGTAGTTATTGCACTCTTCGCTGATGAACTTGGTACTAAGAAAGTTCACCTCCTGCAGAGCTCTATCCAATTCAGTTTGACTTGTGAGTGAGCCTGTCTACACGTCTCTCAATCTTTGTTTCTCATTGCTCCTATATGGAATTTACTCACTAATGAGGCATTGATTTTAGATTAAATTTACCATCAGTTTCGTGACGAATCTGCTACAAACCCCCTCCTCCCCCTCGCGGTGACCACGCATCTCAACATACCATGTCGGAGGGCGACTTAGGATCAGCATCTGCGTCTGATAAACGAGGAGATGAAGATCAACAAAAGAATCTGACCTCAGGTGCAGTAACTTACCGGGCCCCTTGGGGGAGACAAATCTCTTTACCTGAACCTTTGCGTATCGCAACCAATACAGCGGAAGACAGCTCGACCACATCGCCTGCCACTATAACAACGCTGAAGCTACCGAGGTTGAGTCCAGGTACAGCAGAAAGAGTCTTTCCTATTAGTTCAGTTGTCTCCCTTGATTCGACCCCTTCATCCGCCTTCCAGACTCCTCCATTTGAGACATACGAGAATCGAGATTCACCTTCCACAGAAAGGCAGCCAAATATTTTGAATGAACAATCATCAGCTCAGCCGGTTGTGCATGCCTCGGAAGACACCAAGAGTGCATCAGCGGTACAAGCGGCCCAGGGGTCGCCTGAAGACTCTAAAAAAGCAGCAAAAAGCAAGAATGAGCGGTCTATGCCAGGGCCTTCGGCAACGGAAAAGAATACGCATGTTTCCTTAAAGTATGAGACAAAAGAAAGCCAGTCTGCTTCCAAAAAGCCCCAACAATCTTTCCCAGAACCCGCCGAATTGGGAAAAGATCAGGTTGGGAATGTTTCTTCGAGATATGAGGCTGCCAGTAGCCAGAGGCCCCAAGAACTCCATTCATTCGGCGCATTAGTAGTGCTAAAGGAATCTGACCAAGGACTCATCGTTCAGATTGCGAGCAGAAATACCGAAGAGGTTCTCGGCTATACACCGACGGAGCTCTTCGGTTTGAAAAGCTTCTGTGACATTATCCGGCCTGACTATGAAGAAAGCTTTCTCAGTCGGGTGAGCCTTGTCAGGAATGATTGGTATAATGTCGAGCAGCATGGTCCAGATATCTTCGAATTCCGTCTTCATATACCGTGCGGAACAATGAAGCGTCTTTGGTGTACAATTCATGCGTCTGGTACCAACACACGACACATTGTTTGTGAGTTTGAAATAATGGAAGACTCTCATTATTGGCAGGGGTTGGCAAGGCGAAAATCGAAACCTGGGGACGCTCACAAGGGCAGTAAGGGAAAAAAGCTCGAAGAGAAAGATATCACACCAGGATTGCCTCTTGAATTACAACAAATTTTAAAGAGGATCAGAGGGGACTTCCATTCCGTGGACATGTTGAGCGCCTTGTCCCTTGTTACTCGACTGGCTGCAAGTGCCTCGTCCCTGAGCTCGCTTTTTAACTACATTATTGGCATCATTAGGGAGTTGACTGCTTTTAGTCGAGTGACGATTTACCGTTTCGACCACAACTGGAATGCTGTTCCTGTGGCCGACGCTGTAGATCAATGCGTCATTTCCAGTGGCCCTGGAGATCTGCTCTTCACCAAGCCAATCTCTCCTGGGGACTTGGCTAAGCTCCATTTAGCGAACAAAGTGAGCCTGGAGTTTAGCCATAGAGAGCCTGGATCAGAGTTAGTGTACCGGGATTCCGAAGGTTCCTCAGTAGATGTTGATCTTGGTCACTGTTACTTGATATCAAAATCGCCAGATCTTGTGGATCATGTCACCGGGATGCCAGTCTGTGCTCGCATGTCTATCAACATAAGTTTCTTCGGGCGAGCATGGGGTCTTATATCGTGTCAATCATATGAGAAAGGAATGGGATTAGCTCCACCCATACAAAAGCTTTGTTGGCTCATAAGCGACATTCTCTCAGCCAACATTGAACGTCTCTCAAATACACTGCCTTTCCAGATGCAGGAACTCCTCAGTTGTCCCATTGAAGTGAAAAGCGAAGGAGATAGCACTCAAGCAAAAGATATACTGAGTCTTTTTAATGCAAACTACGCGGCATCCTTGATATTGGGCGAGACGAAAATCCTTGGAAAGCCGCTTGATTCGCAGGAAGTGCTCGCCTTTGTGGAATATATCAAATTGAGCCAACATAATACAATACTATGCTCAACCGATGTTGGCAAAGACTTCCCAGACCTCAGATATGCTCCTGGCTTCAAGTACATATCCAGCCTGCTTCATGTGCCTTTGTCAGTGGATGGGCAAGATTTCATAACTTTTTTCAGAACTTCACACTCGCGAGCAAATATCCGTGCCGGAGACGATTGCAACGCTCGATACTTGGACCAAGAACCGGGCAAAAAGGATAAGTTTGACAAAAGAGCTATAAATTGCACATCGGACGGTTGGAATGCAATCGACTTGCAGAAAGGTTCCGTCTTGTCTTTGATATACAGAGCGTTCACTGAAGTCTGGCAGCAAAAGGAAGCAGCAATGCAAAGTACGCAACTCATGAGACTGCTACTGGCTAATTGCGCTCATGAGTTTCGAACACCGCTGAATGCAATTATCAACTATCTCGAGATTGCTCTAGATGGATCATTAAGTCAAGAGACACGAGAGAGCCTATCTCGATCACATTCAGCTTCCAAGTCCCTCATCTTCATCATCAATGATCTCCTGGACCTAACAAATGCAGAGAACGGGAGAAGCCTGATCAAGGACGAGATATTTGACCTCTTGCAAACTATTCATGAAGCGTCGGACATCTTCGTGGAAGAAGCAAAGCAGAAAAGTGTTGAGCTTCACGTTGTACAACACTCGAATCTTCCTCGGGTACTTGGTGACCAACGTCGAGTAAGGCAAGTGATTACGAACCTTATTAGCAATGCTGTTCAACATACGTCTTCTTCAGATACCGTAACTGTGGAGTCATGCATCTTGCCTGACTATTCCGAAGTTGGAAAACTCGGTGTGGAAGTAGCAATTCATGACACAGGATCTGGTATGTCTGAAGAAGCCATTGAAGCTCTCTTCTGCGAGCTGGAGCAAGTGTCAAATGCCGACTACCTACAGAGGTCACAGCACTGCAGTTCTGTTATGGCCGGTCCTGGATCCGAGTCTAAAAATGTTCTGGGGCTGGGTCTGGCCTTGGTCGCTCGCATAGTTCGCAATATGAATGGGCAGTTGAGTGCAAAGTCTGAACGGGGGCGAGGAAGCTGCTTCAGAATCCGGATGCAGTTTCCGTTGCCAACTGATAGTGTTGGTGATCAGATTCCGGTGGAAATCAACCAACGTGGCGACGAGAAGAAAGCTGAAACAAAGAAACTCGGCAAGAATCAGAAGTCAGAAAAGGCCAGAGGCTCCAACAGGGGTAATTGCGGCACTTCAAGCCTTGCGAAAGACCCAGTCATACCTCAAACAGGTTCCATCTCGAAGCGAAATGAATCGGGTGGCGAGGGGCAACACATATCGGAATCAAAATCGGATACCATTCCCCCAAGCGTGAAGACACAGCAGGAGGGCCAGGCAGCACATGGATCCCATGGGCTCTCTGCCAAATCGCGCAGAAGGAAACGAACACGCAAAGGCCGCAAAGGCGCATCTGAGGGCCATCCAGAGAAAGTTATAGAATCAAAAACACCCGAACAACAAGAAGATCGGGCTTCTCCGGGGGGGTTGGGGAAAGAACAGTCACAGGCTCATGCTTCTGGGTCGTCTTCAAAACACACTCTTCATATCCTGGTAGCTGAAGACGATCCTACGAACGGCGCAATTGTACGCAAAAGACTGGAGAAGGCTGGGCACACTGTACTCATGACGGGCAACGGGAAGGAATGTGCTTCTGCTTTCCGCGACAACGCAGGTGGCTATGATGTGGTTCTCATGGACTTGCAGGTTAGACATCGAGTCCCCAAATGCAGAGGCATGTGAACTGTAAACTAACCGAAAATACAGATGCCGATCGTCGATGGCATGGGCTCAACTAAGATGATACGAGAGTGCGAACACTCGGCCATGGCTTCCTCCTCAAATGCACCAACATGTTCCTCTCAGCGTATCCCGATATTTGCTGTCTCTGCATCGTTGAAGGAAACGGAGCGGCAAACATACATAGACTCTGGGTTTGATGGTTGGATAATGAAACCGATTGATTTCCGCCGAGTGAATGATCTTCTGGCTGGAGTGCACCAGGAAGAAGCTCGTAATGACAACATCTACAAAGTCGGGATGTGGGAGAAGGGAGGATGGTTCGATAAGAGATCGGCCTAGAAATGATTGCTGATGCTGGGGATGACTTCACAATGAGGACAATGTTGCAAGTACATAAGTGTTTCAGGCTCACCCTGTATAGATAGACAGACTAGATTTTAGCCGAGCATCCTTACATCAAAGTAGTCTATGTCAGAAGAACAAACTATAATGAAACTTCTCCAAAATGTTGTAGATTTATATCCAAACAAAACCATGCAGTTGCATCATATGGACCGTCTATGTATGTATGTATGTACAGGCGTGCTATGTTATCCGAAAAGATGCAGACAAAGAGGTGAACAACGCCGATGATATGCTAAAGATTTCCGACAACCAGGCGAAACTTCATCCGAGAATGTATCTCAATAGTACTCAGGCAAGCTTCCAAAATCCGGCACCGTATCGCCACACTTGAACGAGGGAGAATACGCCTTCTGCGGCATAAACCCACCCTTCCAAGCCGTCCGGTAACTCCACTGCGCAGCCGACTCCGTCCGCCACGTCCAGTAGAACCAGCCCTGCCCGGTCTCGAAGGCGGACATCTGCGCCTCGGCGTACGTCTGCAGGAATTTCTTGTAGTCGGCCGAGTAAGCGGAGGGGTCGGCGTTGGCGTTGGCGCAGCTGCAGCGGGGGCCGGAGTCGGCGGTGGGACAGTACTGGGTTGAGTCGGTGAGCGAGAAGGTCCCCTCCCAGCGGGTGCCGCGGCCGACGTTGTTGAGGTATTGGGCGCAGTCGGTGTCGGCTTGGGACCATTCGCCGCAAATGGTTGGGCCGAATCTGTAGACGGTTAGGGAGGATGAAGTTGCGGGGAGAGGGCAGATACTCGCAAGGGCGGGGGAAGCATAGTGATAGTCACGTACCCTGAGGTGGAGTTGACCTCCTTGATCATGGCGGACCAGTCGTTGCAGATGAGGTTGACTCTGGCGGTGTGGTTGAGGACGATCTGCCCGGTGTTGAAGATAGTGTATTGGTGTGTGTCGAGAAGCATGTTGTCGGGGCGGGTTTTGAGGATGCTCTTCCACTTGCTGAGGTTGAGGAAGCCGTCGTGCAGCGCGATGTAGGCGGTGATGCCGTTCTTCTGGACCAGCTTTGTCGCTTCGACGGTCCAGTTGAGGACATCCTCGACCGACAGGGAGAGCATCAGGGGCTCGTTGACGAGCCCGTAGATCGTGACCACGTTCTTGTACCGGTCCTGCGCAAAGAACTTGGAGACCTGGTCGTGGACCTCGAGCGATCGCTTGCGGTTGAGCTCGCCGTCCGTCCCATTGAGCCAGCCGATGGCGCCCTGGCGGCCGCTGTGGTTCCAACCGTTCTGGCTGCCGGGGATGCCGTGCGGGTCGAGTTTGACGCGCAGGCCATATTTGCGACAGTACTCGATTGCTCTGAGGAGGTACCGCCAGGAGGTCTTTGCGACGTACGGGTCACCGTCGTATGTCGTGACCGCCCAGTAGGAGTACTGGATGCGGACGTGGTCGAGGCCCGCGTCGCGGATGTCTGCGAAATCCTGCTCGGTGATGAACGTAGCGTAGTGTTTTTCGAGTCGGGCACCCGCAGTGCTACCGAGCTTCTGGGTCAGGGTGTATTCGTCAATGACACCTGAGAGTGCAGAGTAGCTTTGGAAAAACGAAGGCGTGATGAACGGCTCGAGCGACAACCAGCCGCCGAGGTTGACGCCGCGGATCGGCTGCTTCCCGTACGGGAATGGCTTGTTCAAAGGAGGCACGTTGTCGTTCGGTCTGGCCGAGTCGTCCCATGTCGAGTTCAAGCCCATGAGCGACAAACCGCCGACCGTCTCGTTGGTAAACGTGACGTTGAAGTCGTTCGTATCGTACCATGTCCACGGGTCGAGAAACGTGCCTTTGGCGTAGCCCTAGTCGGATTGTTAGCACGATTTACAATATATAAAAATCGCATGCTCAATCCAACTGACCGGAATGCTGTCAGGGCTCAGACCGTCCAGATTCGAGTTGGAAGGCGTGGTTCCATCCGGCTGCGTCGTCGTCGCATTTGGCTTGTCGTTATGCTTCTTGGACACGACGACGGCAACAGGAATCACAATGACCAGTATCAAAATGACCACGCCGATGCCAATCAGCCATTTTTTCTGCTTCCAGAACGGCCGGCCGGCGTCCCCACCGTCCACACTGCCTCCCCAGCCGCCTCCCTTCGGCCATCGAGCATCCATCGGGGGCCCGCCCCCTCCACGGCGTCGGAATTCCATCTCAGGGCCCCGCCCTTCCTCCATATACGCGCCGGACGCAACCCTCGCCCTCGAGCGGTCTCTGGGCTTTTCCGCACGTAACCCGCGCTCCTGCTCGCCCACCACCGCCCGTTTCTTCCTCCGTTTCCTCTCCGCCTTCGCCGCGTCCTTCGCATGTGCGCGCTCCCGCCGGTCCTCCTTCTCATATTGTGACCCCAGCCGCGCCAACGCATCCGCACTCAGCAGATGCGACGCGCTATTCGTCGAATCACTGCTCTGGTGCTTGCGCGCCGCCTCGCCCCTCCGCGACTCCCCGCGTCGTCTCTCCCGGCGCCCACCCTCACCGCCCCCCTCCCGCCGTCGCTCGCGGCGCCCGTCCCGCGTGCGATGCCGCCCGTCGTCCTCGTAGGTCCTCCGCCGACTCTGCGCCTCCCTGTCCCTTTCGCGATCCCTATCCCTCTCGCGATGCTGCCCGCTCTTCCGCGGGGACCCAGACGCCCCCGCTCGCCTCCTCTCCCTCTCCTCCGCTAACAGCTCCTCATCATGCGCCGCCGCCGCCGCAGCATCGCGCTCGTAGTACGCGCGCGCGCGCGACTCGCCGCGCGGCCGCCGATACCCGTCCCGTCTGTATCGACGCTCGGTTACATCCTGCTCCAGGTCGTCATTGTCGTCGTCATCGTCGTCGTAGTCGTAATCGTGGTCGTCGTGGCTGTAGTCGTGCTCGTCTGGGTATCGCCTGCGGGTATACTCGGTGTCGCGACCGCGGTACCGGTCCCGACTCCGCGATTGGCTCGGCATGTGCACTGGACAGTGCACGAGGGCGATCTGGGGGATTGGTAGGAATGTGTTTTGGGTTGCGTTTTTTTATTTCTCCTGGTGGAATGTGGGGTGGGTGTTTTGGCGTTGAAAGGGGGGAGGGATTAAGTAATACCAATAATGATGATGATGATGATGATGGTGATGATAATGGATGGTAAAAGAGAGATACCAGATTATAGAAACAAATCAAGAAGAAGAAAGGACAGAATGGACAAGTTGTCTTGTCATGGGAATGGAATTGTGCGACACGCTTGAGCTGTAGCTAAGTCGCGGCGGCCAGATGATAAACACTACTAACAGATATCAGTAGAGCTGTCCAAGACTCCAAGTCAACCCCAAGAAAGGCGAGCGCGGCGCAGAATCAAGGATGGGCGACTCTAGTCTCTACCTAGGACCTAGTCTATCTAGCAGGCGACTAGGATCAGGACTTCGGAGGTAGATCGAGATCACTAGCTCAAGGTCCTTCCTTGATGCCGGAATCCAATCCTCCAACCCCAGACTTGCAGGAGAAACGGGAGTTATCAGGGGGATTGAGAAGGTGTTGCAAATTGAAAATCAATCAATTTGCGATTGCGGCTGGACTGGGCAGCGCCCCCTGGCTGATGCAAAGATCAGGGGCTGGAGTGTAGAACTGTAGACAGAGTTACAGAGACTTGTTGAGGAGAACACATCAGTTGCGGAGCAACGGAGGCGGTGTATTCAAGACAAGACGATCAATCTTCAAGAGGAGGTGGCAAGTGTTATGGATGTTGTCAAATAGATCTCGCATTTTCTGCAATCAAAGAGACAATTGATCAGGAACAACTGTGTTGGTCCTTCGTGTGGCGGAATTTGGGTACCGCGATCCCAAGAAGACTGACTACGTTACTTACAGCATAGCATAGCACCCTCACTACAGCGACCAAAGCATCTAATCCATGAGGAAAATGGCTATGAGACGAGTGTCTATGTCCATCAATCAATCTGATATCGAACACTATGCTTCGCGTGATCCATCCACTCCATGACAAAGTAGACGTCAAAGTCAACAGGGGTATGCAAACGCCGAATACCGAGAAGAGAAAGGAAACGAAAAAAAAAAACAAGCAGGGGAGAAGCAGAGGGAGAAAGTCCAAGATAGAATGTACATGGATGATGAACGTCGAGACACCCGAAGAAAGAATAATAAAGAGAGGAAAGATGCGTGAATGATGAGGAAACATGTCATATCTGCCACCTCCGTCTGTACAACTCCAGATCCGGAAACACTCAAGAAATTCGAAACAAAACAAGATATATTATGCCTTCGCCGACTGCAGGGGAATCAAGAAGAGACAAAATTATAGAAGAATTTTTCTGCAGCACAATGCTGACTGAATCAATATGTCGAGAAGCGGATCTGCCTCGGAGGGCAATCAGAGACTGCAACAGGCTCGTTGAACCACGACCAAATGTGTTTGCCGGCATTCCGAGAACCTAAGAGGGGGTTTGGAGGGGTGGGGAGTTGCATGGTCTCATGGCAGGCAGGGATTTGCAGTGTGGCCAATGTCCATCGCGTCTTTGAGTCGATCCGAAAAGGTGACACCGCATGTCCCGTGTGGTTATCGTAGGTACCTCTCACGGCCAGAGAAGGCAGAATGCATGAAGGACCAGCCCATTGGTGCAGATTGTTAGTAGATTCTGAAACATGGTGTAGCTGAAGATTTCGGAAAAGCGCCGGTTCTCCTGGTTTTCTTCCCCTCTCGCTCAACGGGGAGGTCGAAGAGTAGAAGCCCAAACACTTCCGTGACCCTACTATCAGAGTCTTTCTGATCATTGGAAAAGCCAAGGAAACAGTTTGTTTAACTGATAATCTGTCGAGCCCCCTCTTTGCCTAGAACACCCGGTTCCTGAGGCTTGGGGCTCCTATCGCGGCCCTTCTTGCGGCTCAAAAATGCAAGCATGCCGCTGTTGGATGACTTGCCCTTGATCGACGCACTATCGTATCCCTCAGCGGGTAGTGTGGAGCTCTGGTCTGCCAGTTCACTCCAACTGCCCGCTTCCTCCAGGACCATTTGGACTCCTCCGCCTTTACTTGTCTTCCGCGTGGCTCCACGAGGGCGATTGGGATTCTGAGGGGGAAGCGGCCGCGAAAAGGATGGGGCAGGTGGTGGAGGCGGCGGAGGCGTGGAAGATGGGGCTGACGCATGCTCTGGAGACTCGTGGACGCCCTCAGTGTGACTCATATTGTCGGGTTGGGTTAAATGACCGACGGATCCCTCGGTGCGCGAGACGGGTGAATTCCTCGATGTATCGTGCTGTGAGTAATGGCGAGAGTGCGTTGACGATCCAGCGGTCGGGAGACATTCTTCCGGATTTCTATTTGCGAGTGTAAGGAGGGAGCATACATAGAAGGAAAATACAACGGCAAGAGAAGAGGTACTCACTGTACTGCTGCTGCGATCGCTTCCGCAGCGTTGCTGGGATTCGTTAGTCGTACCTCTGGACAACCGCCATCCTTTTCCAGAACATACCCTTGATATGTAACAATGGTGTAATCGAAGGGTTCGAACATGGTTTCGATCAAACGGTGCAGCTCATCTTCCCTGATCTCCTTGGCCGTCGCGTCCTCTCTCAACTCGGCTCGGGGTTTCTGCCTTCGCGCCCGAGCCTCCAGCGGTGCCTCTTCGAGGAGCAGCTCCTCCAAGTCGTAGGTAGCGTCAAAGTTGGTCTTATCGCTGGACGGTGTGAAAACAGGCGGGATTTCTTTGCGTTCTAAAGCCACAAAGTCGAGTTCTGCAAAGAACATATGCGAGGTGAAAGTGTCGAAACCGGTCGCTCCAATCCGTTTGCTTCGATCCTTCTCCATCAACGCAGACATGGCTCGTAGACATGGGACAGAAACCGCCGGGTTGGTGACAAAATATTTGGGTTGGGCTTTTTTGATATTTTCGCTGAGAACGTCCTGGCTGCGGCCTTCGAACGGTCGCTACAATCCCAAGTTAGGTTGGCAATCAAAAGCCATGGACTCAAACTCAGAACAACTGCATACCTTGTTATAGATGCATTCGTAGAAAGTGACGCCTAACGACCACCAATCCACTTCGCAGTAGTATCCACCTCCTTCGTACACCTCAGGCGCCAAATAGGCCAAGGTTCCAGACTTGCTGGTGAGAGGCTTGCCGGGTCGAAAATCCGATGCGACATTCTGCGAAAGAGGGACACGGAGTCAGCCATAGACCAAGAACAGAGGGAGATTGAGGCACTCACAAAGTCCGCCAAATGCACATGCCCTTCAGAATCCAGCAACACATTGTCCGGCTTCACATCCCGATGGATGATGCCTTGCGAATGGATGTATCTCAAAGCACAGCCAAGTTCGGCCATCCAAAAACGTACTGCCTCCTCCGTAAAGCATTTTCTCGAGATGTGAAACCGCAGATCACCACCGTTCATCAAGTCGACCACAATGTAACTTGGCGAGTGTTAGCGAATGCCCATTGACGGGATCAGACCGCGCGGAGGGGTTGTGTAGCGACGTACATATATTCAATATCCTGGAAACTGTACCGGAGGTTGCATAGGAAAGGATGGTTCAGGTGCTCGAGCATGCGTCGTTCCCGAATGATATTCCGGACGCTCTCCGACCGTACCACTAGAGGACACGAAGCCATTGGGTCAGTATGCCAGATATGAGAAAGCAATGAGGCAGATCTAGCAGATAGATGCTTACCTTCTTCTTTTCGAATGTACTTGAGAGCGAATGTCAACCCAGTATCTTTCTTTTCCACGATGCGAACCTTGCCGAAAGCGCCTTTTCCCACCACCCGGAGAAGACGAAATTGGTTTAGATTCACTGTAATCGAAAAGACAAGAGTCAGTTGATGAGATTCTTTCGTCCTCTTCGCAAAAGGATGGGATTGTGAACTGAAGGAATCCCTGTACACACCCTCATCGCTGGCTGCCACTGGTTTCCCTTGCGAGTTTCCCATTATCGTCGTCACTCGGTCGAAACCAAAGGCAAATCAAATTGTATCCTGGAATTTCAATCACCGCGGCCACATCCCAACCATTCTATTGCAAGACGGATCTCTCGAGAACAAGCTCTGTCGGAATGAAGGCGGTGATGGTTTGCAAGAAGGCCGACGGGAAAAAGGCGAGTTCGTACAGGGGAAAAGGAGGAAGTAGGTTTGAAGGGCGAAAATTGTCGGCAACGTCAAGGCATAGAGGGCTCTTTCAAGGTACCGGAACACACAGGCAGATGTCAAAAGTTCTAAGCTGGGAAGAGAAGAAGATCAGCACAGGGAACAAAGGGTCGCGGGAGTTCGTGTAAGGCGACGTCGATGTTTCAAAGGGAGAATAACGTGGGCGGAGGGGTTCTTTTCCCCGATAGGCTGCGCAAGATCTTTTGGCAAGAAGAGTTGGGGGGGGGGGGACTTACCAGTGCTGGAAAAGGAATGAAGAGGGTGCAATAATACAGGTGCAAAAGGGGATAGAGATAGGATAGGATAATTAATTAGATAGATGGTAACTATTGATTAATTGCTGATTATTGGGGGGATTGGGGGGGGTTGAAGTGTGAAGGTCCGTCTTTTTGGAGAATAATCAGAGAGAGAGAGAGAGAGAGCAGCCCCTAATACGGAGTAGTCAGAAGACGGGCCAGGTCACTTAAACTCTTCACAGGAGTTCCCCAGTGGAGTCTCTGGAACTCTCCAGATCAACTAGATCAGTTATCTATCTATCTATCTATTTAGTCGTCAGTTGCCGAGGGTAGACTCTGCGGAGCGAGGGAATTCAAGTCTGTACGGTGATAGAGAGAGATCCAGGGGGTGGAATGGGATGGAGGAAAATGAGGCTTCTTTGTTCTGAAGCAGTACATCCCTAAGGACACTAACTCTATGTAGGGACATATACTCTGGAGTAGATAGTTTTCTATCTCCCAGCTCAGATTATTGACAAGCAATCGATCGTAGCTAGTTACCTCTTCCCCAAAGACGTGATCCAAGTGCACGCTGCGCAAAGGATAGATAGCACTCAGGGCTAAGGGTGGTTACGGGGTCAGAAATGAGCAGGTGTGGCGCTGCGGAGTGCCTCAGGAGCTCAAGAGAGCAAGCATATTCTACGGAGTAGATGGCTACAAGGGAGAAGAACCTCCCTGAATAATCAATTCTCCATTCTACTGATACTTACCTGTGCTGCGTGGAATACCTTACGGGGTAGTTAGTATCTATCTATCTATTTGTCGAATGATGACTCTACTATAAGCTCTGATGATACACAGAATAAGTAGGATGCATCTCCCCAATTTTGAAGATACTACTACTTACCTATGTACCTTTACGATCCTATTGTTAGTCTCAAGTTCTCAACTCTTATCTCAATCCAGACATCCAGCTGAATTTCCGTGGAGATGAAAAAAAAAAGGGGCGATCAGACGATGACAGTAGTGTCTCAAGCTGAAAAACATCATTTCCACCTCCACCGCTCTTCCAGCAGATAACTACCTACATGAGACTGATCTCAAAGAGACGACGCAACCTTCAAGCCACCCGCTGACCTGTCAGCTCATCATTCGACGATAGCACCAGTCTTGCTGCTTCTGGAATCTTTGCTCTGTGACTGGGAGATGCCGGTCTGACCAGTCAATTCCCTTCCCGAGCCTGTCCCATCTCCATTTCCTTCATTCTTTGTTCCTGGCATCGGAATCTCGTGGCCGCCACGTTTTTACGCCGGCCTAACTGCTGTACAATGTACAGACTACAGTGTAGTGTGTACAGAGTACAGACATGCTCTTGCCTGTTGGACTGGACAGGGTTGACATCCATGTCTCCCATGTCGCCCATCCTCTATCCCTATTGCTCTGTGGTATCGTTGGTAACTTGACAGATGAAGCTACTCTGCTTCAGATCCTGCCGATAGTCATGCAGCCATGTCTCAAGTGTCAGAAGTGCTGCTAACGAGATCCTCTAAATAGTTGACTCTAGAGTCTAGACAAAACCTCATTGTCGTGGTTGAGCTAGGGTGGTCCGTATCACAAGTTCACAACAGCTGAGCTGGACTAGTCAAAGAAGCTTGCAGATCATACAAAACACAAGTTATCCATCTACCAATTACTCTGTACATGTTGGCATCCAACAAATCTGAGTTTACTGATGGCTGACTCTGGAATCCTGATTCAGCCTTTGATTAATGCCTTTTGGTTCCTCCTTCATCGCCATATCAGCATGTGATATTAGCCGTAAGCGAACCCGTCAGTCGTAATTGATGACTTACGGAGTAGTTCAGTAATTTGGAAGTCGCCAAATCCATCCCAATAAATAGCTTCAGACGTAGACTAGTTAGTAGTTACTATACACAGTACCTCCTCCCTATTCATTATTATTATTATTATGAAGGATTCACATCCCACAATAAAGCCATGTCAAAGATCGTCGACATTAGCCTCCTCCACCAGACGATACTAAGCTTACTAACACGAATCCAGATCGTTGAATGGCGCCGCCAACTCGGAACAAAGGGCCCTTAAGACCCTCCCAAAGTGGGAAGCCTCAAGCCCTTGGTAAGCTCCAGATGCCTCAGCTCTAGCCTAGGAACTTAGGAAGAAAGTATGTAGTTCGCAACTACGCCAGATGAGGTTGCAAGTCCGGCACGGGGCTCTCTCCCTCTCCCTCTCTCTCTCTCTTTTAGGAAAAAGGAAAAGGAAAAGGAAAAGGAAAAGGGAAAAGGGCAAAAAAAAAAAGAAAAGAAAAGAAAAGAAAGATGGGCCTCGCTTACTTACTTCCCTCCAGATAGTAGTATTCCGAACTCTCTTTCAGTTGCGCATGTATATAACTTGATACTCGATGATGATGATGATGATGATGATAATCAAACCGACAAAAAAGAGACCAGTTCAAGGGACCTGATAGATACTTTACTTTCCCTCTCTCTGTAGACTATCTAGCATGTGATCTCTACACTTCCGCCCATCGGTGCCTTCAAAAGATCGTCTTCCTCCTATCCGTAGTCAGACGCTCGCTCCGTACACCTCAGACGCCTCATCCGGAGCAGTTGCCGGACTTGTATGTTTACATCCCCTGCTCCATCATCCATCTGGCAACTCTAACGTTTCAGGAACAAGTACTGTTCTCCTGCTCCGTAATCCATGTGACCTAGTCGCTTAATGGCCTGAGGGACACCCAGAGATCTATATCTATACTGTGTAGGTAGCTTAGGATTAGGAAGAGCTTAAATGTTCCCCCCTCGCTTGAATCAGAAACTCACACTGCACAGTCACACACTCAACAGTGGATAATGGGTTATGATACCACGGGCAATGTGTCAACTAGAGCGTACAGACTGACTGGAGGATGGCATGAGGCTAGTCCGGTCTTGTGTCTGAAAACAACTTCCATACGTCCATGAAATCACTCCAATAGTATCCTAGAGAAATTATCATCCCATGATAGGGAGTCTTGATAGTTACCCAAGATATAAACCCGAAAATCCTGTCAACGCCGTTCCAAGAATCCGTCTCGCGCACAGCCCCGATCCCGTAGATTTGGCCCCATTCCGTCAACCGTCATGAGATAACGCCGAGATTCCAATCCCCTGTTCTATCCCAGTGTTGTAGCTTGTATCTGTGTGTCTGCAAAGAGCAAGTATCTATTTTCACTACCACCGCCGCCCATAGACCGGATCCTCGGCCTTGGAGGCCCGCTTCTCCGGTTGGCGATTCCGATCCTGTGAGCCCGCCTGGCCCCACGGCCGACTGCCTCCGCTGCTGCCCCCGTGCGGAGAACCAGAGGGGTTGACCTCGTTCGCCAGCAAGCCACTGCTTCGAGTGATATCGATGTTGCCCCGGTCACCGGAGAACCGCGCCTCTGCATCGCGACCAAAGAGGGCCATCATGTCGTTCATCGTGAGCTTGCCGGCGGCGCTCTTGCCCTCGATGGTGAGGTTGGCCAGCTCGCGCTTGCGATCCTGCAGTTCGAGAATACGCTCCTCCACCGTTTCCTTGATAATCATCTTGTAGATCTTGACGTCGACGGTTTGGTTCAGTCGATGCACACGATCGATAGCCTGTTCTTCAACGAACTGCCACATCATTAGCAAACTACCAGGACCAAGATCCAGTCATAACTTGGCACTCACAGGATTCCAGAACGGTTCCAAGATCACTACTCGACTCGCCGCTGTGAGATTGAGTCCCAGCGCTCCGGCGCGCAGACTGCACAGAAGGACTCTGGTGGCACTATTGTTCCTCAACTTGTTCAGACTGGCTTCACGATGGTCGTTCCGCATGCTCCCATCGTATCTTGCAAATCCGATACCAGCACGCTTTAGGAACGGTTCAATCTTGTCGAGCATGGAAGTGAACACTGAGAAGACAATGAACTTATGCTCATCTGCTTCACCACGCAAGATCTTCATGAGGTGCCGGATCTTCGTAGAAGGTAAGACTTGGTCGTCCTCATCGCCAGGGTTCAAATAGATATCCTCTTCGCTGTCCGACTCACTGTCTCGAATCTTTCGCGAAATAGAAGTATTGCCCAATTTCTTGGTCGGTGATTCAGGGCCATCCTCATCATCCGTCTCGGAGTCCTCCGAATCGAGCCACTCGCCGCCTCCTTCTGCATCTTCATCATCGGTGCCACCAGCTTTGCCGAGGTTAGGATTGGCACGCTGCTTTTCTGGGACAATCCATTCCCCGTCTTCCTCCTCCTCTTCATCATCACTATCAATCACAATCTTTCTGTTCCTCCGAGCGCGCGCCTGTTGTGATTCAGAGAACTTATCTGATGGGGAGCTTGTGAGATCCACTTCAATCCTCTTGTGTGAGCTTTTCCTCTTGCCTCTAGCATTATCCCCAAGCGTAGTCTTCAGATCGGCCTCACATTCGCTGCACCGGCTAACACCACTCTTCGCCTCTTCCTTGCTGAGATCCGATTGGCACACGTCACATTTCTTGGAAACAACGCTCAGAGCTCCAAAGAGATCAGCCATGCTGTCAAGGTCGTCTTGTTTCCCAGCGCCAGACTGGCTACCCGTGGCACCATTCTGCAGGAGAATATCCTTATCTTTTGCGAGATCACTTTTCACCAGGTCTGGATGGTTACAGGACTGTCTGAGACGAAGTAGCAAGACCAGTGCACCGGCGTAATCCATCTTAGAACCTCCCATCATCTTCTCGAGACTGTTTTCCGTTCGCTGTTCAAGGCGTTTGTAGAAATTCATCTCGCCTGGCATAAACTCCGCGGCTACCTTAATCACCTCTCGTTTGGTGATTTGGAAACCGGTCGACTTCTTCAGCTTTCCATCGGATCCTGCTTCGCTGGGTTTGAGATTAGAATTGAGCCTCAAGACGTCCTTGGTGCGTCGTTTCATAAAGGCCTTCAGATAGACCTGCAAACGCTCAATCGCAAGGCCTCCACGTCCGTTGGCTAAGGGTCGAGTAATCTGATCCCTCCAAGCCGCCAGGTCATTGTAGGGCTTGATTCGCAGAAACTTGATCAGACTTTGCAGCTCATCGAGGTTGTTCTGCATAGGCGTTCCTGATAGACACCATCTGTATTCTGCATCTAGTGCGCAAGCGGACTGTGTTGCCTTCGCGTTCCGATTCTTGATAGTGTGAGCTTCGTCGAGGATAATCCGATACCAATAAACGGAGAACAGCCCTGTCTTTTTGCTGCTCTTATCGACGGCCCCGTACTCGGACGTTAAAGTACCATAGGTGGTAATAACCACATCGTATGTATCCAAATTGTCGGTCGCTTTCGCTCGAGTATTTCCATGATATACACAAACACGGAGCTTGTGAGAAGCTTCGACCTTGGCTGCAATCTCCGACTCCCATTGTTTAATCAATGCGAGCGGGGCAACAACCAGTGTAGACTTGCTGAGTCCCGGTGGTAGTTTTCGCGGTTTGTTGTTCTCTTCATCTTCATCCTCAGTACTGCTGTCATCATCTTTGGCGTTGCTTTTTCTGACCCCATCTGTGGACCTCTGGTTGGTGAGCATCAAAGCAATAGCCTGAACAGTCTTTCCCAAACCCATGTCGTCCGCCAAAATACCACCTTTGGGCAGCACGCCTTTAGCCTTGCTTGAGCCTCTCTCCTTGTCGCACATCCAATTAACACCTTCCCGCTGGTGAGCGAGCAACTTGACTGTCATGCCCTCTACTGTCCCATCATCTTCATCTTCCTCTTCCTCCTCTTCTTCCTCTTCATCATCCTCGTCATTCTCGTTCTCGTTATCAGATAACTTCCGATCCTCTTCTTGCTCACTTTCCTCGTCCAATACTGCAAGTTTCTCGCCTACCTTGGGCTCATCCCGATCGAGTTTATCAGTCGCAGCCTTCGGCTCGTTGACAGTGACACCTTCCAGCTGAGCGGCGAGATCATCAATGTCAGAGGTGGGTTGTTTCTTCTGTTCCTTGTCCTGCTTCTTCTTTCCCTTGTTCTTGCGGTTCTTGCTCTTCTTCCCTTTCTTTGACTTTGAGCGCTTGTCGTCCTCGTCGGTAAGTGCCCCTTCAAGAAGAGCTTTAATGTTCTCGTTTGCCTTCACCGGATCCACATAGCCGTTCACGTCCATGGAGCCAAATCCCGTGTTTCGAGTTCGAGCACTCGGCGTGAATCCACCTTCGTTCGTCAGGTCAATGAAGTTCCGCAGGTTCTTGTATGCATTATCCATCTTGATGGCCGAGGATGCGTAGAACGTCTTCGGAGCTCGCGGGGTCGTGAAGGTGATATTCTCAGGGCGACGAATTTCCACCACATCGTTGTTGACGGGGCGCGCATGCCGGTTGTTGTTATACGCTGAAGGTCTAACAGGCTTGAAAGGGTCAAACGGTTCGTTTCGCTTTGGAGTTGACACTACAGGAGGTCTTGGACCAATAGTTGGTCTGTAACTCTGATGGGGCCCACCTGCCTGTGAAGCATTGTGTGGTCGCGCCTGGTGCGCAGGCCTATGGTGTTCTGGTCGTCCTCGATTGGGTTTGGGGATATTGAATGGATGGTTCGTCGGTTTCGGCTGTTGTTGGGTTGGCCGTTGAAACTGACCGAGAGGGGACGGTTTCCCGAATTCTGGCTGGCGTGAAAGAGGGTGCTGTGGTTGCTCATTCGGTCTCCGAGGAGTCATCGGATATGACGGTGGTGCGTCGCTTTCTTTAGCCATATTGCTGCTGTAGTATCGTGTTCGGTTAGACTCGTGAAGTATTTTTCGTGATGGTCATCTGGGTGACCGTCTGCGATGTCCGCTCCGGGTGATCGGGCTGTTTTGGCGCTGGTGTGCTGAGAGGCGTAGATAGCTCGCACACAGAGTGTCAGAATGCGAGGATTAGCGGGGTTGATGGTGCAAGTCTGTAATCTCCTCGATCTCTGGCTTTGACTTCAAGCCAGGCGACTGTATGGTGTTAGAAGATGACTGGGTTCTCCTTTCGTATGGATTGCTGCAGTCGGCAATCAGGAGAGAAGATGGCGGGATATTGTACCAACTCAAGATCAATAAAGGCCCAAAAGGGTCAGATCTCATTGAGCGAATCTCGATAAGTTTGGAGATCTGTAGTGGAGCTTGTTGGTGGGAAAAATGCGGACATGCCACATTCATCGATAGCGCTTTGTTTGTGATTTTGCCCCAGCAACCGTGTCTGCTGGCCTTGATGCCTGAGGCTGGTCTTATCGATACGCGCGCTCTCAGACAGAAACAGCGGTCTCCAAAGCACATTTCGGTGCTATACCAAAGGTAGATAGTTATCAAAGATTATTTATTGTACTCCGTAGTAGAGAAAGGATATTCAGAATAATATACGCATTCCATTGAATATATCTTCTTGGCTGTACTTGTTTCGCGACCATCAAGACGAAGTCTGGCTCCGTGCCGATAAGCTTGCAAAATATATACAGTTTCGTTTGATCTTTTTTGGAAGAGAATTACAACCCGAAACCAGAGCCTTTACTGCTATAAACCACCAATGACAGGTTTTAGGATCTCTGGAATTATGACACCTGCGTCGCCCTGGAAGAACCAGTCACCAGTTTTCAAGCCTGAAGACCCAACATCGTTGCGATCCATATTGATCACAGCAACTTTAGCCCCCAGTTGACGAGCTCTGTCAACATAACCTGCAGCTGGATATACTCTGGAGCTCGTCCCAATCACCAAGATCAGATCGACTTTGGGACCAGAGTCCATCCATTTATCCACCGCCCGGAGTGTCTGTGACGGCAAGCTTTCACCAAACCACACCACACCAGGCCGCAAGAGTCCTTCTTTGCATTCTGGGCAGTGCGGCAGCGCATTTCGGCTTATTGAAGGTAGTGGAACACTTTCATCAGATATGTCCAGTTCTCTCTCCTCCTCTTTTCTCATTGCACTGGACAGCGCTCGAGAGGCCTCCTCACCCGTCTTATCCTCACCGGAAGGAGTCGGGTCCGGGATCCCCTTTGCGCCCGCGAGCGAGGGGACTATAGGATCGGTGAATTCATTTTCCTGGATGTAGGTGCAGTAGAATGACGTGCATTTGACGGTAAACAGAGAGCCGTGCAGAAGGTGAAGTTGTTCGGAGGGATGGTTCGCGCGTTGCGACAGGTCTGGACCCCACGCTGCTTATCAGCTTTGCTCCAATACAAATAGATAAAAAAGCCAAGTACAGCTCAGACAGTACCATCAACATTTTGAGTCAAAGTGATGAAATCTCTATTCCTTCGTGCAAGCTCCGCAAGAGCATAGTGTGCGCGGTTTGGCTTCGCCTTGAGCGCCATGTGTCTGCGATAGCTGTAGAAATGCCATACTAGGTCCGGATTCGCTTCGAAAGCCTCGGGAGTAGCTAAGTCCATAGCCTCGTAGGACCGCCAGAGACCACCGGCTCCCCGAAATGTTGGAAGCCCAGAGGACGCAGATAAGCCTGCTCCGCAGAGGGCGATAATTCGTTTACATCCTTTCAGATACTCCGTAAAAGATCTGAGATCAGCTGCTGGTATAACGGAGGAGGCCATGGCGATTCAACGACAGGGTCCCAAGGTGGGCGCGATGCGATGCACAGAAAATAGAGAGGACGGGTGGACGCCTACCTGACCCGGACGTCCTTTTATGGTAGTTATCAGTTACAAGTACTGAGATAGATGATCCAATACATTTTCCGATAGATGGATAGTTTAATCCTATACATACGTAGGACAATGGCGTGGGGTCAGAGAGCTACATATCAGGTTGGCGGGGCAGATCCAGTGGATCAAGCTCGCTGCCAACTGGCCAATGTGGTCCTGTCATTTACCTGACGGCTCCAAACACATCGACTATCATGAAATGTGACTCAAGGTTAATTTTATTAGAGCTGACCTCTGAGTCAGCTTCGACGATAGGCTGCAAATGACATAGGGGAGCATGGGTCATGCAACATCAATGTTGTTCCTCCACTGGAAGCGTAACCCCAACTGCGTTCTCCGCATATTCTCGGTTCTGCTTGTTCATTCCGGCGATATATGTGGTGATATGATCTGGTACCTTGGAGACTTTGTTCTCTGGGCTTGGAACAGGATCTCCGAATACCTCATAAACAGGCACCACACCCGTCCAAACCCGGCTGGTCACATCTTCGTTTGTTTTATCCTTGCGTTCGTCAGAGACACCCCCGTCCCGTATTTTGCCGCTACCATCCACAACCTTGACTTTAAGAATGACGGTGGACGACATCTCAGCATTGTCGGGCGGTACGCGCGTATTCTCCCAGCGCTCCGGCACGATCGAATTTGTAATAAGCTTCATAGCCCAGAGCTTCTCTGCTTCATCCGTGACTAGCTTTGCATATCCATGGAGGATAGCAGATCGATAGTTGAAGCTATGGGAATTTGGTGTGAGAGACAGGATCAACCCGTCCACTTTGCTGGCGGCGATGCAGATAGGCAATCCGTCTCCTTCGGAGCTTCGTGCGAGATTCATGATTCGGGAACTGACATAACCATGAAGATAGCAATCCAGGGGCTCATCAAGTCCTGCTGACGGATAGTCAAATGAGCCCATTTGGCCAATCATGGGCAGGATGGCGGGAAAGGGGTCAGATGGCCCTGGACTGAACGAAACATGGAGCACTTGGCTCGCATTGATGATGGAATGGATCGCATCGAGGTCATACGTTGCTAATGATTTGAAGTTAGCATCCTCATGGTGAAAAAACTCCTGAGAACCATTACCTCGATGCTTGTAGCGGTGGACTGTGTTCGCATCTCGCTTCGGATATGTAAGAGTCCTACCCATCGTGGTAGATCTTCGAAAGAATCTGTGTAGAAAGAGGTAGTAGCTTCACAGGTTAATGCTCCTTGTTCAGTTGAGTTTCAGTGAATATTACAGTGGCTCTTATAAGAAATTGTAGCTTCTGGCGTGAGTCACTCGTCTGAAAGTGAACCTTTGTCCGGTCTACTTCGAGACAGTTAAAGCCTTCGGACTTAAGGAGTCTACTGATGCCGACTGTCATCATGAGGCGTCGAGGTGCCAATCAAGGCACAGACTTCCCATAGGGCGATCTTCAACCATGCGAATCGCATCAGATATCGGTATCTCCAAGTTTCATGTCAGTTGAAAGGAGCACGAGAATCCAATGGAAGGCGAAGATCGCACTACATCTCCAAGACAGGAAAGTCCTTGCGGGAGCCAAGAATAACAAACAGCTGCATGATGATTGGTGGATAGGTGACAAAGTGCAGACCCCCACAGTGACGGCCTCAGGCAACAAGGCATCCAGTCAAGGGTAACGATAAACCCTTGGATGAGCTTCTGATAAACCGATACTCCAACTGCTCAACAGCCCTCAGTCAACATGTCGGCGTGCAAGTCTCTTGCCCAGCGATGGCCCCGGTACCTTCGTCGCACAAATATACCAATTATCTCTAGCCAACCAGCTCGACCACTGCTCCGGAGTTGTCGCACCAGCGCGCAGCTATCTCTGCCTCGTACATACGCATCGATCTCCGCCGCAGAGCTCAAATTTGGACAACCCCTTCACGAGACTCACCCTCATCTGTTGAACCCTGGAGAATGTACGTGCATCCCCCGTGACTTTGGGAACCTTTACCACAAGGAAGAACATATAAATTGACCTGAAGAAGTGACTCCTGGTATTACGGCCCTCGAATATGCCCAGCGCCGTTCTCGACTTGCAAACAAGCTTCCCAAAAATGCAATCGCCGTGTTGGCGGCCTCGGAGGTTACATATCGCGCCGCTGGAATCTTCAACACTTACCGCCAGGATTCCAACTTTTACTACCTCACCGGTTAGTGTTAACCGCACCTCGTGGGGGGGGGGCGGGGGGGGGGGGTAAAACGATGAACTGATTCGGTCTGCTCCGCCAACAGGATTCAATGAGCCCAGTGCGCTAGCTATTATCGGTGAGATTATACCAAATGAGCAGGGGTTTGCGCAGTGCTCATCTATCAACAGCAAATGACGGATCTGGGGATAATCACATCTTCCATCTTTATGTGCGAGAGAAGGACCCGAAGGCTGAACTATGGGATGGAGCGCGGTCCGGTACACAAGCTGCAATTGATGTCTTCAATGCAGACGAGGTAAGAAGCTTACCGTTCTTGGAGTTTTCCTTTGCCTGACAATGGATCACAGACCGGAGATATAGAACGCATTGGAGATATTCTCCCAGCTATCGTGTCGGAAGCCTCGGAAATCTACACGGATATCCCTGCTTTCAACCCAGGGCGATCTTCCTTGCACCGTTACTTATATGGCCCTTCGGGTGCTTCTGAGAAGCTGAAGAAGATTGTCGACTATGGGAAGGTCAAGCCCGTGCGGAACATCATGCACGAGATGCGGGTATTCAAAAGTGAGGATGAGGTCGTCCAATTACGTCGGACCGGGCAAGCCTCGGGGCGAGCTTTCACCGAGACCATGAGACAGACTTTCACTAGAGAGAAGGACCTGAACTCCTTCTTGGAGTACAACTTCAAGGTGAACGGGTGTGATGGCAGTGCTTTTGTTCCTGTAGTTGCAGGCGGTTCCGTAAGTCAATCGCGAGACTCCACGGTAGCCCGGCTAATGAGAGGTATAGAACGCTTTGAGCATCCACTATACGCGCAATGATGATGTTCTGAGGTAAAGCTTTCATCTTGTCAAGTCTCAAGATCTGAGCTAAGTGAAATGTAGGGATGGAGATCTGGTTCTAGTTGACGGGGGTGGCGTGAGTTATGAATCATCTGGCGACTTCTTCACGGTGCTCACAATCATTAGGAATGGGGCTCTTATATCTCTGATATCACGAGAACTTGGCCGGTCAATGGCAAGTTTTCCGACCCCCAGCGTGACCTGTATAATGCCGTGTTGAACGTGCATCGCAGCTGCGTGTCACTTTGTAGGGAAAGCGCAGGACTCTCCTTGGACAAGTTACACGGCATTGCAGAAACTGGCCTCAGAGACCAACTGCAACAGCTGGGATTCGATGTGTCAGGCAATGTGAGTCAAGCTTGGACACGTTTTAGTGTGAGATTGCAAACCTGACGTGCCAAACAGGCAATGGGCATCCTGTTCCCACATCATCTGGGACACTACATAGGACTGGACGTTCATGACTGTTCCGGATACCCTCGAGGCTACAACCTGAAAGCCGGCCAATGCATCACCATTGAGCCGTACGTGCATCCCCTGTCCAAGTCCACGATAACACGCTAACCGATTGTCTTAGCGGCATCTATGTCCCGGACGACGACAGATGGCCAGAGAAGTTCCGTGGGATCGGCATCCGAATTGAGGACAGTGTATGTGTCGGTGATGACAACCCAATCGTGTTAACCACCGAGGCAGTGAAAGAAGTAAGTTACTCCACTTCGTAATTCTTCCTTGACAATGAAGCATTGATCCTTCGCTTGCTTTCGCGAAATAATGCTAATGTGCAATGCTGGATAGGTTGAGGATATTGAGGCCCTCCGGGACTAGACGCAGTAGTGGTCCGTCCTTCTGTAACATATAGATAGATACCCTTTACAGAGAATTTGTACAATACGATGATCTCCGGTACGAAGAAAGGAGAAGTCAATCCCGAGTACTATCGAGTACCTAGGTATGGTAGCTGTGTCAACCAGAGAAATAAACAAACAAAGGGCTGGTGTTGGTGTTGGTGTTTGTAAAATTCGATGGACCAGTATTGGCCGGTACCATCGTATATACCATGGAAGTTGACGCGTGAAATTGATACAGAACAGAACAGACCATCACGACAAAACCTGATTAGAGCGTAACCTGAGGGACCTGCAGTATTATGTCATCATTTTCCTCACGGGCGCAGTATAGATAGATACATGAATATAACTGGGACTTTGGATACCCAGTCAACTGTCGAAGGAGTAAAATAAGGTAAAGAATGTTCACCCAGCATTCGCAGTCCTGGAAAAGGCTTTTATTTTTTTTGATAGTGGATGTTCATTGTTCACCCTTTGCGCGATGCTCTTTGGCTGTTTAGCGCACATCCCCAGCGGCCAAAACAAACCCGGTCGTCTCCACCACACGCTTGCCCAGTCGGTCTGCTTTGCTTTGCTTTGCTTTGCGTTGCGTTGCCTACTTTGCTTTGCTTCTCTTCTCTGGTCTCGTCTTGTCTCTCTTTAAACGTACCAAACTAAACGATCTACCTACTACTTACTGGCTGATTGCCTTACCTACCTTACCTTAACTTGACCTTACTTACCACTACTAAAATACTACTGCACGACTTTGTCCATCCGTCCTCCAACCACCCCCCTTTCAATAAGTCTCCGGACTCGACAGTGCCTGTCATACTCTCATCCTGCAGGCTTGAAGGCACTTGGTCGTCTCGTCTCGTCTCTTGTGCTTTACCATCCTCGATCCTTCGCTCTTTCGTTTCCACGTACAATGGCTTCTCTGTGATCAAGAGGGGGGAGAAAAAAAAACCAGCCTTTCGAGACGTGTAGCTAAGTCGCGCGTCCAGCTTAGAGTGCCCCCTCTCTTGCTGGCTCGTCGATTCACAGCCTTCACACGTACTGCTATTGCAATCAGTGTTCGCGCGTATTGCTACCCTATGGCAGCAGTATTCGTACCTCCTTCGCCGCGAATCTCTCTTAACATGTCAACTCGCCGCCCTCTCGCCAACGTGCCGAATGCCACCAATTCCCCTCACAGGGCGGGTCTCGTTCCTGCAAAGCGTCCCCGGACGACAAATGCTCCGATCGATATACCCTACGGCCAGCCTCCCCTTAAGAAGCAGGTGATTGATGGATTGGAACAGGAGGCCCGCACTCCACCGCGGGTAAAATCGAGCACCATCACCGATTCTAAGTTATTCACGCGGCGGTCGAATAATGCTCAACCAAGTGCTTTCGAACGGAAATTGGTCGCTGCAAGGGATAAGGAACGGCAGACTCAACTCAAAGGCACCAGACAGGAAAAGCCCTCTGCGGAGTCGATTGAGTCGATCCGACAATGGCAGAGGCATTATCGAAAGGCGTTCCCGTCTTTTGTCTTTTACTTTGATGCTATTCCAGAGGACGTTCGTGCCAAATGCTCGAGACAGGTCATTGCATTGGGGGCTGTGAGTATCTCTTTCCCGGTCCTGTCCATGTCCATGTCTATTGCGCTATCATCGTACCCGTGTCCCTTTGCTTTGTTCTTGCTCCAAGGGTCTCTCTGCGATGGCTGATTGAGGAATACAGAGCGAAGAAAAGTTTTTCTCCCGTGATGTCACCCATGTTGTCACGTCCCGCCCTATACCTCCTGAACTAAACGCCGCTGCCGACTTGAGTGCTCCGAACGTGGAACAGGGTCCTGTTGATACCGTCAATCCGTCTCTCCTGGAGAAGACAGTCGACACCCACCTTCATATGTCTTTGAAGACCGATACAAGGCGTGAGCAGAGCAACATGGACGTGTTGTATCGAGCCCGCCGGATGAAGATGAAAATATGGGCACTGGAAAAGTTACAACGCATGATTGCCGCGATCAATGACGGAGACATTGGAGGACACGGCGCCACCTCCACTCGCACCCAAAACGCTGCTGGTGGGAATACCAGAGCTCGCGGCGAGACGGATCTTTCGCAAGTCCTGCGAAGTGAACTCATCAATGGTCCCTCGGATCGAGATCCTCTTTCTTCCTTGAAAGAGTTGGTGATGTTCAAAGGCCCGTTCGTTTATGTTCACGATATGGATGAGAAGACCAAACCGGTGATGGTACGAGAATACCCAAAAGTCGCGAGACGGCAGGACGGTACTTGGCCACAGTTCAGAAGTGCACCGCTGGGTAAATGCCCTTTCATCGACGAACCCCCGACCAAGAAGGAAATCGAAAGGCACCGAGCTCTCCAGCAAGAGAAGGACAAGAAGGCCGCTGCCAAGGCTGTTCCAGTTCAACAAACTCATGATCCTAAGCCTAACCGACAGGACCAAGCCCCTGTGACCAAAGATAACCAAGATATTCCGAACGAGATTGACAGTGAAGACAATGTTGATAACAAGGTGTCCCAGATCAAGCCGACTGATATGCAGAAACCGCTGTCAACCAAGCCAGCTGCTCCGCGGAAAAGCTCCGAGAGCTTCGTACCTCCCCAACTGCACCGAGGAGGACCTTTTTATGCTGGCCGTGAGCCTGCCGCGTCGGGGGTGCAGCCGTCGAATATCACATCCGCCATCCGCTCCCAGATGGTATCATCTACCGCTGCAGGACCTGGTGCCAAGGCTGGTATTAGCAAGGAAGTCCACGAGTTAAAGCGGAAGGTTCTGGAGAAGAGCAACGGTGGACTATCAACCAGCGCTATGCTTTCGCCTCACCTCACCACGTCTCTGTCGACATCGTTCAAGATGAATCAATTGTCGCATAGGACGGGTCAGACAAATACGCAGGACAAGCGTGGACACGTGCAGGAGGAAGACACTACCCAATCCGAAGGCAACGGTGCCAAGCGGCGAACCGGTCTCCGGAAAGTCATGACTCAGAAAAAGAAGGAAAGAAGGAGAGATCCCAAACCTGGATATTGTGAGAATTGTAGGGATAAGTTCGATGATTTCGAGGAGGTGAGAGACCCATTCAGATTCCTTGGGTTGATAGTAACTGACGATCATTTCAGCATATTATGACCAGAAAACACCGGAAATTCGCAACCAACCCAGCGAACTGGGTTGATCTAGATGAGCTGCTTGATGAGTTGGAAAGACCACTAAAGGAGCAGTGGGTATGTGAGGCCGCAGATACACCTTAATGTTGTCCATCTCGGCATGTCTAGCTACCCGACTCCCACTTGGTCCTCTTTTGTCTTTGGGGTGATAGTGTCAACGATGACATTCCCCATTCAGGAGACTGTCGAGGTTTACGTTAGAAGTAAATAGTGCCACGAAACACGGCTGCAACGCCATTGGCTGAGCCCACAACCGCATACCTACATTTGAGTCACAGTGGTTGGGACGCATGCTCTTTATCATTGTGATTCTTCAGACCCTCTTTAAAAGGTTCTTTACTTTCCTTTCTCTCATTCATTCCTTATTTCATTCCCCTCGTGCGGCGGCCTATTGTACTCCATATCCATCAGGTTACCATACCATCATACAATCGGCGTCCTTGAATTTTCTTCTGGGGGTGCGATGTTGCTTTGGGAAGTTGACGGACGAAAAAAAAAAGCATCTTACGGCCTTTTAGCGACATTTTTGCATACCATACCCTCAACCGAAAAAAAAGGGGGGGGAAGCTTATGAACTACCTATTTGGAGACTGACGCCAAAATCCATTTCGGGGAGGGCTTCACAGATGCACGGTGCTTTTACTGTGCATGGGGTATTCCACGGTTGATCGGCAACGGCGTACGCAGATGGCATTCTATGAAGTGGGTTGATCTACTTTCTCGAGTTTCTTCTCTCTAAATTCTCTTTTATCCATGTCTGTCGACAGCATTTTCATGGGGCGGAGGTTGTTACGGGGTTAATTGCATATGGCTGAATGCCTTTTCTTCTCTCGGCGGCAGCTTTTGTTCGATTTTGTTTGATTTGCATATCTAATTATCTTCCCATGTGACAAGCTTTTCTTGCTTTGAGTTGTAGAGTTCGAGTCACAGGAATCAGAATCTCATAATTATATACCTCCAGAGTACCTAGGTATATACTTCTGTAGTACTAGTAAGTAAACGCTGCTTATCCGAGCCTCGGCTTTCCAAACCATCTCGGCTCGGAATAAGCAACACCCCCGGCGGAGAAGCTCTTCCCACTTACCCACCAACAACACTTGTGCCAATCACATCTTCACCGCGAAAAGGCGCGAAGTGGGAGAGACGCCACTAATGACTAAACATCCGGCAGAATGGAAAAAAAAGAAAAAAAAAAGAAGGGAATAATACAGTGGTACTTGGGATGCTCTGGGCTACGCTGCATATACCAGCACGTATCCCAGGACTTAATAAAACTTTTGTTGCCTGATGGGCGAAGGTTATGAACGGGATGGAGGGAGACTCACTTCTCGCTCTTCTCTCGCTCTCTCTGGCTCTCTCTCTCTCTTGCATAACGAGGTTTTGTTGGGAATCTGACACAACTATTTACGGTGTGTCGACTCGATACGTGGTTGTCGACTTGTCTTGTCTCTTGTAGTTGTGAGTTGTGACACGGCTATTTCGAGGTATACTTTGGTGATTTCCCTTTTTGGGTAGTGACGCCACTGCTGCGACTTGCGGTGGTCTCTTTTTCTTCATTCTTTTCTCGAGGACTATATTTTGTTGACTTTTTTTTTTTTTTTTTTTTTTTCTCTCTTTCATGGGGGTGGGATTTATTTGATTTCTTCTTCTCCTTCTTACTCATTGACTGGGGAGATATTGTTGTTCTTTTTTGAATTGACATAGGCAATGGCTTCCAAGACTGCCTCGCGGCTGATATCGCCGCTCCAATCGCTTGCTAGAGGTGCCGGGGCACGACCTCCCTCATTCCTTACTCCTTCTCTGATCCTCTTCGGAAACCATACCCCCACACCTCTGCCTCTCTGGTCCTCACCATGGACCCCGACCGTTCGGCATAGCTCCCACTCGCCAATGGGGCAGTCGCCGGTCAACCCACGGAAGAAAGTGACCATGCAAACCTTACGAAGTCTGTACAAGAAGGGAGAGCCAATCACCATGCTGACGGCTCATGATTTTCCCAGCGGCCATGTCGCCGAAGCAGCCGGAATGGATATGATTCTGGTGGGGGACAGTTTGGCCATGGTCGCTTTGGGGATGGAGGACACGAGCGAGGTGCTGATGGACGAAATGCTGCTGCATTGTCGGAGTGTAGCGCGCGCCGCCAAGAGCGCCTTCACGGTTGCGGACCTGCCCATGGGCTCGTATGAGGTGTCGCCGGAGCAGGCGGTTCAGTCGGCTATTCGGATCGTGAAGGAGGGCCGCGTCCAGGCTGTCAAACTGGAAGGAGGCAAGGAGATGGCACCGACTATCAAGCGGATCGTGCAGGCGGGCATTCCGGTTGTGGGTCATATCGGGCTCACGCCGCAGCGGCAGAATGCCCTCGGAGGCTTCAGGGTACAGGGCAAGTCGACGGCGGGTGCCCTGCGATTGCTGAACGATGCCTTAGCTGTGCAGGAGGCCGGTGCATTTATGATCGTTGTCGAAGCAGTCCCCGCGGAAATCGCAGCGATCATCACAAAGAAGCTGTCTGTGCCCACCATTGGCATTGGAGCAGGCAATGGATGCTCGGGACAGGTCCTGGTACAGATCGACATGACCGGCAATTTCCCTCCTGGCCGATTCCTCCCCAAATTTGTCAAGAAGTATGCCGACGTGTGGGGAGAGGCCATCAAGGGAATTGAGCAGTACAAAGAGGAAGTCAAGAGCCGCGCATACCCTTCACAAGAGTACACCTATCCCATCGCCAAGGAGGAATTGGCGGAGTTTGAGAGGGCTGTTGAGAAAGTCGACCGAAGCTGACCGTTGATCGGAATGGTTCATGAAGATGAATGATTGTTCGTTTGGCGTTTGTACATGCGAATCGGGAGTATCTTGCATCGTTTTCGGGGTTTCGTTCTCAGGTTTTTAGCATCGTCTGGCACCGCATTTTTTGATCCTTTGCATTTTGACCTTGATGATACCTCGTGCTTGATGATTGTGGTTGCGAGTAATGTCATATAGTGGTGGCGGCTCTAACTTCCTTTGGGGTGGCATTGTCTTATAGATGGTTAATCTATGCTTTCGTCATCATGCTCAGCCCAGTATTTGGAGCCAATTCTTAGCCAAAGGCTGGTGTCATGGAATAGGAAACGATCAGTTGATCATCAACCTTGAAACACTGGGGAAAAATCAGCCTGAAACTCCGATAGATAGAGGAGGAGTTCGGAGTCGACTACATACTCTCCAAAGACCACCAACGCCTTCATCTAGCCCAGGGGCAAAGACGCTGTTGACATAGCAGAAGACGGAATCCGTATCTTTGCAATCTAGTTTTTTCCTGAGGAATTTGACGACTGTCTCGAATTTCTGAGACGCACTGATCTTGAACACGCGATTTTTCAGAATAGGCGCGGAAGGAAGAGGCTGAAAACGAACTGTGACTGTTTAAAGTTAGACGAATGTAGAGCTAACAAGCCTGCGATGAGATCATTGTTTGGCCGGACCAAGAGTTTTGAGCGAACAGAAAGATTCATGACAGATATTCTCGAGTCCAGACGGACATTGCTTCGAATACAGGCATATGCAGTAAGCCAACTTACCCTTTCCTGTATCAACAGCCTCAGCATCGGCCAGCGCTCGATGGGCATCCCGCGGAAGGCTACTCAGCACCACCGACGCGGACATGGTCAGGGGCAAATCGGCGCCATGTTCATCGTCTGGGATTGGAGCGCTTCTGGTATTCGATTCTGAATCTTGTCTCCGGCTTGCAGGTCGATGACTGAGTTTGCTTCCGGTGAGATGTGGGGGATTGGACGGTGGGGAGTTTCCGCTGGAGGGATTCTCTGATGATGGGGAGTCCATTTCTTGTAGGTATTCGGTTTTATTGCTGCTATCAGAGCAGTTTGCAGATTAGGGGATTGTTTGTGAGAAGAGCTGATTGAATGCGAGAACATCACTGTGATATGGTGGTGTTGTTTAGAGGAGTTGAGGAGCAACCAGGTACTACTAATTGTTAGGCTACAGCTACTAGCCCAATAATAATTGGACTGCAGAAGTTCTGCAATGCTTATTTCAGTATCCATCACTGAAGTTTGGTAGTATTATTTAGGAAAAGATCACGTCACATGAGATTTATGTATACTATGTGGCGCCCTCTAGACATAGTACCTACTTGCACTCAGTTTTGGAGTCTAAGTTGCTCGGAATAGTTACCTTGGGACGATTGAATCTCCCGTATCACTAGTGGGCTCCAAGTACTGAAATGTTGACGTAGGTCAACTGGTCAAGTGTGTTCGCTATCGCTGTCCGATAACAACGCAGCTAAACTTAGCAGTATGAATGACGCTGGCCGGCTATTAGTACTATTGTAGGGAGACTCCAAGTAGTCTCTATTTTACCGCTGCAGAGGGGTAGAAACATCTCATTAGACTTGAAGATCCAAAATGTCCTACCCATGGAACTACAGGGAAAGATATAAGAAAACCAAATATCCCAGGGAAACAGAATTGGGTACCTGAAAAAAAGAGTAGATAGCAAGACAAGACAGAGCGCTGAGTCATCCTGCAGCCACATGACTGCCCAACTGACTGTACTACTCTGTAGAGGAATGAATGATGAGCGTGCGGGTCGTGGTGCCATCACTCGACTATCATCTACTACTATACTCCTGGTACTCAGTCCTCTATCTAGTTACTACTACTTCTCCTATTTCTTCGGACTCTACCTCTTCCTCTCCCAACCTTACCACTTCTAGTCACTTCTCAATCATCTACTTATCTTTTTCAAGGACCTTTGTTCCCATCCGACCCTGCTCCTCTACCAACAGGCCTTGCCTTTCGCCCGCCCGCCGTTGCTACTTATCGTCCCCGCTAATTGCTTCCCCGCTCGGTCTTGGAGAAACACCCAGATTTGACTCACTCGTGCCGTTTCATTCACAAATCTTCATCGCTCTCAACAAGTCATTTTGGGGATTTTCTCAGTTGTAGGGGCGAAGCAGCACACACACTTTCAAGATGAGCAGTCCGAAGAGAAGAATCGAGACGGATGTAAGTGACTAAAGTACCTTTACGGGCCTGTTGCTCGGAATTGTACAGTGGCGGACAACTGACTTATTTCTTCTTTTTCTTAGGTCATGAAGTATGAATCGATTGTTTCGAAATGGACAATGAGGCTCACATACTAACCGTTGACAGGATGTACGATTCCCCGCTTCAGTATCCATCGACGCTGCTTTCTTCCCCTCACATTGTCTGCTTGCTTTTCGGATGGACGAATTCAGAAATGAGCGGAATCGTTTCGGCCTTTACTGACATAGTTCCAGGTTGATGAGTGACTACGAGGTGACGCTGGTAAATGACAATAGTAAGTAGAAACGGATGTTTGCCACCGAACTGACTGCTGACTTTTGACCTTAGTGTATGCCACGCTTTCTTGCTTGCGGTCAATCTTCCTCTACACCCTGACTAACGGTCTGATCGATGGACAGGCAAGAATTTTATGTCCGCTTCAAGGGCCCCGAAGAGAGTAGGTTCCGCGCTATGTCAGAGACATAATCCCGGGCTAACGAAATCTAGCACCTTTCGCCGGTGGTCACTGGAAGATCCACGTCGAATTACCTGATCAGTATCCCTACAAGAGCCCAAGTATTGGCTTCGTCAATCGGATTTTCCATCCCAACATAGATGAATTGTGAGGTGTACTCCCTGGATCTCTTATGGAGACGCAACGCTAACACCTCCGTTTCAACAGGTCCGGTTCAGTGTGTCTCGACGTCATCAATCAAACTTGGTCGCCGATGTACGACATGATCAACATCTTCGAGGTTTTCCTGCCCCAACTCCTGCGTTACCCGAACCCTTCCGACCCGCTAAACGGCGAGGCTGCTGCAATGTTGATGCGGGAACCTAAGAGTTACGAGGCGAAAGTCAAAGGTAGAGTTATACTTCATTGCCTGGGGAACAATGCGCTGACCTCGCCGGCAGAATACGTGTCCAAGTATGCCAGTAAAGAGGCAGTGGATGAAGCTGGAGAAGATACCGAGTCAGAAGATGAGTTGAGCTCGGCCGGAAGCTATGAATCTGGCGGCGAAGAGCCGGCTGGAACAATGGATGACGTCTGAAACAATCATCCTCGCTTCGCTATCTGACAATCGCGCAATATACTGCAGTTCACCCTCATCTCTGCACTACCTGTTATTCTATCGCACAAGGCTGGGGGCGTTACTGGCGGAGTTATTGATATTCTTGGAGCGAGTTGACATTCATGGTTTCGAAGGGGGAAGTAGGATATAGCCAGTGGATGCGCGATCACTCGACTGGGTCGCCAACTCTTCTGCTTTCTGTGGTTCAGTCCATACCTCGTCGACCTTTGTTGTTTCTCTCTACTGCTGTTGTGCTATTTTTCTGATCTCTCCATGGATATCTCATCATTTAGTAGTCATGCATGTCTATAGCCAGGGTGTTCCAACAGCACAAAGTATGAAAGACAATAAGAACATTTGGATCGTCTACTTTCGCGTCAAGGTAGACGGATCGAAACATATGCACGAAGAGCATGACTTGAGACTATCTATGCTATGATTAAGGAGTAAAACGGATCGCGGTACAAGGAGGGAACATGCAACTCTACCCAAGTACCAGACAATGCAACACAAAGGAAATAGCCACTGATGACTGCAATGGGAGTGTAAGAAACAAGAAGCGCAAGCGGGGTATTAAATCCCTCTCAAGGGGGAAAAATCGAAGAGGAGAACATAGGAAAGACCGCGAAGGGCACAAGGGGAAGCAAAAGAACCACAAAACACAATCCGGGGATAAGGTGGAAAGACCGTCGACCGGCGACTCAGTAACCAAAGCAGGAAGGATGCAGGATGTAGCAAAGAAAGCGTGAAATCATCTCCATCTCCATCACTAGGTAGGTGATTTGTTTTGTTCACGTAACCTTCAAGACACCAAAGACGTCTCGCCCGTTCCCCTCATCTGTGTTCAACCCTGGGCGAGCCTTCTTTCCCTTATTCGGATTGATGACCACCTCGCCCCAATGCTTGGGGACCGCGCCGTCGCCGGATTTACTCGACTTCGGGGACTCAGAAGGATCGGCCGTGATGACTTTCACGGGGACGTCGGAGCTCGAGCCCGCTTTTGAGGCGACGGAGCCATGGAGTGTCGCTCTCGGTTGGAGATGGGGTTGTGGCTGGAGGGACCAGATGTCGATGACGGAGCTGTGAGGTTCTTGAAGTTAGCGATCTCTGTTTCGAGGGCTTTCCGTTATGTTGTTATATAGTCGAAGGAGAAGAAGGGAAGGGAGCGCACTCTGATGTTCGTTGGCAGATGGCTTCGAGAGCCTCCCGTTCGCGCTTTATGTTCTCCGGGTCCGGGTTGGTGAGCTGGTTCGCATGGTTGAGCGCTCCATAGCCATATCCTGACTGGTAGATGTCATCGTCTAGAAGGCGCGAAGACTCGGACTAGTAAGGCACTGTTAGGGAGGAGTGGCTCGAGAGATCAAGATGACGAGAGTGTCGCACTGCCCAGCCCCCTCATGCGACATGACTACGGCCATGGGCGTTTTGGCCATCTCTGAGGAGCAGCAGGTTGACTCACGTCGTGGCTATCTCGGCGACTGAGTCCGAGACAGGAAGAACAGACACCCATGAATGTATATGTGACTTGAAGGGGAAAGAGAGTCGATTATTGAGCACAAGCGATGCAATCGAGGGAGGCAAGCACTCCGGAATGGGTAACCGAATCAGAAGAAAACTAGCTCAATATTGAGGTGGGGAATACATGAAAGAGCGCGGTGGATTATGATACAAATATCAGCTGCAGCGAAGCACCGACGGGTGACGCTGGGAAGGATGCAGGCAAGTTGATAGTACCTCGAGTCGCATGACAATCGACCGAATCCGTCGTTTATGAGGATATCCAGCCGTGGTGTTTGGATCTGGTCCGTGCGTATCGACACATGAGATGTCATCTGTCGACTCAACCATGAGTAGTACCTCTCTAGAGCTTTAACTGAAACTATAACACTGAAGGCAACTACGATATTCTTTAGAGAACATATTGATGTTTCTTTTCATTCCATAGAGGCCCTAATTGATGATCTTACCATTAATCTCACAGCCAAATCAGTAGCAGTGAAGTTGGCTGGCCCACCACAACCCAAGTCCTATAATTAAGAAAGAAAGCTGATGACAAGACAAGGCTTGTACGACGAGCTGGAATTGGGGTTTTTCTTAATGGCTTCCTCTGATCTCGCTTGCAATGCCACAGACAACTCTTCCCCTGAAACCCAGCCCCTTTAGTAACTCTCTGTGGCAGCCCGATGGCAGGGATACTGCTGCAGCCTACTATAGTTACTGACAATAACTAGCCCTCCCAGTATCAAAATCCCGCTGATCGATTACACAAAGAAGTAGAATTTAAAAAAAGGAATCAGGGGCAACGATGATGAGTTCTAACTGTCCCCACTGCTTTGTTGTCAACTAGTTATCTTGAGTTCACGCCTGCTGGTGAACCCCCCGCATAGATTCTACTAATTCCTTTAACATTCCCTATCCCTGTCTTGCTCCTGACTTCCTACATCACTGAAGACCATTTCATTTTGAGCCACCTGGCATACTGAATCATCCAGTGAATATAGCACAGCCTGATCTCCAAGTCCAACCCCCCCCCCCAAAGCACCACTATATCACACTGATCATGTCTGGACGATTGGAGGGAAAGGTTGCCATTGTGACAGGCGCAGGCTCAGGATTCGGCTACGGCATCGCAAAGAAATTCGTTGAGGAAGGTGCCAATGTTATCATCGCAGAGCTGTCACAGGAGAGTGGAGAAAAGGCGGCAGATGAGTTGAACAGCAAATTCGTCTTCACCGATGTGACGAAGCGAGATTCCTGGGAGGCATTGCTCCAGGCGACCCTTGATGCTTATGGGAAGCTGGACATTGTGGTCAATAATGCCGGTGCGACGTACAGCAACAAGCCCACCGCTGAAGTCACAGATGCCGACTTCGATCTGTGTATGAACGTCAACGTCAAGTCGATCTTCCTGTCAGCCAGCGTGATTGTCCCGTACTTTGTGGACAATGACCGTCCCGGATCATTCATTCAGATCTCATCGACGGCTGCGCTGCGTCCTCGCCCGGGTCTGACTTGGTATAATGCTTCCAAGGCAGCAGTAAGCAATGCAACCAAGACCATGGCGGTCGAGTATGGGCCCAAACAGGTTCGGTTCAATTGTGTTTGCCCTGTTGTTGGAAGTACAGGAATGTGAGTGCTGGTTCCGTCTCTCATCTCAAGCCAAATTGTCTGATCCGACTCGCTACTTGCAGGACACATCTGTTTCTCGGAAAACCAGACACTGAGGAGAATCGAGCAGCCTTCGTGTCGACTGTGCCACTGGGTCGTCCAAGCACTCCTCAAGATGTCGCAAATACATGCTGCTTCCTGGCTAGTGATGAGGCAGCGTTCATTACCGGTGTAAACCTCGAGGTAAATGACACTCTAGGAATGGGTTTTGGCTGAATGGCTAATGTAATTTAGGTGGACGGTGGTCGCTGTGTCTGAACTACACTTGAATCAACTTTTTTTTTCCGGAGAATTGTCAGAAGCGTATACTGGACTCACATTATGATGTTATCTATTGGAAAGCCTTGACATTCGTATCATTCTTAGACTTTCACAGCCGATGCGACATGATAACTCAATCTGAATACCAAGATCGCACGTCTGCTTTGACCAGAGAAGACCCTGGTCGTGTAAAATATCTTTTCAATTTATCACAATAGCATCGTTTTCATATGATTAAAAGCCATGAAACCCTCATTGAGCAGGTGACCAGGACAGAAATAATATGTAATCTTAAGGTATAAAGCTGGCCCATGTACTCCGCTGATACTCGATTTGGCTTCTCCGCAGCCGTGGCCGCAGACGCGCACTTGTGGAAATAGCCGCATGGGATCAACGACAATTTTCATCTTCAACTAACTAAGCGCTACAGTCCGAAAGGTGATGCAATCCAGCCAACTTCACCATAACGTAACAAACCAAACGGACGTTATTTAATTATTCTGGCTGTATTTTATCGTCTATCGTTTCTTTCCCCTTATGCTTCCATCCACGATACACCTTCCAAACCATGTTTGACCTCCCAGACGCGAAACGGTAAGCCCATTCAGGACAACGAATCTTGCAGCCTTCCACTCGGCCACCTCCCTAGATACTCTCCATTAACATTAGAGGACATGACACAGCGTCCGTCGCGATGAACTTCTCTCCGGAGATCTATCTTCCCGCTCTCCATCTCCAGCCCCCGAATCCGTCGCCCAGGACGCCCAGCAACGTCTCAGAGACCTCCTCAACCTCGACGCCCTGCTCGCACCCGCACAACCCAGTGAGCCCAAACAACCGTCTCAAGACGCCGGCCATGCTTCAGAGGATGAAGAGCAGGAATTCGAGTTCCGCCTGTTCAGCGCTGCGCCGAAACCCGATGCCAAGAACGAGAAGGCTCCCGCGAGCGGGGATGCACCGGCCAGCGCGGGGACACAGAAACTGCGAATCCGGCTTCGTTCGCCGACGCCTGGTGCGGTGGATGGGGAGGGTCGCTTTCTGAATCCGTTTCGTGGGTGGGAGTACTACTTTACGACGCCGGGGTTGCTTACGGGGTCGGTTGGAGAGGAGGATGCCGGGGCGGCGGAGAGGAGGAGGCGGTTTGAGGAGATGGCGGTAACGGGGGAGGAGATGGTGGGCTGGTCGAAGGGTTCTTGGGTGAGTGGCGATGCCACGCTGACTCTTGATGATTGTCGATCTCGGAGGTTGACTTTTTTTTTGTTTCATCGCAGCCTGGTTGCCATCTGCCTTGGCGGGTGATACGTTTGAAAAGACAGCATACGAAGTTACCGCCTGCTTCCCAAGATCCAGCTGCGATTGCGACTGTGTGCGTCACGGATCCTCCAGCAAGAGAGCCAAAGTCGCGAAAGAAGCCTGGCAAGAAGCGACGAATCCAACTACGGAAGCGAGTCACGGAAGCCGAGGAAGCGAAGATCAAGGATGCGGAGAAGCGGACTCGCAAGAACAGGGAGCGAAAGATGAAGCGACGACAAAAGGCACGGGAGTTGAAGGCCGCCGCAGCAGCAGCATCGGGACAGAGCCAAGACCAAGAAGTTCCTGATACCGAGATGCAGGATGACTCTGAGGCCAGCGACTGAGCTCACTCTGATAGCTTGCTTTGTGCTTGAAATTCATCATTCTGAATTGTTTGTTTACTACGAGAAACAACGCGAGAATCACATTACTGACATGCTGGTCATGGAGCAAATTGGGACAACCATCTGTCCCCCTGACTGGAGCAGAGTATAAACACAATGCGGGGTATTATGCGACATAAGTTCAACAGCAAAACTCAACAGACGACACTTCGCGTCATGATAGGCCTTGGCCGGTTATAAGAAAAAGGACAAACAGGAGGAAATCCTCCAGATTCAAAAGAACTAGGCTTTACACCAGGATGTTACTTGGCTTCCGCTATTTATGGTCAGCACGATCTGTCTAGAGCGATGTGATTCGACGAATACTCACTTTTGGCCAGCTCTGCAGTCTCAACTATTCTCTCTTGTGCCGGTTGGACCGGAGTTGCCTCTAGGCCAGGGACCAGTGCTAGAGGCGCAACCTCAGAAGGAGCGGGGGCGGCCTCAGTGTTTGTCTCCACAGCGGGGGCTGCTTCAGGTGCAGGAGCAGCAGCAACGGGAGCAGCAGCAACAGGGGCAGCAGGAGCTGGAGCTGGAGCGGCCTCCGTCTGCGTCTCTGCGATAGGGGCTACTGCAGGGGCAGGCGTTGGTGTCGCGGGAGCAGTTTCAGCTAGAGCAGGCGCGGGGTTAGCGGTTGTTTCGATAGGAGCATCGGCCTTAGGTTCAGTAGCTGAAGCCTCGACCTTCGTCTCTGGAGCACTATGTGGTTCCGCGGCAGGAGTCGTAGATTCCTCGGTCTTTGTTTCGGTGGGCTGCGGTGTTGCTTCTGCTGACTTATCTGCTACGACAGCTTGTTTTGGCAACTATCAGTTCAAATTCCATATTTGATAAGCGCATAAGACTTCATGAACGCGACATACCAGGCTTAGGTTCGGTAGCAGGAGCTGGTTCGGCTGGTTTGGCTTCTGTGGCAGGAACTGCTATGACCGTTGCGGCGCCGGCCGCAGCACCGTTGGCTGGCTTGTCTGCGGCTGGGGCGGGCTTAGGTTGAGTGCCTTCAGTGGTAGCCTTCTTCTTCTTGCGAGAGAAGATGGCCTTGAGGCCCTTCTTCAATTGCTGCAGCGCATCGGGGGCTTGGCATTGGATTAGACGTGGAGGAGTCAGCTGATGGAGCTTCACTTACGGACGCCAGGCATTTTGATCGCAAATAGTCGGTTGTGGAAGGGAAGTGAGCAGGGAAATGCAGGTCCTTTAGGAAAGTGGTATCAAGCAGAAGATCCAAGAGAGTACAATTAGAAGTTAGGAATCCCAACACGAAAGGTCAAAGGTTAAGTAGTTATGATTCCGATGGTTGTTTTGATGGCTTGTTCACCACCACGTGACGGCTGGGAGAGGTCTGATCATCCATTGGAGACTCCTTTTTTCTGTTGTCATTCGTTGTCCTCCGTTGCCCACAGCTGGTTAGCTTCCGATACCACGGTTGCTGTTCGTTTTCAATTGCGATGCTCCTTGGTCAATTTCAGGAAGCATAGCCACAATGATGACCCTTGATGAAGAGCCAAGATCGACGGGTTAATTCTATCTCCAAGCCTCCCAAGCGCTACTGGATGAATCCCGCCTAGTCGGTCTGTTTGATTGGCCTTGGAGCTTCCCAAACTCCAGTAGTATGTCCACCGGATCACTGTCAGTTCTCGAATGTGGGGATATCAATTGATTTGCATTGACATCCATGCATGCCAAAGGGATGAAACAGGATGGGGAAGAAAGATTTCGGAAATTACAATTTACATTGACCCAACGTGCTTGGTCGAGCCTTCAGGATGGAAGTCGAGTCTCCTAAGTGCCTACGAGATTCAATTTAAGGATAAAGAAGACGCTCTGGTTGCTTCGCACGACCCAGCTCTTTGTACGAGAACAGCTGACTAGGTAGACTGCCTGTTGCGTCGTCGGCCACTTCGTGCATTCAAATCCACTCCGACATTGAGATCACCCACGACCAGCCGCAGCCTTCTGGGTATCATTTCTTGTCCTATACATTTACATTCAATTGGCAAGAATTGATACAGAAATGAGGATTGCGACGACAAGTTCTATCCCATTACCTTTGACTATGGTTGTTATGAGTCAAACCAAACTGTGGACTCTCAGAGACTTGGCTGCAATTCCAAAACGGAATAAGCTTCACACTCGCAGCATGTTAATTGCCAACATTATTGAGCTGTCCTGGGAGGATCAGTGGTACTGGGGAAGAGCCATCAAGCACTCTACCTAGTAGTGGCAGGGATTGAGATAGCCATGTTGATACCAGATTGTGCAAACACTGATGACTTCGTCCGGTCAATTCAACCTCGTCCAGCCTCGTAGTTAGTTTCGAAAACAATTATTGTTGTAGGGACACTGTTGACCCTAGACAGCATGAAGCCATAGACTCGCTTATGTCGACATCAGAAAAAGGCCGATCAGCTGCAGGATCCGGTCCAATCCGTGACTAAGAAAATGCGACTCCACTGGCATAACTCCAGCTCCCTCCGATCCTGGGAGCTGGGACTTTATGCTTCAGATTTCAACTAAGGGTAGAAAGTAGAAAGCTCATTGTCGAAATCAGGGTGATCAGGAGTACCACGTCTGATCTGGATCGACTTTTGAGGCGAAAGAAAGAATGCGCTCTGACCAGTCTACTGTGGCGGACACCCATTTCTCCCCCACAGTCTCTGAGCAAACTCCTCTCTTAGGCGACGAGGCTCAGCATGCCGTTGTCGACCCCCAGGAACATGGAGAGGACGAAGCTGTTCTGGCGCAGGAGCCGAGCTCCAAGGAACTGATTCTGATCCTGGGATGTATCTGGTTGGGCGTTTTCTTGGCCGCATTAGGTACGGGTTTCCGTCGCGTCAAATTGGCTCAAGCACTGAAAGCTGACTGCACCAGATACAACGATTGTTGCTACACTCACCGCTCCCATCTCGTCGTCCTTCCACTCCTTCTCCTTGCTCTCTTGGTTAGCGACCTCCTACCTGATTTCCAATGCCGCTTTCCAGCCGTTGAGCGGTAGACTCACCGATATCTACTCGCGACGCGCCGGACTGATCTTCTCGAACATTTTCTTCGCTGCGGGAAATTTGATATGTGGTCTAGCCAAGAGCGAGGGTACCATCGTTTTGGGTCGCGTTGTGGCAGGGATCGGAGGTGGCGGTCTCACTGCCATTTCCACCTTTGTGACCTCGGATTTGGTTCCTCTGCGCAAACGAGGGGTATGGCAAGGCATCGGCAACATTTGCTACGGAGCAGGAAGTGGCCTGGGCGGTGTTTTTGGTGGCTGGATCAATGATACACTGGGATGGAGATGGGCGTTTCTGATCCAGGTTCCCTTCGTCGTCGTCTCAGGCATCCTGGTTGCCGTGACCGTGAAGATTCCTGTCAAGGAGACTGAGACCGCCAAACTGAAGCGAGTTGACTTTCTCGGGGCTATCACGCTGGTCATCGCCCTAGTCCTTCTGCTGTTGGGACTCAATACGGGCGGTAACCAGGTGCCATGGACACACCCTTTGATTCTCACATCGTTGCCGCTCTCTGCCGTGTTCATCTTCATCTTCATCTACATTGAAGCAAACGTTGCGTCCGAACCGGTTATTCCTGTTCGACTGCTTCTCGATCGGACTGTATCGTCGGCATGTTTGACCAACTGGTTCAGCACCATGGCGGTCTTTGGATTGCTCTTCTATCTTCCGTTGTACTTCCAAGTAAAGGGTCTGTCGGCCACTGCTGCTGGTGTCAGGTTGGTACCCCAGGCGCTAGGCACATCGATTGGCTCTCTCGGATCGGGAATCTTCATGCGTGCTACCGGTCGGTACAAGCTCTACAACCATACCGCCATGTTCGTCCTTGTCGTCTCCAGTGCTTTGATCTGCACTCTGAATCTATCTACAGCCGCATGGATCCCCTTTATCTACTTTTTCTTCATGGGTGTCGCCTATGGTAGTATGCTGACCATTACCCTTGTCGCACTTATCTCAGCCGTGGACCACGAACACCACGCTGTCATCACCTCTGCATCCTACGCGTTCCGCAGCACGGGCAGCACAATCGGCATCACCATCGCCTCTGCAGTCTTCCAGAACATCTTAAAATTGGGGTTGTGGTCGCGCTTCGGCGATCGTAAAGATGCAGGAGAGATCATTTCCCGTATCCGCGACAGTCTGGACGAGGTCTGGAAGCTTCCCGCGGATTGGAAAGCAGGCGTTCTAGACGCATACATGGACTCCCTCAGGGCTGTCTTCTTGACATTGCTCGGACTGAGTGTCTTGGGGGCCTTGGTCAGTCTGGGCATGCGCGAGCACAAACTGCATGGCAATTTGGCGCGGAGAGATCGTGGATAAGCTGGTAGGTTGCAGTCGTATATAGGCCAGTATATATCCGAGGCAGTTCATCGAGAATAACATTGTTAGGTGGCCTATCTAGCCTAATAGCATCAACTATGGAGAGCTTCATACACACATGTTTTTACCATAGATACCGTCCACTGGCATACATCATCCGCCAATACGAAGAAGATATTGACACCTCAGGCCAAGGCGTCGTAACAACCAATCAGAACCTCGGAACGACACATGATCCTGCAACGATTAAGTAAACGGCGGATTTGGGGAATTTAGTAGGTACCTTCAATCAATAGTCGAGGATCAAAGTACAACCAATGTCGTACGATGAGAGCTTTGATCATCTTTTACGAACAATCTGGCCATCTCTGCATGCTGCTTCCAAAGTACTCCAACAGAAATATTATCCTTATGTGAATACTCAGTCCAAGTTACAACCACCTGTCTTGGTTCCAGTTCCAGCTGGTGGCGTCACACCAAGCATCGTCGATGACCCAGGATAGACGTGGCGAGGCCGAGACAAGCGGAAGAACCAGACTCTGAAATGCGTATCTGCCAGTTAACATTATTGTTCAAAGATAACAAGTTTCCGCGCCGAGTTCTACCCGGCTCTATCGTCGACACTGTTCCACTTTCTTGCATTTGACTTCCCTCGTCTTGACCGCTTTCCTGCTCCACTCGGCTCATACAATATTCAGTCCCTTATTAGCTTATTATTCCTGACACGCTCCAAGACAGCGTTGTCCAGCTGCGTTTAAAAGGGGAAGCTGTCAGGCTTTGCCACTAGCCAGTTACATGGATTCCATATCGTCGTCTGTTGAAGGAGAGCTTCTTGGGCTGCAATTGAAGTAACCCAATTTCAGCGGGCGTTGTTGTCCACGTTTCTGACCGCGTTTGAACTGATCGCTGTTCAACTTACACAGGTTTTTTTTTTTTTTTGCACGAACCCTAGATTCCGTGCAACTAGTGTTTGTCGTCTTGCTGTGTGGTGATCTGGTCCGATCTCTTTTGTCACTTGGATACTCTCTCGACCCTACCACCCCTACTCTACGGCCGGCAAACTTTCTTCTACCTTGCATACGCTCGCCACGCTCCGTCTCCGCAGTTGATTTCGACGGCCGTGATTATATCCTTGGACATGACAGTAGGACTACGGCCGGAGACCTTTGTAACATCTGGTGGTGCTACGGAACGGCCTTTGAAGGGTTTCTTACCGACTGGGATGGAGATTGACTATGATCGTGGGGAGAAATCGACTGGAAGTTCTGCAAAACCCACCGCCCAGTTGACCGAAGTCGATAAAAATGCCACGGATCACTCTGGAAAACGCCGAAAACGCATATTACTCTCGATAGAAAGTGCTTTTGCCGACAATGTGTTACCCTCGCTCGTTCAGAACCCCGAGATTGAGTTGAGGCTGATCACTGATGAGCCACCGGCGCTGCTGGCAGGCGCGAATAAAGTCCCTCATTATATGGACACGGTGGATAGTCAGACGTTCGAGAAAAAGACTGGTGCGCGGAGATGGCTCAAGGCCAAGGCAGCTGAGCTCAGTGAATGGGCGGATCTGCTTCTGGTTGCCCCTATTGATGCCGGGTCGTTGGGATCGATGCTGTCGGGTCTCACCAACACGCTAACCCTAGCACTTCTCCGTGGCTGGATGTCGGCGAAACCTGTCATTCTCATACCAGGCATGACTGTTTCGGAATGGGAGCATCCTCTCAGCAGCAGACAACTCACGGAGGTCGATCGATGCTGGCCATGGATCAATATCGTGAAGCCGGTTCTGTGGCGGTCTAACGGCCCCGAGGAACTTATTCAACTGCCTTGGGATGGACTGAGAGAGTTGCATGATGCAATTGAAAGGATATTGGGACTCTCATTTTCAGACAATCCCACTGGTTTTGGACAAGTGCTCGAAAGCGCACATCAAGTTGCAACAACGGCGAAGCCCTCTGGTAGTGGCATTTCGGCAGCATCGCATCATCAAGAGGGTGTACGATCGTTGCCATTAGAACTCTGGTTGAACATATTCGAGGCACAATTACAGGATTGGGAAATTGCCAAAGCAGTCGGCATACCCACAAATCTCCTTGTTCCTAAGGAATGGCAATCCCACTTGCTCAAAATGTCTACGCCAGCGTCTTTGGAATATACGATTCTCCGAGGATCATTTGCTGCCATCAAGAAGCGCATAGATAGTCTACCACGATGGAAGCCTCTATCTGATCTTGCCTGCCACCTCATCTTCAAATTCTCACGGACCGATATCCTCTCGTATCTCACAGAGAACCATCTCGATTTGCTTTGGACTACTTCCCGTCTTACAAAGGTGCCATACCGTGCCTCGGCCATCTATGGAAACCCTAAGATCTTGACCTGGTGGCGAGATGCCCCTGCGTTGCCGAACAAGGATTACATCGCCGACGCGATGGATGGAGCCTCTCGTGCAGGGTTTGTGGATGTCCTCGAATGGTGGCGGACCTCGGGACTTGAATTGCGGTACACAGAGCGGGCATTGGAGTCTGCCAGTGCAGAGGGTCGGGTAGCTGTGCTTGCCTGGTGGAAGAATGCCTCCGCAAATGCTCCCCCGACTCACCCTATCCCACTCAAGGTTGGAAAATCCGTTCTCCTTGCCGCACAATCCGGACGGGTGGAGTCTCTTGCCTGGTGGGATGCATCCGGCATTCCCTATAGTCACGCGGAGTCTGTTGCCCGTATTGCTAGTACTCACGGCCATGTGCACGTGCTTGACTTCTGGTACAAGCTGAAGGGTCCCAAGATCATCTTTGACAGTCAGCTACTGGTCGGTCCCACCAAGAACGGACACGATAACGTCCTTGAGTGGTGGCGCCGCAGCGGTTTGCGAGTTGAGTTCAAGACGTGCGATATTGAAGAAGCTCTCGAAGACGCAGATCCGGTTTCGGGGGCAGAAGGACGCGTCCGACGATGGTGGGCTCGCAACGGCCTGAATCTAGGGGTTGGGACAAGCGAATGGATGAAGACAAAAGTGTTATGATGCGGGTGGGTTTCGTGTCTGGTTCTGTTTCCCTCGTTCTTATTCATGATCCGGTGATCAGGAAGTCTATATACCCAATTCTGTTTTACCTACTTGGCGTTTTTGCGTACATAGCCTCGGAGTATGACCTTCCTCAATCTAGTCTCTCAACGTACTCATTCCTCCTTTCTCTCCTTCCTCCCATCGAACCATATGGTTAATCTCCGCCGAATCCATATACTCCCTAATCTTCGAAAACTCCTTGAACCCCTCCGAGCTCGCAAAGTCATAATGGGCCTGCACCTCCTTCCACCCACTCAGCAACACAAACTCCTCCCCCTCCTCCCGTTCCACCCTCCACCCCCCAAACAAAGGCAGCGGCGCCGTATACCCCTCCAAACCCCCACTCACCTCCCCAAAGACCCTCTCAAACGCATCCCTGCGCGCCGCACCCACGAAATACCGCCCCACGGCCACAACCGCCGCCCCGAGCAGCAGCTCCGCCTGCCGCGCCGCGTCGCCCTCCACGTGGAACATCCACACCACCTCGATTTCGTCTGCGAGCTGGCGCATGAACTCCTGGTTCGCGGGCGAGGGGATCCAGTCCTCGTGGTGCTGGCGCGCTGAGGCCCAGCCGCCGATTAGATAGATGAAGGACGGGTCTTCGACTTGGGTGAAGAGGTGGACCGGGTAGGAGGAGTATTTGGCCTGCGCGGAGGTGGCCTCCCGGAGCAGGGTGAGGGTTGAAGAGGAGGGGGGTGTGGATTTGAGGTGGAGGAGGGCGATTTCGGTGACGGGGGTTGGTAGGGTCATTTTGCTTTCTTGGTTCCTTTTGACTTTTTGATTCGAGATGTTTTGCTGGGGGAGTGGTGTTGAGGTGTATGATGTGTAGGTAGCGGTTTATATTGCTGTCGATGTTATGTACTTCATGTATATCTTTGGATTTAGTCGTTGGCATAGACCAGGGATGGATTGGATCATGTAACTTTTACAGACAGCAAGCGTAAGCTGAAGCAGCCTGGGTTCAAGTTCCCGTTTCGGATATAACTGACGTCTCAATGGTGAGGCTAGCTATCATCGATGTGGAGAGAAATTAGATTCGGCCCTTCGCTGTAAGAAAGATGCGAGGTGCAATTAGAGTGCTTAACTCCGAACCCAGCTGGAATCCCTCAGTACTATTCGATTCCTGCTATGCTGTATGGTATCATTCGATTCATTTCCTCTCCATTGCTCTTCCATGTTATCCAAACACTAACCATGTTGTACACAGGAAAGGAGCTCGCAAAGAATCGGCCTCCTTACAACAAACGGAGAGTAGAAATCTCGGGTATATTCTAGTTCAGTAGCTTCGTAACGTGCATCAAGAAAGTAAATTTCGTGCCCCCCCAAAACAATCCATAAGTCAACAAGAAAATCAAAGGAGATCATGAAGAGCGCAACACGTAAGGCAGAGACATGATAGTACGAAGATTGAAAGAGAGCGCGTGAAAACTGGTCAGACTTCTTTCCTATAAAGGCGTTAGTTGAGCTATATGCGAAGAAACCGAAAGGAGTACATACCACGTAGGCTCGGTTCTTTCAAAACCAGGCGTGCGGATAGCGTTTCGATCACCAAAGGGATTGTTCTCGTCGTCGTCATCTTCGTCCTGATCTGTTTCCGAATCACTGGCGCTGACATATTTCTGCTTGGACGACGATGGTACAGATATGCTCAGGGGTCGGGCTGGTCGTGGGGGTTTAGGAGGGTTCACAACTAATCCCGCAAATGAGTCGTTCAAATCATCCCGATCAGGGCTCCAACCACTCTCGAGCACATCCTGATCACTATCGCTGTCATAATCTATGCTCTTATCTAGGACCTCAAATGCCATAAGAGCGGTAACAAGCTCCTCATTCGCATGAATGAGACTTCCCAGATATTCCTCGCTCTCAACGTGCTGAATGTACCGAAGAATCTGCCGTCTGAGCAGTTTACAGGTCTCAAACCGGTTGAGACATTCTGCATCCTCGCTCACCCGCTGCGTTTCGCGGTTGACCCGTTTAAGCGCGTTCAACAGATTGGTGCTGGCAACGGAAGATGAAGCGAGGGTTTGTAGCATCTCTGGCTTCTCTCGATCCAGACTGAACGACTTATCTCGCACCTTCCTCTCTTTCTCCTTGTCTTTCTTTTCCTTCCTGAAAGAGGATCTACTAGAGGAGTGTTTGTGCTTACTGCTGCTAAGAACAGTGCTTGGACCATTCCCAACCGAAATGGAAACAGTATGACCCAGTTGTGGCTCATTGTTGGTGTTGCTAGCCTCTCGAAGAACTTTTGCCTTGGCTTGGGTAGCGGGCTGCTTGCGTTTTGGCAGCTGTCGATATAGAGCTGCCACTCTTTCCATACCAGGAGTGTTCTTGTAGGACACTGCCCATTGGCCAAACAGCTGCTTGCATTTTTGCTTCACCAAGGGGTCCGATACTGGGTCAGTGGCGGCGATGCGCAGACGCTCCAATAATGGCTCATCTGCGAACTCTCTAAGAAATCGATCTCCGGCATTTTGGATCAAGAAATCAAGAATGGTGAGAGCTCTGAGTTGGCGATGGAGGTTGCCATATTTTCTGACAGGAAATTAGCCCACTTAGATTCGGGCTGAACACACGGAGTTTCAACTAACAGCTTCTTACGCAGTGCACGACTGGCTTCTGTCGGCCCACTACCTTGAATCCGCACCGCTTCGATGAGATCGACAATCCCGCTGGAGTCTTCAGTCTCGTATTGCTCGCCAGTGAGCACTTCAATTTGAACGGTCACAGCCGAGTAGGGTTTCTGCGCAAAGCGATGCGTTAACCTCGCGCCATTGATCAGAAAGCGTTACGCCCAATGAGGACAAACAACAGCCATAAATCCAGGGTACTCCAGACTGACGGCAAATCAGACTTGCGCATTTGAAGTCAAGCTTTTCTCTGCATGCATATCGAGTAAGATGATGGATTTGGGCTTACCGAAGAGTGGAACATGGTGAGCTCCTGTTCAGAACTCTGATGTGGCAGTTCGATACACCAATTGCTGAAAGAAGAGTCGAAAGATCGCACAAGATCAACTCGGCCGGATCCTTACTCCTAGGACAGCCCAGTCAACGTAGACCCAGCGACCGACGCCAGAGATCGAATCTCGCCCAAGCTGTAGCTCGTATTGCTCCTGAGCTCAAGGTCGTTTTAAGCAGAGATATGGAAGTTAGGCACGACAAGTGATAGCCAGAAGGTGACGTGTTAGACCCTGTCAGTCCACCCGAGGCCGTGTTATAATTTCCCAGCCTAAGAATAGTCGAAACACACAGACAGTTCCGTTGGATGGAAGGCGAAGGTGGCTTCTACACAACCCTACCGAAGCCTCTTCCGCCACTGATGAGCGACACAGCAGCAAAGCAAGATAGTGGCGCGGATGACTAGGGATTACTGAATAATATCTCAGACTTGTAAAGCAAACAGACCGTCTTCGGTGGCCGTGTCCACTTGTTGCTGTTGATCGTGATACTGATTGTAGTTACAGTACTCCGTAGTTGCTCCGATAATGGAGCTAGTCCCGTGACTGCCCCTCCTCCCGCATCCCAATCGGGTCTAGGGCGGGGAGAGCCGTGGAACATCGGAATGCCTGAATGCCTGGGTGCCTGGGGTATCAGCGAGGCAAGAATGGATGATTACGTTGCGGGAACACCGCGATGACTACAGTTGCAGGGACACGATGCTCAATTGCTCCATCAGCTCGTGCTAGGAGCATCGGCGTTGAATGTTATCCATCTAGCTGCTGCCAAGCAGTACCTGTCTGACGTACGCCTCTTGTGCTTGCCAATGGGTCTCCGGTCTCCTAATCCGGCTGATCGTTCCTCAACTACTAGCCAGTCGTCCTTCTCAGTCTTCTCCCGTATTATTCTCTGCTCCACTCTTCTGCTGGGGGCTAGTATCATCCTTAAAACCCATCCGCGTTTCAGTACCTACCTCCCCCACCTCTCCTCTTCCTCACATTCATATACACAAGTCGCAAATATGTCCTACCAGCAGGAACGCTACATTGCCGAACTCGCGGTTCAGCGAGCAACCCTCCTAACACAGAAGGTTTTCCACGAGAAGGCCAAGGGCACCGTATCCAAGGACGACAAGTCGCCCGTCACTATCGGCGACTTCGGCGCCCAGGCCCTCATCATCCAAGCGATCCGCAAGAACTTCCCCAACGATGAGATTGTCGCTGAAGAAGAGGCCAGTTCCCTCCGCGAGGACAAGGCGCTGAGCGCTGAGATCTGGAGACTTGTTAAGGATATCAAGCTTGAGGATAACGAGAGTAATGAGCTCTTGGGTGGCTCCTTGCCAAGCGAAGATGCGATGCTGGACACCATTGACCAAGGCAAGAGCGCCGGCGGTCCTAAGGGCCGTATCTGGGCTCTGGACCCCATTGACGGCACCAAGGGTTTCCTCCGCGGTGGTCAGTACGCCGTCTGTCTTGGGCTGATGGAGGATGGAGATGTCAAGGTCGGGGCTATCGGTTGCCCCAACCTGCCTGTCGATGATTCTGTCGCTATGACTACCAGCATTGGTGTTGATCAGACCGATGGCGCTGGAAAGGGAGTGCTCTTCTCGGCCATCAAGGGTGAGGGGGCCATTAGCCGACCTCTCTCGAACGGTGCTCTCGCCGAAAGCAAGCCGATCTCGATGCGTCCCGTGCCAGACATCAAGCAATCCGTTTTCTGCGAGGGAGTGGAGGCTGCCCACTCAGCGCAAGGTGACAACGCCGCCGTTGCTCAGCTCCTCGGTATCACCTCCCCCAGTGTGCGTCTGGATTCGCAGGCCAAGTACTGCTCGATCGCCAGAGGTGCTGGTGACATCTACCTGCGCCTCCCCGTCAAGAAAGACTACCAAGAGAAGATTTGGGACCATGCCGCCGGTGATCTGATTGTTCGCGAGGCCGGTGGGCAAGTGACAGACATCTATGGCCAACGGTTGGATTTCAGCAAGGGCCGGACTCTGGCTGCCAACAAGGGCGTCGTCGCCGCTCCCAAGGCCATTCAGGGTGAAGTCATCAGTGCGGTCAAGACTGTCCTGAAGCTATAAGCAATGATTCACACGCCATTTTACAGCAGAATAATCACACAAAAATCTGTTTTAAATCATTTGTTAGACCCCCCTTGCACGCTAGATGCGCCTAAAAGTACATATGATAGATACCAACTCAATCGGTAAAGTAAGAGAGAATGCCCTCGGATATACATGTACAGAAATACAGCCCAGACCGTCTTCCAAGGAAAAGACGGAGGAAACACGAACCATACCAGATCACCGAATCTTCTTGGCCTTGAGTCTGATTGTCTCCCCATTGACAAAGATACCCTTGCCCTTGTAAGGTTCCGGCTTCCGCCACTCTCTGATCTCCGCCGCGAACTGGGTGACAACATTCTTGTCAACGCCCTCGAGTAAGATGCGGGTTGGCTGTGGTGTGCTCGCCTTAACTCCCTGGGGAACGCCCATCTCAATTGGGTGGGAATATCCAACCTTGAGAGAGACGAATTGTTGGCCGGGATACTCGGGTTCCACCGTGGTAGCTGTGGGTTCGATACTCGCTCTGTAACCGACACCGACAAGACTGAGAATACAGATATGACCCTCCGAGACTCCGAGAATATAGTTTTGCAGATGTGCCCGAGTGGTTCCTAGACAATGCGATGGTAAGATACAGTCCGGCAAAGGGAGAGGTTCTGGCTGCGACTACATACCCCACATGGCACGCTGATGGGCGATCGAAGAGTCCTGGACGGTCAAGCTTGCTTTCCGGAGCGATGCATCGTGTGCGACCTCGACGAATGGGGGGATGTTTAAAGTCAATTCGCCTGTAGATGACCCCGGGTTAGATGCCGCTTCGTAAGATATCCAGGTCTCCAGCACTGCAGCTTACCCAAAGGACCCTTGACCTCAATGGCAGTCTTGGGAATTTCCTTCGACCGGTCTCGTATTTGAGTCTGGGGTAGGTCGATAAATTTCAAGGAAACCTCTGGGGGTACCGAGATCGTAGCGCCGCCTACTCGTGATTGTGTCGGGGAAGTGGTTGAAAAATATCGTGTCCGCTGCGGGTACGCAGGTGTAAGGAAGACGGGGAGATTGCGCTGGCGGAGAGGGCTCCGTACGAGCTGCCTCAAGCAGCTTTGCGGCAAAATATTTGACATGGCGAGGATAATGGCGGTTTTGACACTGCAGTTGTTGATTTGGAACTCCGGGTTTCAACTGATTTTGTCCGGGAGATATGAGGCCAGATCGGGTTAGTCTACTGCACGTGACTCTATCAACATTCTATAGTTTGAGCTTCAGAATATCCCAAAGTAGATTCAGTACCGAGATATGAGAGTTACCTATATGATGATCATTGAATACGATTTGTGAGATAATATCTCTTTTACTTAATGTACGGTAGTCTCGTCCTTCTCGTCTAGTCATATAATATCTCCTCTCCAAGGTTATTGTTTCATCGCTTCTTTTAGCTTCATCTCAGACAACCTCATTCCAGCTTCGTTACCGAAAGGAACTGAGACAGTTCATCGTTATAAAACACTCTGCGCCCTGGCATATTCTCTGCTTGTTGGGATTGCAAATCTGTTACTTTCTTCCATCCTTCCTAAATACCATCACCTTTGCGATAAAGACAAGGCTGGACCTCGTCTGCATCTCTCCTAGTCTCTGAACCCTTTCTGATTCTGAACATCGCGAACTCTTCCGATTGATGTACCAGAGCTACCCTACGCATGATGATGATTACATATATGTTGCTTTCGCTCTTACTCCTAGCAGACCTTGGCCAATCAGATAGGCTGACGAGCGGTACGGCGCGTGACGATGAGGCATCATACGTTCTTGCTGACAGAGACGCCTAGAGCTTTCACCTCATGGAGACAACGTATCTGACGGCATTGACTTGGTTTCCTACTTACGCTTGAGAACTCAGCAGCAGGACAACATCCTCACCGAGGCGGTACAGCTGCTGGAGTCGATGAAGACATCCCCATCCTGCAATCGAATTGCAGCCTCAAGGCTACTATCATCTTGTCAGTCAATTACCAGCCAGGAAGACGCAGAAACCAGCACTTACATTGCCTTGGAACATGTTCGCTCCCTATATGCCGCCAGACTGGCTATATGCGAACTTAATGGGGCTGGGACACCGATCCCCCATCATTGTCTCCCGGTGACCCTTACAACGCCACAGAAGAAAAAGCTCTTTGGGTTCGCATTCAGACCTCAGGCTACAAGCAATATTGCAGAGACTGTTCCGACAGAAGTGCTTGAATCCTGCCTCAGGTCGCTGGAATCTAGACCTCAATGGTGGACCTCGTATAGTAACAGTAGACAGAACGCCATCTTGATCTGTCAAGCGACGAGGCTTGAGGCGGAGAAAGAGGAGCTTCTAGAATTGCACAGATCCATAGTTCAGAGTTCTATCAAACTCAGCCATGGACTCCAAGAGGCTCTACACACAGCTGCCGAAGAGTCCTCCGAACGCAGAGCCTTTGTACAAACTACTACAGCTCTACAAGAAAGGCTGACAAGGGACTTGGAGACTACAGAGTCTCGCTTCAAATCAATGATGAGCAAATTCTTGCAGCATCTCGAGAACGGGGCCAGTTCCGTCCTCACGGCTGTCACTTCAGCTCTTGCGAGAGTACAGACTGAAGCAATGAGCCTTGAGAAGGTATGCTTCGAGCAGCAATCATACTCTCCAGACTAACATCAGACAGGAGATGAGAAACACGACTGTTGAGGTAGGCTTTCTGCGGCAGATGCTACAGGCTTTGCACGATGAGGCGCTGGGCCGAGAGGCACAAATGGTGGACCTTCATCAAGTACACAGTGAGAATCACCATGAGCTCGCTGTCTCCCTCCAGTCCAGACTCGATTCTCTTCTGCAACACGAAATGGCTAGGATATCTCAGAAAGTCGAGACTGTTGACTCTTCACTAGTAAGAAAGTATCCACAATATTTCACTGTTGAACACTGCTAACGGCGTCAGGAATGGCTCTCAGAGAGACTGGGACTTGTCTTGCAGAAGGAACTGAAAATAACCGAGGTTTGTAACTCTTCCAATTGGCCTCCGATGAAAGCTAATATTTGGATAAGCGTCTGCGAAATTTCGAAACATCGTTTGATGCTTCTCAGCTGAAAGCCGAAAGTCTGCACAAAGTCCAATTGCAGCAAGTGGAGGCGCTCCAGGCGCAATATATGTTACAGAAGCATATGGAGAATAACTTTCAAATCTCTCAGGCGCTCCTTGACCGAGCTACTGCGACTGCTGCGAATTTGCAGGCGATGATTGATGAGACGACGACAAGATACAAGCAGTCTCCTGTTGTCGGCTCTCTTTTCGGGCCACACTCTGCATGGACAGTTTGTAGTCTTCTCCTCAGTTTCATGGCTGCCCTTAATCCAAGACTGGCTCTGGCAGCGCTCTTTATCGGCGCCAGTAAGTATAGATCCTCATTCACTCGCCATTATTACGGGCTGAAACTGTCATTTCCAGTTCACTTCATGATGACTCGGTTTTATTAAAATTCTTTCCCTCAACATTTAGTTTCAGACGCATCTAATCGTCCGGGAGGTCTCATTTTTGTTTCTATCATTTAGATCATATATTTTATTGCTTTCGCCATTCTTTGCTGTGGGACAGGCGTTAGCTAGTATGTGGACCTAGGGACATTCATGATTCATCGTCTACAATCTGATACTTCTCCCTGGTTGGAGACAGAATCGAGCAGTGAATTAACGAAGCATGAGATTGATCAAAAACAATATACAAAGTCATTCCGTTCCAACGTATCTCCCTCAGTATCGGTCAGTTCCGGCTGAAGTCACCGGTTAATCGATCTCACATGTAGGCAAAACGAGTCCGGCAAAAGTGTCGTCCCTGCTCTACTCACCCCAATCAGGACCTCTCACCGAAACATAATTACATTGGCCCTCCTAGACTCCAGCCACGGAGTTCATGAGAGAGTCAATGCGCGGAAATCCCATCAATATATGAAGGGAGACCCATCAATGCCTCGGCCTTCTATGCCGCAACCCTAGTCTGGTATCGATTGAAAATAGCGTGTATTCGTACAGTAATTCGTTGACTTGAACCTCATCCATGATTTGTAGGCCTTTTCAACATGTGAATTGTACCATATTGTTGTTGACGAACCCCAGGATATTTCTGGACTAATCATAACACCAGCGACGCAGATCAATGTCCGAGACGACCGGAGATAGTACTCTCGGTATGTCAAAGATGAACGATGAGATGGACATCGGTATATCTATATGGTTAAACTATGCTCTGACTCTGGCTGTAATTATCGGCATCGGGACTTGCCGAGCGAAATGCCAACGGGGAGATTCTCCTCAATTTCTCCGCATTTATGGGGCACCAAGAACGACGATCCCCCCGACTAAGCGTGTTCAGTTCAGTATAGCTTGCTTGCGCAGGCTGTTGCAACTTTGGAAGCCTGCAAAATTGGGTGTTGACATGTCCGCAACACCCGATCGCTTTGACCCTGCTAAGATGGGAGAGTCGTCGTCCTTAGTTTTAGCCTCAGCATATTCAAATGTCAGAGATGGCTGTGAGCTTGTGATAGGCTTATAGAGCCCCTGTCAGTCGGCATTGAGCATCGGGAATCAGTTCTAGCCTGAACCTCCCCGTGGGTCTGAAGCGTGAAGCTTGGGCTAAAGAACCCCTGTCGGCGCAACTTCGGGACAAGTTTAAGACTTGTCTTGCAGCCTTTTTGAAGAAGCTGGGGTCAGTCTATTTACCCCATGTGGGGAATAGCCTGAAGAATGGCAATAGTCCATAGAGTCCATACCTCCGGGAGGCGGGGGGAGGGGGGGGGGAGATATGGTATAAATACGATCTGGTTTGCCTGCGGACCTTGCGTCTCTCATGAAAGTGCAAGCAGAACGTCCTCACATAGTCAGTTGTGTAGTGAGCGGCTGTAGTCAAGATGGCTCGACTCTCTCTCCTGACCCTTCTCGCTCTGGGCTCTGCGGCTCTGGCCAAAAAGGATACATTTCAGACTAAGTGTGCTGCCCTGCAACACAAAGTCAAATTGCCCAATGTCCACGTGAATTTTGTTGAGTATGTCCCTGGAGGGACGAACCTCGACCTTCCCGACAACGCGCCCAGCTGTGGCGCATCGTCTCAGGCTGTATCAACGGATATGTGCCGCATTGCCATGGCTGTCGACACCTCTGACAGTAGCCAGATCACACTGGAAGCGTGGTTTCCGCGTGACTACACTGGCCGGTTTTTGAGCACTGGTAACGGTGGGCTTTCTGGCTGTAAGGGCTTCTGAGTTATGTCGGGTTATCAGAAAAAAAAAAGACGAGACTGACATGATTCTAGGCATTCAATACTACGATCTTGCCTATGCCGCCGGTCTCGGATTTGCAACTGTCGGTGCCAACAATGGCCACAACGGAACGTCGGGCGAGCCTTTCTATCAGCACCCTGAAGTTGTCGAAGACTTTGCACATCGGTCTGTTCACACCGGAGTTGTGGTAGGCAAGCAACTCACCAAGCTGTTTTACGACAAGGGCTTCAAGAAGTCCTATTATCTGGGCTGCTCTACCGGTGGAAGACAGGGGTTCAAGTCCGTCCAAAAGTATCCTAAGGACTTTGACGGCATTGTGGCTGGTGCACCCGCCTTCAACTTTGTGAATCTGATCTCCTGGAGTGCCTATTTCTACTCGCTCACCGGATCCAACACTTCCGAAAGCTACCTTTCCCCTGCTATGTGGAAAATCGCGCATGATGAGATTGTGCGGCAGTGCGATGAACTTGATGGGGCGAAAGATGGCATCATTGAGGACACCGATCTCTGCCATCCAAGGCTCGAAACCATCATTTGCAAACCCGGTGCCAAGGACACGGCCAATTGTCTCACTGGTGCCCAGGCAAAGACCGTCCGCGATGTCCTTTCTCCAATGTATGGAGTGAACGGCACTCTGCTCTATCCTCGCATGCAGCCAGGCTCCGAGGTGTATGCCGCGGGTATCATGTACAACGGCGAGCCTTTCCAATACAGCACCGATTGGTACCGTTACGTCGTTTATAACAATCCTGACTGGGATGATACCAAGTGGAGTGTCGAGGATGCCGCTGCCGCTTTGGCGCAGAACCCTTATGACATCCAGACATTCGACGCGGATATATCTTCGTTCCGCGGGGCTGGTGGTAAAGTCCTGACTTACCACGGCTTGCAAGACCAGATGATTAGCTCGGATAATTCCAAGTTGTACTATGCGCGGGTGGCAGAGACCATGAAGCTGCCCCCTAGCGAGCTCGACGAGTTCTACCGCTTCTTTCCTGTCAGCGGCATGACGCACTGCGCTGGAGGAGACGGCGCGTATGGCATTGGCAACGGACTCGGGTCATATAACGGGGTTGATCCGGAGAACAACGTCCTTATGGCGATGGTGCAATGGGTGGAGAAGGGGATTGCCCCGGAGTTCATTCGTGGTGCCAAATTTGCCGAAGGACCCGGTTCTGCTGTCGAGTATACTCGCAAACATTGCAGATACCCTCGGAGAAACGTGTACAAGGGACCAGGCAACTATACTGACGAGAACGCATGGGAGTGTGTTTAGAACGTCCCTTTTTGTGGAGAGAGTGTACATAGATAGCATGAGAGTCATAAAGATAGTATCAATGTGGAAGAAGGCATTTGTTTCTGTGACATCCTGTATGTAAATCAGCTAAGAGAAAACCATGTCTCAAACAAAGGACAGGATGGATGCAGAGTGGATGCTGCACAATGTCATCAAGCGGCAGAAAGAGGCGGTGGAACACGGCAGAATATGACCCACCAGGAGGACTCGAGAATCATGGATCATGGCCACTTTCCCCATCACCTCACATACACCAAAGTGTTTTCTATTTGAATAGATAATTCTCAAGAATACAACACGGGAATTAGAATAAAGACAACTATTTTATTTCTTTTTTTTCGCTGGGTTGCTAGGCAGCTCTCTACTTTACACTCTGCATCCTCCCCGAGTCTCCGCAAAGACGTCGATCCACACCCACACAGACCGCCTGGACTGTGTAGTTGGAGACAAAAGGCAGAGCTACAATTCAACTTGATAGGCTCACTTTTAAACCAAATTGTGACTTTGGTGTGATAATTTCTGGATCGCATACTCACCTCTTACTTGCAAACACGAGACTCAACTATCACGACCACAACCGCTTCCAAGGGCGGATACAAGCTGACGGCGCGCTAATTGTCGCTGATCCTCTGTCCACACCCCCGCGGTTTATACAGGTACCAGCCCTCTTCCTGCCTGGCACGGTGCGCACATCCGCACCACACTGTGATCCTCAAACACACGATTAAATAGACGCTTCCCCATTGAGCCACACAAGATGGCCGACCCCATCACCGACGCGCCTGTGATCGATGAGTTTGCGCAAACCCGTGGCGGGGATGATTTATTCGACGATGAGATCGTTCCCGTCTCTGTGGAGGGGCAAGTACAGGCCGAAATTCCAGTACCGGAGGAGAACGCTGCACCTGTGGAGAGCCAACCGTCACCTCGCATAGACACCCCGCCGCGTACGCGTGGAACCGAAAAGCGAGGGCGAGGGAGGGGAAGAGGACGCGGCGGACGCGGTTCACATCGGGGTCGTGCAGATGGAGTACCGAGGGCGAAGTCGATTGACAATGCCGTCGAACGTGGCGATAACGCTACAGAGGATTCAACACGCGATACGCCAGTCGAGGCATTAGAACAGCTTACAATCGAGGATGAAACTCAACAAGAGGCTAAGTCAGCCGGGGCAGCAATTGGAGACGAACCACCACGTGTTCCAGCTGTTCGTGGAGATCGGAGTGCTACTGGTGGTCTAAAAAAGGTATGCGCCGCCATTTGGGGGTCTGAAAATGATATGTACTAATTGTGTCACAAGCCCAAACTCACAGAGGAAGAGCTATCTCGACGCATCGCCGCCGCCAAAGAGAATGCCGCGAAAAGAGCTGCTGCACATGCGCGCGCGGAAGCCGATCAAGCTTCTTTTCTTGAACGCGAAAAGGTTGCAGAGGAGAAACGCCGCCAGGAACGCCAGAACCGTCGCGCAATGGACACCGAGCGTGAACGCAATCGACTGAGAAAGCTCGAGGCTCTGAACGGAAGAGAATGGGACGCCTCTAAGCGCGAAGAAGACTACAATCCTCGCGGTGGCCGAGGACAATTCCGACGGGGAATGCATGGGGGAGTTTCAGGACACGTGCGACGGGATTTCGAAGTGGACACACGCGCGGAGGAGGACAGCGCAGATGGGCGTCAGCAATACAACAGTGGTCGGGGCCGAGGACGTGGACGAGGTGGTCGCGGACGGGGCGGATCTCGCGGAGCTCGAGCAGGTACTGGGGGCTTCGATGGGACGTCGGAGAAGCCTGTTTCAGCGGAGTCTTCAGCTACCTTGGTCATCGACAACGAACAAGATTTTCCAGCTCTTCCTGGCAATAACAAGAAAGTGGAAAAGCCATCAGAAAAAGCCCCTGCTGCGCTGGACAAGCTGGAAACACTGTCGCCTGTGACTGGAGCTACTTGGGCCGACCAGGTCGAGGCGCAACCGGAGTAGCCTACGCTGCAGGCTCATTAACACATGGCGGTTAATATCGCCGTATTCTTTTCATGTCGTTATGATGGATAGATATCCAAGGGGGTTTCTTGGCTGTTTTTGATTCTATCGATATCACTTCCCCTCTGGGCTTATACCACACCGAATAAGAAGTGTATCTACATCTGCTTCACCTGATCCGGGCCTAATCCTGTGCGATATCGATATCCGTACTTTATATCTAGTCCAAAGATCTTGTTCGACACGAAGATTCGCCTGTCAGTTCAGTCCCTATAAATAGACTAGCTACCCATGTCCTCTGGGTGGCAACTGGTGAGTCCCGCCAATGTCCAAGCGGGATGTGCTCATAATGAAATCATAGTACTTGACTCCCTGGAACGGGGATATCGAACAATTTGCACAGCCATACAAAGATCCGAGTCACAGGAGTCGCAAGTACTTTCATGACTATTTGCAGATAGTTAAATTGTTCTAATAAAAGGGTATGTCACTTGGCAACCGCTCCTTCATTCAATATCCAACTCCGCTATACAACAGTCAATATACTTACTTCCTGGGACAACACACAATCTGATCACTCAACACCCACACAACCGATTCACACAGGGATAACCCCAAATCAACAATCACAATGGCAACCCCCAGTTCCGCTGGCGACAACCCTCCCAACCACCGAACCTCCTCTACTTCGGGCGGCGCCAGCGCAGTTCCCACCCCAGCCAACAACTCTGGTGGTGGTCGTGGATGGGGCGACAAGGGATTCTTCAAGGGCGGGTCTGAGGGACCTGGCCATGTTGCCGTAAGTGACGTAAATCCTCTACCTCTGCGTGGGAGGGGTAGAAGAAGTCTGGATATTGAACGTATGTTCACAGATGGACAAGCCCAAGTCAACAATGGGCGATTTCCTCGGCCTCTCGTCGCAAAAGGGCGCCGCGAGTGACCACTTTCACACGCGAGTCGAGGGTGCGTCTGAGATGGGAGATCGGGGATCGTGCCAGACTGAGGACCATAGCTTCATGGAACATCGGCCTGCATGTCCGAAGACGTTGCCCGGGTGGTCGAAGACGAAGGAGGTTCTCAACACGTAAGTTTCGTGGAGAGATATAGACATGATACATTAGTGACTGACCGTTTTGATGCAGGTTGCACGGCCAGGGAAGATAGTTTTCATGGAATGTCTGTGAAGCAGGTGAAACGAGTTCAAATGCATGTACTATGATACTTGACGACTATGTTTGTGTTATTACTATTTTCTACATCATTTTAATATCGGTTGCAAAGAAAAACTGGAAGTGGTAGAGCGCTGTTCTGTAAAGGAGGATTCAAAACTTTAGTAACGCCATAATGTACAAATTATTCCACCTTTGAGCTCTTCCCGACAATGCGATCGCGCAAAGCCACTAACTTTCCTAGTAATCTTCCCTTCAGTGTCTGTGCTGTGAGTGCAGCGGCTTGATCAGCTGCGACAAAACGTCGGACCAGGAGGTTGAAGATGCTTCCGAAAGCAAGCGCAATCACGGTGCTAGTGAGAATAATCACATTGTAGGGCATGCTGAAGTCGGGAGTCGGTAATGGGAGAAGTAGGCTGGTAGTGCGCATGTACACGGGGGTATCGCCGGCGATCTTTCCATCCACACCGGATAATTTGATCACCGCAGGAGCCACATTGAAACCGCGGTTCGCGTCCGGGGGATATTCAGTGTAGCGTAGGATTGCCTTCTCGAAGTCGTAGGTGAGCGTCACAATGGAAGCGGCAGGAACGGACAATGCTAATTCGAGCTGAGTACCTCTTTCTCGGTCAATGGCAGGTCTGTAGAAAGTTTCCTTCACGATGTCCGAGATGGGAACCGATTGAGCGATTCCGTTACGACCGGTGATCGTTGCGCGCAAGGTGTGGAGATAGGGCCGCAAAAACCAAGGAAGAGTCTCGAAGTAGATGAATTCGACAGCGTCTGAGTCAGACGGATTATCGAATATGATGCGCATACCACCCCGTTCCTGGCCATGGCCGACAATCGTTCTTTCTGCACTTAACACTGGCTTATCCAACGGAGCCAGGGTCATGTCATTTTGCTCGGGAAGCACCACATCAAACGAGTCTGTTTGTTGAAGCATGAAGCAACGGGTGTAGCCATCAGGCTTCTTTGTTTCTTCTACTCCTGGGGTGACATACACTCCTTGTGCATGTGGGATCCGCATACAAATCGCATCCTCACCAGAGCGCTGACTGTCGTCGAGAGTACAGACACCATTCAAGGTACGTCCGAAGATTTCGTTCAAGCTCCAGCCTTTATCGGACCCCTTCTCTAATGGATAACAGGTATCACCGCCATGATATGATTTAGATGTGTCACAATCAAGCTGATCAGCAGGGACGGGCCGCGGAATTGGATTGCCTAAGATGGTCAAAATTTATGGGTAGCCGCAAGAATTGGTGAGAGCTTACCTCGGGGCCGTTTGGAGCGCTCAATGTCTAAAACTATATCCACAGTTTGGTCTATTTGCATGAGACATTCTCCAGTCTCGGGGCACATCGGACGCACATCGACAGACATGCTCTGCCAGGAAGCATCAAACAGCTTGTGTCCATCTAACAGACTGGCAATACCCGCCTTGCCCTTGCAAGGAAGCAACTTCAGAAAGGGAGTTAGGTTCTCTGTACAGACAACTTCGCCGGGAAGCGTTCCATGAAGCAGGTGCAACTCGTCGGACGTGATGTGGTCCCCGTTAGGCTCAAAAGACACGACTGGCCGAGTTGTCCGTGTAGAATCAATGAAATTCAGGGAGGCGCAGAAGAGACCGGACAAAGATTGGGTTAAAGAGATCCATCTCGCAAATGCGCTACAAATAAGTCAGCTCCTTGTACTCCGGTCTGTGCCATGCATTAAACAACGAACAGACCTTTCGCTGTTTGGCGCGTCAATCCATGCCCATAGTTCAACACCCGTATTGCCTTCCTTAGATCCATTCCAAGGCAGTGAGCCCCAGCTCTCTGAATCCCATCGCCCCGTCGTGAAGCGGATGTGGAGCTCCTTGGTGTTGGTGTGTTGTAGTATCTGACCTAGAGCACGAGGGAAGTACCGAAAATGCCGCTGATCAAAGGACTCCTGGGAGGTATTTGCCCGGAAGTTGAACGATGCTAACAGCGACGATTGAGGAAGCGGCTGGAGAACGAGGCTTTCATGGTAGTCTGATGCAGCCGAGGTGAACGTCGCCGCCGCGAGCAGGAGGGACAGTAGAGGGAGAAGGCTGAGGACAACCATCACGTCATTATTGCCATCTAAATCTCTCCAGTAGCTTTTTGTTGAAAGGTACAAGCTTCTTCAAGCCGCTCGGGAGATCATAAGAAGGATTTGGGGTGCATTGAGGTCACTCATGTTGTTCGGACTGCTGAGAGCTGGCCCTTTGTACTAAATAAGTTAGTCGCTGTAATCTACGGAGAAGATATATGAGCCTCGAAACCCACCACAGCAGGGAATTCTGCTCTTACCACTGCTATAAAGGACCCGGAAAGCACCTGACATATAGAATATAGCAATTCCAGCTCCTTGAATAACCTGCTACTTACTCACTGTTTATTAATGCATCATCAGAGGTGCAACCAGATAGGGGGCTTACACAAGCGCAGCCGCGCTTAGCGCCACTCCGCAGATCATCGATCTTGCTCTTCATTATTGTGATCCATACCAATCGAAGCTCAAAAGAAATTCGCTCTTTCAGTCTTAGACAGTTGCCTCCGACAGTCTTCATTATGGCAGCAGAACAGAGAAAACTCCTTGAGCAGCTTATGGGAGGTACGTTCGCGCAGGATCCGCAGCTTTTTCATTTCATTCCCTAGCTCAAGCTAACAAAAATCTTCTTCCAGCGGACCAGCTCATAGGTACTGGCGGTCCTTCTCGCAATGCCCAGCTTTCCATTACCGACTCCAAGGTCTGTCGTTCGTACCTCGTCGGAACTTGTCCGCATGATCTCTTCACCAACACCAAGCAAGACCTGGGCCCCTGTCCCAAGGTCCATAGTGAAGGCTTGAAGACGGAGTATGAGGCTGCTTCTGCGGCCGAGAAGGCGAAATGGGGCTTCGATTTTGACTACATGCGCGATATGCAGAAGTATGTCGACGACTGTGATCGCAGAATCGACTCTGCGCAGCGAAGATTGGAGAAGACCCCGGATGAGATCCGGCAGACAAACAATCTGGTAAGGCACATAGCTCTCTTTGAGCTTTCAAAATTGGGCAGTTCCTGACTTCGTTCCTCCAACAGCTGAAACAAATCTCTGATCTTACTAAAACTATTAATACCGGCCTCCTCGAAGTGTCCATTCTCGGTGAGACAGGTTCGGTTGCGCAAGCGCTCAACGAGCTACACAAGATTCGCACCGCCAAGCACCAAAAGGAGACGTGCGAGCGAGAACTCAAGAACCTCCAAGATACATCCGGTCCGTCAGGCCACCAGAAGCTACAAGTCTGCGACGTCTGCGGCGCATACCTGAGTCGACTTGATAACGATCGCCGATTGGCCGACCACTTCTTCGGGAAAATGCACATGGGCTATTCGGACATGCGCAAGACGTGCAAGCGGCTTAGTGAAGAGCTCAAGGGCAGGGCCCCGCCAGTCCGCCACCACGACGAGGAGGACGGTGGTTGGGGAGGTCGCCCTGGTGGTGGACGAGGGCCACGGTATGGCGGTGGCGGATACCGGAAACGAGGCGGACGGTGGTGATTACAATGACTACCTTTCGTGCTTTCCTTCGAAGAATTCTGGCCGGATTTTGCATAGCGCAGGCGTTGCTTTTGACTTTTCATCATACCTATTTTGTTATGGATAGCGATATGTCGAGGCAATAGGACATGTATCGGTGAATTCAACAATCATAATCCCAGCATAGCATATCCAACTGGAATGAGGCACAGGGACAATCACATGTACTGTTACATTCCTTTGCATAGATGATTTCTGTGAGCTACACTTCTTCATTAAGCAGTGCTTGTGCCGTAGAGGCGATGTCTGATTCAATTACGGAATCACTACCAGAGAAACTGACATACACACGTTGAACATGACATCGACAATTGAGACACTAGATAGGTGCACAAAACTCAGGGGAACAGAAATATCAAGGATATCAAGCCGGTCCGTAGGAAAGCAGAAGAGAAAGAAGAAGAAAGAAGAAGAAAAAGACGTCAAAGTTACCCATAATCCAGTACTTATTTTTTTTAGCCACCCAGAAAATAACCATATTCACAAAAGACACCAGTGCCTCAAATTCACATTGAAGAAAGAACACCCAACGAATGTTGTACTAACTGGGCGAACTTAGCTAGCACCCTGCTGGGGTCCATGCCCATTCGTTGTCGCTTGGTATAGTGCTTTCATCAACATTTCGTAGTTCGAGGCGGCCTCCGGCTGCCGCAGAATAATATCACGAACAATACCCAATTGTGTCAAATCAGCGTTTGGCGCGATTTGAAGTAATTGCTGGATTGCAGGGGCAGTTGCCTGGGCACCAAGCAGCTGCACTGCGGCGGCGGTGCCGGTAGGAAGCGCCTGTTGCTGCGGCTCCGGAGGTTGATATGACTGGAACTGAGATTGCAAAGGGGCTGTCTGTTGCTGATGCTGCAGTTGGAGCGGTTGAGAGTGCTGAACATGCGGATTTTGCGATGGGGTAGGCCCTGAGAAGGAAGACGGCGGAGTGGGACTCATTTGTGACATGTGCCTTGGCCCAGGTGTCAAAAATTGATGTTGCTGGGGAGTTGCTGCTGCAATAGTTAGAGGGCTTGCTATAGAGGCAGGCTCCTGACTGGGGTGATGCGAGGGTGGCTGCGCTGAAGGCGGGTTCGACTCCCCAGTCTTGATTGCAAAGACCACCAACAATACACGCTCTGGAATTGTATCTTCGAGCGTATTATTTTCTAGAATTTCCAGGAATTCAGGCTTTGTTGATGATCCAACTTCAACTGGCACGATGTAAGTATCTTTCACAGCTGGCAACGGATGCCTTCCAACAACCCCAAACCGCTTCCGGTCTTGGAAATAGTTGAAGAGCTTGTCAAAGCCAGCTTGGTCTCGAGGAGATTCTGGACGACTAATTGCGATGACTGACACGTCCGTTGAAGCACTGAAGCGTAGTCCACAAAGGTAATTGCTCGCCAGTTGAATGTCGATTCTCCCATCAATCACCAATGTTGATGGCGCAAGCTGACTCCAGGGTATCCTTCCACTCAAATCAGCTCCCCCAACATGTTTCGCGGTTGAGGAGAATTCAGCAACCGGGTTCATGATCAACTTTCCATGCCAAATGACACCTTCCTCGTTGTAGTCCTTCGGAGAATAGGGAGGCGATTCAGGTTCGACGTCTTTCAGCAACTGGTCGATTTCTGCATCTGCCTGGGCCCTGTTAGTCGGCAGCATCTCACGTATGTGAGTTGGGACTTCTGGAAAGACATGGTCATGATCATGATCAGCAGTGTCAGGTGAATGGATGGTAGCTCCTGCGTGACTCCTTGCTTCATTCGCCTGAGTGTTGATAGACTGCGGTCTGGTAGCCTTGGGACCGTCTTCCGATTGTTGTCGGGCCTTGGGACTCGCTGGGCTTTGCACTGAAGGACTCCCATCGATCTCTGCCACGCTTCGACGGGCAGGGGCCACTGAGAAAACAGGTTCGCTAGCGACAGTCTGGTTCTCGTCTTCAATCAGCTCTTCACCTTTGTGAGTCCGCCTTATTCGAGGGCCTTGCTCTTGCACAATGATGTGCTGCCTTTCAGCCTCGCGCTTGATCTCCGCATCCTTCTGCTGCAGCTCCTCACTTGCCATGTCCTGACTGCTCATCTGCGAGAGCTTGTCCGGAAGCAGACTACCTACGAGCAGGCGATCCCGTAGAGAAGGATTCTTCTTTACGTTAAACAAGACCGTCCGCAGTTGTAACTTATACGCTTCAGTAGGTTCTCCGGATCCTCCGCAAATATTCTGATACATAGCCTTCTCGATTGAAAGACCGAGCTGCTGTGCTATCTCCTTCGCCGACTTCCCTTCGGGTAATTTGAAAGATCCTTGCTTCTGAGCATCAGAAATCTGATCTACAAATAACTTGATAAGAGCACTGGCAGCGCTTCTCCTAGCTGAGTGTGAAATGTCTTCCAGGGTTCCCAAGTCCTCAACAACAGGACGTTCACGCGAAGGGAAAGCATCCACATCCTCCTTGGGCGGAGCGGGTTCACTTTCGCGACGGGAGACTGTACTAGCTGGCGGAGATACTTTGATCTGTTTCGTTCTGGGTTCCTGTAGCCAGGTTTTAGCATACATCGGCAAACATTGGGGCCAAAATGTGACAATCTTACAGGAACAGGTGATGACGCTTCTTGGTGTTCTTCGAATTTGCGTTTCTGTGCGCTCACCGGTTGGACATCCGGAGCTTGGCCATTCTTCTCAGGTATGGGGGTCACGACTGAGGCAGGAGCTGGGGTCACAGACATCGTCTTGTGGCGAGCCGGCGTGTCTGTTTCTGTTCTGGGCTCGCTTTGCCTACCCCTTCTTCCACCTTTCCTACCCTTTTTCCGACGCGCTTTCTTCTCTTCCGCTTGCTGTCGCCTTTTCTCGGCGGCCTCCTCCCAAGGCTTCTCGCCGCGCGCAATCTTGTCCAGGAGAACTCTATGGTTTTCAGGCCGGCACATCTCACAGAAGTATTCGTCTGGCTCCTCTCCCTTAGCGAATGTGAGACCCATGCAATCATTGTGTTGCCAGGCGGAGCATTGGTCGCAACAGATCATGTCCCGCTCGACGTCTTCCTCTTCTTCATATTCGCCGCAAATACACCGAATAATTTCTTCTTCTTCGCTGGCAGCTGGCGTGGGTTCGGCGGAGGGTTTTAGTGACTTGTCGGACTTGTCTTTTGCTTGACCTTTCGACTTCGACTTCTTCGCAGGTGTCTCCGTTATCATATCGAGGCTTTTGTGCTGGCCCTTCGTAGAGCGCCCGGAGCGTCGTGGTTCTTCTGAAGACTCGGTTAGCTCGCTGGTCATACATGAGTCGACAACTTGTCTCCAAGGACCATCACATCAGCTCATGGTCCGACGCGTCGGATCACAAGGTGTCTTATAGGCTTACCAGTCATATTGGGCATATAATAATGTGAGATGTTTCAGAATTTCTACAGCGTAATGAAAGGCAACTGGAATTGCATGGACGACTTGCTCCCGCCACCCAAAGATTGTCTCTACAATATCGGAGGGGCTAAGTAATACGCAGGGGAAGACACTGGGCAATGGCACTGTTGCCTGGCCCACACAGATATTACTGTATCTTCTCAAGAAATCCCCGTGCTTTACTTAATAAAGCAACGCGTATCAATCAAGTGAATCACGGCTGGTGTGGTCTTGATGGAGGGGCCTGTCGCGCGCAGACTCAACGTGTAAGAGTCGCGTGAGCAACGTTATATCTGGGCACCTTCCTGCAAAGGGCTGGATAGCGGATGATAAAGACAAGCAATATCTCTGATCGCGATGACTCTGAGCATAGGATTCCGCGTTGACTGGGAGCGGCAAAGGATGGAATGGTGATGGAACGTTGCTTGAAGGAAAGAATGGAGGAGATGGGTTGTCGTGAGTCCTTGGGGTGAGTAATCAATCACGTGACTGGAGCTCGACGAAAGGTTCTTGGCAGACGCCAGTCGCTTTCTCGTCGCGTAAAGTACTTCGGGGTTTTCAAAGCTTCTCCAGGTCCCCACGTCTGGCTTTGCTGTTTGCCCATCACAATTTTTACTTATCGAAGTCTCTTAGACCTTGCTGCTTTATCTATTGGAGGACCTCACTTTACTCGAACTTGATAAGATTGGCTCGTTACTGAGATGGCAGATGTTCGTTCGCTACTTCGCAGTGAACTTGCGGCCCGCAAGGGCGCATCACAGACCACGAGTTCAGCAGGCCGAATTGCCAAAAAGCGGAAGGTCGATATTGCTGAGGAGAAAACTCGGAAGAAGATGAGACCAGATGAAGTGGATGTAGAGCCGCAGTCACCGACGACACAAAAACCTCAGTCACCTAGCGCCCAGGTCATCGAAGAAGTGGAGGACGCCAGGTCTATTGAGCAAGAAAGTGCTGGTCCGGAGCTCCCCTCAGACTCAGAATTAGCTCAAGAGCAACTTGAAACGCAATCCAAACCATCCGAGCCACCCGAAGCACCGCAGAAAGTCCAATCTATCGACGAAGACGAATGGGCGGCTTTTGAGCGCGATGTTGTGGCACCAACTCGGATGGCAGCTGCGCCGGCTGCGGTTGCAGCAGCAGCTACTATATCAGCAGACCCACTTTCTGCGGAACAACTCGCTGCACAGCAAGAGACCGAGAAGAAGACTGTGGCGCAAAATCGCGAAGCCGAAATAGAAGGAGAGAAGGAAGACGCGGCTCGGTTCCTCGAGGATGAATTTGATGAAATGGAACAGCTTGAGGAACGCATTCGACGTCTGAAGCACAAGAGGGACGAATTAAGACAAAAGCGAGCAACGGAAGACACAAAACTGGTTCAAACGGAAGCAACTCGTTCATCTGGCGAGATCTCGAGACAGCAGGAGGGTCAACCTGGGAGCAAAAAAGAGAATGGAGCTAATGACGACGACGAAGACGAAGAAGATGACCTGGATGATGACGATTGGGATAATTGGAGATTTAGGTGATTCTGACAGATGAGGTCCGGAGTCTTTTTGGGAACGGCGCCATTTCATAAAAGAGAGGTCTGAAGTCTGCACATTTACATTGATACCCCCATACATTGATTCATGAGCTATATGAATTCTCAAAAATGACGGTTGATTCCTTTCCACACGGCATCTCTCATGCGAGATGGCTTCACACTCGTTCTCGTCATGGGCAGTAGCGCAGCCCATCTTAGCAGATACTTGTTTCTCTGGGGCAAGGATCCAATGACTTCATCTCTCAGCTTGAGAGTGAAGAATTTGATAACGTTTGGGATTGTTGCCGAATGGGCCTTGGGCAATTGTAAGAGCACCTGACGCTAGCTAAAAGCATTTGTACGAGCTAGGCTCAGCAAGAGGATATCTATTTGTACTTTACTAATTCAAAAATTGATTATACTGATAAATTTCTTTCAACTCAAGTAGCGTCAGAGCTTTTCTCTTGCGGTGAGTGAGTCGAGATTTGCTCTTCGGCTTCTAGGTAGCTTCGAAGCCCTTCCTTTTTAACTCTCATCGCCTCCTCAATCTCTGCCTCGCCCTCTCTCAGAAGATGTTTTCCGCGAATGAGATTGCTATGCTGCTTCCGTTTCTCTTCCTGCACTCGTTTTTCGCGTTCAGCCAAAGCCTTTTCGCGCTTCTCGCGCTCTATTTTCTTCCTGCTCAGCTCCTCGAGCTCTTCCGAAGTCAAGTGTTGCTCGGGCGGGGGTGCTAGAGTTGAAATATAAGTCTCGAGCAGCGGATCACGCACTTTAGAAGGCAGTGCAATGTATCTCAAGTCTGTGATGATGGTCGATGGAAGTGCCTCCAGATCTGTTGACCGATTAAGCTCTTGTAACGGGACCGATTTGAGCAATGCCGAGAAATCCGACTTCCTAGTACTTTCAGACTGTTTTAATCGTGAGACTAGGTCTCTGTAGTACTTCTCTCGATCCTTGTCCGATAGCTGGGAGTCCTTCATTTCGGACTCTTTTCTGAACTTGCGCTTGAATTCTGGCCAGTATAGTTTGGGGGTTGCATGCTCTTGAAGGAAAGCAAAGTACCGAATGCGAGGGTCCCTCTTCTCTTGCTTCTCTTTCCGTTCTTTAAGCTCCTGTATCCGGTCGCGACTCCAGTTAGACCAAACTTCACGACGTGCTTTCATGTTGGGCAGAGCAGTGTAACGACTGTCTTCTATTATGTGGCCTTCTTCTATAATCTTTTCCCACGTTGAGTAAGGGTTGATACGATAGTCGTCGAGAAGATCGCGGAAGAGCGCCGTGGCATCTTCCTCCGTGAGCGGCAATCCTTCAGCGCCCTCTTCCCAGCCTTCCTGGCCTGGATCACCGTATTCTCCAGGATCGAGACCGTATTCCTCACCCATAGCGGCGAGTTGATATTCGATATCTTCTTCCGTAAATTCTAGGGGGTGCTGTTTGTCCATACTATCCTCAGTCTTGGTGCGCTTAGACGGGTTGACATCCTCTTCCTCGCTATCAGTAACTTCCACCTCTTCATACTCGTCGCTTTCTTCCGGGGCATCTGCGGTAGTGGCAAGATCTCGCGCAAGGCTCGGTTCATCGGAAGGTCCAGTCTCGTCGGCCTTCACCTTCATATCTTCTCTTGGCTCCTCAACCTCTTCACCGCGCTCCTTCCGTTCTCTTTCTTCTCTTTCTAGACGATCGTACTCGACCACTCCTTTCATGACCTCGGCTGGGATCTTCCAGAAACTTTCTTGTGTTTCTGGGTTATGAACAAACCTTCTCCGAAGCCTTGTCTTCACAAGCACCCACGGTTCACAACCCGGTATGGGGTGTTTGGACTTTGGTCTATCTTCGGGTCCTCGACCTCTGCGGTCGCGATACCCTTTTCCGCCCCGAAATTCTTGACGGGTTTGGCCATGTTGAGAGAAATCAAAGGACTGGTCGCCAAAGCCATACCCTTGAGGCCCGTATGGCGTGGAAGAGAATGGTGGTAGAAATTCTGGAGTATAAGAGGGAACTGGAGCTGGAGCTGGCGGGGCATGTTGAGATGTTACAGCGAGGGGTTGAGGTCTCGTGTAGGTTGATTGCTTCGTTTGCGCATTATAGTAATAGGTATGTCCTGGCTCAGAGTTAACAATCTAGCCCTCATCAACCTCAGAAGAAGGAGCCAACCTGAAGGAGCTTTGTGTTCCGTCCACCCCGGAGGCAGTGGAGGAGGTGGAGTGTAGGTAGATTTAAGCATTATGGGCACGATTAGTTGGAATATTGATTTAGTGATAAAGTAGGAGAACAATGAGAATGATCCATCATTCGCAATTTATGGACTGCAATAATCAGGACTATCAGAAACAGTCTGATGTGGTTTGCGCCGAAGAGCTGCGCATGGAGATTTAGAAGTGGTCCGAGCTTGGCAGATAGTCAGCCTGGACGCGCCAGGGCGAGTTGCCTGGTCACTTGGAGCTCACCTTGCCCACTTACATAGCTTAGGTATCCCCAAGCTTCATTCCAACTGCAGCTCCTTTCAACTCCAAACTATCCGTTTTTCGATACTTAATCTCTGTTGTCATCCTAATCTACAGCCCACCAGCAAAATGTCCCGGAGATACGATTCCAGGGTCTGTCTATTCCGTCATCCCGTCACTTGCTCCAGCTAATCCGGAGGTGCTCACAATAGACAACCATCTTCTCCCCCGAAGGGCGACTTTATCAGGTGGAATATGCTCTCGAGGCTATCTCGCACGCTGGCACAGCTTTAGGGATCCTGGCTAAAGATGGAATCGTGCTTGCTGCGGAGAAAAAGGTGACCAGCAAGCTGCTGGAGCAGGACACATCTGCGGAGAAGCTTTACACACTGAATGAGTACGCATAGCCCGGACAAAAAGAATTGTTTACCTGTCTTGCCGCTTGGTATACTGATTAAATACTAGCAACATGATTTGTGCAGTCGCCGGTATGACTGCCGACGCCAACATTCTCATCAACTACGCCCGACAAGCCGCTCAACGCTACCTTCTCACATACGGTGAAGAAATCCCCTGCGAACAGCTCGTTCGTCGGCTGTGTGATTTGAAACAAGGGTATACGCAACACGGTGGTCTTCGTCCTTTCGGTGTGTCGTTCATCTACGCAGGCTACGATCCGCTTCGAGAATTCCAGTTGTACCAGAGCAACCCGAGTGGAAATTACGGCGGTTGGAAAGCAACCAGTGTGGGAGCGAACAACGCAAGTGCCCAGAGCCTGCTCAAGCAAGATTACAAGGAGGATTGCGACCTGAAGGAAGCTTGTGCTATGGCCGTCAAGGTTCTGAGCAAGACCATGGACTCAACGAAGCTCAGCAGTGAGAAGAGTAAGTGAACTGAAACGCCCTACTGTAGCCTATACCACCATGCCCCATATTAATCGCGATCTATTTTATCCTTCACGTTTGCTAACTGAAATGCTTGGTTGATCAGTCGAATTTGCAACGGTGGGCAAGACCAAGGAAGGGAAAATTTACCACCACCTGTGGAATGCGGATGAGATCAATGCTTTGCTGAAGGAACACGGTTTGGCTAAGGTTGATGATGAGCCTGAGGCTGGTGATGTCAAATAATTTACGAGACACAATACTCCCTTTGCGGTAATCTGGTCATACAATGTTGATGTTTTGAAACTTGCAACTCAGTAACCACAGAACCAAACTGTCTACTGTGAAGAAACGTTTTCATGTGGTCGCAGGTATTGCTGAGACATTTCAAGACCACGTAGCGGAATCTGGGCCACATCCGGTGCAATTCAAGCGCAATTGGGTTGCTCAGTGGTGACGTGGCAGACAACGACCTGGGGGTCAATCAAACACTCGAATGCCATATTTGCTCTCTTATCCCTTTGCGCACTTTGGCGCAGCTGTCGTCAGGGATGAAATGATAAATGGTCCACGTAGTCTCTCTGAAGGACAGCTCTGGGCGCTTGGTTGGTACCTTGTGTTTGCAACATGTTGCTATCCAGAAACATCCCTATGCCTATATATATGACAGAGCACGTCCATGTCCAATTCAACTTCTTCACTGAAAGCGAGACCCTCAAGAAGGTTGACACACCAGCCTGCGATGATTTTGTTGCAGCGAGGAATACAACAGCGCGTAACATGCCCTTCTATGACTTGCGATGCAGACACTGCACAACTCGAACGACATCAACAGAGGCAAGAATGGTCGGTGAGCTCTAGATAAACCTAGAGACCAATTAATGCCATAACGTCGATGGAATGAAGGTGAGTCTCTTGTTTAATCGCTCGCCCATCCAGAAGAAAACAAAGCTAACTTGATGTGGATATATCACGTGACAATATACTCCTCAGGACGCGGGGTTCCAGCTTCAGTCTCTCAGCACACAAACAACTCTCAAGACATCGACCATGGAAGAAGCATGATCAATATATCATCTAGTTCAATCCAATCTTCAATATGGACTTAAGAAGCGCATTGCTTTTTGCAGGAAAGAGGTTGTCCGTCCTGATCTCAGCTGGCAACATGGGTGGAGTCTGTCAACCGCTCATCAGGAACACAGGCGCTTATGGACTGGGATTTCTTCAAGCGACGGTCACTCGTTTATGCAACAACTCGAAAAAAAAGAGTTCTTCATTGGGGCTCATACTTTAGGTACATTAAGTTTTACAATCCTGAAGACTTTTCCTCCAACCATCATACGGGTCTGCCCGTCTTTCTGAATCAGTTCGAAACGATGACACAGTCAATAGGCCACTCAATCCAGGGACATGGCCTTTTGAGACACTGCATTTGATGAACAAAAGAATAAGTAAAAAAATGACAACACTGCAACAGAGGGAATCTTGAAACAAAGAAGAAAAGACCATCAAGAAGGCTCAGAAAAGGTCCCACTCTCCAGCGACCACTGCGTTCAACTAACTCGTTCATGAGAGTGCTTTTCTCCGGTCCTCACGCTCTCTCTGCAATTGGCAAATTTCTTTCTCAAGATCCATTATGAGCTTTTGTGACCGATCCATAGAGGCCACGAGTGTACCTCCTTCACGTTTCCATCTATCCAAGCGTTCGACCTCGGCGCTTCGCCGACGATACTTGGTTTCGATCTTGTCGCAGAGCCGACATTTTGTTTTCTCATACTCGGTCAAATTGACGAGTCTCATGCCGCATGTCTCTCCAGTGCGGTATTCATAATTGCAACGGTGGGCGAAACTGGTCCAACTCCAGTCACCGCATGCAAATCTCTTCTGGTTGTAGAAGCACATGCCTATCAGATCTATCAGCGGCGTCCAGTCCGGGGTTTCGATCAAACTCACTTACTGATGCAGTATCAGTGTTTCAGCTTGTTGGATATATTCTATTGGCTCACTCTGGCGACCTTGTCACTATCCACTATATGATAGGGCACAAATGAAGATGGTCGACTGAGGTAACGAAGACAATATAGAGAGCTGAAACGCTTTATATCAACAACAAAGCTTTATCACTTATGATATCTTTTAATGATGCCAGGCTTGAAACCAACAACGATTGAAACCACATATATCTGAGGGACTGGGGGTTCCTATTTATGTTTCGCCAAATCTACCAGGTTACGGTTCAGCTAGTTCCCAACTGTGTTCACCCAGGCCATCGTCGATCAAGAATTCCCCTCAGCACACAATGGCTTATCGTGTCCGGCAAACGATCATCACATCCACATCGCTTGCCTTGAATCATCCCTGCGGTTGGCTGTGATGGCTTCGCCGGAGCAGTGGGGACACAAAAACGTCCACATTGATCCCTCATGGGACAACTGTAATCAGTGGTTGCTTCACGATGCATGCATTTTGCTGTCGTGGCCTTGTGTTTTCTTCTTTGGGCTTCAATCGAACATTCGAAAATGCCTCACTCGATAATGGCCGTTCATGCAGATTGGATTGCCTGCTGCCTTGGTCACTCAATTGACTATCCCCGCTTCTTTCAGGTCATCACATCCCATACGAGGCTATCCTTTGCGAACCAAGCACGCCCGTTATGATCTTTTTGAATCAAAGCTCCTGCATGGCTGGTTGCTCCCGTGCCAGACCGAATCATGTCTGTGACGAGGAAAGGATTTCCATCACTCCGGACTCACATCGCTTTGTCAAGGATAGGAATCAAGGTTTCTACTATGAACCCTGGGCGTGGTCACCGCTTGTCATACCGGTCCGTTCATCCTACAAGGGAGCAGGAATACTTACTCGCGACCAATTGACCCCAATCGACTATCCTCGACATTCCATATGGAGCTTTGGGCTGAGGCCAATTTTGATGGCTCGGGAAGTAATATCATCTGCGAAGTACTTTTTCGCCCGTCTCGTTTGCTCTTCACCTCTGGCCACTTCTCTTGTCATGGAGTCGGGCATTCAATGCCTGTAGCCAGTCATAATCTAATCTCCTGTCCATATAGTAGCTTTTCCATACATCAGTTGCAGGGATGTATCGTTCTTGAACCTGCAGGTGCTTCTGGACTCCGCATCCTCCCGTTTTGTCGTTGCAGTCCAGCTCTGCCACTCATCTAGTGGCAAACTGTGCGTCACTAGAGACGATCGATTGGCATCCATTGCACCATTCCATCAGTCCTCAAGCTACTGTCATGTAAGTGGCATGACGAACTCAATTTCTGTCAATGGGGCGTTTCTTTCAGCTGATCTCCTACATCTGCAGACGAGCAATCCTGCATTTGCCCCCACCCATGTGCAGGTTCTGGCTTCATCTGCTTGCCGTGCCCGTTCTAGGTGATAGGGCACCACCCCGTGCATCGAGGATGGTAGAAACAGACTGCGGGATAGTACACCCGCTGTTGATACCCATGCATCTACGCTAGAGCTCAGAGTCGCTCTGACGTGGCGACTCGCGTCTGGCCCATACATGGATTGATGTATCTGAAGGTGACTGTGATGCCTCCAGGAGTCAAATCACCAATGTGTGGCTACGGGATGCAGTGCGCGAGGAAAATCACCATTGTCTTCCAGATATCCCTGGGCCTAATTTCTGGAGCCCCACTCTCCAGAACATCCTGGGTTTAGTCTTCATGCAATCGCCTCCAGCCTGTTATCTCGTTGTGACGGCGCAGGATCGCCGGGCAGCCCGACTCGATAATCCCTACATCAGCGCTCGAGCAGCGAATTCAGGTTGAAACCTTGGTTGCCAACTCAGCAGTCGCTTGTTGCTGGCTTGTAGCCGCAATGAGGCAGCATGCTAGAAGAAGCCATGCGTACTATTGCGGTAGCGGTGATCACATCTCCCTCGACAATACGATTTGCCACTCCTCCTCCCTTCCGGGGAGTTTCTCTTATTTGAAAACATACACCTGTTCATGGCTGTAACGTAATTTGGTCTCAGCAACAGGGGTCGGGCTGAAGTAGTCTAGCACCAGGTTCTTACCAATCAGCCAATATTGTTGACCATGCAGATGGAAAGTTGGGTCCTGCTTGTTGACCATCACTCGACCGGAGACTAGTCAACTGTCAGAGTCCTTGGAACTTTTTTTTTCTTTTCAAGGACGTTGGAATTGAATTATGCGACCCACATGTTCTCGCCATCATACCGGGTTTCTCCAGTCCCGTGATCATAAACCTGACGGAGGCTTCTGCACCATCACGCAGTGGTTCGTTTGGTAGGTAGCAAATGGAATCTGCTATTGTCGGCTGCAAAATTTTAAGGTAAGAGTGCATCTTTGCTGTGTTTTACTTATGCAATTGTATTGGCTCCTGCAAAAATGCATGCGAAAAGTCATCGCTCGAGTGCGCCCAATGAGCGCTTCGAGCTCGCCGACAGCTACATGCAGCTAAGGGAACAGCCTGCCGACTGCATGACTAGCCCCAGAGAGGAGAGAATAAGTATTGATTGGATCGCGAATAAGACCTTTTGCATATTGACGGACTCCTGCATCGCATCTCTCTCTCACCACGGCCACTATCTTTTCCGTCCAGGTTTTTCCTTTCATTTTGATTTCCCTCCCTCCTGAGAGCTATGGCCTGGAGGTACTGCTTCTATTCCATTCATTTGTCCCGAGCGAACTTCTCATTCATCCAATCCGGATTTTGATGTCAGAATCCGTTCTTGGAAGCTCGACGTCAAAGACGACACTCCGCGACAACAATCCATAGACAATCCCCACTTGTCCCTTTAGTGGGTGCTTCATTTTCTGAAGTCTGCGCGGAAGTATACAACTCAAGAGCTGCTTTATATTGGAGTTTACAGCGATCTGCTGCACAATTCCAATCTTGCTCACACCTGCCAGTCATTACTAACATTCAAGAGATTTCGCCAGTTGACCCTAGTTACCAATACTCGGGAGCCATGAGGCATTGGCCTGAAAGCTGCGGTAACCATCTGGGAGACTCAATAGGCTGTGTAGCCAATACTCCCTCCTAGTCCTTCTAGCCAAGCCAACCAACAATAGCAAGCAAATTATCAATCATGCCCTTTTGCAATTCACTGAAGATGTCCTCTCTTTAAGTCATTGCAAGATGATCTTCATAAGGACCTAAGCCAGGTGCCCACTGAACAATCTCATTCGACCTTTAGAGAGACAACTTGTTCCACGAGAAGTGTAGTGAGAATTCCTCAGCAAGCAGAGCAATACCACCATATACTACTCTCTACATCCATACCACTATTGGACTACTAGTAGTACAATAATGTATGTCGTTGTACCACCGTCATCACGTGGCATAACCGGTTTGCAAAGGTACTCTGCAGAGATATGACGTCAGGACGATCGCGCATCAAAGAGCATTGTCTTCGACAAGATCGCGTTACAACTTCTTCCTCCAGTCTCTCACACTGTTGTCTATGACTATAGAATAGGTTAGTACCGGGCTGTGATACTTGAAGAGCCACTGTTCCAAGCTAATTACGTGAAAGCATTCATCCTGCCTACTATCATCTACTACTGAACTTGTTGATCATCCAGGAGCTTCCTAGATTAGCTTCCGCCATTGCCCCAAACTCCATTATGTCAATGCTCAAAGGTCTTGCTTCAATTGCTCAATTTGGGTACATCGCGGCCAGAAACACTCAACGAATTCCCTTCCGCGCTCCTATCACGATAGCCACACAGACGAGATCCTTCCGCTCCCTTCCAAGCTTGAGGGCATCCGAGGAAAAGCCTAAAATTCACGATCGGAACACGCTGGATCCCCAGCGATCTGAAGGCACCAAGACCGGTACCGACAATGAGGTCGCCAGCCATCCTGCTGCCTATGATCCCAACACCACGTCGCCCGAAAGCGAGATCGCTGAAACTGAGAAGGAGACAAAGCAAGGCGGCAAAGTGAGCAATCCTCTGAATGTCAGTGCTGCAAATCAAGGTGTCAGCGAAGCGCGGGATCCGCAAGAAGGTGGGCCGGATCACAATGCTGATAAATCAGCACTGAGTGGGAAGGGGCGGACGAGGAAGGGCAAGGAGGTGCATACCGGAAATAAATGATAAACTAGGTTGTGTATCGTCATACGGACAACGGCTCATGTAAAGTTTATTATGTACGTCAATTGGAGATTTTGTGTGGGACTGCGAGAGTGACCAGTTGATACTGAACACTCGCACATATTTTCAGTAATTGAACAAACATTAGAAGGAGTGCATCACTGCATTGATACGGAAAACATGGCTTGATCGACATCTGCAAAGCTAGTTCTTTCCTCCGAACCTAATAATGTCACTGCCGGTCAAGACCCAAACTTTCTCACTGCCCGCAGGAACATCACCTTCCAGTGCTTTAAGACCGGCATTAACGGCAGCTCGAGCAATGACATCCGCATCTTGGGCCCATCCGTCCTTCAATCCGGAATAGATCTTCCCAGCAAACCCAGCAATAAATCGCACCGCAGCCTCCGCAGGTCGACTCTCTTCGCGCTGACCGGAGATTAGACCAGGCCGCAGAATCACAGTCCTTTCGAATCCCAACGCCTTCACATCGTCTTCGATCTCACCCTTCATGCGAGGATACGCAAAAGACGACGTTTTACTTGCCCCCGACGACGAGATCAGGACATAGACCTTCGTGCCGGCATCGCGCGCCGCGCGTGCCATCTCCACGTTCAGGCCATGCTCGACCTTATATTGATTGTCGAAGCCACCAGCCGCAGCACGAGTCGTGCCAAATGCGGACATGAAGATAGATGGCGTGGGAGTAAGAGCGGATAGCTGGCTGGCCCAGCGCGACGTATCATCTGAGACGAAGGTTGTGAGCTTCGCCTGTGGTGCGCTAGCTGCTGCAGGTGGAGTTTTGCGAGAGATAGTATCCACGCGAGCTACAGCAGGGCTTTCCAGGAGGGTGCTGAGGATATGGCCTCCCTAGAATTATGAATTAGAAGGGATACTTCACCGTCGCACGATTATATATATTTCTGAGAGAACATCGTCAGTAGCGTGGGGATAACGTACCACCATGCCGGTAGCTCCGATCAACGCCACGTTTGCCATGGTTGAATATACAAAGTAGTTCTATTATATGATACTGAAACGTAGTTTGTACGTAGGTAGCCTTCGTTGTTTGTGCGTACTGTCAAAGATGCCTCAAGATGCTGGTTTCGGATGACGTTTGACCTTGGATAAGATTAGGGACTAGTCCCAGACGGGCATTGTTGATGCCCCAGGCCGCGTATACCCAGCTATCAGCACGTGATGATTACCCATGCGGGGAAACTCCGAAGACGGAGAGTTCTGCCGTATCCTGCCGCCTACGATACTCATCGATAAGGAATTGCGTGATTGCCGCTAACCGGTTTAGGAAAGAGACCTGGGCCATTTTCTATACTCCAAATCCGTCTTTTTATTCGCATCGCCCCCCTGTCTTCAGCTAGGAGTCATTATTCCTTCATTCTTCTCTTCTTGTCTTTATCTCTGAGGTGTCGGTTGAGTGTGTCCGGTACCCAGACAAGAATTCTTCAAGATGGGCTCTTCTTCTCCATCGTTGTCGGCTCTCGGTGGCCCTACATATGTCACCGCTCAGACCCTGATTCAGCAAGTCGCATATCTCCTCAGCGACAAGATCTTTTCCTATTCCCCTGAGTCCTTCGATCTCGATAACGCTGTTCGGGAGTGGGCGTCGCGCCAGGAAACCAATGCCAATGGCGAGTCACCCGCCGTTAAGGCCATGGAAACTCGCCAGGGTGCTGGTAACATTGCCCTTGGTTATCTCTTCTCCCAAGACTTCGACCTGAAGAAGCGTCATGTCCCCCAGGGTATTGTTGCCTCGTCGGCCACTCTCCCTTATATGCGCTCGGCTTTGGAGCAGCTGTCCCTGCTGTATTCTGTCGCTAGCCCTGTTGCCGCGCACGTCGCGGCCGTTGACTATGCCGGCGAGGACGGATTGGTCTCGGACTATTCCTCCGCCCTCTCACTCGCGGAAGAGCTTGGCCTGGCTCTTGTCTCCAGTGCTTCTGTCCACGAAGCCCAGCACATGGCGTTGTTCACGACTCTCCTCGCCTCGATTCTGCCTTCCGTCCATATCTATGATGGCGTGCGTGTTGGCCGTGAGAACACCCGCGTGATCGATGTTCTGGATCAGGCCGGCGTAGCTCGGTCTTATGAGACCATCCGCAAGACATTGGATGAGTCCCGTAGCCGCCATCTTGACACTCAAGGAAAGCTGCTGGATTTGCTCAAGTCTTTGAACGGTGAGCTCGGCACTGACTATGGTCTCTTCGAGTACTCGGGTCATGCTGAGCCTCTTTCCGTTCTCGTTGCTTTCGGAACTGTCGAAGCCTCGCTCACTGCCCAAGTTGCTCGCTCTCTGGCAAAGGATGGCGTGCGTGTTGGTGTCATCAATGTTCGCGTCTATCGCCCTTTCGTCGAGGAGGAATTCCTGCGCGTTCTCCCCCAGTCCACCAAGACTGTTGGTGTCCTTGGCCAGGTTGCCAATGAGCAAGCTGTGCAGGAGCAGGGTGTTCGCTCCGCCCTCTATGAGGACGTTCTCGCGGCCTTGACCTTTGCTGCTGGACGCGAACAAGCTCCTACCTGTGTCGACATCAAATATCCCCGTTCTCAGCGCTGGAACCTGATCAACACAGCTGCCGCCTTCCAGCTCATCTCCGAGAAGCCTATTGTTCAGGTCGACGGTGAAAGCGCGCCTCTCCAGCTCATCGACCCCGTTACCGTGCAGGAGTACACCTTCTGGGATGTTGACAGCTCTGCTTGCGAGTCCGCTGCTGCTACTCTTTCTGAGGCTCTGGCAGCCGACTCCGCCAGCAATGTCACCACCACCAAGTCTCACGACAACTTTGTCCAAGGAGGCACTGTCCGCATTGACATCCGCAAGAGTTCCAAGATCCTTGACGCCCCGTACGCCATTACTGCTGCCGATACCGTGTATGTCGGGGAGCCCAAGCTGCTCCAAGACATTGACATCGCCGCCTCCGTCAAAGACAATGGCAAGGTGATCATCAACGCACCCGGAGTCAAGGATGAAGATCTGGAGAAGAAGTTACCGGCCGCTTTCAGGCAGGCCGCTGCCCAGCGTGGAATTTCCCTCTACATTGTCGATCCATCCGCTGCCGGCGACGCCTCGCTGGAGTCTGTCGTTCTGCAATCAGCCTTTCTCAGAGTGGCTCTTCCCTCTCAGGAAGGAGTTGGCATCAAGAAGCTCTCCTCGATCATCAGCAACCCTGAAGCTCTGGAGAATGTTTCCAAGGATCTTGACAAACTTCTTCGTCAGATTGAGATCCCCGAGTCTTGGAAGGAGTCCGAGGAAGCGCCCCAGGCTTCTCAGCTGCCCAAGGATATCTCCATCAACAGCTTTGTTCCCTTTGATAAAAATGAGGCTGAGCCGGCTCCCATTCTCGCGGATTGGCAGGCTGCTGCCAAGGCCCTTGCCTTCAAGGAGGCCTACGGCACCAAGACTGCCCTTCGTCCCGAGACGGCCACGAAGACCTTCACCGTTCATGTCAAGGAGAACAGACGTCTGACTCCCGTCACATATGACCGTAACATCTTCCACATCGAGTTTGACCTGGGTGACTCTGGCCTCAAGTACGATATTGGTGAGGCTCTGGGCGTCCACGCTGAGAATGACCCTCAAGATGTCTCCGAGTTCATCAAATTTTATGGTCTCAACCCCGATGATGTCGTTTCGGTGCCCAGCCGCGAGGACCCTACTGTTCTTGAGAGTCGTACTGTGTACCAGGCTCTTGTTCAAAACCTGGACATCTTCGGCCGGCCTCCTAAGCGCTTCTATGAGGCCCTCGCGGAGTTCGCCAGCGACGAGAAGGAGAAGACTGACCTTCTCACCTTGGGCGGTCCCGAGGGCGCTGTGGAGTTCAAGCGCCGTGCCGAGGTTGACACTATCACTTTCGCCGACGTTCTCCTGGAGTATCCTTCTGCCCATCCCGACTTCCACGATCTGATTCGCATTGTCGGACCCATGAAGCGCCGTGAGTACTCCATCGCTTCCTGCCAAAAGGTGACGCCCTCTACGGTCGCCCTGATGATCGTCGCTGTCAACTGGGTTGATCCCAATGGCCGTGACCGCTTCGGTCTGGCTACTCGTTACCTGAGCCGCCTCCAGCCGGGAACACCCGTCACTGTCAGCGTCAAGTCCAGCGTGATGAAGCTGCCACCCAAGTCCACCCAGCCCCTCATCATGGCCGGTCTGGGAACTGGTCTTGCTCCCTTCCGCGCCTTCGTACAGCACCGTGCGCTTGAGAAGGCACAGGGCAAGGAGATCGGCTCGGTCCTGCTGTACATGGGCTCTCGTCACCAGCGCGAGGAGTACTGCTACGGTGAAGAGTGGGAGGCTTACCAGGAAGCGGGTGTCATCACCCTCCTTGGTCGTGCCTTCTCCCGTGACCAGCCTGAGAAGATCTACATCCAGGATCGTATGCGCGAGTCTATCTCCGATATTGTCCAGGCCTACATTCGCGAGGAGGGTGCTTTCTACCTGTGCGGCCCCACTTGGCCTGTGCCCGATGTGACTGCCGTTCTGGAGGAGGCCATCGCTATCGAGGCTAAGAACAATGGCAAGAAGGTTGACACTCGCAAGGAAATCGAGAAGCTCAAGGATGAGGAGAGATATGTTCTGGAAGTTTATTAGTGGGGTTTTGTGTGGGGGAGAAAGGAGAGCCGTTGATGTTTCACGCACCAACATGAAAAGCTGCATGATGTGATATCCCTTGTCCTACTTAGAGTTTAGCGCTTTCTGGCATCAAGACTCACAACGATAGATCTGTTTTTGGGGATGTTATTAACGACTTAGTTCATATAGTTAGATAGACTCCGTTGCAATTTAATGCTGAAGGTTTTGGTTTTGATTTTCTAATGGGTATCTAATCTATACCTGCATCCTTAGTCAAGTAATGGCACGGCTTGTAGGCCAACAAATGTCCCTGTCTGCCCGGACATATCATCGTCAGAAAATGAGAAAAAAAAGTTTTATGACGAGAAGAATATTCAGAAAAAGAAACTATAGTATCATGCCCGTCCCACAGCCCCCAACTTCGTCTTGCCGTATGCACCTCCTTTTTCTTTCCGCAGCTCCAAAGCCCGCCGATAGGGCGGTGCTGTAGGCGGCTGAACAGGGTCCAGACTGACATGATCGGGAGGTAGTGAGTATGACGCATCTGAATCCCAGGAGGATAGATCACCGCATGCAATGAACGGGGGGATCCACCGGTTCTCAAGAGCGAACCTCTGAGGCGCGGCTTGGCTGCCCGTCGAAGATGAAGTCGGTGGAGTTGGGTGAAGTAAGCGGGTTTGCGTTTCGTGATTCGAATCTGGTTTAGAGATACTCTCTGCTGGCGCGAGGACGGTTGGTACTCTGGGCGGCTCACGATTTTCCTCGGGTACCTCTACTCCGATATTGCCATCTGCTGATACAGGCTGTGGCACAGCCGCACCGCCAAAGAGAGGATTTTTCAATGCCTCCATACCAACAGAGCCGTCGTGGATCGCTGGAGGAATGAAACCCTCGCAGACGACGAATGCTTCCAAACTGCTTGCGCGGCTGCTTCTCGGCTTCGCGACACTCACTTTCTCGAACACCGTGCGGAGCTGGGCGTAGAGGAGGTCGACGTCGCGGCCGCGGAAGATCTTGGCTACGAATTTGCCTCCTGGTCGTAGTACGCCCAGCGCCAGATTCAGTGCCGAGTAGAGCAGCTGCGACTGAATGTAGATGTCCAGATCGTGCAGGCCGGTTACGTCTGGAGCGCCATCGGAGATGACTAGGTCAACCGGATGGGGCTGTTGAAGCTCAGAGGGAGAGGGATCCGCTGAGTTGTAGGCTTCGGGATCGAGAGCGCGAAGAAGAAGAGGGATCGTGGAGGGATGTGTGATGTCGGCTTGAAGAGTGGTGATGCCTTCCAACGGGGCCATAGGTTGAAGGTCAATTGAGACGATTTTCACGTTCTTTCGGGGTTTGAGCTCGGCTGTCCCCTCCATCTCCTCTTCTGGGACCGTTTCCTGCCCTTCGACTGCATTGTCTATCCTTCTCAGCGCTTCCCGCTCTTTGCGCTTCTTCTCGATCCATGCCCGTCTGCCGAAACTCTCTCCCTTGATGAGGACTCGACTCAGTACCTGACTCCAACTGCCTGGAGCAGCACAAAGATCAACGACTCGGGTTACTTTTTCGGGATTCTCATGTTCGAAAAGGTCGAATTGTTCATCAATCTGAATCAGTTTGAAGGCGGAACGGGCACGCCAATTTTGTTCCTTTGCCAGGCGATAGTAGGCGTCTCGCTTGTCTTTGGAGGATTTCCCCATCTTCGCAAATCAGCAGCAACGTGCCGCGATGTTGATAGTGCTTGATAAAATTCTGTGGGATTCAATTGCACCCACTGGCTCTATGTCTGGTTAATTCCAACGTGGGGGGAGACGAAGCGATAAGATTGAAAAAAGGCGGGCATGTTTTTCTGCCGCCTTTTTTCTTTTCGGAGAGCAAAAAATGATCATCACCGCTTCCATCAGTTGCGCAAAGAGCAACAGTTCCGTACCCTTTCCTATTGACACTGAGCTCGAAGTACAATGGGTCAGAAAAGACAGAGAGATTCAAAAAGCTCGGGCTTCCAGTCGAAGAAGAGGAAGAGAGCCGCAAATGATAACGCTGCGGCCGATGCCAATGATGGTTGGGATGGCATTGTTGGCGCGGATGAGCTGAATTGGACGGAAGTCGCTCTTCCTGATCGACTCGAAGATGCGGGTGGTTTCTTTGGTCTGGAAGAAATCGAGGGCGTGGATATCGTGCGGAACCCTGGGAATGGGGAGGTTCGATTCAAGGTAGGATGAGACATTCATATACTACATGATCAGGGAAGCATCAATTAACGGTCAACCACAGGCCAAGGCTGGAAAACCGAAGAAGTCAGTTTTGAAGACAAAGGCTCCTGAAGAAGAGGAAACGACTCACGACGATGAATGGTCTGGGTTCAGCGACAATGACACCGATGCGCCAGAAACGAAACCTTCCCCTGCTGTTGAAGAAGTCGGCGAATCGGACAAGAAGGTGGATTTGAAGGAGGCCAAAGAGGCGAACAAGAAAGATAAAAAGAAGGAGGCCAAACAACTGAAAAAGGAGCAGAAAGAAAAGGGGTCCGCGATACAACACGACTCGAGCATCAAAGCCGGCATGTCCTTTGCAGCTCTTCAGGACGCAGAAGAGGACGACGGCGTCGACGTATCTGCTTGGGACGCACTCAATCTCTCGACCGAGCTTCTTACTGGAATCTCAAAGATGAAATTCACCTCCCCGACAGCAGTACAGGCGGCGTGCATACCTCATATCCTGGACGGCCACGATGTGGTCGGCAAGGCTTCTACCGGTTCCGGAAAGACGTTGGCATTTGGCATTCCTATCCTTGAACATTACCTGGAGAAGAATAGGGATGGTCATGGAGATATTATCGGAAAGAAGGATAAGAAGGACTCTACCCCCATTGCGTTGATTCTGTCGCCCACCAGAGAATTGGCCCACCAGCTGGCGAAGCATATCGGGGAGCTCGTCACACAAGCTCCCGGCGTCAACGCACGAATTGCGCTCCTGACAGGTGGTCTTTCGGTACAAAAACAGCAGAGATTACTAGCGGGGGCCGACATCGTCATCGGAACACCGGGTCGGGTGTGGGAAATTATGAGCACTGGACAAGGATTGATCCGCAAGATGCAGAAGATCAAATTCCTGGTCGTCGATGAAGCCGATCGGCTGCTGAGTGAAGGCCATTTCAAAGAGGTGGAGGAGATCATCGGCGCGTTGGATCGGGTGGAGGATGGGGATGTTCTTGACGAAGAGGATGAAGCGCCAGAGGAGGAATCCGATCCTAGGTCCGAGAGGCAGACACTGGTGTTCTCCGCCACTTTCCATCGCGATCTTCAACAGAAACTCGCTGGCAAAGGAAAGTGGACTGGAGGTGACATCATGAATAAGAAAGAGTCCATGGACTATTTGCTGCAGAAGCTGAATTTCCGGGAAGAGAAGCCCAAATTTATTGACACAAACCCTGTCTCGCAAATGGCCGAGAACCTCAAGGAGGGAATTGTCGAGTGTGGTGCTATGGAAAAGGTAAGAAAGAATCACGAGCCGACAATCGGGCTGCACTAACAAGCGAGTAGGACCTCTTTCTCTATACTCTCCTCCTCTACCACCCCAAGCACCGGACGCTGGTGTTCACCAACTCCATCTCCGCCGTGCGCCGCCTTGCCCAGCTCCTGCAGGCCCTCCAGCTTCCAGCCCTCGCCCTCCACTCATCCATGGCCCAAAAGGCACGACTCCGCTCCGTGGAACGCTTCTCCTCCCCAACTGCCAACCCTGGTACCATCCTGATCGCCACCGACGTAGCTGCCCGCGGCCTCGACATCAAAGGCATCGACCTTGTCATCCATTACCACGCGCCCCGAACAGCAGACACCTACGTGCATCGCTCCGGCCGTACCGCTCGCGCCGGTGCATCCGGCAAGAGCGTCATCATCTGCGGGCCGGACGAGATGGTCGGCGTTGTCCGTCTCGCGGCCAAAGTGCACGCTAACATGGCGAACGGCAAGCGGCTGCCGCTGGAGTCACTCGAGCTGGACCGCCGGGTTGTAGGCCGGGTCAAGCCGCGGGTCAGTCTCGCCAGCCGCATCGTAGATGCCAATATCGCCAAGGAGAAGATCTCGTCGGAGGACAACTGGCTGCGGAATGCGGCCGAAGATCTGGGCGTTGAGTACGACAGCGAAGAGTTCGATGAGGCCGAGGGTAAAGGCCGTGGCCGGGGTCGGGGCCGCCAGCAGAAGCAGAAGGAGGCCGGGAGTGTCAGCAAGGCTGAGTTGGCGGGACTGCGCGCCGAGCTGAAGCAGCTGCTCTCTCAGAGGGTGAATGTGGGCGTGAGCGAGCGGTACCTGACCGCGGGACGTGTTGATATTGAGGCTCTGCTCCGCGGTGAGGGCAATGCTTCGTTCCTGGGACCAGTGGATCCCTTGGGTTTTTGAACTGTATGTAGTAATTATGTCTATAATATACCAAACATTTGAGTATTTTGGAATTGCTTTTATGGCCGCTTTTCTGAATTTTTTTCAATCACGAGGGATATGCCCCCACAGCGAGATATTAACATTTGGCCCAGGGCTCTTTCTCTTCAGCCACCAGCCTGTGAACGATCCAGCTCACAAACGATTAAGTCGACATCGTCGACCCGCACTGTCCACACTGCAAGATGTAGTTGGGTAGTTGATAGCGACACTCCTCGCACCGAAGACATCCCTCAATGCGTGGCCAGAACTCTTCATGATCATATCCATGACGCCCTCGCAACCACCTAGCCATTTGTCGGACCTCCCCGGGCCTCGCAGGCACAGGCGACTGCGCCGGGTCCCGGCTGCGATCTATAAGGTGAACGGGCCCGGTCGATGAGTCGTGCTTCATCCTAGATCTCACATCTGCATTGCCTCCATTTTGTGCCACAGACGTAGCAGAACTCTGCACCGCACCGGCACCTAAGAAGCATCTGGTCAGCAAACTAGTGTAGGCCGCGAGAGGTTGTGGTCGACTTACGTGATGTGATTGCAGCCCACACCAAGCTCTATCACCTTCCGGCACTGAAAGCAGCGCCGCCATCCCTCGCGCTCGGACAGCTGGAGAACCTCCTCGTCTTCATCGGGACAGTCTCCCTCGTGCGCGGCTCTTTTGCAGAGCATGCAAGCGCGGGAGGCGCAATGGCTGCACGTGGTCAATGTAGCAGGAAACTACTTCCGAGTAGGGGGGTATGTATTTGGAACACGTCGGATTCGCACAATAAGTTCTATGCGGGTCGCTGGACTCGATGGCCTTCTCTTCTTAATCCTGGCATAGGGTAAGGCCGAGGAACCCGCTCACCTGCGACAGTGGAATCTCTTGACGGCAGCACCGGGATGGGAAGAGTGATTCGTCTGTCATGGAGCCTGACTGCGCAAGTGCAGCAGTACATATGCGAACAAGGCGCTTGAATGACGTTGGGCTGTTGATGTACGTCGGTGCACGCAATCCCCTCACTACCTATACCTGTATCTTAGTAAGGCTCTCTTCTCAACCCGCATACTCCTTCACCTACACCTACACACATTGTCGAGTCAGTTATTATAGTACCTGTCTGCCTCAGGCACCAGTCTTATCGGCAAGCCGAAAGTGGACAAACCTCGGCATACCGAGTGCCTATCTTATCTTGATATCAAACATATCAGCGCTATCAGCAACTCGCAGTCCATCCAATCACATTTCTTCGGCAAGACAAAATTCCAAACCTTGTTTCTTCAATGACGCGATCCCACTGGTTTATGTTGTCTCCACGTTGTGATCGACCGTCCAATGGGAAACCACCAAGCATTTCAAATTTGATGCCGATGACGGCAATTCGTTCCGCTGGGTCGAGCTACAAATAGAAAATAGAAAATAGAAAAATCGCGCTGGGTCTGGCTCTGCGGCCGTCTTTTGCTGCTAGCGATCTTCTCTTGGTGGTTCTTGGTTCGGTGGCGTCTTCGTTGTGTTCAAGTCTTCCTTCATCTTGAGACTCCTCACTTTGGCTCTCTTGCGAAACACGCTGAAACCGAGTTGCAGTATAGAGTACTGGCTGGGAGTGTGGCCACCAAGTATGCGATTCCTCTACATGCAATTGTCTTATCATCTGTGTCTTGCCTCGGTCCGACGGACTCTCGGAGAGGGCATGGTTGACAATGGACGGTTTGACTGACGCTGATCCTACCTAGAACAACGATAGCAATCGCTTCAAAAAGAAACATAAGCATCAACACACAATGTCGTGGCTCGCAAGACCCTCTCGCTGCCTGCGCAGCATCAGACCAGCAACAAGGGCAACAGTGCCCGTCTCGACATCCTACACTCCTCTCCGATCCATCCAGGGTGCCTCCGCTGTCGCCCAGGATCACCACTCAACACACACCTCCTCCGCAGCCGCCAACAATGCCGCCTCCTCAGCCTACCTCGCCGATATCCCCCACCGGCCCCTACACACCAACCCCATCGACGACATTATTTCGCAAACACCGTTCGTGCAAGCCCTCCGCCGCGACCCGGCCTACACCGAATCCCGCCCCCACCTCGCCATGAACCCAACCCTGCGCCCGCACCACTTCGTCGCTGGCCCCAACTCCGGCCCAGGCAAGATCACTGTCCCACCCTACGTCTGGGTGGCCACAAACCCGCGCGCCGACGGCCCCACGACCAGCCGCATGGTCTCCGTCTTCCACATCGGCGCCCAGCTGTGCGGCCATCCGGGCTTCGTGCACGGCGGCCTGCTGACCGTCATGTTCGACGAGGCCTATGCGCGCTGCGTCTCGACTTCCTTCCCCAGCGGCCTGGGCATGACCGCGAACTTGACCGTGGATTTCCGCAAGCCTGCCGTGCCGGACCGGCTGTATGTGCTGCGTGCGCAGACGGTCAAGGTCGAGGGTCGGAAGGCCTGGGTGGAGGGCACGCTGGCCTCGTTGCCGCCCGTCGGGGATGCGAGTGAGCCGGTCTTGGTCGCTGAGGCAAAGGCTCTGTTTGTGGAACCCAAGTTCGCAGAGGTAAGGTTGCAAGAATCTCTCCCGTCTTGGGGACGGCATTGTATGACTCTCAGGCTGACCCTAATTCAATCGATTAGTCTATGGTTCCCTTGTACAAGAGCTGACAGGGAAGCCAGCTCAAGAAAAGGTTGCTGCTTGCACATGTCCCTGAAAATACCCCTTGTTTTTATCCCATCTTCCATATAGACCCGCACATTCATACCAATAGACAGATAGAAAGCATAGAGATAGACTTGGAAATTAGCACCGTACAATTTAATCATCGCAATCAACATCATGAACAGCACATGGTTCCATTCCTATCTAAAATGATATCTCCGAAAGAAAAGAAAAGAGAATAAGAAAATCTCCTAGAACTCCCGCACCAAGCCGGAATGTCGACGAGCGAAGATTCATGGTGAAGAATGCAACAAACTAGTGAACCAGAACAAGCGGACTAGAGAAGGATTAACTCCCGCCTGTCGTCATGAGAAGGGGTATGATGCTGCCCAGTAGATACAAGACCAAATTGTTTTGTTTCATGTCTTTTGTTTTGCGTTTTTCTTTTTCTTTTTCTTTTTTTTATTCTTGCAGATGTTTTGGTAATGGCGAAGGTTACAGGTGGGTTTGCATTGATAGATCGACACAAAGGTACCGTCTCTGCGAGGTCCAAGAAGATCATGACAAGTGGAAAGCTCCTTGACCTTCCTTGATGGCAACAGACAATCTCTCCCGGAGAACGTCCAGACAGCTGTAATCAGGGAGCTTCAGATAATTGACACACGTCATGACGCTAGGTAGATAGTCGTCAGGCGTGTAAGGAGGTTCACTGGGTCGACAAACAACGGTGAAGATAGGGGTAAGGCTCTTGAAACCTGGACAGAGATTCACAGTTAGTCATGAGTCCCTGGGAGATGATGAGATACTGGCGAAATTCTTACCTCCAATGGGAAGTTTCGGGCTACCGGTAACAAATTGGAGGAAGTCGCGCCGTTGCTGCGTATCCAATTCACTCATCGTCTGCAGCAGATTCCGCACGCTCTTGCTATCCATGTTGAACCCATGATCGGCCTTTATCGAGTCCATGAGAGCTAGAAACAGAATGTCAGATACAGCTTGCCTCTCCTTGAAACGGAAGTTCGACTTACTCTCGATTGTCCAATCTTCTTCCGCTCTTCCAAACAACATAACGAGCTCGCTCGGTGTGAATGTCCGGAGCGCAGAGTATGGGAAGACTTGCGAAAACCCAGCGCGGAACGCATCCACTTGGTGTTGTACACCGCGACCCAGGGTCATGTCAACGACTCGATCGACATACTGATCAACATTGTCAGTCGTCACTGGGATGTTCGAGCCGTTGTCGATCAGTTCAATCGAAGGGTAACCGGGCAGAGTGAAGTCAAGGCTCAAATCCTCCACCTTAACGCCGTCGACTTCGACATTTTGGAGGGCCTGCGATTTCTGTGCCTTTGAGAGTGACTTGTCACCCTCAATTGTCTTCTTGACACTGGCAAATCGCTTGAGGAGCAAAAGGGAGTTCGCGAGGTCCCGATCAACAGCTTTGACAGTTCCAAGAGATGGCGCCACTGATGAGCCGCTATCGGCGATCCGGAAGAATGCTGGGTTGAAGGATATATCGATGATCCTAGAATCGAGCATCGACCGAGCAACGAATTTGCCAAGGGTTTTAAACAGACTCAGTTGCCTCTTTCCAGACTCGGAGGCAGCTTGCTCTTCGCTCATGGGAGCAGGGAATAGGCCACGCCTGCCGAATGCAAATTCTTCGTCATTGTTGCAATCATTCTCTCTCCAGATCTTAAGTTTCTTCTTTGAAAACTCCTTCGAGACTGTCGAGTAGAACTCAAGAGTGGGACCCAATCCTGTGCCAACTTCCTCGAAGTATTCCACTTCGAGCACGCTGGGAGAGGAGCCATAGAGTTCCATCACCTTCATCGCAGATTCGAGAATACGACTCCTTGAGATCCGAACCTTCTGCCGTTGGAGACGTCCCAAGAATGGCCGATCGTCGCGTCGGTGATCGTGACGAGTATCTTCTGCATTCTGAGAATTCTGCCATCTCATCATCGCTCGGGAGTAGCCAAATGCTGTCGACTGAAGGAACAGGTGGCGAGTCTCGAAGGGAAATAGGAAGGGGAAGAGCCGGGCCAGATCTTCACTCCAGCTGGGCAGACAGCTACTTGCCACAATAAGTGGTTCTTCTAACTGTCGGTTGAGCTTCGCGGTGAGCTTGGTATTGATGAACTGTGCCAGCGGCTCAGGCTTGAGGGCGACGAGTTCTTTAGTCTCTGCGAGTATATCGTCTAAAGTGGCATTCATCTCGTGCAGAGAACGAAGCAGTCGCAGGATCGGGGCAGTGGTGGGGTCCTTGCTCAGGGAGGATGGCATTTCAGTACCATCACCCGATGAGGCTTCTACACTGTTGGCAGTGAGAGTAGAAGGCTCTGGAGGTGGTGGGCCTCCGACCCGCTTAAACTTCACTGTGTGTACAGCAGACCACACATTCCTTGCACTCGCATCCACATGCTCTCGATTGTGGTGAACGGCACGATATATCGTGGTGTCACTGGAAACTGGCTTATCGTCTACGCTAAATTCGATATGCCAGTCTTGAGGGATGGCTGTCATGGCGGCCGCGTATGAAGCAAACGGACGACCAGCTGTGGCCAACGAGTTGCTGCTCCCTGTAGGATTAGCGGCCATAGTTGGAATGGAGGCAGACGATTTAGATGCGGGCGTCGACTGGGACGGCGTTGCCACACGAGTCCCATCCTCCTTTCTTGCCGTTATCTTGCCTGTAGAAGCCACCTCCATGTTGACGGCTGTTGGGTCGTGATGATGATCTTCGGACAGATCGTCTTCTAGATCATCGACGATGGCATTCAACTCTTCACCGGCCTCTTCATCATCATCATCGTCCTCATCCTCGTCATCCTCGCTCAAATGCCTTTCATCAGCACACTCCAAAGGTTCGTCGTCGTGCTCTTCGTTGTGGCCTTCGGGAGCAGGCAGCTGCCCACCGGATGGTTTGGCCCGCGAAGCAGGATCGGGGCGTTCAGCCGACGAGCTTTTGTCCGGGGCTCTTGACCCTTCATGCCCAGACTCCTGATGAGTGCTTCCTGACGCTCTAGATGGGTTCAGAAGGTCACTGCCGTGGAATTCGCCGCCACCAGTGAGTTGATCCCGCAGGCGTGCGGCGCTAGCGATCTGGGAGAGGATCGTATCTCGGCTGCGAGACGGCTTGGGCCGATCCGAGAGACTGATTCGAGGATGTAGAAAGTCGTCCAAGGACTTGAAAGTCGCAATGGCATGAATGGAGACCATAATGTTTCTGTAGGGACGAGGAATATCCGAATCCTCATCGGCTACCAGTTTGAGTCTGAGTTGCTTGCCCAGCATGTGGGTCGCGTTGCTACGTGTGTTCTCCAGTGAGTTGTGACTGACAGTGATCACTTCAAAATGCTCAGTCCGACTAAGCAGATCCTGCAACTTCTGGATGAGTACACTAAACGGTGTTGTGGCAGTACTCTGACTTTGAGCCTTTGCTGAGATTGTAGAACCCATAAAGGCTTGCAGGAACGCAGCGCGAGCCTCACGCATGGAGGGTGCTATTCGACGAGGATAAAAGTTTAGTTTCCATACTCCCCAAGATCGTGCAACCGGAAAGGGAGCAAAAAAAACTTACATTTAAGGTCACCGAATACATCCAAAAGCACATTGATGACCCCAGAATTGAGCAACTCAGAGCTGGTGATGCTTTCAAGCGCATCGCCGTCAAAGTAGTAAGCCAATTTCGTGAAAAGTGGAAGACCATCTCCATCTCCGTCGCCAAGATAACAAGCCTCTATATCTGCGGCAAGATGCTGCAACTCTGTCAAGATCTGCAGCGCTTTATCTCGCATGGCCTTTGCTTCGCTCGCTTCATACAGCTCGACGAATGCGCGCGCATCACGTATAGCAAGGTCCTTGGAAGCGTCTTCCATCCGTGTCGTGTTATACGGACTGGAGAATGAGGAGGAGCTTTCGGAGTCAGAGATGTCTTCGTTTTCATCATCCTGCTCATCATCATCGTCCTCATCGGCTTGGCGATCAAAATCGTGCGCCTCATCTTCCGAGGTGATTGATTTTGGCTTTCGGGGTGAATCACTCGAAATATCCATGGGAACGAGGTCTGGTGAATCATGCGAGGACTTCAACTGCTTGTCGGTCGCGAGGGGCGTTTCGGCCAATCTGACAATCTCGGAGACGACACCTTCACGATGAAATTGATACTGATAAACATGCTCAAGACGCTTGAAGAGAAGTTCGGCGCACCGCAAAGCTAAAGAGACCAGGGATGGATGGTCTTTCTGCGAAAGGATGGCCGCTAAAAATGATGCATATGGAACGGAACGCAATGCCTCCTCTATTAAAGCGGCATCAAGGTTATGCAGCATTTTGAGCTGGGCAAGGAGCACCTTTTGCCGAACCCCGAGGTTGACTGTGCTGGAGTAAGCATCTGTAAGTGTGGGCAACAATATCATGGCGAATCGCTTGAGCTCGACCGTGCACTCCATCAACAAAGAGCGTCTCTTTTCGGCGGACTGCTGTCCCTGCGTGGACTTGGACTCGAGGGCAGAGTTATCAGCAGCGGACGAAGCTAGCATGCGATCTACCGATGAGCCATGACGGTCTGGTACTTCAGGAAGCAGTTCACAAATGACATTCAGAGTCTCAAAGACCTGTTCCCTGGGGCGATGAATGAGGGCCTGCATGACCAATACACTGTCCATCTTGACGCCGGTGGTTTCAAGATTTTCAGGTGGCGACACCCCCGTCAAGATCTGATAAAGGGTATCGACCACGTGCATCCGAAGTAATTCAACGGACAGACGAGGGCTTGCTTTGGAAACAATGGCAAGTACACGGAGAAATTGGGTATGAATATGGGGTCCGATGAGATTCGTTGTGCCGGGTAAGAGCAGACGGAGCACAGCCTTCAACATTGCGGGCTCGATCAGCTCCTCCAACTTTTCTGGTTTGTACTTGAAGCTCTCCACAATCCGCGACACACAGAGGCATCCTTGCTCGACCACCTTAGGGTCATTACTGGCAAGGACATTGAGCAGGGTGGGCATGACATCACGGACAACGGGAAATGCATCGTGGGGAAGGTTACGGCAGCAGTTGGCAGCAGTTGTCACTGCGGTACGTTGGGTGCTTGTCGGGAAAAAGTCCAGGTAGGTCAGACAGGCTGTTAAACCGCCCTCGCGGACAATAGAAGCGGGAAAGTCAACAGAGACCTTCGCCAGAGTCTACACAGCGTCAGCATACACTCGAATCCCCAATGCAACAGGCATAAGGACAAAAGGGGGCGGGAATTTCTCACACTCAAAGCTTGCTCGGCCAGATCGATGAACTGGATATCCAATAGTTTTTGGCATAAAATGGGAACTGCTCCGCCGTAAACGACGTTGGCAACCGACCCCCGCAAAGCTTCCATCAGGTTCGCCAGACAGCGACAGGCGAGCAGCATTATTTCCGGATTTTCTTCACCAAATTCGTTGGGTTGCATCAAAGAGACCAATTCCTTCACGTACGGATCCGGTGAAAATTGGCCGGAAAGATTATCCTCATTGGATACAAGTAGGAGGTCCGATAGCTCCTGCAACGCGATCAACTGGATAGAGGGGTCGTCTTTCATTCTCAGGTGGCTTAAGATCTCTCGCAGGCGCGAGGACATGCCCGACATCATACCACTGAGTGCGCGAAGGGTGCTCTGGAGCCCCAGCGGACTTCGGGAGCCAAATAAGCTATTATGGAACAGATCTGCGTCATCGTCATCCATCCCAGAGGGCGTTGTGCCATCGTTGCTATCGTCTGATGGAGATGTCTCCCTGTCTGCGGTAGGATCATGGCTCTCCATCTCTTCCTCTGCCTCCTTCATGATCACATCGGGGTTCATCTTCGACGCACGCTTCTTCTGTCGGCGAGGTGGAGGGGATTGAGTGGCTGGGAGGTGATCTGCTACAAGTATGTGTGAGAATTCCCATTTCCCTAAGCAGATGGGGGCGCGATTTCTCTGTCCGCGGGAAGTCGTACCTTGTGAGATCTTTCCTCCATGCCTGCTGGACTTTCGCCTTGACGGTGGAGGTGAAGTCTGCGTAGTTGAGGGCTCCTCGGGGGCGTTTGACGATGAACTAGCACCAATATCCTATTAGTTGGCTGCAATCCCAGTAATGACCATCTCGAGAGCACTCTAAGACTTACCCTGGTTGTGACATTGAGGGACGATTTCGAGTACCACGGCGAGTCGGAGCAGGTGCAGCCGCAGGTTGCGACGAAGGGGTGAGTCGCTGTTTTTTTGTTTTCCGGGGGGGCGATGAGGGATTAATTTCTTCGGGGGCGTCTAGAGACCGATCGCGGCGGGCTTGGGACTTGCGCTTTCGAGTTGGAGCCGAACCAGCGGCGGGATTCGAGGGAGAGGGGCCGGAGCCAGAGGACGAGTGGGGGTCTGCAGCAAGTCTCGCAGCTGAGCGAGTGATTCTGGAGGACATGAGAACCTGAAGCTTTTCAACTGTGTAGGTGACAAGGAATGGTCAAGGAGAATTCGACAAGGAGAAGTGGAAGGCAGAAGGGAATCAACAAGATGGGAGATAGAGCTCGTCCATAGGGGGAGGGGGAAGGCGATGCAGGCGTTGCCGCCAGATACTGATGTAGTTGACGAAGCCTGACCGCAACGACGCCAACGGTGATAAATGACAGGTGTATGCCAAGAGAAGCGGAGTAGAGCAGGAACAGAAAGGGTTAAAATATATACCTCAAGGAAGAAGAGGTGGCAGTGGTGGGAGCTCCAGCAGAAGAGTCCTCAAGAGGGTCCTGGCGGTGTGAATGGGGCCTTCGTCTGGCCATAAGTTGAATGACAAGGAGAGCTGAATGGGGGAGGGCTCGCTCTTCAGTCGATGACTGTTCAGCCCGCCATTCGACCGCTAAAGAATTTCTGGCCCCGAAGGTTGTAGGAAGGGCGAAACTGCTGCCGTACGTATGAGTCGGGGGTCGGGGGTCTTGGAGGATGACCGGCGGGACCGACAAGAAGGACCGTTTCAGGGAATGCGGACGGAGAGCGACGATGGATTAAGTTTTCAGTATCCCAATATGAGCAAAGAAGGGGGGAATTCAAAGGCAGTAGAGGGATGATGAAAACAGTAGTCGATGGGGGGGAAGATTGATGGAGGGGGGGAAGAGAGGAAGAAGATGAGATTGGAGATGGACGGTTGACGTGGTTTACGGTGGTGACGCTGGCCTGAGGACGCAAAGCACAACAGTCCGGAGAGCGCCAGACAGCAGAAGCGCAACCACAGGAACAACGCAGACGCAGACAACGTGTTGTCTTGGGTTTTGATCGACTATACTGTGTATGTCTCCTTGCTGAGTCTGGTGTCTCATGGCTTTCTTTGACAACGGTAGTCTCGCTTCTATATTGGATTGGGCATTGGGGATTCGCAATGAAGCTCTTTGCTGCTCTCTTTTGCTACTACAATGTGTGCCATGCAGAGCGAAGATATGATATCTACGTATATACCCTCCAAGGCACAACTTCCAACCATCAATAATAATCAGTCAGAATGAATGCATGGAAACCGGTCACCCGGGTATCTGACATCGCGAGTTTTTGGTGAAGGTCCAGATATCCCCCCTTCTCTTCTCATCATCAAGAACATGGCAACATTCAAAGTACTTTCTATCTACTACTCTGCAGTTCCTAGATAGAGATATGTCGATCAGGTATAATCACTAACTATTGATTAGCGACGTTCCGCCGCCGCTCGCATGCTACGGAGTATACTCCGTTGTGAGAGTGAATGACTCTGGCCCACCGACGACTATTTGGAGTAAGTACCTCGGCAGGAGTCATGACTCAGGACTTAGGACTTAACTCAGGCTTGAGGGCGCCGGGAACTCTGATTAATATTATTGCTTTGACGAGATCCGGATCAATTACCAGAATAGTCCGTCTACGGGGATCTTCGAGGTTATTCAAGCAATGACGCTGAGGTCGATTTGTTACAGACACTGTACAACAATAGGAGTTCTCCTTGGTGGCGAATTCCAACCCTTGATCCTTTTCGACAAGACAGGAGAAGAGAGGGCTACAAGATGATTAGCCAAAGAATGATTGAAGTGAGAAGAGTTCGAAGAGGCGTGTTGAACTGAGAGAAGATCTGGGATGGTGACGTCGAGTGCAGAATCAGTGCGTTGTCGCTGTGGCTCTGGATGGATGTATGTATGTATATAAGTGTATGGATATAGGGAGGGGCTTCACTCCGAAAACGCTGTGCTTCTTCAATCAAGATTAAACCCCAGATTGATAGAAACACAGTTAAAAGAGTGTGGATGGATAGGATATTCTTTGCAATGCTTCAATTCAGACCCTCCGATTGTCCTCCGTAAAATCCTCTAAGATCGATGAGGTGATTCTCCGATTCACACCGATCGCCATCTTTGTCTTTGTCTGTCACTCTTGTGTTTTCTGCCATTCTTTCTCTCTCTCACTCACTCTCACAAGACTTGCAGAGGGTCCTCTTCTTGTTCACAGTAGTAGGAATCTCATACTGTGACTCCAGAGTGTTCATATAATCATACAAGTCTTCTTAGGCAACTGTCAGCATCAAATCGCTCCGATCGCTTGTTGTCCGCTCAATAAATCTCTTTCTTCCCCGCCTCTTCCTCCCCCACGCCGCTCGACTCAACTCCGCCCGCATTCCATCCAGTATCGATTCTCTAGTCGCCAACTCAACTCAAAAAAAAAAAGAAGAGACTTCCCCCCCCTTCCCCCATTCTTCGGACTTCCCTCCCCATCATCTTTTCTTCCTACTGGAGATCGTAATCATCTATTATTCCTCCGCAACATCCGCTCTCTTCCCATTCACAGGGCCAGCCAAATCACATCTCACATCTCACATCTCACATCTCACATCTTACATCTTACATCTTACATCCGCAACCATGACCGACATGGTTGGAGGGCAAAGCGACGATGTTCATCAGGTCCCTCCTCCTCTTCCCCCCGCGCCCATGGAGAACTACACTTTTCCGGAGCACCGTCTGAAGCGCAAGATGGACGATCCTGAGAAGACTCCTCTGCTGCTCGTGGCTTGTGGTTCCTTCTCGCCCATCACCTACCTCCATCTGCGCATGTTCGAGATGGCGGCCGATTACGTTAAATTCAGCACTGACTTTGAACTCATCGGCGGGTATCTCTCCCCCGTCTCGGATGCTTATCGGAAGGCTGGGTTGGCTAGCGCGGAACATCGGTAAGAATCCATCCATTCTGCTGTGCTTTGATTTCGGCTGGCGTTCAGTTCGACATACTGATCGTTGGTCTCGGTGAACTCCGCTAGGGTTGCGATGTGCCAGCTCGCGGTTGATCAGACATCCAATTGGCTGATGGTCGACACGTGGGAGCCGATGCAGAAGGCGTATCAACCGACCGCCGTCGTGCTGGATCACTTTGACCACGAGATCAATGTCGTGCGAGAGGGTATCGATGCGGGAGATGGCACCCGGAAGCCCGTCCGGGTTGCCTTGCTTGCAGGCGCCGACCTGATCCATACCATGTCGACTCCGGGGGTGTGGAGTGAGAAGGATCTGGATCACATTCTGGGCAAATACGGGGTATGTGCCAGCCGAACGACGTCTTTTACCCAAGGCTTGAATTAGACTAATGTTTTCTCTTGTAGTCATTCATCGTGGAACGCAGCGGCACTGACATTGACGAAGCGCTGGCCACCCTGCAGCCTTGGAAGGACAACATCTACGTCATCCAGCAGCTTATCCAAAACGACGTTAGCAGCACCAAGATCCGTCTTTTCTTGCGGCGCGAGATGAGCGTGCGCTACCTGATTCCCGTCCCGGTCATCCACTACATCGAGCAGCACCACCTCTACGAGGACGACAGCACAACGACGGCCGCACCCTCGCCGGCCGACAAGGGCAAAGAACGCTCGCAGCCGGGAAAATCAGGCTGATCCCCTCCCGTCGTCCTCCAACCCCATCATCTTTTGTAAAATTATGTGTCATGAATACTGCATTATGATCTCGTCGCAGCGCGCACAGTCAACCGCGACCGAGCGGCGCGCCCTTGCGCCTTGACTCGACCTGGGCCTTTCCCTTCGCTGCTCCCTCCCCCCAACATACACTTCGATGACCGCCCCCTGTTCGTTTCGCCGTCAACACCCAGCGGGCGACCATGTCCAGTTTCGCAGACACTCGTGCACCTGCACTCGAGCGAACCGCCAAATCCGCAAATATCCGCGCCTGAACGCTCATCACAGCGGCTGCACCGGCCGCGACCCGACGACGGTCTTTCTGCGTCGAAAATCGGCTCTTGCGCAAAGATCCAGTCCGGCCGGGCGGTTCCGTGCCATTTTTTCTTTTTCTTTTTTTTATTTTTCTTTTTTTTTTCTCGAAGAAAAGAATACGACATCTATTAGGCGTTGTTCTCCTTTGCCGTTTGATTGATTGCCTGCTTTCGTTTTGTCTTATACCCCGTTTTAATGAACAATAGAAGAGAGTATTAGAGCATGAAAGATTTACTTTTCACAACGCTTACTTCGATCCGTTGTATTCAGTCATCCACTATTGAGTAGACCAACAGGCTACCTCGACCAGGTACGATCAAGGTATGTGGATCGAATCAGGCTAGAACCACCCACCATGCATGAAATCCGTGGCGCATGCAGGAGGGCCATGACGTGCAGGTACAAAGTACCTGAATACAGGCAATCCACGTGTGCCGCGATCTATGTACATTTATTCCGCCCCCAGGAGAGAGAACGCGAGAGAGAGAGAGAGAGAGAGAGAGAGAGAGAGTATAATATAATATAAACACGGAACAGGAATCAAGTCGATCAAGATAGAAGAGAAGAGAAGAGAATCGAATCGAATCAAATATACAAGCGGGTATTCAGGTCATGAAACATCGTCGGAAAATATGTTAGGCGTGTGCTTTGTATATACAACGGGTATGCATCACAGTTCTCGGTCCCCCCACACCTCTTCCGCCTCGACAACGCCCACACAGGTCTCGGGATCCGAGTCCTCCATGACGGCAACCACCTTCACACGCGAGCATGCACCGACCTGCGAGACCAGGCGCCGGACCTCGTCAAGGGTGCTGGTGCTGGAGACGCACAGCCAGTGCTCCCGGGGGACGGCGAAGGGGAGGCCCAGGGCGGGGAGGGCGGAGATATTCATGTCGACGTTGCTGCTCTGCGAAAGGGAACGGATGTGTTTGGGCGGGATGAGCTCCGAGGGCGACAGGGCGACCCAGGACTTGGCGTTGGGGTGCTGGATCGCCGTGAGCAGGATGTCCAGGAGCCGGACCTCGTCTGCAGTGGACACCGAGACCACGGGGATCTGATCGAGAGCCACCATGCGCTCGACGATGAGAGGGTGCGAGGAAGGGATGTCCGACGACGACGACGACGACGACGCCGACGGGAACGAAATGATTTCCGACGAGGCGGTGGATCCACTCTGGAGGTAATCCGACGGGATTGACACCGTGGACATGCTGGAGGGCGTCAAGACGGCCGCGGCAGACGCTGCAGACGCGGCACCAATCGCGCCGCCGGGATGGAAGCTTCTAAAGACCTCTGCCGGGCCGCGGCCGGGAGTATTGTGGAATCGCCGTGCGGAGGCCAAAGCCAGAGCATCCCCCAAAGCCAGCGCCACAGTGGTCGACGAGGTCGGCGCGCTCAACCCAAACGAAGCCTCCTCATGTTCGTGGATGGGCGCAGGCAGAAGGATACCCATATCGGGTGAATGAAAGGAGAGAATCGGACATGTGGACGGATGCATATGCGATGTGAGGGCAATGACGGGGACGGTCGAGGGTATATGCGGGAGCAGGAGCATGAGCTCCGGCGTGCGACCGGAAAACGAAATCAACAAAAGGTTATCATGCTAGCGACCATTGTTAGCCCCGAGAAAAGGGAAAGTCAAAAAAAAAAAAAGAAAAAAAAAATGGGGTGGAAGGGGGAAAATAGTAGCTGCCGCGAATATCCGTACCGGTCGAATCAGGCCCAAATCCCCATGCAGCGCTTCGGTTGGGTGCAAGAACGTGCTATAGATGCCCATGCTATTCATCGTCGCCTCCAGCTTCTGTCCGATCTTCCCACTCTTGCCCACGCCGCAGACGACCAGCTTGCCGCCATTCCGGACGGTGCGCACGATCTGACTCACAGCCCGCGCGAGGTTCTCCTGCGCTAACCGGTCCGTCTGGTAGATCTGCTCCAGGTGCGTGAGGGCGGCACGCTCCGTAGAGATGACATGGATGGCTGTTGTTACCGCAGCGGCATCGTGGTGCATGGACGGAAGTGCGTCGGTCGGATCTGGCGGGGTCATGGGCAAGAGAGAGAAGCCATTGAGCACGGAAGTGGCGTGCATCATGGCGATAACGGGATCGGAGGCTGCAGTTGCGGCTTGAGATGCCCCATGCGGGTTCACAGAACCATTATCGGAGGGGGGGGGGAGGGATGAGACTGTGAAACTCAATGGGTAGGCAGAGAAGAAGAAGAAGAAGAAGAAGATAAAAGAGAGAAAATGCTCAGGGAGGGAGGGACGAGGGAGGGATGGGGGGGGGGGGCGGCGGGGGGGAGGGAAGGAAAAGAAAACGAAAGGAGCCTTGGCTGCTGAATGGGGCTGTTAATGTTATGCTGTTATCTGGTCATCTCGGAGATAATCATCATCAGCGGGAATGGTGGCAAAGGGGAAAAGACCGAGAGAGGGAGAGAGAGATGCACGATCTAAGCTAGGACAGACATATCAAGAGCTGGTCGTAGCCCGTAGGTTGGGAGGACGAATTGATTCCGGAGGGAAGAAGACGCCATCGCTTCTTCCGCCATCGCCATTTACTCGTATTATCGAAGGGCTGCCGATCGATCGATAGTAGATCTGACGGGAGAACTGGGTTGTTTACCAAGATTGTCCGGACTGACAAGTAATTATTATTGACGATCGTGTGAAAGAAAAAAAAAAAAAAAAAAAAAAAAAAAAAAGACCCTGATAAGAATAAGATCACAATAATATACATTTTCTTCGAATTCAAAGCTGGCTACCGAGTGATACAGACACGGACAACGCCCACCAACCCACTGAATTAACCCCCTCCTAAGAAAGAACTAGCAGAACCTCACCGGGCCAACGGCTTGATACCCTTGTGAATCGCAGCAATACCGCCCGTGAGATTCTCATATCCCCGTCCAGGAATCATAAACCCGGCCTTCTGGATCATCCCGCGGAACTCCTCCTGGCTCGGGAACTTCTCGATACTCTCCACCAGATACTGGTAGCTGTCGCGGTCGCCGGCCACGACCTGCCCGATGAGCGGGATGGCGCTGAAACTCCACTGCTTGTAGACCGCATTGAAGAGGCTACTCTCCACCTTGCTGAACTCCATGCACGCAAAGACCCCGCCGGGCTTCAGCACGCGGAACGCCTCCCCCAGCGCCGCCTGCTTGTCCGTGAAGTTGCGGATCCCAAACACCACCGTGTACAGGTCCACCGAGTTGTCCGGGATGCTGGACAGCTGTTGCGCGTTGGCCTCCAGGAACGACAGCCGCGAGGTGTTGTAGTAGGGCGTGTCGATGCTGCGCTTCTTGCCCTCCGCCAGCATGTCCGGGTTGATGTCGCTGATCGTCACCCGCGTCTCGTAGTCGTGATTGATGTTGGTGGCGTGGTCGAGCATGCGGAAGGCGATATCGCCGGTCCCGCCGGCGATATCCAGGATGTTCCAGCCCTTGCCCGTGCTGTCGCCGTCGCGAGAGGGGAGCGCCGACCCGGGGTTCAACGAGCGGACAAAGTGGTCTTTCCAGAGACGGTGGATGCCGAGCGACATGAAGTCGTTCATGGTATCGTAGGAGGATGCGACGGAGCTAAACACCGCGCCAACTCGAGGGTTGTTAGTATGTGGAAAGTGTTGACCCCGTAGCCTCCGTAACAAAAAGTGCAAAAGGGCGAATTCCCCGTCAGTGACGGACTCACCCAGGTTCTCCTTTTCAGATTCGCGGACATTCTTGAACCCGAAATGGGTCATCTGCTCGTCGTGGCTCGACTTGCTGCTATCTTGGGCGCGCAGCGAGCACGAAAAGCACCGGTATTGGGTCCGGGGAACCATCACCCTCCGCTTCGCACTGTAGTGCAGGCTTCGCCATAATGATCGGGCGGACATGATGCTGGTGTATGATTGATTGCACCGACTGAAAGATGGAGCCGTAGAGGTGCAATTGAGATGGGTTTGTGAGCTGGGGAAGTTTGGGGTGGACGAACCGACGAAGCCAGCTCGGAATCGAACCGGATCACTTTTTCTGCCGATCGGATTCACTCCGCTCTCGCCAACTGGACAGCCATGTATATCTACTTTCAAGGACATGAGGTTTTATCAACTGTATCATTCCCATCACTAACGATTGAAGAAGACCCCAGTCCGGTTCATTCCAACCGACAAGCTACTCTCTCACTTTCTGGTCCCAGAGACTCGTCACCGTCACACTTCGCATCCAGTCTTCATCAACACTTCCCTCCTGCACCACAAACCCAATCTCCTTCTTCATTCCTGGGAGCAGGACAAATCCATTCTGCTCGAAGTAGCCCACTACGCCTGCTGGATAGTCGAGCCAGGTGTACAGCGAAACCCCCGCTGTAGCCTCGACTGTAAACGTCCTGGTGTCCGGGTTGTAGGCCAGCTCGAGTTTGGGATCTCTCAGCGCCAGGTCCTTGGGAAAGACAGGGGTGAACTGGTTCTCGTGCCTAAATTCTGATCTGGTTCTTGCATTTGGGAGATATCCCTCCCCAGCGAGAGACAAGATGAGGATCGAGTCAGTCAGATCTGGTGGAGATAGATCGGCCACGTTTGCAGAATAGACGTCGGTCGCGTTCAGAGCACCGACACTGAATGGAATTGACTCAGGCGTGCCAGCATTGCCAGCAATAGATTTACCAGAAAGATCGACCCAGGTAAGATTCACGGTGCCCTGCGCAGGCTCCCATAAATCCGAGGTCACATAGACTTCCAGATCACCGGTCGTGTAGTTCCAGAACGGGGACACGATGATGGGCTCGTAAATGTCTCTTGCAACATAGTGCAGCATCTTCCATCGACCATCATACTCGATTCCTGCCCAAGTTGGCGCCTGCCAGGTATCCTCCAACTGCCAGTAAAGAGATCCCAGCTGGCGCTCTGGCATTCCGCTTCCTCGGCGGTAGAATTGAATCTGAGCTTTGTACATGTCTGCTTGGAAGAGCTGGGTTGCGTGGCACCAGGCACTGAAATTGGCGACGGGATCGGACTTGCTCGGTATGGGATAGTAGCTTTCTACCCCCATAGTCATCTCGCCCATACCTCGAGACGAGTTTTGGTAGTTGTCAGTAAACAAACCGCCCGCGGTGTAGTGATGGTTCCGAAGCACCACCACACTGCTGTTGAAATAAAGGTCTTTGGGGTCCACAGCTTGCTGCCAGGTCTGCAGGCTGGGCATGCTGTGGAAGCCAAACTCGTTCGCAAAACGACCCACGGGGTACTTATGGTAGTTGAAGGAGACACTCGTGTCATAGTTATAGTAGTCCGTGTCGCCATAGTATGACCCTGGAGTGGTGTTTGAATATCGCTCCGTCATGGGGACAGGTGCTGACAAATTAACGTGCAGATAGCCCTCTGTCGTACTGCTGGGGCTGTATGTGATCGACCGTGTGTTCTCATACACGAGAGGCAATATAAGGCTGATATACAGCTTCTCATACTCCCCGACGTACTTGGCATATCCCTTGTGGTCTGCTCTTCTGACCATGGGGAGCATCAAGCTCTCAATTTCATTGCCCCCTGCCCAAAGAGCAAGTGATGGGTGGTGGTTTACACGCCGGACATTATAAACCACTTCAGCAGCTACATTCTCCAGGAATGCATCATCGACAGGATACAAGGCGTCGCTGAACTGAAACTCACTCCAGAGCAAGATGCCCTTTTCGTCAGCCAGATCGTAGATGAAGTCATGGAGGTAAGCCCCAGAAGCCCAGACGCGGAGCATGTTCTGGTTTCCTGCCGTGACTGCATCGAAGAGCCTTTCCATCCGACTTGGCGTCACTCGAGGCCAAAAGGCATCCGGTGGTATGATGTTAGATCCTTTGGCGTAGAACTCACGACCGTTAATCTCGAAGTGCCAGTTTGCCCCAGGGGCAACCCCTTGTGCGAGCTGCTCCTCAGTGATGTTCCTCTGGTTGAGAAAAATGGTTCGGAAGCCAGTCCTCTTCATGACTTCAGCCACGACTTGATTCCGATGGTTGTGTACTGCTATGGTCACATTGTACAGGCTTTGATCGCCCATGCCGTTTGGCCACCATAATTTTGGGGTACGTCCATCGACGACTGTCACACCTGTCACTGAGTTTCCGGACACCGTTACATTCTCGAGTAATCCGGAAGAAAGGACAACTCCGGAATATGCGTCCTTGATCTCTACCGACATAGATGGCCACTGGGGCACAGATCCTAAAACATCGATACTCGCATTAACAACCCAAGACTGGCTCTGATCTGGCGGTAGGTGATTGATCTGGCCTCTCCGGTAGATGTCCAAATCAGTATTCAAGACATAGAGGCGATCGGGATTTTTATTCTGCACAATATACGCTGGTTTCCAAGGTCCAGCCGGGGCAAAAGCAGGGCCCCAGTCCCACCCAAAGTCCGACTGCTCTTTGCGGATATACCATCGGTTGGGGTATTCGTTAGTGATCTGTACACCGGCGGGCCACTCTAGGGATCTATTAGCAGTTCTTCACAGAGGCCAGGGGTTGGAGACGGACCTTCTGCGCTCGGGCCATTTGCTATCGCATTTGCAATGTTGGGGGCACTCCCGAAATTGATACTTAGGACTGGTCCTTCTTGTTTACACTCTTTGAGAACCTGGGACACGTCAAAATGGTACTGCCGAAACTGGTTATAAGTTGAGCCGATTATCTGATCACAAAATGTGATGGTTGTAAAAGTGTCGAGACCATCAAAAACAAGCCAGGTAGACTCGTGATCAGTCAGTCTGTGGACAGGAACAAGGTCAGGAACCGTCTAGCTAGGCTAGTTTTCTGTATGTACGAGTATCCAGAACTACTCACAGCCCAGTAATAGGGTCGCTGGTGTACGTCCAGTTGGCATCCGCAATCCAGCGAAGGTCAAAATCATTGAGCCCATGGTAGCTTCAACGGCAATGAGTTTAGTATAGCAATCATCCGGCTCCTGTCGGGGACTTACGGATCGTCTAGACTTATGTCAATTCACGTCAATACAGTCATACAGGAAAGACAAACCAATAACGCCAGCCTCGAATAAATCCAAATGTACCTGGGAAGGAAGACGACCAGGTACGGTTCGGTTCAAGGCTTTGCTGCTGACTGTCCAACCAGGTTCACTCAGATCCAGGACATGCTGACCGGTCACTGGAGGCAGCCCTGGGGAAAGCAACGCTAGGATTGTCTGTTCCCTGATGCGCATATTTATCAAGCAGACTCTTCTTCAGATGGGCTTGATAATGTCTCAGTGAGTGACCCTTTGTTCTCGATTCAGATCAAGAGGCATCCTTTATAGCCACCTCCTCACTATATCTCGGAATTCGATCAAGGACAGCATAAACAAGCATTCAACCACCGGTATCCGCTCTATCCTTGAGATGACGGCAGGTTGATCAGCCCTGAGTGGAGAAGACGGTGGAACGACCGTGGTGAATCGAGCAACAGGCTGGAGACGGAGGCCTAGGGAGCGATGCGTATTTGAACGGCCTGGACGATCCTTGCATATATACCACATAATGTCTCATCAACCTGCAGTAGTCTGCAGATGCTATGATGCAACCGTGTTCGGCTTCCCAGTTGGTCAACCCAAGCGGGGAAGAAGGGATGTCCGATCGACAACACAACGGGAGAGTCGATTTTTGTACTTGAGACCTGTATGATCAAGTATATCTGACTTGCAGCTAAAGTTGACCTCAGACTCTCAGACAATAAGTCGCATAGTTTCTGTAGGGAAGCGATGGGGTCAGGTTGATGAAACGGGGGAGTGGATGATGCTCGAAGGTGGACAGAAGAATGAGGTTACACCACACCACAAGCTAGACCCGGCAGCATAACATAGACTATATAGAATTTTCTGTAAGTGCCATCTAGGGTTAAAGATGGTACTTGTAAGAGATGCAGAGACAGGTAGATTTGAGAAGGAAATAAGCCCCAAATAGTAGCAGAACAGATCTTGAAGTATATATGAACATCAAAGCAGGAGTAATCAGGAAGGAGTATCAATTCCATTCACTACTGAATCGACCTACCTTTGCGGCGGGACACGGATTATGCCAGCGTTGTTGACTATGACTATGGAGAGTAGACGATGGGCAGATGAATATGGAGGAGAACGCCTGGCATTGTACTCTGGCTGCTTCCCTGCTCTCTCCTGAGGATCTAAGCTCCTTCCGAGATGTTTCTGTTGATACATGTGGTGTAGATAGCTAGCTAGTGGTCAGCTAGCCGGCTCGCTAAGCCTACGTGCCCTATATAAGGCGACGTAGCCGGCTAGGTAGCTTCCTCTTCCCCTAGCCAATCAACACATCAATCCAGTTTCACAAGATTAAATCCCTTTAATCTGTCCCTGAAGCATTTCGATGTTCCCTCCTGGAGAGCCTGAGGCATGTCGCTGCTGACTGATCTGATAACACTCGGCTACGCGCGGGGATGCCATGACGTGCAGCCCGACGCCAACCGCCTCCTCCGCATTTCCCCAGAATCATAAGAAATCGCTCCTCACAGCATCCGTCCCTCCTTCAGGGGAGGCAGTCGTGATTCCATTCTTCATTTTGTTCAATGAATGCGGACATACTCGGATTCATCAGAACCATGTCTTTACGTCTTGTGGCCCGGATATCGCGGCCAGCACGCAGTCCGAGAACGATCATCCTCCCTTCCGTCAAGCGATGGGGGAGCACGATCTCCCAGCGGCCAGGATCGGACAGGTATTTGACCAACAACGGGAGATCTTTTACGAGAGGAACAATGTGTCTGACGGCGTGTTCACGTCTAGGGTCCAGTTTCCCGGTGCTGTCAACAGCAAATTCACCACACAAATGTCCTTTATCAACCCCGCCGAATCGTCCAGCATCCCTACCTTCCGGATGATGGACTCGGATGGAAAGCTGCTAGAGAAGGATCGCAAAGCGCTCGATGTCTCGGACGATGAGGTTTTAACATGGTACAAGAACATGTTGACTGGTGAGTGTCCCACCCGGGCTATTGCCGATGATCCCAAGCTGATCGATACACAGTGAGCGTGATGGATGTGGTCATGTTCGAGGCCCAGAGGCAAGGACGTCTTAGTTTCTACATGGTACGAACCCTATATCTGCAGCTTCTTGACCTTCTCAGCCGCTCACCTATCCCTATAGGTCTCTGCAGGCGAAGAGGGCATCAGCGTCGGGTCCGCCGCGGCCCTGACGCCAGACGACGTTGTGTTCGTGCAATATCGCGAAACAGGCGTCTTCCAGCAGCGCGGCTTCACACTCAAAGACTTCATGAGCCAGCTCTTTGCAAACCGCAATGACAACGGCCGAGGACGGAACATGCCCGTCCACTATGGCTCCAACTACCCCCGCACAGTGCGTACCTGATTCTCCTACCCTTTCCAAAAGTCGTGCCCAAAATGACACCCTACCTAACACCCCCGGAACAAACAGCACACCGTCTCCTCCCCTCTCGCCACCCAAATCCCCCAAGCCTCAGGCGCCGCCTATGCCCTGAAGCTCCAAGCCCTCCAAAACCCAGACACACCGCCCCGCATCGTCGCCTGCTACTTCGGCGAAGGCGCCGCCAGCGAAGGCGACTTCCACGCCGGGCTCAACATCGCCGCCACCCGCTCCTGTCCCGTCGTGTTCATCTGCCGCAACAACGGCTACGCCATCTCCACCCCGACGCTAGAACAGTACCGCGGCGACGGTATCGCCAGCCGCGGCGTCGGCTACGGCATCGACACCATCCGCGTCGACGGCAACGACATCTTCGCCGTGCACGAGGCCATGCGCGAGGCCCGCCGCATCGCCCTCACCGACGGCGGCCGCCCCGTGCTCATCGAGGCCATGAGCTACCGTGTCTCGCACCACAGCACGAGCGACGATAGCTTCGCGTACCGCGCCCGCGTCGAGGTCGAGGACTGGAAACGCCGCGACAACCCCATCATCCGCCTGCGGAAGTGGTTGGAGAACGAAGGGCTGTGGAACGAGGATCTCGAGCAGGAGACGCGCGATGCGCTGCGGAAGGCCGTGCTGAAGGAGTTTGGCGACGCCGAGCGCGAGAAGAAACCGCCCATCCGTGCCGCGTTTGAGGGGGTGTATGACGAGGTCACCGAGGAGGCACAGGCGCAGATGAAGGAGCTGCGCCGCATTCTCGAGACGTATCCCGAGGAATACGATCTTCGGGAATACTACGAAGGAATCAAAGGGCTGTAGATTGCTCTCAAAATCGGCGGTCAGGTGTTACTTGCAACATAGAAGAGATACCCCTGCTGGGTGATATGACTTTGATGAACATATTTGATCTTATTGATTTGCTGTGGAGCTGCTACGTCGAGCCCGACACCAGAAGAATATATATCAATGGCATGATGATTTACCACCAAGAGACTAATATCATGACATCCGTTAAAGCATTCAAGTATAATATACAAGTGAAGTTAAAAGAGAGGAAAAAAAAAAAAAGGCCGAAGTCCTAAAAAGCTATGTACTGTACAAGTCATCTGGTAAAAATACATGAAAAGCACGAAAGAAGAAAGAAAAAAAGAAACGTGCGACTTCAGATTATGATCCAACTGTCGCACCAAAGATTCATGGAACAATGACCCAAAGCCTGCAAAAATACCATGCTAGTCTTCGAGAGCGCGTGCCACTTGCAACTTAGACCTCGACAGTCGTCGTCAAAGCCTGCTGCGCAAGCTTCTTATTCCGCTTGAACAAGGCAGCGAGCTTTTTATCGATGGCATCCAGCTCCTTTCGCGATCCCTCCAGTTCCTTTTGAGATTTGAGCGCAAACGAACGGAGCTCCTCATCCGTCATGCCAACCACATCATCCAGGTCAGGGATGGTTCCCATGACCACACCCGCAGCTCCGAGCATGTGTTTGGCAGTAGCAGCTGCAAATGAACGCACAGAGGCAGCCGTCGCGTTGGCCAGCTCGGCAGTGCTTGCAATGGCCCAGTTGTGGCTACGCGTGCTGTCCGCTTCCATGGTGGACAGGACGTTGGGTGGAGCAGAAGATGTGGACGACACGGATGCATCGCCAGCTGCAGTAGATCCAGCATGTGTCGCTGATGAAAGACTGGCAGAGGCCTCATCTACCCAGCAGATGTTGAAGTTTTCAGGCGTGGCAAATAGTGCATCCAGACTGCCGCCGCGGTTGGTCACATCGGGCTCGGTGATAAGCGCGGCCGGGTACTCCTGGAAAGAATCCAGTGCCCATCCGATGCTTTTTTCCAAGGCCAGATACCTATCTTCTTCCTCTGTCGACAGATGATGGAGCACGCATCCACGGGGAGTGATCAAGCATCGATCCTTTAATTGACCGGAGTTGGAGTGTAGCCGCACGGGCTCCCCACGCAGCAGCGCTTTTCGGTGCTCTTCTGTAAGTTCGATGGGCTGCTTCAAATATTCGTAGTCATCGGAAGTGCACCGCATGTCAAAACGTTGACTGAGGTTCGAAGGGTTGAACAAAGGGTGATTGTTCAGATCCAGCTCGCCAGACCTATGAAGCTGAGCCAGTAAAACCTGCAATGGCGACGTTCGCTCCGAAAAGAGATCTTTGATGGGAACCCCGCTGGATTCGGAGTCTTTGATCATCTGCTCCACTGTGTTCTTCGAGCGCCATGCCTCCACTGGCTTCTTCTCGACTACTGGCGGGTTCTCTTCGACTGTGGGCTTGGGCGGCTTTTCCTTTGGCTTGCTTTTCTTTGCCTCATCAGCCTTCCCCTCGGCCTTTTCAGCAGTCGGTTGGACGCTGGCTTGACTGGCTTTGGCAGGTTCAGGAGTATGATCCGTGCCCGTACTCGACGCATCAGTATTTATGGTCGGAGTCTTCTTGGTTTTCCGTTTCCTGCCAAGAATGGGTGCTTGAACTGGCTCTTCCACGACGACTGAGGTGACCTCTTGCTTTTTAGCTTCAGCCTCTTTCGCTTTCTGTCGCCGTTCCTTTTTGAGTTGACTCTTGGTAATAGCCCGCACAGGTGCTGAGCCTATCCGGGAAGAAGCCGGAGGTGAATTGGCACGGGAGGCTGATGCAGAGGTGTAAAAATCGGCTTCGGAGCCTAGGTCACCGGGAGTGTCGGGTCTACTGAGCGACGAAATGCTGGGCCGTCTAGAGCGTGCCTTAACTGCGGCTGGCAAAGACACCGCGGATTGGGAAGCGGAAGCGAGAGGCGGTGTCTCAGTTTTCGGTGTGTCCACCACACGGAGCACTCGAGGTTGACGAGGAGCGGATGCATCAGATGCGCGCGATATTCCCGTCATAGGAGTATTGGGACGCGATCCGACGGCGGAAGTTGGAGGTGGGACATGGTTGAGCGCAGCGATTGGAGCTGCAGAGTCGATCTTTGGAGACAAGGATTCCTGGGGCAGAACCGGTGTCAGATGTAGATCAAGCTTCATCGGTTTAGCCTTTGTAGATGCTTTTTTGTTTGGTTTGCTGTTGTTGTTGATGCTGCTGCCGCCGGCGGCATCTAGTTCTTTCACATTGGGTTTCTTCTCATCAGAATTCGCTGTTAACTCGGCTTTGAACTGCGACCGAGCTTTTTGGGCGGACTTGGGCACGGGTGAACCCAGCGAAATTTCGGAAGCGTTCTTGATTCTGCTTGAGGATGGATTATTTTCTGGAGTTTCTTTGATTTCTGGGGATGGTTGACGGGATTCCCCTATCTCAGAGAAGTTCTGGGATGGTGTTCCGGGCTTGGAAATGGTGACATTGAGTCCAGGAGGCAGCATTGGGACCGTCGGCGACGGGCTGGACGGATTCAACGGGCTGTGAAACAAGGCTGACGCAGGATGAGCGTGAGGCAGAGGAAGACCTGGTGGAAGTGTCGGAGTTCCTGCGCGAGCAGCGCCTTGAGAATCACTGGGAAGGTGAGATCGGAAGAGGAAGCCAAAACTGTCGACAGTACGTTTGTCTTTCAGCGGAGTACCCAGAGGTGGGAAGTCCTCATCCACTAGTCACTCTCCAGTCAGTCTTGTTGAACTTCAATGTATGGGTGAGAGGGCGAATGCTCAAAGAATGGAGAATGGCAAGGCAGGCAATACAAGGAACACAGGCGAAGACCAGCAAGCTCTCCGAAGCAAGGACAGAAGCGAATCAAACAAGATATACGAAGGACAGTGGGCATCATGATTACACAAAAAGGCCCCGGCCGGGTTGACCAGTCAGAGGCAGGGCACCGATGTCTATATGAACAGTGATTGTGAGAATTTGACTTCAGATAGACGGCCCTGCTTCAGTGTACCAAAGTCAAGGGCAGGGAGGTTAACGTACATGGAACCATGGCCAAACCGAGCGGGCCTCACGGCGCTGATAGATCAACCCAGCTTGGATGCAAGAAAAAAAGAAAGAAAGGAAGAAGCACAAGAAACAGAGTACGCGAAGCCACCAAGTCGAAGGGAGTAGAAGAGATGAAATCTTCATGAAAAATGCGACGTAACTCATCCACGCGGACGTTGGCAAAAGGGAACAAGAACATCAGAGAAAAGAAGCCAGAGATAAATGAAGAAGGGAACAGGAAGAACTCCGCCACAGATATAACGCCAAAGGCATTTCGCCCGAACTGCTTGCAATTTTCAGAGCCGTTTGCCCAATGCTTCGTTGGAGAGAGAGAAAGGGAAAATATGGTTGCAGGTTTGAAGATCAAAATCGAGGATTAGAATAGCAGAGGCGCAGGAGAAAACAAGCAAAAATCCATATCAGGCCTGCACTGTATGACTGTGCAAAAAGAACAAATATGATATCATGTCATGTAGAGGAAGAGGGAAGTGGAACGAAAACATAGGCATCATCTGGAAAGGAAACGCAAAAGGGGAGATCATCATAACAACAAGAAGACAGCAGCTGGAGATGCAAGTCGAGGGGGATTGGGGCATGCAACAGAAGGGAGAGATGCAATCACCAGCGGCTAAAGCCGCCTCCATACATCATGGAGTGATTGTACCCACCTTGACCCTGACTCCCATACAGCGCTTGCCCAGCTCCGGCATTCGCACCCACCTGGTGCATTCTCGCCTGCAAGATACTCGGGTCCGCAAGATCTACTACACCGCCTCCACCGGAGGAAGTGTTAGCATGTCTGTGCTTCTTCCCCTTCTTCTTCTGCTTCTGTGGCCCAGCTTCGGAGAAAGTCCCCGGTTGAGGGCCATAGAAAGAGCCGAGAAGGCCATTGGCAGGAGTCAGGGGAGGGGGAGTGTGGTGCTGTTGGAGTAAAGGAAACATGAACTCACGCTTAGCGGCTTCCTGCCCTTGCAATACACTGGTGTTTGTGCCAGTCCGACCACGGAGCAGCTCACGCATCAACTCCGGATTCGCTTCCTGCTTTCCGATATTGCCTCCCAGGCCGAGATTGGCATTCGTGGTAAACCCATGGCCTTGGGCAAACATGCCACCGCCGCTGATGGGGGGAGTGCCTGCGGTCTTGAGCCCGGGTGGTGGGCCCTGCACTCCACTCGTGTAGAAACTGTTGGCAAGCCCATGCTGAGGGGTAGGCGCGGCCAAAGGGTTGGGCGTCCCGGACTGCATCAAACCAGCCTGCTGGCCTAGCATCCTGACGTTGGGAAGGTTTTTCGCACCAGCCTCGTTCGCGAAAGAGAACCGGGAAGACTGACGATTCTGAGCCTGCAGGGCATTGAACTGCGCCATTTGCGATTGCAACAAGCCTTGTCGGACTTGAGTAGCCTGATCAAGTGCAGTTGAAGTGAGACCATTCTGGAGCGGATCTACCAGGCCAGCCTGCTGGTTACTGGCAGATTTGAGCAGCATCAGCTGCTGTTGCTGAAGGGGTGTCAAGCTACGGCTGCCGAGATTGAGGGTCTGGAACTGATGGCTTGTGGCCGACACGGGGGAACCAACAACTGAATTTGTCGTAGTGCCTTGCTGGGACGGTGGCTGAATCGCACCGTGGGATTCCCGGCTTCCTCGACCCCGGATCGGATGAGCATCGTCCGGCTCTCCACCCAATTGCAGGCTTCCGCTTTCGCGACTTTCCTCCTCGGCTGTGACAGTTTGTAATAGCTCCTGTTCTCTTTGCGCGCGCTCTTGTTCCGCTTTCTCCCGCATCGCTCGACGCTTGACGCCGCCGTAGGGATCAATGAACGACGGATGATTTTCTATAAGGGTAGCATCATCTGTGGAGAGATCGGCAGTGGAAAAGATAAATCTGAAATCTGGAGAGTTGACCGCCTTGAGAATGTTTTCGAGGAAAGGAGCCACAGGGTCGGGTGTTGGCAGCGCTGTAGGTTGCGGGGTCGCAGGGCGCGTGTCTGTCGGCACTGGTGTCGGAACTCGCTCCTGCGGGGGCTTTTCGATCTTCTTCACCTCCTCCACAGGCGGCTCCATTGTGGCATGGGCCGGTCGAGGACTCTGAGAGGCTTGACTGCTGCCAGCTAAACTAGCGCGTCTGGTGCGGTGGATAGCACTGTCCTTGTTAGCCCAACTGGCCGACGAGGGAAGAGCGGATCCATCCAGCGGGCGACTGCCAGCAGCATCATCCCTGCTCGGTTGCCGGCGCAGCGGTTGAGAAATAGGTTGAGGAATAGGTTGAGCGGATGATCGAGTGACGTGGGGCGGGAATACATGGCTGGGGCCAGCGACGACACCATTCGGACGCTGACTGGAGAGTGTGTTCATCGAAGAGAGATCCTGCCGACTATAACTATCACCGTCTTCGCCTGTCTCATGAAGGAAGGTACAGTTTCGGTTGTTGCACGGCTCGTTGCGAAGGAAGGAGGAGCAATATTTGGTCGTTCCGTATTGCGCCCTAGGATCGTTTAGTGAGTGAAATGCAGATAGAAAGTGTCCAAGGACATGCTATACCTTAGGACCCGGTCACCATTGGTAGATCCATCCACCGCAGCGATACATGTCGCAGCGTCCGCCTTGGTCGCATATGTAACATAGACACCGATACCCTGGTTGGGGTTGCCACCCGGCTTTGCTTTGCTGACAACGATCTTCTCGATCTCACCATACTGACCGAAATAGTCCCTTCCACGGAGGGTCTGAAGCAGCTGGTTCTCGTCGCGTATTGTGGGGTTAAGACCGATCACATAGACCAGGTTTTTCTGCACGACTCTAACCCCGGCGAGGTTCTTTCGACTGGAAGCTTCGATTTCACGTTTCTCAGCCTCCTTCTTCTTCGCAGCGGCAGCCTTTCGATGTTTCAACGCCAAATCGGCTTTGAACCTAGTGTGGGAAGGAAACCGTTAGTGCCAAGACATGAACATTGAAAAAGTGGAGGCATATGTCCCCATCCCCAAATCACGGGAAGGTGAAACACGTACTCGTCCGCATCAGGCACCTTGTATTGTATAGTGCTCTCGTCATAAACGCGCCTGCAGTTGGGACACCGGCCCTCCTCGCTATGAGTCTTGATATTGTTGTAACAGAACTGACAAATCTATTGAGGCGGACATGGTTAGTCACCGAGATCGCATTTAGAGCCGTCGCAAAAACCACGCCACAGGCACATGAATTTTTTTCCAAAGTGCAATAGAAGTAACCCACCTGATATCCACAAGGGCACGGTTTGAAGTTCTTGTCCGACAGATCAAACTCTTCGATACAGAGTGGGCTAAGGTGAGGAAAAAAAAAAGGACATGTCAGCCCAACGGATGTACAACACTAGTAACTGCACCGAGGCTTCAACTTACCAGAACTCATCGTCGTCATCGATGACAGAGTCTATTTGCTGGCGACTCGACATATTTGCTGTGAATCGCTCTGAGGAACTGTACTGATTAAGATAGATAGATAGATGTGCAAAAGGATACAAACCCCAACACCTATAGGCCGAGACCGCAGAGAGGAAGGGGGGGGTAGATGGTTGGAAGACCCAAGAAAATGCAGAAAAAACCGAAAGGACCCGGTCGCTGAAGGAGAGTAGAGCGACAAGAAAATCGAGAACGACTCTAGACAGGAATGAGACGTGGGGAGGGGGAGGGAAGGAGGGTAATGAAGTTGTATGGAGGCAGGGAGAGGGACTTGCAGAGAGAGTTTGAGGCGAAGAGAAAGAGAGCGAAGGAGCTGCCCGATTGGGTTTGGCGGCGGTTGTGCTGTTTGCACTGTTTGCACTGTTTGCAATTTGTCGCTCTCTGATTATGTCAGATATTAGCTCAGCAGCCACGTGACATCCCGATGCAAGCAACCTCTCAGTCTCTCTTGAGCTCGCCTGGGGATGTCACCGGCTGCTCCAACCGCCCCCTCCAATTCCCCCCCCAATTGTCACTTCCAGATCCCGCCGTTGTCCTCTCCAGGATGGCCTCTGCTCGCTCCTTGCTGCGGTTGGGCACTGGACGCTCGCTGGCTTCAGCCGTGAGATCCTCCCAGACATGCCGTGCCTTTTCTTCGACCGTGCGGTACGCCTCGAAGGCGGCCCCCGAGCCTGAGAACATGCGCCATGCTCAGCGTCCTCGTATGTTCTGTGATGTGTATGGAAGGGGACTGGATCTTAATTGACTGACTTCGTACAGCTGAGGGCCCTCTCCGTGCCCCGGTCATCAACCCCACCGACAAGTACCAGGATAAAGCCGAGGGCCTGCACAAGTACGGCCAATATGTCATGTCCTGCCTGCCTAAATACGTCCAGCAGTTTTCAGTCTGGAAGGACGAGCTCACCATCTACGTCCCTCCGTCTGGAATCATCCCCGTGATGACCTTCCTGAAATACCACACCGCGGCCGAATACACTCAGATCTCCGATATCACGGCTGTCGACTTCCCTACCCGTGACCAGCGCTTCGAGGTCGTCTACAACATGCTTAGTGTGCGGTACAACTCTCGCATCCGTGTCAAGACATACGCCGACGAAGCCAGCCCTGTGCCCAGTGTTACCGGGTTGTTCGAGGGTGCTCTCTGGTACGAGCGTGAGGTCTACGACATGTTCGGTGTCTTCTTCTCCAACCACCCTGACCTGCGGCGTATCATGACCGACTACGGTTTCGACGGCCACCCGCTGCGCAAGGACTTCCCTCTGACCGGTTACACCGAGGTGCGCTACGATGAAGAGAAGAAGCGCATTGTCATCGAGCCTCTCGAGTTGACACAGGCCTTCCGGAACTTCGAGGGAGGCACTGTCGCGTGGGAGCCTGTCGGTCCTGGTAATGACCGGACACCTGACTCGGTATGTTTTCATGTCGATTCTCTTGGTCAGAAGTGGAATCCTAACAACATGTGCAGTTCAAGCTCCCCACCCCCAAGCCGGAGGAGAAGAAGGAGGACGAAAAGAAATAGAGCCCCAGAAATGTATTCGTATTTCCCTTCTAGTCTTGTTCTGTATGTACATACCGCGTATACGTTTCCAGGAATCAGTTCGATCCAAGGTTGTCGCAATATGTGTCTCCGTACGAACCTCCCAGTTACCCTCACACCTATATACACCCACCTAATAGTATTCACAAAGCGACAATTGGCCGCTTCCCATCTACTCCATCAAGAGTATTAATTTCCAAGTCTACTAAGTAGATACATATAATCTCAAGTCCATATCGGATGAAAATTGCCCATCCGCGACTTCGATTGAAACAATATCGAATCCACTTCTTGGCATCCGCAACAGAAGAGAAAAAAAAAAGTTTCCCCAAAAAGCAACGCAACTCAACTCCACATCCAACACCGACCTCCAAACAAAGTGTTTCGACCAATACCTACTTCCAATTCTACTCACCAGTACTTCTAACCGACCAGATGTCGAAACGCAAACTCGCTGACCTCCACGACTTCGACCCCAGAGACCGCACCATCGGCCGATTAAACGCACAATTCGACAATGGCGTCGCCGCCTTATCGCAGGCCCTGAAGACCGCCCGTGTCTTCGAGAGACAGAAGCTCGGTCGCAGAGAGAAGACCGCGCGCAGCGAGAATAAGCGGGATGTACTGGCGCGGCTGGAGGAGGAGATTAAAGTGATCAAGGTGCGTTTGTATTTTATATGCTCAGCGGGATCGACCGATGGAGGTCTGCATAGAAACGGCACGCTAACGCCAAGGGCTATCCCAGACTCTGGACTTCCCAGCCACCGCGCAGAAGTACCTGTTCAAGCAACTGCTCAAGACGAAACGCATTGCCGAGGCGCCGGCATTTGTCAAGTTCAAGGAGCGCAAGAATATCTCGACCGAGGGCCCGCGCAGCACGGCCGAAGCGAACGTCACCGCGCGACTGTACAAATCAAACCCGGTGAAGAATGTGTTTCCGGCGATCATGGATGGGATCAGGAAGATCTTTGGGCTGGAGGATACGCGGGCAGCGTTAAAGGACGCCAAGGACGCAAAGAAGGATGCCGCCCAAGGGACGAGCGAGAACAAAGAAGCAGTGCCAGAGGTAGACGCACAATCCGGCTCAGACTCCGACGCACAGCGCCACAGCAGAGCCACCGCAAAACTAAGCGCCGGCGCCGACGGTGAAGACGCAAGCGACGTTGAAATGGACTACGACAGCGAAGAGTTCGCCGGATTCGATGACCGACTGGCCCCCGGCTCCGGCAGCGAGAGCGAGAGCGAGAGCGACGCCGAAGTCGAAGCCGACAGCGACGATGACGATGATGCCCAAGACAACCCCCACGCACGGCCCTCCTACTCCGACATCTCGATCTCCCGCTCCCCATCTCCCGAACAGGCCTCCCCTCCCTCCAAAAAGGCCAAGAAGGGTGCTGCCGCCGCCGCCGCTGCACCCACCAGCACGACCTTCCTCCCCTCGCTCACGATGGGCGGGTACTTCTCCGGCTCCGAGTCCGAACCCGAGGAGAACGAGAGTGCGGAGCCGCCCCGGCGCAAAAACAGAATGGGCCAGCAGGCGCGGCGCGCGCTGTGGGAGAAGAAGTACGGCAGCGGCGCGAACCATCTCAAGAAGCAGAACGAGAAGGACAGGAGGAATAGGGACAGCGGCTGGGACGTGCGCCGGGGCGCGACGGATGGTTCAGAGCGACCGAGGGGAGCGCGTCTGGCTGGACGAGGGACGGATTCGTTTCGACCGAGGGACAAGTTCTCCGGGGACCGGCCGCAGCGTGGCCCGGCTGGTGCACCTAAGAAGAACGCCAACGATGATAAGCCGATGCATCCTTCCTGGGAGGCGGCCAGGAAGGCCAAGGAGCAGAAGTCGATGGCTTCATTCCAGGGAAAGAAGGTGGTCTTCGATTAATCTACATAGCTTTCTTCTTTTCGTTTCTTACTGAGTATACCTTATGTCAGAAGTTCTGGAGTTATGGGATGTCTATATAAGCCATTGATATGTACATATATAGGTTATCTTGCAACCACTGAAAAGTAGCGGACCACACCCGCCATATGGCAGCAAAATGAAGATAACTCGCCAGCTGAGTATATGCAAACTCGGATCATTCTAATTCTATTACTCTGTCATGAATTGCATCCATCTTGTGTCCGGCGCGCAACCAGGCGGCTTCATATCATTTCCAAGTCCCTGCTGGGTCTCAGTCTCAAAGCAAGGAAGGGCAGTGAATTCGCCCAGTTCCTGCGGAAAGTTGGACACGAAGTGATCGAATCCAAGCGGCGGCATCTGGGAGAACGCATGAGGCGCAGAAAACTCCGACGAGCCGGCAATGTCCGAGATAGCCACATCCCCCTCGATGGAGTCGTTGCCAGCCTCGGTACCCGCCATCGGGGTGACAGGCACGGGAGGAAGTCCTGTTCCAGGGCCGGCCGGGGTAAATGGCTCCTGGAACGGGCCAGCGGTGCCTGGGGAGATCGGCCCGGTCTTCCAGAGCATTTCCCAGTTCTTGAAGCGGTCGTAGGCGGATTCCACCGCCCCGGCATTACTCTGGGCCTGTGTCTCGCTCCAGTCTTCGAGGCGGCGAATGGCCCGCTCAAGTGCCTCGATCACGCTCACGGCGGACCTGGCGGAACCCACGCCCATTGACATGATTTTGATCAGGGCCATTCCTTTTTCGAGCGCCTCGCGTAGTCGTTCTGTGCGCTTGGTCAAGCTCTGGGCAAGGATCACCAAGAGCGCAGCGCGGCACGAGCTGAACTCGGTGAAAGAGGCTCGCGCAAGGCCCGTTTCATCACGGAGCAGCCGACAGAGATCAACAATCTCGAGCGCGGCTTCGACACAGTCTGACACCAGCGTAGACCAATTCTTAGAAAGACCTGACGTTGTTTTGACCGGCGGGCCTAGGAACATGGCTGGGTTGGTTGACTTCATGTTGCTGAACAGGAAGGGCCGGCCGATGAAAATCCTGGTCAGACAGTAATCCAGTTTCAGATGAACGTTCGAACGAAACAGAGGGCCGGCAGGGTTCAAGTCTCTACAGTCAGTTGTTTCTGGTAGACTAGTCCACCAATCAAGCAGGTGCTTTCGTAGGCTCAGGAGCCTTTCGAGACAGTCCAGTTGTTGGCCCTTTCGAGATTTGCGCAACACAGATCTAGTTCATGTCAGTACTGATTGATGCCAGTGACCGAAGATGGATATACATACATCTCATTGGCGACTTCGCCTAATTTCAAAGTCAGTGTGATCAGTGTCACCATGTTAGTATGGTTGGAAACATGGCCCGTCGGCATTAAACCAGGGAAATCGATCGGCATCGCGGCATCAACATCCGCATCTGATAACGAGACAGGCCTTCCGTGGAGGATACTGACACGCCTGTTGACAGTTAGCCCTTTGCCCCTTTCGAAAGGAAATGGATTCGCCTACTTCTCAATGGTGTACGCCGTCCAGAAGACCCGATTGCGGACCTCGACCATTCGCGGAGCGAGCCCCTCGCCTTCATATTTCCGATGCATGCCATTCTGGATGGCCATCTTCAGCGCTAAGCCAAGGTACGTATAGCAGAGTCCGGATGTGTCCAGAGGTAATAGATATGTCCCGATGAGCAAACAGGCCTGAACGCTCCGAACAGAGGCAGTGGCAATGATGTCGGGAAGCAATTTCGAGGCAAACTGATAGAACGTGAGACCGACTTCATCCTCCGAAAAGTGGTGGTCGTCATTTATCGACAAGTTGACATTCAATCGGTTCACGGGGGTCGCAGACTCCATGTGAGCAAATTGAGTCCCCACGGCCAGGACCATCAGGATAGAACATACCGAGCCAGCATCGTCGGACGAGAGGCTCGATGAATTCGTATAGCATGTGTTGAGCTTGTCGCGCAGCCAGTCTTCTTCCACGTAGAAGTTATTGGTCTGCGCATACTTGAAAAAGATTTGGACCAAAAAGTCCGCTACATAGCGAGGCGGCAAGCAAGTAATTGACGCTGAGATCATAGAAGAACCCGATTGCAGCTGTGTTGCCCTCCACTTCTCCTCGAAGGGCTCTGTTTCAGTAGATGCCTGTAGACTACTGTCAGCAAAATACCACCTCGAAAACAGCCGCCGTACATACCTCGGGCGCTGCAGTCTTCATCCACTCGTCAATCTTCTTCCGAATTTTCATGGAAAAGTTCAAGTAAGAAAACTCCCCAGAATATTCTACACCCAGTCAGCATCCCGCGAAGCCCGCCTCACGACACGACCACAGCGAGGGAGACACATACGGGTCGTATTATCAGGCATAGCCTTGATCATGAAGTCCTCATCCTCGATCGCAAGGTCTTCCAGATCCTCGCCATCGACGCGCGTCGAAGAAAAATCCGATGCCAAGCCGCGGTGCTTACTCTTCAGCTCCTCGGCCGCCTTTCGCAGCGACGGGATATCAAAGGAGATGTTAGGCACATAATGCTCTAAGATGCGTTCCATGAGCCGGACACGCTCCGCATCGGCCAAATCATGCCGAGTCAGACCGGCCGTGCGCTCCAGCAGGCTAGATAGTAGTTAGCCACCACCCCACGATAAGCCTCTTGACCAGCAATTTGACACCAACATGGGGGATATGTTTCATCTTGTTGTCTTAAGGAGCAGACTTACGAGACAGACGAGGAGCGAGCGATTCTCTCGGCATGATCAGGGTGCGTGAACACACACTGTCGCCGATAGCGTAGACAGCGCCGACAGGGGACTCCCCCCTCGCATTTCTCCTTGACTCTGCGACATCCGTCACATCTAGACAATGTTAATCATCTATATGGTTTAAAAAAAAACCGGCATGCAAGATACTAGGCGGGGAAATGGATCATATCCCCCCGTTTTATCTAGACATCCAAAGGGGGAACATACGCTCTCACGGCTCTTTTGCGGTTTTCCTCTGAAACGCGGGGACGTTTCGACTGTCCCTGGGATGCCGGGGTTGAGCCATCCATTGGCGATCTTTGCATCCAGATAGATCAAGGAGGATGATGGATGAGCATCATGAGTCAAGTCACTAGAAGGCGTAATATTATCTGGACAGGACCGATTTATAAGAATCCCGGCCGCTCTGAGTGAAGAGTCACGCGGATGCTTTTTTGTTGGAGACGAATAAGCTGGGCGGTGAGAATCCCCACAGAGAAAAAGTGGGCAAAAATACAACCCATTCCACCGCCTTCTGATTTAGTTTTCCATGAATATCGATGCTCTACTCTGTATAGCTTCCATCCACTGATGGACCACCTACGGGAAGGAGTAGAAGGCAACAAAGTCAACCCCGTAAACCCTCAGAACCCATCCACACTCATCCCCAAACCTAGCTCTCTCCCAATATCCAATAACTTCTTCCCAATCACCAAATCCATAATCCCCATCCCCACACACTTGAACATCACATTACACCCCTCAGGCACCACAATGGCCTCCGACCTCCCCAGCCGCCCATACAACTCTCCAATCTCCACCAACTGCTCCCCCTGCACCTGCGCAGTGATCAGTTCCCCAGACTCCTCCAGACAAGCCTCTCGCGAATCCACGTAGATCTTGCCCCCGCCCGAGAGGACAGTCTGCGTATCCACCTCCCGCATGTGCGGTTTATACGAGCCGATGAGCGAGAAGAACCGCCGTCTCGGGGCGGCAGTCAGATACGCGTACGGGAAGTTCGGCTCCGTAGACGGCGTGCAGCTGAAGACGGCGTCGCATGCCGCAAGCGCTGCGCGCAGCGTCTCCTCATACGCCGGGTTCTCCTCCTTGACGAGCGTGTGGAGCTCAATGTCTGGATACGAAGCGCGTAGGTCTGCGATAACGCTGCGCTCCATCTCCGCTAGCCTGCTTCGCCCGCGGTTGACGAAGGTGATGCGCCGGATGTGCTTGGGCTCGAGGAGCAGCGCGAGCCGCGCGTGCCACTCTGCCTGGCGGCCGGAGCCGAAGATCACGATGTTGTGCTTCGTGAGGGCCGTGCAGCGGGTGAACAGCGTCATGGTTGCGAGGGCGGTGCGGAAGGCTGTGACTTCTGCGGCGCTGAGGAGGCCGAGCAGCCGGCCCTCCGGCGAGAAGATGTTGATCACGCCGACGATGCCTTGGCGCTGGGAGGCTGTGACGATCTTGATGCCCGTGCTGGCTGTGTTTGACACGGGCATGAAGAGGGAGAGATTCTGGTCCTTGGTGGTGATGGTGGTGCGGAGCGGTTGGTGGATGAGTCGGTCTGCGTCTGGGCGGGAGGATTCCGCTGAGACGGTCACTAGGGACTCGCTCAAGGCGTCCAGTAGGTCATGGCATTGTTCTTTTGAGAGATTTCGCAGAATGCGGGAGACATCTGGTTCGGAGAGGAGATGCATCTTTGGGTGCTTATAACGTCTTCTTGTGATGGAGGATGCGGGGTGGCTTTGGGGATGATCAGTCACTTCAAGATAAGAGTAGTAAATGTAATAAAATATAAAGCTGCATATATCAGTGGTAACTACCTTTGTTTTATACTCATATCTCTCGTTTCCTCAGCCACCCACTGATAGTCGGCGATGTCGGAGGTGGAGGGGCTATAGCTGCACAGCCGGGAGGGAAATCTGAATATGCAGTCCGGTCTTAAGCGAAGAAATCGATGATATGGATTCATTCAAGCATCTATTGCAGGCCATATGAGCAAAATACATACTGCTACATTCACACGATATCATTCCAGACAAGATATATAATTCATAATGTATAAAGGAAGATACTAATATCTAAGAAATATACAGAATTCCAACATTTCTCATCACATGGATGTGCGGCATCTAAGCACCAGGAGATAATGGAACCATTGGGGGCTGACATCTAAACCATGACTCTTGGTGAGTATACCTGCGACGATGGCCAAATGGTGATTCCACTCCTGGGGACTCTTATCAGTGCTCAAGTACCAATCTGTTGCTCGCTGCAGGTATTTCTCGGCGAGGACGGTCAGTGCTAGATGGAAGATTGGCACCTCAATACTTGGCGGCAGCAGGTGAGAAGCGCGCTGGAGCACCTTGCTGGCAATATCCCAGTCCGTCAGGATGAGAGCATGCTTCCACGATTGCCACCAGTCGTCGTGGCAGGCGATTATTGGGTCCAGTGTGTAATTAGCGTGAAGAATGGCCTTTCCAAGTTTGATCCCCATCCTGGGATTGTTGCGGACGGCAGCATATACCGGAAAATCTCCCTTGGCATCAGGGATCCAGGGGTCTGCTCCATGGCTAAGGAGAAAGGCAAGCACATCGTGGACCTCATCGACAAGCTGCCGTTTCTCCATCAGAAGCATCAAAGGAGTTTTCCCGTCGGCGTTGAGATGATTGACATCTACCTTCCTCTTTACTAATCCCCCGATCAGTTCTGACATCGAAGGGCTATAATTCCAAGCACCCACGAAGCTTATCAGCTCGTGCAGGTAAGTGTCGCGTTTGATGCTGACTTTGGTCACATCGAGCTTCTGACATATCAGAGCCGCAAGCGACAGATCACAATTCTTCCACGTGTGGCGGGTACGATAGCAGTAGTCCAAGAAATATTTCAGCAGCCGTTGGGATGTCGGCCCAGTTGGGATGTCTGCATCCGCGCCGTGGCATAAGAAATCCCTGAATAATGAATTGGAAGAAGTGTCTCCCTCGATCCACGCATTGTCCGATCTCTCAAGGAAGCGCTCAAACAGAGAGTTTCTCGCTTCTGCAGTGAGGCCAACTGACCTTACAACCAACATTTTGTCGACATGACGTGCATGATTCCAGCTCATGGTAGGCGAGATGAAATCCACAGCCTTCTGGACTGGGCTAATGCCGAGCTTGTTAGGAGTGTAAGGGTTTGCACCGGCCTTCAGCAAGAGAGTGAGAATACTTTCGTCATGCTCATACTGTAAGCTGTCCGGTGAAATGGCCAAATGGAGAGGGGTGTCACCGTTTTCATCTTGATAACACAGTGTTGAATGGACATGCCTAGGGTTGACCAGGGGTTCCGCATCTTTTTCGTAATAGCCCAGAAGAAGTTTGGCGATTTTATTGCTCCGGTGATGAAGAGCATAATGCAGCGGCAGATTACCGTGTATGTCTCCGACGTCAATCGGCGCTCTTTGGAGAAGCCAATCTTTCACCTGTTCTTCATCTTCATGAATGACAGCATCGTGAAGGCTTGTAGCGCCAATGCCGACTTGCCGAGTGATGAAGAGCCCCGCATAGTCATGACCATATGCAGCAAGGTCTCCTCCGGCGACAGATTGCCCTCCGGATGGCTCGACTATAGGATCAACGTGGTATAAGTCGGCCGTACTAGACAGGAGAAAGGAAGGCTGGTTCGTCTGTGTGTATCTGTGAAGCAGCAATAAGTATAGGTTTGAGAGACAAGCCACAGAAGAGACCCCAGTATGAACGCTCTTACTCGGGACTCGAGGTATCGCTAACAGGTGATAACGGAGCATCTTCACTCTCGGCAGGACGGCGAGTGTCCGGTTCCACCGTTTGGTTCTCTGCCAATCCTGGCGAGGTGTTGCTGCGAGTCCGGCCCCGTCTGCTTTTTCGGAATCCCCAGCGCGCAAGGTAGTATTTGTAGGAGCGTTCTCTACCTCACGAATGAGCCATCCAAGTGCTCAACCCTTCGAAAGCTTTCGTTGCGGAACACTTACGATTTGTAGAAGTCGCGCCTCTCCATTTCCCGTCTTGTCCGGGCGAGGCTCAACCCTTGTACCAGGTACAGCTGCCTGATTTCCTCTTTCTTATCCTTCCAAACTGGGGCCATGATGGAAAGAAAAGAGGTCGAAGAAAGCAAGGCAGCACGACAGACAACAGGATGATCGTCAAGCACCCACGCAAGCAAAATAGCGGATTGAACTTGGATCTGTTGCGTTTTTCTCGGCGATGACTGCGGGTATAGAACTGGAGAGGGAACCTGCGACAAGCATGATGAATATATAAACCACAAGAAAGATGAGCACCGCTCGATGACCTCAGGGGAAGAGCCGCCGAATTTATCAGGCACTTTCGTCTCAGTGTCAGATTGTTCACCGACGGGATTGCTACCTGGAAAGCTTGAAGGGCAAGCGGACAGCCTGATCTCTGCATCAAGTTTTCCTGATTCGTTCCATTCCTATTTCCCATTTTTTTATTATTATTATTATTTTTTTTTTTTGGCTCGTTTCTTCCGGAACTCTCTTTTTGTTGGGCTGAGCATTGTCAGGAAGATCACCCGTGTCGTCGGACATCCATCTCCCATCATCAAACCGAGCCACGATCCGAACATGCCAGAAGTACTGCCGGGGAAGCAGGAAAACTGTTCCAGTCGACGATAATAATGCACGAACTATCGGGCGTTAGATGGAATTTCTTTTTGGGTCGGCAGCAGAACAAGCCCCCCCGTAGGTACCAGATGATCCAGATCATGCAGCCGGCCTGGAATCAGGCTCCGGGGGAGGCGGATATCCCAAAGAAATGCTGTGCGAAGGTACGACTCGTACGAGCCTTGAGCCTTGACTCGAGCGGTGTATGCATGTCGGGTGCTCCCCGGGATGGAGATGAACAAAGGTACGATGTCAACAATAATGCAGGAGATGAGAGCGGAAGCACAGTAGTCGAGAGGGCAAAGAGAACTAACTAGTGAGCAAGGATGATCGAAGTGCAAATGAGCGATAATGCGCTGGCAAGGGTACAAGACACTTCTCAATTCCACAGAAGGGCAATTTCCACCAGTCCAAAATCCATACTGCACCTTGCCCTTTTCTTTTTTTTCCCTTTCTTTTCTGTTTGCTTTTGCTTTTGCTTTTCTTTTTCTTCTTCTCTTCTCTTTCTCTTCTGGGCGATCGATCGTACCTTGCCTTTATCCGATGCCACTGTGCCAGCCCTGCAGCATTCACTAAGTGACAACCCCCCTGAGCACGGGCGCTTCCAGGGGCACTCTAGAACTGGTGGTTTCAAAAGAACCCGAAAGTAAAAGCACGAGACAAAAGTACGTAGGTACTTTTTATATTCTGAAAAAAACAAAAGTCGTTATCATTAATGGAGGGATCAGGCTGATGCTAAAACCGCTAACGCCATCGAAATGCATTGCCGCCAACAACAGGAACACTGGAGATTGACGCAAGAAACCAAAATGCAAAATGGGAAAGATGATTATCCAACCCAAGCCACGAAGCAATCAAGAGGCAAATGAAAGAGAAAAGGAAATTAGTTGCTGAGGCGGAAAGCCTTGCGAGCCCTCCGCTTGAGCTCGTCAAACATAGCTTCCTGGGATTGTTTCGTGCGTGCAACCGCCTCGGTGTTTTCGACGGCGCGTCTCAACAAGAATCCCATGCACTCCTTGACGGAGCCCCAGGTGAGGAGCTTGTACACATTGGGGGATTCGACAAACGAGTTCTTGACGCCTGATTCGGGGGCCGGGAAACCTTGCAGGAGTTCACAGCTGACCTCATCCGCCATACCCTGGAGCTGAGCGTAGGAAAGATCAACGCCTTTGTCCTCGGCACGGCTCGCCTGCTGGAGACGAAGAGCATGTGCCTTCTGGACGGATTCGCGGTTGTGCGTGGCGATGATGACATTGACGGGAGGGAGCTCCGTCTTGTGCTGCTCGGATGCGGACTTGAGCATGGAATTGTACCGTCTGGTCAGTAGGGCTTCCACCACACCGTCATAGCATGCATCGGTCTCCTCCTTTTCGGCCCAGATCAAGTGACGAGGCTCGGTCTTCAGGTAGGCCCCACGGACCAACTTGACGCCGAGGGTGTAGCCCTCCTGGCGCGACATCTCCAGGTGCTTGGCGAGAGTGGCCGGGGTCGAACGCAGGTAGGCCTGATAGGTGTTGTAGAAGATGGCGCGGCCGGGGGTCTGGGAGTTGCAGTATTTTTGATATTTCATGGTCCAGTTCTCAATGCCGGGCTGCACGGCCTGCTCCTCGGCGTCGACCAGCAGACGAACATTGCGAGAGATAGCCAGATCACAAACCTTCTGGATGGCGCTGTCCATGAAGGGAGAGGGAGCGGCTTGTTGCTGCAGAATACTGAGTGCCTGGGTACCCATACCGGTGAATCTATCACCCAAGGTTAGTTGATCGTTGGGAAACCCGGCCGGATCATCGGAGAAACATACTTCAAGGCAACAAAGTCCCCTTCCTGGGCCATATCGACGGTCTGAAGGGTACCATCCAACCACATCTGGACTTCTTCCCGAGCGGCGGTCTCATCGAGAGGATCGACATTGCTCTCTCCAACCAGGACCTCCTTCGCATAACCCAGCAGCACCCCTCTGTAACCCAGGCTCTTGATTGCGCGAATGGACTGTTGGACCTCCAGCTTGTTCTCACCCGCGTTGAACTGCTTATAGATTGTATGTTTCACGAGAGCATTCAGTAAGGGATTCTTGGCCACATCGAGCAGAACGGTCTTGGGATGAGCGAGCACCGAGAGGGTGTAGATACATGGCTTCAGCAGAAGAGAAGAAGAGGAAACCGAGAGAATCATCAAGGACCGCAAAACGGCGGAAAGAGGGAGCTTTGCGAGCGGGGAGTCGGCATCCTTCTTCTTGGGGGACGGGGATGTCTGGTGCAACAGGCTGCTGGCCGAGGTTGCTGTGATGGATGATTTGGCGTTGCTGGTCCCGCTGACATATCGGCGGATGGGGGAGGCCTTGGGGCTACCAGAGAGGGCCCGCAAAGGGCGGCGGGTCGCCATCATTGTTTGATAGGGGGGGGAAGAATGGTCGAAGGAGTGTGGTGATTGAGGGAAGATGGAGGAGAAACAGAATTCAGGTCAGGGTAGAATGTAATAATGAAGAATCAGGATGTCAGGTGCAATTTAGTAGTAGGATGGGTGAATTGCAATGCCAGGGAATTTTCTAGATAAAGAAAGACATTCATTGTTACTTGATAGGAGACTGGCGAGAGGAGTCGCCAGTACTCCGTCAGGTAGTAGTTACTAGTAGTAAGTACCCGGTGGAAACCGCCTTTGGGAGCCGGGTATCTACTCCGTAGATCTGACTAGTTGACTAGTTGCACATAACTTAGGTATTATTATTATTATTATGGAGTATGTATTACACGGATGATCCATCCCAGACAAGAAATGATCTCGATAAGATCGACCACCTCCACAGTACTCTAGCGTACGGAGTACATCCTGGATCAACTTACCACGCCTACGGGACATCATCCTCATCTATCTGGTAGAGTGTAGACTACTTCGATAGATAGTTCCATACAATGATGGACGACTCATGTCCTGCCACAACATTCCAGACGATGTCAGTGCTTGGTGGCCAACCCTCGATAAGCCAATATTTTGTACTTACATACACAGTAGTACTACCTTAGTAGGTACTACTACGTAGAAGGTCAACGATGGGCCAATGGCTGAGGCCCGGGTCACGGGCCGGCCACAGTGTCTCCACCAACCAGACGCCGTTGACCGGGCCGGTACATGTCACGGGATAGAATAGCTATCTTGACTCTTGAGAGAGACCAGTTACAACTTACAACTTACACTATAACACAAGCATTCCCTTCTGACCTCATCCTGATCCTGCCAGCGAGATCGATCTCGAATCTTCTCATCGCCTGACTTGTGTGCCACATGTTGGTGTTCTGGTTGTGGCCGGTGATACCCGGTGTTAGCCTTACCGCCAGCGATTGATCTGAGTCTGACAGGAATAGGATTAGACTCCGTAAGACACTACTACTAGTCTAGGTACTACATATTTGATATAGCTGGCCCACGCAGCCAATGATGGCTGAGAGATGTACAAACTGATGGAATAAGCTTTCATATCTAGACTTAGAGTAGGTTTTCCAAATGAACAGCCTTTTTTGGTATCCTGATCATTATTGCAGTGGATAACTTGTTCCAACCAGGATGTTGATCCGATATATCCCAGGAATTTTCTAATCCCAGTCAGATCCTGGGGATAGGACCTATCTTCTCTCTCAAGAGCCTAGGGAACGAAAGAGCAACCAGTTGTAGCCTAAGGTGAATGGTCTATTGTCACACTTCTACCTGTTGTACCATGGCAATACGGAGCAGGTATTATGTACTATATACACAGTACGTAGTATGTACTGTATCCCCACCATCAATAAGGTATCGATGAATTCCCATCCGTCAGCCTGTGGCCTGAGATTGACTAACTACAGAGGATAAGCATAGATCTCAATTCTAATACTTATAATTATACAAGTGAAAATGGAATCTGAAAAGATACCTTAGGATAATGAAATCAGTCGTACCGGCGTAAATACAAGATTCCGGCCCGGTTCACAGCGTCGGGTGTCCGGTTGGTCCCACCCGGAGCTGGTACCGGACCATACAGAGTACACCACCCGGCTCAATAGATTTTGCTAGCTGTGGGTACCAGGTAATGGTAATACCGTTACCTCTGACCAGTGTTCTTCCAGTGCTCCACGCCACCAGCAACTGATGCAACTGTTCGTTTGTTCGTTTGTGAGGGGGAATAAAAAGTACCGATCCCATATCGAATGGATTCAAGGACAACAGGGTAAAAATCAAAGGGTCCCATACGGTACGGTATTCTCTTCACCGCTGACTAACCCCGGCGTTGGAGTCGTCTGCCCATCCCTCGCTTTAAAAGTGTAGTAGTTTGGAGCTTTCCCCGCGTCCCTTTCGCTCCTCTCTCCTCTCTACCTGTAAGATATCCTGTGGTCTGGTTCATTGTGGTATCAGGAGAATCAAGAGAACCAAGAGAACCAAGAGAACCAAGAGAACCAAGAGAACCAAGAGAATCAACAGATCCAAGATGCAGTCCTCATTGCTTCCTCGCGTGAGAGCGCAGCCGTTCAAATGCCGTTCTCTTACATCCACCCTGGTCCGTAGCAGGGCCATGGGCTCCTATGCGACGTTCAAGGTGCCTCGCATTGACAACGAACCCAACGTACGTTTGGCCGAGCGTTTCCATACCATATTGCAAAGCATTGATATCAAAGCAGAAACATTATGCCCCTGGTTCGCCCGACCGCAAAGCTCTCGAAGAAGCCCTGGCCAAGGCCAAGCAGGATGCTCCTCTTAACGTACCACTTGTCATTGCGGGCAAAGAGGTGCGTATGGGGCCCCAATTGGTCGTTCTCAATCTACGGGATCCAGTCTCTAACACTGCGCAGATCAAGTCCTCGCAGACTTTCACCCAGCCCAGCCCCGCCTCCCATGCGCCCGTAGCCACCTACGCCAACGCCACCACCGCCGACGTTGAAGCAGCCATCAAGGCGGCCCTCGAGGCTCGCGAGTCGTGGGCCTCCACCTCCTTTGCGGATCGTGCGAGCGTCTTCCTCAAGGCCGCAGATCTGATCTCGACCAAGTACCGCTACGACATCATGGCCTTGACCATGCAGGGACAGGGAAAGAATGCCTGGCAGGCCGAGATCGATGCTGCGGCCGAGCTGTGCGATTTCTTCCGCTTCGGCGTCAAGTATGCCGAGGAGATGTACGCCCAACAACCGGTTCACAATGCCCCGGGAGTTTGGAAGTAAGTCTCTGCATTTGGTTCTGGCGGGGGAAAAAAAGAGACATCGCTAACTTCTCCAGCCGCGTCGAGTACCGTCCTTTGGAAGGCTTCGTCTACGCCATCAGCCCCTTCAACTTCACTGCCATCGGCGGAAACCTGGCGGGTGCCCCTGCCCTGATGGGCAACGTGGTGGTCTGGAAGCCATCCCCCGCCGCCATTGCGTCCAACTGGCTGGTCCACCAGATCCTTCTGGAAGCTGGTCTTCCCAAGAACGTCATTCAGTTCGTCCCCGGAGACGCCGAAGAAGTCACCAACACCGTCCTAAACCACCGCGAGTTCGCTGCTCTGCACTTCACCGGTAGCACCAGCGTCTTCCGCTCCCTGTACGGCAAGATCGCTTCCGGAGTCGCCGAGGGCAAGTACCGCAGCTATCCCCGCATCATTGGCGAGACCGGTGGGAAGAACTTCCATCTGATCCACAAGTCCGCCGACGTTCGCAACGCGGCTGTGCAGACCGTCCGCGGTGCCTTTGAGTTCCAGGGCCAGAAGTGCAGCGCCACCTCCCGCGCATACGTCGCATCCTCCCTTGCCGACCAGTTCTTCGAGCAGATCGCCACCGAGACCAAGAAGCTCAAGGTCGGCGAGCCCTCCGACTTTACCAACTTCTGCGGCCCCGTCATCCACGAGGCCTCCTTCAACAAACTCGCCCAGGTCATCGAGGACGCCAAGAACGACCCCGAACTCGAGCTCCTGGCCGGCGGCACCTACGACTCCTCCAAGGGCTGGTACATCCAGCCCACCATCTACCGCACCTCCAACCCGGACCATCCCCTCCTCTCGCGCGAGTTGTTCGGCCCCATCCTCGTCGTGCACCCCTACAACGACGCCGACTTCACCCAGATCTGCGAGAAGATCGACCAGACCGGCGAGTACGCCCTGACCGGCTCCATCTTCGCCCAGGACCGTGAAGCCGTCCGGGTGGCCGAGAACGCCCTCCGCAACACCGCCGGCAACTTCTACATCAACTGCAAGAGCACCGGTGCCGTTGTCGGCCAGCAGCCCTTCGGCGGTGCCCGTGCCAGCGGCACCAACGATAAGGCCGGCAGTGGGAACTTGCTCTCGCGCTTTGTCAGCCTGCGCTCCATCAAGGAGGAGTTTGTGCCGACGTACAACGTGGCGTATCCCAGCAATGCCTGAGCGGTGTAGGGCTGGAACAGATTTGGACTTTTTTGAAGTTTATGACAACTGCTGACTTTTTATTCCCCCATCTGTTTGATGCATTCCCAGTTTTTTTTTTTTGTTTTCCCTTGCATGTCCCTGGCGTTTTCTTTTGGCATGGTGTGTATGACCAAAAAATCTTTCTATCGTATAGTTAAAACGATGTGAATATATATTCTATTAACTTTTTACTTTATTTCTCCTTCGAAAAAAGCATCTATTGAGTCGCACAGTTCTTCAAAAGCTTCTGCATGCGCTCCATCGCTTGCTTCGCATACGGAATGATATCGTACTTCTTGCCCTTCCCCTGACTCCCAGAGTCGAAGATCTCCATGGAAAACCAGCCCCGGAACCCCGTCTTGAGTACCGCCCGCGCCACCTCCTCGATCGGCAGGTATCCGCCGTCATACGGCATGGGGCGGAAGTCATGGCTCCATCGGGCGCGCGGCCGCAGGCCCCAAAGGATTTTATCCTCGATCGGCCGGGTGGGCTTGTACGCGTCCGAGATCTGGAGCAGGTAGATTTTCTCCGGGGGGATGCTGCGCGCCAGCTCGTCCATGCTGGCGGCGAAGCGCCGGTTGAGCTCCTCGCGGTCGAGTTCCTGGCGGTCGACGGTCTCGATCCGGCCGGAGACCGTGGTCGGGTCGCCCCATTCGGAGCCGGCGGTTTGGAACGTATCCAGGCACAGGCCGACGTTGGGGCGGTCGACTTCCTTGACGATCTCCCAAGCGGCTTTCCAGGTGGGCGCGTGCGTGGACCAGCACCAGTTCTCGTAGGCGAGGCGCATGTTGCGTTTGGCGAGGAGGTCGGCTAGCTCGCGGAGGTCGGCCACGATGTCGGCGCGTTGGGTCGAGATCTTCTCCGCAGGCGTGTCTGTGGAGCCGACCTGGATTTTGACGATCCTGGGTGAGCTTGCAACGCTTAAGAGAGACAGGGATAGGAATTGGGACGTACATGTAGCAAATCCGTTCCGACGACGTTCATGATCTCAATCCACCCATTGGCCCTGGTGAAGGCGTCTTCGCGATCCACCGACCCGCGTGGCCACCCCTCAAAGTTCGCAAACGGTTGCAGCATCATCACTTTCAACCCACTGGCGCCGCACAACTTGCGGATCTCACCTGCCACCGGAATCAGCTCCGCGAAGTTCTCTGAGGCGACCTGGTGGTCCAGCACTCGCGATCCATAGTCGATGATGTCCGGGAATGACAGCTCGATGGCCGTGAAGCCGGCTTTACTGATAGCTTCGAGCTTTCGGGGAAGGGTGTCGGCATTGCTACTCCCAATGGAGCAGGAAGCGTACGCCAGAGGGATATTGCGGAATGAATCGTAGGTGAGTGATGAAGCTGAGGCGATCATGGTGCAAGGATATTGAGGAGTAAGACTTATGGGCCAAGTATCGATTTTCTAGTTTGAACTGAATCTCTAGTCAAAATGATCAAGTCGTATATCTGTAACTCCTGCAGTAAGACTTGCTGCACAGAATAATTTCAAAGAGGAAATAACTGAAGCTATGGCTGGAATCCGGTTGTTGACATGTGCCTGGATTTGATGCTGTCCGGAGGCGATGATGTAACCATGAGATTCAGCATCACCAATGACTATTGTGAGGGCAACTTCACTTTTACGCATGGGTTGTGAGCGCCGGCGGAGTCACGTTCCGACACAGCAACAGATAGAGAATCGGAATTCCAGCTCCGTTAAAATGAACGGTAAAGGGAAAAACTGCTGGGCCACTGCTACTGTCAGCATCGCGACACGACGTCTCGGCTCTCCGTGATGTAATTCAGGCGTACTCCCTCTGGCCTCCAGAGGCCAGACGAGCTCACCGATTGCCACTGACATGGTTGTTCAAGAAGCGATCGCATCGGTTTATTATTTGTAGGTTTTCTTCCGGGGCGTCGAGTTCCGTAGATTTTCTCTGCTGTTCCCCAATCACTGTTGTATAGAGATCGATTAACTGGAAGATACCATGAACCACTAAGATGGCATCAGCAGAAGACCCCGTTCGAACATTCAAGCGCATCGGCCTCGTCGGCGCCGGAAATATGGGCTCGATGATGACCTTTGCCTTCTCCGAGCTCGGCCTCGACGTTTCTGTATGGGATGTAAGTAGGGAGAATGTCGATTCGGTAATGAAGTTCGCCCACGGCGCCAAACATCTCAAAGGTAAAATCCGAGGATTTTATGATATTAATGAGTTTGTCAAAAGTCTGGACGGAGCCGAGCGAAAGTTGTTTATGTTCTCCATCACACATGGCCACCCGGCGGACTCAGTATTGCAGATGATCAAACCTGATCTGAAAGCCGGCGATATCATCCTTGACGGGGGAAATGAAAACTACCGACGGACAGAAAGAAGACAGAAGGAATGCGCGGAGATTGGAGTAAGCTGGATTGGAATGGGGGTTTCTGGAGGCTACCAGTCCGCACGACATGGGCCCAGCCTGTCGCCTGGTGGAGATGCGGAAACACTGAAGCTCGTTCTCCCTTTGCTAGAGCTTTATTCCGCCAAAGACCCCAAGACAGGAAAGCCATGCGTCACACGAGTCGGCCCAGGTGGCTCAGGACACTATGTGAAGATGGTCCACAACGGCATCGAGGGAGGCATGCTCTCAACACTTGCTGAGGCGTGGTCCATGCTACATCACGGATTGGGCCTCAACTATGACGAGATTGGCGACATTTTCGCCAAATGGAACCAAGACGGCGAGCTTAAGAATAACTTCCTCCTTAAGATCGGTGCGAATATTCTGCACCGGAAGAGAACCCCTCAAGGCGACTATCATGGCGAAGGAGCCAATAGAGATGGCGGCTATGTTTTGGATGATGTTCTCGACAAGGTGGTGCAGGATGACGACGGTACCGAAGGAACACCGTTCTGGTCGATCATCGACACCGCTGAACGCCATGTTTCAGCCCCTACCCTTGCAGCGGCTCATTATCTGCGCGTTGCAAGTGGAAACCGTGCGGAAAGAGTGCGAGTTGCAAAGAAACTTCACATGCCGAGCCCCAAACCCATTGAGACCATCAAAGATCGCAGCGCGTGCATCGACAATCTGCGACGAGCAGTTTACTGCTCCTTCCTAGCCTCGTTTTGTCAAGGACTAGAACTGATCGCTCGAGCTTCCGAGGACGAAGGATGGGACATTGATCTTGGTAGATGCCTTCAGATTTGGCGCGGAGGTTGCATTGTGCAGTCCGAAGCCATCGCAGATCTTCTCCAGCCTTGCCTGACATCCAACAAGCGACTAACAAACATGAAGTTTGTGGACGAAGTCGCTCGGGAATTGCACAAGAACTTTGACCCTTTGAAGGAGATCGTCACTGAAGGGATCATATCCGACCAGTACATGCCGGCGATGTCCGCTACGTTAGAATACTTGAAGTATGAAGGAGGAACAATGCTTCCAACCAAGTTCATGGAGGCTCAGATGGACTACTTCGGAGCGCATGCGTACCACAAGCCCAATATTCCGGGCGAAGATCCTGGTCTGGTGAAGAAGGGACCTCATCATTACGAGTGGTGCCCGGCTTGAGGTTGCAATCGACGCTGTTAGTGGCAGGAACAGGATTGTCATACTACATAATTTGTGAACTGTCAATAGGGGGATCAATGCATGTCATTTTAGAGCTTCTTGACTCATTTCTGACGAATCGGGATGAAGCCAAGCTTATGGACTGTGGTCGAACGTAGTCAATCATGGATGATGGATGAAGCACTGTAGGACCTTTCAGGCTGTAGATAGTGAAAAGTAACCCGAGGCATTAAATTCCATCGATCTGGCCCTACAGGCTGTTTCCCGGTCATAAAGAAATCACTTTGAATGCTTCTTGATAGGTCTCGTGTGTGGTTCAGGATGATTTCTGATGATGGATAGACATGGAGTTGTACTCCGTAGAAGTGAAAGTGATTGACTTTTGGATGGAGTACTTTGTTCCTGGATGCCTTGGTGCCTGATGTCTTGGTGCCTGAGGATCCACGTGGGGGTTCCGATAAGCGGCTTACCCAATCTGGATCTCAACCCCGCCAACGGGTCAGAAGTTTTTCGGCGTCAAGAGAATTATCAGGCTTGACGAATCTCCTGCTCTCGGGTTCTGTTGAATGCTCAGGATCTCTTCTCTTTGTCGACATCTATCTACTCCCACTTCGAGACCTTTCCGGAGAATTGAGTCTGCAAAGCAGCTAGCAAAGAGAATGGCTGCTCTTCCTAATACCTACGACGGTAAGTTGCTATTGATGGAATGTCCTTGAGCAGTCGTTGATCCGTTTTCTTGGACATAGAGCCCGTCCGTATCGCCGTCATTGGTGGTACTGGTCTTCGTGAGCTTCCTGGCTTCACCCAGGTTGCGTCGCTGTCGGTCACCACCCCCTGGGGCAACCCCTCCTCCCCGATCACCATCCTGCACCACCAGTGCTCCCACAACAACAAGACCGTCGCTGTCGCCTTCCTGAGCCGGCACGGCGCTCACCACCAGATTGCGCCCCATGAGGTTCCGGCCCGCGCCAACATTGCTGCCCTGCGCTCCATCGGTGTCCGTACCATCATTGCTTTCTCTGCTGTCGGCAGCTTGCAAGAAGAGATCAAGCCCCGTGATTTTGTTATCCCCGATCAGGTCATCGATCGTACCAAGGGTGTCCGCCCATGGACCTTCTTTGAAGGAGGTGTGGTTGCGCATGTTCCTTTCGGAGATCCCTTCGACGAGGGTATCGCCAAGGTTGTTAGAGCTTGCGGACACAGCCTGGAGGGCGAGGGTGTTGTTCTGCACGACCGGGGAACTCTGATCTGCATGGGTATGTTGATTGTGCACCTCGTCCGCGTCCAAATAGTAGTCTTTCTCAAGAAATTCAGGCTAATCATCTAATGACAAATTTAGAGGGCCCCCAATTCTCCACTCGTGCTGAGAGCAACCTATACCGTTCCTGGGGAGGCAGCGTCATCAACATGTCCTGCTTGCCTGAGGCTAAGCTGGCTCGTGAAGCTGAGATTGCCTACCAGATGATCTGCATGTCTACTGACTATGACTGCTGGCATGAGGCGACAGCCGACGTCACTGTCGAGATGGTCATGGGTCACATGAAGGCCAACGCCCAAAACGCCAGACATTTCGTCACTGCCGTCCTTGATGCTTTGGCCAGCGACGAGAACTCTGAGCTTGTTCAGGCGAAGCATGTTGCAGGATCCATCAAATTTGGTCTGAGCACGGCTCAGGCCAACTGGAGCCCTGAAGCCCGCGAGAAGCTGGAATGGCTCTTCCCCGGATACTGGAACTAGATTTTCTGATCTTCTTGGTGATGGACGAATTGCTTGAACATAATTATGTGCATAGATCTACTGCCTCGCATCGATGTCCATACTGGTTATGAAGTTATGAATATATACTGATTCAATTGTGTGAAGGTTGCAAGCCATAAGGATCTATCTGGCCGAGTCACCGTATACAAATTACACGTAAGATTCGGACTTCCTTCATCTGGAGGATACAACTAGGGGAGGATTCAGGCGGGGTCACGTTGCTTCTCAAGGTCTATTCCAACGACTAGTCACCTTGGATTGTTGGGTTTGTATTGGCGGAGTGTCTCTCATGGATAACAACTAATAAGCTGATTGCCCATCTCTGGAGAGTAAGTTAGACTACTGTTGTTCTAATGGCTATGACGCGCGCACTATTAATCCAACCTATGACCTTGAAGGGGCAGAATATATCGAGAATACTGTTCCAGTCTGCACAAATACATAATGATACAAATTCCGGGTCGCGGATCCTGCTCTTTTCCGTGCATTCCCCATCACGATATATCGCGCGGAAGGCAATACTTGGCCTCGGGATTACTCCGTACAGACGTCAAAATTGTTCAATGGCCTTGGGGCATTCCCCCATGCTGTATGCTCCTTTGGTCCAACACATCTCCAACGTCACCGGCTTTGCTGCTTCAAGATGTACAAAATCCACATCTATATACTTCCGTCTCAAAGAACTATACCAGCGGAGTCTTGGCAATCCAATCCGCCGAGCACGTGGGCTATGGTTCCTTCGTGCCAAGGCAGCCAAGCACGGGTGCGTTCAGCCAAAAGTAAAGCTTCAGTTTTACGCATGCTTGGGCTGCTCTCTGCGATTTGTCGCTTGGATATTGAGTGTGTCAAGTTTTGATTGATATCTTGGGTCCCGCCTATCTCTTGTGATGGGTCTTTGGGGTTCTCAATCTCGCTTAGGGGATGTTATGCTCTTGGGTGCTGTCGGCGGTCTCCATGCCAGTGATTGTTCGTTGTTCAAGCTCCCCGGCGCGGGGGGGGGGGGGAAGTTGTAGATGAAAATGACGGACAGCTTCTTTGACAGACCTTGCCAGGATGAGGTCTATAAATCGCCTTTCTTCCAGCATGCTCCGTTCTGTTTCTGTCTAACATTCTCTAGCTTTGCTCGAGCAACATGTGGTACTCCTTGTCCCTTCTCCTGTTGTCCGCCTCGACAGCTACGGCGTCGTATGCGGGTAACCTCAACTACCGCAGCCCCTCCTTCAACCATCCTGAGCTGGGAGTCTCTGTCCGTAAGGTTGCGAAGCGAAGCGACCCAGCCTCGGCCTTTGACCCCGAGAAGCTGAGCTTTACTCACGGTGTGGCATCCGGTGATCCATACGCTGACTCTGTCATCTTGTGGACACGTTGTTCTCCCACCTTCGACGATGTCCATGACAACAGCACCACGTCTGGCCTCGTGCCCTTGTATAACCCTGTGCCCATCTATTCGGGCAAAAAGAACAAGCCGGTTTCTAATGCTCCTGTCTGTTTGAACTACAAGGTTGCGCGTGATGAGGGCATGAAGAAGGTTGTCTCGGAGGGGACGGCGTTCACCAGTTCGGATATCGACTATACTGTCAAGGTGGGTGATGCGCCGTCGTTGTCGGTTGAACGCGGAAGTTAACACACGGTTAGGTCGAGGCAACCAAACTGAAGCCATTTACCACTTACTACTACCAGTTCAATGTCTGCAATTCGAACAAGAAGAGCCCTGTTGGACGCACCAAGACTGCTCCTGCGCCCAAGGACAAGGTCGATAACATCAATCTGGCTGTGTTCTCTTGCAGCAACTACCGTATGTCTTTTCTTGTATTTGACTAGACCAAATTGCTGATCAGTATCTAGCATTCGGATTCTTCAATGGTTACGGTAACCCTGTCCGAAAAGACTCTGTCGATTACGTTCTGCACCTAGGGTAATAACCACCTCGGATACAAAAAATGATTGTGCGGCAGGCTGACTTGGAAATAGCGACTATATCTACGAGTACAAGAACGGCGATTAGTATGAACTTGCAACACCCATCGTGTACCAAATCAAGACTAACTCCTTATTGCGCAGTGGCTGGGGAGACAGTATCGGACGCATCTCTCAACCGGATAAATCAATCTTCACGCTTTATGATTATCGCAAGCGCTTGGCCACCTATAGAACCGATCTGGATCTGCAGGCAAGCCACCAGAGCTTCGCCTGGATTCCAGTTTGGGACGATCATGGTTTGTGGACTCGAATATCAATCAGTTCATGCACTAACAAGAGCAGAGGTGTCTGACAATACCTACCGGGACGGATCTTCCAAGCTCCATAATGAGGAGGACTCCTTCCTAACACACGGCGGAGTATCCGTGGACCAGCGCAAGATGAATGCCGTGCGCGCTTATTTTGAGTGGATGCCTATCAGGTAGGTCATGGCTATGCATATAAATGTTTTACCCCCGGTAGCTGATCTTGCGCAGACAAGTCGATATGGACGACAACCTTCGTATTTGGAGGAACTTCCAGCTTGGTTCCCTGGTTGACCTGATCATGCTGGACACCAGACAGTATGACCGCTCGATCACTGACACATACGATAATACAGACTATATCTACCAGATCGCGGACGATGCTAGTCGGACTTTGATGGGCAGCCGGCAGGAGAACTGGTTCTACCGCAACCTCATTGACTCATCCAAGAGGGGAGCCCACTGGCGCATCATCGGTAGTCAAATTGGTACGAGATTGGATCCCTTCTACATGATGATCAACTAACAAGCTGCTAGTCTTCTCTCGGCTCAACCAGTCGATTGCCAATCCCGAACACCACCTGAATGCCGATGCCTGGGATGGCTATCTGGCCAACAAAAACCGCACTCTCCAGACGCTGTATGACAACCAGATTGGCAACAATATCATGATTGCCGGGGACTCTCATGCCAACTGGGTGAGTGACGTGGCTTGGCTCGATAATAAGCCCTACGACTCTAAGACCGGAGCCGGTGCTATTGGTGTCGAGTTCGCGGGAACCGCTCTCACGTCGCCGTCCCCTTACGGACAGAACATTTCCATTGCCGATGCCAACAAGGCGTCAAAGTCTCTGGTCGCAAACAATGAGGAGCTTCAGTGGTCCGAGTTATATTACCGCGGTTACTTTGAGCTTCACATCACTCCCCAGGAGGTGGAAGCCCGCTTCTTCGGTCTTCCCAACATCAAGGAGCGCAACGGCGGTGAGATCTCGCTTGCCAATTTCACTGTCAAGAGCGGCGATAATCGACTAGAGCGCAACTCCAACGGTATGGTGGCCGGAGGCTCCGTGGTCAATGGATGGCTCAAGAATGGGCGGGTGGTCCCGACTAATCAGACCTACGATACCACTACCGGTGCTTACACAGTACTATGAGTATGCGTACTGAACTGACAGGTCGATCAAATGGATGCATTATGTTTTTATGTGGATGAGGTGGATAATTGATGCTGTATATATTAACCGATTGGCGGACTTTGTCATTTGGAATTCCTGGCACATCACAAAGCACACGAAGAAGCGAAGAAGCGATAGTCCGATTGGAGTAGCGCTTCTAAGAATAACTAATCTACGATACTGGTTCTGGAGAATGTTGCGATCCTCTCTATCTATCAGACTGAGTCACTGACAGTGTGGCTAGCGATCCGCAGAGAATACCCCTGAATATCATCTGCAGACACAGACAGCTTGATGGGGAATTTCGAGGGGAAATGATCATCCAGCCCAAGACTAATGTCTCAAGCGAGCACACTTGGAACTCTTGCTCGACGTTTAAACCATGAAAAACGATGCTCGTCTCACTCGAATTGTGGTCGTAAAGAGTTCATGATCAGCTCAAGGATTTTTCACGTTTCAACCTTCAAGACATGTGGAATGAAGGGGAATTCGTCCCCCATTGCCCATCCTCTTCTTGCGCACCATGCAAGAAATGCAACCGAGCGTCCCATGATCGATAACTGGGAACCATCCCTGCTTCGTCGTCCGTAATCGTCAACCGACTAGACTGCAACTGGCATCGCTTCGAGACAAACTGAACTCCGTCGTCTTGGCCATCGACGCCAGACCGTCATTAATCAGTATCCTCCAGTGAGCTGCATCGAATGCGAGGCACGATCGTGCTTCTTCACCGGATTAGACACTGCAGATGGGGAAGGGGATGTGGGCACATGCTGGATATGATTCTTGAGGAAATGAACAGGTCGCAAATAGGGAAATGCTCCGATGTGCCGATGTCGATGACCTGTCCACGATGCCTGGATGAACATGGTATCCCTGGCAAGCTGAGTCGTGGAGGGTACATCTCCCTTCCCCCTCTTTGCTCTGACCTAGGACGAAATGATATATCTAGTCCAGTCTACTCCGCATCTTCACTGGGGTCCTCATCTTGGTTTCGATCGCTCTTTCGACTGACAGCTTGGGGTTCTAATTGTCCAACTACTTGCTCTTGTTTTAGGACCTAATACACTGGTGGAATCGATCAAGCCAACCATGCCCGGGTTTGCAACTTACCTGGCTCTTGGGTCGATTGTCCCATGGGCGCTGTCATCGCCTACACCAGGGTCGGCAACACATTCCATAGATTTGCAGCCACGAGACTCAGGAGATGGATACTTTTCTCCGCCATACTATCCAGCCCCCAATGGAGGATGACTCGCGGACTGGGCCGAGGCCTACCAAAAGGCGCAACGGGTTGTGAGCAACATGACCCTGGCGGAGAAAGTAAACCTAACCACCGGTACGGGGATCTTCATGGGCCCCTGCGCTGGCCAGACCGGCAGTGCGCTACGCTTCGGGATCCCCAGTCTCTGCCTCCATGATTCGCCTCTGGGAGTGCGGAACTCCGACCACAACACGGCGTTTCCGGCCGGAATCACTGTCGGCGCCACCTTTGACAAGGACCTCATGTACGAGCGTGGTGTTGGAATGGGTGAAGAGTTTCGCGGGAAGGGAGTCAATGTCCTCTTGGGGCCATCGGTTGGTCCTATGGGGCGTAAACCCAGAGGTGGTCGCAACTGGGAGGGATTCGGTGCGGACCCGAGCCTTCAAGCAATTGGCGGTGCGCAAACGATCAAGGGGATCCAGAGCCGGGGTGTCATTGCCACGATCAAGCATTACATTGCCAACGAGCAGGAAATGCATCGCATGAGTAGCATCGTGACCAAAGGCTACTCGTCCAACATCGACGATAGGACTCTGCACGAGCTCTATCTGTGGCCCTTTGCGGAGGGTGTGCGAGCTGGCGTGGGCTCTGTCATGGCGGCATACAATGACGTGAGTGACCCCTGCGTTGCAAGCCCGTCGAATCACTAACAGATCTGTAGGTCAACAGTTCAGCCTGTAGCCAGAACAGCAAGCTTCTGAACGAGATCCTGAAGGATGAGCTGGGTTTCCAGGGATTCGTCATGACCGACTGGCTGGGCCAATATGGTGGAGTCTCCTCAGCTCTAGCCGGCCTGGATATGGCTATGCCCGGAGACGGTGCTGTACCACTGTTTGGCGATGCTTACTGGGGCTATGAGCTCTCTCGCTCGGTTCTCAATGGTTCTGTCCCAGTGTCACGGCTAAATGACATGGTAGGAGCACCTTTGATAGGTCATTTGCTTCTTGACTAACAAATGGATACAGGTCACTAGAATCGTTGCAACCTGGTACAAATTTGGCCAGGATAAAAATTACCCGCTGCCCAACTTCTCAATGAACACCCAGGATGCGAAAGGGCCATTGTATCCAGGTGCTCTATTTTCCCCATCGGGGGTCGTCAATCAATACGTCGACGTTCAAGGAGACCATCATGTCACCGCAAGGGCTATTGCAAGGGACGCCATTACCCTGCTGAAGAATGAAGACAATATCCTACCTCTGCAAGGGAACGACTCTTTGAAAGTGTTTGGAAGTGATGTCGGCGGGAATCCTGGAGGCCTCAACTCTTGTAACGATCAGGGATGCAACAAAGGGGTGTTGACTATGGGATGGGGGAGTGGAACGTCTAGACTTCCCTACCTGGTCACGCCACAAGATGCCATTGCCAACATCTCCTCCGCGACTGAATTCTATATCACCGACAATTTTCCTTCGACGGTCTCGGTGAGCCCTTCAGATATCGCTGTTGTGTTCATCAATGCCGATTCAGGAGAACTACATCACCGTCGAAGGTAACCCAGGTGACCGAACGACAGCCGGCCTCAAGGCGTGGCACAACGGCGACGATCTCGTCAAGGAAGCTGCGGCTAAGTTCTCCCAGGTGGTTGTGGTCGTGCACACCGTGGGACCCCTCATCATGGAGGAATGGATCGATTTGCCATCGGTCAAGGCCGTCCTCGTCGCTCATCTTCCTGGCCAGGAGGCCGGCAACTCACTGACTGATATCCTTTTTGGCGCATACAGCCCCAGCGGCCATCTACCATACACCATCCCCAGTAGTGAATCGGATTACCCGTCCAGCGTGGATCTAATCTCACAGCCCTTCGGCCAGATCCAGGACACCTACACCGAAGGACTATACATCGACTACCGCCACTTCATCAAGGCCAACATCAGACCGCGATATCCGTTCGGCCACGGACTCTCGTATACCACGTTCAGCTTCTCGCTGCCCACAGTGACACCGGGGACTGCGCTTGAAAGCGCGTATCCACCGACCCGGCCCTCCAAAGGCACGACCCCAACATACGCAAACACCGCCCCCGATCCATCGGAAGTAGCCTGGCCAAAGCACTTCGACCGCATCTGGCGCTATCTCTACCCATACCTCAATAACCCCGAGGGCGCCGCGAAGAATTCGAGCAGCAAGTACCCTTATCCAGACGGCTACACAACTGAACCAAAGCCCGCCCCACGCGCTGGTGGCGCGGAAGGAGGCAACCCTGCCCTCTGGGACGTCGCTTTTACTGTCAGCGTGACGGTCACGAATACCGGCAAGCGTCCTGGCCGTGCGGTGGCTCAGCTCTACGCGGAATTGCCAGAGAGCTTGGGGGTAGAGACGCCGTCGCGGCAGCTGCGACAGTTTGGGAAGACGAAGACTCTGGCGCCTGGCGCCAGCGAGACTCTTCGGTTGGGGATTACTCGAAAGGACCTCAGTGTATGGGACACGGTGGTGCAGGATTGGAAGGCGCCTGTGAACGGGGAAGGGGTCAAGATCTGGATTGGCGAAAGTGTGCTGGATATGCATGGGATGTGCGAGATGGGTGGGGGATGCACTGCTATATAATACATCCTGTACATGTTGAGCTGCTTGTACATATGTCACTATCTAACTAATCATTATTGTTCATTGTTCCGAAATCTTATAGCAGCGAGCATAATAATTATACCAAAGGTCATAGCACAGCTGACTAATGCATGACCATCACTATTGTGCGTTCTGAACAGTCGACAACTCCATGCTATCACCATCATCCCTCGACCATCACCGGTCACGAGTTCGACCGGTGCCTCTACAAAGAGAACTCTCGCAACTGCGATGTAAGATACTCTCTGAGAGAGCAAAGGACATCCAAACTCCAAAATGCAGGGCTTCAGTACGTACCTTCCCCCCGGCGCCTCCGCGGGGAGCCCCAAAACTAACGCCTTACAACAGACATGGGACGGTTCGTGCACCCCGCACACTCTCCCCTCCGATCTCACCTAATTCAAACTTCAGATATGTCCCGCCGGACCAAGAGGGCCTCACGACAGGCAACAAGCTCGCCGGCAAACACCCACTGGGCGCGCGCGCGCGACACCTCCGCACAACCGGTGCACTCATCGTCCGCTTCGAGATGCCGTTCGCGGTGTGGTGCACGACATGCAAGCCGCACGAGACGCTAATCGGGCAGGGCGTGCGCTTCAACGCGGAGAAGAAAAAAGTCGGGAACTACCACTCGACTCCGGTGTACAGCTTCCGCATGCGCCACCCGCCGTGCGGCGGCTGGATCGAGATCCGCACCGACCCGCAGAACACGGCGTATGTGGTGGCAGAGGGGGGCAGGAAGCGGGATACCGGGGACGAGGGTGGGGCGGGGGAGCTTGTGCTGAGGGGTGTTGGCGCCGGAGCAGGCGCGCGGGAGGAGGATCCGTTTGCGCGGCTGGAGGGGAAGGTGGAAGATAAGCGGCGGGCGGAGACGGAGAGGTCGCGGATTGAGGATCTGGCCCGGCGGCAGGCGCGCGACTGGGAGGATCCGTATGAGCGGTCGCGGCGGCTGCGGCGCACGTTCCGAGCAGAGCGCAAGGTGCTGGAGAGTGCGGAGGCGAAGCGGGAGGCGCTGCGCGAGAAGATGAGTTTGGGGATTGAGTTGGTGGACGAGACGGAGGAGGATCGTGCGCGGGCTGGGATGGTGGATTTCGGCGCCGCGGAGGATACGGCGCGGGCGGTGGCTCGCAATCGCCCGTTGTTCGAGTCAGCGGTGCCTATGCCGTCGTCGTCGTCGTCTGCAGCTCGATCGGGGAAAAAGGATTCGAAACGGGTCAAGGCAGCGGACGCGCTGGCAGACCGCAAGGCGCAGTTTCGTAGCGCACTGACGGGGAATACCCGGGCTGCAGTGGATCCGTTTCTGGTGCACGATGGAAGCGCATGGCGGCCGGACGTGAAGAGGCGGAAAACGGCGTCGAGTAAAGTCGCGGATGGCGCGAGGGAGCCTGAGCAGGTGGGCGCAGATGTCGATGGTCAAGCTTCTCTAGCCTCGGATGAACGTCCGGTCGAGGTTCGCCCACCTGCCGCAACTGCCTTGGTCAACTATGGGTCTGACTCCGATTAATTCTCGGCTGCCTGATTATTATGGTTATGTATACATTACTACGGCGTTCTGATTATATGATACCCGGTGGAGTCTGGTTAATGAGCATGGATTATATTTTGATTTGAGTGTTCATAAGAGTTTCGTGAACGGGTATTGTAGCAGGACACATGTGAACGATGTACGACCAAGGCGATTTGCGACTATTTCGCCCAGGGAGCCTTTGTGGTATGACTCGGGTCACCAGCGGGAGCCGGCCCTGCTGAGGCTGACCCTGCCCAAGGGGCTCTGGTAGGGGCCATCGGCCCCGGGGGCAACCGAGACGTATCAGGAAGGGCCGAGGAAGTCGGTCCTCCCGAGAGTCCTCCGTCTCTTCTTGTTGCCCATGGTGCGGCGGTTCCTACGCCACCCGGCGGTGCAGCCCGGGTGCCAGATGCCCAAGGCGCCCTCGTTCCGGATTGAGGTGGCTGTTCCGTGATTGGGGCACCAGATTCCCTCTGTGACCGAGGTGCTGACGTTGTATGGACTGACATCGGTGGTGGGACGGCATTTGGATCTCGGTCCCAGCTGAAGAGAGAACCGAATGGGAAGTGCTGAACCACGGGGAATTTGGAGAGGACCTCTGCATTATACATCTTGATCATACCCTAGAGCCGGACGTTAGTGGTAGTTTTCGGGGTGGGCGAAGAGCAACCAACCTTGTTGATTTTGGCCCAGCCCGCTGGGATACCGGAGATATCGTACAGCATAGGGCTGTGTTCCCAGAACGGCCCCTTCTTGACATCATAGATGAAGCCGATAGCAGAGAAATATAGGTTCGATCTCCTCTCTCGTTCGACAATGTTCGCCTTGGTGACGCTGTTAGGCGCCGGAGCATCTGGTAGAGAGCCTTCTTCGGGAGTCAGGTCGGATTCCGAGACGGCTGGGGCCAGTTGCGCGGATCCAAAGATGTACGGGATGAAAGAGTGGTCATCAAGACCCCAAACACCGTGGGATCCAGCCGGTTCAAGCGTGTAGCGCTTGATGATGGTTCGGACCAGTTCGAGATACCTAGAGTAGAGTCAGTTTTAGCCCGTCGTGGGGTATCGCTGTACACACGGTTGTATCACGCCCAAGACAAGAGCTCTCTCCTCCACTCCTGGCGTGCTCTGCGGGAACCCATTGAGCTTCCATATCGCAGCGAGAAAAGCGAGGAAGCTCAGCTCATGTCCCGTCCCATAGTCCAGCCTTTGAGGACTCCCCCAGCTGCCCAGAAAGTATGCCTTCAGCTCCTCCTCTGCCGTCACGCCGTTCGAATCCACCGACTTGGTCTGTAATAGTTTGGACGAGAGACACTCCTCCAGTAGCTCCGAGGCGCGAGCCTCCACGAGCTCGTGCCACCTGCGGAAGCTTATATTCCCAAACCTACGAGGACCTGTGTCAGGAGGTGCCTCTTCGAGAAGCTCCTCTAGCTTGATCAGCAGCTGTTGTAGCTGCCGTATGGGTGCGGAGAACTCGACGGCGTCCGTGTTGATGGGCCAGGTTTGAATGGTGCCATCAGGCAGTTTTGCGGGAAACATGGCTCGATTCAGCTGAAGGAGGAAGGTCATAATGTCGACATAGGCTTTGGACACGAGGAATTCGGAGACATCTTGCGACTCGTTGATTCTTTTGATGGGAGTGATGAAGTTGTGCCCCGCGGAGGGGTCGAGGGTCGGGAGAACGCGCAGAGGAAACCCATCTGCCATTGTGAAGGGATGGATAGGATATTTAAAAATGTTTGAAATGCATAACTAGATAGATAATAGCAATAGATGGAATCGAAAAGGGAGAATGTGGTTGTTGTTGTTGTTGTCGTTGTTGTTGTTGAGTTATTCGCCTCGGATGTCCCGATTTCATGACGATGATGTCGATCAGCCTGACAACAGAGAATGAGCAGATCCCAAAGTTCTCCGCCAAAAAAAACGGGACGAGTCTACAACAACATGACATCCATCACCATCGAAACAACGTCCTTCTCTTCCCTACGACTTCTCTCCGGAATTACCTGAATTATTTGTGCAATAGATGGCCAGGCAAAATGAGTTCTGCGCGGAAGAACAAGCGGAACTCGACCATCCAATCCGTCGATCACATCAATAGTCTTATGGACACGAGCAGAAGCAAGCCACGCATTCGTCGTCTGCCTTCTCAGCCCATCAACCGATTCCGGTCCCGAACGCCTCAAGTCTTGCGAAGCGATGGTCTTCAGGAGATTCCGTCTTCATCCCCGGCGAAAACGCGACCGTCATCCCGACGCGTACCCCAGACCGACATTATCTCTCCACGGCGCTCTGGACGTATTCGAAAACATTTTCAAGCTGAATGGACCCCTAGTCGACGATCGCGGCGCTTAGCCCATGTCAGAGAGGAGGGCGAGGTGCAAAGAGGGCAGCATGAGGATAGGGATGACGACGACGATGATGATGATTCTGGGGATGAGGAAGAACTGGATGAGGGCATTGACAAGCACCTGTCCAGAAGGCTAATCGAAACAAGAGTAGCAGACATGACGGAGGTTGACAGACCAGGGGAGTCGGATGAAGAGAGGAGCAGTCAAACAGGCGACATTCCCTTCAGACTTCCCTCCCCTCCAAACATAAACGATGAAGCATCTTTAATGAACGAGGAGCAAGACCGGCGGCTCGATAAGCCAGAGGTGATCATCAATACAAGAGCAAGTGAGGAATTAGAGGATAGTCACGGCCCGGAGTCAATTACAGCGGTCGAAACTACACGGGAGGTCGAATCCCCAAGATGGAATATTACAGCGCCAGGCACACGAAGGCACACACTCGCAGCTCAAGGCGTAAACCAGGATTATTGGACATTGAGAACGAAACGGCAGACCAGAAGTTCGCCATTCGAACAGGCTATTCGATCCACCGACCGGAAGAGTTCGAACACCGAGTCAGAGTATCGTGCTACTGGAAGTGACAACTCATCGGAATCCGAATATCTAGTCGAGGAAGAGGCAGAATCGGATGCCTATTCAGAGGTACAATCAGAGTTGGGGTCAGAACAAGATTCGATACCAGAGTCGGTACCAGCGACGGTACCACAGGCAGAGACCGAACCGAACTCCCTCCGTCCGACTCGTCCTGTTGAAAAAGAACTTGCTGCCAAAACGTCGGCATCCAAGAGATACCATACTAGTGAATATGAGCAAATTTCTCAAGAGAGGGTCGTGCGTCGACGGTCGACACCGATTTCCGTCCACTCAGATCCATCAGTATCGGATAGAGAGCAGGAGCGCAGAACCCGCCGACGCTCGAAAGATAGAGCGCCTATCGAACTCATCAATACTGCCACGAACGAAAGAGAAGCAGGGGACAATGTGAGCAGTGTGGAGGAGAACGCTGGTGACAAGTCATGGTTCGTTGAGGCGTCAAATCTTGGAGATCAAAAGGACAATTGGGACACTCTCGTCGCAGAAGCCAAAAAGCTGAAAGAACATGACCAGCTCCCTTGCGCTGAGGAATTTCTGGAAATGAAGAAGTATCTGTCTCAGTTACGCACGAGATACACCAAGATCATCAAGGAGCTGAAATCTCAGCGTGGGCCTCTCCGGGAGAATCTACGCGAGTGCGAAGGTCTTCGGGATGCCATCTCCAAGGAGGGACTGAAGCTTCTCGACAACGTCTATTACCTTGCGATCCGACGCAAAGAGTCATATCAATTGCTGAAAAAATCGGAGGAGTTGGTCGAGGGGTTTGAAGTGCATGTGCTCCCTGCGCTGATTAAGATGATCCTTCTTTGCTTCGAGGCGTACTACACCAACCGGAAACTCTTCCCTTCGTCGCTCCGACACCTGGTTGGGGCAATGAAACTACTCCTACAGTTTTGCGACCGGGTGGTCAGCCTGCGCGACGAGCGTTATGTGACCTGCGAAATCCGTAGCCGGACCATCCGCAAAGCACTTATGAGGTTAATGGAAGCGCTCGATGCCGACTTGTTACAGCCGCGTCGTGACGATGGCCATCCTGCTGCAGTTAGCCCCCGCCGGAACTGGAGTGAGGATGAAAAGGCGGCTCTGATTGACGGACTGAAGCTGTATCAGGGTGAGTTGATCTGAGTGGTGCTCTGTCCTCCAGATATTGATGCATGGATTGATTGTTTGATGCGATAGGCGAGGACCGGTACATGCGACTAGTGTGTCATTTTGGACAGCAACTCCGCCACCGGACGCTACAGGAGCTACAGATCAAAGCCCGCGAAATCCATGATCGGTTAATCCCTCGCATTCAAGAGGATCTTTTGACGGTTGAAGGCCGTCGACTCTGGCAATGGCTGTTGAGTGTGCGATGAGTGGGCTAAGAGAGAACTTTGGCTGATGAGGATTTTATTTTATTTTTATTTTTTTTCTCTGCATCTTTGATATATCAGGCGCGCATCTGTTTTCAGTATACCCCTATTTGTTTTGAATTTCTTGCATCTCCAGAGGATCGATCTGATCAACCATGGATCGAGCACGGATGAAGACAGAGAGAGAGAGAGAGAAAGGCGCGTCAACAAACAAACAACGCGAGCCATGATACCAGTCCAGAGCTTCTGGATGGCGGATTGTAGGAAAGGGAAGTTGTCTGTATCTAGTCCTCGATCCCTATCATCGTAATAATAGTAGACTTGACTATTCTCCTTGACTAGAAAGACTAAAGAAAGTACTCTGTAGTCTGTACAGTGACTGTTGATCAGCGTTCGTCTCTCCGCCTTTTCCCCCCTCGGTGTTTCTCTCTCTCTCTCTCTCTCTCTCTCTCTCCTCTCTCCTACTCCTACTCCTACTACAGTACTAACTAGCTACACCTTACTCTGTACTTCTGTCATTGCTGCATGTCTCCCCTTTTCTCTTTAGCTTCTTCTTGCACTTCCTCTTCCCCTAGACTTATTATCTCTTTAATCCCGATTCCCTTCCATTGATCGTGTCTCTTTGAGCACCACCCGGTCATTGCGGGAGTGATTTGTTGTCCCGCCAATTGATCCCCCCCCTATAAAAAGCTACTACTGCTCCCGTTCACCTCCAATTGTGGTCCAACAGCCACAGAAACACACTAAAAAAAAGGGCGTCCTCCCTCCTGTTGGCCACTTGACTCAGTTGGTATCCCGCATTGGCTGCAGACAGACTTTCCATCGGTTTGTGATCTGGTGAGTTGTCCTCCCGAAGGTGATCTTCTTCTCCCCATCTCCCTCTGCTCTCTGCCTTTCCATCCCCATCTTTCCTTCCTCCCACTTAACAACTCTCCTGGGACAAGGGGAAAGCAGTCCGTTCCTCGTATCGCAGCTGCCTCTACGGAGCACCTGCAGCTCACTCGAATAGTGCTAGTTGTTGTGAGCTGTCACGGTCGGCGCGAGCTGCTTCTGCAACTCTAATTGCCTGTATTGTTGCGCTGTCAGTGGTTTGCTCCGTTGCTGCACAGCGTCGATCCTGCCTGCATTCCCAATCCTCCGCACCTATCTGCACCGTGTTCCTTTTTTCTCCATCAAATATCGATCCCTCTTCGAAAGCTAACAACCTCCTCGTCATAGACTACAACCTTGAAGCTTCATGTCCACCGACGCAATGGCTTCCACGGAAGAACATGTCTCTATCCCCCTGCCGGCCGAGAGTGACGCCGAGATTGCAACCCCCGCGACTCCAATCGAGTCCAGCGCCATTCTGTCCGGCAGTGAGGAGCCTGTTACAAGTCCCGATGCCTCGTCGATCAGGGACAAGGAAAACATCAAGTCCTCTCCGGAGAAGTCGACCACGAGCACAAAGCGTCCGCTGTCGGGTACCTCGGCTGCCAAACGGCCGAGCTCCATCTCGGGCGCCCCCAAACCCACCACGTCGACAGCGCGTGCTGCAGCCAACGGCAGTACTCTCAGTAAACCGCCAACGCGCCCACCCACAGCTGGAACCGTTCGTAAACCCCTGAGCACTTCGACGACCGCTTCTCACCGGTCTCGAGCCTCCGTGAGCAGTTCCGCCGATGAGAAAACTAGATTCATTGCGAGCTCGGGGGATGAGAGGAGAGGCATCTCCGGCACGGCCAAGCGGATGTCGCTGGTCGGCAGCACCTCCTCGAGAGCCCCGCTGAAACCCACGACCAGTACTTTGGACCGTCGGTCGAGCATTGCCGGCACCGCCACCAGCCGGACGGCGACTGCGCGCCCCAGCACCGCTTCGTCGGTGAAGGCCGTCACAAGACCCGCTGCATCGAGCACCACTCGCACATCCACTGCGTCTACCGCCCGGACAACCACCAGACCGACTTCCACCGTGACCCGTCCGACAACGACAGCCTCGAAACGTCTGAGCACCGCCATCAAGGCTTCGGATGATGAGTCGGAGAAGCTGGAGACCCTCCGGACTAAACTCTCCGAGACCGAGGCGATCGTGACGAAACTCAAGGCCGAATTGGACACCGTGAACGAAAAGCTTTCCCAGTTGACCCTCTCGCCCCCAGAAGACGCCACCAAAGATGGTAATACCGATGCCGCCCTGGGCGCTCTGCGTGAGGAGTACGCGGCGGAGACGGCCAAGCTGGCTGCAGAACATGCCGAGCAGCTGCAGGCTCTACAGGCTCAGTTGGACGAGGCCGAGGCGAAGCGCAAGGAGCTGGAAGAAAAGTCGATGAAGGCGCTGGACGATGCCGCTCAGACCGCTGCCCAGGAAGATGACAACAAGACTGCTGCGGCGCTGGAGGACCTGAAGCAGGCGCATCAGGCTCAGTTGGAATCCCTGGAGAACGAGTTGGCTGAACAAAAGACTATTGCTGCTGGATATGCCGACCAGATCACCGCCCTTCAGGCGGAACTCGAATCGCAGAAATCCGGATTGGAAGAGGCCAGCCAGAAGCTGCAGGACGAGAAGGCGTCCGCACTCGAAAACCTGAGTCGGGAACTGAAGGGTCGTGATCAAGTCATTGAAAATTTGAACGTGGAGATGGAGAAACTGAACGGCGCCAAGGAGCAGGAGGTTCGTGCGGCCGAGGAGTCCGCCAAGCAGTCTGTCTCTGCGCTGGAAGACAAGGTTGCTGAACTGGAGGCGAAGCTCGCTCAGGCCGAATCCACCACTGCTCAGAGCAGTGAGCAGACCGCTACTCTTCTGGCAGAAAAGGAGCAGGAGGTGGCCGAGCTCAAGCAGGCCGTGGAGAAGACGCAGATCGAACTCCAGGAAGCCCGGGACACTGCTGCTGAACAGTTGAGCCAGAAGATCTCTGAGCTGGAGGCTGCCCATGAGGCCGCCGTCGCCAAGGCCCAGACTGCACACGCAGAGGCTCTGGCCGCCGCCACCGCTGCCCATGCACAGGAGCTGAGCGTGGCCAAGGAGGCCGTGGAAGCCGCTGGCACCACCCACTCGGAGCAACTTCAGAAGCTCCGTGATGAACTCGATGCCGCTGAGGCTGCTGCCAAAAAGGGTAAGGACGAGGCAATCAGCGAGCTCACGGTCGCCCACCAAGCCGAGCTGCAGGCTCTGCAAGAGAAGCTCAATGCTTCCGAGCAGGCTCTTGGGGAGACCCGCCAGGCGCTGGACGAGCGCAACAGCTCCACCCAAGAATTTGAATCCCTCAGGGAGAAAGTCGGCGCCCTGGAATCCCAGCTTTCTACCGGACAGGGTGAGATCCGATCCCTGGTCGACGAGGTCCAGAGCAAACAGGCGGAGGCAGAAGCTTTACATCAGAGTCTCAACGATTTTGAGACCAAGCTCAAGGCCAAGGACGCAGAGAAGGAGGAGCAGCTGAAGTCTCTGGCCGAGAAAGCCGCTGCTTCCGAGAAAGCGCTCGAGGAGCAGCTCAAAGAGACGGCCGCATTTGCCGAGCAACATGCCCATGCCTCCGAGGTACTGAAGGCGGAGCATGCTGCAGAAATCGAGAAGGTCAAGACGGAGGCGGCTGGGTCGCACGAGGATGCGCTGAGCGCGCTGCAGGCCAAACACGACGAGTTGCTCTCCGCCAACCATGCACTGGAGACCGCGCACACGGAGCGGGTCACGAAGTTGGAGGAGGAACTGAAGGCTACCCTCGAACGCCACGCCGTTGAGACCAGCTCACAGACGGAGCTCCGTGAGACAGAGATTGCCAATATGCAGAAGGAATTCCAAGAAACCAAGGCCAAGCTGCTGGCGGAGGTCGAGGCTATGCAGGCGTCCAAGGTCGCGGAGGCTGATGCTGAACACAGCAAGGCGATCGAACAGCTGCTCGGTCTCCAGGAAGAAAAGCTGTCCGGCCTGCGGGCCGAGTTGGAGTCTTCGCACAAGACCAAGCTGGAAGAGCTGCAGAAGCTGCATGATGCCGCGCTCGGCGAGATTGAGGAGCAGCTGTCGCAAGCCCGTGCAGCCATGCAAGATACTTCTGTCCCCGATGGTCTGAAGGCGACGGTTACCGACCTCGAGCAGAAACTGGCGGACGCGCAACAGGCAGTGGCAGCCACCGAGGAACTTGCGACCCAACTTACCACTGAACTGTCCCAGCTTGGTGCGGAACGCAAGGAGATGGCGGAGAAGTACACTGCGGCCGCCAGCCAGGTGGAGGAGCTCACCAAGTCTGTTTCGGCGTTGGAAAGCATCAAGACGGAACTCGAGCGGGTTCTGAACCAGCTGTCTGGCTCGCGGGAGGAGCTGTCACAACTGCAAGGCAAGCATGCCACGGTGAGCGGCGAGCTGGAGGAGCTCAAGACGCAGAACCGGACGATGGAGGAGAGGCTGTCGCAGGGCGAGCGGGACCTCAACGACCAGATCGAGCGAAACATGTCGCTGCTGAACCAGCTGGGCGAGGTTGACTCAGCCATCGCCGCCAACCGCAAGCGGGTGCGCGAGCTGGAGGCCGAGTTGGCCGCCCTCAAGGCCGACAAGGACAGCGGCAAGAGCAATGTCGGCCTGGAGGGGAGTCGATGGGCGGCGGAGGAGAGCAAGGCTGGGGAGGAGCGGGGTCCAACCGCAGCGGAAGGTGAGGACCTTGGTTCATCGATCGAGGGAACGGTGGGTTGACGTTTGTGTCCGTTCCCTCCGGCAACATGATGCTAACCTGGTGGACGTAGATGGCCAGCATCCAGGAGCAGCTTAAACACATCCGGACGGCCAACGATGACTGGTATGACGAACATCAGCGGTGAGTGTTGATTGATCGCGAATCGTTCGGGGAGTCCCGCTGATTGTGATGTTGAATGGGGATAGACTCATTGGCGAGCTCACACAGCTGTCACGACGGACGACGCCCGACCGACGAAGCCATGCGTCGACGCCTCAACCCGAGCGACAGGAGCAGTCCTAAGAGAACGAGTCGGTGAGGATTTCGGTTTGACATTTCCTTTGTATGCTTAGGCTGTATGTAATACGATGCTCAGGATACCCTGTTCATACTAATTGATATTCATTATTATTCTATCTGAGAGGTTGGCATCGAACCGATGACATACATCTCGGAGTGTCTATCCTCTCTGAGCCACCTTTCTCGTATTCCGTCTTCAATACATCCCCCCCCCCCCCACATTGAAGCCGTCAACTCGTCTCACGCTGACGCCGGTGAAGGAACAGAGAGTGGAAAGGCCCCCACAACCGTCGCTGTCGGTTGAGCTTCTTCTCGCGCGCGGTCACCCGCATTTCGGCGTAGAGCGACGGCGTGAGGATCTTGGGAGGTGGTGAGAGCGGTTCTGCCGGCTGGGGATAGAGGGTCATGACAGCCTCTGGTCGTGGCTCTGGCTCTGGCTCTGGCTCTGGCTCTGGCTCTGGCTCTCTCTCCACCTTCCCGTCCGCGTCCGCATCCGCATCCATCTCCATCCTCATCTCCCTCCGCCGCCGCTGGTGCTGAAGCTGCCCCTCCCCCGCGGCCGTAAACGCATGACAAAACGCCGCATACGACGCCTGCAACTCGCGCTCGGTCTCCTCATCCGTCTCGCGCCGCCATCGCTGCCGGTCGCACTCGGGGATGATCCGGTTCGTCTCGTCGTGGCCGGACTCGTATTCGTGGGCGGGGTGGCTCGGCGTGGCGTTTAATCCCTGGCGCGAGATCCGGCGCGAGACCCAGCGCGAGAGCCGGTGCACGACAATGGTGGATTTCCTGCGTTGGAGGGAGGGTGTTGCGTGGTGGTTGTAGGTATGGAGGGACGCGGAGGAAGTTGTGCTGGCGATGCTGATGTTGTCGGTGTCGTTGATGAAAGTGACGGACGGCATTTTTTTTTTTTTCCTGGTACTTCTCTCTCTTTTCTCCTTCTTTTCTGGTATTCTGGCGAGTGTAGAGAGAGAAAGTAATATCGACGACCAAGGGGGAGGGAAGGGGGGGGGGAATAGAAGAGGACCAGGGAGGCAGAGATCAGGTTGTTTTTTGTTTGTTTATTGTTGAAGCCGAGGAGTGCGGCCTGCACCTGGGAATGGGCGACAATTTGAATATCTATCTATCTATAGATTTATAGATATATAGATATGGATATGGATATGGATATATTAATATTGATGATAAGCCGCGGTGCTTTGTGTCCTGCAGAGTGCAGAGTGCAGAGTACAGAGGACAGAGTGCCGGTTCGACTCCTGAATCTACTACGTAAGTCCTGTGAATAATACCCATCTGTCTGCACTCCACTACAGACTATTCTCTCTCTCTCTCTCTCTCTCTCTCTCTATCCAGATTCCAGACCAACCTCATGAGACGTCGGTTGCAGGAGGACCCATGGGACCATTCCAAGGCGCAGAACTTCGAACCTCTCTCGATCTACTCTGTAGTACTCCGTACAGAGTAGAGTGCTAGACTAACTATGATACCTACGGAGACTACAACTCCGAAGTACCTACCCCCGTAACTAGTTAGTGTATCGACTATCGACGGGATTGTGTGCGTTCCTACTTCCTAGAAGTCCCGCCGTTAGTCGACTTTATGGACTCTGGAGTCTGGATACCCTCACGCGACACTGCGATTGGGCGCGGCTCCGTGCTCCCAACGGCTCTGAGACATGGCCAGTCGCGGGTTCCCGATTGCGCCATCGCATGATTCGGTGGATGCGGATGCGGACAAGGGGCCAAACAGCCCAGAGGGAATGGGGATTAATATTCGGAATTTCGGATTGACTTGGACGCTGTCACGACTCTCACTTTGACTGTGGATGTTGTGGACTGGAGTGGACTGGGAGTTGGGAGGTTACAAGGAAAGGAAAGGAAAGGAAAGAAAGAAAGAGAAAAGAGGAAATAGAGGGGGGATTGATTGTGTTTGTTTGTCTGTGAGGCGAAGGGAGCTTTCAGAGTATCATCCTCCTACTGTGTAGTCTCACGGCAGGGGTCAGTCGGGATTGATATTTACGGAGTACTACGTACGCATGCATGCATGCATGCATGCAACAGGTGCAGTAGTCTAGAACGCCAGATGGTGCCTGAAAAGTGTAACGGTCTGTCAACCGTCACAGGAGATTAGATTCGAAATCTACCCAGACACACCGTCCCGGCCCAGTCCCCAACGGCCAACCTCGCGCATCGCCTCGTCGCCGCCTTCCACCAACCGTCCGTCCGCGTTGGACGCGTTGCTGGGCCCCAGCACCCCAGCCACACACTGCCACCCATTGCGGCCGCCTCCCCATCGCAACACCTCGGTCTTGTACCGCTCGCCCGCCGCCCGGTCGACCGCTGCCCGTCCGGCCCCGAACACGTCCGCCCAGAGCTTGTTGGCGATCGCCCGGTCAAAGATGTAGCTGTAGTAAGTCGCGCCGTAGCCGTACAGGTGCCCAAAGAATCCCTGCCACGAAGTCGGCGGCGCCGTCTCCGCCGGATCGGGCAGGCTCGAGTGTCGCTGCGCCACCTCGTGGTAGAGCGCCGTGCTGTCGATGCGGCCCCCGTCCGCCGGCCGCGAGTGGTATTCTTGGTCCACCAGCGCCATCAGAATCTGCGCCTCGTTCTCCACCGCGCCGTAGATCGATCCGTGCGCCGTCCGGTCGCGCTCCATGCTCTGTATCATCCGCTCCGACAGCGGCTCATCCGTCTCCCAGTGTCGCGCATACAGCGAGAGCACCGAGGGCGCCGTGGCGAAGTGTTCCATCAGCACCGAGGGCAGCTCCGCGAAGTCGGTCGCGCACCGGGTCCCCGAGATGGACTGCAGCCGCGTCTGGCCCAGGATGGAGTGCAGGGCATGGCCCATCTCGTGGAACAGCGTGCGCACACTGTGCTCGCTCAGCAGCGAGGGACGACCGCCGTGCGCCGCGGGTTCGGCGAAGTCGCACACCAGCGCAATCGTCGGCAGTTGCCGCAGCGTCTTGGTCGTCGGATCCACCGCGGTCGCCATCCCATCGTTCGGGTGCGAGGACTGGTCCAACGACGCGCACTCGGCCACCTCAGTCGCCGAGATCTCGCGCGAGCAGCGGAGCGTGAAATGGGCCGGGTTCGGGTGCTTGTTCGGCCGCGAGAACAGATCGCAGTAGATGACGGCAATGTGCCGATCCGCTTCGTCCACCACGTCCAGCCGCCGCACGTCCGGATTCCACGTCTCCCCCGGCGCGGCCTCCTGCGGTACCAGACGCACCCCGTACAGGCGATCAAACAGCCGCGACAGGCCCTGCATCACCGTCCCCAGCGAGAAAAACTCGGGCACCGCGCTCAGCTCCCGGGACCGCCGCGACTGCGAATACTGCATGACGCGTTTGTGGACATAGTACGCATGGTCCCAGGGCTGCAGCGGGGAGCCTTTCATGTTCCGCAGCTGCAACAATTCCTCCCGCACGAGCGTGCGATTGCTGTCCACAAGCGACGTCAGAAAGTTGGATACCGCTTCAGGGCTTTTGGCCATCTTGTCGCTCAGGGTCATGTGTCCGAAGCTCGAGTAGCCCGACAGCTTAGCCAGCTCCGCGCGTTTCAAGAGCAACTCCTCCAGTCGATGGAGCTGTCGAGCGCTTGACGTCCGGGATGCCAAGTAAACCTCCCGGCGGACGCTCTCATCATGTACCGATCGCAAAGCCAGCCGCGGAATCATCCCGGTGGTCGGAACCGACGCTGTCCGGTTCCACCGCTTAATCTGCTGCACCAACATAGGATCCAGCCCCCGGAGACTGTTCGCGTTGACGACCACCTGGGACTTGGCTGGCTCGGGACTGTTGACGAAGCTCGACCCCAGCTGGCTGATGTCGTTGGACAGGTTCACAAATCGTTGCCGCTCCTGCGGGGGCATCAGGATTGCCGAGTTGGAAAAATCCTTGATCAGGATCTGCGCCACGATCTTCTCCTCCTCCGTCCAGTGCGACGCCACTTCGGGGTTCGCAACCGCCTTTTTCAGCTGGTCGTTCAGCCCCGTCGTGGTGTTGAGGACGTTCATGTACTCGAACATCAGCGCATACGCCTGCGTCGCCGCCTCCTGCACCCGTGGATCCGGATGGATCACCCGGATAAAGTCGGACAGGTCGATCACGCGACACAGCAGATCACTGAGTCGGTCCAGGTCCCGAGCCATCGTCCGGTACTCCTCCAGCGTCGAAGCCGCCAGCACCTTGGACACGATGGCCTGGCATTTCTGCAGCGAGACGTTGGCGAAGGTACGGAAGCCGTCCGGACTCGTCAAGTATTGGTTCTGTACTAGCCCGGTCGGCTTGGACTGCGTCGACCGCCGCTGCGAGAACTCTCGCCAGAAGTGCTGCGAGTCGAAAACCCGGCGGATTGTCTCGTCGTCGACTTTCTTGGATTGGGAAGCATCCGCAGGGATATAGTCCACCTGAGTATGACCGGGCGCCGGCGAGGCAGCCGTCTCAAAGGAGCGACGAGTCTGTTGCTGCAGGCGTTGCAGGCGTTGCAGGCATTGTCGGCATGTCCATGGCCGACGCCGCAGCGGCGTCAGCAGTTGGGGTTTCATGAAACAGATATCAGTAAAGAGCGACAACGATAGGGATCTACCATTGAACGAGTAGGAATGATCCGAAACATGAATAGATAGATAAAATGATCGCGTAGACAAATCGATGAGATGGAGGAAGAATGGAGAAGAGACGGACGATGACGGAGACGAGGAGCCGAGCAGCCGCGAAGAGAAAAACGCTTGGCGGGATCGACGTCGACTTCCGATCTTGAACGACGTCTGGACTTGTAGCTTTAGACGAGACGAAAAAACCTCATCATCCTTCTTCATCCCCTCCTTTCCCCTGGCCTCTTCTCGTCAGGATGTCCTTCCGGCCAATGTTCCGTCAGGTAAGTTAAGTCGGTTTCTGAGAGTGCTTCAATGGCCTCGCTGTCCGTACCCAGCTGACCGTCCTGCTCCCCCGATCCAGCGAGCTGTTGCTCCATTCGCTGCCACCCTTCTTGCTGGCGGCGTCGCTCTCTATCCCAGACGGACTGTATACGCTGAGGAGCCCCTGGATAACGTACGTGTGGTTCCGCTCCAGCCGACCGATGAAGCCGGACAATGCTCTAATGCCTCACTCGCTCGTTTCGTTTCGTGTCGTTGCAGAAAAAACCCATCTATGATGACTTCTCATCCGATCTCCCCGAACCCGCCGTGCTCCCTCCTCTTCGCAAATCGACCTCCTCGTCCTCGCCGACTCCCACCGACATCCTGACGGCCCAGGTCCGCCAGGCCCGGCTCTTCCTCTACGCTCACTCGCTCGCCGCCGAGAACAGCTTCAACGCCTTCCTCTCCCGCGCCCTGAACATCGAGAACGCCTTCACCAACACCGTCGCCTCACTCGCTCCCTCCCCCGAGTCTGGCGAGCGCCTCCTCCCCGGTGGCGTCTACGTCGTCGTCGCCGCCATGGCCGGCTCCATCGTCTCCCGCAACCGCGGCATCTTCCTCCGCACCCTTTCCCCGCTGGCCTTCGGTACCGTCGCCGCCTGGTCCCTGCTGCCCGTGACCATGCGCAATGTCTCCGACTTGGTCTGGGAGTATGAGAAGAAGGTCCCCGCCGTGGCCGAGCAGCATCTGGCTATCCGTGAGAAGGCGGAGCAGCTGTGGTACACCGGTCTGGCGCACGGCGGTATGGCCCGCCACATGATGGAGGAGAAGATCGGGGAGACGAGGAAGAAGCTGGAGGAGTTGGTGAGCAAGGGCCACTAGATCTTTTTTTTTTTATCTAGGTCTGGGCTTGCGAAAAGATGGTCCATTCCTGTTTCACACATCCCCCTTCCCGTGTTGCATTGTACTCTTAGCCGTCTCTAGATCAAGGACTTGATTCTTATGTTGACACGGGTTGATTTCCTTACGTGTAAAATCTAGCAAGCAGAGAATAGAAAAAAAAGGGAAATGGTATCAGAGCAATATTTGGGTGTGTGTGTGTTTGTGTGTGTGGCTAACTCTCCTGTGCGGGCCCTGGACTACCCACCGGCGGCGGCGAGACAACGCCAGCTTTAGGCGGCGGCGGCAGCGGCGTCCCCTTCCGCGACGGGATATAATCCTGCTCCTTGCTCTTCTGTACTCCCTCAGCAAAGTACTCATCAAAGGCCAGATTCGGCGACAGCCCTGCATGCCGCATCCTGCCCGCTCGGCGCGGAGCAGGTGACCGGTTATTCGCCGGCGACGCCGACAGGTTCCTGCTCGGCGCAGACAAGGGCGGAGGAGACGCCATGTTGGCCGGGACCAGGAAGCTGCCCCCGGCAGCTGCAGCGTCCGGCTGGGGTTCCAGCGGGTGGAAAACCGGCGTCGAGGTGCCGTCCTCGCGCGTCTCAAAGACAACCTCGCCTGGTCCCTCGACCTCCTCGCCCAGACCCACGGGCAGTCGGTGTAAGGCTCCGTAGCCCAGCTCGGCGCCCAGCGCCCCCTCGCCTCCCCAGCCCCTGGTGGGCACCAGCTCGACCTCCCGGACGACGTCGAATTCGCTGTTGTATACCCACAGGACCAGTGTGCGGTTGAGGTGGTCTTCGACTAACTCCCCGAGGGCGGCCTCGCCGCGTAATGTCCCGCTGGGCGTGCCGATGATGTAGTCGGAGTGGGGGAGGAGGCCCGCGCGGTACGCTGGACTCAGCGGGGACGGAATGGACAAGACGTGCCAGATGTTTTGTGTGGAGGAGAGAGGGGCGAGTTGGAGAGCGAGACCGAGCGTAGGGTTTGAGGGAGAGACTTGGATCGACACTGTGTGTGTTTTCTGGCCCTGGTATGGGTTCAACAACCCTGTGCTGAATCAGATAGTGCTTTGATATGGACGAACCTTTGCGCTCCAGACCTCGAATCGGACACTTGTGCCAGCGCAGTTGCGCACCTCTGTCGCGAAGAGGTTCGGGTCGGGGTCTTCCTGGAGGCGACCGTTAGTCAGAATCTAGTGAGACAACAACCAGATGATACGAACGATCGGATGTCCATTGATGCCGACGATGAAGTCGAACCAGGGCTCTAGTGGTAGTTCGGGGTCCTTGTTGCGGAGAACCTGGAAACCAAATGCATTGTCTGCGGTGGGAGTCCGAGGGTGTTGGACTGGCTCTGAGTCCAGCCGACCAATAAATCGATTTAGAGCTCCAAACATCTTCAATACAGCTGTGTGAGATTATACGACTGAGTCCGTCGCATTCCGTCTGAGCTCTGAAAGTGCACACAATTGGAGAGCTGTCATCCAGCTGGCTGCAAACCAAGCAAACACCCACGGTCATCCATCCTTTATCGGTTATCGAGGATACACCCGATAAAGAAAGAAAGAAGTCTTCGATTTCCGGGATGGATGTTTGACTTCCTCCAAACGCTTGCTTGGGAATGGATCATTCGACGGATGAAGCTCCCCCGGAGGTGCATCACTATGAGTGTATAAGCGAAGTGCCGTGGGATATCCAAAAGTCAGTCCACCCTCTGCTCTGATACTGCGCGCAAGAGCTAACTCTGCTAGTTACTGGGCCCAACGCTATAAGATCTTCTCAAAGTATGACGAAGGGATCTGGTTAACCGACGATGCGTGGTTCGGTGTGACACCCGAGCCTGTGGCCAAGTTCGTGTCTCTGCTCCAGTCTAGCTTTGATGCCCAGTGGTAACGCGTTTCGACAGTAAGATCGCAGAGGACATTGCCAAGTCGGTACCCGCAGGACGGAGTATCCTTGTCGACGCCTTTGCTGGTGCCGGTGGAAATACTATTGCATTCGCGCGGACAGGAAAGTGGAAACGGGTCTATGCCATCGAGAAGAATCCGGCTGTCCTGCAGTGCGCCAAACACAATGCTAAAGTGTACGGCGTGGCGGACAAGATCACATGGTTTCAGGGTGATTGCTTCGAGATTCTGAAGAATCAGCTCAAGGAACTGGCTCCCTACAGCATCGTGTTCGCGAGTCCCCCGTGGGGTGGTATGTCTGGCTCTGCTTTTCCTTTGCCTCTGTGCCACCCAGAGCTAACCTTATATACATAGGACCCGGGTATCGCTCCGACAAAGTATTTAACATGAGCACCATGGAGCCATACTCTTTGCAAACACTGTACAACGAATACTCCCTGTTCACGGAGCACATGGTTCTCTACCTTCCCCGAACGTCGGACGTGAGGCAGCTGGCGAAGCTGGTCAAGGATGGCCACAAAGCACCCGTGGTACATTATTGCATGGAAGGCGCAAGTAAAGCACTCTGTATATATTATGGTGGATTTAATATCCAATGACATGTTCTCAGCATTTTTGATCTTATTTCTTTCTATTTTTTTCATGTACGATATATTCGGAGTATTGTTCATGGTGGAGTATGAATATATGTACCCTGTTTGAGTTGCAGAACCCTCATTCCAACAAGATCACACTACTATTGAATTACACATCGACATAAAAAGAATACTACTACGAGAATACATGTACGTTGATTATTTTCATTTTAACTGCAGACCAACTGCTGTCGACTTGTTAGTTGTTTGAAGACAACCTATGGAACAGTGATGAACAGTGAGCTGCTTGCCTGATCGGGACTAGCGCCTTCCGTCGCCAGTCTCTCACTTCCGCCGCAGTTCAACTTCGCCAGTTTCTCTCACCCAACACTGTTCTCTTGTTGGTATCTCGCATATCTGGCGCAAGCTGGGCTAACTGGGCAAAATCTTTCTTGCGGCAGGTAGAGCTGGTCTCCGTGCCTCCGAGGTGGCTATAAATGCGCTAAACTTACACTTCTTCGCCCTCGTTGATTCCAACGTGTGTTACAACTACAACCTTCACTACCAACACAGCACCTGCCGCACCGACTTCTTTCTTCACGAGATACGCTCCTTCACCACCATCCAAAATGCCACACGCTACAGGACCGGGCCCGGCCGAGCCCGAAGATTCGGAATTCGACAATGTGATGCGACAGATGAACGGACCCTTTGGGGAAGGTGGCATGTCGTTTGACTTCCTGACGCGAGAGCTCGAACCTGGTGAGAAGGCAGACGATGCCATCGACTACGAAGATATCGACGACGATGACCTTCCCGAAGAAGAGGAACGAAGTGGCGAAACTCCAGGAGAAATCGGGGAGACCGCGGCAGACGACGAGGAAAAGGGTTTGTTCGAGGGCGAGGATGATCTCTTCGGCGATCATGGGGAACAGCAGGCGCCGCGGGATGAGCTTGACGATCTCTTCGGCGAGGGGCCTTCTTCGCCGGGACCAGATCAGATGGATCATACGAGGGACTTGTTCTTTGAAGAGGAGGAGGAAACAAAGCCACCTCCGGTGGTAGAGGCCGTCGAGACCCCGGCTGTGGAACCCGAACCTATGGTGATGGAAGAGGATGAAGAAGAGCCGTTTGGTGATGACGGGACTCTTACCCCTCCGGTGGAGGATATGGACCCGGCCGCACTCCGAGCATGGAAGCTCCAGCAAGCCCTGTTTGCCATGTCGGCATACGGTCCGGATAACCCGCCAGCGCCACCGGAGAACGTGGAAGAGCTTCTGCATTCGTTGTTCCCTCAGTTCGATCGCAAAGCCCTCCCTCGCTTCCTCGAACTCATCCCTCACAAAAAGGCCTATTTCGTCGGCAAGCAGCCACCAAAGCCGCCGAAGCCCGTTCTGCCGAGTAAAGTGCATATCGAATTGTCCCAAGATCAAGAGAGGATATTCAAGGCGGGTGGCCAGGCACATAAGCGATCGCTCGACGCCGATCACCAAGGAATTGTGACTATTGCGGAGGTTGCGCCGGAAGAAGAGGAAGAACCAAAAGAGGATGTGGAACATGAAACTGACACGGACGAAGTTCTCCCCGGCAATGTCACCATTCAGGACCTTCGTGTTGTCTGCTCTGACTGGGATGTCAAGGATGATTTCTCCATTATGGATGTTGACGAGGAGCCTGCCAAGGAAGTCGACGAGCTAGATGATGAGGAGGACTGGATGGTTGAGACCACTCGCCCAGCCAAGAAGCGCAAGCTCGGTCGAGACCCAATGGATATGATTGCGCTCTCCCACATTGATTTGCCTCTACTCGATGACCCGGAACAAGCTACGTCGCGGATCGCCAAGAAGGTGACGATTGACATGAACGACCCATTCATTCTGCTGGATGACCGTGCCCCTGAAGCGGCGGCCCAAAAACCCAAGGCGCTGAAAGAATTCAATCGCGACGAAGTGGACGTCAATGTCACCCGGCGTCTTACATCGCGGTACAACCTCTCCAATGACCAAGCCTACGACATGCTCAAGCAAAACCATCAGAACAAGGTCCGCAGCACTCTTGGCAATGTCACTCTCGAACACAGTCTGCCCGCGCTTCGCCTGCAATGGCCTTACTACAAAACTGAGCTTGCCAAGGCAGAAGCGCGATCTTTCCACCGTCCAGCCCTGTCCTTCCGGCCCGGCCAAACCTGCTGGTTCAAAAATCCTGCTCATATGAAGCGCAAACATCAAAAAGGCAAGGATGCTAAGACGCTCTACGATTCTACAAGGGCCCTGTCTTTGGCTGATAACTCGAATGTGCTGCTGGTGGAATATTCCGAGGAAAGCCCCCTCATGCTCTCCAACTTTGGCATGTCGAACCGTTTCATCAACTACTATCGGAGGAAGAGCATGGAGGATTCCACTCGTCCCAAGGCTGATATCGGTGAGACAGTTGTCCTTCTTCCTCAGGACAAGAGTCCGTTCTCCATCTTCGGCCATGTGGACCCGGGAGAGATTACCCCAACCGTTTCGAATTCGATGTACAGAGCTCCCCTTTTCCAGCACCAGGCCAGATCTACGGATTTCTTGATCGTTCGCAGCAGCACCGGTTCGGGTGGCAGCGACTACTATCTTCGAAATATTGAGAATCTCTACGTTGCGGGTCAGCAGTTCCCTTCGGTTGATGTCCCCGGCCCACATTCACGCAAGGTCACGACCGTCGCAAAGAACCGCATGAAGATGCTTGTGTACCGCCTGCTCAAGAAAAGCCCGGATCTCAGGCTGTCAATCAGCGATGTCACTGCTCACATTCCCGGCACGAGTGACATGCAGAATCGGCAGAAAGTCAAAGATTTCCTTCAACACGATAAGGACTCCAAATACTGGGTTCCATTAGAGCCTGTCCCCGAGTCCGATACGATTCGGTCATGGGTCCAGCCTGAGGATGTCTGTCTTCTCGAAGCGATGCAGGTTGGTCAGCAGCACCTGCATGATACGGGTTACGGCAACGACGCCGAAACAGGTGGCGACGAGGACGAGGACGGCGAACACGAGAGCTTCGAACAGCAGATGGCCCCCTGGAAGGCTACCCGCAATTTCCTTCTGGCGTCCCAGGGCAAAGCGATGCTAAAACTGCACGGAGAAGGTGACCCTACCGGACGTGGCGAAGGGTTCAGTTTCATCAAGACGTCGATGAAAGGAGGATTCAAGGCTATCGGCGAGAGTGTCGAAGACAAGCTGGATGCGCAGCGGCTGAAAGAGCTGGGCGGCCACAGCTACAACGTGGCCCGGCAACAGAAGTCTTACGAAACATCTATCCGGCGCATCTGGGAAGCCCAAAAGGCCAGCCTGTCATCCACGGTTGAGCACTCCGATGATGAGAGCGATATCGACCGTGAAATGGAAGACGAGTTCAGTAAACCGACTCCTCGCTCGGAAGCCCCCACCCCCGCTCCTGGTCGTCGCGACGACGAAACGACCAGTCAGTTCAGCAAGACCAGCATAGCCGATCAGAAGGGCAAGGTGTTGCGGATTGTCCGGCAGTTCAGAGACGAGAACGGCCAAATCGTTCAGAAGGAAACGACCATCTGGGATCCCCGAGTTATCCGCCACTACATGCAGCACCGTCATAGGCTGGAGGCTCTGACTACCAAGTATGTCCCTTTCCTTTCCCTTCCCCCCGTCTATGGTCAACACACACTAACAATCTCTAAGACTTGAATCTCTGCAACCAACGGGCGACCCAGAAGTCGACGCTCGCAACAAGAAACTGTATGGTTCCCATCCCCCCTCTTACCCTGACTCGAAAGCTAACCCCGTGTCTTCACAACCAGCATCGAAAACGAGCTCAGCCGCCTCAACCGCAACAAAGAACGTCGCTTCGCGCGCGAGAAGCAAAAAGGCACCGTGAAGACCTCCGCCGGAGACTCACCGGCCGACGGCGCCACCCCAGGCACCGGCAAGACCGCAGGGACGCAGCGCAAGTGTGCCAACTGCGGCCAGGTCGGTCACATCAAGACCAACAAGAAGTTCGTTTCTTCCCTGTTCCCTCTCTTCCCACCAAGCCATTGGGAATCAAGACCAATTTTACTAACACGACACCAGGCTCTGCCCTCTTCTTAACGGTACCATGAAGCCTGAAGACCGCGTTAGCGACTCCGCCTTCGCCATGGGCGCTCCTCCAGCCATCTAATCTCCTCTTCCCTCCCCCCCCCTTTCTTCTCATCCGTAAACTCCTTTGGTACAGATCTCCTTGATGATACCCTACAACTGTCCTCCATTACACATCTTATTCGCGATTGATCTTTCTCTTCCCCAGCCATTTCTCCTTCAACTCCTTTACATCGAAACATGATTCATCCTTGTAGCGTCTAGGCACCGTCGGTTCAGGGCATTTTTGGGTGGTTGGTGTTCCCTGGTTCGTGGTTTGCATGGAGTACTCGATTTTTTTCTGCCTATATTCACTTCCAATCATGTATTATCGAATCCGAGAAGCTTTTTACCATATATCAAGACTGATGAGCTACTACACCAACACTCTTGAAGGAGAACCCTGTGCTTCAAATCCCCATGATCATCAATCCTGCTGGTCTCAACACAGGTATTGGCTGCAGGGATCCTGAGATGTACACAAAAGCGAAGCAGTCCAGGTCTTTGTGGATTGATGGTAACTATAAATATCGGTAAGGATATGCCATGGTCAACAGCACTTGAAGATGGTTGATCATGAACAAGGTGACAAAACCACTTTTCTTGGACAGCAACAAAACAGTTCAATATCCATACAACTCTGATAACTGGCCCCTGGAAAAGATTGATCGCCCTCGTTCAGGCGCCAGAGCCAGAGCAACGGCTTTGGGTCGGCGGTATGTGTAACCTGGAAATGCTCCTCGCTTGCGGATGTCGAGTACTACTTTGCTTACCCTTGGGTCTCGCAGAATCTTGTCTCGCGGCCGTTTCTTTCTATTCTTCTCTTTTCTGCCCAGCTTGTCCTTCTTTTCTTTCTTACCGTCGCGGTTGCCCTCGTGCTGCACCTTCTCCTCCTCAGGATCTGGCTCGTGTAGATCATTTCCCTCAGGCTCGTCCTGGCCTTGATTGGCATCGGAACTAATAGAGACATCGTCTTGGTCGAGGCCCGTCATGCCGTTGTCATCGAAATAGCGAGTATCTTCCCATCCATCCACCTTGGGGATGAACGGTGGTTGCGTTAGATGATGCGATGCCCAGTCGATACCCAGAAAGAACGGGTGCGCTTTGATCTCCTCTGCGTCATTTGGATACACATAGGAGCCTTGGTAGTTCCGGCTGCGGTTACGATGGGAATGGAAGAGATGCCTACTCCCAGGCGGGAGGGGCAATGGGTCGTTCCGGACTCTATACTGTCGCGAGCACAGTCGGAACTCTCTGTCCTGTAGCAGTCGATTAATCAGATCGATCGCCTCCGCAGATACCATCTTGTCAGCAGGTCTATCGCTTGGGAAGAATAGCGACTGGACATGATGCTTTTCCCTGCCTGTCAGCGATGACGATGTTCTCATAGAGGACCTCGGGTCGGATTACCTACATGAACCTTCCATTTGGTCTCTTGCCGGTCCATAGAGGCAAAAGGGGTGAACCCATACAGGCACTGTTGAGGACATGAGACATACTCTTGGCCAGATCGGGAAGTGAGACCAGTTACCTCATAGATGATGATTCCCAAGCTCCACCAGTCACAACGTCCATCATACACCTCCCCCCGAACAATCTCAGGAGCCATGTATTGGCTGGTACCGACAATGCTTCTCGCAAGCCTGCGTTTTTGACTCGTGTCGCGCCAGTCCAGGAGATTCGTCAAGGGTGGTGCACGGTCCCGTCTGTTTGCCTCAGGAATTTGCGTGGTGCCAGCAGGCTTCGATTTTTCCAATCCTTCTTGATCCTCTCGATCGCCTTCAATTTGGATACCGAGCTTCTCTAGCAAAGAGTGCCGGTGGTCATTGTAGTAGACTTGGTCATGAGCCCAGTGTCCATCAAATGCGAGGCCAAAGTCAGAGATCTTCATATGACCCGAAGCCGAGATCAGGAAGTTGTCCGGTTTGATATCCCGGTGTATCCAATGAAGCTTATGAGCCTCCTCGATACAGAGGATCATTTCCACCGCATACCACTTCGTGTGCTCTTCAGACAGGATGTTCCGTCGCATCAGGACGCCCAAAAAGTCACCACCCACCATGTAATCCATGATAAGGTATAGATAGTTGTGGTCTTGGAAGCTTGCAATCAAGGGCACTATCCAACGAGATTTGGCAGAAGCAACGAGAAAATCCCTCTCTGCACGCAGATGCCCTTCCTGGCAGTTGCGTATCATCACCGATTTGCGAATCACCTTCATTGCAAATACATTTTTCCTAGCACCTGTCATGGTATGCCGACGAACCTTTTCCGAGCCCGCGAGCGCTGAGCGCAGCGGATTCAAACGGGCTGCTCTGAAAGAGGAGGATGCTCTTTCGTCTGCACAACGGCTATGATTCTCTTCGGATCCTTTCTCCCTCACCAAGCGGACGACCCCAAAGCTACCCCTGCCAAGGACTTTGACCACTTCGAAGCCAGCGAGGGAGACTGTTTCATCGCGGCGAGCACTATAAGGACGAGACTTTAGAACACGAAATTGGCGTAGGTGCTCGCGTTCCTGAGTCAGCCAGTTCTTCTTTGCTTTGACTTGCTCTTCTGGGGTGAGTGGATATGCATGGATGTACTTCTCGAGCTCAGTCTGGCGCTGGAAGCGTGGGTCCTCGTTGGACCACATGGTATTGAAGTGTGTCTCGAGAAATATCTTTGCATTGGCGGTGGCCTCTACAGTATGGATAGATGGCGTAACGCAGGGCAATTCTTGAATCGGGGTCAGGATCCTGTGTGTCCCACGGTCTCGTAGGGTCAGTTGTTGACCGTTCTCTGTCACATTCTGAGAAAGGTGCTTCCAGCTATCCTGAGAAGAGCAAGGTTCTTCAGATGTCGGAGGAGTCGAGTTTGTACTGACAGGTGAGCCACCATTAGAGGGAGAGGTTGAGGGGTCGTCGCTATCAGGAGCATCATTCGCGCTATCCCCCTGCTTGCTCAGCGGGGGGTGAGGCGACACGAACTGGGCAGCTCGAATACTCGGGCGTGATCGAGGCTTGGTACGGCGGATAACGGTTGGATAGCCAAATGCGGTGGATAATTTGCTTGAGACGATGTCGGTCAGCACTGCTGAAGTGGAATTTGTACATCGGATTTCGATGCGCGTGGGAATTGGCTCCACGATGTCGGTCTTCAAAAGTCGTGGCTGGAGCTCCGTAGGTGCTGTAACTCTCTCATCTGTAAGGGATAAATGACATCTGAACGCATCAAAGGACGTATTTGAGCTGCTTTGAGCTGATGCAACTGCCGCATGAATATTCTGACCCTCTATAGAAGGGGTGCTTTGGCCGGTGCGATTATCTCCGTCAGGATACGAGTGGAAAGACTGCGACGGCTCAGCAGAGTCCACTGGACTTGGGCGAACTTCTCCCGGGGGCGCCAGTCGTGCAGCTAGGTCATTCAAAGTCAGCAGGGCCTCGATCGGAAGGGTGTGGCGAGCTTACCATTTGAAGGAGTACGGAGTCCGAGAAATGATAGAAGCTTGGATCTGTTTCGTCTGAGGCGCGTGCTGATTCTATCACGGCTACTCTGGGTTGGTGAAGTAGACCCTGATTCACCCGAAACTCCCTGCTCGTTTGAGGACGTACAAAAGCCGTTCTCAGGGTCAACAGGATCGTTGCCTGACTGGGGGTGATCGTTGACGACCTGCAGACTCGCCAGATGAGCGTTGGTACTGGCGTCCATCCCGGCAGGAACGCTTCTTAATCGTGAATAAAAGATGTGTATCCTTCAGCTGCTTGTCGTGATACCAGCCTTCATTGGTATATATATTTAACGATAGTATGCGTATGGCTGATACAATGAGTCAAGGAATGAAGGGACTCTACGAGAACCAGGAAGGCCAGCAGTGACGATGTCAGGATGCTCATGGGAGAAGCTGAAGCTGAATGAAAGATGAAAAGGTGGGAGGGAATGGAGCAGATGCGGCATCATTCATAGAGGGAAACCACGCCGGTGACAGAGATTTGATGCCAGGGAAAGTGCGTCTTGTTTGTGAATAGAGAGAGGGAAGCGGGCCCTGCCGAAGACATTTTCGTATACAGTTGGCGTCCTACGAGATGCTGGATGATTATCTTGAGTTGGATGAACAAGTAGAATTCACACTTCATTTTGACGAGTAAGAGACTAGGACCCCTTGCGATATCCTCATCCCTGCTATATGCATGGCAAAAGGCTGTGCAAAATGGAAAACAAGTCGGATATCACCGGAATCATTATTCAAACAAAAAACCCCTAAACACCTTTTGAGAATGACCAAGTATATAAGAAACAGTGGGCGTCAATGGGGACAGATGATGACCCCGGGTGTGGACAATGGAACATCGGACAGAAGCTGAACTCAAAGGCTGCTTATTTGATCTCGAGGAGCTTGACGTCGAAGATCAACTTCGAGTTGGCCGGAATGCCGGGAAGAGCCTTCTTGCCGTAGGCCAGCTGAGGAGGAATGGTGATACGACGCTCAGCACCAACAGCCATGCCGGCAATACCGATGTCCCAGCCCTTGATGACCTCGCCCTTGCCGAGCTTGAAAGTGAAAGGCTTGCCCTTCTTGTTGGCTGTGACAAAAAAAAAAAAAAAAAAAAGTCAGCACTCTGCAGATCGGTTGTTGTTAGGAAAAAAGATCACATACCATCAAAAACCTTGCCATCCTCGAGCTTGCCGATGTATCTCATGGCCACAGTGTTGCCGTTCTTGGCGGCGGCACCCTTTCCGAGCTTCTTGTCATCAATCTTGACGCCCTTGATTTCCTTGACACCAAGGGTGCCGGTGGCCTTCTCAGCGGGCTTCTGACCAGAGGGAGTAGGGCCCTGCTCAAGGTTCTTGGCAAACTGGACCTTCTTGGCCTCCTTACCCTCCTTGGCCTCCTTCTTCTCCTCGACAGCGGCGGCCTCACCGTTGTTCTTCTTGAGCTTCTTCTGCTGCTTCTTGCTCAAGGCAGGCTCGGCGTTGGCGGCGGCCTTGCCCTTACCATCCTTGGCCATCAGGTCGTCAAGCGCCATCTCCTCGTCAGAGTCGGCGGTACGCTTGTTCTTGCCCTTGGAATCGACCAGCTTGGGGGCCTCCTCGTCGCTCTCAACCTCAGTGACTCTGGGATTCTCCAAAGAGTCAAGTTCGTCTTCCTCGTCGACATCGAGGAGGTCATTGATATCGTAGGATCCATCAGGAGGCAGGTCATAGTCATCCTCATCAGACTCCTCCTCAGAGTCCTCATCCTCATCGTGGTGATGGTCATCGGCGGGGATCACGTAGTTACCGGTCAAGTAGACGGTGTGGGTGCCGGTAACCTTGAAGAAAACGGGCTCACCCTCGTTGATGGTGATGTCCAGGGTTTGCTGGCAGTTCTGTTGAAAAATGTTAGCGCAATCCTGTCTCCAAGATCTACTAAGATGGTGAGTAAATGACATACTCTCTCGGGGTCCAAGGTGCAGACGACCATCTCATCGAGCTCGAGGCCCTCGTCCTCCTCATCCTCCTCCTCATCATCGTCATCACCCGTAGCGGGGGCCTTGCCCTTGACAAGCTTGGAGATGGCAGCCTTCAGATCAAAGTCATCATCTTCATCATCTTCATCATCCTCGTCATCCTCATCCTCCAGCATCTCCTTGAGAGCAGCAGCCTCCCTGAGCTTGCGGGCCTTCTCCTTGTCGCTGGGGCCGCCATTGAGCTCCTCATCGGAGTCCTCCTCCGAATCGTCCTCGTAGTCATCATCCGACTCATCCATATCCATATCCGCAGGGGGACGGACGATCTTGAGAGTAGCTCTGGGGCGAACGTTTCCATCCTCGAACTCGGGAGTCTCATCGGGATCGATAGCAGCCATGCTCACGCGGAACTATACATCGCAATTAGTGGACTTGCGTCCTGGAAATCCAGGTTATCAAGAGCGACAAACCATGGCAGCGGCATCGGGAACAGCAGGGATCAAAAGACCTCCAGCAGGAACCCTCAGGGCGTAAACTGCGACGGGCTGAACGGCGGACATTTTGTTTTGAATGCACGGATGGAAAAATTCTAATCACAGACAAGTAAAAAAGAGATATTCACAATATCACAGACAAGACGAGTACCGGATCAATGAAAGAATGATTGTCCAGGTAAGCAAAGAGGGGGGAATGGGGGAGAATCAGAGAGAAAGGAAGAGAGAGTCTTGAAGGTGATGAAGAACCTCCAAAGCTTTTTTTTTTTTCTGCGATGGAGCAAGCGGTGGAGCCTGAGCGCCTGAGGTCTCCATTTTTTTTTTTTTTTTTTTTTTTTTTTGTTCTTTTCCATGGAAACAACCCGGTGGCCAATCAGATCCTTGACCGCCTCCCACTATAAGTTCTCTGCAACTTCTCACCGCTTTGGAGCTCTGCATCGTCACATGACGTCGTGTTTGTCGTTCGCGTCCGCCGCCTCCACCACCATCAGCCATCAGCCATCCATGGTCACTCTCGCCGATAAGGTCATCTCAGACGAGGTAGCTGTGTCTGTCATGATCATAGCTATCTGCGGCCCATCATGGGCTCTGTTCACCATGCAAACTCCAGCGCTGTGCGCAAGCGGATAGAAAGCCGTGCGTTATTCCCTATACAGTTCCCGCGTTCTGTAAGCATTATGTGCTAATCTGGGGGGTTCAGATCACTTCGACGATGAAGAAGGCGAGGAATACGATGCGTCCAAGTTTGGTGGCTTTGGCGATTATATGCGTCGTAAAAAGCTCAAATTGCAGAACCTGGACGCCGAAATTCGCTCTTCCTCCCCAGATCGTCCTGCAATATTCCGGGGCGTAGTCGCTCATGTCAATGGATACACGCAGCCGTCTTTGCAGGACCTTCATCGTCTGATTGTGAGCCATGGAGGTGGGTTTCTCCAGTACCTGGATGGTAAGACTGCAGCGACCCACATCATCGCCAGTTCCTTGACCCTTAAGAAACGCGAGGAATTTAAAAGATATCGCATTGTGAAGCCGGCATGGGTGGTTGAGAGCGTCAAAGCTGGCCGTTTGCTTCCCTGGGACTTGTTTAGAGTTGTGGATGAGGGGCATGCCCAGAAGATCATCAATTTCGATAACGGACGGTTTCTCAGTCAGACAAATACTCAGCCTTCTGGATACAGAGATCAGACAGATTCCAGCTGGTACACATCTCGGCTGAAGGGCGTGGAGGCACCGGGAAAGACGATCGAGTCAAATGAAATTCAGCCTGACAATATTCCAACTCCCGTGGCGGATGATGCCCCGAAAGTCGGGACACAATCAGATTATGGCGAATTCCCCAGCTTTGCTTCGTCGGCCCAGGACGTGAACAGAGCGACCACTCCGGTATCTCGGCCAACTGGCTCGCCCGAGCCCTCAACGCCTTTAAATGAGACAAATGGTGCAGCGGGAGACGGTGATTCACCAAAATCTCCAAACGTAATTACCCCTGACCGGCCATCGGTGCGACAATCAACGACCCCCAAGGCAGAAATGACCTCTGAAGAGTACAACGCTCAACTTCTCGCAGATCCTCGAATGCGGAATTCAGGCGTGGTGAACCCGGAGTTTATTCAGCAGTACTACCGGGAGTCGCGTCTACACCATCTGTCAACGTGGAAAGCTGAGCTCAAAGCGCAGCTGCAGTCAACTACGAAAGAGAAATTGCAATCCCAAGTTGGCCGAAAAAAGCCAGTTCCAGGGGCCAGACGCTATGTTCTGCATGTGGATTTTGATTGCTTCTTCGCAGCTGTGTCCATACTGAAGCATCCTGAGCTCAAAGACCAGCCCGTCGCCATCGCCCACGGTGCAGGCTCTGGCTCTGAGATCGCTAGTTGTAACTATCCGGCGCGCGCTCGGGGCATCAAAAACGGGATGTGGATGAAGGGTGCTCTGCAGGCCTGTCCCGAGTTGAAAGTCTTACCCTACGATTTCCCTGCTTACGAAGAGGCTAGTCAGAAATTTTATGGCGCTGTTCTTTCGCTTGATGGTGTTGTTCAGAGCGTTAGCATTGACGAAGCGCTTGTGGATATCACGACCCAATGCCTCGAAGCTGGGGGCTCCGATGGGCGAGGAATATCGGAAGGGTCTATCTATCGTGAACAAGCGAGGGCAGATGAAATTGCTCAACACTTACGAGACTCGGTCAAAGTAGCAACTGGCTGCGATGTCTCCGTTGGTATCGGAGGAAACATCCTTCTGGCCAAGGTCGCTCTGCGGAAAGCAAAGCCTGCCGGACAATTCCAGCTGAAACCAGAAGCCATTTTAGATTTCATCGGCAATCTCACTGTGCAGGAGTTGCCTGGTGTTGGGTATAGTTTAGGAGCGAAGCTTGAGGAACTTAAGGTTAAATTTGTGAAAGACATCCGAGATCTTTCTCGCGAGAGACTAATCACCAGCCTTGGGCCGAAGACTGGCGCCAAGCTCTGGGACTATTCTCGAGGCATTGATTGCACGGAGGTTGGGAATGAAGTTATACGGAAGTCGGTTTCGGCGGAGGTCAACTGGGGGATTCGGTTCGTGAACCAAACGCAGGCCGAGGACTTTGTGCGGTCTCTGTGCGAGGAGCTACACCGAAGACTTGTCGAAAATCTGGTCAAAGGCAAGCATCTGACGCTCAAAGTAATGCGAAGAGCCGCAGATGCACCGCTGGAGCCTGTTAAACATCTTGGCCACGGCAAGTGCGACGTCTTCAACAAGAGTGTGGTTCTCGGTATTGCCACCAACGACCAGGAGATACTAGGCAAAGAGGCAGTATCGATGCTGCGTAGTTTCGCCTTCTCACCTGGCGATCTCAGAGGCTTAGGGGTCCAGATGACCAAACTTGAATCCCTGAAGTCGGGATTGCCCAATAGACCCGATGGGAGTCAACGACAATTAGATTTCAAAGCATCTCCGATACGGAAAAGCATCGAGCATGTACCGGACCCCGATGACCTGGACAGTCCCCGCAAGGGAGATGCCGCGGCCGTCAGTCGTGGTCCGCCGTTGAATGACCACTCTCACAAGCCCTTGAATATCTCAGGGACTCAGTTCATCATGCCATCTCAGGCTGACCCCAAGGTTGTCGCCGAGCTTCCTAGTGATATCCGATCAAAACTCATGTCGCAGGGCAAGATACAGCGTGCTTCTCGCTCCGCCTCGCCCTGTCCACCAGCTCGGTGGACGCAACAGTCCACAACCACGAAACTTCCTCCTCAGTCACAGCTCGACCCGGACACACTGGCGGCTCTGCCAGATGATGTCCGTGCCGAGATTCTGGGCTACTATAAACAACCCTCCGAGACCCCTGAATTACAACCAGCCATATCCCCTGCGCCCCCACCGCGCCCAAGCTCCTCTTCAGGAAACCTCAAGCTGAAGAAACCGTCAACCCCGACAAAGAAACGCCGTGGCCGTCCCAGCAACAAGGCTCTCGGCAACATGACCCTGACACAGTCAAACTTTGTCATCGCACGACAACAAGCCGCCCCCTCACTCAACACAGAATCCCAACCATCCTCCCGCCAGCCCTCCACCGACCCAGACCCGGAAGTCTCCGCCGAGTTCCTCGCCGCCCTCCCCGAAGATATCCGCCAGGAAGTCCTGGAGGAGCAAAAGCGAGCCCGCCTGCTGCAGCGCACGGGCATGGCCCCCGCGGCTCCCCGAAGAGTCGTCCCACCCAAACCATCGGCCCCAGCCGCCACGCAGGAAAAGCGCCTCCGCCTGTCCCCATTACCGGAACGGCCAACATTCACGTCCAAGAAGCTGTCCAGTCTGTCCGAGCTCCGGGACGAGCTCAGCGCGTGGCACAAAGCCTTCGCGGACGAGGGACCATTCGGCGAGGACGTCGCCGCACTCGCTGAGTATCTAAAACGCGTTGTCGTGGACGAGAAAGATCTCGATAAGGCGGTTTCGCTGGTGAGCTGGCTAGCGTGGCTTGCTGAGGATTCGAAGGACCTGCCGGGCGCTAGACAGCGGGGTGGTGCTTCGCAGGGGACGATGACGTGGGATGAGACTGTTTCGACTTTACGGGAGAGCGTCAGTGAAGGCGTCGACGAGAGGGGGTTGCCGCCGGTTGAGTTTTCTTAAACATTTGTCCATTATATGTAGGTTGTATATATATATATATCACGAACGTCACGATTTGCGACGCCAATTCAATTCCAGAATCTGTACAGAATCTTGACTACATATTGGATTTCAAAATATACTTATAAGGCTACAGGCACAGTGCTTAACTTCCGCCGAACAACATAATCATAAGAGGTATCCGTATCCATCAATTCACCACTCGTGCAGCAGAAGCAGACCAACACTCTCTCCGAAAGTACTCCACCATCTTCGCCACGAGTGCCTGATCCAACGGCCTCGCCTGCGCCAGCGTCGACGACACCTCGCTCGCCTTCGCCGTAGACCATCGTAGTGACCGCCGCGGCTGCTCGGTATCATACTTGCTCGCGAAGAAATCCAGCAATTTGATCGGCGGGTTTACTGCAGGGTCGGGATGCGACCCCCTCAGTCGACGGATCCACTCGCGCGGCGGGAGCTCCTCGAAAGCGAGACCCGCGCTGCGAAGACACGGAAGGAGGTCCCTGGTCCAGTGAAAGGGGTGCGGGCTGACGATGTGGAAGACGAGGTGTGGGTTTTCGTTGCTCCGGAGGGAAAGGTCGATGACGGCGCCTGCGACGGTGTCGACGGGAAGCCAGCGCGGGGACTCGTCGAGGGCCGGGAGGGCATGGATGGTGGTGGCGCATTGCAGGATCAGAGGGATGGCTTCGGTGGGGTTCCAGATGCCGTGGTGCTGGTCGCCGATGACCTGGCCGATGCGGAGGACGCGGGCGCGCAGGCCCGTGTGCTGGGCGGCCTGGATGCAGATGTGTTCACCGACGAGCTTGGACTGGGCGTAGCCCATGTTCTGCGCGTCGCTGAGTTTCTGTGGGAGGGCTTCGGGGATGTGCTCGCCGTCGGTGTTGACGACGGCGCTGACGGACGAGCAGAAATTGAAGGAGGCGGGGGCGGGTCGTTGCGATTTCAGACACAGGTCGATGAGGTTTTTGAGGCCGCCGATGCTGTCGCGCTCGAAACTGCTCAGCTGCATGTTGAAGTTGACGGACCAGGCGCAGTGAATCACGTCTGTTACCTCCATCATCAGTGTGTCGTAGGTTGACGAGGTTAGCCCGAGGGTGGGTTGCGAGAGATCAGATGGGAGAGCGACGAGCTTGCTGCGGACGGCATCAGAGAGCCCATCGTAAACCTTTCGGGCTCGCAGTGAGTTCCGCAGGCGATCGTCAGCTTCCGCTGTCGAGGCAGCTCGGATAAGGCAGTACACCTTCTGTACATCCTCAAGCACCGAGAGCTTGGCGACGACATGGCTTCCAAGAGACCCTGTCGCGCCTGTAACCACCTGAGGCTGTTTTAGATTGGATGCGGCGTGGAAATGCTCAAGGGTGACTTACGACGTATCGTCCTTGCCGCTCATTCGGAAGCGGCTCATGCTTCTTGAATTGGCTATATTTTGAAATGAGGGCATCCATTCTGTCTTCAATGGACTCGACAGCTCCCGAATCGCCAGAACCGAGTGCGCTCAGATACCGAGTGAGAGCATTAATAGTAGGATGCTCAAATGTAACATTCAGTCCGAGTCTGTGCCCACTTGTGTTCACCGTCTTCAAGAGGACCGACCGCAACTGGGCAGCCTGCAGGGAATCCATCCCCAAGGTGAAGAAATCTGCATCATCCGTCAAGGCGCCGGGTTCCTTCAAGGGAAGCAGGTTGCGTAGCTGCTCTCGCACGAAGTCTCTCAAATCGTGTTCCGACAGAATGAGTGTCCCCGTAACGGCATCCTCTGCCTCATACGCCTCCTCGATCAGATTGCCGAAAGTCCGGTAGAACGCCTGCCTGATGACCGTGCCCTTGTCGGTGCGCGGATACTGCGTGTCAGACGGGAGCACTCGCACCATGCTTCTCGAGAGTTGTCCAAACGCAGGCATTGCCCCGTGGGCCTGCTCCACCGCAGTCCAAATACCCTCAATGATCTCCGCGTCGGATAGATCGTCAGCGCCAGGGGCACGAATAACCACCAATCCGATACAAGCCCTCCCTGCTCCAAAGACAACCGCTTCAGAAACGGCATCATGCTGCCGGACCCGCCCTTCCATGTCCAACGGGTTCACCTTCTCGCCGTTCACGAGAACAATCGTGTCGTCCAGTCGCGCGTAGTACTTGTACGCCTCGATCGCTGGATGCTTGAGGAAGAGGTCCTTGGTAGCGTACGAGCCATCCGGTCTATTCGACATGACCTTTGACGGCCAGCCGTCGAGAACTACCAGTTCAAATATGCCGGGAGAGCGCTCTTCGAATGCAAGATACTTCCTGACTGCGTCCGAAGGGCGCACCCAGTCCCAACCCTTATCTCCAACGGGGCGAAACGAGGTCATGAGTTGGCCGGTTTCGGTCCTGAAAGCATTCATTAGGAGCCATCTCAAGCCAGGTTCTACATTCATGGCAACTCACGTTCCATAATGACTGATCAAATTGACACCGTTCTGCACGAGCCGATCACCCAATGAATCAGGACACGCAGAACCCCCAAACATGACCGCTTTCAGTTTCGCAAGCACAGCGATACCTTCGTCGGTTTCCGCGAGGAGTTTCAGCGCGTAGGGCACACCGTAGAAGATCTCAAGCTCGTGTGAGCGCATGATATCCAGCAGATACTGCTTGGTGAGCGGTAAATCCGCACTGTAGAGACGCAGTGTTTTGCACGAGTGGACGGTTCGGAAGAGACAGCTGAGTCCGTGGTTGTGATACAGAGGCAGTGTTATGAATCCGGACATGTTCATATTCCCCGCGTAGTTCTTGAGAACGGCACGTTGCGTCTGGAAAATGGGTTTAGGTAGCCCCGTCGAGCCGCTGGAGTGAATAATCCAGGCAATATGCTGCGACTCGACCTCGGAATCCAGATGAGGTGTAAGGTTCGTGTCAACGTCACAGGGTGCCGGGTAATCATAAACCTCCTGAGTCGGGATCTCGTCGATGTGCAACCCTGGGATCCGGAGGCGAAGTACCTCGGCTGTCTGACGAAGAGAGGCATGGACGAAGATATGCTTGGACCCCGTCTTCTCCAGTAGCGACGCATATGCCTCGGTGGATATGCTCGTCGAGAGGAGGAGACCTGCATGCCCGAGCTTCGTCACGGCTAGAAGCATGACAAGGTAGTCGAGGTTGGACGGGCCCAGCAGCGCAATAACGGCTGGTTTTTCAGACGAGACCTTCCGTGGCGGTGCTTGAGCAGTGATTGCCTTGGCGACTCTGAAGGCGAAGACATCGAGTTGTCGCAGGGGGTAGTCGACGTATTCGATGCCGGCTCGAGGGTAGGATATCACTGGCTGTGAGGATGCCAATGAGGCGCGGTGCCGGACGAACTCATCAACTGTGAGCGGCTCCCTATCGGGTATGTCGAGGCCGACTTTCTCATGATGAGCAAGCTCTTCGGGAAGAGCGTTCAAGGGGGGAAGTGGTGAAGATAGCATAGTAGTGACACCGCTTGGTCAACATTGGCAATTTGGCACAGAAGTGTCCTGCAGGGAATGCCTCCGAGAAGAGACGGGAATCAATCTGATTTATGTGCATCATGCTGCACTCTCCGTGCGTCAAGGGATCTCTCATCGATCTCCATATCCGACAATCATCAATTGTGTAGAGCACAGCAGAGCAGATGGATACTGTAAAAGCTCCGGAGAAGTCCACGAACACTCGGATATTAATCCGACCAGATTAACATCGCCTTCGCATGCATATCACTATTATTCAGGGAGTAGAAAGTGGTGTCTGCACATCCTGGCTCTCTGCCTGGATATCCAGCTGGCGGCTGGTGCGTACGGCGACCAACCAACAAATGCAGTATAATTGATGCGAATTTGCGTCTCGGTCGACCTGTGTTTCCAAGCCGTCTTTTGCATGACCCAGCTCCCAATTGTGATTTCAAGATCAACCGTGTATTAAGCCGTACAAGCCCGACAATTGGAAATATACATACGCACAAAATGACCCCAGAGAAAAAGGCCATAATAGAGTCCAGGCGACGAAGAGTAAGCTTGCCAAGTTTAGTTCTACGATATGAAGGGTCCGTCGGAAGTGGCTGGTCAACATAGAACTGCTAAAAGTCTTCAAATCTTGACGATCATATCCTTATATCTGGACATTGAAACATGGTGAACGGGCCGCATATTGTTGAGACCGTCCGTGGCCTCAATAAGCCAGCGTCGACTACAACCAGCCCACCAAGAACTGGGGCGACAAGCCCGTTTCCTCCTTCAAGGCTGGTGAGGAGATCGAGGTCCAGTGGTGTGTCGACCATAACGGTGACCATGGTGGCATGTTCACCTACCGGATCTGCCAGGGCCAGAAGCTGGTGGACAAGTTCCTCGATCCATGCTACCTGCCCACCGAGGAGGAGAAGCAGGCCGCCGAGGACTACTTCGAGAAGGGCATTCTGCCTTGCACCGACGTCAACGTGCAGGAGTGCAGCTACAGCCCGGATTGCCAGCAGGACCAGGACTGCTGGCGTAACGGTTGGTTCACCTGCGACGCATTCGACAGGCGAAGACGAAATCATCGCGAAGGACTTCGAAAGCATCAATCAAATCAAAGAATCATCGTTGAAGGATCATTCGGTAGATTCGAAAACGCCTAAACAATAATCTTGTAAGCATGTCCAGATTGCCACGGACGATTACTGGACCACTCACCCAGGAGTCAAGCTGAGCCCACCAGATCGAACCCTCAAGATTATCCAAAATACCATAGTCCTCCGGTAGCCCAAATGGCCCTTCACCCACACCCGCGGACTGCAAGCTGCCAGATACATTATGGTAGTTCACCGCACTGGGATGGAAAGATATAGGATGCTCGACACTGGGACTGGCGTATCCCTGATCCAGCGGAAGGGAGACTTCCTCGCGAGTAGACATGCTGCGGAGATCATCGGCTGCATGGCCCGAAGTCCCCAGTTGCCTGTGGACCTCCAACCTCAGCTCTTCGAGAATGATACTATAGCGACGGCTGGGGCAATTTTTGCGAGTGACCTCGGCAAGGTGTCGCTGGCAGCTTTCCGCAAGGCTGAAGAGCGAATGGAGATAACTGCTATCCTCAATGCTTCTTGGTGAAGCGGTGTCGGCATTGGACGCCAGTCGATGCTGCTGAATGGTGTGGATGTAAACCACGATTATGGCGCAGAAGCATACATAGTGGGTAAACCAGGACGATTGGATCAGGACGCCCTGCTTGGCCAAGCTGTCTACTAGTTTCATCACGTCTTCGGCAGCATCTATGCACTTACGCACATGGCTCGAGACCATGGGATGCGGAACTGAAGGTCTGCGGCTGAGATCGGTGAAATCGTTCAAGAGAAACGACCGTGTCGCATGGATCGTTGCGTGGGAGTACGCGAGCTGCAGGACCTGACTCTGTCTACAAAGTGGCGGAATCAAACTTGTCGCCCGCACACTGTTGAACAACGGGGGTGCGGTCTCTTTCCATTGCTCGAGGTCCGATGTAAGACGCGCAGCAGTCTCATGGGGCGGATCACGGGAATGCGGATTGACGGTGTACAGCTGTCGGGAGATCTCACCGAGAATACGGCCGAGCCTGTCACGAGATCAGCTCCAGGATACAAAAAGGTGAAACGGTCCCGCGGAACACACCTGTAGTGAAGTATAGAAGCGATCATCATGCAATCCGGCGACCCAGTACGTCTCTGCGAATCCTCCTGCAACATATCCTCATCATTGATCTCATCCGGAAGTTCTTGGTCAATGTCCTCGTCATGGAGCAACCGCGGTCTCCCAAACATAACGCTGAGATATTTGTCCAGCGTATAAGCACTCCAAAGGATACGCTTGCGAAGCTGTTGCTCAAGATACGAGTTTCCGTGCTTTGGCATCTTCGCGGGCCATTTCCGATGTAGGCCTAGAGCCGTCACCAGCTGCAAAGCCGTGCCAAAAGTATACCAGCACTCATTGGCCCGTGAGGATGACAGCAGATATAGACATTGACCTAGCCGTGCTTGAACCGTCTCCAAGCGCGGGGGTCCGGACTCCAAGGAAGCGATGTACTTGGACGCCGCATACCATCGTTCACTAAGCGCGCTCAGTTCTCAATCCGAAATATGTATGAGCCAGAAAGCTTGGACTCACCTTCCATTGCAGAGTTCCGCCGAACGCTCGGGGTTTTGCTCCTCGTACAAAGTACCCACGGCAAAGATCATCAGAATGATAGCCGTCCGCGCAACCATGATCCCCGTTGGCAGCTTCGAATAGGAGATATTGCTTTCGTAGACCTGCCCGAGCCACTCCTCCACACTTCCCCTATGGAGAAAGCGGTACGTGACCATCGAGTAATCAAAATAAATCCCTACCAGCTCCAAAGCCTTCTCGAAGGGCGGCAAGGCAAACCCAGCCTCCTGGAAATTCGTATACGGCTTATCCCCGAACTTGAAGACGGAGGTATTCCCCGAGCTGGCCTCATCCTGCAGACCCCCAGGGATAGCCGACGACTCATCCTGGTGCAGCCGGCGCCAGACACGATTCAGGAACGACACCCCCGACGCCGGACCAAGGTAGTTGCCCTCGAAGTCCGTGACAACAGGGTCCGGCGAACTACGCAGCGACGCCTCGGGCCGATCACTGACGAGTCGCTGAGACGTCGCGCGAGACGTCACCCGCGGCGAGGGCCTCGCAGATCGAATCCCCGACGCCAGAGGACCGGGGAGCGGATCGGGCGGAAGGCCCCGCGAATAGGCCGCATTATACTCACAGCGGAGCGAGATCCTTGTGCACCTGACGCAGGGAAGCGTGCCTGTGCATCTGGTCTTCTTCTCTTTACAATAGTCACACGCGCGGGTGATTTTCTGCCGCTGCACCGTGCTCGGCGCCGGAGACGAAGAGGAGTCTGGTGTCTTTCGCTTCTGTCGCTGTCGCTGTCGCGAGATCGTCCTGGGAGGATCTCGCTGGTCGGCGGGAAATCCGACGCCGCGGCCATTTCCGGGCGACGGTTGGGGAGTATCCGCCTGGTTGATGCCTATGCGCGCAGCTGCCATTATTGGTCCGGAGCGCAGAACGACGTTGCGGGGTGGTTCCTCGGCATGAATGACGAGACGGAGATCTCTCTGTTTGTCGCCTTTTCCGTGATTCTCCAGCAAGTCATGGCACAACTGTCAAGGTGGGAGGTGAATGCAGGATTTGAGGGGGATGGAGAATTTTCCGAGCGGACTCGGGGAAGTGGCCGAGGGTCCAACAACTCCCAGAGTCCAGTCATCATCGTTGGATGCGGGAGTTGGGAGGGACTCCTTCACTGAGCCAGCGGGGGGAGGAAATGCAGAGTGGATGGGAATTCTTGATGAGATGAAATAAGATGAGATGGGATTAGTGATGATGCGACGTCTGCAGCCAATCTACTCATGTTGCTACTACTTTGGATACTGCGCAGTCATGAAGTCGCAGAGGACTACTCGATGTAGGCGTCACGTGTCACACGATGAATCAGCAGCAAGGTTGAGAGATGGTGTATGCTTGATGGACTATGCAATACCCAAATAACGACAAGACAGAGGAAACAGTACAAAGAATGAATACTAGGGGAGAGAAATGACTATAACAATCGCATCGCAGTAACTCAGCACCCGGATGTCCACAGGGATGGTTCGATTGATAGCGTGAAGGGCACGGTGCTAACGTCAATTTCCATGGCGCATAGTGTCCGAAGACTGCTCATCTACGGCGTGCTGCCGAAATCCTCGAGGCTGAGGAAAGGAACACGAAGGGGATTCATTGTTCATCGTATCCTGCGATGGACTGGATATACTGGATACGATCCCATGTCCACCCGCGACTTCATGTAGAGTGAGGAGTACTGTAACGATGGTGGCAGAAGGGTCGTGTGCATCCACAAGATTGAACTGTAGAGGCCATTGGATGGAGGAAGATGCTTTTCCACCCGTAGATTCCGAATCACCTGTTCCTGCGGCTTGATGACTGCCTGTTTGAGGAAGTGCGGACGCGAAGCTTCGGTAACCGTCCATGCATGGCATCAACACAGCAGCTCGCCGCTTCAGGATACTCATGCCATGCAGGTTCCATATCCAAAAGCCGATTTGCCAACAAAAGGTACAACTAGAATTCGGTCGAACAATTACCCTGCCACAGCTGGAAGCCCCATGGCCGATCCACACTTGAAATGCAATGCAACAAAGCGACGATCGTTGCCTCCTGTTCCCACTGAACTACACTCCCTTAAGAGCAGCGAGTTGGGGTGCGTCATGATCAACGAAGAGACCTGGGTCGTTGTCGAGTAAGCTCCGGGATCGAACAGTGACCTGGTGTAAAGAAGAGAGGGATAGAACGAGACTTGCGCAGAAGGGGAAGCAGAAGAGGGGGGAAAAAAAGATCAAGGCAGGCGAACTCAGAAGTCGCTTTGCCGCTAGCCTGAGCCGGTGAAAATCGTGCTTTGTGTGTTTCAGAGTGCCTAAGGCATTTCAAGTCCCATATAGAGTGGGTGGCTGTTTATGTAGCCGGCCAGCCCTTTTGTTGCACTACGGAAGGATCCTGCCTTACGTGTTGCTTCACCATGGTCCCTCCGCCAGCTCTGTGGGGAGGACGATACCCCCATCAGGAGCACTGGCAGGGGTGGTGCAGATGATGGCACGAGACAACACAGATCATGCGCCGTGAGAGATCTTCATCTGGTCCAGGCCCATCCCCCAGACTGCGACCCTTCTTGAAATCATATATCATCATTATCCAGCAAGGTACTCGTCGTACCGTCGGGAGTCGATTTCCCCGGCCCACTGGCCGGCTTCCTAGGCGTCCAATCCAAATCGCCCAGCCCATCGACCGAGTCCCCAAGTCCATCGATCAATTCTCCTATGCCATCAACCTCATCTGGATATCGCAACGATTTAGCGACCTCCGCGCGGATCTCATTCAACGACGCTCCCGAGCGAATGGTGTTGATGACGGCATCGATGGTGGCTTGTTCGCCGTGGCGGATAACTTCGAGCAGGTGCTCGACAAACACACGATAGTATTCCAATTCCTCCTGGGTCCGTTTCGCGGCGACCTTGCGGCGTTTGTCTGCAAGCTCATCGATAATGCAAGTTCGCCCGTGAAGGGCGCATTCGGAACAGGGGATGCCGGTGGAATCCGCACTACACTGGAGAGGGAAAAGAGCAGAGGCAGCCATGTCAGCACAGAGGATAGTCCAAAGCCTTCAGAAGACGCAGAGGGACCAGGGGAGCGGAAACGAGGGCAAGACGGAGTGTGGGATGGTGATGGAGAGGTGAAGAACAAAGAAGAGAAAGAGGGGCAGTGTGAGACGGGAGGGAGGGGCTCGTACCTTAGTCCGACGTTTTTTACACTCCGTGCAAGCTGTCGATGCTCTCCGGATCTTAGTCTCTTCAGCGACAGGCCCGGGTGTCGGAGGATCTAGCAAGGTTCGTGGAGCGATAGGACGAAAGGGCCTCGGAGGCCCTTGGTGGGACATGATCCCGACGCAACTCGGGGGGTAAACTTGGGAACAAACCCCCAAGAAATCGCAAAGGGGAAAAATTAAAAAAAAATTAAAAAAATAAAAAGGGGAAATAAACCGGGAAGGAATTAGAGAAAAGAAACTAAGGTTGAGGGGGAAAAGGCCGGACCGGACTCTGGGCGATCGATTGTTATGAGCATGCTCCCCAGGAGAGTGCTCCTAGCCTCAAGTGCTCAGAAGGGTGAGCATGCTCAACTAAAAGGGTATCTGAACGCGAGAGAGCGAGAGAGAGCGAGAGAGAGCAAGAGAGAAATAGGTCACCTGCAGCGCTAAGCCAGGTTCTGGGGCACAGACTGCCGCAGGCGATAGTATCTGTTCGTCGACCTGGCCTGCGCTGGCCTGTCCTGACCTATGCAGTGTCGTCACAGTAACGGCAGAGAAGAAGCAGACAAGCGCGACGGAAGAGTTGGAGAGATGAAGTACCGAGTAAGAGGCATGCGGGCGAGTGGGTAGGGTAGAAATGTGGATAACAAAATGTGGGCAGAAGTGCAGGAAGTGCAGCAGTGCAGACGGTGCAGGACACCCGGAGTGGAATCGAGGATGGAATCCGATCCTGGGGCCGAGAGTCAAAACAACATGGGAATCAAAATGTTCTAGAAACGGAAAAGGAAAAGGGAAAAAAAAAGAAAGAAAGAAAGAAGGAAAGACGAAAGAAAAAACAGAAGACGGAAAGGGAAAAGTGATGCGTAAGGACTAGGTAGGATGGAGTTGACTAGTTACTACCTATGAGTAGTGCTCAACTAGTAACGAGGTGCTTAGAGCCTTAGAAGAAAAAAGAGCGATCCATTGACTGGGAGTAAAGTCTGGGTCAATCAAAGATTATGAATCAAGTATTATTATGGGTTTATTATGATATTTTTGCCTCCCCCCAAGGGCCTCAAGTCCCAAGTCTCGAAAAGACAGAGTATTTATCCACGGGGGCCCGTTCCCACTTTTTGTACGCCAGCTGGACTGTTAGCCTGGACGTTCCTTGGCCACTCGGACTTCGTAGTTCGTACTGATCCTAGCCTGAGAGTGATACCTGGCAAACGCCCAAAGGGCTTTTAGGAAGAAAGATCCCAGACCAGGAAGATGGGATGTGACGAATGAGGCATATGCAAAGGTCTAGGAGTCATCGGATAGTGGTGATCTCATGCTCCCAGGCATCCAAGAGATAGACAGATCCTCGACATGGTGCTTCATGGATCATGGATGTAGGTTGTATTGCAGCGACAGTTCAACAGTCGATCAATGCTGAACACACACCCATGCGGTTTCCGACTCGACTAGTCGATTCTTTCGAACCTAAACACGCAGCGAGCCCGTTAATGAAAAGGCTGGAATGTTGAAACTCGTTTGGATGGAGCTGACCTAATCGACAATTGACGAGTAAGATGAGGAATTGGGGGTTAAGACGTTCCATAGTTCATCATCATGATTGTGCATACACTCATCAAGAGGGTATCTAGGACCGAGGTGACCGGAGTACCTCGTCTTGCTGTCCGCCCGTCTGTCCTTACGTGGAACAGCCCATTTATTGCAGCTTGCAACTAGTGATTCGGTGGTGGTTCTTCCTCGCGATGCCACTAAAACAATCTCCCACGGTGGTCTTTGTCTAATCTGGCCCGGAGATAGGATCCGACAGTTATGGTTGGTTGCCGGAGCAGACAGCTCGCTACTAGTACTTAGTTTGGATAAGAGTTTTGACTTAACTTGCGGGAACTTAATGAACCATCCATTCCACCCCCCTTTCCTTCTGGAACTGAAGTTCGCAAGTCACAGTCTCCGAAGCTTACTCCCGTAATGACCAGTGGCTGATGCTGACGTTGATCAGGGTTCACCCTTCATTTCCCGAGTATTAGTATTTAACTAGTAGGAATAATTCCCTCCTCCCTCTCGGAACTAACAGAAAAACGACATACACCGCCTTTCCAGACTCGGTAAAGCGGATGGTGGATCAGGCATCCTTGACCACTGTTGAGTGTTGACACTTGACAGCCGCCGAGTGCGGATCAGTCATCCTTTCCTGAGGTTCTTTTAAAGCAAGTCTAAGGCTCGACCGGCTCGTGGGAGTCTGGGACGTGCCGGTTCACTGTTGGTGTTGGTGACTATTAGTATTTGGAGGACTTGAGGAGTTGGTCCAATGGAGTTTGGGATTATTTGACTGGATGGGAAGAGGCAACGTCGCAGGCTTCAGCCGGTCAGTCCGCAGTCTGATAACCAGACCAGTACTTCATAGAGCAGTGTAACTTATCAATAGGGACCTTCTGCACATTTGATGATAATAATTACCTATCCAATGACTCCGTAATTAGGCTTAGCATTTCCTCTCGGATTCGTCGGTTCTAATCTGACATGGAAACACCAGGGAAGTAGTTAGGATCCGTTAATTATGTACTACTGTATATTGTCTGAAAACCACCCTACGTTCATTTGGACAATGTAGATCTTGTGTTTGATTGTGAGCGGATTTCCCTGCCACCGGACACAACCCTTCACAGCAGGATCGGTACTCAGGAGCCATCCCGGGTTCACTTGAAAAGGCCATGCATGAGCCAAGGATCAAATAGAAGCTCTTTTGCCGTGGCTCGTTCTTCGGGTAGCCAACATAACATTCGCCGGAGAAAGCGGAGGAAGTCGCCCTTTTCATCCCCGTGGAGTCTTTCTTCCAGAGCCTCGAGGTTGTAATCTGGAACGGGAGCTGCGCCTTTCCATTTACCTGAGAGAGAAAATTCGCAAATTGTCAGTGCCAAGGTATATCCACATTTACAGAATGATTCACAGGGAAGGGGTGCGCAGACCATTTTCATCCCAAAACCGGAGACTCCATTCGCTCCGAGCGAGCAACTCCGGAGGAGGAGCACCTCCTAAGACCGCTTGCATCTCGGCGAGATGATATCCATCATTCAACTTCCCTTCGGGATCTCGGGCTCTGAACAGGTGACGATGCTCAAACAGATCCCAAATCTGCACCATGATCAGCTTCATATTGGGGTCAAAGTGGCAATACGATTGCATAGACTGTCTTACCACCATCCCAACATTCCAGATGTCAACTTTGTAGTCCCAACTCAGGTCTAAGATGACCTCCGGTGCCCGATAGATATCTGGCATGATATCGCCTTTTTGCTGGTCGGTGCCTAGTCGAGCCTCGCCTAAATCACAGAGAACGGGTGTCCCATAGGAGAGGGGGAGCGGCCGTGAGAGGTAGATGGTACGATCTTCCAGGGTCTTCCGGGGCACAGGCGCTTCAAATTCTGCTGTCTCGAATTCCGATAGAATTGAGTTGTCCTTGATGCCGAGGAGAATGTTACTTGGTTGGAGATCTATACGATCAGTGATTACTTCCTATTCACCCTACCGCGGGGAGGGCTTCGTGGAAGAACTGGTACCAACCGGTATGTATAATCCGTGCGTCCGTGTGGAGGAAATCTAGGGCAGCAAGGATATTCCGGATGGTAGTTCTCACCATGGCGCTGCTCATGACCCTATCTGGCAGCAGCCGAGTGAGCTGGTCGAGGCTAATCCCAAGAGGTGGATGCACCAGACAAGTATGAACACTCTCTTTATCTGGGCTCTGGGCCTGAAAGATTTCAATCAACGGTCGCAGGCATGACTGACCCGCGTGGTTGGACTGAATCGTTCTTAAATGATTGTAAATTTCGATCTCTCGGGTCACTGTTGTTGACGCTGTGTAAACTTTTAAAGCTATGTAACGGTGGTCCCTGGCCTGTTAGATTGAGTATGTATGCCAAATGGGGGGTCAGTAGCCCCTACAACAAGTCACGGCACAACCACACAGTCGCGCTAGATCCATATCCCAACTTGCCGACTACTTGATATCGGTGGTTGAATACCTCACCGATGCGGACCGGATAGAATTTCTCAGGTCTGTAGGTTGGAATTGACTCTTCTTCAACAGGTACGGAAGGGTCGACATTATCCCACCCTGAAGTAGGGAAGACGCGCGGTTCTGAGGGGGAGCGAATTAATCCTGTACATGAAAGACTGGAGGCTATGTTCTGATTCCATGAGAATCGCGAGGTGTGGAATGATAGTTGTTGTTTGAGGATGTATAATAGTCGCCTTCTCTCCATGGTGCGTTGCTGGATGATGACACTCACCAACAGACCAACCACAGTTCAAGGAATGGTGATACCGCTGGATCTTCACGTTGGCTGAACTCTGAGGTGATGGATCGCGGTGTGCTCCGATCATCAAGTCTTGCATAGACACGCTCGATGGATCGGATTTGCTTGTCCAGTCTAAGCAAGGATGGTACCAACTACCCCAACTTCCTCTACGGGAAATGGTTGCGAGATCTTTTTGTCCAATCAGGTGATCAGAGCAGAACGTACGGTAGATAGCCATCCAAGACCAGAAGGAAAAAAAAAAAAAAAAAAAAAAAAAAAAAGTAAAATCGACTCGATATGTACTGCAAGAACAATCTCAAGGTACGAGCTAGGGGAATCATCAAGTGCAATACTGTACACAAAACGTGATAGCAAAAAAGGACGCCCAGAATGTTAAGAGAACTATGCGTGTAGCTCAATGCCACACGCATAACACTATCCAAGAAGAAAAAAAAAAAAAAAGACAAAAACGACTGCCTTTTCAGTAGACCGGTCTACCCTCGTCCCAGCGACGAGCTTCCCTGGAGCTTGGCTCCATGACCTGACCGTCAGCGGAAGCACGGGCTTCCTCATGCGATGGGGACGAATACGCCAGCGGATGCGGGCCGTCCCCTAGTCGTGGAGAATGACTCTCAAGAGCTTTGGTCTGCGCGCCGCTGATGCCCCCAATCCATTCCCACACGCGCGCAACATCTCCACCTCGTCCTTCACGGACCGCAGCGCGAATGTTGGCATTGCCCTCAACCACACTGCGCACCCGTTTCCAGAGATCTTCCCGTCGCTTGCCGCGTAGTTCAAAGCGGAGGACGTCATCTCGCAGTTGGCCGATAGGGATATATGGCTCCCTGGCCTCACCGCGGGCATGCAAAGCCGCTTGTGTCGCCAGGCGATCTAGCGTAGTCGCCACTAGCTCTGGAACGCGGGCAACATCAGATCGCCGGGCACGAACCTTCGATCGCGCATAAACTACTGCGCTCATGGTCAAGATCAGAATTGAAAGAGGGAGTCGATACGCGAGGAGAGAGAGTCGGATGTAGCGGCGGAAGGCACACGTAAAGGGGAGTCGTGCAATGGAAGTCGATGTGAGAACGAGGACATCGGAGGGTCTGTAATAGTGTTGCCCGCTCTGTTAGTTCCGGTATACATGTCAGAACCATGATCGTTGAGATGCCAGCATGCAGGCTGGATGGACAGGAAACCGCGGTCCCAGATACGAAAGAGAACAAGAAGGAAAACGGGCGCATGCGACTTACTGTTGGGTTTTGCTGACGATTTCATCCTTTGCCAGGAGTTCGCCTAGTGCGCCTTTCCATAGCTCATCAAACTCGGCATCACTCATACCCTTGCGGCGTCTGTTGCCAATGACCTGCTTCAGATCCGACTCGCTCATTTCCGGGGAGGTGACTTCTTTACCATTCTCCAGGGCCTCTCCGCATTCGAATTTAGCTCGTCGGTCACGGAGCTCTTCAATGGCTTTTTCGGCTACGGCCTTCACGCGACGTGCTTTCTCGCTGTCCGGCTCGCAGGTTGGAGGTAGAGGGACCAACCCTCCCAGCGATAGAGGATGCGGCTTCAGAATGAAGTCATGCTCACACCGTGCCTCAAAGTTGGGGTAGCAGAATGCATGTGGAGGACATGGATCACACTGCGGTTCCAGCACACTCGCCCACTCAGGCACTCGAGTCTCCGCCAGGGACCAGGTAGGCTTCCCCAGACCACAGTACCCAATCTCGATCTTTTCCTTCCGCCACCAAGCACCAAAGCTACCGATCAGAGACAAGATGAGTACCCACGGAGCAGCTTTGCTCGCTGTGCTCTGCTTTGTGGCTCGGCGCCGGCGGTGAGGTGTCGGGGGGTACAGCAACTCAGCTTGATCTCTCTCCAAGGCCAACTGCTCGCCCGGAGTGAACTCCTCCCCAGCGCTTATTTCACTCATCTCCTCCTCATCCTCTTCACTGTCAACGTCCATACCTCGAGAGCCCGGCCGGGCCGCTGGTGATCCAAAGGGAGACCTCGTAGCAACAGAAGAGATATCATCCTGCATATCGAACGGCGTTTCAGACTTCCGTGGTCGCAGTCCATGGCTCAGTGCAGGACTAGCCGTAGAAAGCCGCCCACTGCTCTTGCGCTTGAAATCGCGACTTACACTCCTTGAACCCTTCTCCCATGGGGCCGGTGAGCTGCCACTCTGAAATGGATTATCATCAGTGAACACACTATCCTCCTTTGGCTCCATCTTAACCGCAACCGGAGCTGACGCAGGCACAGCCACGGGCACTGGCACTGGCGCCGGCTCAATCGAAGGCGCAACTTCACTGAGTCGGAGTTTCCTAGCCGTCGACTTCCGAGGCGTCACCAAGTCTCGAGCAACCGGGGTCGCAGGCCCATCGTCACGCAGTTCCGAGCGCACGCGCTTCGTCTCCGACCTCGGAACCGTCCTCCGTGTCGCTGTTGATGGCGTCGTCGGCACAATAGTCTCCTCCATATCGGCCGTCGAGGCTCTCGTGCTCATCCTCGAGCGTCCTCTGCGCGTGCCGGTCGCGGTTGAAACGGTCGACGGGGTCGGTGGCGGCGGCGGCATGGAGTCCCTGGCACTCCGTTGACCATCATAGTCGCTTGCCACCGATGTCGCCCGGCTGGGCATATCTGTGATTCCAGCACTGGTTCTCTTGACCCTGTCGCGCTCGCGAAGCAGTTTCTTCGCTTGTGGCAGAACCTCTTCCTCGAGAATGCGGATCAGCTGCGCCTTTTTCGCCGAGGCTGGGTAGGGGACGTCATGGCTGACCAGGATCGAGCGTAGACGGGGGACAGTGAGTGAGTTGAGGTCGAAGTCCGCGGACAGATAGTCCAATCCGTCCGCCATGGTGTATCACGATCCTCCGAAGTGAGGGCAAAGTGAGACGCGAGAGAAAATGATGTCGTAGTGCTGAACAGACAGCGGAAGGGGGGGAAAAGGAAGAAAAGAGCACAGATGCGGGCCAATGAGGCTAGAAAAGAATCTCCTCGCCCGAGTTAAAAATCGTTGATTGTCCTTTGTCCAGCCTGTCAAACAATCTTGGATGTTGGAGGAGACTGATAAACGCTGGTATCCAGGGCAACCAAGCGGGGCCACAGAATGATGACCAATGGTTCTATCGTGTGCTTTGGGCTACAGGTGGCTTCTTCACAGTCATTCACTAGAATCAGACGATATTAAAGGACTTGACTTCGCATGAGAGAATGAATATGATGGATTTGGGACGGCCCAGAGATGGAGAAAGATGCTGTTGTGATGATGATGACGAAACGTGGATGCGCGAGAGGAAGTTCTGTGGCTACGATCGAAGTGGCGATAAACAAAAGTCACATGATCAACTGGTGCGCCCCATCTCACAAGCCACACTACGTCGGCTGGCCTGGCCTGAGGCAGCTCACCTCGGTTGGGATGATCGTGGATCATGTTCCTGATAAGCTGGACGGATGGGACCGTCATAATAGATTCACTAAAAGGCTAGTAGATATAGCATGGTCATGCAAAAGTAGTCAACAGCCAGGGCACCAAAAACCTATACCACCTGTGGCTCCCTATCCATGCTTGCAGCTCGGAACACCCCATAAGACGCCACGAATATCTAACGAATCCATACAAAGACAAAAAAGAAACAGAAAACATAAGGAGAATAGTGACATGAGAAGATTAGGCATATATATCAACATTTATGCAATAAATGTCCAGGGGTGCGTTCCACGTTGAAATCATGTATAACAGCGCTACTCCGATGGAGGAGCAAGTTGGAGAAAGGACGAAGACGCGGAGCTGGGACTGCTACCGCTGGTAACCTGTGCGCCAGACCCCTTGGAGGTGGACGGTGTGCCAGTGATGCCAGCAGCACTGACAGCCAGTTGCTCCTTGAGAGCTCGGTACTCGGCTAATTGCGTTTGGAGTTGTTGCATCACCTCGTCAATAGGTGCGGCGTGGTCGCTGAGTTTGTCACCAGGTTTGAAGGGTCGCATCATGTGTCGCACAGCAAGAGTATTGATGGCCATCTGTGAGAGAGGTGAAGAGGTTAGTTTACGAGGCAAAGAGTCACGAGTTGCAGCAATCAACTAACCTCAATGCGAGTCACCTGCTGTTCAACCAAGCTCACGACTGTCGAATCAGCGAGCTCTCCCCCTTGGTTCTTGACCAGATTGAACAGAGCCAGGTTCGGTTCCGTCAACCGCGCGTCACCTGGATTCTCCAGCGCACCACACAGCCGCTCTAGACGCAGAGTGATTTCCCACAGTCGCCAGATAAGGTCGGCCTGGATTTCCAACTGAGAATGTTTGCTGATGGTCGTGGGGCCATTCTCCGTGGATTCGGCTTGTTCCAACGTAGTCAAGCGCCCGGAGAGCGAGTGAGGGTAGATGAGATATAGTGGTTCCGGGTTCTCTAGACCCTTGAGCTTCCGCTCACCCTGATCCTTAATGACAAACCCTTGGCTGTTCAGTTGTTGGAGCTCGCGACGAATGTTATATCCAAGAGAGTCAACAGCGTAGCTTTCCTCGGAGCCAGTAGAAGCGGCCCGTTCGCTATCAGCGTAGACTTCAAGGTTGCGTTGGATGTCGCTCATGAAGTCAGATGACACAAAAATCTGCCCGCCGTCGGCAACTGCCGAGATACGAGACGCGCGGTTCACCATCGGGCCAAAATAATCCATACGGTTGGTGACAGGGTCCTTCTCACAAACGGGCTCTCCCCAATGTACACCCATCCGTACAGACAATCCTCGGAAGATGATGTTGTTATCCATATCGTATTGGACCTGGCACTGCGGCTGTTCGAGAATTTCGGTCGGCCACTCAGCTTCCAAGAGCTGCGTTTGACAATTGAAGCACCAAAGAAGTGCTGCCGTCGTGGTCGAGAAGGCGACCATGAAAGCATCACCTTCCGTCTTAACCTCATAGCCTCCAATGATCCCCAGCTGCCGACGAAGAATATCGTTGTGGATCTGGATCGCGGAGCGCATTGCGTCAGGACAGGTCTCCCAAAGGCTAGTCGACTTCTTGATATCGGTGAAGATGATGGCTAACTCTCCAATAGGGGCATCAACGTAATCGAAGCGGGCGAGTCTCGAATCCCCAGGCGCATCACGCGGTTTCTTGGTACGTTTGGTGCTAGGGATGATCTCTCCTTCGGGGAAAGCAGAGGGGCCCATTGAGAGGCTCGTTCCTCTGAACTTGAACTTCTCACGCTTCTTCAGTTCACTCACCCCGAGGATCATGACCATCAGCTTGTTATTCGCGCCAAAGGAGATGGCCAGATCTCGGATCTTCTGAGCTGCAATCATAAGGTCCCTTCGCTCCGCTCTGGTCACATCAACCACCACATCTGGCGTCACATAGTCCCACAACTCCTTTGATGCCAGGATAATCATCTCGTCCTGCTCGGTCAGGTTGACGTGCATTGTGTGGGGTGCGGCAATGACGGCAGGCATCAGTTGGAAGTGTCCAAAGGCTCTCGAGACATGAAGAATATCGTTGAGTCTCCCGTTGCGAGATACAAACCCACCAGCAGCACGAATTCTGGCTCGTTCGTGGGGCTCCGCTGGGTCGTGATTCTTCGTCAAGTGTCTCAATGACCCATCTGATTTGACCAGAATAGCCTGGGCGTCTCCCACATTCGCGACATACAGATCCATGTTGTTCAAATATAGCACCGTTGCGACGCCGCCGGATCGTATATCGTCCTGGTTAAGGAGTTTCGTGGCTGGAGATCCCCTGTGAAATTGCCGAACACTGCGATCGTCGATGGACCTGTAGGCTGCAGCCGCCATATTCTTATTTAGCACTAGAAATGTACGGCGGAGTGCATCGAGAGGCGTCTCTTGTTCATCCAGTCGTAACCGCTTGAGCTCCGAGGAAAATGTGGAGGTGAAGTTTTCATGGAGGAACTTGGCTATCCTAGAGCCTCCAGTTGATTGAGCCTGTCCGTCGAACAACCCCACAAGTGTTTCAACATTGTCCGGCTTCAAGCGCGGCACAATCATGTCAATGATAGATAAATGCTCGCTTCTGCCAAGAAAATCCGCCATGCCGTAGGCCAGCGATCCTGCAAGTGAGGCAGACGTTCTCACTCGACGGTCCTCGTTTTCTTCTGGAATGGTCGGTGTCGTGAGCGTGACATCCATCAACCCGAGGACACGAAGGTGAGTGAGAGAATTGAAATCCGTCAAGTCTGCGCCGTTGGTTGCTGACGGCCCCATCGATGTGATGTTCGGCTTGATCTCCAATCGCTTATTCCCAGAGAAATTCAGGTACTTCAGATTGCGGTTCCAGTTCCAGTTCCAATCATATGGCCAATTCGAAACATTGTATTTCAGGGAATTGCTTCCAACATCCAAGATCGCCAACTTGCTAACCTTGCAGAGTTCCGCTGGAAGAACTTGGAACCGGTTTGCATTCAAATTCAGGATCTTGAGATTGCTGCCTTCCTCTAGATCATCCGAAGGGAGGGAAGTCAGCTCATTGCCCGAGAGATACAGCTCGGTCAAAAACGGCCAACGCTTGAGCAAACCCTGTGGAAGCTCTGCCAATTCGTTATACGATAGATTGACAACTCGTAGTTCCGGGATCAGCGACAGCTCGCGGAAGATATCGTCTTCTAGCCGGTTATCGGCCAGATACAAGTTCCGCAGGGAGCCGCCAAAAGTGGTTGCCACATGCTGAGAGAAGTTGGAGTCTTTTCTGGAAGAGGGACTTCCCTCGGTCCCTGACCGCGAGGCTGTCGACACTTTTCGACCCCCTTGGCCAAGTGAAGAGGCAACAGACGGCTTTCGAAAAGTTCCACCATTTGGAGAGCTCCCGGTGCTGAAAAAGCCGCCAGATGTCTGGCTAGGCCGTCGTGCTTCCTGTTCTTCAAGAGGGCCAAGGTCTTCAAAGCTTGGTACGATGGTCCCTCCGGGGGTTGGGGTAGGCGTGGTGCCTGTGTCGCTGGGAAGCTGGGGCGGGGGGCTTCCGTGTTTGGGAAAACTGTCCAGCACATTCGACGATACGTTGAGAGTTTCTAGTCTCGCGCAATGCCATATTTCGGGAGGAAGACGCCTCAGATTGCACTCTCTTAGGTTGAGGTACTTGAGCTCTGCCAGGCATCCAATGGTAGCAGGCAATGCCGCCAAGGGGTTCTTAATCATGCTGAAGTGCTCCAGCCTGCGAAGTTTGCCAATGTGCGGTGACATGGAAACAAAGTGGTTCTTGTCCAGAACCAATTTTGACAGATTGGGCAGGTATTCAAACAAGGAATCCTTGAATTGCACAAGTTTCGCAGACGCTATGTTGAGCGACGTGAGGGTCGGCATGGGGGCGTCAATGTCAAATTGTGTCATCGGGCAGTGGTCGAGGAACAAAGTCCGCAACTTGACAAATGAGCCTCTGAACTTCGAAACTGCATTGTGACCGATAAGCAACTGCTCCAGCCGAGGGAGCTGTGCCAGTGTATCTATGTTTGTGATTGCATTGAATCGCGCATCAACTTCCTTCAGGCTGACAAGTTCTTTGAAGGTTTCGTCAAGCGGCCCGCGAAGGACATTATTCGTTACCCAAAGCCGCTCGAGGGTCGTCAGTTTCCCAATGTTGGGCAGCTCTGCGATATTATTAAAGCTTATATCCAGATCCACCAGACTCTTCAGGTTGCAGAGAAAGGAGGGAAACGTCTGGAAGCTATTCGACGAGATGTTGAGGTTCCTCAGATACTGAAAGTTTCCGAAGTAACTTGGCAGTGTTTTCAGCTTATTGTTGGCCATCTTGATACTTACAAGGCCGTGCAGGCTATCCAGATGGGCATGATCAAGATCTTCTAGCAGGTTGTTAGACACGTCTAGGTACGTCAAGCGGCTCGCAAGACTAAAGCTAGCTGGCAGACGTAAAGCCTCGTTGCCTACGAACTTGATTTCCCGCAGATTGATGCAACCTTGGATAAAGTCCTTTGGAACATCCAGGGATAGATTCCTGGAGAGATTCAGGGATATGATTTCGGAGGCTTTTTTGTAGAGCGTGATAGGGATGGTGACGAGACTTCGGCCCTGAAGGTCAACGTGGCTGAACTTCTGCATTTTGTTGAACCCAGGGTCTCCATCAAGGCTGCTGTAGCCACTGAGCTTCGTCGGAAGGAATATAAAACGACAGATATAGCTGTGGTCTTCACGGCCGATCTCTTCGATCCTATCCTTGGCAGTATAGCCCACCTGTTCGAGCAGGTGCTTCTGCATGAGGATTGGCCTCTCTGAGTGATCAAGCTGCCGGGATAGGTCATGCTTCTTCATGACGATCTCGTAGTTGTTCAAATGGTCCTGAAGAAACGATTTCCGGCCGAGCATCAGGAGGATATCTGCGACAGTGGCATTGAGACCGGCTGACAATGTAGCAAACGTTGAATCAATGCGGAATACCCGGATGAAGTATGATAGACCATCCCGTTCCGGTACGACAAGGCCTGTGTCACCCGCGGTAGAAGGAAGTCGCGCAGCGAGGTCCTCCCCATGCTTCTTCACCTGCCAGCTTTCTGGAGCGTCCCAGTGGCCTGCGGGTGCAGCTTCTTGCCGCTTGCCGTCTTCCTGCTGCACCGCAATTCCATCCGGGGGTCGTCCCATGTCGGTCGGAGATGGCGGAGGGTGCTGGGTAACAATGCCTTCCATATGCGACAAATCTGTGTCAAGCCGCCAGACGCCCTGTTCATCCGAGGGCCTAGCATCCCGCCCAGGGGGCGCTTCATTGACCACTGCACGGCGGTTTCGTAGTTTTGCTGAGCCGATTGCCAGGCCTTTCCCATCTTTCCGGCGTTCAGGATCACCGATTTCGAGATTTCTGATCGAAGCGCCTCCTTCAAGGCTTCCCTGCCGTCCTCGTCTGGGTGAGGCTTCCCTCCGCGAAAGCTTCGAAGAGGATCGGGACGCTTCCTGGGCAATTTTCGATCCAGGAAAATGCTTCAAGGGTCCGTGAGCTTTGGTGCGGCGGATTTTGTCGAGGATCGATCGCTTATTTGGTGGAGCTCCGGGTGAATTCTGTCCTTGCTCCCGCGAATAGGCACTCTGCATACTTGGCGTGGGGCTCGTCGAACGGCCCCCTAAGGTAGTGGACGAGCTCATCGCCGTAGGCATATTAAGGCTATTCTCTCGAAAAGGACGCAGTCCGAGGTACGAATCGTCGCGCCCTGTTGCAGGGCGCGCGGGGTAACCTGCAAGATCGCCTGCGACAGTTGGTTTCTCTTCCTTGCTACGGGAGTGGCGGTGGCCAGTGAAGTGTCTCCGAGCATCCCTTGACGCACCTGCATTCGTAGCACTTTGACCAGCAGCACGATGACTCCCAGATGCGATAGGGGCTTCCCGTACTGGGGCCTCTCCAAATTGAGGGATATCCTTAGGGAACGGAGTGTCAGAGTCTTTGTGTCTCCAGGGGGGGAAAAAAAGAAAAGAAAGAAAGGGGCTGCAGTAGGTGATAGACCTTTGGGTATGGACTTACATTGAAGCTCTGATACAACCACGGGGTAATTTCGCTCGATGGCAATGGAGTTCGCGGCCGCGAAGGGTGTCGGGAAGAGGCATCGTCATTGGATCGTTCCGGGAAGTTTCGCGCGCCATCGGAATTGGCGCGTTCACGGGCTCTGAACTGGTCAATAGAACCTGCCCTACTGTTCAGAGACGGCGCGCCCTGTTCCGAATCCTGTTTGGAATCGGCCGGGGTGAGGTACTCGTCCCCAAAAAAGCCCTGCAACTTCTTCCGAAACCGGCCGCCTGTGCTCGATTTTGATCCCTGGCTGCTAATGGTCGTTGCACTTGCTATCGAGGGCCTCCGATGATCTCCATTGTAGTCTAGATCGACGGGCTCACTGGCGAAAGTCCGACCCGTCCCGGGACGAAAGGAGCCCGACGCGGGTGACGCTTCGTGTTCGGAGAGATCGTGGAAGAACGTGCCTGGCGCATCCATTGGCGCGATCTGGGGAGAAGAGGACCAAGACGCGTTCGGATCTTGGTGGAAATAGTCAATCTGGTTCGGTTGGTTCGGTTGTGATGATCTCGTGTTTGAGCTCGAGGTTGGCGGGGGGCCAGGATCATCATTCCCCAGGAGAGCCATAACTTTCCTGTGGTTGCCGAGACCCTTGCGTTGGTCTGTGGGAGAAATGTCCGGTGAGCCCCAGGAGAAATTCGATGCGTACAGATTGTTCGCGGACCCCATATTGGGCGGGCGGTGGCCTTGTGACGCAGATCTACGGGTAATCAGCATTTCATCTTCCTATCGCATCAACGGTTGCATGGATGGAGGGGCGAGCTTGATGGATTCCATTCAAGACCGAAAGCCAGAGATGAAGGATTGTGAACTGGGAAGCCTCTTTTTCGAGAAGCCAATATTTTTTCCGCAGTCCATATCACATATCTGCGTCTTCAACACCAATCGAACCGCAACACAGGAGTTCCTTACCTCTCCATATTGACGGGACCAGGAAAAGGAGAATTGCTGCGACCGTTCGGCATCGCTTGACGATCGAGCGGTTGCTGACTCGGACCCTCTCTGACGGTCTCTTGCGACAACCAGCTGTTCTTCCCAGAGCTCTCCGAACTACGTCTCCCGAGAGACTGATCGCTGTCGCGCATCGACATGCGTTGTTTTGTGGATGTTGAAGTCTTCCGGGCCAGGAGCGAAAAATCAGCCGGCTGTCACAGCAGTCGCGGAAACCAACTAATGTTCCACCATGAATGGAGTCGGGTGAGTGCGATCAAAGCGACGGGCGATGCGACGAAGAGTTAGATGCGGAATACAAAGGAAGAGTCCAGATGGGTTGCGATCAGGGTCGAAGTGGCCGAATTCGGGGTCATGCGAGGTATCGAATCCAGAGAGGTACAGTTTGCACTCGGGAGCACTCGAACACATCGATTTCCAACCACGCTGATGGGGATATCCCAGGACGAAGGGAACGAAACGGATAGACCGGACGATTAAGTAGATAGAACTGTTATATCGGGAGGCGACAGGTGCGACACGGGGGAATAGCTTCGTCGGGCGCGACGGTGTCAAGACGGATGGTACTTCATGTTCTGGAGGGCAAGCGATAGTGTTCAAGGAACGTCACCACCCATTCCAGATTAGAAGGCTCGTGGAGTCAAGGGTTGATTTATAAAGAGAATAATATTAGAAGAGATGAAGATCAAAGAGAGGTATTAATGGATGAGATGAGGGGAGGGGAAGGAAGATTGTCGGAGAAGTAGTTTCATTCGCTGGAAGAAGAAGAGGAGGAGGTGGAGGAGGAGGAGTGGGAGTGGGAGAGAGTTGATGAGGCTCTCTGGACTCTAGACAGTGTAGGTACTGAGAGGTAGCTGTGTAGGATTAAGACTACTAACTACTACTACAACTACTACTACTACCTACTACAAACTATTATTATTTAGGTTAGTAGTTAGTTACTCAGTAGTGGTAGGTACTAGTAGTGGCCAATGCACAGCCTTACTTTGACTAACTTGTACGGAGTACTAGAGTGACTACGGAGTACTAGGGGAACAGTGCCGCCCTTGTCCAGAAGACTAATCTTCAGCTTTGTTGTCAAGGGTTCTGCTGGTTCTGATCAGGGATAGATAACTAAATCTCACTAAATACTAACTATAACTACTTATTGGATAGATAATACCTTAGAGAGTCCCTATACCAATATGCTTTTCTGCATCACACCAACTGCTAGTTAAGGACATCCTGATACAGACTGTGGCTTGGTGGCACAAACCTCACCCTCAGCTGCTTCAATGAACAAGACCTGAATCATGAAACCCATTTCTGAATGGATTGCATGGAAGACCTCCTTTCTTTCAAAGCACTCTGTACATTCAAAAATACCCATCGCAATTGGGCCTGTTTGTTGATTGTAAAGCAAGTCCCAGGAATTGATTGAATGAGTCAGCAACAGAGAGTCCTATGAATATGATCCTATCCCATCCATTGATCTCATCATCCAACTAATACTGGACGGAACACTACTAGGGGATTCCACCCCCAGATCACAGCATTCTATATATCTTTGCCAAAGCCTTAACCACAATCTGGATGTCCTAGACATGATTCTAAATAACCCTCTAGTTGAATGATTCTAAAAATCAGTATTCTTATGGTTCAACCTCCCTTTGTTTGCCCTTGGATTTATTCAGCAGAGGTGCACAGCAGAGGACTCCAGTGTTCAGTATGCCGGAGAGGAGAGCCTCAATGGATTGATTCAATACAAGCTTCTAGCCTGAATACCTACAGAGTATGAATGAAACCTTTCAGCTGCAAGCATTCTTTAAATTCTAGATCCTTCTCTGACCTTTCGCTGCCGACCATTCCCTGCCTATAGATCATTCACTATGGAAGATTTGCCAGTGTACCTGTCTATATTCTTCTTCATTTGATTTTGCCGGTCACGACTTGGAGAGCGAAGGCACAATTTCACAACATGGAAAAATCAATCAAATCCGAGGAAGACATGCAGTAGTCTATTTTGTATCGTCTGCCCCTTCACAGATTTCATGCGAGTAGGCTGGTTGACCGAAAGAGTACCTTGACAAGTAGATTAGACATCCAAGACCGCAGGACTCTTAAGGTGGCGTTTTACTGGCTATCTTCCCGGGTATGGGCTTCTAGTGTGCGAGTCACGAGCCCTCCACACATCCCCAAAGGCCTTGACCATGGCCCGAGGAATATAAAGCTATGGTCCAATGACGACGGTAGAATGATCCGATCAGGAGATGTGCTCACCTTTCAAGCGGCGGATCCAGACAGGCTTCCCCTTCCGTCTGTCGATCTTCTAGAGATGCAGTGGGCTGCTGAATCGACTTCTCGCAATCAGCGGCGCTGCCGAAGCTCCGGACGAATGGGACATGGACATGTCTCCTAGCTTGGGAATATGGCTTTATTCAAAGGAAGAAGAAGAAGAGGAGGAGGAGGTAGTATAAGTTGAGGCATCCGGCTCAACTACGGTGCAACAGATACCAGAAGTTGGGGAAAATAATCCCCTGCCATATATAAGGAGAATATGGAGGACAAGCCTTTCGGGTTACGAACAGCGTGACTCTCTGGACTATCACCAACATGCTGGGGTTCATCCATCTCCCGCGTGTCAAAAATGACACCTGAAAGGATCCAGCTGGGTTCTGGCTGCACCTTGACGAAGCCCACCTCGGCGTCTCGCTTGCCCAAATTCTGATTTCAAAAGGGGATCAAGGACATCCTCATCATGTCCCCCTACCGCGCACAAGTGACGCTCGTGAAGAAGATCTGGCAGCAGCGGAATCCAGATGCCAAGGTCAAGCCAAAAGCCCAGACTGTCGACGCGTCGCAGGGATCGGAAGCGGGAGCTGTGGTCATTTTGATCACAAGAAACTGTGGCTCCGCTGGTTCCCTCCGGTCGCCGAAGAGGACCAAAGCGATGACCACAAGGGCTCGTCACTTCGAATACTTCGTCGGTGACTGGAGCTGGGGCATCGAGCAAGGCAACCTTGAACAACGCAATGAATTTCTAGACCCTCCTGAACAGTTACGATCACGACCTTCGGCAACAGGGAGAAGTCTTCGTTGTTCGGCCTGTTGTGAAGTGATGGTGCCAAACAGGCATCTCCGCGGAGGAAGATGGAGGGAGGCTGTGTACGGAGTACATACTGTGTAGAGCTCTACGAATAAATCCTTTTTTTTTTGGTGGTGGCAAGTCAATAGGGGATGGGCTGTAGTTCAGACGCTCTAAAATTTTAGCGTCGCGCCAGTCTAAAGTACTTAGCCTGATATGGTAAAGACTTTAGAAATCTAAGTACTTTTGACATTTCAGAGTGAAAAGAAACATATATTATAGATTATTTAATTAGTACCTACGTAGCGTTGCCGAATTACCAAGTTCCCAATATTTCCGAGGGCAAGAGGAAGCCCTCAATCTTACGAAGGCAGCAATATAACGATGCCAGCCACGAGGCAACTCTAGCATGACGGGGTTATCATTAGTTGACCATCAGTATTGCAGCCAGGGCAGCTTACTTATGGACTCTATCCAGTTACCCTTAGAATCTAGGACCGATCTTCTAGTTGAAGACATGAGGAGAGTTGGAGAGTGGTTATTTCTCCACGATGGTGATTATTCTGACGTGCTTGCTCTTAAGTCTCGATATCAGGAGAACAGGCATTTTTCCTTTACAACATATTCAGCCCATCCTGAGCTACTATGGCTTACTCAATGCTACCATAGCTACCAGGTCCTCGGTAGACTGCAGAAAGACAGTCATTGTGATCCATCCCATTATGTGTGTGGCATACAACAATATCTATAACCAGTGTACTTGTCAATAGGGTAGTGCTATTGTGTTGGTTATACGCCTGCTAAGTACCAACCATAGTGGGATAGAGTCATTAAGAAGTAGCCTTCAATCAGGTCGTTTTTAATGCTTGAGCTGCCTAGCATTAGCAGGCGTCATTGATACCTTGACAACAACCTCCTGTGTTAGGTCTATATCATTCACCTCGACTCTGCTTTCTCTGCCGCGTCCAAAGCTTTCCTTCATTTTCCACTCCACACTTTATCTTGTAGTAACATTCATGTCAATCATTGCCGGTTGAACCAGCTCATGGAAGAGAACTTTGATGGTCCTAAGATGGACACACCAGGCTCCGTGCCTGGTGTTTCCCTGCGAAGCCCAAATACGGATCGTGTTCCCAAGCTGAGGAACTCCGAGTGTGTCGGACATATCGACCGGCTCCTGTCTTCAGGGAGAGGAGCCTGGTTCAATAGCGAGGATGTGTCTTTGATTGTCTGATATGGAAGTCCTTCATTCTCCAACGGAAACAGTGCTTATTCGTTGTTGTGAACAGCCAGCGGATCTTCCAGGAACCGAACGTGCGATGATGGACACCTGGAGGCTTACAATCGGCAAGATCCTGTCATTACGAGTTGGTATATGGATTCTTGATGGGGGTATAGATTATCTAGACAGAATGCTGACGATATGCAGTGCACAGAGAGAGACAAGGGGACTTGCCTTGTCGCGAGAACCACTCGGCCGATAGATATTGCGCCGATTGTTCCCTTTATCCCAGCCAAATGCATGATGATATGAATGCGGCATATCTTTGGAATTCCTTCCAAATTCCCTGGTTCAAGGATAAAGGCATGGCATGGAAAAAGAGGTTCTTACGCTTGATGGTATTGACATTTGCCCAAACCTGACGACCTTGTGACAGAATGTTCATGGCCCTTGGACATGGCTTCCTTTGCGCTCATACGGCGATGAACAGGAGGGGGAGGAGCAATAGAACCTTCTGGTCTTCCAGTGCAAGAGATTTTCCTGGGTTGGTAATATAGCTCGCTGGAGACCTGCGCGACTTCAGAGGAAACGGGGGACAACTCATGTCTCTTGTCTCGGGGCTGTGACTCGAATGTCTGATATATCGCTGCCATTTCTTTTCAAAATATACTTAGTGTCAACATCACCATGGCATGCACATTCCTACTGTGCAGAGAGTGATGTCTAGACACCTTTTCTTTTTTTTTAGCTCAGTAGTTTTAATACGATAGACTATAGACTATAAACTCCTAGTCCGACAGCCTGTCAACTAGCGGCCTTAGCACAGGTAAGATGGCCTCTGGTCGTCCATCCTTGTACACAGTTGCGATTGTAGTGGGTATTATGGGAGAAACACCAATAAAAACTGCGACATCCCAAACACTTTATCATCCTTCAATTTCTTCATCGCTGTGCCACTGAAGGCAAAGTTTTTGGCTTGGGGGCTTGGGGGCTTGGGGCTTGGGGGTGAAACCGGCCATCCTCCAACGATTGATTCCCATCTGGCGCTGTGATGAAGACACCCGACCAATTCCGAATCCATATTGTCCACAGGTCTCTCGTGAAGCGGCCGAGAGGCTCTATGGAGTCAGAGAATCTCCTGATGTTTCGTCAGTTGCGTGTGGGACTGACTGTTATCATGCAATGTTGGCATCAACAGGTGGACGCAGCTCAACTTAGACGGCTACCTCACATATCACTCACGAACATCACTCACAAGTCCTAGAAGTAGCGCTGGGGTCGGGCCGAGCTCCGACCTAAGGCAGTCCTGTTCAGCAAATGCATAGCGTGGCTCTTGATCATATGTTTCTCACAGATGGTAGGGGGTTTGGGACCAACAAGAGCTCCCTTCCCACTATTTCCTTACTGGTAAGCAAAAGAAGATATTCATGCCTCCTGAAGCTCGATTGAATGGACTTTTTTTTTTTTTTTTTTTTTTTTTTTTCCAAAAGCAATAAAGGGCCTTCCATTCATCGGGAATTATGTACTTGGAGACAAGAACTTTAGATACATCCATCGTTTTTTCTCATGTCTAAACATAATCCCATGCATTGCAAATAGACCATGTCTACGCTGCAGTCGCGGCAAACTTCTTGAGGTTGTCTAGGCTGCCATTCCAGATATCAGAGTCACCGCCGTAGGTATAGCTGTCGGAGTTCTGCCAGAAGGACTGGTACGGCCATCCACCAGGGATGGTGCCGGCGGAGCTGGAGTAGCGAGCGAGCACAAGCGGGCAATCGGTGAAAGCCTGGCTGTTGCCCGTGCAGGTGTTCCACCAATCATTGGTGGTGTAGATCATGGGGTACCGGCCAACACTGGCCTTGTACGTGTTGGCGAAGTCCTTGATCCAGGCAACCATCTGCGAGGCGCTCAGGCCGTAGCAGGTGGCGCCGTAGGGGTTGTACTCGATATCTAGCATACCGGGCAGGGTAATGCCGTCGGCACTCCAGCCTCCACCGTGAGAGATGAAGTACTTAGCCTGGGTAGCACCGCTGCTGGAGCTAGGGATGGCAAAGTGATAACCACCACGGATGAGGCCGGCGTTGGTGGCACCGATGTAGTGGCTGGAGAAGGTGGGATCGGTGTATGTGGTGCCCTCAGTGGCCTGAGTCGATTAGTAAAGCACAGCTCATGGTCACAATTTCCGGGGTGGAGCCGAAAGTACCTTGATCATGACAAAGCGAGCACCAGAGCTATAGGCCGACGCGAAGTTCACGCTGGACTGGTAATTGGAGATATCGAAGCCTTGAACGGCGGCCTGGGCCATGGAGGCCGATGCCAGAAGAACGGCGGCAGTCTGCTTGAGGTTGAACATCATCTTGAATTTCGCTGTCTGAGGATGATTCTGAGACATGAATCGGTTGGAAAAATCGCAACCCTTTTATCCTTCCCCTTCTCCTCCTCCTCGGCCGTATGGCGCTGTTCTGGCAGCGTTGCGAGACGTTCGACTGAGCGCAGTGGCCACAGCGCCGATCACTTCGGGATAACATCTATGGATGCTACCTCAATCATCCCATGCATTACTAGTGTCGCCATGTGTATTTTCATGGATCTCACTCGGCAATTGAAGAAGATCGTCACGATGAATACGAGATGAACTCCACACGGGAACGTCAACCCCGTCGGCGCCCCGAACTAGTCAGGAGAGGCGAGGTTGCATCGTGTATCTAGGAGTGGATGAAGCTGATTTGCATTCTGCAACGTCTCGCGCCATACTGCTATCTGAGGAATCCAGGGCGCATGAAATCCATGAGCCTGAGCATGAGCCTGAGCCTGTGGACAAGAGCGAAGCGGATAAATCGGATGGGTAGATGAGAAGGGATTGACTGAGGGTCCGGTTTCGGTTCTGCTTCAAATCGCTCGGATGCTAGAGGGTTGACAGATGCTGAAGGAAGTCTAGGCTCCGGACTCTGGAGACAAGAGAAAAGTGCCGGCTTGGCTGTGGAGAAGTTTTTGTGTTTCATGATTCAAGCTGGTGATTACTGTTGTTGAGGCAGGGCGAGTCGGGGAGAATGTGTAGACTGTAGAGACTCCCTATAGAGCTGATAACAGGAGACAAGAACAGAAGATGAATGCAAGTTCAGTTCATCACCAGGGGATCGATAATTCATTTTCAATCGGGGAGAGAGAGAGAGAGAGAGATCTATCTCCAGATGTAACATTCCTATCATATCTGTCTATCCCCTGTTATATCGATCGACATGATTCGCCTCTTCAAACATGCACAATCTCGCTTCCATCTTCGCTCTTTCTGCCAGCCAACGACGACTCACGATCCGCTCATCCACCCCGATTCTTCCTCCAACATCCTCCTGAGTCCGGTCTTTTCCCCCTTCCCCCCCCCTAAAACCTCACCTATCATTGTCATCGAAACGACTATCGCTCATCTCCGTCTCCTCTCTTGGCATTCGATCGTGATGGCCCCGCGTCCGTGAGTCTCTCGCCGCCTTCGTCGTCACCTCCACTGACCGTGTTGCTGCACTGTCCCCCATCATGACCACCGGCTCCATCGCTCGCGAGAAGGAGTTTCGTGGTCAACTGGGAAAATTCCGTCTTGAATCCATCGTCAATCCGTCTCCTCCCTCTCGCCCGAGTCCATCGCCTTCCCTGTCGCAATCCCAGTCGACACCTTTGCTGCTCCCACCTCCTCCCAGCTCCGCCAGTCCGGCTTCCCCGCTCCCACCAGCCCCCGGCATCCGCTCGAAACGCGTCTCCACCGCCTGTGATTTCTGTCGCAAGCGGAAGAAAAAGTGTGATTTCCGATATCCCAACTGCTCTGCCTGTACTCGAGCCGGCGTTCGCTGTACGATCCCTCCCCCCGGGCCGCAAGTCGCCAGTGCCTCCGTTCCTCGCGACCAGCTCGAAAATCTACAGAAGCGCGTACAATGGCTGGAAGAGGCTCTCCGGCGAAAGACTGGCTTGCCGGTGGGGGAGCAGCCTAGAAGGAGATGGAGACCCGGACTGGTGGTACCAGGTTCCCGTGATGATGGCCAGATACAGCAATCGTCAGGCACTACGTTCGGCGGCGACGGCAGCGGCAGCGAGTCCCGCTCATAGTGGTCGAGGCTCTTCCACTGGTCCTCCGCCTTCAAAGACATCCGGATTGGGGACGGAGCTGCCAAATGTTGGGGAAATCTTACGGGACCGGCTAGAGCATCGCCGGCCGTCGGTTGCACGTCCGACAGTATCTACTCCACGGGTGGTGCGGTTATCATCGCTGGAAGAGGCGGAACAGGTGGCGGGGAATTATTTCGATAGTATGGGGTATCAATATCCGTTCTTGTCGCGGCCGGACTTCACGGCGCTTCTACGACATATCTACGCGGGTGGAATGCCGACACCAGAGGATCATTACTCCTACCATATCACGATAGCGATCTCGTTGCTGATCGGATCGGTAGACGATGCGCAGACGACGGAATTTTTCCGAGCAAGTCAGGAAACCCTAAGCCTGGCCTTGCAAAACGAGGATTTGGCTGCGGTACGGGCGCTGCTAAGCCTGGCGCTCTATACTATGTTTGCGACCGCAGGCCCCAGCGTGTGGCATGTGTTGGGGACGGCCATGCGACTGGCCACCAGTCTCGGCCTCCACAAGGCACGCTTATCGGCCAGCCTGGTGGAAGAGGAGATGGCCAAGCGGGCGTTCTGGAGCTTATACAATCTCGACCGGTTGATCGCGTCCACTCTGGGACGGCCATTGGGGATCGCCGATGAGGACATCAGTGTGGGCTTTCCGCGAGAATTCAATGATGACTGGACCGAGGTGCCGGGGGGCAGCACCATGACTATACCAGTACAGGTAGTGAAGTTGCGGCGGCTGTTTTCCCGGATCTATCGCTACTGTGAGTTTCCTCTGTCATGCTGGTGGTGCGCCTACTGACTGAGCAGTGTACAACAACCAACCGCCTCCCGACCCCAAAGAAGCGTCGGCCACCTTGAGTGAATTCCGCCAAGAGCTGGATGACTGGCGCATAGGAGCGCCCGTTTACCCGCCTGCCCTCCTATATTCGACCAGCTACTATGACTACCTCTACTACACCACCCTCCTCCTCATGTACCGCCCCAGCCCGCGCAACCCAGCCCCTGATGCGACCAGCATAGTGAGCTGCGGCGACTCCAGCGTCCAGGTGATTCGATCCTATTGGGACAGCTATTCAGTCGGCAAAATCAAATGGATCTGGTTGACGCTGAGCCAGACGTATTTTGCCGGCATCACCATTCTCTGGTGCCTGGAACGGAACGCACAGGTCTTCCGAGACGGACAGCCCCCGATATGGCAGCCAGAGGAGCAGTCGATGCGGCGCGCTATTCAGGCCGTGATTGTCCTGCTGGAAGAGTTTGGCAAGCGACGACCAGGCGTAGAGAGGCTGGCCGAGACGTTTTGCCATCAGAGCACGATGATCTTCAGTCAAATGGCATACCAGCAACAGCAGAAACCACAGCAGCAACTGCACCACAAACATCCCTATCCACCATCACACCCTTCTCACCCTCCCCCCGCAACCCCGCCGTCTTCGCTGCCAGCTGTTCCCCAGCCACCCGTGCCATTAGCCCCCATGCTGGACGACGTGCTGCTGGTGAGTGGAAGAGGGACTGTGCCGGTGATCGATCCACAGCTGGCGGAGCAATTGTTTTATTCGTATGATTGGTTTCAGGAGGAGATGGCGACTTATTATACCCTGTAGGACTAGTGTAGTACGATTTATCTGTAAATATTTGTTATCGACCCTAAATATCTTTGCAGATTCACTGCTGTAGATTCCCATCCACGCTGATCTTGTGTTGTCACCTGCAGCTGCCCCGCACTGATAACGATCATCTCTCTCTCAGACAGAAACCATCCATCTCCCGCCTCTTCCCGTCGCTTCATCCACTCATCCTCCAAGTCTACAGCCACGATGGACCAAACATTCATCGCCAAAGGCCTTCCCATCGCCTTCCACGGCACCGTCATCCACTCCCTCTCCCCAACCGACCTCCAGATCCTCCCGAACACCTTCCTCCTCATCGACACTGCAGGCAAAATCCAAGCCCTAGTCCCCAACACCGCCCCAGAGACCATCAACACCCTCGTCGCAGAAAACGGCTACGCCCCAGACGTCTTCCCCGTCAAACACCTCCCCAGAACCTCTTTCCTCATCCCCGGCTTCATCGACACCCACCACCACGCCCCGCAATGGGCCCAGCGCGGCGTCGGCCGCGGCCGCTCCCTCCTCGACTGGCTGGAGAACATCACCTTCGCGCACGAGGCCAAGTTCGCTGATCCCGCATACGCAGAGAAGATGTACGGCGCCGTCGTCGACGGCCTCCTCAACCAGGGCATTACGACGGCAGCCTACTACGCCTCCAAACACTTGGATGCGACGAAAATCCTCGCGCGCATCTGCGCCACGCGCGGCCAGCGCGCCCTCGTCGGTCGGTGTAACATGAACCGGCACGCGCCGGACTGGTACCGCGACGCGGACGCGGAGGTCTCCGTCGCCGAGACGGCGGAGTTTATCGCCTGGATGCGTGGGTTGGATGTGGGCGGGGGCGACGGCGACGGCGACGGCGAGGCCGAGAACGCGCTCGTGAAGCCGGTTATCACGCCGCGGTTTGCGATCTCGTGTGACGAGACGGTGCTCGCGGGGCTGGGGGAGCTGGCGCGGCAGAACCCCGATTTGCCGATCCAGACGCATTTCAACGAGGCGGAGCAGGAGATCGAGTTCACGCGCCAGCTGTTTCCCGGTTTCAAGCACGAGGCGGAGCTGTATCAGCGATTTGGGCTGCTGGGGGAGCGGTCGATCCTGGCGCACTGTATTTTCCTGCAGGAGGAGGAGATGGAGGTTTTGAAGAGCGCGGGCTGTGGTGTGGCGCACTGTCCCATCTCGAATACGACTATGCAGGCGTTTATGGTTGCGCCGGTGCGCGAGTACCTGCGTCGGGGCATCAAGGTCGGGCTGGGCACAGATAGTGGCGGTGGACACTCGGTGTCGATGCTGGAGGTCATGAAGCAGGCGTTTGTGGTCTCGACGGCGCGGGCGACGGAGACGCGCGGCGCGGACCCGGCGTTGGGGCTGAATGAGTGTTTCTTCCTGGCGACGCTGGGGGGCGCGCAGGTGTGTGGGTTGGAGGATAAGGTGGGAAGTTTCGCGGTGGGCAAGGAGTTTGACGCGTTGGAGATTGTTGCTGAGGGAGGTGTCATGACGCCTGTGGAGGATGATGATTCGATCGAGATTGTGCTGGAGAAGTTTCTCATGACGGGGGATGATCGCAATATTGCCAAGGTGTATGTTCGGGGACGGGCTGTTAAAGTATAAAGAGCAGGGTTTTTTTTTTTTTTTTTTTTTTCATATCTCTTTCAAGCAACTGCTAATCAAATTGGCTTAAGGAACCTTCGATTCAACAATCGTGATATAGTAGATATCGTATCACTCCCATGTGCCCTTCGCAGGCCCGAAATATCCGGATTCAGGTAGAGGCTTCCATGGCGTGCCTTTACTATCTGCCGTCTCGAGAAACACCTCATTTCCCCACCAGTGCAGCGGCCCAGCAGGAAGAATAATGCAGAAGAAAATGACAACAGTGGCCACAGCGACGCCGGAATCGAGGGCGGCGGAAAGGACGTAGTCTAACGGGTACTGTTAGCTAGATTCCTGATGATAACGCACAGGAATAGGGACGTACTGTACTTGGACCACCAAGCAGGCTTGCGCCGCTTGATGATGCCGTTGAAAATCATGTTCACCACCCACCACGACGAGAAGTTGATCCCCGTCGCGGGCGGGACGAGACTCATGGCCCCGAATGCCACAGGCCATGATATCTTGTTCAGCCACTTCCAGCGGCGCCCGAGAAGATAGGTGATGACGATAACGACAGGCCCGGCAAGGAAGAACCAAAGCAGGTTACCATAGATCTGACCAGGGGAGAAGTTCCGGCCAGGACCAAGGCCGCCCCAGATCAAAGAAGACGAATACGTCACTTGGCCATGAGGACAGGTGAAGCCTCCATCCGCGTCTGGCGTGCAAATGTCATCGAACCTCGTAAGCATGAAGACAGTCACACCGCATTGAACGACGGCTCCAATGAGGGTGGCTACCCCTTGGGCCATGAACAGCGTTCGAGGAGCGATATGAAGATAATGAGCCAGTTTCATATCAGCCACAAACCTAGACGGACGGTCAGTGCTGTCTCGACTGGCACAGTCGAGTGGTACTCACTCTAATCCCTGAGACACGGCGACGTAGCCGTAGAATTTGAAAGCCATGTTGGCAACAGGTCGTCCAAGAAAAGCATATCCGCCAATAAACTCGGTGATCAGATTCAATTGATTGCTACTAATGTTGGTTGTAGCTTTGATGATCCCAACAGGAATGAAATAGATCGCCGGGAGGATGAATGCCACCACAACCGCCCATGCTGAAAGCCCTGTTTCCCAGACCTCATTGGTCACAATGCTGAGAGCAAATATGATGATAGTGATAACAGCAAACCACCACCAGGGAACGGCTTTATAGGCTGCAATCAATCGCGCATGGACATCCTTCTGATTTCTTCCTTTCCACTGCTCCCAAAGGTCTTTGCCATTGTACAGCGCAACATGAAAAAATATACCTGTAAGGTTGGCAAAAGCGATCCCATACGTCAGTGCATACCCGGCCGGAAGGAACATGGGCGAGTAGTTCTTGTATGCCTCTACATCGACAGTCCCATCACTGCGCATCACTTTCATAGTGCGGTAGGGGTATCCGGTATTGTCAAACGTGTTGGAGTTCATCAAGGGCATATAAGCCGAGTACCACGTGTTGGTGTAATAGATTATAGGACAAATAATCCAGTAGAACAAGACGAACGATCCCATCACATTGAGTCCCGCCCAGAAGGGAACAAGCAGGGGACTTTGATTAGCGAAGACCACCTGCGCCCAATCAAATGTCAGAAGCGACATCCCGAGTCCAGTCCGTTGACCAAACAGCTGATTGACAACAACGTTGTGCGGAACAATCCAGCAGACGAAACTGAAGAAACTTAGGGCGGTAAAGAGATAACCTGGGACAAAGTACCAAACGGCACCGGCAATGAAGACGACGAGAAAGAATCGAAGGCGAGTAATGATCCAACCATCTGCAAGAAGATTCGTTTGCGAATGTAATGTTGACAGGAGTGCAGCATTGGATAGTACTCCCGGCCATATCATCGTGGCGGGGACGACGAGCCAGCGCGAGGCCATTCCCGCCAAACCAAAGCCAAGTAATTGTGTGGTGACGGTCAGAAGGACCTCAAAGCCACCGCGGGATGGCATGCCGTAGAACTTCACCGTGGCCTCGATTATCTGGGTCGCAGCAGCAGATCCAAAAGAGACATTGGCCATGATGGTTATCAAAGCATGTTCCTTGATGTTGAAGTGATGGTTGGGATTTAACAGGCCGATTGGCATCCATCTTGCCCAGGCGCAACCGATCGGATATGCCACGAGCTGGGCGACAAGGGCACTGATAGTGACACTGGGCTGTCGCAGACTGAAGAATTGATTCAGTCCACTCCCCACCTATATGATCGTCAACAACAAAGAAATCGGACGTGTTTGATATCTGATGGGCAACATACAATGGTAAAGATGACGCCAATTACCCACATACGCATCGTATTCAGCGACAAGCTCACATCGTCAACCGGCTGCACGACAGCGCGCACCTCGGGATACGGTGAATCATCCGCCTCATATGGAAGGATCTTTTGAGCATCGCCGTCGCTCAGAACGCTCACATCGTCGTGGACTGCGTCTGCCCATGGAGTCTGATACAAACGGAGTCAGTACAATCGCTGAGAGTCGTCAAACAATCGTAACTCCACATGGGAATACCACCTGGCCAAGAGGCTAAACGACTGAGATGTCACACAAGTAGAAACATGTGGAGACGAATAAGGGCAGGAAAGTGTGCAATAGAAAAGGGGTCTCAGACCCCCAGCAATGTGGAACACACCTGTATCATTCCCTTACATGGGAACTGGGACTGATGATCCTCCGACGAATCAACGACGTCCCCGAGCGTCTCGCTCATGCTCATCGCCGGCCTGCACTATGCAGCACCCAGCTAGCTATATTCAAAAGAAGCCTAGTTCGGATCGACAACTCCTCCAAGACTCCTACTAGCCCTCTGGGGTAGTCGTTTGTCGGGCGGAAGCGCTCGGCAGGTTCAACAACGGTGCACCGCCAGGCCCTTAGAGCCGGAAATTATATCGTCCGCCAATTTCACGTTGTACCTCTCCGAATGCATGGTAGTTGACGCTATTCGGCAGCTTATCTGCTGTGGGAGGAATGAATCAAGAATGATAAATGCAATGATTCAGGTGGATTGGCCGATCGAGGGGCCTTGGAGGGACTGCCTGAGCTCGAGGAAGTCTGATCGCCGTGATTATTAGGAGATTTTTGGCCTCCTTACAGTTCACACCAACAGGAGTGAATAGTGGGACTCACAAATTAGAGCAAACTATGGCATACACATCTCTGGTTGAAACCTTCTTGCGTGTTGGTTTTGAATTCGATCCAGATTCAAGGAATAATTAGTTTCAAGGGATCTCACTCGGCCTTCGTTGTCGTCAAAATTGATCATTGCATGCCGCTTTAGTAGAGCGGTCAGGTGACCTTATCGTGACTTGAGAATCGCTTCATATCCATATTCCATACATTCATCTCATTATGGATCCATTACATTTTACACGCTCTATCCCTGCAGAAATATCAATAGAATAATAATTTCCAGACTATTGAAGACCAAGTACCCATCCCGAGGAATCCTTATAGATCTATCGGGATGGCCCGCAACCTTCTTCCTTCTTGGTTAAGTCACCGACGCTATGGCAGTGTGGCCCCTCAGGCAACGGCCCATCGAGCAGTGCTATAGGTGAGTTGATGCTGGACGCCTCCCCAATGGGTCGATACAGTGACTCAAGGTGGAATAGTCGATTTAGTAGTTCATGCGTGCTATGCAGATTGCAGATTGCAGATTGCAGATTGCAGAAGCATTGTGGATATCGCTGCCAGCGGGTAGAGCCGACAGAGCGGATCTGAGCGTTTCGCAAATCGCAAGTCTTCTCAGGGACAGAACACATCTGAAGGGAAGTGCTCGTTTAAATAGAGCCATCGACTCGTGGAAATTGAAAGATTCGATTATACTGGGTCTCCTATGTGATACTGTCTCATCCGTCTTGAAAGAGCTGTCCTGGATCGATCACGGCATGTCTACACTTCACTAGACCTCTCCTGCCTTAAGGCTCATGTTGTGTTGTAGGTTGAGCCTCCTACACCGAGTTCGTCCCTGTCATCTTATGGTGCGATTCTCTAGCACTCTTGAGTCTTTCAAAGATTAACTTTCCAAGTGCGAGGCACACCCAACAGGTGCAACGAGAGAACCTATTGCATTCAAAATGGGGGACTTCATTCATGACCATGAGGACTATATGGTGACAGTTCCCTTCTCGCAGCGTCCAGTCATCATTCTAGGTGTAGGAATCATTGGATGTGCAGCTGCACGACAACTCCTCCTGAGCGGCTTTCATGTTGTGGTTGTCGCTGAATTCTTACCAGGAGATCAGGACATTTTCTATGCCTCCGCTTGGGCCGGGGCAGCATGGCACGCTGCAGGCGGCATCAGCCATGAGTATCGTTGCCTGCAGGCTGTCACGCATAGACATTTGTCGAAAATGGCTCAGGAAGAGGCCGAGTCAGGTGTTTGTCTTGTGAATGCGCGAGAGTATCTCGAGCAAGCCCCGTCTGAGAACTCGTCTCTCTGGGGCAAGAGCGTAGTATCTAATGTGAGTCTTTGATAGGATCTCCAGCCAGTGGATGTACTTATCATTTACAGTTTCGTGAACTCAAACCGGGCGAATATCCTTCAAGCTTCAATTGCGGCTGGTCCTACGACACTCTTGTGACGGATCCTACTCGCCATATGCCGTATCTCGGGAAACAGATCACTGCGCTTGGCGGCCAGATCATTCGCAAGCGTGTGGAGTCCTTGCAGGAACTATATGATATGTTCCCCGAATCAAGTGTCTTTATCAACGCCAGCGGATTGGGTAGCAGGACTCTTAAAGACGTGCAAGATGAAAGGTGCTTTCCTGAACGAGGTCAGAACGTGTTCTACCGAACCGATGAATGTCGACAGATGTACTTTCGCAATGGGAAGGAATACACCTATGTTATTCCGCGTCCATTGTCTCAGGGGGTGGTGCTGGGGGGCGTCAGGCAACAGGAGAACCTGTCCGTGATTCACTCCCCCCCTCCTTTACCTAGAGCATGGCAGATGACTAATTGCCTATAGTTCTCCAGAGGTCGGCATGGACATCGCTCGCGACGAAATCGCGCGCGCCCACCGTCTCGCACCAGACATTGTCCCTGAGAATCCGCCCGAACATTCACTCAGCTACATTATCGGTATCAGACCCTCGAGACAAGGCGGATTTCGCTTGGACTCAGAGCAGATTGGTCGCAGGACGGTCCTTTCCGCGTACGGATTTGGGGGAGGTGGTTACGCATTCTCATATGGTGTGGCTGATGCCTTGGTGAAGATGGTTGAGACGGCCGAGTGCGAACACATTCTCTAGTCGCTAGATGTATCTATCTAGTGTTTGTGCGGGCCTTCCAAGCTGAATTGTTGAAAATGAGAACATGGCACTACTGTACGAGTGTCTATAGGCTAGTGGGGAACTCTGTCTTATGAACATGACATACAATAAAGAGGATAATATCAACTCCCTGTGCTTTATGCTTTTGTGGCTAGGTATTATTTACACTCTACTATGGTAGTGCCTGAGGCCATAGGAGGTTGCTTGGGATGCCATGTGATCCCAACCATCGTTCCAGCTGGTATGCATTCTTTCTCTCCTTCACGAACAGGGACAATTAGCCATTAATCATAATGGCTAGAGTTTCCGATCATCAGCCTCTATGTGCCAGAGTGGTCCACCAGCTCCTTCGTGCTTATTTTTAAAACATTCATCTCGCAAATCTCTGGCGTCAGTGGGACCTTCCGACTGCAGATCCCAGGCTAGACATAATGGATTCCATAGAATTCACTAAGTTTACTCTGCCACTTCCAAGCTTTTGGCACTGATCCTTTGAGTCCAGAACTTCACGTATCCACTAGCCATCTCCTGAACCATGAACCATCCCAGGGATCCAGATCATATGACGGTTCTCTCGCCTTAGCCTAACAAGTCACAACCCACGGCATCTATCGACACTCGACAGTCAACAGTAGCCGACGCGAGTACTGCTTGGCGATTGGTCATCAAGCGGCGACTCTGCAGACTGACGGATGCCGCAGACATATCATGGTATTGTCGGTACCACCGTGAAGGGATCGGCTCTGTATAGACTATACTCCGGAGTAGACATCTCTTGGCTTTCATCAACTACTGCTACTACCACGGGAAAGGATGTTACACACGATATGTCATGATGGTATCAAGCCCATTGTTTGAATCAGTCAGGCCGTGTGCTATCATTGTGCGACTTTCGGGTTGACTCCTTGTCGGCCATGCGACGATCACTTACGCAAATCTGGTATTTATCTGTTTGGCGACCATCTGTTTGTTCTTTCCTCAGAGATCCTCAGAAACGAGATACAAGGATTTACGGTTTGCCTGCTCGGCATTTGCAGCTAGCGACCAGGCTTGCTGACTGGGATGGGCGAAGCCGGCCATAGGCCATGATTGGTGGAATCCCTCACGTCCAGTCTGCTCCAGAGAATGAATTGAGTACGCCTTACATAGATATCAACGCAGGCGTCCGAACGCAACGCAGCCATCAGGACCGTCATGATGCTGGCGAATAATCCATGACCATTGCAATGTGACATTGCCTCCTGAGTCCTGGGGGTCTATTACCTAAGCCCTTTCCAGCTTTCACGGTTTATGAATCACTTGAATCCAGGGTTTTTGCGAAGCCCGGCAGACGAACCCAAACCAAAATAGCGGCTACACAACCTGTTTTTGCAGCGGCTGGAACCTGGCTATGGAATCTTCCCCCGCAGCCGGTGGAAATTGCCAGCCAGTGGCTGCCGCTGACACACGGAACCAGTCGCTGGACTGACGTGATGTTGCCTTTTTCGTCTTTACGTTCGGTTTAGACACTACTCCCTTTAAACGGCACTGGCAGATCCAGTCCTGCCCATTGAGACTCACTGGTTCCAGCGATTGATTTGGAATAGCCTCTCTGGGAGGATCGAACTAATTGAGGATTTTTGGCCTTATGATTTTTGGCCTTATGAGGAAGGTAAACTAGACGAAGAAATTATCACTTCCTTCCCACTAAGTCCTCTCTCTGAAGAAACAACTCACCGAATCCACCTGAGATATCTATTCTCTCTCTTTCTGTCTTTCTTCTCTCCCGCTCGGCCATTTCTCGATTGAGCCTCGGGTCCGTCCGGTTACGCCACACCCAGGGGAACGACTACTGACACATCCCCGGCCGTTAACTATCCTACGGAGTAAGGACTAGTGAGCGCCGCAGAGAGAAGAAAATCACTGAGGGCAGTTCACCTCCCCTCATGTTTTCAATGCAGTAAACAGACCTTCGGCTCGATTCTTGTGTGCTGTGTCTACGCTCAAACTCTTGCGGAGAGTTTGGCACAACAATGGCTCTTGACAAACAGCTGCTTCATCTCCACATTGGCGATGGGCAACCGGCGCCTATCAATGTCTCCTCGATCGCCACCCCGCCAGACGAAGAGCAGCTGGATATGCAGACCAACAGGAAGGATGCCTCATGCGGTAACGAATTGGACAGTATGCAGGACCACCAGTTGTCCATGAATCGAATTTTTCGGCACACCCCTGTCCCAACCATCGTCCTCGACTCATCTCTGCGCGTAATTGAGGTCTCCGATAGCCATCTTACCTTCTCCCAGCGCTCGAGAGATTTTATGCTTGGAGCGTCCATCTACGAACTTCCTCTCTCCTCCATTCCTGCGCCCGACATTGCGACCTTGAACGGTGCCCTGCGCGTGGCCATCACCTCTCGCGCGGTGCAAGTTATTGACACCATCCATATGCCCCGAATCAGCTCCTACTTCTCCCTCCGAATAACACCCATCTTCGACGGGGCATCACTGTTGAATCTGGTCCTGGAGGCCCATAACGTCACCAGAACCCATACCGAATCGTTGCACAATGCCTACATAAACGAGACTTACAAGATCCTGGTCGACACGGTTCGAGACTATGCCATTTTCATGCTGGACGCTCGCGGCAACATCGCAACCTGGAATTCTGGCGCGGAGATCATCAAGGGTTACAAAGCTCATGATATCATCGGTCGGCATTTTTCCGTCTTCTACAGTTCCGAAGATCGCCTGGCGGATAAACCAGGCAAGGAGCTTGAGGTGTGTCTCCGGGATGGCAGAGTCGAAGACGAAGGCTGGCGCTACCGGAAAGACGGGTCGCGGTTCTGGGCGAACGTCATGATCACCTCCATCTTTCAATTTGGAAGACATGTGGGTTTCGTCAAGGTCACGCGCGACTTGACTGAGCGCAAAGCGGCTGAAGCACGCATGGTCGCAGCTTTCGAGGAGTCGTCTAAGATGAAGAGCGACTTCCTGGCCAACATGAGCCACGAGATCCGGACGCCCATGAATGGAATGCACCTGGCTTTGACGATGCTGACGGGGACAGAGTTGAATGATCCGCAGCGCGAATATGCTTCGATCATCGAGGATTCCATGTCTATTCTGCTGCAAGTGATCAATGATGTTCTTGACTACTCCAAATTATCCTCTGGATCCTTCTCTTTGAACACGGATGTATTGAGCGTTGAGAACATCTCGGCAGCGGTGATGCGAAACTGCAAAGCTCTGAATCCAGCCGTGAAGATCATCTCTTCCATGCCTCCCAATTTTCCCAAGATGCTCCGAGGGGATCCTCTGCGTTATCGACAGGTAATCCAGAATCTGGTCGGAAATGCGATGAAATTCACCGAACAAGGCACCGTCAATGTCAATCATTCCTTTGCTGTGGACGATGCACATTCCAACCTCTATACCGTCACCACCGAAGTTGTGGACACCGGCATTGGAGTCCCTGAGGAAGCGATCAACACTCTTTTTACTCCGTTCACACGATTCGCCGACTCAGCCACCAAACGCTACCAGGGTACGGGGCTTGGCTTGTCGATCTGCAAGAGCCTGGCCGAGCTGATGGATGGAACCGTTGGGTATAAACCCAATCCGAACGGGAAAGGGAGCGTCTTCTGGCTGACGGCCAAAATGTGCGGCGTGGATGTGCCACCAGCGGGCAAAACCTACGTGCCCACCACCGCGGACGATACCTATGAGCCCATGGATGAAGTCAAACAAATTGCTCCCCACCTGCACGTCCTACTGGTAGAAGACAACATGGTTAATCAGATTGTCATGTTGAAGCTTCTCAAAAGTCTCGGTTTCGAACGTGTGGATACAGCCTGGGATGGAGCAGAGGCGGTCCGACTCGTCAAGCAAACCCCGTTCTCATACAATGCCATTCTCATGGACATCAACATGCCGGTCATGAATGGTCTTGAGGCGACAGCATGCATCCGCGATATGAATCTCGATGTACCGATCATCGCGCTGACCGGGAACGCGCTCAAGGGAGACGCAGAGACGTACCTCGCCAAGGGGATGACCGATTACATTGCCAAACCGGTTCATCGCAAGCACCTGGTACAACTGTTGTGGAAGTGGCTCGGTTCGTGAGCAATTCGTTCTTCTAACTTCGGCTGTACGCCTCCTTTCGAGGACATTATCTGATTGTCCATCCCTGACTTAGAGAGGGACGGAATGGCACAGCTATCCGCCCTCGGCCCCCCTGTAACAGCTCACATGGCGTCCATCGAGCCAGAGGTCCAATGTGGATTGACGCAGGTTGAATCTTCCGCCAGCTCGTGCCTTGTCGGATGATACCACTAGCCTCTTCACATCGACAAGCACAACATGCCTCCACCACCACATCACATTGATTGTTGGATCTATGCACTCCGCCAGCCGCCTTACTTGATACTTGTACGACAGCACTCGCGGTTTCCAATCCCAATCCCAGGCCACGAACAAAGTTGATTTCGTTATCGCCTGTTTGTTTCCATCACCTTCCTCGCCGGCTCGATCCATAGGCTGGATTTTGGAGGTTTTTTTCAAGGCCTTTCGAAGTCGGGCATCACGCAAGCGTCACCCTCATCGCCATGCATGACGGCAGAAGTAGGTGACTGGACGGCGATTGTACCGCGCAAGCAGCAACGGGGCAGCAGCTTGCAGCGAGAAGGGGACGAATTGTACTTTGAGTGGCGAATATCATCGCGTTATGACAATGCGATAACTTATCATGAGCTTTCTATATTCTATCTTACCAGCCATAGGATAGGGTCTATAATCATGTCAATGTACGAATTGATGATAATGAATGAACTATAGTACTGGGGTATTGAATACATCAGCTTTTCCAATGTTGCACTCTTCTCTTCTCTTTCCAATTCAATCGGGGTTTTCTGGACAATCTATTATTCAGGTTTTCCGTGCAATATGACAATATTCTTGCAGTACTTCTTGGAAAATGGCTGGAGGAGTCGAAGCCAGACCATGTGACTCCGTTTGAACCTCAGCTCTCCTAACTCTCCTATTTCCATTCTCTGACCTTGCGCTTGTCCTTCTAGCTTTCCCAAACCACGTTCATTGCACATCCATCGAAGTCAGGGAATCCAAGCAAATGCCCATCAACCGACTATCCTTCCCTCTTCCCGCAAAGGACACATTCAGATCGGCGGCGGGAGTGCACTTCTAGCTCAACCTTGATATTTGCGGGGAGTCTCAACGAGGCAGTCCCCTGAGCTATCATGCAGGACACGGGAATGATCCGTTTAATTTCCATGTCGGTTGCTGATACCATCCAAGTCCAGTGGGGATCTCAATCATAGTCCGTATATCGTCATTCCGTCGACCTAGTTCGGTCTCCCGCACCTCTAGAGAGCGAGAAAGAGAACTACGAAACGAGGATCTGGCTTTCACGGCGTCTGTGCGAGGATTGATCGTCTCGACGCGATGGCTGTGCTGTCCAGTGTCCACATGGTCTTCAGGAGTTAGGTTTCCGAGGTTGGGTGCTGGGGATGGTGACTTTGTACACAGTAAGTCGACAACTTGGTCTCGTCCTTGTGATGTTAATGTCCGTGATTTAGTATACCGGGTTTATAAAGATTAGGCAACAAGAGGATACCTATACTATGCAACTCCCCATCTCATGGCGGAAGAAGAAGACAAAAACGACTGTGGCTTCCGCGATCGATATCCCCCAGAAGCTAATCCGCGAGCTTGATTTTTCTTGAGGCCCTTGGCTACTTAACCTATATATACTACGCACCAGACCCGCACCATTCGTTCCGATGATCTAGGGCCAGGAAGAGTAGGACATGCGATTTTGTGTGGGGTGTCGATCAGGGGACGCTTAAGGCCTAAATATATAACGGGGAGTCCGCGCCGAGGTTTTCTCGAAAAGAAGCACAAATCAAGCTGGTCTTGCTGTTCAGGAACAATGAGATTCTTACACGTGCAACATCGGCTGGCGTGCTGGCCACCCGGACCCCGAATGACTGAATCGCCCATGAACGGCGGAATATATTGCCCCGTCCCTAGACTAAAGCAAAGAGATTGGATGGGCAGTCAACCTTGCCGATGAGGATAGAGCCGCCACAGTCCAATCCGAACCGCAGCCATGATTTGCTGATGGAGGTGTATGTATTTTCCTCTGAATCTGGTAACGGTAGTTTGCTGACCACTCATGGTTCTGATCACCGCTCGTCTCGCTATGGGCTGTATCTTTCCGTCGACGAGGTGGGCAAGTCGACCCATCGGGTTCGTCAACCCAGTGCCGTATGCGCATCCGGAGGTCCTCCACGATATCATATCACGCAGGGGAGTAACCCGTAACCCGGCCTGTGGCACCGATGGGTTTGCTGTGTCTCAGGGGGTGGGGTGGGATCCGGTGATGTGGCTCGGGACGCCGAATTATCCTGATCTGGTGAAGCTGTTTATGGAGCAGCCGTAGTGGCCTGTGATGCACTCGTATGGGCTTTCTCTCTAATGATCGCTTCAGGAGTATAGGCAATTATGTATTGACTCTCCTTCACCTTGCGAAAGGCGAAGAGCAGTTCTGGCTGCTTTATCGGTTTGAAGGGTCTTTTTCTCTACTTTACGTAGGTCACTTGGCTATTCCGACTTCCCAGAACGCAAATATAAATCAGAAACGAACGCCTCTCAACGTAAGACATCCACACGTCCAAATTCTTTATTTCTCCCTCGCGAGCCACAGTACTATGAAAATCATTAATCTATTGGCAAAAGGTATCATAATGTGTACCACAAACAACCAAGATAGGACTTACTCCACTACGCCGCAGCTGCCATCTCCTCCCAACACCTATTCTACCCAGGAAAACCTCCAATTCATCAATGGATATCATTTCATGTACTGTTCTCTACTCTTTCCACAGACATATTTTATTTACATAAAATCATGAGACATGAAAACCCCACAGGGCGCATTTAGACAATGACATTGTGGGTGGCCGGCTTCTCGTCCTCCTCGCCGAAGATGTTGATGTTCCACCGAGGCTTATACGCTGCGTAGGGGATGTTGAAGCGACGGCGCTGCTTGCCCAGCTCCGACACCTTCTCGAACTCCTCAGAGGTGAGCTCGATCTCCTGGAAGTTGGCGGCGATGCGCGACGGCGTAACGGACTTGGGGATGACGCTGTGGCCGCCGAACTGGGACCAGGCGAGGATGACCTGGGCGGGGGAGACTTCGTGGCCGAGTCTCTTGGAGACGTCGCTGGCGACCTGCTTGACCTCGTCGCTGGCGATCAGCAGGGGCAGGCCGATCACATTGTTGCCGAAAGCGGAGTAGGCGGTGATGAGGATGTTCTTCTCCTTGCAGTAGGCGACCAGGTCGTTGCTTTGCAGGCGGGGGTGGCGCTCGATCTGGTTGGCGGCGGGGACGACGCCGGTGGCCTTGATCAGAGCCTCGATCTGATGGGGTCAGCTTTTATCGACAGACTTGGTGGGCTTGGTTGTCTTACGTGCTCCTTGGTGTGGTTGGAGACACCCACAGCGCGGGCCTTGCTCTTGGGGAGCTTGATCATGGCCTTCCAGGTGTCGACGATGGAGATGCTGTCATCGATCTCAACGTCACCACCGGGAACGGAGCTATCCTTGATGAGGGGGAAGTAGACATCGCCGGTTTTGAAGGCCACAGGCCAGTGGACGAGGTAGAGATCAAGATAGTCGAGCTCGAGATCAGCCAGGCACTTGTCGAGGGCCTCTTCAACGACGTCGGGGTGGTGCTGGCTATTCCACAGCTTGGATGTCTGGAGAGTATTAGACCCTGGCCATGAGATTGTTTGTATCTGTAGCATAAAAACATACGATGAACAGATCCTCACGCTTGAGGCCGGGAATATCCTTGAAAGCCCTCTTGATGCCGTCGGCAACTTCACGCTGGTTTTGGTAGCTTTGATTGTCAGTTAATTGCGGATGCTTAGGTAGAATCGAGTGGAAGGGGATCCCGGAACCTACATGGTGGCCAAATCCTGATTTTTAGGTTAGCTGGTACTCTCAGAATGGAGCAGACTTTGGATAAAAACATACCAGGTGACGATATCCAGCCTTCAAGGCATGGTAGACAGCTTCGCCGACCTCTCCAGGGGCAGATTGCCAGGTACCGAAACCCAGCTGGCTGTTGGTTCAGGTCAGCCTCTAGCTTCGAAACGGTTTCTCAGGTAGGATGGGATAGGATTCCGACATACGGGATCTCAGCACCAGTGTTCAGAGTAACCTTCTTTCCGAGAGACATGATGGGAAAAGATGTTGATCAAGAGCGATGTTTGGGTATCGAAGAATTGTAGATTGGGGGATTGAAAGAAGGGAAAGAAAAAGGAGGAGGAGGAGGAGGTAGAAATAAAAAGGGGACTCTTTTTGTCCCGGCACTTGCTCCGGGGGTGGGGTGGGATGGGAAGAAGAACCTTGATGCACGGCCAGGCTCAAGGGGAAAAGTCTAAGTCTCTCTGGCTGTGGAATCCCACATTTTGAGAGCATCATCAATCATCATCCAGGCTCGCAGTCACTGTAACTAACCATAGTGATAGTTAGCAGCCAGTTTGAACCCCCGCCATGCCCCACCGAGGGGCTCATAGCCTCGATTGCGCGTGGGATGTCGTGTCGTATGGCGTATTATTTGTCGTGATTTGGGAGCAGAGTTACATCAGCGGATGGATGATTCAAGAGCTGTGTGTCCTCGAAGCATCGAAAAGATGCCTGTTTTTACTGCCCAAAGGATTAAAAAGAACAGTATAGATGTTAATGATTCTCTCTCTTGGAGATGGATGGATAGATAGATAGAGGTCGGAGTCGATGATTATATGATCACACAGGCAGTGACATCATCTCGGCAGACATTCCTGAACGACCTATATCACGTGATCTCGGCGCGGCCTGCGCTCCGCCCCACCCGGACATTTGCCCGTTTGATCGCTGCTCTCGTTCTATTTCTGCCTTGTTGAGGACATGGCTGAGGTAGTTCTCTACACGACGAGCACCACCAAGGAGACCAGGCCTGGAAATCAAATAGAATAGCCATTGAGTTACTTAAGTATATCAGAGGACAACAAGTCCTGTATCTCCACAGGGTAGGATCGCTGAGCAACCTCCACCCCAGAAGTTCAGAACCTCCCAGGAGAGAGTGATATATACACATTGACTACATGCGCACAAATGAACTCAACTGTTCCCAATTCATCTTGTGCTTCGCCAAAGCCACAATTAAGTAGTCTTCGGCGCGGCAGTCTCCTCGTGCACCGCTTCCACTCCGGCAACCTTCTTCTCCTCGTCGAAACCAGTCTGTTCCAGAACAGTACTGCGGCCGAAGGCGTTCTTGGTCTTCCAGGCAGGGGTACCGATGTAAGGGATGCCCTCGGGGTTGGTGAAGATGGCCTCGACCTCTTCCAAGGTCTTACCGGCAGTCTCGGGGAACATGAGGTAAACGTGGATGCCCATCGCCGTGCAGAAGACACCGAAGACGATGTAGACTTGCCACTTGATGTTGACGAACGCGGAGGGAACGAAGTAGCCCAGGGCGAAGTTGAAAGCCCAGTTCGCAGATGTGCAGAGAGCATTGGCCTTGCCACGGACCCGCAGCGGGAATAGTTCGGGGGGATAAACCCAGCTGACAGGGCCCCAAGAAATAGCATACGAGCTGATCCAGTCAGAATTCTGCGGTTTATTGCCAGTAGTATGGTCCGGAACGAGGAATGTGGAGGCTTACACAACAAAGAGATAGGTAAAAGCAATGACAGCTTTGCTAGGAGCACCTGTGATCAACCAGGATTGCGCTTCGACGCCGCCCAGACCACCTTCAGGGGCCGGATGACCGTACGTCGCCAGCAGACCGGCATTCGCGAACATGCAGGTCATCATGCCAATGGCACCGAGCACGAGCGTTGGACGACGACCCCAGCGATCAACGAAAAGCAGAGCGGGGACGGTCATCACCACGTTCAAGATGTATTGAACGGACGATGAGACCAGAAGGTTGTTTCCAGTATATCTAGGGGATAAAGGCGTCAGCGACTTCCTGGACCAACCCCGAGAATGGTTCTTCTTACCCAGCCATAGCAAACAACCACACAATGTAGTACACTAGCCAATGTTAGATTGTGCTCAAAGGATAAGCGATAGGAGCCAGAAAAGATCGGACGTAGGAAAGAAATATCGTACTCATAGTGTTCATGCCGCACATTTGCGACCAGATTTGGATAAAGACACCAACATGAGTGCGGTTAAGCATGTTCGGCTTCAGAAGCTCAAGGAAGGAGACGTCGGCATTCTCGCGCTCGAACTCGCACATTTGCTTGATCTCCTCGTACTCGCGGACAACAAAGGGAGAATTAGGATCGCCCTTCCCGTGAACCAGGGTAAGAACCGCGAGACACTCCTCCCAACGATCCTTGCGAGCCAACCAACGGGGCGACTCGGGCAGAATCATCAAGCCAAAGAACAACAGTACAGCAGGAATCATCTGCAAGCCCCATGGGATGCGGAAGGCTGCAGTGCCATTGATGAAGCTGCATCCGTAGGAAATGCTGTGATGTGGCCATGGAATATCAGTAAAAATCCTAGAAACTATGCATTCTGTATTGTGATATTGGTAGAGTAGGATTTCTTGGAGTCCGGATCGGGGACGGGAAAATTAAGCCCGGAGTATATTTTGGTTTGGGGAAGAAGAGGTTTGATGGGGTGAGCACTTACTAGAACATGATGAGGATACCCCATGTAATGGCCCATTGCTGCATGCCAACGACACGGCCACGCTTGGTGGGAGGTGCCTGATATGCAATTAGCTGGCTGCTCATTATATTTTGCACAAGAGAACCCACCATCTCTGAGATGTACACTGGAACTTGAGCCGAGCAGATACCGACACTAAGACCGTTGATGATACGGCCGACAATCAACATGGGGATATTTTGCGCGGCGCAAACGAGGATGGAGCCGATGCACCTGTTCAAGTCAATGATGTATCACTCAACTATTGACGAGGCAGACGAAACGTACCAGATGACAGAGCCGATCATGATAGAGGTCTTACGACCAAGCCTGTCCGAGAGAAAACCCGAAACCAAAGCACCAAGCCACGAACCACCGGCCATAGAGGCAGTGATGCCACCCTGAACATCGGCATGAGGTCCCTTACATTTGGGCTCTCCATTCTCATACCCCAAAGGTCCTTGATGAAAATAGCACAGATACGACTTCGTGCCGATAATGGCGGACATGGACGAGATGTCGAAACCGAACAGTCCACCACCAATGACGGCGACGGCCGCAATCAGGTATAGATTGCCGACAGCCATGGCGGGATATGGGATCTACCTCACAAGATCTCGAAAGACAAGGTAGCGGCCAGTAGGTAGCCGAGTGGTGAGAGGAAAGGCGAAAAAGCGGCAGGAGAAAAAGAAGCTCGCAGGCAGACGGGAGCAGTACGGCTTATCAGATATTTAGGCGGTCTCGCAAGCGGGTCTGCGTGCATCATTTATATGCACCCGAGAAAGGAGAAAGATTGCGTACGCGAAGGGACACACTATCCGAGTCTAACTCTAACAGTCAGAGAAATTCCCCATGGGCGTGAAGCCCGTCACTGGGAAAGCCGACCCGATTATCCGAGTCATTCTGGACTGTGGAGACCAACAGACTGGGGGGGAGTCCGGCTCGTGGTCAAAGAAATTGTGATTCTGGTGCCCCATGTCTCTGAAGCGAGACAAGAGTCAGACGCATGCAGTCGAATACGGACTGTGCACTTGTATGTATAATGCAGGTATGATGACAGCCCATTGCAATCTAGCATATGTAAGTGGCTGACGGCATCCTTGATGCTTGTACCGGGCTGTAAGCACTAAGCAATATCAATGCGGCGGATAAAGCAAGAGTGCCCTTCCCAATAATCCTGGTCCGTAAAGTGTAAATATTGGCCCTAAACAAGGCCATGGGACATGGATTATGGACAGGGGATACCCGGGAGACATAGAAATCCGATGGACATCCACCCAGGGACCAATGGCACGAGGAAGCTTGCCCAGCCAAAGTCTCCAGAGTCCAGCATGCAACCCCCCGAATATGACCTTGTGTAGAATTCAATCGCTGATTCGTTTATTCGCAGAGGTGGATATTGAAAATCAAAGTGTAAAAAACCATGGTCCCATCTGTGTGGAAGACTTGGACGGAGGTAAATTGGCAAAACCAGCGCTTGGGCCGTGGAGACTTGGAGGGATCCGGGGAAAAGTTCCCCACGCGGGCGAGACTAGTGCTGCACGCCGAAAAAGTAAGGATGGCCGAAAGGCTCAACTGAACACGAAGCGAGTCAAGCGACCCCCAGAATCGATTCTCTCAAAGCCGAAATTGCGCAGATCGGCAGAAATCGATTCCTTTCCCGGCTGTGGCATACCCGAATTTGTGCGAAAATATGTGCCAAGAAGGCATATAATTAGCGACGGCTGCGTATGCCGTTCGGAGGACAAAGTTGGTGGACGAAGCCGATACTTCCTTTTTGCTTCGCAGAGTATCTATATGAGACAATTGTCGCTGATCGCATCTTACACCACAAAGATGAGCGTGAGATAGCAACACATTCGAAGATTGGCCGATAGCCAGGGATGAACAAGTCTCGCGGTTTGGCGACAGAAATGGAGTAGCGACTGGGGATCTGACTGGGCCTCACTCCGTACGCTGTCAACCAACGACCCACTGTCTCTCCGTAATCTGGAGATGAGAGACGGAGAATCCCCGGGATAAACAAACCGAGTTTCTGATGTTGCGGGAGGCTGGAGCGCATCAATTGCCAGCTGAGGCCATATCGCTCAAACACCTGGCCAATCCAACCCCAGAAGCTGCTCGGTGCTTACTGCTTGAATTGATGCAGCGGTTCTTCTTGATTCATCATTCCCGGGTATTCGGATAGTCCAAGCTCAAGAATTCTCCCGTGCACAGTTGGGCACTTGGGAGTTGGGATCCAGATTGAACCCGAGAAGGCTAAGATGAGAAGTGGGTTGTCAGAGTCAGACTCCATGATGGGCGTCATTGGGTAAAATGCCTTAGGCCCACCGAGGCATCGCCCTGTTCCTAGAAGGGAGATTTCCACCAATCTCCAAGCTTCCTCCTGTTGGGCTGGTGAACTTGAGAGATTATTATTCTTGACACGTCGAACAGAAACAAGAAAAGAAAGTGTCGCCAGGATAAAGCATGGTGATTTATCAACCAGAGTTCTCCAGTGTCTGGTCCAATCTCGACAATATCTAGACCTGAGACTATCATTACTCCGTAGAAGAGCCAACAACACCCCGACTTCAACCAGCAATTTTTTGTTCAGTCAATCCTCATTTATTAGAAGTTGCACCGCAAACAAGCCACAGCATCATCATCATCATCATCATCATCGTATTAAATTAACCAACTTTTCTGTTAGCTGCAACCGGGCCGCAACTCTCTTCTTCCTTCGTGCTGTGGTCGGTCCTCGGCAGAATAGCCACAAAGCCTGTCCACCATTGATCACTCTTGACGATCTGTTGTATGTGAACTCAAATGCAGCATAGGAGGATCCAAATTCAACAGGCTTCTTCGATCTTGGCTCTCGAACTGGCAGATTCAATGAAGTGTTGTACTAATTCAAAGGAGATGATGCGTGGTGAACGGCTTGTATTGGCTCTTGACCAGCAACTATTACCATTAAAAATACTTGTGTCATTCTTGCAGATTGCCGATGGGCGTCTATTATTGATAACCTGAAAAGGAGAAGCGCAATGAAGAGTCGATTCTCAGAATCATACCAACTCCCATTCTGCTATGTAGGCGAAACTCATGGCCACGCGACCAGCCTTTTGTCGATATTCCTGCACCGTAACACCCCGTGCATCTTCACGACCCTCAAACTTGGTGAGCACGGCAATTAACAGTTTCTGGCCGGGTGCGCCGAGAGTCCTTGGATCTTGAACGTCAAGGTACCAAAGATCTCCACCGCCGCCGGGCTCTGTCCCCCGGACGTGATCAAAGGCGATGTATTCGTCTTTCCGGCCGTCTACACCGTGTATTATTAGCAGAAACACGCTAGGCTGGATTTTGGCGTGCCACTCTAACGAAAAGTGCTCGCAGATGAGACTGAACTGGAAGCGAACCGGAACCTGCTGGTAGGGCGAGATCCGCTTGGCGGCTGGCAAGAATGTCCGCTCGCCGATATAGTGTTTCTGTATATCGCCCCAGGTCTTCGGCTGCTCAACACCGAATGGAATTTGGGGATCGCTCAAGATATATTCCTCCCAACTTGGTCCCGGCCGGCCATTGTCGCGGAAGAAGTGATCGCGAGTACCAGGGAAATGCTTGAGGCCAAACTCATCGTTCGTCATGGTAAACAATGATGGGTTAAAGAGCTTCTGGTATGGTTGTCCTGGCCCCTGAACCACCCCGGCACCCCAACAGGCATCGATCAATTTCCATTGACCGTTGTCAATCCGCACTGCATTCCAAGCATGACCAGCATTGTATGGGGGCACGCTAGCTCCAGGCGCCAGCGGCTCATAGCCATAGCCTTTACCGTGACCTGAGATAACGAGTGCTTCCAGCCCAGCATGAGTTGCAAGAGCCGCGAAAATCGCTGCGTACCCTTCGCAAACTGCCAATCCGGTGGCAAGGGTACTAGCGGGTGTCGACGGCCTGACACAGTTGTTGAAGAAGGCTTCGACATTGTAGCAAATATTATGATGACACCAGGTGAACAAAGCCCTGGCTTTGTCTGTCGCTGAAGGGAATGGTGTTGTGAGCTCTCTGGCCAGCCAGACTAGATCATGGGTCGGTAAGGTTTCGCGCGGAAATTTGGCAGCGTGGGCGTCCGGGCCCGAAAAGTCTCGACATTTCAGACACCCAGTCGTACTTGGAACCGAGAAATTTCCATTAGACATTCTGGGTTTCGTCGCCATGAGTTTGGACAGATCTGGCTTTGAGGCGACAGGCACTGGGGGCGGCGCACCGTTCGGCACCTCCGTCGAATGCGCCTTTTTATTCATATCTCCAAAACCCGACTGCTGTAATTTCCCCAAAGCAGCGCCCGATGGGAGAGGTGGTGGGAGCTTTCTTGCCGGTTTAACTTCAGTGTCTGCACCAGGCGACCGATCCTGGCCGTCTCTCGACGGTAGCCGAGGAGGAAGTCGGGGCATGCTCTCTGTACTTCTCAGGGAAATATTGCTTACGGCTCGACGAATAGGCAATGCAGGCCGAGAAGAGGGCAGAGACGGCGGTTCCCTTATTGATGGCAGCGGTGGCGGCAAGCTGTCTCCGCTCTTCATTGTTGCCGACTTCGGTCGCTGTGGCGTCTTAGGACCCTTAGCATCCCCCCTTTTTGGAGGAAGCGGAGGTAGTTTTGCTTCATCGTAGCGAGGGGCACGCACCGTGCGGCCGTTTCCAGTACCATTTGAAGTACACGTCTCTGTCGTTCTCACGGTACTCGTGGATATGGTGGAACGTGAAGTATCCGACGCAGCGGAATCAATTGAGTTCACGGAAGGCCTTCGAGGAGGCAACGCAGGCGCGAGTTGCTGGTATGAAGCTTTTCGTGTGGGCAGTGGCGGAGGTGCCTTCGGTTTCTGGCCGAATGACTGTGATCGAGGAACCGGCGTTGGCGCCCCTGCTGGCTCATTCCCAATGGTAGAACGTTCAACCACAGACCCATAACCGTTCGTTGGTGGGTTATTGATGGTGCTGGCTCGGAACGAGGCAGGTCGTGATGTGAATGGTGTTGGGTGAGAGCCTACAATTGCCGATCCGGAGCCATCAACGCTTTCGCCAGCTTGGGCCTGTTTTAGGGCGGCGATCCGTTGCTGAATAGAAAGCACTTGCGTTTCTTCAGCCATTTCCCACGTTTCTTTTCTTTTCTTTTCTTTTTTTTCTTTTTTGTTTCAGACGAGAAGAATGAAAGTATCCGAATGAGGAAAAATGATATGATAACGGGTGTCACGGAAGAATTGCCCTCAAGTAGCGTGGCAGGTTGCAAGCGAGTGTATTGAAGAGCTGGGGGAAGTTAATGACCGGATCGGGCAACTGGGAGTTACGGCATTCAAGGACACATCAGGGAGACGACAGATAAACTCAGTATTCGATACCAGCAATTCTCATGCAGGCAAAGAAGAAAAGGCTAAAAAGCGAATGAAAAGCGGAGAGTTAAGGTGGCGTGTGTGCTAATTTATAGGCCATCCATACCCCCCTGCTCCCCCTAACATCCAAGCGCTGTCGAAACAAGGCTGGGGTGGTTGTTAGGAGCCTCACAAGGCTGATTGCCTGAGATATCAACAGGGGCGGCGCTGGCTGACAACAATCACTCTTGGTGGTGAATCTTCGACGTGAAAACGGGTGTCTTCTATCCGTACTGCTGCTCAAACAGCAATAATCTCGAAGCCCTCCCTTTCAAAGTTCAACATGGAATGGATGGATTTGGTTCCTGTCAATTCGACATCAAACCTTCATGGCTCAAAAGTCAAATCACATGTTCTATTCTACCCCACCTGACTCCACCAGGATTCCAGGGCCCAATAGATGCCTGAGGTGTCAATATAGATATCGTTAAAAGTGGTCCGATATCAGACATTATAGATAGAATTTCTGAGGGAAGAGCCAACCCTCCCACATTGTCAAAGCTCAAGGCTATGGTGACCATATTTGGGATTGATTAGGATGATGTAGACAAATAAGATGATCGACTTCAATATAGCATCGGAAATAGGTAACTAAGAAGGAGCCAAGGACGATTCTGGTTCTGAGTAAAATGCAGCATGACCGCTGAAATCCTTCGCCTCGTTGGAAGAAATTGATGAAGGCAAATGACAATGATGAGGAAGAAACGAGAAAAAAGGTGGTGGGGAATTTAGACACTGGACAGAGAAAGAAATCGAAATAGAAATCAATGGACACGAAAGTAACCCCTTACACGCAACCCAATGCTGTTAACAGAAACAAACAAAGTTGGAGAAATAAACAGAAATGGAGAGGAAGAAGAAGAAAAAGGGGGAAAGGAGAGAAAGAAGTTGGCAAGAGAACAAGAATGACATCCGCATATTTCGGTCTGACTCCAGAACTCTCCTTGGTCACTTGTCTCACAACTTGAGAGTGAAGGGAACAGGAATTTGGTCAATCGTCAACATCACTTCGTCCCATAGTACATGTCTGTTCATACCACTGCCATGTCATCGTCATGTTCAAACATTCTTGTATAGTAGCAAGGGCTCGCCAACGTTTTCGATCTCGGGGATGGTGCATTTCAGGTCGAAAGCTTTGGCAAGGACGATTTTGAATATCTGACCAATCAGTTAGCCGAGAGTCATACCCATACGTCGAAAACCAGTCAGACCTTTTGTACATTGATGCTGTGACTGGTGCTGCTGAAAATCAAACTCGCTTTCATCGCCTTGGCGAATCGCTTGGCCTGCACAGTCATCAGCGCGTGCATGGCGAAAATCAATGACGGTTCCTACCTGAATAGAGATCTCCTCCTGGTCTTCTCGAGGGAAGTTCACGAAATGGTCGTATTTTGTACCAACAAGGAAAGGAATTGCTGTCTTGTTGAAACCACGACCCTGGCGGTACCACTCTTTGATCGAGTTTAATGTGCTCTTGCGTGTGAGATCGAACATGAACAGAATAGCAACGGCATCGTTACACACGAGCGGAAGCATGTTGACAAACTCGCGCTGGCCGCCAAGATCCCAGATGGAGAAGGTGATTTCCGTATTCCTGATGGAGATGGTCTTTTCCATAAAATTGACCCCTACATATAGGTTAGAGAGATCAATCCCATAGACTGTAACGAATAACATACCTAGTGTTTGGATGTAATCTTCGTCCCAACTGCCCTCGACATACTTCACCATCAAGCTTGTCTTGCCAATCTGGGCATCACCGACCATTCCAACCTTGATTACAACACTGTTCTTTGTTGGCTGGGATGGCTGTTTCTGTCCGACTTCCTGGGAAACTTGCGAGATACCATGGCGCTGCTCAGGTCCAGAAGATAACCCGGAGTCTGGCCTTGGTACAGACGGCAGGTGTGGCTGTTGCGCCAATGACGGGGATGGATTGGAGCGAGATTGGTCGTCCTCGCGGGTTCGATATTCATATGTGGAAAGTGAATTGAGATCCGCGGTACGCGAAGTGTACTGAGCGTGCGAGTCACTGCTGTATCCAGCGTGAAACCCTGGAGCGACGCCGGGCTCCTCTGTCGGTTTGAATGCGGAGCCTGGCATATCGAAGGTCTGTTGATGATGCGATTCTGCCATGTCCAGGACACCAGAAATAGACTGTGGCGGATCCATATTCATGTAATGGTACAGATGAGCGGGAAATCACTTAACAATGCGACCTAGTGTGATACATCATCTGTTAATTCTCCGACATGCCTCAGGGGAGCGGGGAGCATGATCGAGATCAATCAAATTATCAAACTCACCGACTTGCGGAATGCTGGTCAGAGAAGAGCTTCCCAAGCCCACATGGGATGCGGTTTCACACCCAGTTTTTATAGAAAGAATTGCCAGGAGTAAGCAATATTCCCGATGAGAAGCTGATGAAAAGGAAAGACGAGCAACACCCGGCGGGAGCTTGTGTTTGTTTTTATTACTATGCCTTTCGCTGGAACCAAATGACGTGAGCGGTAGCCGAGCCAGCAGGCCAGCAGCAAGGGTCAAAGACGCCCGACAAACGAGAGGAGAGAGCTGTCAAAGCAACAGCGCCAAGCAACAACCCAACAGCACTATGATTCGAGTTGTGTGGAGGATTCAGGGACCCCTTTTGAGATGAGCGTTCAAGGTCGACACAGCCGCAGCTCCAGACGAAGCGGGCGCCCATGGGAGGTCGATCTGCGCTAGGCTGCGATAGGACTAGCGCACATCCCGCCTCAATCTCTCTCTGGATGAGAAAAAAAAAGTTCCTGAACCCTAAACGACGATATTTTCCTTCAAGCATCAGGCTTCTTTTTGATCCTGTCGCACGACTGGCTCGTGCACCATTTGTTATTGAAGAGAATAATCGCATAAATCCTACAAAATGTCCAAGAGAGCCGCGGACGCGTCCGAGGAGCACTCTGTCGCTCTGAAGGCTGGAGAGCGACCAATTGCCGACATCCCCGCGGACGAGGTGGGGGAGTTTGAAGATGAGTTCGAAGACGAGTTTGAGAGCGAGGACGAAATCTTAGAGGCTGGTGTGGATGGAAGACCCGATGCCGAACGAGAGGAGGAGGAGAAAGGTTTGTATTTTGCATTTGCACCGCAAATAATGCCTTGACTGACAACGCTGCGATGGACAGATGCGATGGAAGTAGACAAACAGACATTTATTCCTGGAAGAACAAAACTCGCACCTGGAGAGGTGCTGTCGCCCGATCCGTCCACATACGACATGCTCCACACCCTCAGCACACCATGGCCTTGTCTTTCCTTCGACATCGTGCGCGATTCCCTCGGCGACAACCGCCGGACGTACCCCGCGACGGTCTATGCAGTTGCAGGCACACAGGCAGCGGGCGGCAGAGCAAAGGAGAATGAGTTGCTGGTGATCAAGATGAGTAGCCTTAGCAAGATGGAGAAGGAGAATGAGACGGACTCGGAGAGCGACTCGGACGATGACGACGATGGTGGTGAGCCAATCCTCGAGTCCAAGTCAATCCCTCTTGGATCGACAACAAACCGAGTCCGTGCCCATCAGACCCCCTCGCAATCCGTCGATTACTCCAAGCCACCACAAACCATCACAGCCACCATGCTCGAGAATTCCCAGGTCGTCATCCACGACGTGACTCCCCACCTGACTAGCTTTGACGTCCCCGGCACCGTACTACCTCCTTCCGCTTCTAAGCCACTTTCTACCCTTCGTATGCACAAGTCTGAAGGCTATGCTCTGGATTGGTCTCCTCTACAGCCTCTCGGAAAACTGTTGACTGGCGACAACGACGGATTGATCTACGTTACAACCCGCACTGAGGGAGGAGGATGGGTCACAGATACACGACCATTCACCGGCCATCTCTCGTCGGTCGAAGAGCTGCAATGGTCGCCCAACGAAAAGAACGTTTTCGCTTCCGCCAGCAGTGACGGAAGCGTGAAGGTGTGGGATGTCCGGTCCAAGTCGCGCAAACCCGCCGTTGATGTCAAGGTGTCCAACACAGACGTCAATGTCATGAGCTGGTCGAATCAAACATTCCACCTTCTGGCTACCGGTGCCGATGATGGACAGTGGGCCGTTTGGGATTTGAGGCACTGGAAGCCAAACCCGTCGGCACCCTCGGCGCAAATCAAGGCTTCTCCTGTCGCCGCATTCGATTTCCACCGTGAGCCCGTCACCAGCATCGAGTGGCACCCCACGGACGACAGTGTCGTTGCGGTCGGTTCCGCAGACAACACCGTGACCCTTTGGGACTTGGCCGTCGAACTCGACGAGGAGGAGAGCCGTGAGGCCGGTATGGCCGAGGTGCCACCTCAGCTGCTCTTCGTTCACTACATGGAGTCCGTCAAGGAACTTCACTGGCAGGCTCAGATGCCTGGTACTGTCATGGCAACTGGCAGCTCCGGCTTTGGGTAAGTTATGCTATCTGTCTACTCACTTGGTACACTTTTACTAACCTATTTCTGCAGTGTGTTCAAGACCATCAGTGTTTAAAACCATCGAGGTGCGCATGTGACAGCCAGCCTTTGCATATTCTGATACCAACGCCTGTCTGTGCTGTCACCTAGTTTGATGAAAATACCTCACGTAATTCTTATATAGAGTTAGTACAGCTTCGGATTGAATGAACATTATGACAACACTACAAAAAACTGTGGGCCTTGCATAAATTCCGTGTTTAGACCTGCGTCTCTTTCTCCTTGAGTCTGCTGAAACAAGATGCAATCGGCGTCGACCATCCCTCTCTTATCGGCCTTAGAGTACTATCTACCGATGTCCGTCGTCAATTCATAGAAGACACTTCCTTAGCCAATTGTTCCAGAAGACGCCAGCTGAGAACCTTAATAACCCCTCCATTCTCTCAATATACAGATTCTGATTACTCGATCAGTGCCGTCTTCATTTTCTGTCTCCATGTCCAGACACTGGGTGACTCTTCATTCACCCCAGGGAGTAAGCGATTGGAGCATCAAACTGTGAGCAACTACGATGCGGAGAAGCATCGAGGTATCCAACAGGTGCTCGGCGTTTGGTTCTGCTTGATCGCGCTCAACCTCTGCACCAGCCTCATCCCAATAATATACCAGATACACCAACTCTTCCTGAACATTCCTTTCATATTTAGATAGCCATTGTCCATGTTACTCTTCACCCCGGTACTGTCCCCGCAGAGCCCAGCGCTCAACGTTGTTCTCCCTGCACTCGAACACGAGAATCGGAAAAGGTTGTGAAGGCTGTCGATATGGCCAATTGATTGTAGCATTCGCAAGGGCTGGGTTGGAGAAACAGCGGAGTCAGCTGCATCGTTTGAACACGCACTGATTGGACTCTTGCAATCCATTCCTGGGCGATCTAGACGATAATTGTAGCCCGAGTATCAACAAACAGACAGCCCACTCCGACCCCTAAACCATACCCTACGCGATACTCTTGATCATCTCCTCCAGCTCCTTCACATTGCCGCCAACAACCCTCTTGTCCAGCGGCTTCCCATCCTTGTACAGCACAAACGTCGGCATCGCGCGGACATTCATCTCCTGCGCCACGGAGCCCACCTTGTCAACATCAACCTGGATGAAGCGCACATCGGTGTACGTCTCGCTGAGCTTGCCGACCACAGGCGCGATAGCCTTGCAGGGTCCGCACCAGGTGGCGAAGAAGTCGACGACGACGGGACCGGAGGAGGTAAGGGCCTTGTAGACGACGGGGCTGGTAAAACTTCGCTTAGCAACTCTCTTCATTTTATACAGGCATTGAAAGATATGTAGACATACTTGTCCACCTCGATGACCTTTCCGTGTGACATGATTGTAGCGGGGGCGGCGAAGAAGCGGTTGTAGATGAGGCGGATAGCTGGCGAGGTTAGATTGTTAGAGGATAGCCTTTTGGATTGACCATGCGCTAGAATGAGCGCTTAGTACATACCGACGTAGACAACGAGAGCGAGGATGATGCGCGAGTACTCCATAACGCTGAGAGAGAAGTTTGGTACGGAGCTCAGTCGTTGTTTTGTGTCTATGGGTCAGCAAAGGGAAGCTGTGGGGAGTTAGCGCATAATTAAGTCAGCGCGGCATAATCCCTGCATGGCATCCTTTAATGCTCGATTGCACTTCTCAAGGTGAATTCCAAAGACAGACGAAGTGAGACGACAGCATGATGGCTACTCCAGCCCTACAGAGAAATATTCCGACAGCCCACGGACTACAGAGGACAATCTCCATCAGTTACAATGGTAGTCGATGGTCGCTACCATCGGAGTCTGCCGACGATTTGTATGCGGGCCGTCTGTGAAGCAATCCAGCCCAATAACCATCATGAGAATTAGGTAACAAGGAATCAATACAGAATTATAGAAGTCTCATGGAATTCTGTTGCCTGTTGAAGCTCTGTAGCGATGGGTACGAAGAGCTAATGTGCGCTATAATTAGCATGGCAGGTAGACAGTTGGAGAAACACACTGCGAGTTGGCTGCCTACCTCACAATCACCAATTGCAAACTTGCAGGCACTTGCCTCTCTTTCTGTCTGGCTACTTACTTGACTCAAAAGAAGAGTGTACGGAGTACAGGGCTGCCTCTGAATCGTGCTCCCACCGATTCCTTCGCGATTCACTGCTCGGCAGTGCATGGGGCGACATCTGGTCATGAATCGTGATTCTCCGATACGACCTTCCGGACGGACTCGCTTGCTGGTGAAGAGCTTGGCATTATTAACTGAGGCAAACATCAGTCTTGCAGAAGGACAGAAGAGTATCTAGATAGCCATTCCTCCATTAATTCATTGGGATGCAACTGCAAAAGCAGACTGGGTACCTTAGTTGAAGCCCTTCAGTTTGATTAAACGCGATTGGTCAGCAGCTCACCTGCATCACATCCATAGTATCATTTCCCTCCGTCCGCAGGCCAGTGAAAACTGAAATGGCTTTAAAGGATCGGGAAATTCAGAGGGTCTTCATCCTCCCAAGACCTAGGCCCAGGCACTTAGCCACATCCGATGGTAGTTTCCACGTCGAATCGGCCAACGTTCAAAGGTTGTTACATAACTAGGCATGATGTGCCCTTCCGAAGGATCAAATTTTGATCCACGATGATTTCATTTTTTTTTCCCTTTTGAATGCTAGATGGTGTGTATCTGAGAAAGAATAGTCGCAAATGACGCCGCTCTTCCTGTCCATTTTGGCATCGTTGCGGCCCGTTGCAGCCAGCAGGTACTCTACCTCTAACGACAATGCATCATGTGAGCATTCTCTTTCGCTCTACGGTGGATATGCGACTAATTGATCAGGTAACATGGACGTCAACATCGCCTCTCAGTCAGACATCAACTCCATCGCCTCATGCCAGACGGTTCGCGGCAGCGTGACCATCAGCGGCTCAGTGAACGGCACGATCAATCTGCGCGGGCTTGAAGAGATCCTGGGCGACCTCACGGCAGACGGGGTGTCGATTTTTGATGGCCTGGTAGCGTCGAACCTACAGAAGGTCACGGGGACAGTCAAACTGAAGAACAACGATAGACTCAACCACATCACCATGTCGAATCTGCAGACCATCCTTGGGGACCTCGACATACAGGACAATCAGAACCTGAAGGATCTGACCTTCAATGATCTGGGTCAGATCGAAGGCGGACTGACAATTTCAGGCGATTTCAACCAGTCAGTTCACCCTCGGCTCTTGTTTTTTTCTCCTTGTAAGGCTGACTGGAATAGAATCTCGCTGTCCGACCTAGACCGCGTTCAGGGCCCGGCTACAATCCACAGCACCACAGGAGCATTTAACTGCTCGAGCCTGGATAACCTGGAGGGAAAGAATGTATTCAAGACCTCATACTCCTGCACCACCGGCAAGGCCGACAGTTCATCCGGCAGTGATGACTCCGGCAGCGGCGGGCTCAGCACCGGCGCGAAAGCCGGAATCGCCGTGGGGGTGGTCGTCGTCGTCTTGCTCTTCATCGTTCTCATCTGGGTGTCTGTGCGCCGTCGCAAACGACAGCAGCGTCGCAAGCGGGAGAGCACAGAAGAGGCAGAGCTAGTGACTGTGACAGCCACACCAGGGAAAGACGAGAAATCGCCGCCGGACTCAACGCCTTCCCCACGGGACGTGGATAAAAATGTCTCTCGGAAACCGCTGTCGCCGGATTCGCAAGTACGGGTCACCTCCGACCCGAGTTTGTACTCACAGCCTCGTGCGCCGGCGTGGCCTCCCTCTGAGGCGGAGGTGCCGATGTTGGACAGTGGGACTGTGTTCGAAGTTGGGCCGGGGCAGCCTAGACCTCCGACGCCGATTTATGAGCTAGATGGGGGAGGAATGAGTAACCATCAACAGGCGATTAACCATAGCTGATTTCGTACTAGCGGAGGCTTCTTCATATAACCCTAGACAAGGGTCTATAATTCCAATCAGCGCCATAATACACATAGAGCATGCTCTGAGAATGGTAAATACGTTCTTTCTACATACTATCCAAAATGTCTATAATACCATCCCACATATACAACCAATACGTACTCAATCTATCCCAGTGACCCTTCACTATGAACGCCGCACAGCCTGCAGCACCTCCCCATCGGCCAGCGGCCCACACCATCCATACACATCACACCGACACTGCTCAAACCTCGGACAATAAATATCCTCCTCCCCAAAGACAATATGCCACACCTTCTCAAACACCCACCCAACGCCAAAACTATCCGTCAGCTCCGTCTCAACCGCCCATCGAAGCATGCGCTCATAGTCCCCACGCGGCCGGCGCAGGATGCGCTCCCTGCTCACGGCAAACTGCCCGCAGCAGACATTCCCGATATGCTCGGGGACGCGGGCGGCAGGGACGTCGAACAGCGCCTGGTAGACCTGCGGGAAGAAGGCGCGGACATCGTTGTTCTCGATGTCGATCTGCGTCGGGCTCCACGGGTGCACGTTTGTCGGACAGCCCGGGTTGTGCTCGCAGCGCAGGTTGACGTAGCCCTGGGCGTCGACGGCTTCGAGGCGCAGGTTGCGCAGGGCGGCGCTGGTGCGCGGGCCGAACAGGTCGTTGTGCCACTGGTCTTTGTTTGAGTGGATGAAGAGGGAGTAGGGCGGGAGCGTGGCGTAGTTGTCGACGAGGTAGGAGAGGTAGGCGGTCGCTTCGCGGCCGCGGGTGGTGGAGGGGACGAGGAGGTGCGGTGTGGGGTTGTCGTCGGTGGTGTAGACGAAGGGGATGGCGTTGCTGTGGATGAGGAAGGTCATGGTCAATGGTCAGGGTTTCCTGGTGAGCGATGCGATTGCGAACGTACTGATCCCGGCTGTAGTCCAGCAGCCAGGTGAGGTCGTCCCTTTGCGTTGCGGCGAGGACCAGCGCGATGGTGCTGTTAGATGAAAAGGTGCTAGCAAGTTCGCCGATTTGCTTGAAGACGGCGAGCTGCTTCTCGTCGATGATTTCTGGTCATTCGCATAAGCTGACATACGCAAAGACTAATATATTGCAAGATGTGATAGGACTCACCCTCTGCCTCTAACTCCCAATCACCCCGGTGATACAGCATCACTGTCAAAAACGTTATGAACATCATCGCCGCGCAGATCCTGATTGCCGCCCGACGAAAATGCCATTGTGACCGCCAAATCTTCAACATTCCGTGACATATAACCTCTGGATCGAGAGGATGAAAAGGGTCGATGTAAGATTAGCAGGATATCAGAGATATGACAGACTGCGACGATATTGACCAGCTCATCTTTCCCCATCAGCCCTAACCGCCATTACCGTTACCATTACACAAATCTAACTAGCTAGCTGGCTACTACAGAGTAAGTACTGGGCACTAGGCAGGCACTCAACGAGTCAACATTAGAACAACTCATACATAAGTGATACTACCTCACACTTCTTACCCTGGCTCGGTCATCAAACAGCGATCAAACAGCCAACTGGAACCGTGCGGTCTTGTCCGCAATTGTGGAACCACTACTGCAGGTCGCTTAGAGTAAGGCAATGTTCATTGGTTAACTTGTTCGTCGCCGCAATTTACTTTATCCCTTGCCAGCCAATCGCAACAGATAAACAAGTCAAAGGAACAGAACTTGATCTTCAGGACTAGAAGATCATTTCCGATTGGCAGATCCTTCGGTGGGGACACCAGACAGTTCCACTCTGCTCCGAGTTCAACCAGCCAATCACATGGATGGTGCCAATGCTTGACTGTTTGTGCTTCCTTTATTTAATAATATACCTAGGTTGTACCCGTGGGTACTCCAACTTCTACTACCTAGCTACATTCTCAATCCCACCATCGTTTGCCCGCAATGTCAGTTGCATATGAGTCTGTGAATCACCAGTCAGGATGCTCACCGGTAATTGAACCGGAGAACTGGCTGCTGGAAGGAATGAGAGTACCAGTCTACTAGATGAAGCAGTAGTGCTTACTCAGTGGAGTTGGGGACATCTCCTAGACAATTAGGAGTATACTGAAATCAAGGTATCCGATGTCTGATGTCAATTGACAAGAGACATCTACGATAACTATTGGACGAGCCTTCCGCTTGTGCGTCTGTGGAGTTATCGTAGGAGATCTTTCGCCCGTAGTTCTCACTCAAGCCTCGAGGATCGCAGAAGGCTGTCTGGATGCCTGAGAGTCGGGTGCAAATTGCAACACCAAACCCCAACAATGATGAAGTACAGCTTCACGAGAGGCCTTGAATCCAGAGACACTCTACCTTTTCTCTACACTCTCTGCAGTATATTGTAAAATGTTGCTGGTATTCAAGGCTTCTCATGATTATCTAGTAGATCCCGTCTAACCACTCAGTATCTCGGTTTTCCTCATCCTCATCCTGGGGACTTCAATGCTCATGTTGAGGCTCAAATTACCGAGACGGTACTCTGTAGTTTGTGAGGCCTTTCGATTCAAGGTTGTCTAAAAGGCTAAGGCAGGTACGAGGCTCGCCAAATAGGCTAAGGAGCAGCCAGCCGACTCGTCGGTTGTTATTTCTCAAGCTCCCTACAAGAACACCGCCCTGAGAAAAGCGGATACTAGACTCTCAAACCTTATACACTGTATACTCATCCTTTAGAGGGAGTCCGTTCTTGAGATTAACTACTACTGACCACCCATACTCCCCTCATGCGGATACGAGGGTAACAATGCGTAACTGCCTATATGCCATTATATTTGCAGTGTCCGTTCATCATCCAAAGTATACGAATCAAGTGCTGCCTGCCGTAAGGGCATATGGTCAGAACTTGTTATTGGCCCCGGTATCTACATCGAGACAGAGACCCCAATACTGCACCTTATCGTATTATAGGATAACCAAGAGGTCATTTGGAGGTTGTCGAACTGCGATCATGACCCTACTATATAACTTCTTACTCAGCGCCATGACTTGGTCGGATGGTAGATGCGAACAGGTCCAGCATGTTGTTCCTGGCAATCTCGCAGAAATTGTCTCTATCTGCTCAAAGCAATGTGCAGTTTCCGCCAATGCTCCAAGAGAGCATATGAGAAGAGGCAGATCTTCACGTTGAAATTGGACGACGAAGACAGGAAGGATATGTATATTGCGAGATTGAAATCACCAATTGCTTCACAGAAGCACGATTCTATTGTTTACAGCGAATATGCATGATTAATCGACCCCTTGTCCTTTCCTCGGCTCAGCAAGGAGTAGCAATTCAAGAGTCAGTCTGGCTATACTGTTCCCAGATCCACGGTGCAGAGATAATGCAAGTCTTGGCAAGGGCTTTGTAGAAGTCGATGCTGAGTATTTACATGTTTCGATGAAGAAATCAGAGTAGTTTGATTGATGGAGTGTGAAGCCAGGTGCCTTGAATCTTTCAGTTTGAGCGAAGGAAGAACACAATCATTCGATTAGTGAACTACTAACTACGGTCTACAGGGGGCGGAGTAGTCTTCATCCTAATTGAAGTTTGAGGTCAACCATGAATTGACGATTGGTTGAATCGGTCCTCGGCCCCGTCTCAAGGGAATTGCGGCTTATCTGTATGTGGACTATCGAGTGAGAATCTGGAGTCGACATGGAGTATCTTGGTATCACAACGCGTGAAGTAGCTCTGTCTTGATTGGCAACGAACAAGGACATAGAGTTGATTAGATCAAATCAAACTATGAATCAGTATGAGAAATGTTAAGCCTGATGCCAAATATGTAGAACAATTGATGCTGAGAAGTTCTCATTGGTGATGGTGCTAATTTGATTACAGAGTGGCTGCTGGCTCTTCGTGTCGGTGGAGTCGCGGCGGAGAAAAAAAAAAAAAAAAAAAAGAAAAGAAAAGAATCCCGCTTAGTTAATCGATCAGATTTCCTCCGCCCCGTCCAAACAAACTTCTACACGATCTTCTATCCACAATACAGTCCACGCAGCACACAGATCCATCGTCTCAGCGGAGTTTTCTCAGTGTCGCAGGAGTTTAGTTTTTCTCTTCTTTTCTATTCTCCTCTTCTGCTTCCTGACCGTATTCTCTCCATTGTCTTTGGTTGAGCGATTGCCTCGCGTTGAGTCTTCAGGGTCCTACGATTCCGCTCCGCTCAGCCCGCTGTTGTCTTGTCGGACACCGCTCCCCACTCAGCGCAATACAAGACACGGGTCTGATCTTTTGGTCAAAGTCCATAATAAGGGAGGGATCTGTTTTAAATCCATTGAAAGGTTATCAAAGTCCTAGCCCAGGATGGGTCGTGCGCGCAAATCCAGCCATCTGGGGGAGGATATCCGGGGGGACACCAGCGCCCCGGCCATGTCCACCATGAACGAGGTCAGCCCCATCGAGGGAGAGGCCCCTAAATGGGACAAGGTATGATGCTCATGGTCTCAATCGTTAATGACGGAGAGGGAGACGACAATATGTCCTTGCTCACACCGTTTTCAGCTACTTCAGACCGAGGGAGCCCCTGAAAAATCTCTCAAGTCGCAGTCGAAGCGGCGCAAAGTCCGATCGCTTCCCCGTCGCTTCAAAAATCTGTGCCTGAAACATACATGGGTCCTACCGCTGCTGTTGATGTCCGCGCTCCTTCTCGCATACGCCGTCAACCCGACTCCAGACAATCCGCTCCATGGCGCCATCTTCTTGTCCTACCCGCAACCTCCCAAGACTCCTGGCGGCCCTATCATGTATGGAAAAGGTGCCTTGGACTTCGCTTTCGTCGGCTTCTATACCATCGTCTTGTCCTTCACTCGAGAATTCCTGATGCAGTGTGTCATCCGCCCCTGGGCCGCGTGGTGTGGAATTCGTGGCAGAGGAAAGACCGCTCGGTTCATGGAGCAAGTGTACACGGCGATGTACTTTGCAATTTTCGGACCCTTCGGCCTCTACGTCATGAAGCAGACGGATATCTGGTACTTCAACACCACAGCGATGTTTGAAGGGTTTCCTCATCGGGAACATGTCGGTATCTTTAAAGCCTACTATCTCCTCCAGGCCAGTTACTGGGCCCAGCAAGCCATTGTGCTGCTGTTGCAGCTGGAGAAGCCACGGAAGGATTTCAAAGAGCTGGTGGGACACCACATCATCACTCTGGCGCTGATCTGGTTGAGCTACCGGTTTCACTTCACCTACATGGGCATCGCGGTCTATATCACGCATGATATCTCGGACTTTTTCCTGGCTGTACGCTTCCTCAAGTTCTTCTTTCTGCCCACTCTGACTGACCTGGTTTCTGATAGACTTCGAAAACCCTCAACTACCTCGACTCGATTATCACGGCCCCATACTTTGGCATGTTCGTCGGCATGTGGATTTACCTGCGCCACGTGCTTAACCTGAAGATTCTCTGGGCTGTTCTGACCGAATTCCGCACCGTTGGCCCCTACGAGCTCAACTGGGAGACGCAGCAGTACAAGTGCTGGATCAGTCAGATCATCACCTTCGCTCTGCTCGCCAGTCTCCAGGCTGTCAACCTCTTCTGGCTCTTCCTCATTCTTCGCATCCTAAAGAACTACGTATTCAACAGCATTAGAAAGGACGAGAGAAGTGAGGATGAAGATTCTGAGGAGGAAATCGAGCAGGATGCCAAGAGCCAGGCCACCCTCGCGACTGGCGTGGAACCACCCTCCCTCACCGCACGCAAGCCTGGCAAGGAGAGCCATACCCCTCAGGTCCTGGTCAACGGTGAACCTCTCAGCACAAGGGCTCGGTCTTGAACAATCCTTGTTCAAAAGAAAAGAAAGAAAACGGCTCGATAACTTCTATCAGCCTGACTTGACCCCTTGAAAAGCTCCATTGAGCTCTGTCCATATTATGAACTTGTATTCTGGCGGTATTTGACCCAGTTTCTCTTCTTCCTTTCTCTGTTATATTGCAACGGCTTCATGGTCTACGACACTTCTTCTTTCCTTACCCTTCTGCAAAAATATTTTGCTTTTATTTTTTGCCCGCCCTTTTCTGTGGATGATGTTGTGCATGGCCAAGCTGAATGGATATAGTGACGACTCCATGAGTGGGCATTTTCTTGTACCTTTGTTTGTCCTGTGCTTCTTCAAGATGGCGAATGGTCATGAAGAAGCGCTTCCTGCACAGTTAATGATAATCATAATAATAGAATGATGTCCCGAAGATTCGGGTGATGTTTGAGACAACCTTCTCTTTCCGATTATGCCATGGATCAAAAGCCACGTGGATATTGCGTATATTACATTGACCTACCATCCTTGAACCGTGCATACTCCTCACCACACAGCGATATCAAATATCAAATGAGAGAGAGAAACAGCATACGCCCACACCCATTCCAGGCGATCAAATCTACCGCTGAGGTCGCGACGGGTCAATGGTCCCCTTCAACTTCACCGAATCCGTCTCGCCCTCGCCCTTCATGCTCTTGCCCGGATCCGCCACGAACGGGTTGGCCGTATCCGTATTGTCAAGGCCCTCCTGCTTGGTGGACATGGTGTTGTCCCCGGCAGGCGGTTTCCGACTCGCAGCCTTGAGCACGCGTCAGTATCCCACCAATCTGCCCCAGAGACATAAAAATCAAACGCAGGTGTGAGGGGGGAAGCGAGAAGGGAAGCAGGCCAAAAAAAAAAAAAAAACGTCAACGTACCTCGTCAATCGAGGAAGGCTTCGTGTTCTCCGGCACCTTCTCCAGCCTTTGCTCGGGTTTCACGGGCGGGATCTCGGTGAGTCTGCCTTCGCCGTGGTGGCCGTGCGAGGGCGTTGCGGAGGCGGGCCCGGTCTGCATTATGTAGAATGCGGCGGGGACACTCAGGCCGACGGAGGCCATTAGCCTGCCGTGGGACGGTTGGGTGAGCTTTGTGGTGTTTGATGGGGCGCGAAAAGGCCGATTGAGGGGGTTCAAACAAGGGGATTAAAGAGTCTCACCATCGGAAGTTGCTGGATTTCTTCATGTTCTTACTGTCGGCGGCAGAGGCGTAGGTGCGGCGTCCGGCCTGTTGGATGGGTCGTCGAGCGCTGGCTCCAACGGCGCGGAGGGATATGCGGATGATCTGGGGACGGGAGAGGACCATGTTGACTGCGGATGTGTGTATTTAAAACTGACAGATGGGATGTAGATGGAGAATTGGCGTTCAGGGATTACTATTGAATGGAGTGGAGGAGAGGAAGTTTACAGACAGCTACAGTACTTAACTTGAGGTGACATGGCTTCTTCTCTTGGCTGTCTCTGCTCTTACGTATGCAGGCTTGCTCCCTCTCTTTCAGTTTTCCCCAGGTAGGGAATGTTATGGAAGAACAGAACAAGAACAGAACAAGGACAAGGACAAGGACAAGAGTGGTGATGTAATGCTGGCGTGGATACTGTTGTGGTCTTCAAGTTCCAGCGATCTGGAGGAGGCGGATGAGACAGATTCATGAAGATGGATACTGGACATTATTTTGCATCTTGTAGTACTACAACACCATTCAGGATATCTTTGCTCTCCTGCATCAATTGGACTGGATCGCGCAGATTGGCGTGTATCATCATCTTCTTCCCGTAGAAGCTCCGAAGTCTGGCCAAGCCATTGGAGCCTGAGGCATCCGCTGTCTCACCTCACACATCCTCAGGCATCAATCAACACCTCTACTTCCCCCCTCGTTCCAACTCGCCCCGCGTTTCCCTTAGTTCAGATCACGGCGTGCTAATCTCTCTTCTGCATCTTACATAGCCAAAGAAATTTCGATCTCCGTCACATTACGCCTCGCCGGGCTTCACAGACAGCCATGGCGGACCGACAGGCCATCCAGCAGAACCTCAACAGTCTACTCTCGAAGCTCGACGATCCAGATGCAGATCTGAGATATATGTCCCTGAATGACCTACTTGGCATTCTGAACAATCCCAACTCTACATATCTCTCGCACGATCAGCATTCAGCATCGCGCCTGGTCGACGGCTTGCTCAAAGCTCTGGACGACCAGCACGGCGACGTCCAGAATCAGGCGTTGAAATGGTTTGTGACAGCTCTCTCTTCTCCTGGTGGAACATAGCTCAATTGATGATTGATAGTCTCGGTCCGCTTGCCCTTAGACTGCCCTTCGAAAGCCTCATGCCTCTCCTCGAGAAACTATCGAACCTGACCGCCTCGCAAACCATTGATACCTCTGTTCCCAACACTGCACTCCGAGTCATCGTCACAGCACTCCCTCGTCCCCAGCCCGGACAGGCACCCAGCAAAGAAGCGACGACAGCATACTCGGCGGTGTCCAGAGTTCTGATTCCTCGTTTGACTGGTCCCACGCCCTCGCCCTCGAATCGGAGAGGCTCTGTGGTCAAGGGCATGTTGGAAAAGGATTCCTCCAAAGGGTTCAGCGGCGATGCGATTGACGTTCTGATCCAGGTAGTCGCCTGCTTTGGATCCCTTCTTCAAGAGGACGAGCTGGCCGCTTTGCAAAAATCTGTAATGTCGATTATCGATAGTGACACGGCTGGCACCGTCGTCACCAAACGCGCATTGGCAGCGATTTCTGCTCTGGTCCCTCACTTTTCGGACAATCAGTTCAGCACTTTCGTGACGGAGCTGGTCGAGAGATTCAATTCCCCACAGTTAACGACCATTCATCGCCGACACCTGATCGCTACCGTAGGCAGCATAGCCAAGAGTGCTCCGGCCAAGTTCGGCCTCCACCTTCAAACTCTAGCTCCTTTCGTCTTCTCGGCTGTTGGCGAGGATAGTATCGGTCAGGTAGCTTAATGATACCCATGTTCAATGTCATGTCCACGGCCTATGGTGTTCTGACTGGTGCAGTAGCTGGCTCCGAACCTCAGTTCACCTCCCGTGCCTTTGTTAGCTTAAGTGTTCTCACTGCTACATAGTGTAGGCCATTTGAGGCATCTAGGATATGCCATAGTGCAGAGGGATATCCCTACCCTCTTTTCAACCCCAGTTGTTGGCTCGCTCGCCTACCAGTGGAAGCACGCCGTGGTGACGATTGCCTCAATGTTTTAAACTTGGAGAGCTTCTGCATGCTTACGATAGTGCAAGAAAGGACAAATGAAAACAACATGGAGAGGCCACCGAGTCATCGATCACTCAGACGTATCCGTGCACACCTTCCATTCGGACTGAGCCTCGTCGCACAAGGATTCTGAAGTTGTCCGCTCCTTCCTTCTTACAGTTCAGTTCCTTCCATATCCATGGTGCCTACCTTCCTGGTGATTTGTTGTGCTCTTCTTGCCTCGGGAGCAGAAACAACAACATGCCCCTGCAACTTGTCGAATCTTCTCTGCTCAGAGAGTGCGTCCATCCTCATCATTGCATCCTCTTCAGCCAAACCACCATAGCATCTCCATCTTATCCCGCATTATAGCATTCAGCATTTTCATCCAACTGAGGCCTTCAAGATGCACTTGCGTCACTTGCTGCTCGTTTCGAGTCTTGGTTTCAAGGCGCACGCAGCTGCTCGCAATGTCGTCGACTTGAAGTCCATTCGCCCGATACCCCAGTCGGTGTTTCTTCCGGATGGGAATATCACTCTCCAGCTGCTACAAGCCCGCGGTGATGGCGTACGGTGTGGCCCTGGCGTGGGAAAATGTTTTGACGGCAAATGCTGCTCAACTGCCGGTAGGTCCTCTTTTCGCGATGTTGACATATGGTACCCTAATTGAATATACCTCCAGGATACTGTGGCCTCACCCCCGCTCATTGCCGCTCCCCGGATTGTCAACTCGACTTCGGACACTGCGATGCGCATGAAGACCCAGCTGGTCCTCCCATAGAGGAGATCCCTCGACCTCACGTCGGTACCGTACCGTACGGTCCTCATGTCATCCGAGCTTGTGCTACGCCAGGAACTATTGCTCTAACGTATGATGACGGCCCGAAACAATACACTAGTGAGCTTCTGGATCTGCTGGACAGATACGGTGCGAAGGCGACATTCTTCGTTACCGGGATTAACAATGGCAAGGGCCCAATTGATAGTCCCGATGAGCCGTGGGGTGATTTGATACAACGCATGTATAAGGATGGGCATCAAATTGCAAGTCACACCTGGTCCCATCAGGATCTCAGCAAGATTACGCCCGAACAACGCCGGGAACAAATTCTGAAAAATGAGGCGGCTTTGCGCAATCTTCTGGGCAAGATCCCAACTTACATGCGTCCTCCCTACTCGAGCTGTCTGCCTGAAACCGGCTGCCTGTACGATATGGGCAACTGGGGGTACCATATTATTCTCTATGACATCGATACACAAGACTACAGCCATGATAGTCCTGACGCTATCCAGTTCTCTAAGGATCTGTTTGATAGAGCTTTGGCTCCTTGGAAGGCATCCGACAAATCTTGGCTCGTCATTGCCCACGATGTACATAAACAGACCGTTCACAACCTCACAGAACACATGCTCCGGCGCATCACAGATCACGGATACCGAGCGGTAACAGTGGGGCAGTGCTTGGAGGATCCGGAGGAGAACTGGTATCGTGCAGCCGGCGAGCCCCTTAGCAGAGTCCCTGTCAAGAAATCCTCAAAACAGCCCTCCGCTCTAGACTCGCCCAAGACAATCTCAATCGATGGTTCTTGTGGGCCAAAGTTCACGTGCGCCGGGTCCAGCTTTGGCCCCTGTTGCAGTAACGCCAACTACTGCGGTACCTCCAATTTTCATTGCGGGGTTGGCTGCCAACCTGATGCCGGGAATTGCTTCGGCTTCGATGATCCACCTCACGACAACCCCGATGGAGACAAGAACCAGCCACCGGTTACCAAACCAGGACCTGGTCACGGTGATGGAGGCCATAACCACGATGATATCCCCGGTACCCGACCTATCAGGAAACCCTCACACTCAGCGGCAAGCACAGTGTCACAGGCCTTCGGTTTCGTGATGAGCTGGATGCTGTTGGCCTGCATCGTCAGCTTGAAGTTTTGAGACAGACTTTGACGTGCCAGTGTGGTTTCCAATCAGCTTCTATCGACTTTCTACATTCTTGAAAGTATTGCGAAGCGGGTATACCCGATGTAAATGACCAAGCTTCAGACCGTTGGACTGCTCGAAGAAATGAATCCTTGTCCTACTATTCTTTATTATTCCTTATGAACAGTGTCACAGTGTCTAGAAAAGCTTCTTCGACAGAAATGCTAAATTTTTCGATCATTACCTTTTTGCACATATCCCATCCTCGGAGTAGAGAGATGTATCAATCCCATTGGCGAAAATCAGTTCGGCGACTTCAATGAGGCCATTAGTTTTCAACAACGTATATATTTCCCTTCTGGATAAATCCATAATCATAAGAATGATGTCGGATAATGAATACACCATGTCTTTATGCCCTTCAAGTGGGGTTAGTTCCAGTTCTTACTTGATGTCGCAGATGAATGCACTATATATATAATTCAAATCAGTACGAATACCATCAAAAAGTTTTAAAGACAAGTTATGCCGCCATCTTGATTGATAAGATGAGACAGAGCCTCAAAGCTATTGCTTAGCTCCTACCATGAAATGCAATTGTAGCGATACAAATATATGGTATACAGTGTGATCATTATCATTACTGCCAAGGCCGTCAACGTAATAAATAAGGGGAATATTGGTAAATATACAGTGAAAAGAAAAAGAGTAATGATTGGGGTCTAGCCCGTAAAGAAGAGAATAAGGTGCCTGACCGCGAAGAAAACCGGAAAGATCCAGATTTCACCGCCGGACGATCTTCAGCAGCGGCGCGATTCTGGCTCTCCGGCTGAGTCCCACGCGGTAGGGTACTTTGCTTGTCCCCGAGATCGGGCTGTGCTTGTCCGGGCCGCGGGCTGGGTCTTTTGTTTTGGGGTCTGTGTTTGTGTCATTCTCCTCGAGGGTTGCAGGTATTGATATTTTGCTTGGGGTAATGGGTAAGTTTGGTTCTGTTGTCGAGGGTTTCGAGGATGAGAGGGGTTCTGGAGGGGGTGTGGATTCATGAGGAATAGTGTCGGTTTTGAGTTGATTGTCCATTGTGATGTCGTCCGAGGGCCGCTCCAGCACGACGGAGACGTTGCCTAGCTGTAGCCCTTGATCGACGTCTCTGGTCGTTGGAGTATCATCGACCGGCGCGAATGGAGTTTCGCTGATTGTTTGCTCCGAAGTCTTTTTTCTCTTACGCCCACGTTTCTTGGGTGTTGGAGGGGCGGGTTCTGGCTCTTCTTCCAGTGCCTCAGTTCTGTTGACTTCGGCCAACGATGGCGGCTGGGGCTTCGGTATCTCGACGTTGGCCGATTCGACATGGTCCACTTTGACAGGAGGCAAGTCATGGATGGGATGCTGAGGAGCCTGCTCAACTTGATTAGTAGGATTTGATGGCCGCTCATCGATCCAAATCACATCGTCTTCCACGTCTGATTCATATGTTTTCTTCAGGGTTACTGAGGTGGTTTTGCCGCGCTTGAGCTTCTTTTTCTTGGGCTCTTTCGTCTTCTTTGAGGGTTTCGACGCAGGTAGGTCGATTTCTGCAGGCAGTTGAACAGATACACTCTCCTGGTCTTCCTTTGGAGTGTCTGTGACTATGATATGTAGTTCTTCGTGTTTGGGGACATCATGCGTTACGCCATTGATCGTCGTGCGGGATGAACCTGAATCATTGACAGATGGGTCTTCCCGAAACTCATGTGGTTCTCCCGAAATGCCAACAGACTGGCCCTGTGGCCGTCCAGACCCCGATTCAAGATTATTGGACTCGGTGTCCACGATCCGTGCGTTCTTCGGTGGTCGACCTGGTCTTCTCTTCTCAACAACACCCACTGGAATGGAGTCTTGGTTTTCAGAAAGTGCAAGCTCATCATCCTCATCATCTTCTGGCAGATCCTGTTTCCTCTTCCGCCCGCGTTTCTTCTTTATCGTGGGGACTTCGATGGCAACGGAAGCAGAGAGCTCGTCAAACGCGCTTGTCGAAGATTGCGGCAGAGCATCCCGAGAAGCTGCGTCGCTCTTCGCTCTGCGAACTCCCGGAGATGCGAGAGACGAGATTGGTTCTGTGTCATGCGGAGAGTAAAACGTTGCGTGCATCGAATGTGACCTGCCGGGGGTTTTATGCACGACCTCCGTTGGAATCGTACCGTGAGACCCCACGGACGAATGCAGCGCCCCGTTGGCATGCGCGGGTAAATTCAACGAGGATTCGAAAAAGTTATACGACGTCGAGGACTGGGCAAAATCATGGCTGAGAAGGTTGTTGGACGTCCCTACATGCAGTACATGGTCCCCGTAGAACCCAGTAATGTCATTGTTTGAGTACCCATAGCCGTGCTTGTTAGCGTTCAAGAGCGCCATATCCTGTGACGTAGGGGTAGCAAATGCAGTAGGCTGCACAACGCCGGGATTCCCTTGGTGATGGTAGTCGTCATAGTTCGAAATGGCCATGTTCAAGGGCATTGCAGCTTCGCCAGGAACAGCAACCCGAGGCACGCGAGCGCCAGCGTGTTGTGCATCCTCGTCGTCGTCGAAGAGTCGCTGCTGCGCAAGCCCAATTTCCGTCATCACTGAGCCTGAATGTGAATCAAAATTGTAAGCAAAGCGAGCATTCTCAGATAAGGCTACACTCATCGCTCACCAATCGACCCCGCCCCAGCATTTGACGGAATCCATCTCTCCTCCCGCCGCTGCTGAGAAGCAGATAAGCCATTTTGCGCCGTTTCCTGCGATTGCAGAAATGCATCAAAGTCTACACCGATGTGATCGCCGTTCTCTGATTGTTGGTGCTCATCTGTGTTTTCAACACTCTCAATGGCCTCATTGACGATGTGGGTGCCGTTGACCTCCTGCGGCTGCTCTGGTGGCCGCTTTATGGGGGGCGGCATCTCTGATAAGGGATCATCTTCATCGTCGGAGTCTTGGATTACTCTGCCATGGGACATGTTGTACGGATTGTATATGCTGGCTTTAGAGATACAGGAGATCAGACTTTCATCACAGCGATAGAAGGAATATTTGCTTATCAGATTTACAGTTATCACAAGTCAACGCGTCGAGCGGGAGGGGATGACGCGCAGACACGTGATGATAAGATGTTGATAAAGGATCCAGGCATTAAGGCATGAATAGAATCGCAGATGGTAGGTATCAAGGGCAAGGGACAAAAATCGAGAACAAGACAAGATGGAGCATAACACAAGCTAGGGATTATGACTCCATAGTACTCTGCGGCCGCATAACCCCACGCCCGAAGAATTCACTAATTACGCCAAAGCGGTCCTTTGACCGTTGGAGTTCGCCCTTGAAAAGGTCATGCTGTTCCGCCGACTCGACTTGTCTCCTTCGGATGGCCTTGATGGTAGAATTCTCTTGTGCACACATTGGACACTCGGCATCTTCATCCACTTTGTTGAGGCAGCGCTGGTGGAATGAATGTTTGCAAAGGAAATGCACCGTAGGCAGGTCCAAGGCTCCGCCACACGCCATACAACGCCGTGCTTGGAAAACCACGGGCTTTGTCCCCAACTGCTCGAGTTCCTGCTTTTTCTTCTCTGTTTCGGAGCTGTAACTAGATATCAAACGACGGTTCTAGAACAACATTAGTTTAGAGAAAGGCAAGTGTCATAAGGATGACACATACAGTGGATATTTCCTTCCGCTCGCGCTCGATGTTATCGCTCAGATATTTCTTGACACGGCCCATGGTGACAACAGAGTTGTTGCTCAGCGCTTGAATGACCTGGAGTGGCGACATCAATCCGTCCTCGTGAATCCTCTTGAGCACCACATCAAGTTCGTCTCCCGCTTCCTCAAGGATAGCGGGGCTCGAGGCAAAGTATGTCAGAGCGTCTACATATAGCTGCGGCTCCTGGGGCCCATATTTCCTCAGGGCTCTAATAGCCCCGCGGGTATCCTTTGCCGAAGTAAAAGACCTGAAAATGTCGGACCGGAGCCCTTCTTGCTCGCGGACAAGAGTCGAGCCTTCTCGGAAATTGGATAGATCCGATAAGAGCAGAACATTTGATGTCGAGATTGGAATCTAGAATTCTGTAAGTAGATGGGATTATGGATGAACACTCGAATACTCACATCTTTCCCTTCAATCAATTTCTTGGCTTTGCTTTCCCATTCTTCTTTCTCTGCCGAATCCTTCTGCCGATTTGCCGTGTCCAGATACATCTCAAATAGAGTTGTGTAGATGTCAACCTTATCTGCTTCTTTCAGATCCTCGAGCCCAATCAGAGATTCCAAGAATGTGATGAACTGCTGCGGATGGCCGACGAAAGCCGAGAATGCGGTCCTCGGTGTTGGAATACGATAGGTTGGAGTTGGTTCTACTTTCAGCTCCTCCTCATCCGCCGTCTCTTCAACTGGTTCGGTTTTTCTACCAGGACCTGCGTTGATCAGAGATAAAGGAAGGAAGCCTGCGAGACTCTGCAACGTGCTAGTCGGTTGAACTTGAGGCTCCGCCGGAGACTCGACCTGTGTTCTTGGCCTGTACTGCCCCTTGTAATATTCCATGAACAGTTCAGTGGTTTCTTCTGGGCAATTAGCCAGTAATACTCGGGCATATTTCATCAGGTTATGGTAAGCCTTGGATACGTTAGCATTGGATCACAGGGAGGACGACAACCAAGACGAACCAATTCAGGCTCGAGTCGCCAAATGTATTCCACTGCTTCGGCATATCTCTTCGAATCCTCAATCAAGATATCGATGACCATGTCATTCTCGCCGTACTTCGTCGCCAAGTACGCGGCTTGTTCGTAATAACCGCCTTGTCGGCACATGGCGATGGCTGTCTCCAGGTCGAACTTTAGTTCGCCTGGAGCTTTGATAAAGGAGTTCAATTTCTCCGTATCTTTCAGTTTGGCATAGCAATTCAGGAGTAAGGTTGTGTGGTCAACAGTAGCTCGGTCATGATCGTGGAGCTCTTCGAGGTACTCGATGAGGTTGTGGATATGCTGCGTGTCAAGGTACTGCAAACAAGTTAGCCAAATCAGCACCTTGAACGAAGGAGCAGGGCATAGCGACCTTCCGTATGACCTGAGATGGCTCGGTATTGTCAATTGCCCGAAGATATTGCTGCATTGCTGTGTCGTAATCGCCCTTCTGGTAAAGAAAATCGCCATATTTGCGGTATATGGCATTCTGCTGCAAAGTGTCGATGCCCTTTTTCTGGGCTAGATTGATGGCCAAGATATATAGATTGCGCTGGTACAGAATCTCCAGCTTCTGCTGAAGGCTCTTCTCGTGATAGCGGAAAACCTAAGCCGTGGTCAGAGACTCTATGGCGAGGTTTCTAGCAATGAACATACCTTTCCATCTGTTGTGAGTAAGAACAGGTCACCCCATTCAATGAAGACATGTTTGACGGACGACGCCAACGCTTCCGAATGTGCAATGAATTTAAGGTCTGTATCAAGCAGCGTGAATGTTGTTGTGTTGAATATTTCGTCAGCCGGGGCGCGGTAGGTTCCTAAAGAATCTGATTTGGAGGACGGAACTCTCGGAGGACAGACCAGGGCGACATAGTCCCTGAATATGTCGATGGAATTCTTAGGGCTGTCGAACGCGTAGCTGGGGCCGCGGCCATGTGAGCCGTATGTGTATATGGCGTCCTCTCTGGCAACAGCCACATCTCCCGTGTCCTTGTCCAGCGCCATGCACCCAACCCCGCACCCTGAATCATCCAGCACACGCGCCGGCTGACCTTGTCCTCTACCAGAGATGACTAAGGTCAATATCCGACTTGTCGTGGAGATGAAGAGGGTTGTCAGTGCCCCACGCTGCACCTCGAGCCCGGTAATCGGCTCCTCCGACTCGAAAACGATACGTTGGCGTGCCCCGCGATCATGGATCAAATCGCCGCGGATTATTGTCACTGACCCGTTGCCAAACCCGACGGCAACCTGAGACAGATCTTCCAGCGCCGTGAAGGCAGTAATCTAGACCACCATCCATCATCAGCAATCGATATTTTAACATCAACTTCGCGGATCACGTACGGGGAACGGTCTTCTCGCATTCTGGATCGACGTCGTAGATAGGCATCGCGGGGCTCCAGTTTTCTTCTCTGGCTTATCGAGAGCCCAGACTTTTAGTATGGGTTCGTTGGGGAGATCCTCGGCAATTGTGACGAGAAGTGAAGTGCCTTCTATTTGCTTGATGTGTGTGATGGAACCGGTATCTGCTGCCTTGAATGACCGGACGACCTTGAAGCCGGACGAGACGATATGCACCAGGCCATCAGTCGATCCCAGGAAAAGATTGGAAGAGCCGGTGCTAAGGGACGAGAGGCTGGACTAGTGTGGATAGCTACATTAGTTTCAAATTGCAGCAAAGGAGATGGAGTAAGGAGCACCTTGAATATCGACGAGCACTCCTCCGAAAGCTTGACCGACGAGACGTCGAAGAAGTTGAACGCTTTCCACTGCAAACATGTCAGTTTTTCCCGCAATTTGCAATATCAAGCCAGCGTGAGCATACTGATGTCAGAGCCATTTGGATCGAGCCCTCACGCACACACCAAATACGACAAGATGAAAGGGAGGATTGAGAATCGCGATGTATCTCGGCCTGAGGGTAACCACGGAGCTCCACCGCGCTAGTCCCTTATCCCGCACAGCTCGACCCAACGTCATCTTCTCCGCCCTTTGCAGAGGATCTCCAGACAAAGATATATGCTTGCGAATAGCTTCATGAACTCTCTGCCTACGATACGAGTGGGTACTTGAATTGCTTCAAAGAAACTTTTCTGTTGGATCTGGATCAATTCGGATGTTTATTTATTTGAATGGTATAGCGGAATATATAATGGATTATATTTACAGCATGTGATCGTAGGGCAGCTATCTTGATCATTCATAATAACCTGTCGCCAGCTATTTTGCGATAGGTGAATTGCTGATCTACCTTGGAGGACGGCTGGGCACAATTTGTGGGGGAGTAGAGGCGCAAGTCTACTGCCTTCGTTCGCGTGCGAGTATCCATACTCTAAGCAGGACATGGCTTCTTTGCAACTCATGAAGGGACTGATGCACTATTGGTGCATCTCTGGAGATCTTTGTTGATCTCAAAACTCTGTTGCAACCAACTGCCCGCGTCTGCGATAGCTTGGCTAAGATTGAAGCTATCTGCCCCTCCAATAGCTCCTTGCCCGTCCTGAGCTGTGGGAGGCGTGGTTCCTGATAAGGTCATAGGCAGGGCGCTGATTTGGCTGGGAGACTGATGCTCCCGGGGCGACGAGGTCCTCTGGCTTGCGATATGTGGACCTATCTCATCATCCTGAGTCTCATTACGCGAACGAACATCTTTGCCTGAAGACGGGGAGGAATGTATTGATGGCGACGGATGGGTTCCGAAACTAATGCGTTTCTTTTTGTTATCTGAGTGACTTTTCAAGGTGTAAATTTGGTGGCTGGTTTTCTTCTTTGCGGTACTAAAGGTAAACGGAGTCACAGCGTCAATGATGCACTGTGTGCTCATCATTGGGGCTCCGACGGACGAATCCTGCATCGGGTGTCCAAGTGTACTAATTTTCTGTGGAATATTCATATGACGGAACGGCGTGATGTTGATTGCAGGGGGTGAGGCAGCAGCTGCAGTTCGAGATTGATCGTTTTCCGGTCCCCTAGGTGGCTCATGCTCGGGGCTGTCCAAGTCATTTTGAAAGGATCTTTGTGCGAGGAGAACCGCTGCCTGAGTAGAAAAAGGAGGATCAGGGATAGTATCACCATCATAGTCAGTAGTGTCTTTCGAGACCGCAATAGTATGCAAAGACGTGACACAGTCCATCATGGCTGAGGTTCCAGGCACCCGTTGAGCTGAGTCAAGTTTTTCGCTGGGATTGCTAGGCATGGGCATGATGGCCTGTTGCTCCTGGCCAAGTTCGGAGTTGGATTGAGCAGTCGTTACGATGGACCCCCTCCTCAGAGTGTGCGATTCCTGTGAACTCTCCAATTGACGAGATGCGATATTGTCCGCAAAGGACACGTTTCGAGGTCCTGGAGGCTGAGGGGGCTGATCAGCAACAGCAGCGGATCCTGGCTCTATCTGCTCAACCTCTGCAGCCGATGATGGCTGAACATGATCTTGTGTAAGGACGGGAAAGAGCCTGCGCCGGCGGTATTCAAATTTTGGAAGTTGAGATGAGGAGGAGACAATGCAGAGCGAGCCATGCTCCTTGGCTGGTTTCAAAAAGGCAGCATGATCCATATCGCTACGGATGGATTGCTTGGCGGGTGATTTGGATGCTCCCTCACGCGATATATCCGTTCTCGCAATGGACCCCTGGCGGGAAAGCGTGCGGCCGGGGGAGCTTGAGTGTCCGATTGAGGTGGTATGGGAATGAGCTTGAGGCCGAAGCACAGGCGTCTGCGAGCGTCGTTTGGATGAGATGGCCGCGCGTGCCCGAAGTTCCGAGTGACGGCTGGAGACAGTGGCTGTGGGAGATGTGGGGGGGTTAATGTTGTTTGAATTGATGCGGACACGATCCTTTTTCAACCAACGTGCATCATGTTGGATAAATGGACTTGGTTCCTGCTCCTGAGCTTGTGCAGCGGAGGGTCTTACCCAAGGCAGTGACCTTTTCGGCGTTGGACGCGAGGATAGCACAGTGCGGGTCGATGTTCCACTCGTTGGTTTCAAGACCTTTGGCCTCTCCGAGGTCGATCTAGTGTTCCCATTTGGTAGAGATGCTGCGAGCTCCAGATCCGATGAGATGACGGGCGAATCCGAGCCACCGATGTCCCGCGACTCATGGTATCGTCGACGTTTTCGCGAGTTTGTTTCTTGTACCACAACCTCCTCCACTTCTTCTGGCTCCTTATATGAACGGCCATGCCTCTGCCCTAAGTTGGTCGCTTTCCTCCTCGATTTCTTCCACGGGTTGACCCAGTCCTTGTCGAACGGGCCTCGAAGCGAGGCGGAGAGTATGAAAAGTGGTGTGCCCTGCAGGTATGCCTCCGCCAGGCGCTCAATCCTTCGATGCCGAGCAGAAAGCGCTACATCGTCGAGTTCGTCATCGGAGCCAAGCACCTCATCAGCGTCAACTTCGGAGGTCGGGGGCGAGCATATTTCCAGACAGAGCGGGGAGATGGATGGAGGCGGCGGCATCTGGTCTCAAGAGTGTTGAGCGGTTGGGTGGGAGCATGCACCTGAGCAGCGCATATAGCAGTGCAAGATTGTCGAGTCTGCTCTCATATCTCCTCCACCAGTAATGGCTCAGTTGTTTCTGTCGGTGCTTGACAGCTGGAAACCCGATCGTCATCCGCCACGCGAAAAAGTGGCTGTCCGAACCACTTAACGCGTTTTCCCCCACGTCGAAAACCCCGGCAACCACGTCCGGTGGCTTATGTAATATTCAGGAACTGAAGCCCAATTACCTAGGTATTTTATTCTGGAGTATTATTTCTGTACAAGAGTAGGGGCAGAGTAAGGTAGGTAAAAAATAACAACCTCAAAGACGGACAGGAATTCCATTCTACTTTCTCTATTCTACAGTCTACAGGGATGTTCCTTCAGACTGAAGTGATAGATACATCAGACAAGCAGCATTTCCAGAGATCCGATGACATGTCACAACTCACAACACTGCTGCGACGAAAGACACGAAGTTGCAAAGGACTGCGCATTCACTACTGCTGTCTTACTGCCTGACTGTAGGTACTTTCTTCTTCTTCATGCCTTGCGCTACTACAACCAGTAGGATTCGATTCCCATATCCACTTGGAGTCCTGTCCATCGATGCTTACACAGTGGTAGATACTACTACAGGATCACTGAGCCCCTCGCTTCTGGGGGCTTGTACCGCAGGGCAGGATCGTTAATTTGTTATCGATTATCTATTATTTATTATTTATTATTCTCCGACTGAGAGAAGATCGCTTGGTTGTTTGAACACGTTGTCGAGGGGGCTGCCGCCATCTCATGGACGTCCTCTGTAGGTACGGTACCTGGTTTCCTCTCCCTATCTTGCATGTCTCCAGTGCAGCGTGATCGCAACAGTAGAAGCACAACACTGTTTTATCAATGCATCACTAAAGGTGCTTGAAGCCTGCTCCAGTAAAATAACAGGGAGGATACGTAGGGTTTCATTTGACGACCAGTGCCGTTTCAAGATCTGTGAGGGTTGTAGGTAGACTCGGTAGACCAGGTAGAGAAAGTCCAACGAGGTTGCCCCGACCACTGAGCTCACTCACTGACTGGTGCGCCTGCTCCACTTCCACCACAGCATCATCGTCTGCAAACACTATCTAGATATCCCATCTCTCGGCACGCTGCACATTTCCCCCCCTCCCCCGGTAGTAATCATCTGGGATACTCTCAAGTCTCAAATGCTCTTTCAGAATATGCCCCTTCCTCCATCGCCTGCTGCAGTTCTTGGCTGAAATTGTTGTGGAACCGAACCCATCCAATGTTTTGTTTGTATTGCCCACCACCTCTCCGGCCGTGCTTCGATTATTCATTGCAGTTCCGTGATTGCGAAACGCGCCTGGCGGGTTCAGCGCCGAACAAAGAGAGCAACAAACCAAAACAAAACAATGGGCGATCAACCATGGCTCGACGACCTCTCCGACGACTGGGTACTTACACCAGACAAGCCCACCCCCATCAGCCCTGCACCTGCAGCTGCTTCAGCGACTTCATCTCCCGCCGAGTCCCACAGCTCCGTTTACAAGAACTCGCCCAGTCGCATTCCCATCATCACGCGTCGCCTCGCCAAACAAGAATCGCCCGCTGATGAGAAGAAAAAAGTCACTCGCCCCTGCCATTTTTACAGAAGAGAGCCTCCAACGCCCAAAACCCCTAGAACGCCCAAGACGCCGTCAAAGTTGCGATCCCCGGTACCTGACAAGACAAGCAGAAGTCCGCGGCCTAGTCTGCCCTCTGCGCGTAAACCAAAATCGACAATGGGTACGAGGTCGCCGCTGCGCTCGGTGTCGAACGTCTCCAGTCCATCGAGTCAGCACGATACCGTCCAAGTGAGACCGAAGAAAGGCAAAGAGAAGGAGACGACGACACCCGAATGGCAGAAACGGTTGATCCAAGGAGAATTGCCCTCGGGTGAGCAACGCGATCTGTTTGCGCCCATTGGACTCGAAAGCGTGTTCAAACCGCCCACCCCAGGCTCTGATACAACACAGAAAGGCGCCTTTGCGAAGATGAAACCTGCTGATGACCTGTGGGACTTTTCGAATCGCAGTTCAGCGCGCAAACATACCCGGAAGCCGAGCAGGCTTTCAATAGAGGTAACTGAAAGGGAGAGCGACGATTCGCCTCTCCAGAAACCCAAGCCACCAGCGCCAGAGGTAGTCCGGCGCAACCCAAAGCAGCCGATAGAGAGCCCTACACCGTCACCGAAGGGAACTGTGCAGAAAAAGAAGGTGCCGGACACAGGACCACCAGGTGATTCGAATGATGGTCCGCACAACTCTCAAATTGACAATCGGATGCGGACTGTAAGCGGATTGGAGGATCTTCGCAATGAAGGGATCACGCCAATCATGTTCACGCGCGTCAACACACTCGAAGGGGAGGCTACGGCAGAGGTCATCAAGTCAGCCCTCAAGCAAGTCACCAACAAACTTGAGCGCCTCTCTGTGGGTGCACGTGAGCGTCCCGATTCCAGAGCCAGTGATAGCGTGCTGCTTCATCAACAGAGCGAGATTCCCGAGATGTTACCGGAGGATGATCTCTTCGACGCGACAAGTCACTCTCTGCCCCAGGATTTATCTACTGGCACCCTAGACTACCGAGGACGAGGGCCCTTTGGGAACGTGCGTGGTGAACAGTATCTAAGTGAAGCTTCCTTCCCAAGACGACAGCTCTCTCCATCATCCTTTCCCTCACAGCGCTTTTCTCCATTTCTCCCCTCCAATTCGAGAATCCGCAGCTCGCCTCCATTTTACAACAAAATGCCTCACGTCGTCGACCCCCCGACATTACCCAGGCCCTCTTCGGCTCATGTAGGGGCACCACCTACCGGGCGATCCAGTGGCAGCAATGCCATGGGTATACCCTCTTCTGGAAGTCCATTGAAACTGTTTGGAACCCACGATACCTTTACAAACAACCGGCTGCTGCGTCGTATGAGCCAGTTCGAAGAAACCTTTGGTGATTTGTCGGAGGAAGACGAGCCGGTCTCGCCTTCAGAAACTGCCCGACGTAAAGGTGAAAGCCGGTCATTTCTGAGTGTCAGGCAGGATACGCCTGGCGATCGATCCACGAAAAGGCATGACCGCCCACGGTCGCGCAATATGATGAAACCAAGAATCAACCGCTTTGGGGATGGCGAACTCGATAACTTCGACTTCTCTGATACAAGTCCTTACGAGCCCAAGTTTTTGAATAACGACCTGGCCGACTCCAGCCTGCGGCCCTCACCACGGCAAACCGTTTCCGCCAAACGTCAACCACATCGAAATAGCGCTTTGAAAAACTACAGTCGGGATTCCGATCTTCATGGGGATAACCCCACTAAGGCTTCCAACAACAGGTCAGAGCCTACTGCCGATCACAACGATGTGGATGATACCGAAGAATTCGAAAAACATGGGACTACTGACACTCCAGCTAAGGATCCTAATCCGAAGAGGCGCAGGACGATTCTTAGCCTGGGCAGCTCTGGAGGAGACAAATACGATCTGAGAGACGGCATGCATGAGCCTGCAGATAACATGTCCTTGCTGCAAAGAAGTTTGATGCAACATGGTATGGACTATGGGGATGAGGAGTCACTTCTTCGGCCACAATCCTCATCGCGGCCCAGAACCCCAACGCCAAGCCAGATCAGATCGTCTCTGAGGAAGAGATCCTCATCCAATCGAGAGGGGATATTCGATGATTCAAATGGTCGAATGGGCCAAAAATCCCCCACGGGAGCAAGTGTTCCGATGCTGAAAGTCACTGGCGTTGATGAACAGGTTCGCAAGGGGTCCATAACAACACAAGATTTCCTGAATGAAGCGACGAAGATCATGGATATCATTCGAGCTAAAGGGAAGCCGGCAGTCGCTCTCTCGAGCGTGGAGGAGTCTGACATGGAGGCTCAGAATGAGCAAGAGAGCTATGAGGACGAATCAACCCGAGAGGAATTCTCACGTCCTCCCAGCCGAGAAGGTGTGGATATACGTAAATTACGCGAACCAACGAAACCCAATCCCAGAGTGTTGAGCCATCTGAAGAAATATCAAGAACAAGATGATGCAGACTTTGATGTGAACACTTCGGTCATGTCATTGCAGCTCGAAAAAGGAGAGACCACAGTTGCCCTCCCCGAGAAACATGCGCATCGGCAACAGCAAATCTCTCAGAGGGCACGAGAAGCACACCTCGGGCAGTCAGCGCACCCAGATGACTTGCTTGACAATGATGCACGACCTCCTCTGACCATCGATACCCAGATGTCTTCCAAGAGCTTCAGCTCACGCTCTATTCCCACAACCTCTTCCTTCAGCTCCCACGCAAAGGGGATGTTATCGTCTGATCAAGTGTCACATCTGATCCCGGAACAGGTAAACGGCTTCACTTATGATCGTTCCAAGCATCAGTGGGTGAAGGAGAAGCCTCGGAGGTCTCCAGAAAAGCCAAAAAACGATGATAGCGAGGAAGATCCATTCAAAGATATCCCTGATCTCAGCGTCGACGAATTGCAGGAGATGATCAAGGCGCGGAACTTATCGTCACCAGAAAAGACCAGAGGCCAGTCTGCAGACGAAGGGCAGGGCCATATCACAAGTTCCTCGAGTATCAAAACGTCACCATTTAAGCCCGGCTCTGAAGCACAGGGGACAGACGGACCTTCAGCTAGTGGCAGTACCGTTCGCTCCAAGATGACACGTTTCACGTCCAGTATTCCAAACTCGGAAACCAGGGCCACGTCGTGGGATGGAGACGAACCAAATGACACGGAACCCTCCAGTGAGGTCGAACACGAAATACAACTTCACGAAGGCCGTCTGTCAAAACCACCGCGAAATCAGCGGGATGTTAATCACCAGGCCAGGGTTGTTACTATCAGCTTCTCCTCACCACTTGTTTCCCATATTGTATATGGAGACGACGAACACTCAGCGAAGTCTTCTCAAGTCAATGCAGATGGCTTTGAGAAGGGCGTTGGGGTGACGAGTTCAACCACGCGTTTACTCCCCACCCGTTCGTCCCAATTGATCCCACATCGGAATTCTCTCGAAGGAAGGTCCTTTCTGCGACACTCGATATCCAGGATTGATGAGCGTGGCGAAGAGGTCGATGGTAGCGGGAGTCTACTGCCGAGGGACCCCGGAACTCTCGATTCCGTGCCTGTCACCGAAGAGACAGAAAATTCCTTGGTTCATCTTTCACGTACCGGGCATGATACAACTTATAGCTTCCATCTTAGCCCCTTGCCGGATTTCACTCTCAATCAATTCGACCAGTCCCTCCATCTTGAAGTGAGCTACATTGCCCAACGCACTCAATCTACTTCCTTGCGCCAGGTGCACGGGACGTTCGCCTTGGCTACCGAAGATCTGGTCAAGCACCTGACTGAGGCGGAGCCTTTTGAGCCATATTGGGACCATGTGCGACGCTTGATTCTTCGAGATAAGGGCCTGACCACCCTTCACAAGTTGAATGACTTCTGCCCCCGGCTGGAGGACCTCGATGTCTCAGATAATGAGATCGGCCAGTTGAGTGGTGTGCCTACAACCCTGAGAACTTTGCGGATACCACGAAATCGTCTCTCAAGCTTAACCGCGTGGGGTCACTTGATCAATCTACAATATCTTGACGTGTCAAATAACGAGCTGGAGAGCCTCGATGGATTTGGCTCTTTGATTCATTTGAGAGAGCTGAAGGCAGACGGAAACCATATCCGAAACCTTGATGGTGTACTCGATCTGAATGGGCTCTTGAGCTTGAAATTGAGCCACAACTCTTTGACAGCGGTCGATTTTGGAGCGGCGGAACTGTGAGTCAATCTGCTTCCCTCCCTGCATGCTTGGCCACAGTGCACTAACTAATCCCTCTTCCTACTGAGCAGAACTCGCTTGCAAGAGTTAGATTTAAGCCACAATCAACTGGTGTCGGTCCGGCATTTGGACTTGCTGCCGTCATTGTCGAAGCTTGATCTTAGCGACAACTACGTGAAGAAGATAAACCTTTCGGCTCCTTTACCCTCGCTGGAGTCATTGAAGCTTGCGAATAACCAGCTCCAGAATCTTGATGTTAGCATGCTCCAATCCTTGGTACTCCTCTATCTCGACCAAAATTACCTCTCAACGATTTCTGGATTGGAGAGATGCCGCGGTCTAGAAATTCTTTCGGTCAGGGAGCAGAACTTGGGTGATCAGAAAGACAGGTGCTTCGACCTTGACCTTGGAAAGATTAAAGACATTCGCAAGGTTTACCTTTCGTCAAACAAGCTATCGACACGAGCACTCCAACCATCGTCTCCACTTCTGAGCTTACAGCTCCTGGATGCTGCTTCGTGCTGCCTGCACACCCTGCCTGGAGGTTTCTCCTCCAACTTCCCAAACATCAAAGTCCTAAACTTGAACTTTAACTCTTTGAGTGATATTACCGAACTAGTGGGCTTGAACTGTCTCTCTCGGCTGGGTGTTGCTGGCAATTCTATCGCACGTTTGAGAAAGCTATGCCAAGTTCTAAGCCTAATGGGGCGCACCAAAAAGGGACAGGAATGCTCCCTCCATAAAGTGGACCTAAGAGGTAATCCTCTCACGGTGCGATTCTACCCACCAGCCGTGACCGGGAATGGAAGACTTGAGGACAAAAGAAAGCAAGGAGCAATCTCCGAGGGCGACGAGCACCAATCAAAGGCTCCTCTTGACCTGCGCTCTGCTTTGGCCTGTATGGGACCACATGAGGGTGTCCTCCGCTCCCCTCTGTGGGAAGCCCATGAGGAGGCATATCCCGAACGAGAACTTGAAATCAACGATCCGTATACATTGCCACCTGCTGACCCCTCTGCGGATCGGAAGTACCTATCTCATTTGGATGAAGGCACGCGGCTACGTCGCAAAGTCTTCGAGCTCATGCTCTATGCGGGGACCGGCGGCTCCGTCAAGTTCCTCGATGGACTGGAATTCCGGCCCGTGCTGGTTGAAGGTTCGGATATGGACCACGCATGGTCGAAACTGGAGAAGCTCGGCGTGCTGAAGAAGAAGAAGGCAATTACCCAATAAATGCCATCGAGCATGTAATATGCCATTTATGATCTTGCCTTGGGGTAATAGTGATGATTCAACCGGGTACATTGGCATTGGGGAAAGAGGAGTCTGGTAAAATGCATCCACGGCGTGACTAAACAAGCGTTTCATTTCTCATCCATCTTCTATTCATCCCGTATTCCTCTTATTGACCTGTTGGTGTGCCTTTTTATCTGCCTTGGAGAGCCTCTGGCGCTGAGAGTTGGTGTCGACTGGTTAGCATTGCTTGGAGTTCTGGGGTTTTCATGGCAACGCTGAGCGGTGCCTCCTATAGCATTAATGACAAGCATTCATGACTTGAACGCCGTACTTTTTGGAATCGAATGATCTCTACAACGTGATGAGGCCTTGTATTGTATGTAGGCTGGGGCCCAGTTTGATTGTGTTCATTGAACAATCAACCAGCCGCGGGCAGGAAGGATTGCAAAAGAGCAAGTTTCATTTCGTTGAGTCGTTATTATTACTTCGAGCCACGTCGGTGTTCCTTGGCTAATCATATTTTGGAATCTTGTGCCCCAAGTAGATACAGGATGACGAGAACGATTCAAGACACGAGGTACGCAGTATCTCTATCCTATCAAGCAGCTACTTGGTCTAGACTAGCAAACCTAGAACTCCGTTTCAAGGCTCTTCAGCTGCGCGGCAAACGTCTTCCGAATCCATTCCATGTACGCCTTCCACTTGTGATGGTCGCCCGAGACTTCGGCATTGGGAAACGCTTTGCTAAGCTCGCGAGTCACCTTCAGAATACCCATCGAAGCTTCCTGGGCCTTTTCGAGTTCCTGCTTCACGGCATTCTCTTTAGGTTTGAATGAGAGAACGGCGGAGTAGCGCTCGGAAAGGGAGTCAAGGTAGCGCTGGGTCTCTTCGGGGGCGATGGGGATGAGCTTTGAGGTCATGAGGTTGCATATGGTCCGGATGTCCTGCTCATCTTCGAGGCCGGCGAGGATGCGATCATAGAATTCGGACACGTGGGAGACGGAGAAGGCCGTGTCCAGGGAAGCGTAGAGGGTTTCGTACGCGGTCTGTCTGGTGTCAGACTGGGGATTCCACATAACAGTAGGCGATGAGACAAGGATAAATCACGTACCTTACGAAGCTCAAGCCCATCGTCAACCTTGTGCTTGAACGGGCCCATCTGTACCTCACGGATGAGTTCGGGTTTGATTTGGGTGTCGCCAAATACGGCTGGAAGCAATTCGCTAAGATGTGGAAGGATGATGTCCATCTTATTGTGAATTGCGGAGTTGAGGGTCGTCAGAGCGAGGCGGTGGTTGCCCAAATCACGGTCACTGAGCATGTTGACCAGAAGCGGGACAATAAGAGGTCTCAAAACGTCATTGTACGTATTGCGCGAGTCGGTCAGAGTGTAGCGGAAAGCAGATATCACCACGCCTCGAATAGTCGGATCGCGGTTGGAGAGATAGTCCTTGGGTTATAGTGTCAGGATAACATGTGGTAAAAAGCGGATTACGACAACGTAAACTTACCTGGAAGTGCGGAATATAGTTGACAGGATCAATTAATGCCAAACGACCAATACATTCTGCTCCCACAGCCCTGTTGTCTTCTTCTTCCGAGACAAGGAGAAGGGCCTGCCAGAGCTTAATGGCAGTGGGCGCCACATCCGGGCGAATAATCTCGGGATGCTGAAGCAATTCTTTGACGGAATGTAGGAGCAGATAGCTCTGGGGATTCGACTTTTCCAGGCCGCTCAGAATGACAGGCAAGTATGTTTTCGCGTTGCCGGCAGCTGCGTTTCCAAGGGCGGTTGCCGCAGCAAGTCGGACCTTGTCGGATTTCGAGTTAAAATGCGTGATAAACAGCTGCGGAGTCAACGAGCATGTAGAGCCCATGCGAAGGCCGATCTCGCCAAGGATTGCAAGTGCAAGACATTTACGCTGGGCATCTTGGGCAGTGTCTAATTCCGTCAAAAAGTCTTCCATCCGGACGCCCAGTTTAGGGCCACCATAGACCAAAAGTGTTCCGATCGCCCGGCCGACTACGGATGTGTCACCGTTGATGCCGACATCTCGTAGAAGCTTCTGCATTAACTCCGCTCCAGCACCTTCTTCTCCGATAACCCTCACAAGGAGGAGCATCGCCTTAAGAACGGTGCCAACAAGAGGAGCGAGCACAATAGAACACAAAGCAGAAATTAGATTCTCGTTCACCAGGAGGGAGGCATTGCCAGGCACCAATTTCGCCAGGATGATGAGCGACGGAGCAAGGAGGTGGAAATCATCGGCGCTGATTAAGGGTAGAAGGCAGTCCTCCAGCTCCTTCATTGTCTTGTCATCGTAATGGATTCGTGTATGAGGATTCATAGCCAGACTACGTAGCGCTTCAAGGCTGGCACCTCGGAGGGCACGGTCTGACTTGCGTAACTGAGCGCCAAGTTCCAGAGTCACTTCGCTGATCCATGTTATGCTAACGTCTGTATCCCGAGTACAGAGAACAGCTATATCATCTACGGCACGGACAGAGGCAAGACGAGTAGTCTCATTCCTCAGGCGGTCGACCAAAACCGAAAGGCCTTTAGACCGACGATCTGACGAGAGGAACTCGTGGCCCTTCTCTCCGGACGTACGTGCCAAAAGAACACCAAAGACATGGATCGCTCGTTGTCGAACTTCCAAATCGGCACTCGTATCCGTGATCCGCGACAATATCACATCATACAGCTTCTCGATCTGTGACGCAAGCTCTTGAGAAGCTGCGGGGACACGCGGCGGGGTAAGGGCTTTGATGATCTGTTCAACCGCCCCCAATGCTTCGCTGCTAACCTTGTAGTTACGATCATTGACGGCTCCGATGACGCCCGGAATCAATGCAATCAAAAATGGTAGCAGAGCGTCGGATGTGTGAGTCTCGGCAATGGCAGCGATGAGACTCAAGGTCTCGGTCTGCAGGGTCCCAGCACTCGCGGTTGCACCGGCAGGTGCCGACGCGCTGCCAGAGGCAGAGGACTTCAAAACATCCACAATTGGATCCTCGATCTGCTGCAGATGATCGGCCAGCCCACCGTAGCGGACGAGAGCCAAGCTCTTGAGCAGGACAATGATGGCTTGCCTCAGAGGAATTGAAGCCGACTTCCACATCTTGACCAGATTTTGTACAATAACTGGGACCGATCGACTCAGCTCCGCCTGAGGACCCGATTTCGGTGAAGATGGAGCAATGACAGGCGTGCTGATTGCGGAAGAGGTACCGATACTTGGTTCAAAGTCGATCATGCTAGCATCACTGTCTTGTCGTCTTCTCTTCCGCGAATTCTTAGATCCTCCGACAGATTCAAGGAACCCATTGGAGGTTATGATCATAGCACCTTCGCTAGTCTTTCGGACGAGGGCAGTCATGGTCGAGACAACCTCAAGCTTGACACTCTCTTCTCTTTCATTCTTAAAGCGAGAAATGAGAGCGGGGGCAATCTGTTGATATAGAGCTGTGTCATCCAAAGCACGGGTCCGCCCGTATGTTGAGATGACCGTGTAGAGCAATTTCGCCGCACAACGTCGGACCTTCCAGCTCATATCATCGATATCACTATACCCTCCTTCATCTTCAAACTCTCCAAATTCGTCGTCTTCCATATCGGGTTCCTCAGTTGCATCATCTTCGGAGCTATCATCTTGCGTACCTCCCATTTCTTCATCGTCTTCAACATCGGCCACGTTGGGATCGTATTTGAGGAAGCGGAGGGATGAGTTAACAGCATTGATCAAGTAAGGTTGTATCTGTTGACTGCAAGAGCTGATCAGTGTTTCCAACGTCACTAGCGCTGTCTCGCGCAGCTCATCCTCTTGAGGATCATGTTCGTCGTCTTGAGAGTAAGTCGACATCGAGTCGGACATGAGCGTATCGTCCTGTTGTATAAGTGAATGAGATGACAGACTGTCTGTCTTGCCGGAGGGGGAGCAATCAAAGTTGAACAATGAAAATGTAGTAATAATGAGAGCTATGGACTCGAATGATGCTGCAGCTGGAGAAGCTCCCCGACGATAACAGCCCCGCGCTAGTCCCAAAGTAGTTCGGGATCGCTCACCGCCGAGTGACCGGGCTTGGCATCAAAAAATTATTATTGAAAGAGAAGTGAGTGGTGAACGTGGTACTCCAGTAAAGAAGAAATCACTGCTGCAGAAAATCAAAAAGATCGAGAGATTGCGATGACTTGGATTGAGTCTGCTGCTTGGATGCTAGAAGAGCTTGTAGACCCCCAGCTTTCCTTGCTTTTGCGCGTTTCTTGCTGCTCGCGTTTTCAACTGATTTACTGCTTCGGTTGACATCGAGAGATTCTGTATCGGAAGCAGCAACAGTAGAACCCGTTGTAGATGTCGTTGTCTGCATATTGGAGCTGGCAATTGACGTCATGCCAGGTCTAGATGATGTACTGAGACGAACTGTCGGTTTAACTGTTCTTCGACGACAGGGAAGGCATTTGTAGACTGTGGCTCCGCCAGTTGAAGGCTTGGCCGCAGAAGAATCCGCGCGTTTGGATTTCTTTTTCTTAATCTGAATCGTCTTGCTAGTCGTAGGGTTTCTGATACTACCACAGGCACCACATGCAAAATCAAGTTGTCGTTGATTCAAAGCCTTGAATTCTTCGTGGAGAATTTGGTTATGGACCATCAACAGGTGAGCTGCCGTTGAAGGACTCAGGGAATTCAAAGAGTTAGCAGAGTCCTTCAGGAAACTCAGGCGAGGAGCATGGTCACTGGCAGGCATTGTGGTTCAATTGTGTTATTGGTTTTGGTTTATTTGGTACAGTAGGCAGAAGAATGTTATTGTGAAGAAGGTGGACAATAGAAGAAGGTGGACTTGTGGTTCTATTCTTGCAGTGGCAGATAGAATACTAAACCCATCAATGGGTTACTAAATCTTCACAGAGAACCATCCATCGAGCATTCACTTCAATTCAACACAAGATTTCCTCATCAACCATCAGCTTCCCTCTTCTCCTTCCCCCAACCTCCCTTTTCTCCTCCTCTCTGTCTCTTTCAGCATCTTCCTCTTCTTCCCATGTTTTTTTTCCCCCTTTACCATCGTACATCACTCAACTCATCTTTCGCATCGTCACTTACAGTACATTTTTCGAGAATTCGTCTCTTCTTCCTTCTCTCAAAGATCTCCTAATACAATGGCGCTTTCAACGCCAAGTTCTGCTTCCTTCAAGGTCGCTTTCGAAGGCTGTGTAAGTTTCTCTTCTACTCCTTCATCCCGAATGTGGCTGTTGTCTCCACCGTTATACTGATGTTAAATAAACCCCAGGGTCACGGCTGTCTAGATGATATCTATGCTTCAGTCCAAAAGAATGCTGCTAGTAAAGGATGGACCGGTGTTGATCTGGTGGTCATTGGTGGTGATTTTCAGGTAGAATCATTAACGTGGTCTTGTGTGTTAGTTCTGAGACTGATTCTCCATCCTAGGCTGTCCGCAACTCTCACGACTTGACTTGTATGGCTGTGCCACAGAAGTACAAGGAGATTGGGGACTTCCATGACTACTATAGCGGCCAAAAAACTGCTCCTTACTTGACTGTCTTTATCGGTGGCAATCATGAGGCTAGCAATTACCTCTTCGAGCTCTACTATGGCGGTTGGGTTGCACCCAATATCTACTATTTGGGGGCATCCAATGTAATTCGTTGTGGCCCTCTTCGCATCGCCGGCCTGTCTGGGATTTGGAAAGGTTATGACTACCGAAAGCCACACTTCGAACGGCTGCCTTACAATAAAGACGATGTTCAAAGTGTGTATCACGTTAGGGAGCTAGATGTTCGCAAGCTTCTCCAAGTTCGCACTCAGGTCGACCTTGGTCTTTCTCATGACTGGCCCAAGCAGGTTGAGCTCTCTGGTGACTATGAGACACTTTTCAGAATCAAAAGAGGCTTTCGCGATGACTCTAACAATGGAAAACTGGGAAACACCGCTGCAAAATATGTACTCGACCGTCTCCGTCCTGCCTTTTGGTTTTCTGCTCATCTTCATGTGAAATTCACTGCTGCCATCCACCATGGTGACAACGGATCTTCTCGTCCTCTTACAAGGGGAGCCACTTATCAAAACAGCCCCCTTCAAACTTCTTCTTCGCTGAAACAGTTTGGTATGGATGGCGCACTCGTCACGTCAATGATTGACGAAGATGAGGAGAAGCCGGCAGGCCAGCCAGATGGCCCAATCAACTCTCTTGACAATACCATGCCAACCGCCGGAAATCCCAAAGAAGATGACATCTCCGGGCATGTCGCCAATGATAATTCTACCCCCGAAAACGCAGACACTCAGACTGAGGTCGGCAACACCGCTCGCATGTCACCATTGAAGCGCACTCGTGGAGACGACCAGAGTCGAATTTCTGCCTGGAATAACTTCCATGCTGTAGCGTCTAAGAATGAAGCTGCCGAGAATGCTCGCCGCTTGGCGGAACCACGAGACCCATCTGCTCCGGAGGTAGATTACAGCGTAACCTGGCGCCAGATCTCGGTTGATGAGGATCAGCCCCTGCGCAAGGTCACAAATGTCGAGCAGCCCGTTGGCGATGGTGGCAATCCTGATGCGAAGAAACAAAAGATTGAACACCAGCCAATGCTTGTCAAGAACTCTGATGAGATCGATTTGGACTTGGACAGCGAGTCGGATGTCGAGAAATCAGTGAAGAATGAAAATAAAATTGAGCGTCAGGAAGCCAGCGAGACTACGACCACTCAAACTCTACCGGCTGGTGCTATCAGCGATTCAACCAATATCACAGAGGACCAACAAAAGCCCAACCCCGAAGTGGAAAGTGCCGTCCCAGAAGACATTCGAAACCAGCTTCCTGCTAGCTTTGCACGGCCCCAGATGCCTGCAACGAAAGCTCCATCTGTAGCTCATCCTGTCCCAGAAGCCATCTCCAACAAGACTACTCATTTCTTGGCCTTGGACAAATGCCAGCCTCATCGCCACTTTCTAGAACTACTTGAGCTTCCTCTTGTCTCTGATCAAACAAATGTTCAGCATTCACGTCCCTTCCGCCTGGAATATGATAAAGAGTGGCTGGCAATCACCCGCGTTTTTGCAAACGAGCTCCAGCTGGGGAATCCCAGTGCTCCTAACGCTCCTGACCGCGGCGAAGTCTTCTACAAGCCCCTCATCGAGGAGGCTGAGGAGTGGGTTGAAGAGAACATCGTCAAGACAGGAAGGATAACCATACCCGAGAGTTTCACTCCAACCGCCCCCTTCTATGACGCTGCCATTCCCATTCATACCGACATTATGCCCCCCGAATACTCGAACCCTCAAACTGCGCAGTTCTGTGAACTGATTGGTATTGAAAATAAGTTTCACCTGACCGAGGAGGAACGCCAGGCGCGAGCACAGGCAGGTCCGCGTCCCAGCAACCCGCGATTCAACAACTCCAATCGACGCATCCCTCGTCGTGGCGGCGGCGATGGTCATTCTGGCGGTGGTCAATGGCGTGGAAGAGGAAACGGTCGTGGCCGCGGTCGTGGTGGGGGTGCTCCTCGCTGGTAATTGACAGCAATGCTCATAGCCTGGCTGGCTGCGATGTCTTTGGCACGCTCACTGGGTTATTGGTTGATGATCTGGATGTACTATTTTTATTCGCTACAATGACGGGAAGTTTAGCTGACTGGTGTTCTCAATTATGGGATGCGTCCATGGAAATTGATACGATGCAAGTGACCAGGTAGCGAATCTAGATTATTCTCACAATTGAAGAGTTGTGAAGAGATTTCCACTTCCTGTATAAATTAAATATATATCACACGGATGAACAACAACAACAACAACAAATAGCTTTTCATATCCACGGTGGTCTCGGACGAATTATTTCTCGCGAATGATAATTCACAAGACTCGGAGAGTTATAAGTATAACATAATGGGAGGCAAGTTCATTTGCACCGCGCGAAAGTTGCACGAAATCTTACTCAATCTCCTCAATTCTCGGTCCCACGATGTCTTTTTGGCCAGCAAGCGGGTTAACAGTCAACCCAGCAATATGATCCCCCAAGTCCAACCGAGGCTCGATCGTCTCAGCGTCAGCACCTTGGGCCCCAATGCCCCATAGCAGTGACTTCTCCAACCAAGCTTCCAAACTCTCAATCAATACGCGAATGTGGCCACGGACGATGGTGTCTGTTTCTTGGCTTTCCACGAACGTCAATGTGCGAAGCATATGAGGGATATTGCCGATTGTCGCAGTGCCTCGGTTTTCGCCAGCCAGTTGGCCCCAGGCAGATTCACCGGAGAGAGAGAAGCCGAATCCCAGCCCTTGGCTTCCTCTGGATTCCCGCGCGGCTTCTACGGCTTTGAGGATGTCTAGCAGGAGAACAACGCTTGCGCGGCGGAGGATTGCACATTCAGGCCCTGGTTCCAAGGAGAGGGTGTCGAGCGCGAGGCCAACTGCTGAGGAGACGATCGAGGGGCCAAGGCCGGCGATGTTCGTTTGAACTGCAGTAGCCAAGATGGATAGAGCGGAAGCGCGAACTCGCAGGTCGTCAGGCTCTTCGTCTGAAGCGGCACCTGCCGCCCAGGCGGCTAGGATGTTCGCAGAATGGGCGGCTTGCTCTGGTGACTCGGTATCCGAGCCCTCTTCATCGATTTCCATTAGCTGTGGTGTCGTATGTCCTGTGGTTATCTTCCATCCTGGAGGCATGGCGGGCTCTTTGTTCTGGCGCTCTTCGCGCTCCCTTCGCCGCTTTTCCTTCTCCAGTTCGTCCCTTCGGCGCTTGTGCGCTTGTGTTCTGCGTGCTCGTCGACCTGCAACAGCAATCATACCGTCACCTAGGATCTTGGCTGTCTCACCCGTAAAAGCCTGTCCGAGGTCCTGAATAGTCCGTAGCAAGGACTCTCCAATTTTCAGTCTCTGATCCAGACTAGCGGTTTCGGTTCTGTCGACATAGCGATCGACAAGCGTCTTTATAACAGTCCGCGGGTGCCTTGACGCCAGCGTCCCTATTAATTTGATTGCATTCAGATATATGAATTCATCATTAGCTGTAGATTCAGACGGATCAGTGATAACAGATAATAGAAGTGTCAGGGTAGATGGTATATCGAGCACAGGCGAAGACTTCTTGACGAGATCAGATAATAGCGCAAAGCCTTCAGCTTGCACCGGTGGCAGATCGGAGTTGAGATTGGCCAACGCCCGACGATGGGTATCAAAGTCAGAAGCTTCTACAGAAGACTTCGCCTTACTATGTTCTTCTGGAGAGGTCATTTGAATCTCCAGTAACATCGACGCTGTTGTCCCTGGCTTAGCCAACGAGGGCGGTAGGCTAGGAATGAGTTCATCGAGCACTGATTTCAATTCCTTAAGAATCGGCAGTGTCTCCAGAGTCACAGGGAAGTCCGGGGATGCGAGAACAGTGGAAAGCAAGCTGAAAACTGCTGGCAAGGATTCAGCAGCCTCTGTGTCGGCTGTTGCCTGTTCTTGTCGGTCGTTTTCGGTTGGAACAATGTTCGTCAAGGATGAAAGAGACACGCCTCCGGAGCCCTGGGTTCGTGTCTTTTGTCCGACTTTCATCCTATTCAGTTCACCCTCAACCACTTGCTTTATGAGCTCGAGTACTCGGAGGGGGCGTCGTGAGAGGGTGTCCTTGAAGTGATCTAGCAGTGCCTCCGCTAGCTTGGCACTAACCAGTTTCTGAATGATGTTGCTTGATTCTTCTGCCTCTGTAAAAGGGTGCAGCGCGTCCAACGAATGCTCTTTAGCGGGCTGCACGAGCCATCTTTGGCTCACATACAGGAAGATATCGCCGGTCCGTTCTTCGCCATTTGGGTCAGCGCCTAGTAGAGTGATAAAGAGTTTAACCCGGGACTGTAGCTCATCGACTAGCCGCACAATATTCAGTCTGTCTGCTTCATCGACCTGGCGTTTCCTTAAAACCACGCGCTTTGCGGGATCTAGGTCGTAAGTCCAAGTAGCCCCACCATCCCAGAGCAGATTGTCAACGAGCTTCTTTAAAGGCTGCACCCCTACCGATATACCGAAGTAGGTCTGTAGTATTGTCATAAATTTTTCATGAATCATTGACTTTTGCTGATCCAAGGCAAAACAAGTGAGTCCCCAAAGCGGCAGCAGGATGGGATATACAAGTCTCTTCACAAGTCCTGGGTTTGGATGCTGAACAGTTATGCTGCTGAGTCTGTCAATTGCTAGCAGCAGAGCCGACTCATGGACAATCTCCCCATCTCCAAATGCCTCACCCAGACCGCTAGTGATATTCATCCATTTCTTCGTGGAGGCATCGAGCTCGGCCCCAAGTGTTTTGAAAATAGGCTCCACGAAAATTGAGTGACCAATGGCTCCAGGGGCTCCATAAGCCCTTTTGCCCAATATGCCGTTCCCTATAACGTATGCCACCGTCTTTTTCAAGTCAGGATCTTCGCCATCCAGCAGTGTCAGGAGTTGCGGAGCAATCGTCGTGAAGTAGAGCTGGGGATCCATTCCCTCCGGCACTGAGGAGAGTAAGCGCGAGATTTGCATAATCCCTTGTACTGTAAAATGTGGCCCATTTGACAACTGGGCTTGAGACTCTTGTCCCAACGATGGAGCAAACTGAGAAGCTAGGAAAAAAATAGTTTGCAGTACTCCATCATCACGTAAGGGAACTCGAGAGAGCTGACTCGAGATGAGAGTTTGAAACCAAGGGGCCGGCTTTGATTGGAGAAAGTTGGATAAGATCGGTAGCAGGACCGCGCATGGGGTTCTGCTTTCATTAGCATAAGGGGTGTGAGAGTGCGGGCTGGGCCTCTGAACATACTCATTGATTAACTTTGAGAAGATATCGCGATAATTCTCCCTCGACTCGGAATGTGGAATATTGGGGTTGAATGCCAGATCTGCGGCAGCACTGACGATATCGCTTAGAATACGTCCTCTGATAACAGGCTGTATGCTAGGTCTCGTGTCGAAGATGATATCCGTCAGGGCGATCAGAATGCGACTGAGCAGAACTTCATTTTGCGGCTTGTCGTATTCAAACTTATTCTGCCGTTGAGCGATAACCCCGGCTGGTAATACAGAAATGACCCTCTGTTGCAGAGGGATCCCTACTCCGGATGAAAGACACGGGTAGATGCCCTCAAGGGAGATCAAATCAAGCAGTGCGTGCAGCACCCTTCTTCTTTTTGCGTCTTCCAGAGCTGGATATTTTGGCTCAATATCGGACAAAGACGATTCATTGGCATTATTCGTCGGTGTGACGAACGCAGCATGGATGTGAGTTAGTATGTCCAAGGCCCTTTCGACAACCGCTGTTCGCGTAGAGTCATCATCTGCGGTGCCAGCTGATATTTCCCGACCTAAGATCTCTAGGAGAGACTTTCCGCGATATTGCTGGAGTTCCTCTTGGATGTCGTTAGCTCTGAAGTCCAAGGATAATATAACTTGCTTAGGTAGTGGTCCGCATGCCTCGTTGGAGAACTGGGTTTAGAATATTATAGGCAGCATTGAAGGCTCTCTGAACCCGCCTTGAGTCGCCCATTATGACTTAATCTACTTGCTGTTGGATGATGGCATTCCTGCGTTAACATCGATCTCATGGTATGTTCGTTCCTCTTCTACGCAGTTCAACTCGATGATGTCGTTTCCAATCAATCAAAATAATGAATGTGAAGGACAGTATCACCACGTGATAGCCCTTATCAAGTCCGCTAGCCATATTGGGGATCATGAACTGTTGACTTGTGGAGAGTAAATATGGCTCATCTTCTATATCTCCACTACTAAGAAAGTGATGGAATCGTAGTTTAGTGAGATTTAGCCCAGGCCTTGGGGGAAAACGCCAATAATGTAGATAATACGGAGCACAAGCTCAAGGCTACAATAATATACTATATATTGATCAGTAATCTTGCGGAGTGTAATGCTCGAAGCTTCAGTCAAGTCTGGTGATGACAGCTTTGTGATTTAGAATGCCGAAAATCATCCAAGAAATCAGCCCACATCTCGAAAGGGGTTCAGAGACGAATACCGAGTACTGAGTACTCCTTCCTTGCTTTGCATAACATTCAAAGAATGATATGTTAGAGAAACAAGGGAATAGAATGGATCAAGGATATGGTATGAAGAGGTTGGGAACTTCGCACTTGGCAGAGTGGCAAGAGATCACGTGCCAACGCGTCGCGCTACTTGTTTTATACCACCTCCCCTGATCGTCTTGTTCTTGTTCCCTTGTCTATACCCAACTGTGGCAGTACCTGCGGACAGTCTCAAACGACTTTGCGGATCATTCATTCTATTCTGTTTCCTTCTTATCTCAGTCGTCGTCAATTTTGACCTTCACAAGCTTTTGGTTGGACTCGAATTGCTTGAGCATGTGTCGGCCTGTGTGTGTTGTGATTATCTTGTGTTGCAAGGCCATGCCTTAGTCACCTGAAAGGGTGACCCTTGTACAGACCATACTCTCCCTACAGTTTTCCAGTCTTCATCATTGCATTTTGATGCCCTCTTCAGCAGAGCTATAATCATATCTTGCTCACTCCATTACATGGTTATAACTGTTGACGGGTGAGATGGATATTGGGAACTTAACCCTAACCTAGTCGGTTTCGAGTTTCGCGGTTTTGCATGGCGGAGCTACTGATCAGTCGATTGATTCCTGGGGGAATTGAACGATGAAAGGTACCCGATGTCCAGAGCTCTTGATGGGCGATATAAGACGGTTTACTATGCGTTTTAAGTTCCACTATCGGACACGCGTCGGTTTACCAATGCTGGGCGTTACATGCGGACTATTATGGATGGTTTGTCAATGCTTGAGCGCTTCGGAATCTTGGGGAGATAGTCGGCGGAACATGTCGGACACCTCGTCGAAAAGGTTGTCTTTGGGATCTTTTTGAATGCAGCGCGTGGGATGCTGGAGGTGCACCGTCAATATGCAGGCAGAATCCATCATCACGGTTCATTGACCGTCTTGAACGCAACAATACCCGTCCTTCGACGCGCCTACAAACAATCACGAAGTTAGTATGTCGGAGGCAATCCACTCGTCGGAATCAATTTGATATTTTGCTTGCGCCCAGGTGCTTCGCGAAAGTATCAAATTGTAGCGAGATTCCTCTGCACTGCTGGACTGCATGGTTTTCGATTGCGTTGCTCTTTGAGTCACACAATCAAACAGCTCGGCTTGTTGTCTTGTTCCGGTGTATGATCAATTGTCGTGTTGATGATCCTGCTCATGCGATGGTGGCAGCCTCGTTCCCTCTGCCAGCGATTTCGCCATCCCGTACTGTTCCCTACCCCGGCGAGCCTGGGCAGCCCGTACCTACTATCCAACTCCTCGTCCTTGGCGATCACCCCTATTTGGGAGTCTTGAAAACCTCGAATCACGGCAACAGCCACTGATTCGCACTTCATTCGAAGGTCCAGTCGACCGTGTTAACCATCTCTTTGCAATGTAGATTGTAAATAGATTGATGGGCGCCGACACTGGCGACGGGGTCTTTTCCCCGTCGCCCCTCCCTTCGGGGAGAAGGAAGCGATTTTTGCAGATGTTCTTTGTTCGCTTCTTCAATGCCCTCCGTGGTCTACTTGACATGGAGAGGAAACAAAAACCTGTCTCAGAGAGTACTGTACTACACACAAGGTTTTGGTCTTGGGCTTATATGATTATACGCTCATATGGACGGCATATTCGAGAGCATTTTGAGAGATGGAAAGCTTTGGCCATTATTGGATTGGGGCCAAGGGGAAACCTGAAATATCTTGAATTCCGCGAAGGGCGTGAGGCTTTTCAACGGTGCAAGCTGCGTCTATGAGCGTCGACTGCTGCTATGTCGTGCGACATCCATGCCTGAGCTTCTCACTTTACATCTACCAGCCAGTGGCCATCATTATTCCTTGCATGCCAGCAATTGCTCTCATTGAAGCATATCAGGCCACTCTCCTCTCGATTGCGAGTCCTTTTGTCCACTAAGTGATTGTGCAGCCTCTTCAGTGAAATCTGCTCTTCCGCGCTCGTTTACGGCGGAGGTATGTGTGGGACCTCACGAAGGGTGGGGATCAAAGCTCAGGCTTATCTGCTAGACCTCTTTGTCGTTCACACCTGCGTTGGCGGAACTCTCTGAAGAATTGGCTCTCGGTTACGGACAACCTGGATTCTCAACGAAGAGAATGCGCCTGAGCTTCGGTGGTGTGTGGAGCAAGTGCGCGGGCTTCAGGATTTGACTCATTGTGCAGAGAAATGAAGGGGGTCTCAAGCAGGGGAGCCGGACGTCTACAGGTCGATTACAGCTTGTGGACCGCCGCTTCCTTTCGGGGAAGCGGCCCTTATTTTTTTTTATAAGTAACCCCTGCCCATTCATGTGACATCGCTAACTACTGTTGCAGACTCTCGAACATGAACACCACTGCCTCTCTGGTGTGGGCACGGAGGGTATATACAACTTCTGGATATGCAGAACTGTGTGGTGACATGGATTTCTTTGCAGAATGTGCCGGCAAATGGGAGGATGTATCAGAATAACTTTTTGGATTGGGCGGACTTTCCCTTGTGGTAGCATGTATGGAAGTACTTTTCATCCCATATCGATGACAAATGTGTTGTTGCATAGTTAACATGCGTAGCTGACTAATACACTCCGCACTATTCCTGCATAATCATACCCCTCCAGACCAAAAAAAAAAAAAGTTGCCCCGCCAGTGCGATAGTGGAAGGCAAAGGAACGTTCCCGTGGTTGCTGGCCAGTTTTTTTCCTTGGGCGCAAGTCTGTTTATAAGACCTAGTCCTCTCGCGTTCAGCACTTTTCATCCTTAATTTCCTCTTAAAGATCAATTGTAACACTCATCCCTTTCAACATGTCGACAGGAGCGGAGAACAATGCCTCCCAGGAGACTGTGGTGGTAGAGTCGCAGTTCCATAAGCCTGGCGATTTGGTGGAGCAGAATGATGACACCGGTGTTATGTCCGTGGAGAGTCTTTGCATGAATTGCCATGAAAATGTAAGTGATGGGCAGCGACGAACGGCAGCTCCATGAGAAAAATAGGTGACTAACCAAAGCGATACAGGGTATGACAAGACTCCTTCTCCTTCGAGTCCCTTTCTTCCGTGACATTATCCTCGAGTCCTTCGAATGCGAGCACTGTGGCCACCGCGACAACTCGGTCAAGTCCGCCGGCCAGATTCAGGAGAAGGGAACCAAGTATACATTGGATATCGAGGACGAGGAAGACTTCCAGCGCCAGGTCATCCGCAGCGATGTTTCGGTGTTCAAGGTCGAATCCCTCGGAATTGAGATGCCCAAGGGCGAGAGCCAATTGACGACGGTGGAGGGAGTCATTCAGAAGATTCACGAGAATCTTTCCAGCGAACAGCCTCTGCGTAAAGAGCAGGCACCTGAGCTGCACGATGCGCTTGTGCCTATCATCGAAAAGCTGGAGAAGATTATGAACAGAGAAGGCTTCCCCTTTACGATCTCTCTGGATGACCCCACGGGCAACTCGTGGATTGCACCCACGACGCACGACAAAGGAAACAAGTACAGACGTCGCGACTACCCCCGTACCCACGAACAGAACGAAGAGCTCGGTATCGCGGCCGATCCCGAAGCTGTCAACAACGAGGGCATCGCTGCTGAAGGCGGCATCGATGACTCAGAGATTGTGGAGGGCCAGGTCTACAGTCTGCCGGCCGAGTGCCCGGGCTGCACCAAGCCATGCTTCGTCAACATGAAGAAGGTCAACATCCCATACTTCAAGGAGGTGTTCATCTGGGGCACAGTCTGCGACCACTGCGGTTACCGCACCAGCGAGGTCAAGACCGGCGGCGAGGTCCCCGACAAGGGCAAGCGCATCAGCCTCAAGGTCGAGAACGAAGTGGATTTGTCGCGTGATATTCTCAAGTCCGACACCTGCGCGCTCCACAGCGAGGAGCTCGAAGTCACTGTCCAGCCTGGTACCCTTGGTGGCCGCTTCACCACCGTTGAGGGTCTGCTCACCGAGATCCGCGATCAGCTCCACGGCCAGATCTACGATGTTGACGACACCAGCAACACAGGAGGTGACAGCATGGCAGATTCCGACAAGGCGAAGTGGGAGCGATTCTTCAGCCGTCTTGGCGATGCTATCAGCGGCAAGATGAAGTTCAATATCACTCTCGAGGATCCCATGGCCAACAGCTACGTCCAGGATCTGTGTGCCCCGGCTGTCGATCCTCAAATCTCTACCGAGGAGTATACTCGTACCGAAGAGGAAGAGGAGGAACTTGGCCTGAAGGATATGAAGACTGAAGGATACGAGCAGGATGAGGAGGACGAGAAAGCCAAAGATGAGCAGCAATCATGATCCCATGATACTCCTAAAGACAATGCCTTCTTTTCCCTTTTTTCCGACTTACGACGGTTGTTTGGCGTCGCTCATGATGTATATGAATTTCGCTTTTTTGTTCTTTGGATGATTTGTCTACATGCATGATGGTGTTTCTGCAATTGCACCAGGGCTCTTTTTGCATTTTGAGATATCCGATGAGGGTGAACTTCTTCTTGAATTACATTTGATATCATCGGTCTGAGCAGTACTGTTTTGACTACTTACTATAGAAAAACTATTCCTGCTGGTTTGCCTTTCTTGCTACCCTCGGCCGAAGAATGGCGACCACTTGAAAGTAGCTTCTGATGATTTCGGGTTTGCGGGTCCCCAATGGCTGGGATCTTGCTAGATTCAATCGTATCGTTTGCTGATGTAAAGCAGCCAGCAGAATTGAAGAAGACCTTCTAGCGGCAATCGTCTGGGCGTATGCTCATGTGGGAGGTATAACCAGCCACTGAGATACTGATGCTTGCTAGGTCGTCCCTAGTGGTTGACTCTGCACATTTGCAGAGGCACAGAATGCAAGGCTTCGGATCACTTTGACGCTGTTCACGGTTCAGCCTTGAACCCGCTCAAATGCAAGGTGAGAATAGTGGTCGAAGTGGAGACCAACTCTTCGTAGTAATCCTTTGGGATTCAGTGTGAAGAATATGCTTTCACTTCGCGAGTGGGTTGGCGTGTATGGTGACTCGATTGATCTTGATCTCTTCATATCCCTCCTTCGGCTGGATGACTCTCCCCTTCTTATCCACCTTCACATTTGCCTTCTCCAAATTCGTCAAAACATCACCTCCTTCGTCCTGCGGACTCAGGTTCAGAACCTTGCCGAACACGGTGCTTGCGCCGTCCAGATGGGGAGCCGCGGCAAAAGTGATGAAGAATTGACTTCCATTGACCGTTGCTCCCGTTGCGCCTTGGGATCCCGGCGCGGTTCGGTCCTTGACAGGCCGGGATGCCATGGACAGGATCCCGCGCGCGTTGTGACGAAGAGCGGGGAGGTGGATTTCCTGGTTCAACGCGCGGGGATGGTAGATTGAGGTGCCGCCTTTGGGGATATCGTCGACGGGTAGCATTGGTTTCAATGTGTCCAGGGAAGCTGGAGCTGGTCCGAGAGAGATGTCGCCGCCTTGGATCATGAAGCCGGGGAAGAGACGGTGGAATGGGGTGTCATTGTATGCGCCGGATGCGCAGAGGGCGAGGAAGTTCTGTGACAGGTAGATTCAAGTTAGTGTTGCGAGCTTCCGAACGATACATAAGATTTCAAGAGAAGATTTGCTACATACTTCCGCTGTTTCAGGCACTGTCTCGCAGAAAAGCTCGACCTTGAGGTCTCCGTGAGTGGTATGAAGCTGTAGATTTCATCAGCATGACTGTTCTTGACAGGGACAAAGGTGTAATGCTCAGAAATCCGGGAATATAATGAATCAACATACCGTAACAGACATGGCAACGATCAGAGACCACGAATAAATTTCAGTTTATCCTGAGCTCGACTCTCACATCTACATCTTTCGGACATCACCAGAGAGACGGATACCTTCACGCCGCCGATGCACGTGACTACATATGTACTAATCTCTTTTGGGACAGACTCCTTTATACGTTTGTCAAGATACAACCAGAAATACGTAGGTTCGCTGCCATTGAAAAATCATACCTATTGCTAGAAATGCAACATATTGTAAGGACAACTTCATATCAATTATTTGGTAGCTTCCGTCATGTTTGGTGCAACAGTAACTCCATACAGTGCAAGGCCAATCTGATCGATAACACTAATCCCGAAAAGGCAATTAGTATCCAGGGTGGATGATTTTCCTACAATATGGTCAGAAGTCGAACCCTTTTCAATGGCACTGCTTCTTCTACATGTTATCAACTCAGGTCTTCTTGAGTCCACAAACTGAGAACGACTGAAAATGAACAACAGACCCGTCGAGCAAGCGCTATCGACATTGGTGCCGACACACGCCAATGATCTACCTCCAGAACTGGTCAGCTTAGCCCTGTCTTTAGTTGCGCAGTCTCGAAGTTTCGCGACTAGCCTGCGGCCTGAGGAGGAGATCGCACGCCCATATGCGTGTGCGGAGATTGCGTGCCGGAGGTATGAATCCTTAATGCCATCAATTGATCATATGCTAAACACCTTGACTCCTTGTACAGGTTAAGCAGGACGCTCAAACTTCCCCCGTTACTAGGCCATCCACCATGTCCTCCCCGAGCGTACAAGAAGCTCTATTCCTTTCTTGAACGGTCCCTCTCAGCGAGCACAACATCAAATCGATCGGGAGAAACCTCAACCCCAGGAACACCCTCTCGCTCTGGGTTGATTCCGTCAACCCCTACGAAGACACGAACACCCGCAAAAGCGGCACCAACGCCACGAGGGCTCCAAAATACTCCCAGCAAGTCCACACCACTCAAGCGAGCAATCAGCGCCTCAGCAAAGCCGGCGTCTACACTCCGCACTCCACAGAGAACCTACACCCGCCCCAATGGCCTTTCCGCATCGACAGATATCCCCGATGCCCCTGCGTGGGTCATGACCTCCATCCGAACCATGTGCAAAACTCTCTCAACCCCAGCTCCCCGTACAACGACATGGTCCCGACCCCCGATCTCTCGGACACTGCCGCCACACATATATGCAGGAGTGTCATCGATTCTATATCTCATCTCGAGCCTATCAGTCAAGAACGACGACGACCTCGACGAGGAAATGATGGAATTCCTCGAACCCATCATCTCGACTAGGAACGCAAATAAGGACGAGGACTTCAAGGAAGTGGTGTACGCCTTGATCGTGGCGATCTATTTCATCGTACTCGCGCGCCGGCGGACGGCCGTGGATGATGGATCTGGCGAGGCAGGCGAGGCAGGCGAGGCGAAGAAGATGGATAAGAAGACCTTTTCGGAGATGCGACAGACGGCGCTCGTGAGTCTGGGTCTGCCGTCAACGGAGCGCAGGCACCGCGATGATGTGGATCAGTGGATCGCTCTGATAATGGAGCAGAATTGGATGAATGGCCAGGAGTGGTTCGAGAATATCCCGCTGGCGGGCGAACTGGATGGAGACGAGGAGTATTTGTCCGATAGCTATGGTGAGCGTGGCGATGAAGATGCAGCTCAGGGACGGAAGCGCGCGAAGACCACGGGTGCCGGACGCGGATTCTCTCTCGAAGACTCGTCGAAACGCAAAGGTCTTCTCCCTGGGTTGGGCACGATGATGCAGGATCGTGTCGACTGGTTGAGTGAAGACCGTCGGGAGGATTACGTCGAATGGAAGGCAGATATGATGGCACAGATTGGGCAGATGGAGAAGGCTGCTCAACTGTGTTGAGTGAAAAACCCCTGGTGCTGTTGGCTGTTGATATTTGCATGCTATGGAATGTACATGATACCCTTGTTTTGAAAGGTTGCCCTTTAAAATTTCTATATCCTCCTCTAAATGCCATGTCCCAATACAAAATCCAAACAAGTCAAGTCAGAAATATCCATGGGTATGGTCTATGTTTCAATCAATGCAGTAAAAAGACACTCGCCCCAATCCAAGGTCGGAATCACCAGACTCCAGGAAGAAACAGCCCCAATGCGCGCTTTTATCTAAGGAAGTGCATGACAAAGAAAATGATTGCATCATTGCCTCGGAGGCGCGTCAAAATTTTTGTGGGTATCATGGTAAACAATGGTCGGTTTGTATCTCATCTGGATTAATACCAAATGCTTCTCGTTCGGTGATGGGGAATTGTTTCGCGGCCGTCTCTCTCAAGATCCTTGATCGTATCATATAAGAAGAAATCGATCAATATCGCATTGACTCCAAAGGCCGATGACCCATTAGTGCTTATCTGTTCGGCGTGTTGTTGCGTGGTAGGCTCTCCTTTGTCGTTGGCGGGTGTGACTTCGTCTTCTGACTGCTGGACCGATTTCCTTTCCAAGAGCTTCTGCCTCTTCAATTCTGGATGCTGACGTTTGATTTCTCGCCGAAGCAACTCAACACACCAGATGCTTGTTGCACGGAGTTCAATTTCCCAGTTCGAACCACTGGGTATTAACTTTTTATCTCGGATGTGGCTTTCCAAAGATGGTGAATATAGAAGACAACCAAGCTCATGGAGCATCTGAGGGATACGGTAGTCTGGTGGTTTCTGTCAGTCTGAAGATGAATTCTGAGTGGGCGTATAACCTACCGGCGAACATCGTGATCTTGTCGATATCGTGAAACTCTCCATAGCTTTCACCATTGAAGCAAGCCCACAGATCTGCTACAAGAATTTGAGCGCGTTTGTACAGCCGTACTCTGCGCCCATGAAACGCCGTCTCATCGCGGAAACAAGGGAAGCTCTCCACCAGGAGATTAACAAGAGCCGCGGCCGAATAGTTAGCGCTATAGACACAATTCACGAAGCTTCCATCAAAGTCCTGAAGTATTGTGTCAGCAATCATGCTCGAAAACAGGGGGAGGTTCGGTTGCGACATACCGTACATAGTACTCTACCCGCTTCACGTAGACACTGGATGCGCTCTTCGAGCATGGGGATTTCCTCATCGGTTGCTGACCGAAATACGTGCCGTAACAGCGTATCTGTACACTCATCCTCCTTGATCCAAAATCCAGGCGAGGTGATCTCGATCCCTGCGTATTCCCACTTTAGCTTTCATCTGATGGTATATAGCTCAATGAAAGAGGTGACATACCCTCCTCTAAAGCCCTCTGTAGAGCAGCTACCAGACTCCAGTAGCCAGTCCACCTCCTGCCACGATATTCAATGCAAAACCTCTTGGATTCCTCGGTTTCGCCCGACCAGAAACTGAAATTCAACAGATCCATAGTGAAGATGAAATCAACCGTGCTTCCGTCTTTCGCCTTGGGGTGTAGTTCGTGCTCGGCCCATGTCTCTGTCGAGTACTGCTTCTTCTGCATCAATCGCCAGACTGTCTCCGCTGCTTCTTTGACCTTCGCGGGGCTTAGGGCAACATCGATGGCATTGTCAAAGACATACTGCGCATTCTCGAGAACCTTGGTCTCCGCAGTCGCTGGATTGGCGGGGCCACCGTCTAGTCCGAGGGACTTGCGCAGGAGAGCCAGAAGTTCGGGGTCCGCTTCGTCGTCCGACGTGGCGCGCGCTATCATATTGTCCGCTTTAGCCGAGGGATCTAAATCGGAGTCGATTGTTGACCAGATGGAAGTGGAAGCGTCACGAGAAGTAAAGAGGTCAAATAGGTCGCTGGAGTGGACGACCGATTTGAACGCCCAAAGTTGCTGGTTGGGCTGATGTCTGGGTAAGTGACTCAACGTAATTGGAGTCTTTCTTCTTGAATAGAATCAGATTATCATGGCCCAAAGGAAATCTCCAGGTATGCGTCAGAATATATAGATCGTTTAAAGATAGATAGAATAGCAACCGATGCAAAAACCCGAGGGATAAGGTAGTTTAAAGAGAGGGGAAGTGATCGAAGCCCACTAACCTCAAGCAAAAGTTATCGCTTCCTTTATCTGATAGATACCGCTCGCCGCCTTTATCCGGGGGACTTTTTTTTTTTTTTTTTTTTTTTTTGATTTCTTTTTTCCCTTGCCTTATGTAAGCGGTAAAGTTGAATGCCACATCTTTCAGGCATCAGACAGGCACCCCCGACAGGCATCCAGAAACGATGAGACAGGTCTCAAAACTCGCAAATTCAACCCGGCATCGTTCGTCAAACAGATACATATCACTGGATAGTAGTCTGGAATCATCCTGGAGCAACAGACGGGATTCTCGGTGGAGAGAAATATATATTCTCTCCAGTTGGAAACAGCAAAGATGGTGAAGGCATTCTTCCTCAGACCATGACGGAGAATGTGTATCATCTCTCAGTCATCCAGAGCCGCCTTTGCTGCTGGGGTGATTCCATCTAGAGCCATGTTCTTTCTTCATGGCTCTCACTGCCACTTAAAATTCTTGTAGTGATGTCGATGAAGATGGGGAACAATGCATATCCAGTGCAGATATGGATGCAGGAGTGAAGAAGAGCAATAATGCGAGGTCTCACCCCCACTCGGGAAGACGCAGCCGCCTACAGTCAGTCCTACGATCAGTGTCTGGACCTTGGAGAGGTCCATCCATGCATGCTATTTCTTCCTCACCTTTTCATCAATCAAAGAAATTAAATCCTCTTGAGACTTCATGGCAGGCAGCTTGATCCATTGGAGCAGAAGATGGGATATTCCCTTGCAAGGCTCTGAGCCTAAGGAAGATCGTCGGTTTTTACAGTACTGTACAGTCGGTTTCTCTCCAAGAGTCTCCCACTTGAGTTGGAGATTTTTTTTTTTTTCGTAGGCAAGGACTTCTGTGATAAGATCGAGACATCTCCAACGCAAGAGATGATCTGACAATCCTGTGGTTTCTGCGATGGACGAGGTGCCATCGGCGTCGTTTGAAGCTGCCGCCGTCATTCTTCGTCCCTTTCAACCACCTCACGCCTGGTTACGTCTGTTTCCGGGTCTCCCTCCTGCTTCTTAACTACTACTAGAAGGCTAAATTGATTGTGTTTTCTTCTCATTTCGCTCGCTCTCCTTCACTTCAGGATCCAAGTTCATTCCTCTCTTTGACTCTCCCCCATCCTTTGCGCAATCATCTTTTCTAGGGCTGCTTCCCTCGTAAATACCAACCCTTCTTCTTGCTTCTGGATCGCATTCGATCTATTCGCAAAGATGACGAGGGACGCTTATCTCAAGCGGTCTCTCGGCACCCTGTACAGACCTATCAAAGAGGTAGCTCTATCATACCCCACGTTCGACTTTTCAAAGTGCTTTTCTTCGCGTCTGTCGTGCTGCGCTCGATACTAACACTCCGTTCTCGATCTAGTCGCGTGTGCTCCTCGTTGGTGCTGGCGGCATCGGCTGTGAATTACTCAAGGACCTCCTGCTATCCGGCTTTGGGGAAATCCACATCATTGATCTCGATACGATCGATCTGAGCAATCTCAACCGACAGTTTCTTTTCCGATATGAACACATCAAGAAGTCGAAAGCATTGGTACGTCTGCACCGCTCGATCGCTGTCCCGGCGTTCCCTCGTCCCCCCACCACATCCGCGCTCGCAACAGTTTCAACCTGAATACTACGAATAAGGAAGACGAGTCCTAATAATCCGGTGGTCATGCACAGGTTGCGAAGGAAGTTGCACGTAAATTCCAACCCAGCGCGAAGCTAGAGGCCTACCATGCGAACATTAAAGACAGCCAATTCAACGTGGACTGGTTTGCGACTTTTGACATTGTTTTCAACGCGCTTGACAATCTCGACGCCCGGCGCCATGTCAACAGGATGTGCTTGGCGGCCAACGTGCCATTGATTGAGAGTGGGACAACGGGATTCAACGGACAGGTTCAGGTCATCAAGAAAGTGGGCTTCCTGCAGTGTGATCGCTGCGCTCTTTGCTATATTCCATGGCAACTCTGCTGACCACAAGTAGGGTCGAACGGAATGCTATGACTGCAATTCGAAGGAAGTGCCCAAGACTTTCCCCGTGTGCACGATACGAAGTACACCGAGCCAACCGATCCACTGCATCGTCTGGGCTAAGAGTTACTTGCTTCCGTAAGTGTTCAAAGAGTCCATACATCACCCAGACATCTCTGACCATGGGCAGTGAGCTCTTTGGTACGAGCGAGGATGAATCGGAGGAATTCGACCATGCAGCGGATGCCGACAACGGTGAGCGCGCACTCTCTCCCCCTCTTTCTTTTTCAGTATCTGCACCCTACAAGCTCCTCTAACCTACAACAGCTGCCGAAATCGCCAATCTTCGCAAGGAGGCGCAAGCACTCAAAGAGATCCGCGAGTCTATGGGCTCCCCTGAGTTCTATCAGAAAGTGTTCAACAAGGTCTTCAAAGACGACATTGAACGCCTCAGAGGTATGGAAGACATGTGGAAAACGCGGAAGCCGCCCCAGCCTCTCGATCTCGAGCAATTGCAGCAAGAATCGTCCTCCATCGAGCCCGTTGTCTCCGTGAACGACCAAAAGGTTTGGTCATTGGCCGAAGATTTCGTTATATTCAAAGACAGGTTTGCGACTTTCTGATCCCCATGTTTGGTGGACATTAGCTAACGACTAGAGCAGTCTGGACCGACTCAGCAAACGCTTGAAGACGCTTCAAGATGTTGCAAAGGACGGTGTCAAGCCGATCCTGTTATTCGACAAGGACGATGTTGACACACTTGACTTTGTGACTGCCAGCGCTAATCTGAGAGCCACGATATTTGGAATCGATCCCAAATCGAAGTTCGATACAAAACGTGCGGTTCGCTATCGGTTTGACTGTGAATAGATGTGGCTAACTATCTCTAACAGAGATGGCTGGCAATATTATCCCGGCAATCGCAACGACCAACGCCATGACTGCCGGTCTCTGTGTACTACAGGCTTACAAAGTTCTCAAAGAGGATTATCAGAATGCCAAAATGGTATGTCCTTGCATCCGAAACTGCTCAGTATGGAGATTCTGACTTCTTCTCCTATTATCAAGGTCTTCCTGGAACGATCCGGCGCGCGTGCTCTCAATTCGGATACTCTAAAACCGCCCAATCCCAATTGCCCTGTTTGCTCGGTTGCTACAGCAAGAATCAAAATCGACCCCGAGCGCGCCACTGTGAATGACCTAGTCCAGGACATCCTCCGATTACAACTAGGCTACGGTGAAGAGTTTTCCTTGAGCAATGAGCTGGGAACCATCTATGACCCGGACCTCGAAGACAATCTGCCAAAGAAGCTTTCAGATCTTGGAATCAAGAATGAAAGCTTCCTTACTGTTGTAGATGAAGAAGATGATCAGCCGCGTGTCAACCTAGAGCTCGTTGTCGTTGTACCCGAAAAGTAAGAGGTAGTCTGCAGAGGCCGGTATTGTTGATTGCTAACCGCCCTAATACAGACCTACGCCCGCCACCACTGAGGAGAAACCTGTTGCGCTTGAGAAGATCATTGAGATCCCACGCAAACCAAAAGAACCGGAGCCTCCCGTATCGGAACCCGTCAACCGCACTCCAGTCCTCACCAAGCGTAAACGCGACGCTGAGGAAGCTGGTCTCACAAATGGTGACGAACGTTCCAAACGCCTTGCTAGTGCTTCAGTGGCAGAAGGGGATGGATCAAATCCTATCGTGTTGGATGAGGCAGATGGCGGGGCTATTCTGATTGATGATGATTGATGAACGAGATCATCGTCATTAAGTGAGCGAATCATTCCACACAACCCGTCGTTGATTTTCTTCATACTGCTTCCTGTCCAGCGTTCTCATGCAGCATCGGGAATTGGGATCCCTGGCTGATGCCTTCCTGTAACATATCTCACGAACATGATTAGTCTAGAAAGAAAAATAGATGGATGCGTCGCTTCTATCACTACTGTTTTTGTTAAAAAATGCATAGATGGCCTTCCTGGCATTTGGCTCGTATCCAAATTATCTGGCCTTCTGCAAGTTTGCGAGATGAATAAGCTCCGAATCAGGAGAAATGAATCAATCCGCAGACTAGATAGCACTCAGTCCGCCATCTAGATTCAGGACGCAGTTATTCGCGTATTCATTTTGCGCCAGGAACACTGCCGCATCAGCAATCTCATCTGGAGTGCCAAATCTTCGTAGCGGGATACTATCTTTCAACCTGGAGGTCTCGCCTTCACTGAAGTCTGTGTAGATGGTCAATTAGCTCAGTAGAACAGCCATATCTATCCTCTTTATCGGCAGATTTCACCTACCTGCAATCATTGGCGTCTCCACATAACCCGGCAGGATGGCATTCGACCGAATCACGACATCTCTCAGCGAACTGGCCGTCTCCACCGTCAACGAGCGCGTGAGGCCCAGAATACCAGCCTTGGACGCAGCATAGGGCACCGCGCCAGTCCCACCCTTAACAGCAAGCAAGGAGGAAATGTTGATGATGCATTTCGAGCGGGGCGCGCCGGTACCAGTGCCGCGATTCTTCATCCGGCTGCGAATCGAGGCGCGGACCAGTGCCCGTGCGGTCAGCATCGGTCCCTCGAGGTTCGTGCGGAGGACCCGCGAGATTTCGTCTGCTTCGAGCTTGGCGAGGATGTTGGATGTGGAGATGCCAGCTGCGTTGACGAGGATGTCTACGGGTTGCTTTGGATGGGATGGAGTCGTCAGTGAGGGCCTTGGGCCTTGTGGGGAGAGGGGAGGTTGGGTGAGGGCCAGCTCACCATTGCCTTTTCCAGCTGGCGCAACCACGTCGCGGCTTCGGAGACATCGCCGACGAGTAGGCTGACTCTGCTTGACGACTCAATCAGCGTCCCCTGCGGCTTCGCGGTGCCTTGGTTCTGCGCTTGTTGATCTGCTTCGGGCGCCTTTGTTGCGACTTGACCATCGGCGCTACCCCCGCTAGGCGCGGTGGCAGTGGGTATGCCTCCAAGGGTGGAAGAATATAGTCGAGAAGCGGCTTTGACTAGCCGGTCGTAAGATCTGCCGACAAGAATGACGCGATCTGCTCCTTCTTGGAGAAATCGCTCGGCGATGGCGAAGCCGATGCCGGATGTGCCGCCTGTGATCATGCATGTTCGGCCAGAGAGTCGATCTGATGGCTTGAATGGCGAAGTACTAGGGACGTTGGATGCAGACGATAGCCATCTTCTCTGGGGCCATGGTGATGCTTTGGAAAGACGTGTGTATATCATGCCTTTGGATTGCAATGTATGCGCATAGGATGAGAGCCCTGATGATACTACCGCGTCACGAAGATGAGAGCGTAGAGTATGTGTATAATACATGAATAAATGATGCTGACTGATTCAATCAATCCATTGAAGAAAGAGCTTCGCCTTCGTGATTCAAGCTGTGGTATTGTCCGCGACTCTCTTTCCCATGTAGGATCGATGTATGCATCCGAAACTAGACCAGCGACTGGTAACACTAGAGAGCTCAAGAGTTATTCCATTCAAGTAAGCATCGGGGAATCCTCATATCCCAGGAACGAAAGAAACCATGAATAGTTAGCGTGCCGTCATCGAAGATGATCCAGCATCCCGATAGATCGACACTGGAGATCGGAAGCTTAAGCACGGACCAACATGCGAGTCCAAAGCGCGTCTTATCTTTTCCCCCGATTCCCTTCTTCGTCACCTTCACTGCCTACACGCCCTGCTGTCAACGGAAATGGCGTCAATACCAGCTTCACCCTCGGGGTATGTGACACTCGTGTCAGGCGATGGGTTCGAGTTTATTATCCCACGGAGCACAGCCTGCGTCTCAGGAACAATACGACGCATGCTTGAGCCTTCGAGTCAGTTCTGCCTCTAGTCTATTTTCTAGACCAATACAGCCACTAACCACTCTTGCTACATGGTATAGGTAAATTCTCCGAGGCGATCACCGGCCGCTGCGTGCTTGAAAATATCAGCGGGGTTGTCCTAGAGAAGGTGTGCGAATACTTCTGCTACAACGAGAAGAACAAGAATCAGACAAACGTGCCGGACATGGATATTCCTCCAGAGCTGTGCTTGGAGTTGCTGATGGCGGCAGATTATTTGGATACCTGACCTTCAAGATGTATGTGGACTGATTGATGTGGCTGTTGTTTTCCTCTACTGACTCGGAGATATTCTAGTTGCTTGGTTTACGATCCATGAGGCGACGACTTGTGAATGAATGTATTATGGATTTCTCAAAAACCGGAGTTTTTGGTATGGTATCTTTCTTACAGCCTAGGTACAGGAAGGCGTTGAGACTCCCGATCGGGATATTTTTTACTGCGCATGAATACCTTCATCCGTCCTATGAGACGGACATCTCTGTAGCCTGGTGCTCCGTCTATCGTGTGGCGGAGCCGTACTTTGACCTGCGGAGCCATCTGAGCATCACATCCAATCCCTGCTTCAATGGATCGGGCGTTCTAAAGACGATGGCAGATCGGTCAAGTTTCCCTCTTATTCAGTCCTCATCCATATTCCATGGATACCGGGGCTTTATTCCAGGGGATACATGCTGCTCGCTGATGAGCGTATCCGTAATTCGAGTTAGATGTAAAACCATCATCTCAGGTGGTCAATCACCGCCCCTTAGGTTTGGGTTTCGTGAACCGTCCTTTATTTCCTTGAGGATTGCCTCTTCCTTCATAGAGTTTTTCTTTTCCGAACGCAGCATCTGCAACGCGCAGGTAACTCACAACGCCTTGGTCGATCACAGCCAGGATGACATTTCGATACCCCTGCCGCAGGCGCATGTAGAGTTGTCGGTCCATTTTTTCCCCTCGCGGAGGATCCAACGGGGTGCTTTCTAGCAAAGCTCCCAGCTGAGAGACAGTGGGCATAGAATGCGTGCGGGAGTCGACGACCGCAATTCGGAAATCAGGCGCCGGAGGAGCAGTCTTACGGAATGGCGTGGAGGGCTTGTAGACATGGAAGACGACCCGGAACGGAGCAGTTGTCTGTGCAGGTGGTCGAGGCATGGTGGGATCATACCAGGGTATGATAGATAGTCTACGATAGACATCACCTGAACTGCGTTAGCACGTGTATTCTAACCATTATTGTGTGGATCAGGCTCACTGTAACTGCGATGCATGCCGAGACCGACAAGCGGAATCCCCCCCGAAGCAGGACTAGGAGTCTCCAGCCACTTCAGAAACCGGCCAAAGACCCCCGCCAGCCCTGTACCCTGCTGGGGGGACTCCGACTTCTCTGCCTCGACAGCGACTTCCTCAGCATCGTCGTACCACCCAGGCGCGCGCGTAAGCGTGTACCCCAGACGCTTGAGACCCGTATAGACCGTGAACCGCTCAATTGTCAGCCCACCTCGCCCAATACAGCACGCATACGCCGCCTGCAAGCTCATCGGGATTCCAGAATCACCCCCGTCATCCTCGTCGCCGCACCCCGTCAACGAGAACGGCCACCGAATCTCCAGACTCCCGCGTTCAAGCAGATACAGCGCTTCTTCGGGAAGAAGCCACACCCGATTCCACCGGTCCGCCTGGCCCATCGTCTTGAAATACTGGCCCTTGGGGTTGGAGACGTACACGCACGCGTCTGGATGCACGCCCAGCTTCGTCGCGGCGGGTCTCCCTGTCTTCGTGTCGGGGGTTGGCGTGTCAACCGGTGGGAGGGTAGCTGTGGACGGGGGCGCGGGTCCGTCGGGCGCGTACACTCCTACGATCTTATGCTTCGGATGATGCAGTCGTGGGTATGAGAGGGCATTGTGCATAGCCCGCCGCGAGGCGGCGAGGACATCGGCTTGGAATTCGGTGGGGTTGGGTTCGAAGTCTTTCTCGCCGCGCTTGGGAAGGCTGGATTGCGAGGGGTCTGTGAGGCTATGGGCATTGGTTAGCTCGGGTTCTTGATACCACGGATAATTGGTGGAGGGGGGGGGGGGGGGGGAGACTGATACGAACAAGGAAATGTGGTTTAGCATGCGAAAGTCCTGTGTCTCGTCTGACAGGTCGACTTCAATGTGCGTTGATGAGTCGGTGGAGGGTAGACGAGCGGCATCTTCGTCCATGTCCGCCATTTTGGTATGTAGAGAGCCAGTTCCGGCTCAATTCGGGAGTCGTGTATATTGTCGCGTCGAAAAGTGTAGTCTGAAAGAGCTTTGATTATTATGTGACTGATAGTGATAGACTATAGGTCGCGATAAAAAAAATCTCGGCGGCTCGAAGCTAAAGCTTATCAGTTCCGTCCGCCAAATAATCGCGGGGAAATAATCCACCAAAACGTTCCACTTCTCCTTCTCCCCTGGTGCTTGATATCACCAATTATGATGTACCATCGACTCGGTCAGGATGGATTATGACATAGACTACAACGAGGTACTTGATCAGGTACGCAGCATCTCGGAATCATGAAGCTGCGACTCCCCTAACCTTGCACAGATATCGACAAATCTCTCCAATGCGTTGAACACTTTCGGCCCCTCCTCTCAGCAGTATCAAAACATTCTAGAGATCCTCAAGGATTGCGTACACAGACTAGGAAATGAGCCAACCAAGAAAACACCGGCTGTCGATCCGGACACGTTAAGCCTGGCGATGCAGTTCCTCGAGATTGGGGAATAATCCGTCATTGTCTGAAGCTCCAGCCGCCATGACTTAACTCAACAAGACTATAGCTCCTCCTGAACACATGTGGAAAGTTCAACACAATAGATCTTACATATTATATTGAATTATATGACTAGAGAGCCACATGGGGAAGCGAGTGTTCCACCGGCGACCTTTCTCCAGGATATTAGCAAAGTTGACCAGAACACCCCATTTTCCCGGCCACCCAGCAAAGGACAAAACAACAAGGCTCCCCGAATGGCATGCAACAAGACAAACTCCAGACTTATGCATTCATAAAAACATGATCATGCTCTGCTCTTCAGAGCAGGCTGTACCAGTCGTGATCACAAACCCTTGCCTTCGCTCTGGTTTCTTGGCGATCGCAGTGGTAGAGTCTTCGAGAATGAGCACCAATATCTGGTCCCAAGGACGCATGACAAGCGCTCAAAAATCCAGCCGCTGTTTCAATCAATGAGCGGCTTCTTCTGGTTTCCAACAACAGCGACTCCAAGGTGACGAAGTGCATGCAGATCACTGGGTCGCACAATCGAAGGGAGAGGTAGCATAGGGTTATCTGGGTTCACATGGACTGCATCTCGAGCGGCTTGCTCAATCGCTTCCATTTCCTCTTTACATCCGGCATGATCAAGGGGACAAACGACGATTGGTTGTCGAATGACAATATCCCTTGCGGACGTCAAATGAGCCTATCGGTGTATTAGCAAAGTTTCAAGGCATGATCATGCCAGCACAGTACGAACCTTGACAGTCAAATAGTACTCAATCTTGTAGAGACTTGCTGTAGTAGTAAACCCGCTCACGGCATACGTCGGAAAAGCTGCTTTACCTCTCGGAAGGATTCCCTCTGCATCTCGAAGGTCCTTCGCTGGAAATACCAGCCCCAGATTCGTCAAGTACCCCGTCGGCGGCAGCTTGACACCGATGGGCTCTGTGCGCTTGACCAATGTTTTCAGCTTGCGCTGCGGTTCATCCCCCTCATGATTATATATGATCTCTTCGTCAATACCAATGGTGATCTTGTTTATTGTGACCTTCCTGGCTTTGTTCATCCAATCCGGGTTCGGTGAAAGCTTCACATAGACGCTTACGGGGTCAAGGGGCCCGTAGGACCATCGGGGTAAGGATATCCCTAGGGTGACCAGGTGATCTGAAACCCGCTCCGCAGACTCAGGGCGGTTGTACATCCCAAATGTAGATAGTGTGTCGTATCGGGAGATCGGAACCGGAAACGCGTATTTTCTCTGGTCCGATTGTCCTTGTTGGACCGTCACGACAATTTCATAGTAGGTCTCCGCAGTGCGACTGGGGAGCTGCAGACTGGCAGGGGGCACTCGTCTGGATGAGTCTTGCCCACCACGCCCAAACGGTATGAACAAGACGAAGGGCAAGTCCATTGATATTACTTCCTCATATTCTCGACCGGCCGGACATCGAAACAGCAGCATTTCCTTGCCGACGACATCTGTGATCTCTTTCCTCGGGGGCGCCAGATGCTTCTTGGTCACGGAGTCCGCCGACGGATGTATTGTTTCGCGCCGATGGAGGGATATGGTCACGAGGGAAACGTTCACAGGCGCCGTAATGCCGATGCTGGGTCTGATCTCGACTTTACCTTCGATTCGGGGCTGGATCGTAAACGTTAGTGTCCACCCGTTCCCACACGCCCATCGGGCCGGCGCTTACCATAGTCGCAGAGATTCCGGGGTAACCGATCAGGAAATTGCCATTTGGCGGGCCCGACACTCGCACGAAGGCGGCCATACTGAAAGCACAGTGCGCGCACCACCATGGGCACGCGGGGGCTGAAAGGGATGCGCTCCGGAGTTGTTGCGGAGACTATGCGACTTCCAGGGCGTCGATATCTTCGGATAGATCATAGAGTCCACGTTCGATCGGACTGGTTCGTTCAATCGCAGCTGCGCCAAGGTGGAATGGCGATGGCGCAGGTGCACTAAACGGTTTGTCGCCTTCCTAGAGGTGCAAGTGTAGTGACCGACTCGATCACTCGACACCTCCCGGCGGTATAAGCTTCCTGGTTGGTAGGAAGCTATGGAACTTTCGGGCTGGAAACGGTGAGACTTTCGCAAAGGAGTGGATAATCGCGAACTGTATGCGGAAAGATGAAATTGAGTGGCTCTCAACGTCGCAGAGAGGTGGTTTGAGTAGTGAGATTGGCGCCGAGGTGGTGGGGGTGGAAGAAGGGAAAGTGATGGGGAACATCTGCAGCGGCTAAGTTGACAGCCTTTTGGGTTGTTGCTTCGCTTCTGCCACCGACGATCGACATCCAACACGAGGGCCAGGGTTCTGACCCGACCATTCGATCGACTACATCGGGTGGAAATTCCTTCAGCCTCAAGTTGGGGACCTACGTGGTAAGATTCTGTTCCGTGTGTACCTTTTGTTGTTATTTTTCATCCTTCGGAGAAGTTGTTCTACGGTCATGGAACATCGGTACCTTGGAACGTCCCTGATCGAACTAGATCCTCGACGGGAACAAGCCTTGCAATCACACAAGACTTCCCCCGGTATCCCGCTGGACTCGATCAGGCTATCTGCTTTATGTCTCTCATCATCACCAACAACAACGCCAACGACGCGGTTTCAAGCCTATTCCGCGATCTACGTCATAGCGCTGTCTCACCTCTTGATCTCACTTGCAGGCACCAGCAATATCTACTCGTTGCATGTCTAGCTCAGCTTATGTACATTTTCTTTCAAAGCTAAGAACTTGAGGCTACAGCTTTCGCAGCTACAACCTCTTTACTTTCAAATACCAAATGAGACGAAAAGGTTGCTTGATCATTGACCGTAAAGAGCAGCAAAGTCCCCAACAATCGCCTGCCCCCCTCGTGCTGCAGAAGATTTCGGTTGTGTAGGAGTATTGACTCGTTACTTGGGCTCTCCGTTGATCGGGAACGCAGTATGGCAAGCCGTCACTGCACGAAGGCCCTTGGAAATATCCTGACAGGTGGCCCCATTCTCTCCAATCATATAGTCACCATTGGCGTATCCAATTGTGAAGTCGCCGGCACCCAAGGCCATATTGACTTGGGAAATCTTGATGTCATAAGGCATGCCAATGTCATTGATCCAATAGGGAATACCGCAATCGTTGTCCTCGTTGTCGGGAGAATATACTCCCTTGGCGATACAGTTATTGTCATATACAATGAACGACTTGGTGCCAGTATACCCGGCAAATGGGTTGTCTCCATCGAATGTTGGAACAGAGACTGCACTGATTTGCATGGCAAACGTCCAGCTATCTGGACCCATGGCCTGGCAAAGTTCGGGTCTTTTTTCTGGCTTGGTAACCTGCTCCTTCAATGTAGTATGGAGAACACAATCAGCATTGACAAGGCTGAAGATGGCGAGATGCCCTGCCAGCTTGAGAGGTTGGGAGATCATAATGACTCGGCGGATGATATAGCAGAATGAGGTGTGGTATTGTCCTGGTGGTGATGCTAATCCTGTCGAACTGCAGATTCGAGTGCCCTTTATATAGACATGATAGACTACAGCAAATATCAGTTAACCGCGATCGCTCCTAAGAAATCAATCAGAGAAGGCCAGCATCTGTCAGTTCACCCATAAGCTGAGTTTTGCCCCCCTCGACATTGCCCTGAAGATGTAACCCCCAGATTGCCCGGAAAGAAATCAAGGATCCCTATCCTTCCGAAGGGCGTTCTGATCGTAGCCTTGGAGCGGCGTCACAAGGAATTGTCGAGAAAAGTCATTTAGAATCTCGTAGAAAGGCCTTGGCTGAGCATCATGAGGCTGGCAGATGAACGATGAAACATCGGCTGAGGCTGCTCGGATTCGCCCTAGGTTACCTTTGACCACAGCAGGCACTTGGCGTTTCAGCATTGTGCTAAGCCGCGCCAGATGGGGTGCAAAGATCAAGAAATTGAGGTTGATGGAGACTTGAAGTAGGTTCCTTATCCGTAGAAAGAAGTAAATTTCTGGTTGCCGGTGCAACAACCATTTCATCATCGCTTATCCCCACATTCAAACAGCCAGAACACAGCTAATCTCAGCTTGCATCAACCCACCAGACGTTCGGCTTTGTATTTCCAGTCTAGGACACTTACATATCTCTATTGATCTATCTCAGAACAATATACTTCACAAAGATGCCTACTACTCGTCGCCGCGGAGGCAACACTGCCGCCCGCTCGCAGTCAACCATCTCCTTCGGTTCCAAGTCCAGAGTCACTAAACCATCAGCCACCACACGCTCACAGAAAACCAAAGATCTTGAGCCGATCTCTGCCGCTGCTACGTCAACTGAGGAGGTCTCGGAGCCAGAGCAAGTTCCCGTTGCTCCCTCGGAGCCGTCGAAGCCGCACGTTGCGGAACTCGCTGTGAGACACCAGGCCCAGAAGGAGATCCAACAACCCTTGTCGGAGGAGGACCAGAGGGCAATTAAAATTACTGAGCAAGAGTTGCAACGGTATTGGCAGCAGGAAGAAGCGAAACGGAGAGGTCCTCGAGGTTGGTTCACCCATCTACGATAGCGCTTGGCTGTGGTGGGAGGGGCTAAATATATATTTTCTCTGAGCAGTTCATCAGGAAGATCTGTCGGTACATGAGAAGATCTTAAGACATTTTGATCTGTCAAGTCAATATGGAGTAAGTTGATACATCTCCTGGTGCCATATATAGTCGAAGGCTCATCTAACTTCTGTATAGCCATGCATTGGTATCGCTCGGCTCAAGCGCTGGAGACGTGCGAACATGCTGAAACTGAACCCCCCGATTGAAGTCCTTGCCGTCCTATTGAAGGAGAAGGAGACTGTCAAACAGAGGGCTTATGTCGATGAGTTGATGTCTTGAGATACATCCTGGCGCTCTAATATCATGTACTATATGGCTGTGATGGAAGCAAACTGAGGGTGGCATGGCGTTGGTTTATCTTTATATAAGCAGGGCGTTCGGTTCTTTGTACATACCCTTTCTTGAGAAGATTTTTATCAATTACATTAGAGAATTCTTGCATCGTTCCACCCGGATCATTCGAGTGTATTTTGCTCATTGGAACTATCGTTTCAGAAAAGTTTCCATATCACGCAAGCTGACCCTGCTAGACAAAGTGCGGAAATACATGTGTCTACCCGACTCACAGGGTGTGTCAGGGGGTTAACTCCTCGGATTGAATATATGCAAACGGAACTTTGAATCTTCCTTGGTGGTTGGAGTTCACAAGTAAAGCAGACAAAGATCAGCTCGGCTTTTTTTCTTTGACTGAATCGTGCACGTATCCAGACTCCAGGCTCCAGCGAATGCTCGTATTCGATCAATCACTTCAAATGACGAGTTTTCAGCTTGCAACAATCCCATCTTCGTTACTCGAATATGTACGCTTGCGACACTTGCGACACTTGCGACACTTGTACAAGTGGCACATTATCGTTGCTGTTGGCTCTCCTAAGAAATGATTTGCATCACAGCGTCCTGATGCATTGTTGAGCACAAGCGCCAGTCCAGCAAGGATTAGCGATGGAATCACAATCGTTTCCTTACAGGCTCAATAGCAATTTGTTGATCTCAATCTATTGTGATGATGCACCAATAAGAACTACCTGTGTCTGCCTCACCACCGTCATTTTTTATCCTATTCTCAAAGTAGCACTAACCGCTTAACTTTGGACACCATCCTTGGAAGATCGAATTGATCAGGGGTATTTCTGGGGAAGTCAATTCTTCTCCTTTCCAGCCCCCCTGCAAACGACCCCGATCCTTGTATACATTAGTCTTGTTGGCCATTGAACCAGGCGCAGGAGTGAGACGCTGCCTACACACTATGCGCTGATATGCTTGTACAGAGTACAAATTGTGACTCTATTCTGTCAGTCAATTCTACTATGCTATACAGGGTCTCCCCCGCCTACAAGCTGTCCGTCTCCTGCATCAACCTTGCGTTGTTGACTGGCACTTAACTCCCCTATTCGTGAAACGGATAGCCTTGGACGACCAGGCTGACAACACAATGTCACCCTGCCCTGGAGGAATGAGTACAGTGCTTCATGTCCCCAAAAAAGCGACTACGTTGCAGGCTACGCCTTTCTGAAGATAAAATACTCTCCATCGAAACCAGTGACTGACTCTCTTTTCCTTGCTCTACTGATTCGAAGCATACGCTTTGGATGCTTGGCCTCGACAGTAGTAAAATTCTATCCCTTCAGTGGCCAATTTGAAACTCTTGCTGCCATCTGGATGAATGAGGACGCGAATGCTGCGGCTGTGATCAAACACAAACGACGACGAGGGGGCAGCGCCCTCGAACGACTGCTGGTTACACGAGCTTGCCGAAGAGACGACGACACAGTGACGATGAATACCCTGTAATGAGACGAGATTCGAATTGAGCATGCGTCAAGCTTAGGTCTGGCTTGGCTTGGTACATTACCTTCATGGAGACCTTGGGAGCTTCAGAACCGGAATTTTGCCTGTGTTGCAGCTATCCGGGGTCTGGTGCTACTGGTTCTGGCTCGGGAAATGGTATATAAAATGGGCGCGTTCTCCTGATATGGGAATGCCGTGGTCACTTATGTGAATATTTCGACAGTCCTCGCTCTGTACTACTTCTCTCTTTATACTGTCACTTCTGGCTTTCATCCTCTCACTCACTGATACTGAGGAACCCCTTCATTGAGCATACATAATGTATTTCTCTCGTACATTTATCGGCCTCCTGGCTGCCAGCCTAGTCAGTGCCCAGCTTCCAGATGTCCCAGCCTGCTCGGTAACTCAACAAGATGTTCCCCTACAGATACAACAAACTGATATTTCCATAGGTCAATTGCTTCGTCTCGGCTCTCAACAGTGACGGGTGCTCCTCCCTGACCGACTTTGCCTGCCATTGCCAGAAGCCCGAGCTCATCTCAAAGATCCAGCCCTGCGTACAGCAGGAGTGCAACATCGCCGACAAGAACAGTAAGCCCCCTATCTATTCCACCCCCTCCTAACACTCCGTACAAAACAAAGGCCCCCTAATCGCCACAACCATCCAGTCGTCTCGAACGTCGTCGTCTTCGAATGCTCCGTAGCCGGCCACCCCATCCACCTCACCCCCATCGAGGAGAAAACCACCCACTCAACCACCCACTCAACCACCACCGAGACCGCAACCCACACAGCCACGACAACGGCCACCGAGTCCGCCCTTACTGCCTCCTTCAACAGCGCCGCGGCTTCTTCCTCGGCAGCCTCCTCGGCAGCCTCCTCGGCAGCCTCCTCGTCTTCTGCCTCTAAGTCCGCCGCCAGCGCATCCCGCGCCTCAACGACTACATCGACCTCGCTTACCGTCGCAACCACCGCGACCACCGCGACCACCGCGACGGAGAGCCCCAGTGCTACTTCCACCACGACGCTGTCTAATGACGCTGGCGCCAGCAAGGGTAACATGGTGGGTGTGGCGGTCATGGCTGCGGCTGCTCTCTACATGCTGTGAAAGGAACCCGGGATGAAAATGTGGGGATATCGACATGAGCAGGGCCAAATGCGGACTAGGTAGTAATATCTTTTTTTTTTTTGTAGAGCCATATTCCATATTTGACTTGACTTTTTGTGTAGCTTCCAAGTTGTTACCGTCACAACTAGCTCAGTAGTTTCTTCGGAGCATTGACCGTTTTGTCTGGGTTTCTACTAAGTACCTAGGTTGTGTTAGTAGCGGAACCTTGTAGACAGGGATACATATTTATATATATATATCTTCGTGATACGCACAAATGTTAGAACAATTGTTTAGTCCAGGGAACATCTAATGAATTGTCGGAGTGTATCATATGCTTATGTGCAAGGAGTGTAAGAACAAGCGACTCGGCTGCCGAAAGCCGCAAGTGTAGCCATCATAATATATTACGAGTGTTGGTCTTATGGCTAGGAATGTAGAAAAGATAGTAGGACCAACTCTGCCTTACGATGAGGTGCATGTTTCCAAATTACTGGCAAATGAGAAGGAGGAGTTTTAAACTTCTATTACTGCAGTACACACATTAAGTATGCTGAGAGTGAGACTGTCGGACTGTGCCATAGTCAATATTCTGTACAAATCCAAACCCAGGATAACGCCCCTCCGCCATAGACCTCAAATGCAAAGCTGACCCTGAAAAATGACACAAGAGGAAGTCTATGGTACCCATAACCTGACAAACCCTCCAACTTCCTGACGACACGTCACGCAGCTACCGAAGTTGTTCATGGCAAGGCTCACCCTGCACTCCTCACACACGCAGAGACAGCGACAAGGCCACGTTATGATGGATCGTGGATTGGTCTGACAGATGACACATTGTGGTCCGTCTGGCCCAAGTCCTGACGCCCCGGACTCCCATGTCTGTCCGTCAGCAGCCGGACGATTAGCCTCGGATCTTTTGGAGAGGATGAGTTTCTCTAGCATCTCGGATTCTTCCTCTGGTGTTGGTCTCCGTTTCTCGTTACCGCCCTGCGGTCTGCCAAGGTGTGATAGCTTTGATGACAAGAGAACCTGGGCTCTGTCGTGCTCGATTTGTCGCTGGAACTCACGGCGTGTCATGATGCGACCCTCTCGCCCTGCAGCAAGATGGGCAGCCAGGATACGTGCCTCATGCCTGCTTTCCTGATCGCGAGGGTCAAGAAGACGCGCAAAAGACCCCAGATCCATCAGTGGCTCATCGACCGGACTGCCTTCTCGCGATAAGCCCACGGGATAGGGGTTGCGTGGCGTAGGTGTTCGACGGCCATCAGATTCCTCTTCCCACTCTGATTCAGTGGTGGTCGACATCGAGATTACGCTAGTAGTATCGTTGTTGTCTGTGGGAATATAATCGGGACTTTGATCCTGATTGCCCCACGAGCCGCCCGCTTTCCACCAGGCATAAAGCTTGCCGTCGAGGTGCGACTCCTCTGACTGCCCCCATTGAGGGGTGGCGGAATTCTCTCTCTTTCGCATTTCCGTCTCTACGTCAAACTCGTTGTCTCCAGGAAGCTCCACCTCCCCATCAGCCGTCAGAATCCAAAACGGCAACGGGTCTGTTTCGGTGTTTTGATTCTTGTCCCGGGAAGCTCTCCCACGTGATCCGACAAGCTTCTTGAGCCATTGGGGCCGCGCACTGATGCCGAAACGATACAGCACCCTGTCAAAGCCGAAGGCGGTCCACTTGAGCAAAAGGAAGAAGATACCGCGGAAGAACGAAAACCCATGATAGCATCTGGCCGCGCCCCGGAATGCACCGACACCACCCGGATCGACCTGAGACCGAACGGATCGGGATCCCCCTTTCGGTTTCTCGATCTTCTTCTCCTTGCCATATCCAGTCTCCCATTCAGCGGGAGGTTCTGAGACATCGAAAGTAACTGGTTCTACGCCTGTAAAAGGTACATCCCGATCATGTGCCCCCAAATTTTGCGGGAAGGAGCTCGTATGTCGCGAGCGCTCAATCTCAGCTACCCTTTCTTCTTCTAACCATGTCATCCGTCTCGCGACGACTGTCTTGCCTTCGTTTAAGAATACCGCCTCGCTGGCAGCTGTGAGGGAAGTGTATCCGATACGCAACAAAGTGGTATAGAAATCTTCATGCCAGTTGAACCGGATGTTGCGAATCTGGTTGGCACCTTGCATGTTTTCATGGGCCAGGGAAAACCGTTGTCGGAGCGAGAGCGGTTGTCCCATGTCCGGTGGTAACGAAAATGCTGTGATTGCGAGAGCCAAGGCGTAGATAATCCCACATGTCACAATACCGAGAAGAATGAGTAAATGAGGTACAAAGCCTACAATGCAGACTGTCGGGAATTTCAAGACACCAGCATCACTTCCAACTGGAGAGCCGGTTAACAGACCCCACACCATGGCAGACATGAAACAAAGTCCCCAGAAGGCGGTATTGAATAGGCGATAACGACTCTGTTTCCCTAACACATCCAAAATATTGGAAGTTAAGCTGTTGCAACAGGATATGAGCGCAATAAGCAGCAGCTCAGGCGTCACGTTCATCCTTTCCAATACTTGGGCTCTGCTCAGCAACTGCAGTGCAGGATGGGCCGGCTCGCCGGACGAAGAACTGTCCTTGCTAATGCCTTGCTTAGGAAGACCGAAAAGCCCAAGCCCAATGGATTGACTGATCATCGATTCAGCCTCTGCAAAGGCAAGAGAATGTTCAAAGATAGACATCCCGGCCTCAGTCACCACTGCCCTCCCTTGCAAGGCGCATGAGAGCGTTTCGACGAAGTGACTGAGGCAAAGTCTCAAGAAGACTGGCCAAATAAAGACGTATGAGCCGTACGGGATACTGGTACCATTGGCGGAGCGATTCATCCTGACCGCACTACATGATTGTTCATCTGATTCCCACGGCAACAGTGTGGAACTAAGGGAATAAAGGAATCCACCACCAGCAGCGTGGTCAAATGACAATCGTTTCCCTGGAGTGCCATAACGGTAAAGACCGTAATCGGGAGACGTCTGGCATCGAATACCACGAAGCAAAGCGAGAATCTGGGCCATGAACAGAACGATAGGAATTATTCGTAAAGCCATGCGCCTGTGAAAGTCCAAGGTAAGAGGTCGTCGGGTTGAGGCATAGATCGTAATACGGTTCAGAATCAAGGCCTAGTAAAAAGTGTCAGAGGAATCTTGAGCGTCTTTTTTTTCGATAGTGCTTCCTACCACCGCGAAGCAAGCCAGCGACCACCGGCTGGTCAAGTATGAGAAGAAGCCACTGAATCTTCGCATAGCCTGGAAGAAGTCCGCCAGATAAACACCAGTTTCCGCCTGGGCCGCAGCATCAGCCATCCCATCTCCTGCAGCTCCAGCCGCGGCATGAGCCGCAGCCATTGCGGCATCGCCTTCCACTCCTGTCCCAGGCGCATGACCAGCCCACCGTGTCGCCAGGTTAGGCACTCCCACCAGCCTTGAAAGTTGTCTTGGTATTGCCGAAAATGAAAACGTCTCTAGTTGGCGCAAACCACGGAAAGGCATGGCGAGCAGCTCGCGAGGTGAGGAAGAGAGAAGAGAGTATCCGGTGGCAGCCTTGACTGTCGTACTGTTGATCGACGGTATCGCGGAAAGTGAGGCAGTGGCAGCTGAGGTTGCCGAAAATGCGGCAGTCTCCTGAGCGACAGACATCGTCCAAGTTTCCAAAGAGGTATTGCGGTGACCTTATTTGATGGCGTTCAAAAGTAAGTGAAGCTTTCCCACCAGTGGGCACTGGTGAAGGGTGAGATCATCCGTTCGCAAGACAGATGGGGAAAGGGGTATCAGCGCCGTCTATAAAACATGGCAAATGGAACCCACTCTCAAATATCAGTCAAAGAAGGTGAGACAAGGATAGAGCGCATCATCCTGGTTGAGCAACTGATGGAGTGTAAGTGGTTAGTTATCTAGATACCAGCAGGAGGTGAGGATGAGGATGACCCCAATTGTTGTTCCCTTATCAATAAATGCCACCCTGATTAGGTAATACTGATGGGCTCACACGTGCCTTGGCGGACTACCCTACCGCAGTGAACTATAGGAGGAGGAATATCAGATCCCCTGACCGGCTGCGACGTGAAGAAGTCGTACACCATCTTGTTCACTGGATCCTGGCATTTGGAGAGCTGGACGACCTCGGGACGATCCTGCAAGTAGAGCCAACTGGTAGCTTCGGGATGGGTTAGACGGAGCCCCAAGTTTTAAGGATCTCGAAAAGGAGGGAAATTATACAGATGGTTGATCTATTCCCCGAAGACGGGCTGCAGGATTGATTTGGTAAACGGAGTGGGCTCGAAGACGCCAATTGATGGCTCTTTGAGCATATGATTTGACGCCAGATGCCGCACCAGACGTTCTGTACTCCTTCAGTAAGCGTCTACATCCTAGGTGCACCATATATCTGCTTTCCCTCGGGCAGGGGGGAGGATGTGTTGAAGTCGGCAGGGATGAGGCAGGGCCGAACGTGATATAAAAACCTAAGTCATCGTTATGGTCATGTCATGTCATTCATTATCGTTATCATCGAGGCGTCGATAATGACATACGATCGATATGATTGCGTGGTTCAATGGGAAAATTCGGGGGCATTGTACATGTTGATTGGGATTGATCCATATCCAGGGTGATATACAACATACAGACAGGCTAGTATTCTAGACACAAAAACAAACCTCTCGCGTGTATCTGATGAACCTAGGGCAGCTGTTTCTTGAACACGTCGGCGATTTTCTTGGCCAGCATATCTGTTCTTGTAATTAACAGCCATTTATCAGAGAAGGAAGTATACATACACACGACGGATTGAGGCGCCTCGCCTATAAGAGTCAAATTTTTCAGTATTCACATTCCAGAGCAAAAGGGCAGCGAGGAAGCCAAGCCAAACAAAATGTCCCACATACCAGGCGTCCAAAACAGAGGCCCAGACCCATCAACCACACGCACTGCCCTCACGTCAGCACAGCAAAGATAACCGGAAAAAAGCATACGAATCAGAAAGGGAACGAAGGCTGCTAGACGTACAGTTCCGCACTCCAATCACCCTGCACTGGCTGTCCACCACCGCCATATGATCATTCGTTTTGCCCATCTTGCACATCGACGTCGCATGCGACATTGGAGTCGCCGTCTATCTCAGAAACGCGATGATTCCCTCGTCGGTCTTGACGCTGGGGCCCGGCCAGTACTCTTCCCAATGGTGAGGGCTTGGACGGCCGGCTTTTCCACACCTGCCGCATGCGCTTGAGAATCGCAACCATGACCTAGAGGTCGGCGTCCGTGGTCATCCAATTGGGGTTGATGAGGGGCGGATCGCCGCATGCTCGACGAGGAAACTGAGACATTCCCTCTCGATGTGGGGGTCATGAGTGTGCCTATGAGACTGGCGTGGTTATAACCATCATTCGGGGACTGAGTGGACCCGAGGTCACCGACGAAGAGGGAGAGAGAGAGATACTGGATCTCGGGCCAGTCGGAAGAATATTTCTCTAGGGCTGGGACAAAAACAAGGAAATTTAGTCTGAGGAGAAGAAGATGAAGAAGGGCAAGGAGGGGTATTTACCCCGTGCTGTCGTCTTGGAGACCCCTGATCGTAGATCTGCAGGGATCTTCTCAAAGCCACCAAACTCGCCTCCAGGGTTGGTGAGAGGTCCCGTGGCATTGGGGTCATACTGGACAACATCCGCCTCGGTGATGCCCAGACTATATCCCGTAGGAACATTGACACGGTAGACGATACCCGAGAAGACCTGGTCCTGCCTATCTTGGCCGACGCCTGGACGGTCCGCCTCGACAGGAATCCCATGCTTCCGGAGCAGATGCTTTAGACTCTTACCCGACGCAATGAGTGCCCCCAGCACATCCCCGGGACAGCAGCCCCACAGCGACGCCGGCACAGAGGCAGGAAAGGGCAGGCATTCTGTCGGCCGCAGGACGCCGGGACGGTGCTTCCGCCGTCGAGGCCGCCGAAGCCTTTCAGCTCTGGTCGCTAGAATAAGGTGGGATTGAGGTACACGAGGGTTTGCCTACACAGGTGGTTAGCTGATGGACTCAACAAGCCATGGCTAAGTGGCGTGGTCAACCTACGTGTCTATGACTCGGACGTCAACGGTCGACGAGGGGGGAGGGATATTCAGCGCGGTGGCAGCTTTCGGCTGTAGAAAATCAGGTGTTTCTGCCATGGCTAGAAGAGGAAGGACTTTCAGGGTGCTGCTTGTATATATATTAATCAATCAGCGAACAGAACTTTTTAGAACAGGCGAGATCTCATCCAAGCTTTGATGAAATCCCGCGTACAGAGTCTCAAGTCATACATCGAAAAATGCATGCTCGTTCAGAAAGATCATTAATTCATTTCATACTGTTCTGGTCATAATCTGCGGGGAGGATATCATCTATGAAACATTGACGCAATCCCTGGGAGTCTATCACAGTCTATACATCTCGCTACGACTGTACACTCCATCAAATATACAGGTATTGTCCAAGGGCACATACTGCCGTGTCATCACCTTAAGCGCCTCCTGTGCCACAAGTCCTCCTGTAAGAGCAGAGATGTTGTGTAACTCTCCACCCTCCGTGCGTCTTAATTCTTGTGTAGCCTCCAGGATTCTCTCTCGTGCACCTTCACCAACAGCACCAGGGTTGTTTGACGAAAGATCACCGATGACTTGGTGGATTTGGGTATCCCACAGGATATCGGCATCCAGAGACGTCTCGGCAACGTTCCCTTCTTGAATCTGCGTCACAACCCGGTCCAGAACCTGGCAAGCAATAAAAATTGGAATGAGCGATTCAGAAGAGCTCAGACTGTTGGTTATTGTTTTCAGAGTGTGGGCCTCCTCTACGTGAGGAATATCACGTCCATGAATAACCTTGATGTGGGCAGCGTTTTTGCAGAAGATTTCGATCTCTTTTTCTGGGATGGCGGCCAGCCGCGGTCCCAGCTGGGCTTCCAGCCTTCTCACTGTTGCTATCACTTCCTCCACATCCTGTCTTGCCTTGGACTTGTAGATATTTTGAAGCGAAACGTAGTCGGCCGATTGCGCTTTCATATCCGGTAACGAACCCGGCAGAGGGAGCACTTGGTGGGTTTGATAAAACTCATGGACAGCCGACGCAATGACCCAGAAATCAGCCGAGTCCTGCTGGAGATTCTTGCACTGGCCTGACTCAAAGATTTCACGGATGGGACCGCGCAAGCTGAAGGGATTTAGAGATTTCAGCACGGCGGCTACTGCTTCGTCATAATTCTCTTCGCCGCCCTCCGGGGTATTTGTTCTCGCACTAGCTCGAACGAGCTCCCGGAACTCGGATTTCTCCTTGTAGTTGGAAGGCGCATTGCCATCATGGGCTCGTTTCCACTTCTCTAAGTAGTGAAGTAGCAAGAGAACATATGGGACGTGGCCGTGCTGATGATCCTCCATACTTTCCAAGTTGCCAATGCTGCCGGCGGCAGCTGCTAGTTCCGGCCATGGATTGAGTAAACGAAGGTCCTGAGTCGATTCTGGATCTGGATGAGTCTCTACTATGGGAAACTCTGCAGGGAGCTGAAGGGAAAAGACGGAGTAGAATCCAACAGAGTGTGTATATAGCACTGGGATATTCAATGCCTTGGCAGTCTTGCAAACAGTCTCAAGCGATGATCGCTTCATCGGCCCGGTTACCAAGACTAGCTTGTGCTGCGTAAGGAAATCAGGCTCCTGCTGCAGAACCTCTGCGATTGTCTGATAGGGTTGTTAGTATATAATCTTTGCCGTTGAGTCAAATAGAATGCTCTGGGAGTGATCATGGATACCTTTGAACGAAAGCTTCCTTCCACGTCGGGATTCAGTTCCCTCAACAACCGACACGTTTCTTCGGCCCTGAATTTCCCCAGACTCTCTTCCTCGAGAAAGAAGTTCACCCCAAGATCAGGCTTAGTGACAACTGCTGGGTCCACAATCGTAAAACCACCAATACCCGGAAGCACAAGGTTCTTGAGTGCCTCGACGCCCACCACCCCCGAAGCGCCAGTGCTCTGGTTTCCCCAGGGACCATCGGAGTTGATCAAAAGGACCCGGGACTCTTCCAGAGCTTGCTGTCCGCTAGCCGCCCACAAGCGCAGCTGGCGATCATACTTTCTTTCTTTGGAGGATGGCCCTACCAGGGCACTGGGGAAAGCATCAGTCATACTGAGGGGTTGGTGGGGCGTGCTGAATTGGCGGGAAAAATGTTGCAGATGATGGTAAAGTCAACTTTTGTGCCAAGGAATACCAGTATCGCGTATAGCATAGCATCAGACACTCCGATCAGCTCAACACCGGCGTATCCAGTGCTTGCAGATGCCTTGTTGATGATGGCCATAGAGACATGCTTGAGAGCACATCACATGACCCGGGAGGCGCGTCGGCCCGTGCTTAGAGCAGCGGCCTGAGGCATTCAGGCATCCACGACAATGACTATGACGCCATGAACCCCGCCATCCACAACAGTCACTTTTCACATGATTTTGCGGCTTGTGTACTTGACAGAGACAGAAGTTATATACAGTAGAGAAACCATATACAAAACTCAACGAAGGCAGATCAATTGCTCTGCCCAATGTCAATCCTGGCACCTGGGATGTGTCCTCCTTTGCTGTACGGTCATTCGCGGATAGGCTGAAAAGTTCTGTGGTTCTCATCGCGGATTCCCCCACACCGGGGCGGTTTCCTTTGCTGATTAGCTACGGACTTGGAGTCTTGGACTGTCTGGCCCTGGGATAATCATCAACTAATCTTTAGATCGAGCGGCGGCAAACACTAGAAAACCTTCCTCGCGGGATGCATCGATTGTCCCGTCTCTCCTTTTTCTATAGAACCCGGTCCTTGCTCTTTTCGTCGTCTTCTGCTACTAAGTCTTCTTCTCTCCCCTGTCGCCTCTACCCTTCCTTTTCCTCTTTCCACCCTCATCCGGCTCATCCTCATTCCACAATGGCTAGTCTGATCGAAGCCGCAAAGCGTGCCGCCGGCCAAGCTGCTGTTGCCAACCACTACCCCACGAATCCCAAATTCGTCGGTATCGGCAGCGGTTCCACAATTGTCTATGTCGTCGAAGCGATCAAGGAATCGGGCATCGATACCTCTCAGACAAAATACGTTCCCACCGGTTTCCAGTCCAAGCAGCTCATCCTTTCCGCCGGGCTGACAGCCGTTGAGTTCGATTCGCTACCCGAAGGGACCGTCCTCGATGTCGCCTTTGACGGCGCTGACGAGGTTGATGATGAACTCAATCTAATCAAGGGCGGCGGTGCCTGTCTTTTCCAGGAGAAGATCGTCGCTCTCCAGGCTAAGGAGTTCATCTGCGTTGCTGGTTCGTCATGACTCATATTGCTCGGCGCATGTACGAATCAAAGTGACACTCGCATTAACTCTTAAACAAACAATTTACAGACTCGCGCAAACTCCAATCTCGCCTCCTCACGAACTGGAAGTACATTCCCATCGAGGTCGCCCCGATCGCTGCCCCCCGCGTCCTGACCAAGCTCAGAGAGCTGGGCAGCATCCAGCCTGCCATCCGCCTCAGCGGCACCTCCAAGGGTCCTTTGAAGACGGACCAGGACTTCTATCTCATCGATGCTCCGTTCCCACCGCTTCTCACCAAGGCGGACGTTGCTGCGGGCAAGGACGGCAGCGGAAAGGCTGGCGTCTGGGAAGCCAATGCGCTGGCTCAGGCGATCAAGATGATTGCGGGTGTGTTGGAGGTCGGTATCTTCTCCGGCGTGACAGGGCCTCAGGCTCAGGCTTTGGGAGGCATTGGTGGCCAGAAGCCCATTGCTGCTTACTTTGGCATGCCCGATGGCTCGGTATCGGTCAGGAAGGCCCTTGCTTAATTTGCCTTTCTCACTTTCACATTGGATATAGCGGACTATATACGCGATTTACATACATGATACCATGAAGCTGTCAGCATGCCTTTTTTTTTGGGCACCAAACAATAGATTCAAGTCCTTAAAAGGGATGCAGCCATCAAAGTCGCAATTGAGTTTGCAGGACATGTAGTAGTGTATTCTGAATAGGTATCTCGAGCTACAGAAGTCTACTTCGCGCCCTTCCCTTTCGCCTCAGTCTCTCCAAGTTCACGCACATAAATCTTAACCGTTCCTTCAGCCACGTCCTCTTTACCATCTTCAAAGCCAGGGCTCACGGCGATCGCCAGGTATTTGCCGTCACCGCTGAAATCCACCGCTGCGACGCTGGACGGGTATTTCTGATACTGTCGGATTCTCCTCTTAGCAATGCCGTCCCACAGAGCAACCACGCCGTCTCCACCGCCAGACGCAAAGGTTCCATGAATGGGGTGGAACGCTAGTGTGTTCACAGGGTATACGACATCAACCTCATCGGCCGTTTGCCGGTGGCACTTGAAAGCGTATTTCCGAGCTTGCGACTCGGGGGATGGATCGAACCACTCCACCGCGACCCGCCCCTCGATGCTCGAAGATGCGTAGCCGGCGTCATCGGGCATACATGCCACGCAGCGTGTCATAAACTTGAGACTGCTCTCCCGCCGTTGCCAGGGTTCAACCTCGACGACGTTTGGAGGAGCCGCGTCCGATTGGTCTGTCAGGATTGCTAGGGCCTTCAGGTCGTAGATGTGGAGAGAGCGCGACGCCATGGCGACGACGAGTTTCGTGGCGGTAAGAGACATGGAGAAAGGCTTCGAGGGGAGGGGGATAATAGCGGGTGCCAAGTCGGCTTCGGTGTTTGTGCGGTGCACGTGTAGTGTCGAATCCCACGACGCGGATATGACCAGATTGTGCTCCTTGCTGTAGACGACGCACCGCACACCAGCCTCGTGGCTGCTAAGGACTGTCTGTGTAGATGAGGCGACATCAATCCTGTTTGCCCATTAGCCAAAAAAAAATCCGCACAAGTTCAGAAGCTCAAATTCAAGCGTACTTTCGGACGTCCCAGTCCAAACCAGCTGTGTAGATCACATCCTCAGTTGCACCAAAACACACATCGAGCACCGGAGCACGGTGTTCAAACTTCTGTAACAGCTTCCCTTCCCCTACATTCCCATTCTCGTCTCGAAGATCATAAAGATACACATTCTTGTCCCATGACGACGCAACAATTCGCGTGGAGTTTGGATCTGGCGAGAACTTCAAAGCGGAGATAGCATCGGTCGGCGGATTCGCAACGGTGAATTGATCTGAGCCCTGGTCAGTATAGGTAATGCCTGCGTTAACGCTGCTGGAAACTTACGTGACGCCATTTTCCCTCAAAATTGTCCAGAAAGTAGCCTTCTTTATCCCCTTCTATGAACTTGTTGTTTGGTCGCCCGGCGTCATCGAAGCTTCGCGCATCAGATCATTTTCTGCCATCGCCTACCGCCATGATATATTGTCGCAATTTCCCTCACTATCTCCAACAGCTCGCAGGTACTTCTTCAACAGGTGCTTGTCGGAAGGCATATCTATCACACCGACAGCTCAGAATGCCCTTTGCTCAATTAGTTATAGGTCCCCCGGGAGCAGGGAAGTCGACATACTGCAATGGAATGCACCAGTTCCTGGGCGCCATTGGCCGGAAATGCTCTATTGTGAACCTCGACCCCGCAAATGACAACACGTCGTATCCGTGTGCGCTGGACGTCCGCGACTTGGTCACTCTGGAAGAGATCATGAGCGAGGACAATCTGGGTCCGAACGGAGGGGTGCTTTACGCTCTGGAAGAGCTGGAGCAGAACTTCGAGTGGCTGGAGGAAGGGCTGAAGGAGCTCGGAGGTAGGCTTGCGACCTATCGCGGGTGATATCTTGCATCGTCCTGGTGAAATAGAATACTGATAGTTTACGGTGTGAATTGATAGAGGACTATGTGCTATTTGACTGTCCGGGGCAGGTTGAGATCTTCACGCACCATTCCTCGTTGCGGAATATCTTCTTCAAATTACAAAAGCTGGGATATAGAGTCAGCGCTCCCGCCGCAGATCATCAATACAAGAATTCTGCTAACTCGTGCTTCGATAGCTAATCGTAATCCATCTCATTGACTCTTACAATCTCACATTACCCTCAATGTACATCTCTGCCCTCCTGCTCTCCCTGCGCGCCATGCTCCAGATGGACCTCCCCCACATCAACGTGCTCACGAAAATCGACAACCTCTCCAACTACGCCCCGCTACCGTTCAACCTCGACTTCTACACAGAGGTACAAGACCTGTCATACCTCACCCCACACCTAGAAGCCGAGTCCTCGCGGCTCTCCCACGAGAAGTTCGGCGCCCTCAACAACGCCATCGTCGACCTGGTGGAGGAATTCGGCCTCGTGTCGTTCGAAACGCTCGCAGTGGAAGATAAGAAAAGCATGATGCATCTCCTGCGTGTGATCGATCGGGCTAGTGGGTATGCGTTTGGGCCTGCCGAGGGCGCAAATGATACGATTTGGCAGGTCGCTGTGCGGGATGGCATGGGCACGATGGATATCCGGGATGTGCAGGAACGGTGGCTTGACGCGAAGGACGAGTATGATGAGCAGGAACGGATGGAGCTGGAATCCGAGGCCAAGGCCCGCGAGCAAGCAACAGGAATCGAGCCGGGACTTGGGCCTGAGCCCATGGAGGAGGACGAGCTTGATGCTGATCTCGCAAAGTTCCAGAGCTCGATGCCCGATAGTGGCGTCAAAGTTATACGAAAGTCATGATATGATCTTATCACAACCCTCTTTTGGTTCTATATGTACAATGTATTATAGGGTATCTCTAATAACGAACGAACAAAAAAAAATGTGAAGAAAAAGCAAAACACCTGACAATGCAGTACCCCCGAATAACCCACCCTCAATCCTCCTCCTCACTATCCATCACATCCTCATCCATCACATCCATCACATCCTCCACACCCATCCCCGCAGCGACAGCAACGACAGTACTCCCCTGCCCATCCAACCCACCAACCAACCCCTCCAAAACACCCACCTCATCCGCCCCCTTCAACCGCACAATATCCCTCCTCGCCCGCCGAATCGCCTCCTCCTCCACCTTCCTCATCGTCCCCGAAACCTTGACCACACGAAAAACACACGACCGCATGTTGATATTGCCCGAGCCCGGCGTCACGCGCCTCCCCGCCGCACCCGCACCCACATCCGGCACCTGAGACATAAACGTAAGCGCCGTCCAGACGAGTCGGAACGACGCGCGCGGACACCGGATGATAGCCGTCGACGTCGCGGGGGAGAGATACTTGACTAATGTATTTGCATGCATCAGAACAAACATAATCCAAAGAGGAGGGGAGTAGTGAAGAAAAATGGAGGGGCAGGAGGACTTACCACTCACACCACCTGCGCTGACGCCGCCGAGCCGTCCCATGCCCCAGTCGCCAAAGGTCTCTGCGACCTGCTCCCTGACCATTTTTGCGAGGAGGGCGGGTGTGAGCGCGTCGGAGGTTGGGGCGTGGATGCGTAGTTTTGCTATGGTACGGGATTGGGGCGTGGGTTTTGTCGTTGGTGCTGAGGGCCAGGAGGGTTCGGGGTAGAGGATGTCGAGGAGGAGATAGCGGTGTTTGACGCGGACCATTGTTGCTTTGGCTGGTGGGGTGTGTTGCTTTTTGTTTCTGAGGGTAGAGTGTCAGATGGGAAGATTGTCGCTCTGAAGATTGAAATCGTCTCTGTCCTTGGGGAATTGAGAGGTGAAGAAAGAATGACGATGTATGGAATTCTTTTGTCGCGATATCGATAAACTTTTTGATAGCAGAAGCTCGGACCACCCGGTGGGGAAGATTGTCTATATTCTAGCACTTATACTCCCGTAATCTGGCAAATATCCAAAGATCGGGAGCTCTTAATAGCTTTGATTTACTGTGAAAGATGGATCGAAATGTTCTTGAATTCTGTAATTCTTCCGTTGAATTCATCAGCCTATCGGCTAGTCATGCCACATATGCGCAATACAGATTGTAAGTTAAAAGAAATAGTGATAACGAAGAGGACCAGAACCAAATGCAATACAGGCCATCATAACTCCCAAACGTCGATGTGACGGATTTTATGACTCAAAACGCAACCTCTGCAGAATCGTCCAGCATGCTCTCACTGGCTTCCTCCGCACCAGAGAAATAAGAAAACGGTGTATTAAGAAGTAAAAGGGAAATTAAAGGTTGACCTCGACACGACCCTCAGCACCGCCCTTCTGCAGGGTGGGGAGCAGGTAGGTGATGTCATCCCAAGGATGTCTGTACAGACCAGTGCGCAGTCTCTTCTGGTCGAGGTAGTGAGCAATGAGACCGATGCTGCGACCGAGAACGAAGAGACCGTTGAGAACGCCCATCTTCATGTAGTCTTCCACTTCCTCGGCAGAGAAAGCACCGCAGTTGCGCATCAGATCAACGAAGCAGACAGCAACGCAACCGTCGACGTTCAGGATGAGGTTGTCCTTCTTCGAAGTGGTGACAGTCTCGACGGCAATGGCGTAGTCGAGCAGCTTGGTGCTGGGGAAGTGCTTCTTGGCGAACTCCTTAACCAGCTCGACACGCAGATCGGGGTTGTTACGAGACTTGACTCTGTGGCCGATACCGGGGACTATGCAGAAGTTAGTGAGTGCTTCATATAAGAGAATAGATCATGTCCACGAAAGGTGACTTACTCAGCTTGTTCTCCTTTCTCATGGTATCGACAAAGTCACGGGGGCTCATTCCCTTGTCGAACGCCTTGGCGAATTCCTCGGCGGCACCGTCCAGAGCACCACCGAAACGAGAACCGATGGTTAGGAGACCAGAGACCAGAGCGCTGATCAGATCCTTACCAGCACGGGTGGTGATGATGGTGTTCATAGCACCAGACACGGCAGGACCGTGATCAGCAGTGAGCATAAGAACCATCTCCAGGAACTTGCTAGCATAGCGGGGGAGACGGCGGCGGAACCACAGAAGGGACATGACACCACCAATACCAATGTCCTCCCGGAAGACATCGGAAATGGGCATACCGGCGTACAGGAGCTCCTGGCCACGGTCGTCGGTGATGGTCGAAATGAAAGCAGCGGGCTTACGGATAAGACCCAGCTCCTGAGCCCAAGAGTAGTCGATGGGGATCTTGGGAACAACAGGCTCGGGCTGAGGCTTGATGATTCCCTTCTTGACCTGGTCGTCGTACACCTGCTTGAGCAGCTGGGGAAGCTCCTCAAAGGTATCGGGAACATAGATGCCAGCCTCTCTCATGGCCTTGTTCTTGTTCACAGCGGTCTCCAGTTGCGAGTTGGCCGAGGCACCAGCGTGACCGAACTGGACCTCAGTCTTGAACATGCTAGCGCAGGTACCGATGGCCCAGGCAACAATGGGCTTGGTGATGGTGCCGTTCTTCACGGCCTCGATGACACGGTACTCCTCAACACCACCGACTTCACCGAGCAAGAGCAGGATCTTGCACTCGGGATCAGCCTGGTAACGCAGCAAGTGATCGATGAAAGTGGTACCGGGGTAACGATCACCACCGATAGCGATACCCTCGTGGACACCGTCGGTGTTCTGGGCAATGATGTTGTTCAATTCGTTGGACATACCACCGGACTTGGAAACATAGCCGACAGATCCCTTGCGGTAGAGCTTCGAGGCAACAATGTTGTCCATCATACCACCGGTGTTACCGATCTTGAAAGCACCGGGCTTGATACCACCGACGGTGGCAGGGCCGATGATGGTGATACCCTTCTCCCGGGCAGTAACCATGATCTCACGAGCGCGCTGCGGACATCATTAGCCCTTGGAATTATTGACAAATTGTTGTAGCAAGACCTACTCTCTCGGGCACACCCTCAGCAATGATGGCAATCGACTTGATCTGAGGGCATTGCATCAACTCCATGGTGGAGCTGTAGACGGAGCGGGAAGAGGCGAAGTTCACAACAGTGTCAACATCGGGGTGCTTGGCCATAGCCTTAGCAACATCCTGGTAGACAGGAAGGAGAGTCTCGCTGGTACCCCAGTACCTGTGATTGCGGGGTTAGCAGCGGTTTTGAGGAGGTTGTAAGCAACCAAGGTTCTTTCCATACATCTTGCTGACGAACTGGCCACCGAAGGTGTAGATGATACCGGCAACGGAAGGGGTGGTCCGCTTGCAGATGAAGTCAAAGTCGAGCATGCCCTGCACGGCTCTGGGCTGCATACCACTGTCATAGCCAGTCAGCTCGGCGTCCAATCACAAATTTGATTCCCAACATGACTTACTATACGAAACATCTCGTCTTGTTGTGGAAGAGGGAGTGGGTGAGAGGAGAGCGCACACGGCTGGGGGGGTCGAAACGAGTGATGTTATCGTTGGCGTTGGCACCGCCATTGGCGGCGCTAGCAAGAGGAGCAGTGATGGGCATGATGGCTAGTTACTACTCTATTCGTCAAGTGATGGTTAGCACATTGCTCTGGAGGAAACAATGCAGGAAGGACGGAATGGGAGAGCTCGGATGGTACCATACCTGTCAACAGAGCTTTGGAATTATTAAGTAGATCGAGAGGTAGTAGGTAGTAAGGAGATGGACAGGAAGAAAAGAGTCGCTTCGAATGATCAATGCAACTCAAGAAGAACAGCAGCCACGAAGGACGGAAGAGGATGGAGAGAGGAAAGAAGGAGGAGGAGGGTAGGGTGATGAAGTAGAAGAAGTTGAGATTGGAGAGATTGGGATTCAAGGGGATGATGGGGAGAAGGGACTAATCTATGTTGATGATAAGAACGAGATGGGAATCCAGAAGAAAAAAGGACCAGCAAGAGAGGGTAAAGAAAAAAAAAGAAAAAGAAAAATCCTAATAATGTCTGAATACTCGAAGAGAGGGGGGTGAAAAAACGATATCGGGAGCTGAGGGGAAAGCTGGAATTACAGTATGGAGCTCTCATCTTTCATACTTTGGGACAATACCTTACAGTAGTACCGTACCAATAATTACGAGATCGGGTATTACGGAGTCTTTTTTTTTTTTTTTTTTTTTTTTTTTTTTGCTGGGCGCTGAAGGAGACCAGTTGGGAAATGCGTGGCTTGATGGACTAATGAGCCTAAAAATAATAGGACTATACTCCGAAGCAGTGGAAGTGGCCACTCAGGCACTGACGATGTAGTCTGATTATTGGCATGGTTGCTCAACAACACGCAAGGCAATGGATCAATGGTCGGAGCTTTTGATGCTGATGCTGAAATGTGTTGTACAATAATAATGTATGTACACTGTACGGTAGACAGCCTAACCCAGCCTAACCTAACGAAGCATGCAAGCGGTGTACACTGTACTATGTACTATGTAACTATGCGGAGAAAGTCAGTCCTCAGTGTTGACGTCTACACTGTATGTTCTTCTCTCATGCCAATGGGATCTATCTGTCTTATCCACCAAAAGAGCTCTTGATTGACCCGAATACAAATGCGACATCCCTGAATTGACTCGGAGTCAACCTCGGGGGATAATCCTACTCCTTGAATCCCTCATCAATCCCATGATCCCGTCTACCTGATGGTGTTATGGATCCGGACTCTGTAGTACTCGGTAGATTCTGTACCTGGATGCAGAAGGAAGCTAAAGGACTTTTTGGTTGGGGCTAAGCGGGTGGAGCCTTACGGAGTACTGTGTAGATTGGTGATGGCGGACCCAGCAAACAGGACTACTCATAACTCACTACTCCGTAGTCACTACATTCTACAGGAGAGGCTGGAGAGTGGAGAGCCCCTCCCAACTCCCAAGCCTCAGGCTCCAAAGTCCAAACTTCTATCTTCTATCTGTAAAGTCCAGTGATCTGCTTCGTCCTCACTCCTCACCGAAAGACTTATCGCCGGACTCCGATTCCCGTTCTAGTACAGATGCACATGCCACTTTCCTCCGCTGGTGTTGTTCTGTTGTCAATGATTGTTGTCATCGGATGCAGTTGATTGTGACCGCTTCATTGTATACATGTGATTGGACAGGATCATTCTCAATAGAATCAATCGTATAAGAGAGAGAGAGAGAGAGAGGCCCATCATGTGATCTTGATTGATTGAATCTACAGAGTACGGAGTATAGTTATTGTACCTACGACCTAGACAGTATAGTACTAAAAGTAGAGTGTAGACAGAAAATCCTGACATCATAGGTTCTATCCCTCGATATTCCTCCAAGTCGTACCGATCAGAAAAAGGACTTCAAGTCTTGAACAGAAACTCCGTACGGAGTTATCTCCTGCTGGACAAACTGGATTATCTGTCCAAAACTCAACAAAAGTAGCCCGGGGGGGCGCAGATAACTCCCGGGGGATACCGTCCGGTGTCTGATCAACTCCTTTTGGAGGAGTTCAGTATTGAGTGTACAGCGTAGGGTGTGTCCTGCCTCTAAATACTCTTCCCGAGCATCCCCAACGGAAGCTCCACTTTGGGGCGCTAAAATTCGTCTGACAGTTCAGACTTTCTTTTGGTGCTTAGCGTCGTGGGTAGTGCGACTGTGCGAGATAGACCGATCCATTTGCTTCTACTGCCCCCACAGCATCTCAACAACTTGGCCCTTGTATCATGGGTATCGTCGTATTAGCGGTATTTCCGTATCGTACAGCTGGCCTGGTTCCCCGAGCTCGGCCTCGATACGGTACCTGACTGTGTAATTATGGACCAGCTCCCCAAAAAATCGTCTCTTTCCCCCCCCCCCTCTCTCTCTCTCTCTCAAGTTCCTCAGTCAATTATTGTTGGAATTAATATTTCTTTTATTTTGGCGACTCCAAAGTCTCAATCCTCAGCTATCACTGAATCCCCTCCTCTTCTCTTCTCTTCTGTTCTCCTGCTCTTGATTCTTCTTCATCCATCTACATCCTCCCTCCCTCTCTCCCTCTACTATATCCTCTTTGCTTGTCGAGCTTAGCAAAAGAGAAGAAGACCAATAAATAAAACATCTTCGACCCCTCTGTTATATCCTTCTGAACCAATCTCCCTCTTCACCTAATCTACATCTTCAATCTTCTCCTTTCACATACCTCTACGCTATCACCATGTCCGCCAAGTCGATTCTCGAAGCTGATGGCAAGGCCATCCTCAACTATCACCTCACTCGTGCTCCTGTCATCAAGCCGACTCCTCTGCCTCCTTCCTCCACCCACAACCCTCCTCCCAGACTGGCCTCCATCTACTTCCCCGAAGATGCGGCTGTCAAGGATGTCCTCAACCAGACTGAGGTCCTCTATCCCTGGCTGCTGACTCCCGGGGCCAAGTTCGTCGCGAAGCCCGATCAATTGATCAAGAGACGAGGAAAGAGCGGTCTCCTCGCTTTGAACAAGACTTGGGCCGATGCCAGAGAGTGGATTGAGGCTCGTGCGGGCAAGGAGATCCAGGTTGAGACCGTCACTGGTGTTCTGCGTCACTTCCTGGTTGAGCCTTTCGTTCCCCACCCTCAGGAGACTGAGTACTACATCAACATCAACTCCGTGCGTGAGGTAAGTTAACCTTGTCCTCTTTGAGAACTATGGAATGAGCCAAGCTGACATTTCTGGATACAGGGTGACTGGATCCTCTTCACCCACGAGGGTGGTGTCGATGTTGGCGATGTCGACGCCAAGGCAGAGAAGCTGCTCATCCCTGTCAACCTCAAGAACTACCCCTCCAACGAGGAGATTGCTGCTGCTCTCCTGAGCAAGGTGCCCAAGGGCGTCCACAATGTCCTGGTCGACTTCATCTCCCGCCTCTATGCCGTCTACGTTGACTGCCAGTTCACCTACCTTGAGATCAACCCTCTGGTCGTCATCCCCAACGCTGAGGGTACCTCCGCCGAGGTGCACTTCCTCGATCTGGCTGCGAAGCTCGACCAGACTGCTGAGTTCGAGTGTGGTACCAAGTGGGCCATTGCCCGCAGCCCTGCCAACCTCGGCCTGGCTACCGTTCCCCAGAATGACGGCAAGGTCAACATCGATGCTGGCCCCCCAATGGAGTTCCCTGCTCCCTTTGGCCGTGAGCTGAGCAAGGAGGAGAAGTTCATCTCCGACATGGATGCTAAGACTGGTGCTTCCCTCAAGCTGACCGTCCTCAATGCCAACGGCCGTGTCTGGACTTTGGTCGCTGGTGGTGGTGCCTCGGTCGTGTACGCCGATGCCATTGCCTCTGCTGGCTTCGTCAGCGAGCTCGCCAACTACGGTGAGTACTCTGGTGCTCCCACCGAGACTCAGACCTACAACTACGCCAAGACCGTCCTGGACTTGATGCTGCGTGCTCCCATCCACCCTGACGGCAAGGTTTTGTTCATCGGTGGTGGTATTGCCAACTTCACCAACGTTGCCTCGACATTCAAGGGTGTCATCCGTGCTATCCGCGAGGTCGCCCCTGTTCTGAACGAGCACAACGTCCAGATCTGGGTTCGCCGTGCTGGTCCCAACTACCAGGAGGGTCTCAAGAACATCAAGGCCGTGGGTGAGGAGCTGGGTCTCAACATGCACGTGTATGGCCCTGATATGCACGTCAGTGGTATTGTCCCTCTTGCCCTGCTGGGTAAGAAGACCGATATCAAGGAATTCGGTTCTGCTTAAAAAAGAAGGGGGAGGGAATTAACTTGTGTTGATTTGCGTTTTATTTTATTTAATTTTCTCTGGCCCTTTTTTCCCAGTTTAACCCCTTTTGTTCTCTTTTTTTTTCATTTTTCTTGTTCTGAACGCATGGCATGATACTGAAGTTTTCCTTTTTTATCGAGCGAGGACTGAACATACAAGCAGTATGAGAGATGAAACTGCATCGACAGGATCAAGAGGAGTAGCGGGTATCCGTTTGTTCTGGAGTCAACTGTTTCTCTTTAGACTATATTCTTGGGTGAATGCGAGGCATGGGCCTGCACAGTGATAGTCGAATTAATCCAATGATAACGATCAAGATGAAATTCCGATCCTACGATTGGGAAGTAATTTCTTTTATCGTACATTCTACGCAGTATTTTCCATCGCATCATGGTGAATAAAGTCCATCCATCCCGAAATCACTCACGTGACACCATCACCAGTATCAGAGTGAGTGTGACAGTACGACCTGACCCAGTAATACATACAGTATTACCTAGACCAGGTTCCTGGAGAGAGGGGACAGTGAAGACAAGATAAGCTTAAAAGCCAACCCGGGACTAAATTAAAGCCCAGGGTCAAGGTCCACAGAAGATTCCAAATCGCCATGCACCGTCGATCTGATCAAATTCTTAACTTTGTGGGAACTGGGATGGCGGATGGAACTCGAGCTCGACTTCCGCACGCCCGAAGGGAAAACGTGACGGGGGGCGCATTCCGAGGTGGAGGACCGGGGACTATGGGGACTGGGGTGTGGTCCGGCCGGGACGGGCCTTTGCAGATGAAGGGGGGTCTGTGGGTGACTGGGCTGGTTAGTATTTTGAAATTGGATGAGCTGAGTTTGTTTTTTTTAAAGGATTGGAGGTTATTGTTTATAGGGAACTTGGGGGTGTCTGGATGTGGTTGGTTGTGAGGATGGATGGATGAACAACGATGAGAGTGCGTAGAGAGTGGCTGGAAGTAGTAGAATAGACTCTAGCAGATTTATGTAGGCTCGTTCCCCTGGTTCGTTCCGTCTACGAGGGAGGTTGACTACAATTGTCGGCGAGGATAGTGAGGGAGTGCTCTTGGTCAAGCATTGACTTGATCGAAGAATCTGAGGTTGGAACTATAGTGTCCATCGGACGAAGGGAAGATACGATGGCGATCACCCTAGCGCATAATCTAATCTCGATGCCACATGGGTATGCGTTATCTAGCTATCTACCAGTATTTCATACTTAATGAGAGAGCCTGGTCTCCTTGGTTTGCCAGATAAATGGATTGAGAACTATGGCGAATGTTCCTTGCTGAAGTAACTTGGGTCCAAGGGATTAAATGTTCGCGGAAGTTTATGTCAGACTGGTGTCCTCCGATATATAAACTTGGAGCCCGAGGAACGATGGTCGTGCTTATTACAACATCGACTTCTATAATTTAGGAGTAATAATCTTATTCAAGCAATTCAAGCAAAGCAAGTCTTCTCTGCATCCCTATCTAATCTGATTTCAGCCGACTTGTAGACGGGGCTAATCACTGATCAAAACAGCTATATAAATTCAAGTTCAGGTCATGCAGCATACTGCACAGTAAAATGTTATATAAGGCCATTCTCAAATAGCGAGGACCGTAGAGAAGGGCCGTTTCCGGCTGGATTGGTTACTGCCGAATTAGGCGCCAGCAAACTTAGGCGTTCTCGACTCACCAGTGTGTTCCCATTATTCGCATAACGACCTGTCAATTCACGGTCATGAAACCGCTCAAACATCACACTGTCCTGCGGCAGGTTCGACATGCCAGTCGACGGACGTATGGGGCCTGGCAGGCGAGTTCGATGCTGGGGCGTTGCGTTGGGTATACCCCCTACCAGACACTATCAGTTCCCTCCACCAAGACAGCAAAAAGAGGAGGACATACGGTTTCTCAGATTGTTGGCGATGGCCGGCGGCGGCATTGCAGCGTTATGAGCCTTCTGGTTGACACCCTTGGAGCTCCCAGTCCCGCTTCTTTGATGTCGATGCAGTTGTTCCACCCCTTCGACATTGATAGGGAATGGATTGCTTTGACGAGATAGCGGAGTCTGTGGCGGCCGCGATATGTTCCCCGACTTGCTCAACCCTGATGGTAATGGTTGGTTTGCCGTCGTAGCAAGCGAGCCTAAGGCTTGTGAAACTGTGTCCGATGCTGCGGTCTGCATCTGCGATCTCATGGCACGAGACTTAAGTAAGTTATATAGATTTGTGATCTGTGCAAACTTCTTGCACTTTTCCCGGTACAAGTCAACAAGTTCCTGGTTTTTCTTGCGAAGCTGATCCTGTGTTGTCTGCATATCTAGACTATAGGTCAGACATAGGTTGAGTTGGAGAGAACTACAGTCTAAGTACGAACCATTCAGTCTATTTTGAAGTGTCGATATTTCCGTATTGGCATTGTGAATAACTCTGTCCATCTCCGTATTCAGCGTTGTGTATTTATCGGTCAGTGTCTTTCCGAGATACTCCTGATAGAATCTTCTTCGCGTCAGAATAGTGTCAAAGGTTGGTAGAGGGCATGGGACGACAACGTACATCTCTTGTGTTGTTTGATATGCCCAGAACGCCAATGCCCTGCTAGCGCATTCCATAATCGTGGTCGGATCAAGTCCACTCAATACGCTGGTCTTGTAATCTTCAGAGGGATTGAGGACCGTCGATGCAGCGTCATCAGGGTTGACAAGGACGGTCTGGCAAGCTGGACAGCGACGTTCGCCATGTGTGGGACGGGAAAGGCCAAGGTTATCTGCACAATGAAGACAAAATATATGCCTAGGAAGATCAGTTCTGGTTCAAACAACAATAGAGAGAAACATGAGAAAGTAAGTGTAGCTGGTCGGTTGATTTCACATACGAACAAGTAGTGACAACTGCTTGCTCTTTCAATGGAGTGCGGCATTTCAGAGCATTGCATCGTAGATAGAAATCCATAGCTCCTGCGAACAAAACGACCGAGAAATCAGTAAGGATGTAAATCCTCTGGACTTGGTTGGTAGGTGTAATGGGAATGGAGTTAGAACGCCCAAGGACAGAAGCCAACGGGAACAGGGTATGTGCCATTTGTCACCTGCAGTAGGCAGTCTGATGGTAAAGTAACTGGGAGCGCAATTGTTTGATGACTTCTGAGATAGAAACATTTTAGAGCGAATAGTGAAGAAGATTGCCAAGTTTGGGTATCTAAAGAAATATACAAAATGTTCCACGCATGGATCTATAGCCCTCGTAGAGTCTGAATTGTTTCCTATACTCAATCAATGACCGCGTTAGAAGAAGAAGGTATTGCCTTCGGTATCACGCCGCGTCGTGCGCATCTTCTCCTCAAACTCAGGTCCTGGTTCATACTCTCGCCATAAGCTGGAGGGAAAGATATGCTTGTTTCGTTCATACCACCGTCTATCGACCACCTTGGTTAGTGAAGGATCCTTATCCGCACCCTCCAATTGATCATTGTCCGGTCGCGACAGAGGATTGTCGGAGGAGGCTGCAGCAGCGGGCTTATCCGAATAGTCGAACAACAGGCCTCCCGTATTTGAGAAGCTCGGGATCCGGTTGGCTATGAAGTAGTAGAACTCGTAATGCTAGAGAAACAGTCAGCACAGATCCAGACTAGCGTTATCTCAAAGAAAGGCACATACGTGAGGAATTATTATCTCGCCCTTGACCAGCAGAAGGTCATCAACACTGATTCTGGCCCATTCGCGCCGGTTGTCTTTCCGACCCTTGGTCGCGCCGCTGGCACCACCGACGCCTAACTCGGCACCAACCTTGCGACAACGATCCAGAAACAACCAGACCGGGTCGCCCTTTCTAACTTTGACCGTTCCCGCAGGTATGTTCGTGCCATCGTAGAAGATAAACGGGATAAGTATCTCGGTGTTTTTGACTGCCTCCTGCATAGCCAGGAATTCTCTGCGGAGAGCATCCCGCGCTTCAGCCTCAGCTTTCAATGCCGCTTTTGTCAATGCTTTCGGGGGCGGTGGTGCGTTGGGGTTCGGTGTGATCCGCCGCGAAGAAGGCGCAGAACCATCATCCAGAGGTGTTCGTGACGCAGATCGGGGAATAGTCGATTCGCGCGGTGTTGCCGCAGAGTCGGCGCCAGTGTCATCCTCCTCGTCGTCACCAAAAGACAGTTTGCTCTTCGTGGGCGGCTTCTTTTTCTTCTTCTTTGAAGGCCCCTCACTGCGGGGCGTCGAGCTACTGTATACTTGCGATCAGCTTGGGACGGAGATGGAGAAGCTCGTGGCTTTGACTCACCCATCAGTTACATCGCCCCCCGATGGAGTGGCACTCCTTGAATTACCGGAAGTGACTCTCCCAAGCGATTTATCATGCGCTTCTCGTTCCTTCTGCTCCAAAACCTCTGCGCGACGTTTGCGAAAGTCGGAAAGATGGACTAGACCAACGGTTTGCGACTTGAGGAGTTCCTCTGCGGAGACAGTCTGGCTGGTGAACGACCGTGGTGTCGAATTTTGGCTGGGTTGTTCGGAAGGAGGCATCGTGTATGTATTTTCTATATGCTAGATCAAATCAAGCTGTTTGGACGAGTCAAGAAGACATTCGTTTGTCCAGAAATTGAATCCCACTGGAAACGACTGACGTACGGATGCACGTGACCGGTACTGATTGAAGGTCCCCGAAGCAATGCTTGAAGTCCAGAGACCGTGAAAAAACACTGGAGAATCGCGAATGAGAGATTGATATTCTAGGAGTTCTTCTATTTAAAATCGAGTGGATCATCATCCAGTATTCTGGCATAGGAGGTGAAGATCTAGTAGCAGTAGAGCAAACATGCCAAACCCGGCCTCCCGTACAATCTCCGCATGGTCGCAGTAAACAGCCCGAGATCCTGTCATTCTGCACTTTTCAATATCACGATTCCCTTGGTTTGCAGTTCAAAATGATGGACGAAGACGAAGACGATTTCTATGATCCTGCTGATGCGGTACCCGTGAACCGGACGCAGAATACTCATCAAAATCAATTAGACGATACTTCCCAAGAAGTCAATGATGGGGAGGAGGAAGAGATAGAGGTGGAAGAGGACGAGGTTCGCTTGCAGCGCGCATGCATTGCCTTTGAGTAATGGCTGATTTCCTTTTCAGGATGATTTCAACATTATAACGGAAGCTCCTCCAGATGCGCCTCCCCCAGAAGTGTGAGTCCTCGATTGTTCAGTGAAGTTGAACCCGCAGCATCTCTAATAAAAGGATAGACCGCACCCTCGTCATGCCAGTCTTCGCGCGGAACCACAACGGCCTTCTTCGGTAGACTCAACAGGAATATCAAAGTCCGTCACACCTACAGTAACGCCGAAGATTGAAGCTGCCACCCCGGTACCCGCCAGCGCAAGACCAGCAGTACCCCAAAAGCCCGGCTCCGCATATCCCCCTGTCCACGCGTCGACGATCGACGTAAATGCGAACCCAACCCATCCTGCCACGGGTAAGCCGATCATGTCGACAGATATGGATACTGATTTCCCGTCGGAAGACGACAAACCATGGAGACGACCGGGCTCTGACGTCTCTGACTATTTCAACTACGGATTCGACGAGTTTACCTGGGCAAGCTACGTTCTTAAGCAGCAAGAGCTGCGCAAAGAGGTGGGGGATCAAAAGAAACAATTAGAAGACATGCAAAGCTTCTTGACTATGGGCCTACCTCCTATGCCGGGAGCTCCTCCAGGCGCGGGGGCACCTCCAGGCAGTGCGCCACCACCTATGCCAGGCATGCCCGGTATACCAGACATGTCTCCCGATATGATGCAGGGCATGCTGGCGAGCATGATGTCGCAAGGTCTTGACCCGTCATCAATGGACCCCATGTCTTTCATGCAGCATGCACAAGCCATGATGGGTGGTCAATCTGGCGGGGGTGGACAACAGCAGGGTCAGCCTGGATTCGGTGGCCAAGGCCAAGGGCCCGGGTTTGGAGGGCAAGGTGGTGGCCAGCCTCACATGGGCTATGGAGGCTACGATCAAAGAGGCGGATTTGGGGGCAGGGGACGAGGAAGAAGATGGTAGAGTGCGAGGTTGATATCCTCTATTACGTTCTAGTGATCATTTTAATTCCCGAGGGAGTAGTGTTTGGAATCAGGGTCGGAACTGGCGGCGTTTGAATGTAAAACAATCAACCTGAACATTTTCCATGGGATTCAGTCGTTGGGTCAACGACTCTGAAGCTGTTGGAAGCTATTCGAAGCTAGCTGGGCCGTCTTTCCCCCGGAGAAATGGAGCCACCGTAGCCATTATAGCTGCAATCAAGCCCGACGCTCTGCGAAGCCAAAGTAATATTTGCTTCCCAAGTAAATATAGGCCTGAAAACCTCTTAATTTTATTATGAGGAGGTCCAATCCCATCTGTTGCCGATGATGCTGGCGCCAGAAGAATTCGGAGCGGTTCCCTCGGCAGTCTTGCTGGGAGCTGTCTGGTCTTGGCATTCTGGAAATTTCTCGCGGCCCGGCGAGCCCAGATCTTCTTCCCCCAGACGGACCGTCCGAACATCTTCTTTTCTTTCCTGCTCTCCACGTCCACACGACCTCGATAATCTCTCCCACTCCTGCTCAATCAACCCAATCCTTCGTGCTTAGGACTCTCTCGTCACACCCTTAATCAAAATGGTACGTTGGTTTTAGCTTATTAGGAAGCTCAGAAACTCCCGCTTGGCACCATCATGACAAATTTCTCTCATCGGCTCTCCGTCAAGCCCTACTCACCTGCGTTATTGAGATATCAATTTGCTAACATATCTGTCTTGTTTCTCCTAGTCTATCCTCCGCAACATCAAGAGCCTTGCTCCCCTTCTGGACCGCGTCCTGGTCCAGCGCATCAAGCCCGAGGCCAAGACTGCCTCCGGTATCTTCCTTCCTGAGAGCAGCGTCAAGGAGCAGAACGAGGCCAAGGTTCTCGCTGTCGGCCCTGGTGCTGTCGACCGCAACGGCCAGAGAATCCCCATGTCTGTTGCTGCTGGCGACAAGGTTCTGATTCCTCAGGTATGTGGTGATCCTCTACGGCACCTGCTTCCGCGTCTTCCGATGCGTCTCCTACGGGCAATTTGAAGCTATTTGCGAGCTCAATTGGCTGACCTTTCTTTCTTCTTCTAAACAGTTCGGTGGCAGCCCCATCAAGGTCGGTGAGGAAGAGTACACTCTCTACCGGGATTCTGAGTATGTTTTCCCTTCAAGCAGCAGACCGCGAATTCGGGGACCAATACTAACACTTTCCCCAGGATCCTTGCCAAGATCAACGAATAAATGAGACGAGACTCCTGTCGTCCTCTTGAATTGTTTCTTTTCCGGTTACGTTTTCGGGCGGAGACGCTCTAGACGGTTGACGTGTATTATACCATCCAAAAACCATGATTCCACACCTTCGAAAACACTATAATCATCACATATTTGAACGTTAAAGATTGGGAATACACAGCACTTTTCGCTGTATCCTTCTTCGGACCGATCTTGTTTTTTTGCTCCTTTTTTGCATTTATTGTCTGAAAGCGTGAAATGACCTTTTTTCCTTTGGCACATTAACTATGATGTACTTCTATATCAAGCCATCGTCCGTAATCGCGCTTTTTATGGCGCGATGAAAGCGAGCAATACCAGAATTGATAATCTCCTCTCACTTTGATTCCCGCACCTTGTCCATCGACAGCTTTGATGAAAATATGCTCAAATATCTCAACAATGACCTGCCATCTCTCAGCCTTGATTCGAATTCGACGTGTCCTGGGTGCACGCTTATATTTCCGTATTGACATCAAAGTTGAGGGCACAGTCGCACTGCCAATCCTTGTCAAGAATATTGTTGACTCTCCCCAGCAGTCTGCCACCTATCAGCTCACCGAAGATCTCGCTTCTTTGCGCCGGTGACATCTCTATGAACCTGGAAAGGCCCTTTCCATGTCCCTTTTCCACAGAATCCCACGCGTTTCTCCCATCATCTGTGCAGAGCTGATAATGGATCTCTTGTTCATCTTCTCGTCTCATTCCCGCCAGGACTGCCTGCGCAGCGTATGGATTCAGCCCAGCCTGGCGAAGGAAGAGTTCCCAGACAGTTGTCCTCTCCATGTCTTCCGGGCTGAGCTTGCTTTTCTGGCTGGCATTGATCGGTGTGAAGTTCGCAAGGCCCACAGTGCTTACGGGAAGTCGAGCCATATGCTTGGTTGCAAGCGAGAGAACCCATCCAGCGACAGTCTCTGGGGTGGAAGATAGCAGGAGTGGACAGATTGTCGCGTAAGCGGACAATGAGTTGCAGAACGCGGTCAATGACGCGATGGATGCTAGCACCCTCTTATCCGCTGTTGGGCCCGGTTGCTTGGCCTGCGACTTCCTAGAGGAGCTTGTGTTTTGGCAGATGAAGATGTAGATTCGTTCATACCGCGGAGCGAGAAGAAATATGCGTTCTCGAAGAGGAGAGTTGATGAACCCGATGCCGGTCAGTTGTGGATGACTGAACTTATGCCCAGGTAGGTATAGTTGGGTTGTTGCTTGTGATGTTGTGAGAATTATCCCGGTGGATGGAGAGATTATGATGTCTGCTTCATCTTGTGGTGTGACATTGTTGCTCATCGAGGAGGTTATGTGCTTGCTCTGTGGCAGATTGCTCGGGCCATTCTGGTTATAATCTCTATAGATAATTCCTGGCGGGTCTATCATTCCCTCGAGACAACGCACGAGTCGCAGATGACTCTTGAGTAGTGCAGTTGAGAGGAACAGAGTATGTCGTTCTCCCATCGGTTTCTCAAATTGAGGTTCGACAGGTGATTTGTCCACGGTGTCTGATTCGTCTGGTTGTAAACGTGGGATCGCGCCAATTTTCGTTTGATGTGACGGGCTGGATCCAGTCTCGATTGATTTTTCCACAGCGAAATAAGGGCTCTGCGTGGGTACAAGGCGTTTACCGCTGCGACCCCTCAACTCCATGAAAGCAGCCAGCGAACCTAGTGATATGGATGATGGTGGTGCTGGTTGCTGTTGCTGAGTACCAGGGCGAGAAGTCTGGGATCGGTTCATACTGTTCCTTGCTTCATTTCGAGCCGGATCCCAAAGTTTCCGTTTCTTCTGTGGTAGTGGCTGCTCGTCTGCGATGGAAAACTTGCCTGCGAAGCATAGGGTGTTATTTACTGACGCTGTAGCACTATCGACGGCCTTGACGCGGCCATTCTCGCCCTCCCGAGTTTGAGCAGATGGTTGCATTTGACTAATAGTCTGCTCTGAGGTATTCTGATTATATTGCTCCGTGACCATTTCAATCATCGATATATCTTCTGATGTATCTGTTTCAATAAACGAATCAATAAATGAACATTCAGTATCCTCCAGAAGTTTGGACTCACCTTTGTTAAGGCACCATGAAGAACAGCCATAAGGGTCTAATCCAGCAGGACATTCTACGTCCTTCAGATCTACTTCATCTCCATGCAGAGAGTCGCAGGCGATGGTATGAGATTGATGATTTGTTGATAACGGGTTTATAGCTGGTGTGTCTGCTTCTGCTGCAGCTTCGTCTGCAAATCCTCTGACGGTGCTGTCAAGGCTCGTGCTTTCTATTGTTCGAGGAAGATGTTCATTTATCCCCTCGCTCAGGCGTTGCTCGAGGTGGCTCGATTCCCCTGGGCTCGCTTCTTCAAGGCAAGTGCACGGTGATCCATCATGAGGGAGCGAGGAGGAGATGCAAATGTCTTCATCATTGGTTTTTCCTGCACCTTGACAATTCAATTTATTCCATATTTCACTGGTGCTGTTGTCTTGATTCGTCTGCGCCACATGGCCAAGTTCAAATTTTGGCGTACTTCGTGTGCAGCCATATATTCGAGTGGTAAGACCGGCATCAGATGACTCTGGACGTGAAGGTCGCTGCTCTATACTTGCAGAAAGCTCGATCGAGGCAGGACTGGGTAGCATCTGGAATTCTCGCTGGGGTGAAGGACTTCTATATACTGCATCGTCTGTTCCCATTGGAACAAGATCATCGGGGTCTATTCGAGTGGGATGGATCTGTATAGATGCAATCGCTGGCTTAGTATAACCTAAACCGCAAAATGCAAGGTTTGCAAAGCACATACCTTTCGAGGAATCGTGGCTAGTAAACCATCCAGATATTCCAAAGAGGGATTCCCCAGTCTGATGACATCTTGTAGGAGCACGAGTGATTGCTTGCTGCAGTTCACCTTCTGGCGTCTGTTTGAAGCCTTGATCTCCTCTGCTGTCTTGACTATAGTCTCCGGGCGAAACTCCAAGGGCTCCTCGACAGGCAACAACTCCACATCCTCAGTATTGTACGAGGATTGAGGTCTAAGGGATGCTAAACTAGTTTCATGTTCCAGATTGAAGATGGGTGGCTCCAGTCTAAGCTGGTTTATACGGCGAAATGCCTTTGTTTGCTGCTCAGAGTTGGATTCAAATGTTTGGGTCTTCACATCTCGGATCACAGTTGAAAGAAATCGGACACCATCCTTCTTTACGTTGAGTTTTTCTTCGCGAATAGTCTTCTCGAGGGACTGTTGGGTATTAAAGAGGTATTCATCGAATGCTTTGTGTCTATCTTCAGGTAAGGTAGGATTTTCGAGCGGTACTTCATTGATTTGATCAAGATATTCCGAGGGCCTGATTGATGTGAAGTCACTTGCTATCCCGTGGAATCTTGCATATTCCAGTAGTGATGGCTCGTGTTCATCTGACATTGAGAAAAAGAGACGATAGAATATACGATACAATGGATGGTACTTTTTACACTCGGAAAAGGAGAGGCGAGGGTATCTTGAACCCCATACCTCTGGCCGCGCACGTGTCCTATCGAATCATCCCGACTGTCAACAACTGAGCATCATGTCTACTCAAAGAATCATTCCAAGCGCTAAAGGGCTATCATAGAGATACTACACTTTAGCAAAACTGGTGACATCCGTAAGAGTTTCTGTACAGGTATTCAATCACTATCGGCTTCAAAGTTGGGGTTGTTGGAAACAAAGTCAATTAGTCTACTTATATTAGAGGAATATGTCCCAAGCTTGAGTAGAAAAAGTGTGTTTGATCCAGCATTACGTATCCAATGAGCTCCAGAGGAAGGGACCAGCCCGACCTCAATCATTATAGTTGGATTGGCGAGAGCCATCCTTGTTCACGGGGGGCAGACCGTAGTATTTATTATACTCCTCCTCTTGGGATTTGCCCTCTGGATTCAAGTAGGGACGTTCGCCGTGGCAAGCCACTCGGACAGCGTGCCGACGATGGGGAGCAAAGCCATAGGAAGCGGAGTGATTCTATTTAGCTAGTCAGCGACAAGGACCAAAGGCACAGATTCTCAAGCGTTAACTCACTGTGGTTCGATTATCCCACAAGGCCACATCATCCTCGCCCCATTGGAAACGAACATGGGCTTCTTGCGTGGTCGCGATGATTTCGGTGAGGTATTTGATGATGGCATCGCTCTCTGTCTTGGGGATACCCACGATCTTGGTCACGAAGCCAGGGTTGAAGAAGAGACTGTTCCAGCCAGTCACGGGGTTTGTGCGAATCAGAGGATGCTCTGTGGTCACTGGGTCGCGACGAACAGTCCGACCAAGGGCTCGCGAATCTGATGCCTGCATGTTCGCTGAGTGAAGGGCAGTCAAGCCCTTGAGGTAATTTTGCATATGTGATGAGAGTGCGTCGTATGCTGCGTATTGGGATGACCAAAGTGTATCACCGCCACCTCCTCGCGGAGGTCCTGTTAGGACCTTTAGTGATGTATATGATGGCGGCTGGACCTCGTAGGTCACGTCTGAATGCCAGAGAAAGCTAGGGGGGAATAGTGCTCGCTGGTCACCGGCGTTTTCTTTGGTGTAGACGACGTGGACATCTTCCAGGCCCTTCTTCTTTGGTACAGCTGTAGTGGCATGCTGAAACACTATTAGGTTCCTGACAGGCGACTAATGGCTCCGATCGTTCACTCACCTTGTGCAATGTCCCGAAGTACTTCCCCAGTTCTCGCTGGGCTTGTATATCAAAGTCCTTCTGGTTTCGAAAGAAGACCACACCACGAACGGCAATCAAACGAGCGAGATCGTCCCTCTGCGCATCGTTGAGCTTTCCCAGGTTGACTCCACGGATCTCAGTCCCAATTCTCGGTGTGTAGTCGAAGATATCAGTGGCATCTTGGAGTAGGTTGCGGAACTGCGGGTCCCCCCGCAGTCCTCTATCTTCGTATGGGATGCCCTTCAAGGCCTCCCACTGGATGTCTGGAAACGATGGCAAGAGGTCTTCATAAGGATAGCTTTCGTGGTTCTTGACTGTGGTGCGTCCTGGCTCGTAGAGGAATTTGTTGTGCTGTGTAGTCGTATCCTTTTTAGGGACAGTAAAGTGACGATGAGTTGGGACAACAGCTGGTTCTTCCAGCAATGGTGCCATGGTTGTGATCAATGGGTGTCGATGGTAGGCGAGAGGCAAAGAACTATGTATCTCGAGTCGACGATGCAAGAGTAATAGCCTCGTTGCGAGATCCCAGAAAACTTATGAGTCGAATATAAACAGATTATCTGTAGTTTCGAATCATCGAGAGGTATTTACAGCTACGTACTATATATATGGAAGTCGTTGCCTGCATTATGATTACGCATCCCCCAGGTTCCAATAGTAGGGGGGACCCGGGGATGGCGGAATGGCGCCATCGCGATGGAGAATCACCCAACTGCTCGTCAACCCCCTTAGCTCTGTGGACCGTCAAATGCTTCCGGAATCCGAACAACAATGGTGAATAGACAGAGTTAGGAAGCCTGGAGGTGGATCCGACTGAAGCAGCGCCATCATGAGCAAGCATCACGTCACATTGCTCCCTCGGAGCCACAATGGCGAAAGCTGAGATTCAATGACTAAGTTGTCACCATACAAGACCCTTTTCTCTGTGAATACTGAATGAATTGGAAAAGTTTTATTGCTGAACTATGGTCATCATACGGGGAAGTAGACGCATCTTACAGCTTAATGCCCGTTGATCAACCGTCGTTGAAACAAGGTTAGCGACGGCGTCGGGTGTGGCTGATCATCTGGTGTGCGATCACGCAACTCCGCCCTTGTCTTGCGTGCAGACTGAAGCAAGGCAAGGTTCTGGTTGGCTGGTCAGAATACTATTGTCGAGATGATCATAATTACTGAGCTCCTACATATCTTCTGACTTCGACACTTAGAGCATCCCAATAAATTACTCAGACAAGGCGGGGACAGTGTAGCAAATAAAAACAGAGAATGTTCAAGATAACGCCTTTTGATCTCGCAGATAACTGAACGCCGGACCTACTCATGCTGAAATACAAATCTTCCTCAGAGTGATAACGACTCGAGGTTCACCGCGATATACAAAGCAAAATCATTATCCCAACTAAATCTGTCGTGTATTGAAACTTTCAACGCCGAATCGACCTGCAGATAGATAGATTGCATGCAACATCCCCGATCCATTGTTAGTGCATCCTGCCATCTCCTGATGGCGGGCCCAGTACCACTTCTTGCACCTGTTCTGAGACTGCGCCGAGCCGACTGGCAACACCGAGTATGCCAGTCTCAACATCTCCAAGCACCACGGCAAGATCGCTGAGGATGGATCTCTGCGTTCCAGGGGCCGGCCCGTCTCGGCTCCGTGACGCCACGAATTCGTGGATCTGGCGATTCAACGTAAGCTCGATGCCGTGGAGATGATCTTCGATTTCTTTCAGGTTGCCGGTGTATCGCCCGAGCACTGTGCCCATCTCATCCGAGCGTTGAGAGAAATAGTCGACAAGATTGACTGGCACACCGTTGACAGAGGTGGCCGAAGATGGGTCAGTCTCTACATCATCTGGGAGCGCGAGAGTATTCTTGCGCGTAGACCGCAAAGACTGCCGATCCGCCCCCTTCTGATCCTGAGCAGACCACCATCCTGCGCCACCAGAAGACTGATATTGCAGGGGGAGTTTTAAGGTGTCGATAGCACGGAATGCAACCTGCGCCTCCGCTGCGTCGCGAGAGACGAGACTGCGCAGTTGATCGATATCACGAGCATCATTCTCCAGGGCATGCTGCATGGTTTCGAGCTTGCCCTGAACGAAGTCGACATCGTTGGGAATTGTCTCGCCTTGGCTTGCAATGGTAGGAAGCATGTTGGAGACCTCGTTGCATAACTTAATTTGAAGGAGGACATAGTTATCAAACCTCTCCAGTTCCGATTTGATCTCATCGGCGCAGCTTTCGAACTTGGTTGTCGGCAAAAGGTTGCTGAGATCGACTTTGACCCCAGGGACCACTGTTCCCGTTGTCCCTGTCTGTTGGGTGGTCTGTTGTGGCGCTGTAGCGTTCTGGTTGCCGAATAGCGATAATGTGGGCTTCTGAGCCTGTTGCTGTGATGTATTGGCCTGGTTTCCACCACCGCTGAACACACATCCACAATCAGTAACTGAAGATTCGGCATCGCATGTAGATCAGATTACTCACAGGAGACCACCGCCAGTTGTAGTGGAGGCACCCAAGCCGCCAAAGAGAGGTTTGGATTGTATTTGGGCCGTAGAGCCAAATAGTCCTCCACCGGTGCCTGCGCCTTGTGCAGTGGTATTGCCCGCACCAGCAGTTCCCGAAAACAACCCGCCGGACGAAGGCTGTGCGGTCGCTGCGGGTTTTCCAAAGAGACCACCACCTGTAGTGGTACTCTGCTGCTGCCCGCCTAAGCCTGAGAACAGGCCGGAGCCAGAAGTCTGGGATTGTTGCGTATTCCCACCACCAGTATTTCCGAAGAGGCCACCGGCTGGCTTAGACTGCGCATTCAAACCTCCAGCATTCCCAAAGAGACCACCCGGCGTGCTTGTTGCCCCTGGTGTAGCTGTAGATGAAGTAGTTTGAGCATTAGCTCCGCCACTACGCGCAGAATTCTGTCAGCTTGGGTTCGACACATTGGTAAAAGCGTTGTAATTCTTTGGGCGGGATTGACAAAGTCCCAAGCGAAATAACAGGGGATACATTAAGATCGCCGGTAAGGGCAAAGATCACACGAGAGATAACACTGAAGGCTAGAGCAGAGAGCGAATCACGACTTACAACAATGAGTTGGCGGAGTTGGTGTTTATTGACAGGCCGGTTGAAGGTTTTGCGGAAAACATGATGTTAAGAAGTTGCGCGCCCAGAAAAAGAGGTTATTAGAGAAAAGGCTTTGAGCCTTGAATAGAGCGCCAGGGGTGGGCACTACTACGTCGAAAGTGTGTCCTGGTAAAAAAAAAACAATAGACGTCAAAGATATTTCCTAAAGATCGCAATTGATGATTTGAGCCATTGCTGCGTTGCAGATATCGGAGCTATCACTTGGTTACGGAGTGGTGGACCAAAAGGGAAAGATTCACCGGCCCGGTGTTTTTAGTTGCCGTTAAGGATACAACTTCAATAGTGTTAGTTTATATGGCTGTTTTTGAGCTCTTAGGGCCGTCTCCATCACCTGGATAAATACACAGTGATCCCCTGTTCTCTGGATATGGTCAAGATGCTCCTGACATTGGCTGGATATATATAATATGCCGATATCAGGTTGAAATGTGACTTGCAGGCTGATGCGACTCCATATTCTGTAGTTTAAGAGTCCCCTTGTCGAGTGCATTCTTTATCTATAGTATTTTCACTTCCATACCCTGCTATCTTGGTCCTTGAGTTTAGCGCCGAGAAGTCTGTCACATTCTGCCTGTTTCACTATACAAGTGTTTGACAAAGGGTGAATTACCGAATTGCTGCTCCTGCCCTTTTTTCCGGTGATATAAAGACTGTGAAGTCCAACTTCCTCAACCTCAAAAGTCTTCAATCAGATCCTCTCCTGCTGTGTCTGGGAACTTTGAGTCTTTTAGATTGAGTTTGAACCTGAAGGCTTTTTCCATACACTGCTCTGGAATCCAGCCTTCCACCATTCTGGACCAAATGGACGAGGTCAACCATAACCAAACTCCAGTATGCGTGGCTTCTACCCCAGTTGACGATGTACGAGATATGAGCTCTCGTGTCAAGTCAGCGACCGCTGAAGCTCAGCATATATCTGCTAAGGCTGGTGAACAGGAGAGTCGCTTACCTCCGTACCTTAACTACGTGAAAGGCATTGAAATGTAGGCCCGACACTATCATTTCATGCATGATTAGCGGATTCTTGCTAAAAGCTCTGTTCATAGGTCTCCAGATGGCACCACACTCTTAACAGACTCTGTGGATCATCATATCAGAACTTATATCCTGTAGGTCATCTTCAAGGCTTGGTGAGAATCTCGAACTTATCAAAGTAATAGACCACCGGATTTGCTGGAAGGAGGGCCATCTGCGCATCAATTACATCCATATTCTGTCTTGCCGTCAGCAGAGCCAACATACGCTATAGCCGTTTACCCGTTCTATAATCTCCAGGATCCATCGACCACCTTATTTCTTTCGTCAGTTCGAGACCACCCCATCAGACTCGCGTCTGCTCTTGGGCCTTCTGCTTTGGCATCGTACTCGCTCGTCAACCCAATGACAGAGGCATTTATCACACCTCACTCAATGGTGTACCCCCATACTCTGGGTGGTACACACTTCCTCACTGGGTCTGATAGTCTGATATGCCTGTTCGATATATCTCGTCCCGGGAACGATGGCCCTATTGCTTGGATGCCGACAATTCCCAGTAAACGCAAACAGATGGTGGGCGGCGGCGTGGGAATGAAGGGTATCATTTCCGCAATGGCTATCAACCCTACCGGTGATGGCATTCTGGCTGCTGGGACCTTCTCAAGACAAGTTGGTCTATATGGAGCAAATGGAACTGGAGAATCTCTGGGAACATTCAGCATTGCAAAGTCAGAAGCTGATCGACATATCGGTGGTGGGGGAATTACCCAGCTTGCTTGGAGTCCCTGTGGGAGATATTTGTATATTGCTGAACGAAAGAGCGATGGAGTTTTGATATTCGATATCCGTGTCACTGGGCAACTTCTCGGTTGGTTAGAGGGTCGACAGGCCCTCACAAATCAACGAATGAAGATCGATGTCGTACCCATTGCCCAAGGTGACTCCCATGAGATCTGGGCTGGAGGAACAGACGGATGCGTGAGGGTCTGGCGAAATCCCACACACAGCGCTGGACCCCAAAAATGTCAGTGGGAGTGGAAGGTCCATGATGGTAAGCAATCTCCCAACGGGATAAGACAGTTCAACTTACATCTAGGTGTATAGACTCAGTCAACAGTGTTGTGCTGCATCCTATGGGGGATATTGCAGCGACAGCCTCTGGTCAGAGGCATACCTCACGTGACATGCCTGCTATTGATGCGGCATCTCCTCTCATGGAGAAGGTCGATAATAGCTTGAAGGTTTGGTCGATGCCATTCTTGGATGGCTACGTCCATTGAGATGAGATTCTCCAGGCTTAGGGAAGCTCTGAAACACCCAAGGCCCTGGTTGTCTATGCCAGACGCGCGTATATGCAGGGCGCATGTGTTACAGGTACATATCGAAGCCATACTTTCCATGAATCTTGCTCAAAGTGCCGTCGAATACAGTGTATTGTCATTACTAATTCTTGACCAGATAGACTCGGTTCCGCCATCTTGGCTCGCTCCCCAGCTGGCCCTCAATCAGGCCACGACTGGCCAGCAGCTTTATGATCTGACAATAGACTTGTCAAGCACTTTGAGTCCTCAGCAGGCTATTGTCCGCGAAGCTTCAATCAACCCAATGATCTCATAGAGGGTCATATCTGGCTCTCGATCTGTGCTTGAAGCCAATTCATTCAGCCCAGTGTCGTGAATGGAATCACCCGCATCTTGGTGCCTGGTTGTTCTATTATGCTCCACTTTACAAGCCTTTGTGAATAGAGCTGTCACAGATATGGCCTCCAGCATACCCCTTTCTGGTATATGGCACATCTTGCCTTGTTTGCATGCTCTTAGCACACGGCATCTTCCGCTTGTGAATGGTATCTTCCATATAACACAAGAGTTGAAGCCCATCAAACATCACCTAATGCCCACTTATACCAGGCTTCTGAATCATATCTTGTTTTGACCTCCAATATCTTCATTTTTCAAGGGAGTATAAAACCTCGAATGTCGCCATGTCAATCGCATCTCTTACCTCTTCATATCTCTTCAATTCATCTAGCCTCTTTCTGATCCAACGAGAAATCTGCATATCTTGCGCAATTCCACACTTCAACGTATTCTCTTGCTGTCTATTGCTCAGCTGTAAAGCTTCCTCTTCGTATCTCATAAACTCAAAACGACTCTGTGCGGTGTCATTCTAGTTACAGGGCATCACAATGTCTTCGCCAAACGGTGATGTTCCTGCCTCGCGTGTGGGGACTCATACTACTGCTTTCCCTCTCGACATTACTCCCCAAATCATTGAGCAGCTTGAGTAAGTCGCAGGCGAGTAATGTCTGCTTAGGATCCACTAATACGGGATATAGACGGCCAACCGCTCTCCCGCTTAATCAAGATCCTGTCTTGGGGAATTACGAGCCCGATAGCTTATTTGGTGAAGCACTTCATGCCATAGATGCTCACGAACGCCCAGCCGAGCCTCCCTTTACATCGAGCTTCACAGATATCCTGGTCGACGGTCTTCCATATGAAACCTGGTTTGACGCTGAACTGGCAGATATCCTTGGTCCTCTAAATACCTTTACTGGTGCAGCCTACGAAGGGCAGGCCATCGAGACCTCTGATGAGCATGAAGTTGGCGAACCGCAGTTTCCTATTGTCAATGCTGGATCCCAAGATGCTGAGATTCAAAATGCCATCGACGCCCACAATGCCGAACAGACTGAATCGTCGAGCGGTGAAATCACTCGTCCAACAGCCAGACAGAGCAACGGGAGTCCCTTGATGGGCGGCGGCAGGCATAATAGGTATTTTCTCCCTTTTCAATTCACTGTTTCCTGGTGGGCTATTGCTAACTTAGTGGTTCCTCTAGAGATGCGTCTTACACTGCTGATTTGTTCAGCCAGGGAGCTGCAGCCCAGTCGACCATTCACTCGTCCTTTGAGAGCTCATTCACAAACAATGTCCCTGCCAATAACCAACCTTTCAACAACATTGATCCATACTTTCTCGATGCCTCAGTGAATGCTGCACCCTTCGATGAGAGTGACAACACTGCCTCGCAGAGTGTTCCGCAGTTCGATGACTTCAATGCCATTCCTGAAATTCCCCAAGAGCTGGAGATGCCCATGCCAATCCTTGACAACAGCCAGGATGCTCAATTCACTCAGTATCCCAATCTTGACGACAATCAGACGTCGCAGCACGCATTCGAGCAGCAGGCACTCCCCTTCACCCACTTCAGTGGCGACAACGCTATCAACAATTCACTCTCTCATTCTCAGGTTGCTCCAGACCAGGATCAGCAGTTGTCTACTTCTCAACTCCTCCCCATCCATAATACCGACAACCAAACGCCTTTCACCACCTCTGAACAGCCTCAGCATACTCAACCTTTGACAACAGAAATGGCAGCGCAGACTCCTCTCGGGCAGATTGTCGACGAGCAAACGGCTCATCCTACCGTGGAAGAGATGCAGGGAGCACCATCAACTGATGGGGATGAGGAGGAGGAAGACGAAGAAGAAGAGGAGGAGGAGGAGGAGGAGGAGGAGGAGGGGCACGGAACTGCGGAGCTGGCGGAGGAAGCTTCTGTCGAGTGGCAGCCTCCCACGTTCGAGGACTTAATGAGTCCTAACGAACGAAGTGTGGACACCGCCACACGGTTCGCCTCGTACGAAGAGGCTAAGCAGGCGTTGAATCCTCCAAAGGAGGCTCTCGAGCCGAACCTGGATCTCTCAGAAGTCCAGAAACGGGCGATTGTCAAAGCCCTTATTATGGCAATCAACAACACTGAAGTCGCCGAGGACAACGAGAAGACTGTTCAGAAGTGGGCAGCGACTTCGAAGGAGCAGCCTTTGAAGGTGGAGGCCGCCGCATGGGGCGTTCTTGTAAGACTTGGCCACCTCGTGTATGTTTGATAGTGTGCTAACGTGCATTCTAGGAGGCCGCCATAGCCTACCACAGGCATGGTTCATTGATTCCCACGCTCAAGGAGGGAAAGAAGAAGAGACGTGAAAAAAAAATATCCACCAAAGACGGGATTGACATGCCCTTTCCAGAAAGGATCACGACGTTGATCCAAATCCTCCGCACCAAAAAGACCATCTGCAAGAGGATGGTTGAGGACAATTACATGCATCTATTCGTGCAGGCCCCCCTTCACTGCAACGCCCGCGTGGAGTCCAACCGTGTCATCAATAATCAGAAGGGCCGATACATCCATGCGGGCCGCGTGGTCGAGAGGGCGGAGGAGCAAAAGAAGAAGGATGAGGAGGCTGCTGGGGCTCCTAGCAGGGGCGTTCGACAGACCTCCGGTCTCACCTCTGGAGGTGCTCTGGGCACCCAAGATGCCCCAACTTTGCCGATACTCTCAGGGGTGGAAATCATGCGGAATGTGGGTGTCTATCCTATGCCTACCACCGAGGCCATGGGACCTTCCACCACTATGGTTGGTGATCGGAATAGTGCCCCGTTCACTCAAGGCCCTCAAGAGGCTTCGCATTTTCAATTCCCCTTTCAGGGGCTCTACTCCAATTCTAATGCGGCCCATCCCCCCACGAATCCCTTCACAAGCCAGCCTTCTTTTACGAGTCAGCCGGCCGTTGCGAATCAAATGCGTTTTATCTATGAAGATCCTTCTGTGATTCAACCGCGCCGTGCCAATCCACCTCGTCGGGCGATCGCATCTCGTCGTGTCAATCTATCTGAAACTTCTCAATCAACGGCCGGCGCTAATTTTGCCGCTTCCCCAGGTATCGGCTCACAGGACAGTCGAAAGAGATCGGCTACGGGAGAGCAGCCTGATGGTGTGGACGCCCGTGCTACCAAGAGGCCGCGACATTAGGCCAATTGACTGATGAGCGATGTGTTTGGGACTATCAAGCGGGCTATGTTGGCTCTCGGATGTGTTCCAGCAATTGCCTCTATGTTGATGCTTCTCTGGTTGCATGGCCCATTCTATCACTATCTGGCTTGATGTCAGTCTTCATCTCTTTGTGCTTCTCTTGCACTCAAGATTTGAACCTCTTTTTTTTTGGAGACAATTTCGGAGGTGATATTGAATCCTGCGTGCAATTTGCATTGGACTGGAGTCCTGAGCATCTCATTCGGCATGGCTTCATATGATACCTCTTTACGGTCTGTTCTGCTGTATCTGGAGCGAATATCTTCACTGACAGACATGTCGCATTGAACGGTTGCTTACCATGAAGTGCTTCTGGTGCAGACATTGAGGACACGATGGAGCTTGGTGGTTCTGATGTGTTTCTGACGTGCTCTGCAACCGACTCTATCTTTAATTGATAGACTTTTTTTAGGGGTCGTTGGCGTCGGTTATTTTGATGGTGTTGGCTATTTTGATGGTGTTGGTTAATTTGATGGTGTTGGTTGCTTTGGTGGCGTTGGTTGACTTTGACAAGACTTGGAATCATTTTGTTGACCTCTGCTACGCATGTCCCATACTTTGTTATGTCCACAGTACTCTCATCGTTTTCGATTGAGCACTTGGGTCATTCGGTTGACATAACCACATTCATGTACATTATCTAAATTGGAATCATGTATCTAATAGGAGAAAAAAAAACAGAGAAATCCTCAAATCATGCGAGATCAATTCCATATCTCTCATAGGGAAAGTTCTCCAAAGTCGCAAGCAAATCGGCCCAACCATCGTCAATCTGGCCTGGCCGGCCCGCTCCCTGGATCCTCCACGCCGTCAGCTCCTCAGCTTCTCTCTCCGGGGCCGACTTTTCTTCTTCTTTATGCTCGCCCGTCAAGCCAGCCAGAACCTCCGCTTCCCGTCCCTTGTAAGCGTCCAATAGACCGGGATGGGGGCACCAGACCACCCGCATACCCGCCCTGCGACCGGCTTCTACGCCAGGCACAGCGTCCTCAAAGACAAGGCATTCTTCAGGCGTGATCTCCGGCTCTCCGCGCTGGCGCAAGGACTCATTGATCGTTTCTAGAGCCAGCAAGTAAATATCCGGTAGCGGCTTTCCTCGTCCCTTTCCGATCCGCGGATCGTCGCCCAGGACCCGCTGGGGTTCGGGAAATGCGCGGAAGAGATCCTGCAGATGGTCCGTTTTCAGTTTGAAGTTCTTGCTGTGTGAGGATGTGGCTAGGGCGATGTAGACTGGCTTGTCCGTCGTCTGTGTTGAGACGAGGTTGGAGAGAAGAGATGCGACGCCTGGCAGAGGTTGCGATTGGGGGAAGTATTTGGCCTGGAGAGCGGCCTGCTTTGCTGCGTATTCTTCAGGGCCGATGGGGAGTTGGGCCCAGTGGTGGAAGATCTTGCTTGCCTGTATGTTATACGATCAGAATCAAGAAGTTTAGAATGTCGAAGAGGTTATTTGGGCCTCAACTGATAAACAACAACATAACGCGATGTAAGGACATACCTCAGGCTGTGGACGACCTTGGAGCTGGGCCTTGATCTCCCAAGGTAGCAATGGCTTTCCAAATTCCTGAAGAATAGAATTGGTGATCTCGGTGTATTTATCCTCTGAGTCAATGAGGAGTCCATCCATGTCAAAGAGACATGCCCGCACGCGGGGGAAACTGGATGAGGGGCAGTTAGAGAGGGTTTTTTTGGATTCATGATTGAACGAGCAACTGTAGAGGCAGAAGCTTACCTGGAAGTGGATTTGGTCATCTCGTAAAGCCTTAATTTCGATCAGATGGGTACTTTGGAGAAGAAGGTTAAATTGATCTGGGGATTGAAGATGTCGCGATAAATAAACCCCCACCTGTGACTCCGATAGCAATCGGTTTGGGAGTAACCAAGTGGGGAGTTCGTTCATGCCGCTTTATCGCGTAGATAGAGAAGATAGTCGGGGGCCAACAAGTCCGGCTGTCCGACCGCCGATGATATCGCCCATATCCACCCAAGCTTTAGAGCCACTCTTTCGATCATATCGATGTTTTTGGCTGTCATCGGGTTAAAATGACACAGGAACCCTCGAAAGACAACTCGCAACATGGCGCTGCGGATTCAGATAGCGAAGGCGAGGATGTCTTCCACGATGCACGCTTTCCTGCGGACGAAGAAGCCGTGAGTTATTGACTCCCCCTCCTCCGCAAACTACAGTTACTGATCTTCCTAATGGTGGTTTGACAGAACCTCTTGAAAGAATCCCATGAGATCAAATCAGAAGCCAATAAACTGTTTGCGGCTGCTTGTTATGATCAGGCTATCTCCTCCTATGATCGTGCCCTCGCCTCATGCCCAAATTATCTTGACTACGAAGTCGCCGTACTCCGGAGTAATATGGCCGCTTGCTACCTGAAGTTGGAAGATTGGAGGGCATCCGTCGACTCTGCAACTGCCTGTCTCGACCGTTTGAATAACATCATCCCGTTGTCTCCGCAGGACCAGAAGGAGACCAAGGACAAGCAGTCAGAACCGGAAGATCAAACAGACGCCGTGGTTGAGATATCCGGCGAGGATGAAGAAGCCGAGGAGGAAGAGCTGAAACGTCTACAGAGGATGGATGAACAAAGAAATGACGTTATGCGGATCCGAGCAAAAGCCCTCATGCGACGTGCTCGAGCCAAGAGTCAGCTTGGAGGCTGGGGGAACCTTCAAGGAGCTGAAGAGGACTACAAATTACTTGCTGGTATGGACAACCTCCCTCCAGATGATAGGCGAGTTGTACAGAAAGCTCTGCGCGAGTTGCCTGGTCGAATCAAGCAGGCACGGGAGAAGGAAATGGCAGACATGATGGGTAAACTGAAGGATGTGAGTCAATGAATCTCCCCTGGATAAGCTGTCGTAATTCTCCTAACTTGTGCTGCAGCTTGGAAACGGTATCCTCAAACCATTCGGTCTGTCGACGAATAACTTCAACTTCGTCCAAGATCCGAAGATGGGCGGGTATAGCATGAACTTCCAATCGGGATCATAAAAGTGACTTGCAGAGCTCTGGGACAGCATTGAAACTGGGTATTTTATGACTTGTTCATATTTGCGATTGGTAAAAATAAGGGAACTGTCACCAGAAGATTGCTCGGTTCTGATCTTCTCGTGCACATAGAATTTTCTCCTTGCCTGCATAGAAGTGGCAACATGGAAAGATATCATGGTGAAGGTAATAGATATGTCCAACGATGGATGTGCGCATTCTAGGTGCCAAAGAGCCATCTAAATATCGAAACCAATCAGTGTTTCGCCCCGTAGGCCTATCTTATATGGCTACGTTGGCCGGGCTTCTAAACATACACAACAAATCCCAATCAAAGTATCAGACAGTACATACTTTATCCAAGGAACTCTATCTCCATCCGCTGGCACGCTCGGCATTGCATCCCAAGTGTGGGGAGAACCGTGGGGCTTCTAGTCCTCGCACTGGAGAAACTCCAACCAACTTCTTGTCCGACACTCAGAGCTATCTTGTATCTGGACTCGCTGAAGATCAGGATCCCCCACAAAAACAATCGAATAAAGAATCAAGTATCAAGGTCTGACTTCGTAATTTCTACACGCTTTGCCAAAATGTGAACCGATACGGCGCAGAAGAATCACCTTCAAGATGCGTCTATCGAGCAAGTCCGGAATTACCCCAAATCTTGTTGATATTCGAGAATTATGGAGTCAAAATGAATTTACTATTGGTGAGTCTGATACTGGAGTCAAAAAGTTACCAATAAGAGCTAACTGTCTTTCGAAGTTTCCTGCCAGCAATCATGTTAAAAGATGTTGAAATCGTCATGGGCGCCTTCAATTGCTCGTCAACACCCATCTACTGCCACTGCTAGAAATTCGCGAGATACTACATCATGACCACCGTCCTTCAAATCAAGTCACTAGGTGAGATTCGAGGGAAGGACCACGACGGGGCGGTCCAATTTCTTGGGATTAAATATGCCACTCTCAAGAATAGATTTGCGGATGCAGTGCTCATTGAGCGGCGTGATGGCGATGTCCTCGACGCAACCAAGGAAGGGTAGGAAGACCAATTAGGGATTTACCTGCTGATCGATTGATTCAAATATCTTTTCTAGACCAACGGCTCTGTCTCCATCGTTCGGATGTGACCTGGAACTGGGTATTCAACATACACTCCCAAAGAAAGACCTTCCTCAATCGGAACTGGACTGTCTCAATTTAAATATCACGATTCCTTCTGGTACCACGGCCTCATCTAAGCTTCCAGTGTTTCTCTTCATTCACGGTGGAGGGCTTGTGCTTGGAGCCAACTCTTGGCCACAATTTGATTATGTACGGTTTGTCAAATTGTCTGTTGAGAAAAATCTCCCTATCATCGCGGTTTCCATCAAGTAAGGCAACCTATCCCTTTACAAGGCAGACAGAGAAGCTCACATCTTCAAGCTATCGCCTGGGTGCAGTCGGCTTCCTTACATCGGAGGAACTACGTCAAGCTGGATACAAAGCAAACAACGGACTCAGAGACCAGAGAGTGGCCATGAGATGGGTGCAGCAACATATTGAAGCCTTTGGTGGAGATCCTGAGAATGTCACTCTTGCAGGAATGAGTGCCGGAGGAGGTAAGTCTCGGAACTTGCCATTTATTCTTACCCTCAAAATATGCTGATATATTCCTAGCTTCTGTGACATATCAGCTTGATTCCGATGAGCCGCTCTTTAAGAGGGCTATTGTGATGAGTGGCACATCTCTTCTGATCCAACCTCTGCCTTGCGACGTCCACGAACAGAACTACCAGCAGGCCATTTCAGCCTTAAGACTGGCAGATCTCAGTCCTCAGGAACGAATTCAGGCTCTACTGAAGATCCCTGGTAAGGAACTGTTGGCCAAGATACCTCCATCCGTCTTATCGGCTCCTGCAATTGATGAAGATATGGTGCTTTCGTTTCCAACATACACGCAGGTAGCGAGCAAGAACTCGAACATTCCGAGAGGGAAGAGCTGGTGCAAAGATATATTAATAGGCGATGCTCAGATGGATGTAAGTGGCCGGTTGTGACATTTATCTTCAACGCTGACTCAACAAACCCATTTTCAGGCCAGTATTATGGCGCTCCTGATGGTTCATACAAAGAAGGATTGTGCAAGTAAATTTACCACTGCAATCAACACCGCTCTCGCAAATCATCCGAAGGTGGCGCGCGATATCTTAGACAGATACAAGATCACCAAGGAAATGGCAGATGATGAGGCGTTTACAGCAATTCTCAACTACATCAATGATATTGCTTTCTTTGCTCCCGTCCTAGCATTTGCAGAAGGCTGGAGAGGGAATGCATATGTCTATTACTTCAACGAGGGGAACCCCTGGGACGGGCCTTGGAAGGATCAAGCAAGTCATATCCTCGACCTAGCTTATCTGTTCCAGAACTTCCGAGAGTTCATGATGCCAGCCCAACAAACACTTGCGGTCACTTTTGCAGAAGACGTCTTCAAATTTTGCCATGGCATCGAGCCGTGGCCTGCTGCCATTCCTGGTGATCTGAAAACCAAGTTCACGGCACGAACCTACAAATCCAGTTCGAGTGTCGGGCAGGTCAATGCTCCATACGGCGAAGGAAGCTCGAGAAGAAGTATTCTTTTCGATTATGCTGGTCAAGTATCGCTGGATGAGTTGGCAGATGTGCTCAATGTGTTCAGAACGCTCTGAGCATGGGTCTCAATAGGCATGGTAATGTTTACTGTTTCTGAGATGAATGTCCTCTGACTTCTCCGGCCGGTGATATCTGCTTGTGTTCAGACTTCATCAAATACTGTTAAACTGTACATATGACGGCCAATTGATGAGGCAAGTCTAAGGATATGATACATACGTTATAGTGGAAATATAACTCTGGCAATCGTTCAAACTCTATGAACCCATTGCCTCTCTCAAAATGCTGTTTCTTGATGCCTATATACTGTCATTGGAGGTCCGGTTATCTAAGCGAGCCTGACTCAAACCTGTCACAGAAACAACTACAGTTATCTGATTCAGGCAGTTGAGGCTCCATTTCGTTTCTAATACGCATGCTTTTCTCTTCTTCCGCATCCCCAACGTACCATGTCCAATTTCCAAAGTCAGCTATATCTACTTATCATCTAACGCAACGCTTTTAGGCTGATATCTTAGCGACGGCGTCTCCATTCGAGGATGGCTGAGAAGGTCCGGCTTACCTCGGGACCCGCGGGCACCGAGCTGGTCACCTTGACAAAACCGCGATTTCCCATCTACTCCGTATAAAGTTCTCTTTTTTTCTTCTTAAGTCTCACTGAAAATGATTCTAACTGATCTGTCAGGCCTTAGTGGTTATTCTCCACATTTTTGCTCAATTTCGTCTTTAAATTCATAGCGCAGTCCAGCCAAGCGACAGTCAACACCACCAGGATTGCCAAGGACAAGGTAGTTGGGTGAATGTTATTCCTATAAATCTTGTCATCGCCATTCCTATGGTCTCGAAGTGTATAAGAGGCCTTTTGCCTCAGAGCAAGCGTCCTGCAAAACGACCGGTACTTCTAGAGGCGAGGTCTTCCAAAGCATTTATTATATTTGTGGTTTCCTTTGCAACGTTCACGGTACGTCATATCTGAAAATCATATACTTAGAGTATGGGTGCTAAAGTTGATATTACTAGGATATATTACTTTATGGACTAGTAAGCGGATCCTTTGTCTCAGGATATTGTTCTCTATTCTGAAGATGGTTATCCTGTGGAAGTTGTATCTCAAATATCAGATTAGATCGTTCCGGTCACCCCTACAGCTCTCCATGAGAGAGTTGGCTTATCCAAAGACGATGGTATGTATGATTATCTGCCGATATGTTAAAAAACGATCCATTTTTCAAATTGGTGACACCATGGCTCTTAGAACAATCATGGACGTCTATATTGTTGGCTTTGTACGGAGCGGCATTGCTGACAGCTTCTCGTAAGTTTGACTACCTGGCCCTAATAGATATCAGCTCACCAATTATTCTTATATAGCCGTCGCCGGCTACATAGCAGATCGGATTCAGTCCCGACGCTGGCCTCTTCTTATAGGACTGGTAGCCCTAGGAGCTGCCACGGCGTTGCTCTGTGTAGGGACCAATATTGGGCTTTGGATCGCTGGCCGGCTGTTCCAAGGAGCATCCGCAGCTATTGTCTGGACAGTAGGCTTAGCCCTCTTGGTTGACACGATCGAAAAAGAAGCTCTGGGCGAGGCGATGGGATATGCAGCCATGGGCATCACACTCGGAACAATGGGAGGCCCTCTCCTGGGAGGTGTCATTTATGAAAAGGGAGGCTACTATGCTGTTTACGGGCTGGCCTTTGGCATAGTCGGCTTCGATATCTTCCTACGGATTGTCTTGATTGAGAAGAAGCATGCCGCGAGATGGCTTGAGATCGAGAAGCCATCTTCTGAGCTTGGAGAGAATACGTCCGAAAAACAGCCTATACCCGCATATGGTACCAACTCCTTCTTGAGTGGAGGACCCGAAACCAGCACTCGCAGTGGGCATAAAGATACGTCGAACGATAGCGCATCGCAAAGCAATACTCTTCATAGTGAGGATTCAGATTCAAAGGAGCCTCGCAAGCGACGTTTTAGTGCCATCACTACTTTACTAGCATCTGATAGGATGCTTGTCACTTTGTGGGCATATTTCATTGTATCCGTCGCCCTGACATCTCTCGACAGTGTACTTCCACTTTTCGTCCAGGACACATTTGGTTGGAAACCGACAGCGCAGGGGCTCATCTTTATTCCCGTGTCTGTACCACATCTTCTGGATCCATTGTTCGGTTATCTTAATGACAAGTTTCCCAATGCCCGACGGTTCATAGCTGCTGGGGCACTTTTTGGCACTGTGCCGCTGTTTGTGCTACTCCGACTAGTCACCACGAATTCCATGAGCCATAAGGTGCTTCTCTGCGCGTTGCTGGCGCTTCTTGGATTGTGTCTGGCTCTCCTAATTCCTCCTCTTTTCGTGGAGGCATCCTACGTCGTTCAGGAGAAAGAGGCAGAGAAACCTGGCGTTTTTGGCAAGGGAGGCGCAATGGCTCTTGCGTACGGTATTCTCAATTCCGCTTTCGCAGCTGGAAGCATTGTTGGGCCTTTCCTTGCGGGTTTCATTCGTGAAAGCGCTGGCTGGGGCACGATGACTTGGACGTTGGCTTTGCTTACGGGAGTGTCGGCTCTACCGATCCTGCTGTTCCTGGGAGGGCGCATATGGAAGCCTATGGGACGACAAGTTGTAAGTCATGCTCCTGAAGCGCTTGGATAAACATTGCAAAATGGGAACATATATCATAGCAATGTCTAAAGTTGAAGTGCTTCATGTATAAGGAGTGAGCTGGTTCTCGAGCATGTAGAACGGAATGCGTCACGTAATGTATATAATTTGAATGTAATATATAGGAAAATCTGACGACGAATTCTTTTCGAAAAAGTAAGTGTTCAATGATGAATTTTTTAGAAGCGAAGGAGCAAAAAGTACTCAGCAACCCAAAGCTTTCTCACTTTAACTCTCGTGAGAGTACTCCTGACGCCATCATAATCATACCATCGACTGCCGGGGGGAATTTCTTATTCTCTCATCAACCGAGCTCCATATCTACATGGAGTGGACCTCCCCGCAGCCCCACCCTCAAAGTGCTGGTCAATATGGCCACGGGGGCATCGACAGCGCCGGGAATTGCAAGAAACCAGAACAACCGACAGAACGGAGAACAGGCCGAAAGAAGGGGGGAAATGGGGAGTAGGCAGTGCCTAAGCGAAGAAATTCTCGCAGGCTCTTCATTGTGGTCCGAAAACCTCACTCCTGCTCATCGCAAAAACATCAGGTTGACTCATCGCGAATATGGCAGCTCCACAAGTATCTCATGAGAAGCTTCAAGCAGTGTTTACAGGCGTCCGACGAGATGTCGAAGGTGTGACGGTTGATCAGTATCGCGGAATCAAGTATGCAGATGTAACAGCGCGATTTGAACGTGCTCAGCCTGTGGAAAGCTTTCAAGGTAGCGCCGTCGATGCTACCAGATACGGGTATAGCTTGTCCTTCGACCTCGAAAGAAGTCATTTTGTCTGAGTTTTGGAGTTTGAATGCTGAATGTTGAGGGATGATATAGACCAAGATGTCCTCAGGTCCCCGTGGACCTTCGCCACTTGTTGCGCATCCCGGAGGATTTTGAAATAGCACCAGAGGCTGAGGATGAATTTGAGTGTCTGAACTTGGATATCACCTGTCCTTCACCGTCTACAAGTGGGCCTCTTCCTGTTTTACTCTGGATATATGGTAAGTTGTTGTGATTTCGGATATAGTATTATGATGTTTGATGTGCTGATGGTCTTTTGTTAGGGGGATCTCAAATTGTTACATTCTGCTCTGCTCAGTCGAAAATCTGCGGTAAGAAGCGCTTGCCCTCTATCCATACCTTATACTTACAGTCGAGACGCCTACAGATCCTACCCGAATTGTTGCGGACTCGATCAAGGCTGGCCAGCCCATTATCTTTGTCTCTTTCAATTATCGGCTCAATATCTTCAGCTTCGGTGATGGAAAGGAGAAGAATCTGGCGCTCAAGGATCAGAAAATAGCTATTGATTGGGTTCAAAAGAACATTGCAGAGTTTGGAGGTGATCCAGTATGTGGCTTTCTACTCAGCAGGATGCTTGAGCTGATGTTGAATTCTATTCTAGAACAACATTACACTTGCCGGAGAAAGTGCGGGGGCTGTCTATGTACACGCACATCTAATCACTGGTGCTGCTGTAAAGCGGGCAGTGTTGGCATCGGGATCGCTATATCTCTCTTCACCTTTGCCAGTCGAGAGAGGTGATGGGCTCATCAAGGCATTGGAAAGCAAGGTACATGAACTGGGACAGCCGTCCCTCCGCCAGTCTTCCGTTGAAGTCCTCCTACGGGCCTTGCAAGATTGCAATGTGAACACTATGTGGATACAGGAGGACGGAGAGTTTGAAGATTGGGAAAACAAGCCGGAACAAGTCGAGGAAGTGATGATCGGTGATACTGAGTATGAGGTAGGTTTTTTTGATCTCGCAGTCATTGCATCGCTCCTATCTAATCACTTCATTTCCAGTCTGTTATCTGGAGAAACGGGATTGAGACTTTCGACGGGATAACAATCGCTGCAGCCTTCGAGACTGAGAAGGAGTACGGTTCCAAGCTGCGCAAAATGTACCAGATTGTCGCCGATCGCCCGACAGCTTGCAAACTTGGAGCGCTAGATTTTGTCAACGATGCTCGGTACACACTGCCTGTCGAAATCGTCGCGGAAAAGCTCAAGGCCGCGAATAAGCGCGTCTTCAAATACGTCGTTGACCAACCCAACCCATGGCAACCATCTAGCCGGGCACATCATGCGGTCGATCTCCTCTTCCTCTTTGGGGGTCTTGATCTTTCTTTCAACCCCGCTGCGGATGAAGTGGGCCACCAGATGCGGAGTCGCTGGATACAGTTTGTTAATGGCCGGGCGCCTTGGTTGGAGGGCCGAAGGTTTGCCTACGGGCCCGTCGGGGAGTGCAAGGAGATCACCGATGCACAATTTGCTTCTCGCCGGCGTGTAGAGCACCTCAAGGTGCTACGTGAGGCCGGCATGGGGATATACCTACCTATTGTGTTCACGTTGACCGCAGGCAAGATCAGCTTGTTGAATTAAATACATTCGATTGTGTTATTGAAGTAAATCCTGAAGCCTGCACAAATACTACAACTACTTCGTAAGCTCTGAGGAGATCTGCGGAAGTGGCTCTCTTGAAACCCATAGATGTATTGATTGGGGGAAACCCGGTCTTTATATGGATGGTTGTCAGTTTGTTAGCAGTTACAACCAACTGGAGCGTCGCCTGACCTGGAGTTCCTCCCAAATCCCCCTTCCATCGGCAATTCCCCCAACACTCAATCCCGTCCATCAACATCAGTTCTCCACGAGAGCATCATTTTTCTCCGTTACTCAGAACTGACTCATGTGGGGTTTCTTTACTTATGCGATTAAAGCAGAAAGAGGGCTTGAACAGACTCCACTTTCGGTTTCCCTACCCCAGCTCCACTCGCGTTGGACTCGGCAACGCGAGCCCTTCCCAATATGCCGATTTGTATGACTCTGGCGCGAATCTATGCTGTCGGAGCCGATGTTCTCGCCTAAGAAGTCTATCATTCACTTGACCATTCGTCGTCGGAACTTCGGTCGATGAGATGTGGTGACAACTTGGAACTCATCATGGCGTCTGGGCTAATATCCGGCACCCATACTTGTTGAACTCTGGGGGTATATGAGGCTTCCTGTTTCCCCTCAAGAAACAGATTATCATTACAGGCGATTGAGAATTGGGCTGATTTAGACTCATCGTTCTGGTGGATTCCGGTCTTCAACAATATGCCTTCCACGAGTGACTTGTCAGACCCCCAGGAGTATCAGAAGATATTCCATTGGGCTGAAACTCAACAAGACGGTGCTGTACCTTCTTTCAACACCAGGAGAAACGATCCTTATGAAGTGAGTTGACTCTGCCATACGGTGAATTCATGTCTTGATGTGATGGTTAATGTGTTGATCAGTATCAAACTGGTTTGGGCAACTCGTACGTATAGTGCTCACCTACATGCACCGATTCAACTTGTTGATGTAGACCTTGCTACAGATTTGAGTCGGAGGCTGTCCCTGGTACCATTCCACAAGGCCAGAACAGTCCTCGTAACGTGAGGTTCGGTCTATACGCAGAGCAAATCACTGCTACTGCTTTTAATGCCCCGCGGCATTGCAACAAGAAGGCATGGTTGTACCGTGCTCGGCCAGCCGTTGCCCATCAGGGATTCGTATGTGGCGGACACTTCCTCATTTGATGGAATTACGCTGACGATACAATAGACTGGGCTTCCCGACAACAAGGATACAGAGTCAAATTTCATGCCCCTGAACCCTCGGGTCCATGTTTCACCAACTCAGCTGGCATGGCACCCATTCGATATCCCAACTTCCGAGGAGGTAGACTTCATTGCCGGTCTCAAAACTGTGGCCGGCTCGGGAGACCCAGCCCTTCGCGAGGGTCTCGCTACCCACGTCTACGCAGCAAACGCTAGCATGAAGAAGAAAGCCTTTGTGAATTCGGACGGCGAATTCCTCATTGTTCCCCAGCAGGGCGCCTTGGACATTCAGACTGAATTTGGCCCACTCTTCGTCCAGCCCGGAGAAATCGTTGTCATTCAGCGAGGTCTCCGCTTCCGTGTCGAGCTCCCAGATGGCCCCTCTCGTGGATATATCCTCGAAGTCTGGGGCTCATATTTCGAGCTTCCAGAACTTGGACCACTTGGAGCTAACGGGTTAGCCAACAGCCGGGACTTCCTGTCACCTGTGGCTAAGTATGAGATTGCTCAGGAGCCTTGGGAGATTGTGTACAAGCTTGGAGGCAAGTTCTTCAAGAGCACGCAAAACCACAGCCCTTTCGACGTTGTCGCCTGGCATGGCAATTATGTATGTTTTAGAACCGCCTACCTGGCTGTGAGAGACCATACTGACCTTTCAATAGGTGCCTTACAAGTATGACTTGACGAAGTTCGTCAACGTTGGCTCGATCTCCGTCGACCACATGGATCCTTCCATTTTCTGCGTCCTTACAGCCAAGTCCCGCGATCTCACTGCGCCCCTAGCCGACTTTCTCACCTTTTCCCCTCGCTGGGATGTTGCGTCCAGTATGAATCCGCTAATCTGGAGACCTGGTGTGCTTTCAGAAGACTGACAATGCCAGACTCCTACCGCCCGCCATATTATCACCGCAACGCTGCATCCGAATTGATGGGTCTGATCTATGGAGATTATGGTGGCCGCTCGGATGCATTCAAGCCCGGCAGTGTCTCTTTCGAATGTGGAAGTCCGTTTTTATCAATGGTCCTACGTTTAGTGAGGAATAAACTAACAGAACACATAGTGGTCCCCCATGGCGTTGCCTACGAAGAGTTCAAGGCTGCTACCGAGACAGAGCTTCCGGTGATGAAGATCTCAGAGGCATCTATTGCATTCATGTTCGAATCTAGCCGTCCGTTCACTATTACCGACTATGCCTGGAACAGCGACAAGAAGCACGAACACGAACCGAAGATGTGGGACAACCTTGTTGATAACTTCTCCAGTCACGCCAAGGAGGTTGAGGAGATCCTGACAAAGAAGGCACAGGGTCGTCGGGCTTGAAAGGCTGTCGATTCGTTCTTAGAATGGTTTCCCGATGTACATTCTTGTGGTCTTTCCCTCGTGTATATATTAAAACCTGATTGTCCGGGAGCTGATTTTAGAGAGTCCTTGCAACTACCTTGAATGATACCATCAATTTTGTTAAAGCGGTCCCAGAAGTCGCGTGATGGTCTTGCATCGGGAACGGAAGCTTCTATATGAAACTAATCTCCATCATATACCGGTGGTATTTGGCTTCGCTCGCTGGCCTCCAGTCTAATTTTTCTAACTAGAACCTGACATAAGCGTATGGAACTGTCAAGATCATCCAGGATTGATATATATAGATAGATTGCTGGAAAGTGTCCAAACTGCAGCCCGACGAAGACGATACCCTTACGTGGTGACTTCAACAAGATGTCAATATGTGTCACGACGCCTCACCCCCAGACAAGCAATTCAAAACAGCAAATTCAATCATTGCATTGCAAATGAATTTATCCTCTGCAGGATCAGACCAACAACACAAAGACAATGGATACAACCCCTCGCTATAACTTCAAGGACATCAACACCCACGACCTCGAAGCAGCCAAACTCTTCGAAGTCAAGGGCTATGTGGCCGTCATCACAGGCGGAGGTAACGGCATCGGCCTCATGGCCGCGCAGGCCTTAGCAGCCAACGGCGCTCGAGTCTACATCATCGGCCGCAGGGAGGAGATTCTCGACACCGTCGCAGAGAAGTACTCGTCCAACGGACAGATCATCCCGTATGCCCCAACCTCCCAATTCCTCCCTCACTTGTTCCTTCTCCCCAGCTCTAACAGAATGCTATCGCATCCTAGACTCCCAAGGGACATCTCCACCACAGAGGGCATAAACGACCTCGCGAGCTCGCTCTCCACCGCCGAAGAAAAAGGCATCAACATCCTCATCAACTGCACCGGCGTCACCAGCAAGCCCGCCGCAAAAGCCCAATCCGGCACCATCGACTTCACGGACCCGGACGCCGTCTCGCGCTGGATGGTCCGCGACGGCCCAGATGCGTGGCGCACCGCCTACGCCGGTAACGTCTGGGCGCACCATTTCCTCACCGCCGCGCTGCTGCCGCTGCTGGACCGCGGGACCAAGGCGGCGCCGGGGCATTCGAGCATCGTGTTGAATGTGGCGAGCTTGTCGGGGCTCACGAAGACGCACTCGCAGGGCCAGTTTGCGTATTCGTCTAGCAAGGCGGCGTTGATCCATCTGACGAGAGAGTGGGCGCATACGTTCCTGCCGCTGCGGATTCGCGTTAATTGTATTGCGCCGGGGTTGTTTGAGAATGTGGTGACCGTCGGTCGACCTGGGCAGAGTGAGAGGGCGAAGGTGGAGGAGGAGGCGGGGAGGCAATTTCCGGCTGGTGAGTTTGCTTGTTATGTTTTCTTGTTTGGGTGAGGGATGTCAAGTGGGTTGGATATTGATGCACTGGATGCAGGCCGGACTGGACGGGAGCCCGATATTGGCGGCATCGTTCTATATCTTTGCAGTCGAGCTGGAACTTATATTAATGGGCAGATCATCAGTTTGGATGGAGGTCAGTATTCAATTGTTGGTATAATCAACATCAGCTCATGCCTTCCAGGACTGCTTTTGAAAACACCAGCTGCTATGTGAACGCAAAGAGATACTTCTGTGGATGGCCAGTCCATGGTTATCAAGCCATGGCCTATCGTTGGCCTTGGCAAAACAATATAAAAAAGATAGACGTATAAATAATTTTGTGAAAGTCTTTTATTTTCATGATTGGTATCAACACGGCCAGAAGTACGGACATACAATTATTGGGGGCAAGTGAGTCTTTCGTATGCTTCTCTCAGCATCCCAGTAGCCCTCTCGAAGGGTCAGAAAGCCCGACTTGCCAATAAGAATAGAGGAAAAATTGTCTATTGCAGTCAGATCACAAGAAATAATCAGGTGTACGTCTCGAAACCATCGGCTCTCCCGCACGCGGGCAAGGATCAAATTGTAAGCTGCAGGCATCGGTTAGCATGACTCTTCAGTAAGCTCATCATCTGTCCGAGTCTGACTTACAATGTGTATTTGAGATGTTCGTCGATCTCCATGATGGCGGCTTGATTACCGCAACGGTAACAATAGTTGGGGGCTGAAAAATTACATTAGCATCAAGCGTAGGAATGAGCAAAAGGGGAACAACCGTACCTGAGAAAATGGTGACCACATTTCTGTCCTGCGACCAATTATATCCCTCCATGACCAATTGATGCGCGCGTGCGACAAGAGTCAAGCCGTTGTTGTGATTGAATGCCTCCGAAATATCCTGCCCAAATGTGTAACCAGCACCACGGGGGGAGATACCCCAGCCGCATCTGTCATCGGGGTCACTCCAAAGGAGATCGCACATAGGTCCCTCGTGAGGAACTTCCTGGATCCGATCCAGGGATCGAATGTTGTCGAGGGTGTCGATGGAGGGACTCAGGCCGCCATGCAGACAGAAGATCTGATTCTCAATGAGGGCGGTGAGAGGAAGATAGTCAAAGAGGTCGGTGAAGTATTTCCAGACGTTGGCATTGCCGTATTTGCGCAAGCACTCGTCATAGAATCCATACACTTGTGTGATCTGACGAGACTCGTGGTTTCCTCGAAGAATAGTGATGCGCTGGGGGTAACGGATTTTAAGACAAACAAGGAGAGTAACAGTCTCTACGGAGTAATAACCACGATCGACGTAGTCGCCTAAAGAGATGTTTAGGTCTGTTAGACGAGGCTGGAACAATAAAAAAGAAAAAGATTCACAAGCAAGGAATTGTCCACATACCCATGAAGAGGTAGTTTGTATCGGGGTTAGGACCGCCGATGCGGAACAGCTCCATTAGGTCATGGAATTGACCATGTATATCACCACAGACGGTCACGGGGCATTTCTGGACAGGAATCAGTCAATCAGTCATGCCGCACATTTCTTCATACGAGAAGAGGATGAAGGGGAGCACATACGACCGGCTGCACATTAGATTCCTCCCGCAATACTTCTCTTGCCTGCAAGGCGCGAAAACCATCAGAATGATTACCACAAAGGCCTCGGATATCACACATATCAAGAAAAACGCACTCGATCACACAGTCTCCGCACATCATCCTCGGCGAGCTGCTTGCAGGCCATCAAGTTCTCAATCCATCCATCCAGTGTGGGTATAGACCCAGGATCGGTGGTGGGCGAGAGGTGATGAGGCTCCGGTGACCGCGCTGGGTCGAGTTCCATGTTGTTATCCATAGTGTTGGTCGCAGGCGAGTTCAAATGAGAGCAAAAGTGGAGGAGGGGCGGGTAGCTAGGAGGGGGGTGGTCTCGTGAGGCTGATTAGGGATTTTCAGGGTTCCTGGATGACGCACGAAGGGAGAGAACAGGGTTGAGGGTAGAATCGGATAAGAGCGATCTGGCTCGAGATGAGTACAAAAATTCCGTGCGCTGTGGGATAAATGAAGATGGGTTGGGACTTGGAATTTGGTGGTTGTGAAGGGGGGGGAGGGATTGCTGTGCTGAGCTGGACGATGCCAGGGAGGATGTGCAGGTTGGGTGTGTTGGGCATGCGCCACACCTTTCCTCGCCAAGCCACATCACCTCCCCACGATCTCCATGCAACTCGAACCCCCCACTCGACGCCAAAATAGATGTTTACTTTGAGAGTGATATAGTTTCAGGCTAATAGTTGGGTTTAAATATTACTAGATGGATAAAAATAGGAACTCACTGGCAATTTTGTGTGTACTCATGATAAAGCTGCTGCAATCAACTTCTTGTTGCGCCTCTTTGCCAGCTACGAATAGCTTCGACTTAGCCGCGCGCCTAAATGATGTCACCGCCAAATCCTCCACCAAAACCGCCGCCGCCGAAGGGTCCTCGTCCTCGTCCGGATGGTGCTCCTCCGGGACCAACGGGGTCATATCTTGATCCAGGAGGTGCTTGGGGATCGTAGCCTTGTCCTCCACGACCTCCGAACAGCGGATCATCAAAAGTTGGATGCATACCACCACCACCTCCGCCTCCGAGACCAGGACCAACACCCCCTCGAATGGGATCATTGGGACCAAGACCCGCAGGATATAAGTCTCTGTCTCCGTAGTTCATAGGATTGCGGCCACTATTTCCCGGGGGGTATCCTCGAGGTGGCCGATAGATCTCATATTCATCCTCAAACCCAGGTGGCGCAAAATCCCCCGGGGGAGCTGGTCGCCGGGGACCTGCTGCCAGGGGATCATCAAAGGGGTACGGACGTGCAGGCTGAGGGAGTGTATCATCCCTCAGAGGATCGTATCGAGGTGGCCGTTCTTGCTGTCTCTCTCGGATGGCCTGGCTGGTATCCTCATATCCTTCCTTATACAAACCAGGGGCTAGCTTCTGGATGACATTCGTCTTGAACATCCCAATCAAATCATGCAGTCGCTGTTCGGATACAAATACTTCTTTAAGGGCTTTTGCTAGATCGGCGGTAGGAGGAATAGGGAGAGCGGACTGGGAGATGTAATCTTTGATTGGAAGGTCAAAAGAAGAGGTCTTGTCATCACCCAAGGCCAAAGCAAGCACAACGGCATTATTTCCTAACCGACTAATCTTTAATAGATACTGCATTGATGACTGCGAATGGGCATAGCGGAAGGTATAAGTATCGCTCGCATTCCATTCCGCGGGTAAGGTCTCGCTTTCAGTGGAGCTCTCTGGTTGAAGTCGCACATGTTAGTGGAATGCAAGGAATGATATGAAAGTGGGGGTTACAATATTCAAAAACAAGTTGACAAACCTATATTGTGCTCCTCCCCGAGCCCAAGCAGCCTGAAGTCGAGTGCCTTCATACAGGCATGGCCGATAAGCGCAATAACCTCATAAGGAGAATTGAGGCTCAGCTGATCATCGTTCTCTCCACGAAGAGCCCTCACTGCAAGAGCTACGACGTTGTCGACAGTTAGTCTATTTGCCATCCTTTACAAGGAGAAGATTCGAAGAATTAGGGAGCGATGTATCGATGCTGTTGTAAAGTTAATGTTATTGTTGAAAAATATGCTTGCAACGTTTTGGCAACTTATATGCCTTTAAATTGCTGATGTATGCGGCTGAGGCAACTAACTATCTACGGAGTAGGCATCCAGCTGCTGCGTCAGATCTCGGAACCTTAGACGGACCGAAGGCAGGCAGACAATTGCTGCAAACACCCCACATTCACGTGCAGAATCCCCCCAATTTGACAAGGAGCTCCCATACGCCCTGACGCCTTTCCAAATCTAGCCTAGCTCAGACATGCGTCCTCCCTCCCGCGTTGTAGTTACATCGTCGTAAGTAGCTTCTCCATGCTCTATAGCATCAAGCAACCAGGATGGTGACAGCGCCCGCACAAGGAAGCAAAACACATGAGATGGCGACTTAGAGGTGTTTTTCATTAACAGTCTTTGCATTAGGTGATCTATTTAAGCGATATACAGGTAATTATCCATCATGAACTATACAAAATCACCAGTGCTGATATCACAACACTCAAAGCATCATTCCACATCGATCACTCTTCTTGTGCAAATCGATTCACTGCGGCAATGAGAGATGATGGTATCCTTGCAATTTCTAATATTATTTTTCTGTTTTTTTTTTCTGTGATATTTCCATCAATAGTACTTTCTTCAGGCCAGAGATGCCACCGGCTGGTTGGTCATCATTTGACTTTCTTCTGTTGTGCAACAGAAGCTAATTATGTATATGTACAGGAAGTCTCCCAGGCCCTGCATGCAAAACATGCCGGGAAAAGTGTCGCAAGTGTGACCGTGGTAGACCCAAGTGCCAACGTTGCATATCAAAAGGCCTAGAATGCGGCGGATACCCAGAGCAGTTTCGCTTCTGTGGCATCGCTAGTCGCGGCAAATGGAAGGACGCACGAATTCCAACGGCAAGGGCTACGAAGACTAGAACTAGCGCTGTTGAATCTCGTCCCGAGTCCGACTTTATTGCTGTGAAATCGGTCACGGTAGACACTTCCCAACCAGCTAAGGATGTGCAGGCACTATCGCACCCTGAAAAGTGTACGAAGAACCCTACAGCGCTGCCGGACGACATTCCGAAGATACTCGATCTGGCCCAGACTGGGATCCTGCTGTCCCACTGTAAGACCCCGTCGTGTTCGGTGACTTGACCTGTCTGGGACACACAGTTACTCATGCACTAAGCACAGACGATGGCTTCATATGTCCGCATCAGATCGCAGAGATAGGTGGCACCAGCGAAAACCCTTACCGAGCGTATATACTGCCATTGGCGCAAAAACAGATAGGCCTGCTTTATGCTATACTTGGACTATCGGCTTCCCACCTTGGGAAACTGACCGGCAACAAAGCCTTGTATGAGGAGGCTGCAGTCGAGTATCGATTACGGGCCATACGCGCCTTGAGCGAGGAGATCAGGAAGAGCCAAGGCCCGGCATTTCTTCACGAAGATGAGCAGGATGCTGTTCTTGCCATTATCCAGGTCTTGCTCTTGCACGATGTAAGTTTTACTCGATCCAGCATCTCGTGCAAGTTTCATTGCTGCATTAGAGGACCGAGCTGATAATAGCAGATTGCTGAAACAGGTATCTCGAGCCATGGCATACATATTACAGGTGCCATGTCGGTGTGTAAACAGCTGTTGTTAGCCGATGGATTGAATGGTCGGCGTCGCCGAGCAGTCTTCTTCTTGGGAAACTTGGCCTGGTAGCTATCACCTGCACTCCTTGGAGATCCAATCTGCTGATTACTAACTCCCACCTACCTCAAGGCTCGATATCATCCGTGCCTTCGCTGGACCTGAGCGGCTATGCTTCTCCCAAGACATTCGAGAAACAGTCGCCTGCGCCAGTGATGCTCGATTCGAACTGGTCAATGGATGTCCCAGGGAGATTTTCCTGGTTATTGGAGCAGCCTTGGAAAAGGCAAAGGAATACAACCTCGGCTGGCTATCGTGGGATGAATATCAAATTGCCCTCCATCTGGCAAAGCACCAGCTATACTCGCTCGACAGTACAACCAAAGTTTACCCCAGCTCTGACCCGCGCTGGTTGTCAACGGCAGAGGCGTTTCGGTATGCTTGTATACTGCGTATTCTTCGGTTGTTGGACCCATTAGAACCGGCAAAGGGCCAAGAAATACAGGACTGCGTGACGAAGATTCTGGATGCCACTGCTAGGATTCCGTCGGACTGCTGCCTTCTGGAGCTGCTTGTTCTGCCTCTGTTTATGGGTGGGTCGGATGCGCTATCGCCTCACTCTCAGTACTACGTCCTTTCTCGACTGAAGGAAATTGAGCGGAGGTCTGAGTTTCGAAATCCGGTACCTCGGGAGCTGTTGGAGAAGGTATGGGCAGCACGGGCTGCACAGGCGGCCGACGACGATAAAAATATCTCCTGGACTACTTTTGTAAGTATTGGGTTGCTTGGAATGAGGTTCTGTTCACACGTCCTGACTATCGCAGACTCATTCATCTGAACTGGCACGGCAGCATGATTATTTGATAATATGAAACATGGCATATCATCTCAGACCCAACCAAGGTTTCTTCGCGCATTTTCGTCATCAAAGTAGAGGGTATCAACGCCTGTGAATCATAGAAAATGCCCTCTGCAACAATGAACCCGAACGGCTTTTAAGTCTTCTTGGTTTCATGGACGCTCTCTCGCGCAATTGCCAAAGCAGAGCCAGTATACTGGCAACTATTAGCGCCTCTTGGTTACTAACTTCCTCTCCATTCGGCTCTGGGAGCAGAATTACCCCTTCGCTGAAATCGGCCGGTATCCATGTGGCGATTCCGACATGGTGATATATTGCTAAAATCTTGCGGCGAGGCGCCAGTGTAGCAGCTGATCCTTTTGGTACTTCCCCTAAATCAACCAGCGTATAGCGACGCAAACTATTTTCCTTCGGATGGATCTGCCACTGAGCGATTCGTTGAGTTTTGCAACATCCAGGGAGAAGAAAGGTGAAGAAGGGATGGGGGATTGCGTATCCTCCCCAAGTGCTTGGCTGGATGGGGTAGGAGGCCGTCATCAGCATGCAGGAAACTTCGTGTTGTTTGTGGTGGTGGCCGGTGGCAAGAAGGCAATTGTCAATGGGCGGGAGAGGAATCAATCTACGCCTCATGTCAGTATATAACAGGACCCAAAACTGATTGCAGTGGATTTATGGCGAGGAACACGATATACATACGCTTGCGCCATCCCAGCACAATCTTCATACATCGATCTTCGCTGCACTTGCAAGTGGGCATTTTCAGGATCCAGGTCGCACTGGCCTATATTGACATGATATGCCACCTGACAATTCATCCCGTCTTCACGTGGCTTTTCCATCATGTTCAATTGGACATAATATAGACTGCTACTGAGCATCGAGCCCTTCACAGCATTGCTATACAAATCCGCGACATCGTATAGCGGCAGATGCACGGTGTTTGAATTGTGCTGAGGCACGTATAGCACACGGCTGAAGTTGCTCGGCGTTTTATGTGGTTGCCGACCAAGCAATGAATCGTAGTATGCTGCTCCAGTTCGCTCGGTCTGTTGCATTTTGATGGACGGAGGAAGAAGAACAGACTCGCATACTTCAAACTGGGGAGCGAGAGAAGGTTTTGTAAGCGTAGTCACATTCCAATTATAACCCAATCGGAGTTATGTCCAACGTGGTCGCGAGGTTGGATACTCTATCGGCTGAAAGATGCATCACATTGTATAGGGATTGACTCATCAAGGCGTCTGATTGAGCTGAGTTCCACCTCTGTCTCGGTTTCGACAGATGTCTCCAAGATCTCTGACCGCGTAGATGACAAGGAATGGGTTACGAAGTATGGAAAAGCTTCGGGGGTTAGAGCCTCAGGCCCCCGGAAAATTGGCTGGCCTTCCTAAAACAGCAATATATCCAGCTCCTTTTCAAGTATGCCATCTCCAGCAGCCTCAGATCCTCAGATCCTCAGCCCAATCAAAACCACAACAACAGCTCACTTCCTCTTTTGCCACGGCCCGAACATCAAAATATCCCTCATTCTGTTGCCCCTCACCAAAGAGACAAGAAGCCATAATGACCCCCATAATGACCCCCTAGAAGGACAATGTCAAAGATAACCACCACACATCTCCCACCATGACTTCGTCAAAAGAATGGCAAAAAAATGCTAAACGGCGAGCTCTACTGGCCCTAGGACACAGATCTCCAAGCCAACCGCCAACGATTGTCAACAAGCATGCCAAAGATTCAACGACGCGGGCCAAGTATCCAGACGGCGCCGTGTGGAGCTTTGGCGAAAGTAAGTATAACATACGCCCTCTAAAAGGCAGCCGAAGGAACTAATGACACTTTTCACTGTAGTGTAACTGGCGATCCTCGTCCCCTACCACCAGTCAATCCCAACCCGTAAGAAGATGGGAAGCTTTTCGAGGAAACCGATCCCTTCGTCGAACCACCAATCTTCGTGGACCACGGCCTGAACTTGAAAGTCGGGAAGGAGACCTTTCTGAACTCCAATCTCTTTGTTCTTGATACCTGTCTCGTCGCCATTGGGGAGAGGGTACTTTTTGGCCCTAATGTCTGCACCTACGGTGCGACGCATCCTATGGATTCGGCAATATGGCAAGGGATCAAGGGACCCGAAGATGGGAAGGAGGTCCATATTGAAGATGATGTGTGGGTTTGTGGGAATGTGATTATCCTGGCTTGTGTGAGGGTCGAAAGAGGGAGTACTGTGGGTGCTGCGTCTGTGGTGACGAGAGTGTGTAGTTAAGTTAGTTCAATTGCCTCGGGATTTGTTACTGACAGAAGCGTATTTCTATAGGATGTCCCCCCCTTTCACTTCGTTGCGGGAAATCCTGCACGGGTAATCCGTCGGATTGAGACAAGCATGGATCCAGAATATCGTGCTAAGGAGACCGAGGGACAGTAGAAGAGCAGAGTTCCAGAGTGGCCGATAGAATATGGTGTCTGCATGTTATTTATGACTGGTATAGGAACAGATAGGTAGACAGAGGCAACGCTATTTAAAGACACAATAGACAAGTATATAACTACAGAATAAAAATATACGAACACCGGTATCTTCCTTCCTTTACAATCGGGGCATCTACAGCATCGCCTTAGGGAACTTCTTGAACGCCTGTCTCACTCCGAGATCAGCTAGGATCTCCTCCGTGCCGCCGAGGATCGCATCAAACTTGTACGTCCGGTGGAACATCTCGATAACCTTGCCCATTCCGGTCTGGGTCAGCCCACGACCACCGAAGATGTTCGTGGCATAGTCGGCAATCTCCTGGGCGGAGCGGGTAGCGTGCGACTTGAGCAGACCGATGGGGCCGCCCAGGTGCGCAGCCTGCTCGGCGTAGGTCATGTTGCACATCTGGTAAGCGATGGATTCCAACCAGGCCTGGTTGGACTCGCAAAGAGAGATCATGCGGGCCAGCCTGTCGTGTTTGTTAGCATCATGATACATCTCTAAGTAGAAGATATCAAGGGGGAAACGGGGCAGAAGGCGTACTTTTGACGCATCACGGGCTGCTCGATCAGCTTCTTGCCGAAGACAATGCGCTGGTTGCACCACTTCATGCATTCCTCGGTCACGGTCATGCACATGCGGATGACAGCGCAGACCATTGTGAACCGTTCGTGGTTGAAGTTGCTCATGATGACGATGAAACCCTTGTGCTCCTCGCCCAGCAGGTTCTCCACGGGCACCTTGACGTTCTCGAACTGCACAAACGCTGTCGCGGCGGCGGTCGAGTAGGACGTCTTGATCTGCTTGGTCTCGACGCCATCGCCTCTGGGGATCAGAAGGACGGTAAATCCCTTCTCGGTGCGGCAGCCGGTGACGAAGTAGTCAGCGAACATGCCGTTGGTGATCCATTTCCTGCGAACCGGGAAGATCAGCATGGATGTACGCGATAGAGAAGACAGAGGGATGATCATACTTGGTGCCATTGACAATATAGTGCTTTCCGTCCGGCGTCTTTGTCGCGGTGGTCTTGAGGCCAGCCACATCACTTCCAGCGAACGCTTCAGTGATAGCCAAGCACATCTTCTTGCGGCCCGAGAGGACTTCCTCAGTGACCTTCTCACGCAGAGGAGCATTGCGAAGCCACTGCTGGACAGCCGTCAACGAGATGACCATACCAGCCATGTTCCCGTCCTGGAAGCCTGCAAACAATTAACCAACCCTGCCTTTCATTTCCTAGCGAAAGAAAACCAAAGACCAACCTCGCGCGTTACTCCGCACCATCTCCTGTGCAACAATCATGTCATGCAGGTAATCAAACTCCTTCCCATCCACAACACCACCCACCAGCTTCAGCCCATGCAGATGCTTTCCAGGACCCAAGCGCATCGCCAGAACACCCTCCTCTGCCATCTTGTCAATCAACCCCTGGCTGATATACGTTCCGTCTCTCTCTTTCTCCTGCGCCTCCGGCGTTACATGGCGATCCGTGAACTCCCGCATCGCCCGCTGCAGCCGCCGATGGCTCTCCTTGTAATACGGGCTCTTGAACTCGGGGCGCAGCCATAGGGGCTCCGCGTAGGGGACGGGGCTCAGCGCGCCGGGCTCGGGCGTGATAACCTCGGGCTTCTCGCCTTTGATGGTGCCGATGCAGAGCTGGTCGCGGTACTTCTCGAGGACTTCTTGGCGGTGGAGGTTGTAGAAGTCTGTCGTTGCGTCTTGGCCTGCGACCTGCGCGAGGACGACACTACCGCCGGGGTGGGCGTCGATAAAATCGGTCAGGTCATAGACGCGGTGGTCGATGATGCACCAGAGGGAGTCTTCGGTGTTGTGCTGCGCGACCTCGGCGCGAGTGAAGGTTTTGGACATGGTGGGTTCGAGGTTGAGAGCTTCCACGGTATTAAGGAGGGGGAAATAAAAAAGGGATATATCTTTGGCTGAATGAGAAGAAGAAGAAGAAGATACTAAAATGGTTTGCGAGGAGAATGTACAGAGGATGAAAGATGTGCCAATCATGCGGGGATGTTTAGTATTGTCCTACGATAGCCGTGAGCCGAGGATGTTACCCCTTTGGGAATCATGAGCACATGAGTGTGCATCATGAAACAACCAACAGATTCCTCAACAGATGGCCTCCATATTCACCAGGATAACTGTCAGGGGTATCTTGCGGGATTTTTATATCGAAAATCGGTACATCGAATAATTATGGAACGCTCTTCATGTCATGATCTATAATACGGTGGGTATACATCAGGTATGTTATGCTATATACATGGCTCAAGAAACGTACATCAACGATGATCTATCAAACGAACTTTATGTTCTCGGTTGAGGAGGTTCAGCTGGGCCATTTTGTGACTCCTTCATCGCTTTCTCTACCAGCCAGAAACTGACGTCCTGCATGTCCTTGCCTACACGCCAGCTTCCCAGGACTACCCCCTGCTCAGCCAGGAGCTCGTTGGCCCGCTCCCAGCGTCGTCGCCACAGTTCTTCTCTCTTGTTTGGCAAAGGTGGCGGAGGAACGTATGGCGAGTCCGACCGTGGATCGCGACCCGGGAGGTTCGTGCTCGATCTGTTCAGGACTGGATTCGAAGCCTTCGGTCGTAGAGGACTTGCTGGAGAGGAAGACCAATTGAGACGCTCGGATGCGTATTGTAATGCTGCAGCCGCGGCGGAGGTGGGGTATGACTGTGTCTTCTGCGATGGTGGCGGTGGCCGATTATTGGAGACTTCAGGGGGTGCAATTGAGGAGGCCGTGTTGGTCCGACGAGGCGGAGGTGGTGGAGGAGCTTTCTTGGATTGCGTAGACTTCATCGCTTCGGCTTCCTGGTCCGTCAGGTTCTGATCGAAAGGTTTGGGCCGGAATGGAAGCTGATTCGCCGTAGTCGGGATGGAATTTGTAACAGATTGAATGGCATTCTTCAGAGCGCCAGTGTACCCTGCACTCTGCGCTGGGGCATTCGAGGCAGCGGATATACGCTCGCGCTCTGCTGTAGACTGACGGCGAGGCGGTAGTGGAGGCACAGGTTTCCGGCGGACAGCATCTTGGGGCAAAGACGTGCTTCCGTTATCTCTTGGCTCGCTGTTGTTGGCGACTGCGCGAAGCGAGGACGGCTTCGACGGCTTTGCCGGAGGCGTACGTACATCTTTGAACGTAGGCATACCAGCAAGTACATCCTTCTCATCCACATCATCTCGTAGATCAATCAGGTCGGCATTGTCGACACTGATTGCATCAGAGGATAGACTGGGGGAGTCACGGGGACGGCGAGGGGGTAATGCAGGCCGATTTGCTACCGCATCCATGTCATCAATCAATTGAGGTGAACTGTGGGTGCGAGAAGGGGGGCCTTCCAGGTGGTCGACGGATTTCTCGAAAAACTTTTTATGATCCAAGGTAGTAACATCGCGTATAAAAATTCCCAAAATTCGACCCGGATTTGCCAGAACGATATCAGTGTAGACCTCCAGATCGGCCTCGCCGCTATCACCAACCAGAATGAATTTGCGCTCAGGAAAGTCCCGCAGGATTTGTTCGAGAGAGCCTCTCTTCCTCTCAGCGGTCGGCTCAAAGAGTCCCTGCAGCATACCACTGTACTGCTTCAAGTGAAACGATCCGGGAGGTAGTCCAACCAGTTTAAAGTACCGCTCTAGCAGCGGATAAAGCTGCCACGGTGCATTCGATACGTAATGAATCTGGACACCCATCTTCGCTAGCTCGTTATACCACTCAGTGACTCCGTCGACGCTGAGCTCGGCCAACTCGCGCACAAAGGTGTTCCGGAACATCTCTTTGGCTCCGCTTGTAATTGCAGAGTGTTTCACGGTGTCATCAATGTCGCTGATCAAGCTGACACCAGCCGGCTCGATGATCTGAATTTCCTTTGTCGCAGATAACTCTTCCGAGGCCAGAACACGGATATGAGTGGGTACAAATGGTAACGTCGCTCGCAGGTTGAAGTGGCCCGATTCGTCAGTCATAATGTTTCTCGATTGGCTCTCCTTGCTGTCATAGAAGAAGACAGTCACAGGCATATCAGCCATTGGGTTTGTGAGGAACGGTCGCAGCCTCTCCATAAGGTGCGCGTTGGCTACTGTCAATTCGTCTTTGCTCAACTGCGAAGACTCTGATGCCGTCGTTGACCTTGACAATGGCTTTCCAGGAGAGATATCCGAGCTGCATTCTTCTGGGTCAGTAGTTCTTCCAGCACTGTTGATAATTGACTGCGCCTCTCTCTCCAGGTTATCTTCATCAATGCTCCCATCTGGTTTCCTGGAAGGTCCGATATCTGCGTTGGAATCTCCGTTGTCATTGGTCGTGACAGTAGGAGCAGGTATCCCGCTGAGCTTCCTAGCGAGCGCAACCAAAACTCGATGCTTCCGAGTCATGGGCCCGCGGTGAGGGGAATACACCCAGCCGCGCACATCGACATCCACAACTGCATGATTGTCTTCATACTCCAGCCATTCCGCCGGCCCCGGCTCCAGATCCTCCGAGTACCCACGGTATTCATCAATGGTCGAAACCGAATCACGACGCTGACGCACCGCACGCTCAGGCCGTTTTCGTTTGACAAGCCGTCTCGCATAGCTCGGAAACAACACCATTTCCTCATCTCCAGACCGCGCAATCGCAACATCAGGAAAAGCCCCTGGGACAGTATAATCATCATTATAATCTCGTGGGGCGTTCCTCTGCGCTGCCCACTGCGTCGTGTACGTCTGCCGGAGCTCGTTGGCTGCCTTCAGGTACTCAAAGACCCTCTTTCGCCGCCCTCCACCCCCAGCACCCCACGTTGAGGATGTGGAAGAGTCGTACTGCGACATCGAGACTGCTGTGCCTGCATACGGGGCCTGCCTTCCAGCTCTTGAAGGGGTCACGCGTTGACCAATTGATCCTCCACCAGTGGTGAGTTGACCACCGGCGCCAGCACCCAGTCGTCTGAAGGGGCTCCTCCTTCCCCAGAACAGGAATTCAAGTATCCCTCTCTTCCCAACCTTTCGTCTTTGTAACCGTTTTGCTTGCTGTCGGAGGATCGCTCGGTAGACTCTTGCTTGTGTTCGGTGGCGGAAAGCGGGGATGGCCTCGTGGCGGAAATTCCAGAGACGCAGATGGGCGCGGCGGATGGGGTGAGAGCCGATAAGAAAACGAAGAAAACGAGAGACTCGTCCTAGACCGGTCTGTCGATCTCGATTTGGAGGACGTAGCAGCGAAGGAAGAAAGCGAAGGAAAGGTTGGCGCCGGTAATGGGAAGTTGGCGGAGGAGCCGGCCAGCGACTGCGAGGGTAGCGTTTTGGAGCCAGTGTCTTTGAGTTGAAGCGAATGATTGATTATCAGGTTCTATTTGTTTTCAGAGACCGGAAGCAGAATCCGATGTGACCAATGTCAAGTAGATGGAAGAATCGTGGTTTCGAAATGGAGGACTTTTGACGGCGAAGGGTACCTGCGATAGGGCCAATTGGGGGTGGTGCTGTCCTCTCAAACCACAGCCATGTTGTACTCCGTATGATCCGATGAAATTAGAGCAACATTATTATTGGATCATTAGAGCCCATAGTACTTTAACTGTGACTTAATGATGAGACTAGTCGCAAAAAGTATGGAGAAGGCAAAGGGAAACAGAGAGAGCAGGATGGTCCTCGAGGCTGTTCAGCCTTGTTGGAGTGGAGAAGCGGCAGCCTCTCATTTCATCATATCACATGCAGAGTCACTATAACGTAGATGGCTAATAATGCCATACAATCCTCTTTACGCATGTATCTAGAAGGATTCTTACGCATTTTCTCGTAGAATAATTCTTTTTATATGAGAAGAAATATGGCTCTGTACAAGAAAGCAATATGGTACAAGAGTTATTATATATAATACAGGTGTGAACAGATGAGATGAGAAACATCATCATGATTTTGACCTTACAGAAATCATCGCGACAATGCCATCTCAGACATTGTGATGCTGGATGATTCTGCAAGGTGAGCGTGGTTCAATGCAGGTACGATCTTTCGGGCATCAAACTCGCATAGGGTAGCAACAACCCATCACTGAAAATTCCGAGATGGCCAAAGATCATCTCCCCGGCTATAGTCTGGAGAGTCAGGTAGCGGAGAGAAGTGACATATACGAACCGACATCACTCGGAGTGACTCTCCTCGGCGTAGTTCACCGTCTTCGTACGTCGGCTACGACGAGCACCGCTCGCTCCACTACGGCTCAACTGGGGTGTTTCTGCCAAATCCAGAGCCTCGACATCGGAATCAGATGGCGTGGATGGCGGAGTGGGAGACGCCTTCCGTTTCCTGCTCGGTTGCTTTTTGACACTTGCTGTGCGTTTCGCCTGTCGGGGAGTTTTAGAGACAGGGGGAGAAGGGGCTCCATTCTTTATTTCACCGTCTTCTTCCTTGACTTGTGAATCATCCCCTTCGGTCTTGGCTTTTTTCTTAGTTGTACCCGGCTTCGCTGGGCTCTGTCCTGCTTTGGCACGAATGATCTTCTTCGGTCGAAGCCACTCTTCCATGCCAGGAGGCCAGTAGACCCTTCGCTCTGGGCCACCCATTCCCACCTCTTCCTCGGGAATCGTGGGGGCGGGAGGGACTTGACCCTCGAGGTCAACGAAGCCTCCGTTCTTCTTCGTCTTCCGAGGCGGCTTGAAAGGCTTGTTCTCATCATTCCGTGTGTATGGGAGTACGTCGTTGAAGAGGTCATGGCCAGGCAGTTTGAACCGCCGCATCAACTCAAATACAGCTTGTTCTTTGTCCTTAGCTTCAATCATGAGATCCATGGTCGGATCGCAGGGTGGAAGAGTGGAGACACGAGGGCTATGCTTCCTGCGCTGACGGTTTGTGATAGCAGAAGGAATAGGCTCTGAATAATGCATCTTCTGGGTGATATCCTTGCGGGTCCAAGTGGCCTTGATTCTCCCGAATAGATTCATGATACCCAGAGTACCCTCGCGCAGTTCATTGGAATCGAAGATAATGTTGTGGTGATGGAAATCCAGAACAAGTGGGATGTTCAATTCCTCGCAGATGGGCAGTAAATCGTGTACTGACCAGCTAACATCATCATTCTCCAAGACAAGTCGATTTTTGATGTCCTGCGAAAGATCTTTGTAGTTTTCCCGGAACCGATCGAGCGTCGCCTCTTTGTCGCCGAATACACCACCCATGTGGAGAATCATAACGGCGTCACGGTCCTGCTGTGGAGGCAATTCCAGCAGCTGCAACATCTCCGAGTGGTACTCGAGATCGCGAATCGAGCTGTCGATCACATCTGCCCTGGGAGACCCGAGTTGCGTAAACTGGCCCGGGTGGACGGACACCCGATGGCCCAATTCAGCAACAACGTGACCAACTTCTGCAAGGACCTCAGACGCAAATGGGGCGAGCTTATAGCCGTACTCTTTGTGGCTGGCGAATGGGAACATTTCACTGCTCAGCCGCATGAATTTGATGCCATATTTGTCATTCCAACGTAGAAGTTTAATGAGATCCCGCGCATTGGTAAGCCCCAGGCCCTCAACATACGCCTGTCCCCGCGCAACATCGGGGGTTTGGTCCCTATCAGGACGATTCTTGGTTGGGTGAGCTGGCTGTGAGGGGTCGGCAAGTGGGTGTCGATTCTCTAAGATCGAGGCGATCCGACAAGTTCGAGAGCAGAACACTGGAGGATTTGAGTTTCGCAAATATGTATTCAAACAGGCCTACACGTCATGAGATAATTGATTACCAGAATGCGTCGTATCTAACGCCTAGTGAGGACACGAAGCAACTTACATAGCCTAGTCGGCCTTTCCATGGGAGGGGAAGGTAGCTACTGTTCACTGGCGGCGGTCGCGAGAGAGCATCTTGCAGTTCCTCAGCCTCAAGCGGAACATCCTCATCAGATTCGGGATCCATGGGCGCATCCCGAGGCTGCCCGTTTCTAGTGGTTTCCGGCGAAACGACCGCGACAGTGTCTAACAGCCCGACGGGTCCGCCGTTCTCATTGTCCACGACCGCAGTGGGTGGCATGGTAACGAATTCCGAGAGTCTAGACAATCTTCTCAAGTGCAGGTATGGTGGATGTAAGACTAGCGTTGCTGTGAGCTTAAACAATCGGCGGGCAGAGGAATGTATCGTAACCACGCTAGAAGCCTGCCCATTCGCGCAGACAGGATCTGGAGAACGCCCACGGTTTGGGGCCGGAGCAGTAGAAAAGTGATGGCTTGCCACGAAAGCAAATCGATTTATCCAGGGTGACGATGAGATGTGGCGAATCCAAGCGGAAGGCGAGCCAAATTCCACAAGGCCATGGAAACGCGCGGCATGTCGAAGGGGGGGAAGCATGAGCTAATTTCCTCTGCTGGGAAACAGGTGGTCTTAGAAACATCCAGCCAGAGGCGCTGCTATGTAGATTGGCTCTGGAGACACTGAATCAGAGTGGATTGCTAGTTGCGATGAGCGACCAAATGGCCAGGTCGGCGCATCTTAAGATCTGCGATGTGCAGTGATGGATTGGTCGATCGATCGAAGCAGCATAAGATGACGATAGAGCTGTCGGCAGCAAGAAAAAGCAAATAGATGTAGGCTCAACAGTCAAGAGTCAAGACCCATATAACAGAACGATCAGCGAGTTCAAGCTGGTTTCCTACTGGGTATGGCTCTGCAGCTGGAGGCCGGAAGACCGGGTTGATTTAAGCAACGCAGGTAGAGAGTAGATCAATGCAATTGCCATGACGCAGGTTCATCCACGTGCCAAGACTCTTCTTTCTCGATATAACTACACCACTGCAGTGACCGTCTACGGAGTAGACTACACATTATTTATCAACAAAGTACACCCTTCTATTAGACACAGGGCAGGTGTTCTACAAGGGGTACTCCATCTATCCTCTAAGCGTTTCTATCCTTCTATCTCAGAATGACAGTTGCTTCCCATTCCCTCTCTATTTGTTGATCGGCAGCCTCAGGCGTAATCATATACTACGGCAGACAATCAACATGCTATGGAATGAGCTGATTTGGATGCCTGGTACGAGACGGAAAGTCACCCAAAGAATGAGGTCTCGCATCCTGATTTCCCTTAGCCGCAATAGATTTAAACTTCAGCATGGAATCTGCCGGAGCAGCATGCTGGGAGGCGGGGACACTTGCCAGATGTTGATGGTTTAATATCAACAAACGGACCTCTTAGCATTCCTAACGGCGGGTTAATGAGGCTGTGATCATGGCCTCCACAGCAGGCCAGAGTCCAGGGCATGTGGCATTCATGCCTGTCAAGGGTATCATGGAACACACAGTGATGGAGTACCTTACATTCCAGATTCCGTTGGTACATACCTCAAAAGATTTGCATCAAACAAATGGCTCATTACTCTTGTTGCTGAGGCAGGAATCTGGCCGTGCTGCACTCTGTCAAAACTCGGCTTCCTGCTCTCTCAGAGACTTCCATCTCGCGCTCAAGAGCAGGTGCCAAATTTCTTCTCTCTTGATTCTGTGCACGACCATCTGGGTCTCTTCAAGAACAGAGTGAGTAATCAGTCTTCATATTTCTGCAGCAGAACCACGTTGGATAGAGCCTGGATTTCAGTGTCTTTTACTTGTATCTGCTTGTCTTCAGTGTTGTTAGACATTGATGGTGGTACATATTCATTCTAACCTATACCCGCGCACTACCTACAGGCCGACATATCCTCCTCTTGTTTTTTCAAGATAGGCCCTAGACCAGCTAATATGAAGGGCTTCTTGGTTGCCTGCGGGCTACTGGCCTCATGTGTCTCTGGCCACGTGCAGATGTCCAAGCCCTATCCGATCCGGAGTCCGTTGAACCAGCAGTCAAGCGGTCAGAAAGATTATTCCTACACAAACCCTCTGTCAACGAGTGGATCTGATTACCCGTGCAAGGGATATGCCAATGATCCATTTCAATCAGTTGCCGATTATACTCCCGGCCAGACATATGAGCTCGAGTTGCAGGGTAGCGCCACTCACGGCGGCGGCTCATGCCAGATCTCTCTCTCCTACAACCAAGGGCAGACCTTCAAAGTCATCCATTCCATTCTTGGAGGATGTCCCATCAACCTGAAATACAATTTCCAAATCCCTTCAGATGCGCCGTCTGGTGAGGCGCTGCTGGCTTGGTCATGGTTCAACAAGATCGGAAATCGCGAAATGTACATGAATTGCGCGCAGGTTACCATCACGGGCGGTTTCCAGGGTCGCCAGCACGCTCGGGATTTGTCTCCCATGCTCTCGCCTCGTGCCGGTGGCTTTGACAGTCTTCCACCCATGTTCCAAGCCAACAACAACGGTCCGGGTCACTGCAAGACGGTCGAGGGTCAGGAGGTCAACTTTCCCATGCCAGGGCCTTCTGTTGAGGGCTCCTTGGGTGGGACGGGATATCAGTGCGAGGGCTCTTCCGACTTCCTGGGAGGTGGAAATTCTGGCTCCAGAACTGCAGCAGATTCCTCATCCGCAGCATCAAAGACGAATGCGCCCAAGGCTTCCTCATCCTCCCACGCTGTTGCCTCTGTTGCTCGTCCGTCGTCGTCTTCAGTGGCGAGACCTTCAGCCACCCCAACGCGTCTGCACGGGGTTCCTGTATTCAACCAGCCCGAGGTTTCTGACTATGCTCGTCCCGAGGAGGGAATGCAACCTCAGGCCACCTATCCTCGTCCCGAACAACAGTCTAAGCCTCAGTCTGCCTTCCCATTCATGCCCGATTTCCAATTCGGCTTCGACTCTGAAGGCAAGAATGAGCTTGAGTCTGCGTTTGACTTCTTACCCGAAATGGAGAACGATTCCGCGCCTGCATCGGAGAATGATGTCGAGCCCGCGCCGGAGAAGAACAATTTCGGGTTCAAGCCCAAGCACGACTTCAGACCCGAGCACGACTTCAGACCCGAGCACGACTTCAGACCCGAGCACGACTTCAGACCCGAGCACGACTTCAGACCCGAGCACGACTTCACGCCTACCCCTACTCAGCAGGGCTTCCCTGATACTTGCGAGCATGGTGAAATCCTCTGTGGACCTGGTGGCACGACTTGGGCCATGTGCAACTTTGGCCGACCTGTAAACATGGGACTTGTTGCTCCTGGCACGCGCTGCCGACACGGCGTGATTGAACATGCTTGACCCTTTTAATTCAGCTTTCTTCCCTTTATTCTTTCCGGAATGCCTTGCGCATGCATATATGTATAACCCTACTATTGCGTTACTTGCCTTGTTTTCCTGTTCTCTTTTAGGAGGCTTTTAAAACATGATCACTCCCTGTGTTCGTGTCATGTCTGGCTTTGCTTGTTACAATAGGTAGATTCAGAGATATAATGATAATTGAGCAAACTCGGTGATATTTCCGTTGCAACCTCTTTTTGAGAAACTTCTCAGACGGTAAAGAAACCTCAATATACACTTCACCCATTCAACCGACAATTATAAAGGATATCATCAATTTACTCATTCAGTCATAGACCTGATCCGCTTCCTAGCAACGCCGGACGGCAAAACGAGGACCTCTCAAGTTTCATTACCTATTACCCACATCTCATCTTCCTTTTAACTCAAGACTGAAAAATCATTATAGAGTCCATATATTCTCAAGGACAGAGTTCAGTGCTAGTAATTCCCGGTATAAGCCGAGTTGCCATACCCGTTAGCAGGGGCCGTGTTCTTGTTGCGTGAGAACAAGCTGCCGCTGAAGGCGCTAGGCTTCTCGGCATTGTCGCCCAGCTCCACATCCCGGGGGGCCGGATGGCCGGGAAGCATGTCGTCCGCGCTGGCGGTCTCCGGGCTATTCTTGTTGCGGCGCCAGAAGCCGCGGCGCTGGGTGCCGTAGGTGTAGCCGTTGGCCGGGGAGGGGCCGAAACGGCTCTCGCGCTTGTGGTGGCGGGCGTAGAGGACCTGGAAAAGGATGGAGACTAGGAAAAGGAAGCTGGTGAGGGGATTATGTTAGCTTGGGTGATTTTCTACTTTTTCTTTTTTTTTCTTTTTTTTTCCCGATTTTTCCCCTGTCACGGGGACAACTGGAGACCAGGGGACTTCTGAACTTACATTCCGATAATCGAGACTGCGAACACGACCTTTTCAAGCTCACATGCGTAGCCAAAACTTAGGCCGGACGGACTGTGGGCGTCACTGTTGCCTGAGCCCAGTGGGGTATCGATGTGTCCTGAGCAGGACTGGGGCCCGTTTCGGGTCATCACGGCAATGGCGATCATCGCTCCAATGAAGCAGATGTCGAGAGCGACAGCAAGGAAGGCGAAGAAGGCAACTCCGCCTAGGCAGCAAGTAAACAGGATTCCAAGGAGTCCGTATAGTGTGGCTGCGCCGGAGAGACCCTCGACGGCTTTCATCCATCGCGGGATGTGCTGGTCATGTTGGCTCTGGATGGCCAGAAAGTATGAGAAGATACCCAGGATCACTGCGGCATCGAGAAATTGAAGCACTCGGATGGCTAAGTTGAAGAAACGAAGTACCACGCCGCCAGCCCCCATCGTGGAGATCTATGAACTCGAGGTTCAGGGACGAGATGATCGTGAATAAACAGTAAATTGATAAGAGTAGAGAGCTCGTGCTCAGGCTCAAGAACGCTCTGTATTAAATGTATATACTATGCGTTGCGAGCAATGGACGGTCAAGATGACGAGAAGACTGCAGGGTCTGAAAGAATTAAGAATGCTGCAGCAGACGAAGGCAGCAAGATAGATAGCCATTAGCCATTATATTAGGTCCCGGGGGACATGGTGTCGCGGCATGAAGATCGGTGGAGGCATTTTCCTGGACACTGAGAGTTGGTGGATCCCACACACAGCGACAAAAGCTTCTCAGAGGCCATGAACCGAGCGTGCATCCAGAAGATCACGAGGATGATCCACGGATGACGACAAATACGGGCCAGCGATTGGAAGCCGAAGAGGCAAAAAGTTGCAAGTTCTTCATCAGATTCAGAGTGCCTCCAGCCACACGGCTACCGACAAAAGTGTACCTCTGGACGGCAGGACTGTTGATGTCACTGAAACCCGTACTGCAACTCTTTTCCTCGTGTCTATTATTGCTTCTGATTGATTGATTCGTGCTGCACAACTAAGCCCTGACCCATCAGACCCCTGATTTCTGCCTCCCGTGCCCCCCACCTGCGCTGCTTTAGTCATGGGTTCTTCCCGGAAAGAGGAATCTTAGTCAGCAGAGAATGATTATCTGTATTATGTAATACTCGACTGAGCCACGAAGAAAGACCGAGCCACACTGCACAGCCATCCCCAACAACCCAGTGCCGCTCAAGGGAAGCACAAATATAGAACATACTGCATTCTATCGTGATGACTCTCTAAGCACACGGAACGGAAAGATGACGTGAATAAAGGATACAATCTATGATGTTTGACATCAACTCAAATCTTGCAATGCGCATCGCAGTCATGGAAAAGCGTCTTGAAGCCCTTGTCAACCACATCGTTGATCTCGATCTTCAATTGGCCTTGGGGAGAGGTTCGATGTTAGCTAAAGAGTTCAGGAATCCATCAGCGTTTATAGTTTTTAGCGTTTTTTAACATTCGGTGCCGACGGTATGTCAACGATTTAAGACTTCGGTGCCGTTGATACGTAAGCTGAATCATATAAGACAAGACCGTAGAATCAAGCTGACTTCGGACGATATATAACGGCTCGTAGCATATGCTGAGGCAAGAACAGTCGCAATCAACAAGGCCATGACGTTACTCTAGGATCAGATATCACCGGCATGGATCTAACGAAGCTAGAGAGGCTCATAGATATACATTAACTATGTACATTCAGCGTGGTCACTGATTGGCAGATATCTGGCACCACGGAGTACCATCGTCTGATCATGGTTACACCATCAGATAGATATGTGTCTCCAAGATCTCATTCCCGATATCAGATCGTGGGGAAGAACCATCAAGCTGATTTGCTGTTGTAAAGCAGGTACTCGGTCGCATAAACCTCCAAGGGGGGATTCGCCAGCGGAGAAGGAATATCCCGAGATTTAACAACATAACCCGACGCCAGAGTGAGGGATGCGGCGTCCCCCTCGTCAGCTTTCCCTTCGCTATCGGGGGCTGATAATATGTGGTAATCATTCATCTTTAATCTGTGAAAATGTGGAGAAGTGGCGTCATTGTCAGGACGCCAGATGCACAGGCTCTTGGTAGACTCCAGGGTGACAGATTGAGACTTGTTCCAAGGCCCAATTAGTGACAGTTCCCCAGTTGCTGAGTATGACAGTTTGAAAGCGGCCGATACTATCTTGCTGCAATTCGCGTTCAAGCTCCTTTCACTGGCAGCTTGATCGATCCATCAATCGAATTAAACCGCAACGGGCCATGATGCATGCAATGTGCAAAGAGATAGACGCAGCATTTACAGTAAAATGTGCATAATCTCAGGCCTCATTCTCTCGCTGCTGGTCAATGAAGGCTCGCAGAATCGACTCCAGTCCTTCGTTGCGGCGCGCAAGCAACATCACATCAGAGACATTAACTGTCGAGCGGCCTGCATGCCTACGCCAAAAGTAAATGTTAATTGCTACTCAAGGAATCACTCAACTCATTTTATCTTTGCAAACAGGTACAGGATGGTGTAGGGCCAAGAGGAGCGGTCCGGCTTGGAGGACTCGTGCTGATGGAAATGACTTACTTTGCAAAAGATTCCAAATCTTCGCTAACAGTTTCTGTAAACGCAAACATTAGAAGCTTGATTTTCAACGACGCATATACTTAGGCCATGCTCCTGTTCTTTGACGCAACATCGCGCGTTTGCAAGCAGGTGAATACCATGAACGTACCAATCTGAGCCCACACCATCTCGGTCAAGGCACCTATGAATTGAGGAGTGGCATTGACACCAAGTTTGATTGTCTCCTCATCTACAATCTTGCCAATAGCCAGCCAAAGGGCCGATTTCAGACGCTGAGGAACCACGTTAGCAGGTGTAAATAAAGTAGAGTAAGCGACGCGGTCTTAGGAGCGCGTACCTCCTCGAGGCTGACTTCCTCATTTTCGTCCATTTTTTGGGGTTGGCGGAATACAGCGCGTACAGACTGGTGTATGCGTAACCCAAATAGACATTTCAAGACGGATATAATACTGATGATCTGATGCTCAAAGTCGCCCAGGATGCTTGATGCACACGCGTGAGCGCTAAAGAATACAGCCCGGCCGTGATTGGTCGACACCATGCGCTCTGGATCAATATGTTCTCCGGCTGCCGAAGACCGAATATTACTAGCTGGATGGCGCTATTCCAGAAAAGGAACATTACCATTCACGGAATCCTTGAGAGGCAAACGTCGGAGTGGTCAGGTACCAGTGGAAATCACTTCTCTTCTTCACTCATTTTGCTCGACATCTTCAAGCTTCTGGAGGGGATATTTGTCTTCAGCGGGGGGTCTCACAGCCTCGCTCACCAACCCTTCATCCAAAGTCCCACGCGGGAGCAGTCCTTATCTACAGAGTATTATTTCTGCCGCCTTTTCCAGATAGTCAGCGATTCCACCACCTTCCCCCACGACCCGCTTTCTCAGAAGGACGGACCTGCGTGATTTTTCCTCCCTCTTCTGATCTTCTCTCTTCTCCGCTCCATCCGAATCCCTTCACTCTTTACACTCCTCCTAAACTCCCTCCGTATCCCAACGAGCGAGACACCGGAGCCTCGCTTACAATGGCGACCCCCGACGCCTCCTCCGTCGTCTCCGACGCCCTCAACGAATTCTTCGGCGAACTCTACACCTTCTTCGAAACATTGTTCAAGCGCTTCTTCAAGAATCTCTACACCTCCTTCGTCGACGTCAGCGCCAGCCGCTGGACCAAAGTTGTCTGTTCCGTCGTCGGCTACATCCTCATCCGACCCTACATCGAAGCCTGGTTCGCCAAAATGCACGAGAAGGACCGCAAGAAGCAGCTGGAGAAGGAGCGCGCCGCCCGCGAGGGCAAGGGGGAGAAGAAGGCAAAGGTGTCCGCTAATGCGCTCCGCGGCGGCGGCGGCGGCGGCGGCAAGGTGTTGGGGGAGGTTGAGAACACGGATGATGAGATTGAGGAGGGCGAGGACTTTGCTACTGCCAGCGGAGTGCCAGAGTGGGGGAAGAATGCGCGCAAGAGGCAGAAGAAGTATATGAGAGAATTGCAGCGGGAGGCGGAGCAGCGCAGCTCGCAGAACTTGACGGAGGATCAGGTTATGGAGTTGCTGGATTGGAGTGATTCGGAAGACGAGCAGACCAAGGAAGAGAAGAAGGATGAGTGAAATATTGATCATCTCGCCATATCGCCTACTGTTTTCCCACTCTCTGCTGGCTACGGTGCTCAGAGCTCATTCACGACTTTCTAATACTCTGTCCTTCCAACCAACTGTATAATTATTATTGTTCACGTCGTCTCTTGATGCTTTGTTCCCGTCCCAGTACTGTGAATGGCGTTTTAACGGACATGACTCGACGGATACCATTTTACAGTCGCTTAGATTCTTTGCGCATAATATCATCATAAAATTCATCTAGACATATGCCTGGTCCAAGAGCGCAGGTGCTTTCGATGCCTTCAATTTGATCAACGAGGTATCTTTTGAGCCTGATCACTGTCTATCATCATGCCTCAAGTAGGAAGCCTTGACATCCATTGAAGCTGATTACACGAGGTTCCAATATACCCAGCCTATGAGTTGTAGACACTCATCAAGATCTAATGCAATCGCCTCAATGCCTCTATCATGCTTTTCACTTCGTCCACGGTCATCTTTCCCACTATACTCACAATCTCCTCCTGCACGCTCGGCTCACAGGCAAGGAATCGCTCGATAAGCTCTCCATCCACAAACCGATAGGGCTCCTGTGCCTCACGAACCATACTGTGGAAGCCTCGGAATTCGTTGAATGGCATGTTTCCGACCAATTCCACCTTTCCGGCAATGGTCGCTTGCAGGCGCATCAGGAAATCCTGATGGTCAGGATTGATCATAGCAAACAGGTAGATTGAGCCTTCCACCTGTTGGAAGCATGCTCGGTCAGCCATTGTTCGAATCAATGGTAAGTAGGGAGCGGAAGGGAGAAGCGGAAACTTACAGTTGCCAGGAATGCTCTCGGCGTAACAGCCACACTTGTTAGCTGCTGGATGTTGACTGGTCTGATGCGATTGACCATCTCACCCAGCGAGATCTCACCAGTCACCTCTAGTCGACGTTTGTCGTCTTCCTCCACGCCGGTCGTGTTTCGGCAAAGGATGATTAGATTGCCCTCTGCATCACTTTCCAAGAACGTATCTTGTGCGATACAGGCAACACCAGTGGCCCAAACGGTCTGGAAGTGACGCGCCACTTCCGTCAGTGTATCGGGAAGACCGTCCTCTCCCTCTTTATATTCAACAAGACATACACTCTTCATAAGGTCGGAAACTGCGATGAGATTGCCTGTCACGGTGACGTCCACTGGTGCTGTCGATGTCCTGTAGCTGGCAAGCTTTTCCAGCTTCATGGCGCCGAAGTTGTTGCTGACTGCCTTGTACACGACAACCTTGAACACAATTTAGCAAGACGACATCTAAGAATTGTGGTACGAAAACAGAGATACTTACAGTCTTGACGAGAGCAGCCACGATTCTATTCCCTAGCATTGCCAACGCCCGGCATGCTCCCTTGACAGGTAATTCCGCAACCTGTGTCAACTTGCGGCCATTATCAACCTCGAAGATGAGAATGCGACCACGGATTGATTCATCCCCTTCATCGTCGAGAAACGCGGTACCAACAATGAACCGATCCTTGACTGTAGCACCATTTTTCTCGTCTTTGCCTACTGGAAACTCCGCGCGAATGACACTTTCCACCAACTCTTCCGGACGCAACTCGAAAGCATCGAGTCGGCGGAACAAGATCTCGTCAGCAAGCATGAACTCACTCTTGACAATTTCTGCTCCATCCACGAGCTTTCGTTCAATAGTGCCAATACCAAACGCTTTCTCGGACGGCGAATACGCCACTCGGCGGACAGTTGCACCAATTGGGAGAGTTTGAATCTGCGTCGTCCTTTCTTTGTCCACCAGGGCAATCTTCAGGTCATGCAATGTTGCTACTGCAATTGACCCAGGATATGCTTCGGAGTTGAGATGACATATCCGAGAAGCGCCTTCAGAGTTGACCGCAGAATAAATGATGCGGCCCTCCGATCCGTAAATCATGCTTGGATTCTCGCAAGTCGCAAAGACATTGAACAGGCCGTCTCCTCTTGGTAACTTTTTGAATGTAGGTTGCTCAGAGCCTAGAATCAGCTTGGTCATACCGGTCAATGAGACGTCGTCGGGGTTGAATGAGTAAGTGATCACACTGCCGTCCGCCATTGAGATGAACAAGGTGGGCGGGCTATCGGACAGGACGTCTGCAACAAGAACAGATCGAGGAAATGCTTCACCAGCAGGGCCGACAGATGTCGACTGAACCTCTGCTAGATCCTGAAGTTTTAATACCGACACTTTCGCAAGCTGAGGAAATCCTGCAATGAACACTCCGGTTGGCGATGCTGGTACTGTGACACCGGATATCTGGCTGTTTGCACCAAAGTCCTTCTGCGTTACAAGCCGAACTTCGTTTCCAATATCGAGAACCGTCACGAGCTCACCACCTGCGACGAGGACAATCATATCATTGTTGGTAGAAGCCGCCGTTATGATGAGCTGATTCGGCGGAGTCCATTCGTATGTCACCATGCCACCCTCCACTTCGGCAATAAGTACTCTTCGCTCAGTGACTTGGAGGATCCGTCCACCAGGAAGATTTGCGGCGAGAAGGGTGTTTTCTGAGAGACTCAATCCGAGGAAATGGTCCATCTCTTCAACCTCACCATCGGGACTGAAGTGGAACACTCTAGTCTCATCCACGAAAGTGACCAACAATATATCCAAGAAATCTCCCTTACTGCCGACTTGCAAGCCCCATAGATCTGTAATATGGTCCATCTCTCCAAGAACACCTAATTCCTCCATCCCAACACCGCTGCGGACACTTCTAAGCGTTCCATCGTCAAAGGCACCTGATCCAGTAACAATTCGTGCTTGACCCGAGGAGAACTCGTGGGTCTGGCTCTCACTTGTGCGACTGCCAAGATCCATTATTGTAAAGTCCAATATGGGTGCGATGTTCGGCAGAGTCTGAACCACATCCACAGAGCCATTGCTGATGCGCAACACTTGGGAGTCTCCCTGATGCGAGCCCAAAAATAAAACACCTCCACCAAGATAGACCAGGACGGATGCACGGGAGGTCTTGCCCAACAGGTCTAGCTTCCAGCTTTCGACTTGATTGTCAGAGTCCAGCACCAACATCAAGAAAAAGAGCCTTCCATAGTCATCAGCCAACAACCACCGCTGACTATCAACCTGTTCCCAGGCTACAAAAATAGTCGCCTCATCCAATGGGCGGGATATAATCTCATTATTATCAGCGTCGACATACTTGATTGACGTTTCACCAAGGATCAATAGACCGCCTATTTTCCGTTAGCACTGAAGAACCCCTTGACGGAGCGAAAGGGAATCGTATAGAATAATAATACCTAATGGCGCAGGTACTGGTATCAAGTGCGAAGACCCAAGTTCCAGCTCCTGCGTAAAGTCTGCTGGTTCCCCGAATGTTGCGTCGGCAATGTTGGTGCTCCCGGTTGCAGCATGATACTGCAATTCTCTGACCCTCAACCTAACTTTCTTCTGATTATCCTCATACAGCAATGCCAGACGCGGGAGTCCCTCCTGCACGTGCAAGAACGCCGACGACCGCACAAAAAGCTCCTCTATTCTGGCCGTTGCCGGCTCACCCAACTCTCCCACCCGCGGTGCATCCGGACCCGAAGGCAAGGCGACATTCCTCCCTCGTTTCTTGCTGGGTAGTTGTATGATGGGCACGACTGCAATGACGCCTTCATAGATCTCCAGAGTCATGAACCGCCCGCTTGGATCGATCAAGCACCGGTTTCCTGTTTGCGACTCCCGCGACGACGGATCGGATATATCGACATATTCCCTTTCCGTACGAACTTGGTTTTTCGAACTGTCCCAGGATAACGTGAAATATGTGTACCGGTCGGTGCCGACAAAGAGATGGTCGGTAGGCGAGTTGGCGGGCGCCGGAAGGCGCGCCAGCATCGTTACCCTCGCATAGGCGGCGCAAGACGTCACGAGATTGAGTCCATCGGGAGTCGGAACGTAGAATTCGAGACGGTTAGATTTCCTGTGTGCCACAGATGGAGATATAGTCAGCCGATATCCACTTGAATGCTGAAGAGCAATTGATGATAACTAGCAGGCCACCAACGCAACAACCAGACAATCCTCCTCCGGATTGACGAAATTCAGCTTCAGGGCATGGCGGATGCTGCTCGCTCGATGTATCGGTACAACGTAGGCCATAATATCGGCTTCGAGAGACCTCTCGACTTCGCAACGGAACTCCTAGGATGGGCTTTTCGTAGTGGATACCAAGCACTGCGGGGATGATAAGGAAAGAAGGAAGCGCAGCGACAGAAGAATTCAGACCAGCTTGGGATCTTGTAGTGCCAAAAAGACAGCACTATTGTGCATCGCTTATCTGCCGATATTTGCTATTTGATTGCTGGCGTGCTTCGGGTGAATGCAGGAAGATGGGAGAAGCCAGTCATGTCGGGCCCGAACGTCGAGTCGCGCGAATGACGATGCTTGCGGTTCCATTCCTGGTTTTTTTAAACTCCGAGCTTATGACCGGGGCTCAGCGCAAACTACGGAGCATATAAGGTACTCCGGAGGCTTAGAACTTCTCGACAAAGGAATATATTGGGTCAATGGTGAATCGTTAATCCATCGCATCTTGTCTGATAATCTTGATTTCAGCTCGAAAAGCGCAATGCTCCTACAATCTTCTGCACCGCCATAGTATCTGTATGAGCTCCTCAGCCTACCAGTTACTATTATGTCATGTCCCAACAGCAATTCGAAACAAACAACAACCATATATATATACTTTCATTCCCATGTTCATATCATTCGATTTCTTATTACCCTTTGCTCATCTGTCATCATATATCCCTCCAACCAACCAATCAATGGTAGCTGCTGAGTCGGTGTTGACAACCATCCCCTTTTTGATACTGACCATATAGAAGCCCAAAAAAGAGCAGTATGAACACATGAAGACGCGCCTAAAAACGAAGAGAACAAATCAAAACAGGCGGTGTATATATGCAGATATCATCTAGGCATCAGAAATGTAAGGAAAAGAGTAGTGGAAAAGGAAAATCATGACAATAGATGCGTGGTAGATCATGACCAGACATCCTCCTGGTAGCTGCCACTGCTGCGCATATGCTTGACCATCTCCTCGCCCTTGTCATCAGGCAGACCACGCGACTTGGCGATGATCTTACCAAGGACGAGGTTGACCTCACGGGCCATGTTTGCCGCATCGCCACAAACGTAGAAAATGGCTTTCTGCTTCAGGAGTTCGCTGACAAGATCGGCATGCTCCTGCAGTCTATGCTGGACATAAACCTTCTTTGCAGTTTCACGAGAGAAGGCAGTGACGATCTTGAGCTTGTCTCCGAGTTTCTCTTGGTAGACCTGTGTTACGATGTTAGTATAGTGTGGAAAGGCGAAAATGGAGCTTTCCGTGAAAAGGACAAACATACCTTCCACTCATCCTGATACAGGAAGTCCTCGGTGCTGTTGCGGCACCCGAAGAACAAAAGCGTAAGACCGACATTCTCGCCCTTCTCAGCCAGAGCAGCACGTTCCTGAATGAATCCACGGAAAGGAGCAACACCAGTACCGGGGCCAACCATGATGACTGGCTTAGAGGGATCAGAAGGCAGCTTGAAGTTGGAGTGGCGGACATGAACTGGAACGTGGATGCCGTCGTACTTATTGCGTGGACCGGTGATAGCATAAGTCAAACCATGAGGATCGGGAGATGGATCGCCATTCTGCTTCTGCTTCAGAGCAAGGAGATAATTGGTGGCCACACCCTTAACAATGTGGGATGCACCAGGCAAGCGAACCGATTCAACGACAGCAGTGATACTGATCTTATCCTTCTGGACGAGAGACGACGAGGAGATAGAATAGTAGCGAGGCTGAAGTTTGTTGAGACCTTCGATGAGCAGAGAGAACGGGACAGCGGAGAACGGCTTCGGTGTGATATTCTGGAGAGCCTGGGCGATGTTGAAGCACTGGTTGGTGATTTTCTCGTGGAAGTAATCCTTGTCGCTACCGAGGCGCACAATCTCGGCCTTGCTTTCCTCATCGGGAGCGAAGGTAGCCAGAGTAGCCACAAACTGACGCGAAACGGGGGCACAGATTTCCATGTAGTAACGAACAGCGGCGTCGTAAGTAGTGGGAGCTGGGATGGGAACCTTGGCAGTCACATCAAGGCCCTTGACGTTGATCACGGTATGGCGCTTCTCCTCAAGACCGAAGACCTGCAGGAAACGGTCGACTTCCATGCCAGCATTGTTAGGCCAGACGGCAATGTGATCGCCGGTTTGGTAAGTGAGGTTGCTTCCGGCAATACTGATTTCCATGTGAAGACAGTTACGATCTTTGACAGTGAACAATTCGCGGGATTCGACGATGGGGGCGATGTAAGGGTTGTGCGCAGAGTAAGGTCCTTTGGAGGTACCTTCGAGATGGCTCTTGGTTGGCTCACCGAGATAGACCTCCTCGTCCTCGGGGCTCAAGGATTCTTCTTCCTCCACAGCAAAAACCGGTTCGTAAACAGCCTCGCGCTCCTGCAGATTCATGGACTCGGACAGAGCAGCCCACATGGGTTCCTTCCAGGCCAAAAAGTCCTCTTCCATTGTACCAGCGCCGTCGTCACCTTCACCAGCGGTACCGATACGTTGCGCTCCAAGCTTGGTAAGAGCGATATCAACCTGGCGGACCATGGCATTGTAGTGTTCATAAGTGTTGTTACCCAGACCAAAAGTGACATACTTGAGCGCGGACAAAGGCTTATCGTCGGCGGACGCGCCACTCTCGAAAGCAACGTCGTCACCGGTGATGAACTGGTAGAATTCCACGGCATTGTCTGTCGGCTCACCCTCGCCATAGGTCGCCAGAACAAAGAACGCGACCTTATCCTCGGGGAACTTGTCAAAATTCTCGTAGTCATAGTCCTCAAGATCAGCGACCATGGTCTTCAGGCCAAAGCGCTGAGAACCTTCCTTTGCCAGTCGGGATGCGTAATCCTCGGCGGTTCCGGTTTGAGAGCCGTAGAAAATCACACAGTTCTTTCCAGTCTCCTCCATCTTTTCAACGATATCGCGGGTTTTACCTGCCTTTGCAGCGCCATTCGTGGCTGGTCCAGACGTAGCATAGGGGTCTTTGGCAACAGCCCAGTAAGTGCCCTTGGTGAAGTAGGCAACGCTACCCACCAAGAGCACTGCCAGAACAACAAGGTCAAGAGTGTCGAGTTGCGCCATTTTGAATTGTCAAGAAAGTCGGATCCAAATCTGTCCTTGGAGAAGGAGCAGAGCGTCGAGAAGAAAGAGAGCCCCCTCGGTCTGGAGCGGGCCCTTTCAACCGAAGGAAAAGGATACACAGGAGAGAAAGGAAGGATGATGAGGAGAATCCAACTGCTGTGGCCTTTAGATAAGATGGAGGGGGGAGGACAATCAACAAGTAAGAATGAGGAAGAGGAGAAGAGAGGAAAGGGAATAAAGGAGGCAGCGTGGGCGATTGATAAAAGAGTAAGTAATGATTGTCCTCAGCTAATCGAACCACATAATTCAGAGCGGAACCCGAGTGCACTATTCTGTGCAAAAGTCGTTATGGGTGGAGATGTTAAATGTAAGGCGGCTTATGTCCCCTAGTTACCAGCACTCAGCAGCCCCTAGTTCATCTACACACAGACTACTCTGTAGAGACTGATCGTGGCCTCTCGGAATGATAGATCACCGGTCTTCCGGAGTTGGCCGAGGGCGTGGCAGCACGTGACTGCCAGTAAGCTGCACCGAAAGGAATAGATAACAAGAGAAGAACACTGAGGACACAAAAGGATTATCAAAGAGCAAATCTCTCTCTTCAAGAAGAATACCGTGATTAAGGCGAAAGAGTCAAAGATAACCTTAGGCTGTTATATACGTCCTTATTTGTGTGGGGAAGATGGGATGGCTCCGGTTGTAGGACTGAGACGTTTTGGATCGGGAGGGACTTCGGCGCTCGATAGACAAGACAGAAGGGACTGGAAGTGGCGTCTCACTTCAACGTCGGGGTTCAAAAGGGAGTTAAGAATGGATCTGTTTGGCTTCTTTCTCAAATCACGGGGGGATCTCCCGAATATCCTGCCGAACAGCGTCGCTAACCGAGTTCCGCCTTTCGGAAGAGGACTTGCAGTCTATCTTGATTCTTGTGAATGGCTTCGATACAGTCTATGAATTATGGGGTATGGATAGGGCGGAAGTGCTAACTAATGATAATCCATGAAGAGTGCAGAAAGCAGTGATGCAAAGCAGTGTGTCTTGTCACTTTTGTACTGTGTGACCATGGCAGTAATAACAATAGCGTATTTTCTATCCACTATATGGTGGGCTCTGTCCACAATGCAGAGGATTAAACAAAAGGTACCTAGTACGGAGTGAGATAGTAATTCAGCTATCGGAGCTGAGGCTTCATACTCCCAATTTCTCTGTCAATGCATCTTGAATCTTAGGTAATATCTCAGACCAATTTCAGAAACCAGAGCATATCACCCCTCACTGAAGGGTTGAATGAAAGTCTAGACGGTATCCTCATCCTTCAAAAAACATCCTATTTTGTGCCCTTCGACGGAGAGAATGTACATCATTTCCGTTGTGCAGAGGCTTATCACTCTGTAGAACGTGAGTGTCGTGGTTGTTTACAGCGGAAGCAGTAACGGAGAACGGACAGTTTCCGCACTCCTACTTAGTATGGAGTACAACTTGCCTGATGGAGAGTCGGAGTCCCATAGGTTCGCTGACACTTGATTGCGGAGTGCTCCATACTATCTATAAGGAGGTAGATATAAATTGGACGAACTGCATGGCGGTCGAGTCCAGATACTATCTTAACATCTCCAGATGTCTCTATTTGCAGCAAAACTTAACCCAAGGAAATTATTTATAGACGTCTTTTAAGTGTGTAGATACTCTTTCGCCTCCGTGCTCTCCTTAGTCCCAGGCTTTTTCCTTGTTCCCCGCGGCATGATATCTTTCATTCCGCCGGCATATTGTCGACATGAATCCCCAGAGCGAGTTCAACCCCAGATGATCTCCAGAAGCCGAGAGAAGCGTTTGGCTTTGAAAATTCAATACACGTCATCGCGACAAATATTAACCCCAAGCGCTATGCTCGTCCTCTTGGCGGGAGCAATAGTCAGATCCTCTGTCCCCACCAAGCATTGGAGGGCTCAAACAGCAGTCATGTAGGTAAGATGACATGCCAATGCATCATGGCGACTCCGACCTGACATAGCCAGACAAATGATAAGAGACCCTTGAAACGAGAACAGTTTTTGACTATCACAGCTCCTAGAGGCCCGGAGTAGTGCAATATGATAAGCTACGGAGAGTGCTCAGATGGATATAGAGTCTAGCCAGATCGCCCTTCTCGAACTCAGAGACCACAGGTGTTCTCGATTAGGCATAGTCTAGCGTATATATCAAGGAACTCAGATCACATGAGATCCAGTACAGAATATGTATTCTTGAAGCATTCAGTTAGATAGCGATATTGAATGTCTTCTATCTAACAAGTGCCGGCTTCAAAAATCCAGCCGAATGAACTTGCTCATGTTTACTCTCTGGTGCCTAGGAAGTTCTGAGACGAAACTTGATCAAGAGCAATGAATATAGACCTGCCGCGGCAAGCATGAGTAGAACATGGAAGCAGTAGACACTTTAAAAATGTTATCTCCTAGTTACCGAACACGTCTAAAATCTCACCCAAATTCTATAAGAATAAAGACATATCATTCTGACCACTCAAGGGATCTCAGTCCATTGAATTGCAACTATCGCCATCTTGTTGATGTTACTCGATGACTCCCAGGAACAAAGCCCGTGCTCCGGCCTTGTCGGTCGCCGTGACGGTCAAACAACTGCCCAAACAGCTTATCGCAGCATTTTCATGACTTTAGACTAACTACCACCATCACCATCCATCTTCCCTACTATCAGGTCTGAGCAACAATGTGCTGCTTACAAGTCTCTGCGGATTCTCCTGCTGCAGTAAATATGAGCACCATCGAGGCGTGATTGTTGTTTCATAAGACGATGCAGCACGGTGGTAAGTGGCCGCATTTTTGGGCGTTTATTAACCAGTCTCACTACGATACCTACCTTCTGCTTACGTCTGGATACCCGGTCTAACAATTGACTGTGTCCTACTCCCGTCATTTTAACGACCTGTTATTCAAATGTGGACTGCTTTTTGCTGACGTCTACTCATGTGTAGCGGCATCACACCTGACGATTAAAGCTGGGCCCACCCAGACAACAACAATGCCCCTCATCCCTGACGACTCGAGTCTTGCATCGCACCACAATACTCCATCTCCACCAGAACACCTAGTGACTAGAAGTACTCCTACATCTGCTATTCATAGCCGGGAAACATCCGCTGTTAGGGGAAGAGCAGCTGACCCATCCACGCTCACCCCGTCGACCCTACAGCCTCAGAGTAATCGTCGCGGCCAATCTCACTCCAAAAGTCCCGACCCTGCTGCTGGACGGCCAGGCATAGGATATGATGTTGGATTGGAACGGAGGCCTTCTCATTCGTATGGCCACCATCGGCAGACTTCGATTGTCCATGGGATCCAACACTCTCGGAATCCAAGTTTCGCGGCATCTTCCACCTCGACGAGTCCTCTGAGTCCCGAATTGATTGCTTCTTTGGGCCGGGGTACCGGAAATGACAACGAAAGCGCTGGCGCAGGGCAATCCGACCAACACGAGATGTACGCGAGTCATCAAAGCCCGGGAGGCAATGGATCGAGTCAAAGTCTGCAGAGCACCCTGAGCACTACCGAGAACCAGGATGCCGGTGAAATCAAAAACCCCAGTCGTGCGGGTTCTGTGCATAAACGAATGAATTCCGCTGGAAAATCGTGGCGAGAACGCTCTCATAGCCGTTCACATTCGAGACAACACCAGGTGGAGTCAAAAACTGTGGGAGAATATGCATTACACCATCTATTCAATTCTGTGAGCACATGCACCTTCACCGTCTTCCATGAGAAAGTACTGACGGCCTGTTCAGTTTGTCGGCCAAGCAGATAACAAGGTCAACCAGGCTATCATGAAGTTAGGACGTTCCGACGCTCCTGTGGAGGAGGTTTGCGGGCCTGGCGTGGATCCTAACTTCGATCAATTGATCGCGGCTCTGGGCCACATTTCAAGACAGAAACCAAAGCCCTTGATAGATACAATCATGCTATGGCGAAAGGCAAAAGGGGATGCTGCCACAATGGCTAAGCAAACGGCTAACCAGGTATGTCGAAAAGGACCATTTTTCTTGTTCCCCCACATCCTTATTCCCACGGAGAAATTCAAGCTTACTTTGTCTTAGCAGAAACCCGCTGTATCTGATAATGGATTGATTGCGCGTCGAAACACGGAGCCAACACAGATAGCAACTGACCCCGCGGCGCAGACGGATTCCTCGGCCCCCAACCCAATGTTGTCTCGCCACGAGGATGTCATTCTGGCAGAACGCCGTGCAACGGTGTCAGTGTATCTTGTCTGCAGAGTCTTGATTGAAATATTCAACCAGAGCAATATAGCCTCCATAACAGTTGACATGGCGGAACGCTTGGAAGACATTGTGTTTGGTCAACTCAAGACAGGAGATCCGGACCAGATCTCGGCATCTCCGCTTCGCATGGCTAATTGGAGGATATATTCCCAGCTGCTTGGAATCATGAGTGAAACGAACTTCACCAGCGTTGCCAATCGCTTCTTGGCAGAACTTGAAAGGTATCAGAAGGAAGAGATGCTTCGTGGGCCCTCAAAGGAGGGCGATTCCCGAGTGGAACTTCTGATCTTGGGGATGAGGCACCTCCGTGTTAGGACGCATCAAGAGGCTTGGGGAAAATCATGCGACTTTATGCGGGCACTGGCGCGGTTATTCGCCACTGCTCATGGGCAACGCGTCAAACAGGCCTACTGCTACATCTTTGAAAAGCTTCTTCTGCCCATAGCCGCGAGTCCAAATTGCGACCTTGGCTCTCCTAAATGGAAAGAATTCCTGGAATCGGTCCAATCCCGCCTGTCGCAGATGCTTGCCAAGCCTCGTCATTGGGCGACTGGTTTCCCACTCCATGTTCTCCTTCTATGTGTGTCTTCAAAAGAGGTTTTCTCGTCCCAATGGCTATCGGTTATCCAGAGTCTCCCGGCGAGATTGAAGGACCGTCCGACACGGGCCCCAGCTCTTCAAGCCATGTGCCGCTTGTTGTGGACATACTTCTTCCGCTATACGGATTCTCCAACGGTGACTCTTCGGAAGGTTGAAGAAGTAGCCAGAATAGCTCTACCTGCTGGAAAAAGGACGTACTTGAGTACCGAGCCGGCAGTTTCGGAGCCTCTCATACACTTAATACGCCTGATCGGCTTTAAACATCCAGATGTCTGTTTCCGAAACATCATCTTTCCTTTGATCAACTCGGATCTTTTCCTTTCCGGAAAAGAGTTGAAAATCGAGCAAATGGAGCCAGAAAAAATGGTTATCGGTATCAGATCGTTTCTCGCGATTGTGACGGATCTTGAGAATTGTGATCAGCTTTGCCCTCCGTTCCTTACGGGATCCATTCCAAACCCCTTCACTGATATCGCAACTCCGGTTCCTTTTCATCGGCCTCAGCTCCTTGCAGATCCGCGGCTACCGAATGCATTAGAGGACAGAGATACGGCGCTTTCTCTGCCGGTTAATACTTCTAGGCTAAGTGATAACGTCAAGGAGTATTACATTCGGTTCTGCGATATCCTAGGTAAAATTACACTTCTGTGCGATAATACATTTGGTGGACAAGCTGCTCTAGATGAGAAATTTGGTGGCACAACCCCCAAAACACCGATCTCAGAGGCGTTCAGTTTCGGACGGCGCGATGATCATCTCAGCGTTATCGATCAGAGGCAGGGATTTTATGATCTGCTTCATGTTGCCGTTCAGACACTCCCTCGTTGTTTATCAGACCGTATCCCATTCAACTCATTGATCAACTTGCTTTGCACTGGAACCGCGCACGTTCAGTCAAACATAGCTTCTTCCTCTGCTGAATCATTGAAGGCCATTGCGCGGCAGTCACACGCTCAGCAGGTTACCATCGGGTTTGCAAGGTTTATCTTCAACTTTGATGCCAGGTATTCAACCATGTCAGACGAAGGCATGCTCGGGCCAGGTCACATTGAGTCTACGTTAAGACTATACGTGCAATTATTACAAATCTGGATAGAAGAGATCAAGCACAAGACCAAAGGCGTCGTTCAAGATCCGGCCGATAAATCAGCCACTGGTAGTCGGGCCTTGCAGCTGGATCTTTCTAGCATTTGGGCACATGTTGAGGAGATTGAATCTCATGGCCTCTTCTTCCTCTGCTCTCAGTCAAGGCGGGTTCGTGCCTTCGCAATCACGGTCCTACGACTGATTACCGAATTTGACAGCGCTCTCGGCAAAGAAAACACAAGAATTATCAGGATCCTCGAAGCGGATGCAAATCAAATTCTGAATGTCAATGATGAACAGCTGACTGTAGCTGAGAGGAGTCGGATTCAGAAAGGGAAGAGGAAGAGTGCATCTCATAATACCTTGATTGAATTGTGCAGCAGTGAGGTCTCCTACGATTCGACGTTGTGGTCGAAGGTATTCCCGAATATCATCAAGATAAGCTTCGAGACCTGCCCGTTTGCTGTGACACTAGGACGGGAAATCGTGTGTGCAAGGCTGGTTCAGATGCACAAAACCATCACTGCGCTGGCGGAAAGTTCTCAGTCTCCCCAATACGCGCCCATCGACCCTGTCCAAGCTCGAGCGCTCAGCAGAAGTAACATGACTGCAGAAATCTTGATTGAACAGTGGAAACTATATCTGGTTATGGCTTGCACAACTCTAAACAGTGTCGGTGCGCAGTCTCAAAGTCAATTAGCAAATGCCCAACATGCGCGAAAATCCTCCAAGGGAGCCCAGCAGTCGCAAGATAAAATCAGCTCCGCTCGAAGTCTCTTTGCGTTCGTGATTCCGCTCCTCTCAGCTGAACGGTCATCTATCCGCAACGCCATCGTCATAGCTCTTGGTTCCATCAACAAAAATCTTTACCGTACATTGCTTGAATCTCTTCAATACGCGGTCACAACATGTAATGAGGAGGCAAAGGTTCGCATTGGGGTACATCACAGATCTCCTAGCAGCCCGAGGCGGAACCGGAAAACCGATCGACTGCGGACAGAGGTTACGCATGTGTACAAGTTGACATCGCATTTTCTTCAAGAAACCGAAGTGTACAATGACGATTGGATTGTGAACAATCTTCTCACTTATACGAAAGATCTCCGAATCTTTCTGAGTGATGCAGAAGTTCAGAACGATTGGGAATTTCAACGACTGCGGTTTCATTATTGTGGATTGATGGAAGAACTGTTTGAAGGAATCAACCGTACAAAAGATCCATCTCACTGGATTCCCTTCGAATCACGAAAGTCGGCCTTCTCACTGATGGAAGACTGGTGTGGGTATTCGCCCAACCAAGCACAGATCTCCCAACGCGAAGACAACATGCGAAAATTTGCCATGAATCAGCAGTCCGGCTCCGGAGAGATTCGAAACACCGCGGCGGCAATGGAGATTGAGAAGAAGAATTTACGTGCAGCAGCTCTTAGTGCAATGGCATCCTTATGCGTAAGTGAAGGTTTACTGCTTTTTTTTGGGGGGTATGGAAGCTGATTTTCATAGGCTGGACCTATCAGCATCACTACAGAAAGCGGCGCCGTGCTTCAATTTGATGTGGGAAGAATGCTTTCGTGGATTGATATCATCTTCAACACTATCAGTGATAAATGGCATGGGATTGGACGACGTGCGCTCAAGAACCTCACCACTCACAACAAAGAGCACTCGTACCTTTTAGAAAGGTCGATTGAGATGTGCTATGTTGCAGAGAGGCCCAAAGCACTGGAAAGCTACTTCGAGGTGGTAACGCAGGTCCTCATTGAACACACCGATTATCCCCTTGGCTTCTGGAGGATCTTGGGTGCTGTACTTGTTACATTGGGGAACCAAAAACGCGAGATTCGAATGAAGTCGGCCAAACTCCTCCGAATCTTAGAAGAACGCCAGCAGAAGAGTTCGCGACTCCAAGACTTTGACATCAGTATTTCGGATAAGACCACTGCCGTTTACAAACTCGCCCAGTTCGAAACGTCCAAGCGTTTAGCGAAACAACACTCCGATCTGGCGTTCACCCTTTTCTCAGAATTCTCTCTCCATTTTCGAAATTTGGGTCCTGATAGCCAGCGAAACATGGTGGCTGCGATCTTACCTTGGGTCCAAACGATGGAATTGCAGGTCGACCCCAACGGTGGCCCAACGGCTAGGTCGTACATGCTCCTGGCCAATCTCTTTGAAATCACCATTCGATGCAGTAGCATACTACCAAATGAGGTTCAAGCCCTTTGGCAAGCATTGGCAACTGGACCTCATGGTGGAAATGTGCAGTTAGTGCTAGACTTTATTATCAGTCTATGCTTGGAGCGCAAGGAGCAGAACTTTGTCGAATACGCAAAGCAGGTCGTTGTTTTTCTGTCAGGAACCCCTGCTGGCTCCAAGGTCATTGAGTTTTTCTTGATGCAGCTGGTGCCGAAAAACATGGTGCAAGAGAGGAAAGATATTACACCAGCTCCACCGGATATCAAGGGCTTACCGTATGTCGCCGATTTAGGCACTGTGCTACCTGTTGGCAACAAGCAAGCAGGCCTCTCTCTCGGTCAAGTGGCCCTTATCTTCCTTGTTGATTTAATGGTTGCCCCGGTTACTCTACCTCTAGAGGAGGTCGTCAAGCTGCTTCATGTTGTCCTTATTTTATGGGATCACTACACGCTTACGGTACAAGAGCAAGCTCGAGAGATGTTGGTCCACCTGATTCACGAATTAATTGCTGCGAAGATCGAGGATGACGCACCCGCAGCAACTCGACAATCCATTGAGGACTTTGTGGAATCTATTCGCAAGAGTGACTCAACGGTCGTATGGGAGTATGAGGATAACAATGACAAGGAGGATGAAGACGATGAGAGTCGAGTACCTCCTGCCATGTCCACCGTCACACGCCAGGTTGTGAATTTCTTCAGCTTCGTCTACGAAGGCATCAATGATCTCTGGGCCAAGGAGGCACTCAACTGGGCGACTTCATGTCCAGTACGGCACCTCGCTTGTCGGTCATTCCAAGTGTTCCGGTGTATATCCACTTCTTTAAACCCCAGAATGCTTGCGGACATGCTGGCCAGACTTTCCAACACCATTGCGGACGAAGAATCGGATTATCAAACATTCTCTATGGAGATTTTGACCACATTGAAGATCATCATCAGTTCTCTTGCCCCAGCAGATCTGCTGCGTTATCCTCAACTTTTCTGGACTACCTGCGCCTGTCTGAACACCATCCATGAAACCGAATTCATCGAGAGTATCGGCATGTTGGAGAAGTTTTTGGACAGTATCGACATGAGCGATCCGATGGTCGTTACAGAGCTCATCCAAGGCCAGCCTCCCAAGTGGGAGGGTGGTTTTGAGGGTCTGCAAGCTTTGGTTTACAAAGGATTAAAGTCTTCAGAATCACTTAACCGGACATTGGATGTCTTGCACCGGCTGAGTGGTCTTCCCAACAATGAGCTCACTGGGGATAGCGATAGATTGCTTTTTACGATTCTAGCAAATATGGCGCATTTTCTTCATCAGTTCGATGAAGATGTCCATGACCCGAAGACCCTTGCGCGGGCAACGCTGTTGGCGCGGGTTGCAGAGGGAGAAGGGTGCCCACGACTTGCAGCATCCCTTCTCGGGCTCGCCAATGGACAATACAAGACCGAGAGTGATTTCCTTAATCATATCATCACCGAGATACGATCCTATTACTTCCCTCGCCAGGACGTCCAGAGCTTAATATTCCTTATGGGCTTGCTGACGAACACAACCAACTGGTTCCGTGTTAAGGTCATGAGGATTTTGTGTGTCCTGATGCCTGAGCTTGATATGCGGCGGCCAGAGGTAACCAGCCATGGGCCTGATCTCATCTCTCCGCTCCTACGACTGCTGCAGACAGATCTCTGCCCCCAGGCCCTGCAAGTCATGGATCATATCATGACCGTTTCGGGGAATCCGATGGAGCGCCATCATATTCGTATGAGTATGGCGTCATCTTCTTCCTCCCGCGCCATTCGCAAGGAGTACGAGCGAATCCAAAGTCTCTATGGTATACCGGAACCTACCGGGTGGTCGATTCCTATGCCTGCTACTCAATCAAGTATCACGCGGCATAATGTTCATGCAGTATTCTACACATGTGCCGAAGTGGACCGTATGGAGGTCCAGGAGACCGTTACACCCGAGGTCGAGTTTCACGCAGATGAGTACAACGATGCATTCTTCCCGTTGCGCGCAGACACTATGAAATCCATGGACACGCAGATGGATGGCAACATGGGAGACATTGTGCAGAAGTTGGACAGCTTGGACGAGTTCTTTGAGGAAACAGAGCCAATCAATCCGGGACTTGACGCGATGCCAGATTCGACTTTGCGAGGCTTCGCCGGTGCTTACGCTGATACAAGCGCGAGTCTCTACGATCAACAAACGGCACCCATTTTGCGTAAATCCCTTGCGCGGACTGCTTCTACATCCTCATTCCACAATGGCCTTGCTGAACCTCGACCTCCAAACATGCGCTTTGACAGTGTCGGTGTCCATTCTCCGAATACGACGACAACACAGATTCCGAGCCACACCTTACGTCCAACATCGCACACTCGCTCTGTCACTTCCCCAGCGAACAGTTTGTTCTCGCCACCTTCTCATCCTCAGTATTCCACTCCGCCCATCGGGTTCAGTGAATCGGCATTCCTATCAGACGATGAGATTGACGATGGGATCTACGAGTTTGATGAACGCCTAACCATCAGCAAACCGACGATCCTCCATCCAAACAGCCAGACTCGGAGCGTAACGGACGGATCCTCATCACTTGAGTCGATGATTCGGAGTGGGATGAGACGATTGACAGGTGGAGCTGCCACGAATCGGGAGAAGGAGCGGCAGCGTGACATGATCCGCGCCCAGCAGCGCGCAGCTGTTCAAGCGGCAAGCTCACCCCGAGTGCCGAAAGTGCCACCAGAATATCTAGTTGGGCCGACCAGCAATCCGACATCGCCAGGCCAGTGATATCTCGATTACCAATCAGTACTTCCCACCAAGTCTTGGCTTTTTTTTTCCAACCCTCTGCACCTGCGTGCCTGAGAACCTATACCTCGATCTGTTTATTAATCTTTCTGTTCTGGCTTGGGAATGATGCGATACGGTGGGCGTTTCAACACCATTGATACTTAGAATACCCATTTCGTCTGTCAATCTTTACCTCTTGCGTTTATGCGCCCATGGGCGTGACTTGTGTGTATCTAGACTTCTGTATATTATCGTGCTGTGGGGGATGTCGGAGATACATTAATTGTTCCATATCCGCAAAGATACCTGCGCATGAGGATATATACAGTATATATAGAGGCTTGGACAATTCCACCTTGGCCACATTGGTCTAAGAACATTGTTTCGAACCGTGACTGTTTTAATCCGGGCTGTAGCACTCCGTATTCTCCGAGTCTGACATGCTGCTTCCCAGTTCCTACTGGCTTTGCTGAATGCCTCAGGCCCAATAAAACACACGTGACCATCGGTTCTCCACGCTTTGGGGTGGGTTTCCCCGCATGGATCAGCAGGTAGTAGCCGGTTAGTCTTAGTACTAGGGTAGCCACTAGCCAGTCAATGAAACCAAACATTGCCGTCCCCCAAATGGGCTGCTTGGAGTCTCAAGGACCCAAGTTACCCAACTCATCTCGCATGCTTCGAGTGATCTCATTAGACACTCCACGCGGGAGGCGAGCTCCACCTTGTCCATCCCTCGCGTCCTGGTAAAGCTCGGATAGCAGCGGAGGAGGAATGCTTCCCCCCTCTCTTGCTTGATCCTCGGGATGACTGCTGCTGGACAGCTGTTGGACATCCGGCCTTGACACCGAAGCAAGCTCACTCGTTATTATTGCTCGCCTGGGCTGACTAGTACCTGAGGAGAATCTCGGCGTCGTTACTCAATCTCAAATCTTCTTGGACTAACATCATCATTCTCTCATATCGTCTCTTGCTTAGTGTGATCTAGCATCAACACTGAACAAGGTGGTTGTTAAGTATTGATTCAGCTCTGGAGAGATGGGTCCCACATCTACAATATCCCTCCGAATGCGGGGGTCGTATGCTCCCAAGTCGTTGTCTTTGTGGTCACGAAGGCCGCCTTCACCATCGAGAGCGTTCTCTACAAGTCCACGGTGCAATGCGACCTGGGGGTTTATTGGGTTAGGACAAATGGGTATGTTGATGATTACAATTCCTCGTCTGAATGCTTGAGCGTTTTTAAGAGCTTTGGGCTTGACATTCTTTCTACAATACTCTACTTTACCGGCCCTGGGAATGAATATGACGATTCTGACCGTTCTTCTTCTTTCCAGGGTACCTCATGGCCCAGAACTTACGAGCCAAGATTCCCGCAACGGATACGCTCATTGTGCGTGACGTGAATGAGCGTGCCACGTCGAGATTTGTGGAGGAGACACGACAGGCTGCTCAAAAAAGTGGCCTCGCAGATGATGCCATGAAGGTCGAGGTTGCACAGAGCGCTCGAGAAGTCGCAGAGCAGTCGGTAAGTTGCGGCTATTGATCTGTCACCGTCTTGTCACCATTCAAGGACTAGGAGCTGCATAAGTTGGACTTGGGAGTTAATGCATGGCTGAGATGATTTGTGGTAGTGACTCTAATTTTCTCTTCTATAGACCGTCATGATTACTAGCCTCCCAGAACCTGAGCACGTCAAGGATGTTTTCTATTCAGTTATGAAACATGGTGATCTCCCTGCTCTATCAGAAGAACGCTTGTTTATCGATACTTCGACCATTGACCCCGCGTCGTCGAAGGAGATTGCAAATGCGATCCATACAACACGTACTGGTCGTTTCGTCGACGCGCCTATGTCCGGAGGGGTCGTTGGTGCTCGCGCCGGCACGTTATCTTTTATGTTCGGGGCCTCCTCTCAATCGGGCCAGCTTATTGAACGCGTGAGGTCGGTTCTGTCGTTGATGGGAAAGAAGGCATGGCACCTCGGCCCCCCTGGAGCAGGAGTGTCGGGGAAGCTTGCCAACAATTACATCTTGGCGATTAACAATATCGCTACGGCTGAGGCCATGAACCTGGGGATTCGTTGGGGTCTGGATCCCAAGGCCTTGGCAGAGATGATCAACACCTCGACCGGCCGCTGCTGGCCAATGGAAGTCAACAACCCCGTCCCTGGCGTCGTGGAAACGGCACCGGCTTCCCGAGGATATGAGGGTGGGTTCGGTGTGAGCTTGATGAGCAAGGATCTCAGACTAGCGATCACAGCTGCGAAGGAGTCCGGAACTCCCTTGGCACTGGCTGGGAAGGCCCGTGAGGTATACAATGCTGTCGAACAAGAACATCGTGGGAAAGATTTCTCTGTCGTGTACAAGTGGCTCCAAGACGAGTCCAAGTAGTGTGATCGGCCATACTATGCATGGAGATACAGTTTAGCATGTTTCCTATGTTTCAATTCCCCCTCCTGTTCTGCTTCTTATCGCCTTCCATGCTCGCCTACTATCTTTCCGGCACATACGGAAAGCGATATTCTCATCATAGGCCGACTGAGACTTGAGAAGATAGATTACCTTCCAACAATAGATGCTTTGTATATTCTGTATGACAGTGTTAATAGCCCTTTTGTCTACGTAGTTGTGAGACTGCAGTCTTGAGATACATGGACCATCGGGCTAGGACCTACTAACCCAGGGGATTACCTAGAAACAACAAAGTTAGGGAACTTTTCTCTGTGATCTCTCGCGGCATATATCCTTCTGGTCAACCACCTGGGCCTTGAACAAGAGGTTCGTTCGCATATACAGCATTGAACCTACATCATCGGCGCGATAATGGCGCAGATGCTCGTACCTTACCCTGGCAAGCAGTTATTCCTCAGGCCACATATCGCTGCCTCATTGTGTAGCCTCATCCTCTTCCTTCTCTCTTTCTCTCAATGTGGAATAATCCGACCTCCTTTCACACTTCCAGTGCCATTGTCGTTGCTATCTCGTTCCTTCTTAGCATTTAGGTATACCATGTGCTAGAAGTGCTCTTTCCTTAAACAAGTCCTTTCCTTTTGCTTTAGTATACCCGACAGGGTCTTCGTCCCCCCCCCTCTTTTTTTTTTGTTTCTCTGTTTCAATTCTCCTTAGGTTGTCTTCTCTTCGCTTCATCCTCGTCATTAGCACTTCAGCATCCTCTTCGCTAGTAGCTTTGCGTATTGATTCATTCTTCTGCTTCCATCAACTCTATCCCTGATCAGACAGTTTCTCTTGTCTGCTTTGACTCGCTTTCGTTACTGCTGAGAAATCGGTCCCCAATTTCCTTATATACAGATCCCCGCTGTGAGAGCGTAGGCAAGTCCACGGCGCTGCTTCAACGCCATTAAACTTGCTGTACCCTCTAACATGCGTCTTTAGCCGTTCTTGAACTCTTCTTTACCATCTATCTTGGTTCTATCTCCAGAAACAAGGTATGTCTCCCCCCAGTCTTGGTTGCTCTGGTATCCCTAGATCAGTGCTTAAGTTCAGACATCCCGAAGTTCATATTCAACCGGAGCGAACATCACTAATCCTCATTGAAGACCCCATTTAGGACTACCGTCATGCAGTCCCAGGCTCAACAACAGGCTGTCACTGCTGACTCCAGCCAGGCCGCCCACGCGCAGTCTGGACAGTTCGCTCAAGATGTGCGTGCTCACTTTGGCACTGGTTACCAGCAGAACGGCCATGGCAACCAGCCGGATGGTGGCCATGCAGGCTCAGCTCCACTTGGGGTAGGTCTGAATCTTCAGAATCAGCGTTCAGGCTCAAAGTACAATCTCCCCAAGGGCAATATGCCTGTCACCATGCCTCCCTACCCTGGCCAGCTTGTTCTGTTCCCCAACGGACCGATGCTCAACGGCATCCATCCTGTCCCTCCATTTGCTCCTACTTCTGTTCTTGGGCATAACCAGGTGGGCCAAATTCCATATATGCCAACAATGTATCCAAATGTCAGCACGGCATTTCCCATGGCACCCGCAGCTATTCAGGGATACCCGGTTCCCTTCCTGGCAGACAGCAATATGCCGCATCTTGCTAGCCAGAAGAGAAATGCTTGGGCGGCTAATGAGGAACACAAGGCAACTGGTCAACTAGCCTCCGATAATCATGATAATCAGAACGATTACTATTCCGGGCCGGCTGTCTCCAACATAGAAGGTTCGTCTTTCAACTACGGCGGTCTTCAACAGCCATGCCTTCCATACCAGATGATGAAGACTTCGAATGGATACATGCTTCAAGACCTGGAGAGTCTAACGCAACAGGATCCTCCAATCCCAAGAGCCGTGCCTGCTATGTGGACGAACCCTTCCGAGCTGACACTCGCAAAGTGCCTGGAGAATCGTGAAGGTATAACAAACGTATACATCAGGGGGTTCCTTCCAGAGACTACAGATGAGATGTTGCATGCTTATGCTGCTCGCTTCGGGAAGATTGACCGTTGCAAGGCCATCGTGGACTTGGATACCGGCCTTTGCAAAGGGTATGTACCTGCATCTAAACATTCCTCAAATCTACCAGCTAACCCATCGGACAGATTTGGTTTCGTTCAATACTTCAACTTCGAATCTTGTGAAAACTGTATTCGAGGGTTCTTTTACCTCGGATACCAAGCCAGCTTTGCACAAGTACAGATGTTACCCAAACTCCTGGAAGACTGCTCCTTGAACTAACAACATTCAGAAATCTCGCAATTCCCGTCTCAAGGATCTTGAGGACAGAACTTCAACTAACATTTATTGCACCAATATTCCCATCGACTGGACTGAAGCTGTTAGTCTGATGGTCCAGATTCAAGGCACTTGTCTAACCAGCTGTTAGGACCTTCGTCATCACTTCGAGCCCTACCGTGTCGTCTCTGAGAAAATAAGTCGTGATGACAAGACGGGTGTTAGTAAGGAGGTCGGCTTCGCTCGGTCAGTGTCTCCTCAGGTGTTTCCCATGAATGAGGGTAGTCTGACATGGTTGGATAGTTTCGAGACGCGGGAAATTGCCGAAAAAGTACTGAATGAGTTTCACAATGCCACTGCTGACGACGGCGTGAAATTACTTCTTCGATTTGCCGATACGAAGGCCCAGAAGTTGTTGAAGCAGCAGAGCAACGAACGCCGTGCCTACCGTGCTGGGGAGTACAACTATTCCGTCGAGGTGGTTCAAGGCTCTACTCCTTCTCCTTCACTGCACCGTCTCCAGCAGACTGCCTCTCATCTTACCCCTAATTCACAGGTCAGCTATCCATCGCCACTCGGAGTAGGTTCCACTTGGACTCCTGCAACGTCGATTTCCCCGTCGTATGTATATAGGGTTGTCTCATCCAGTGTTAAATATGGACTAACCATGCAAGCAGGTATCCCCTCGTGAAGAATCCAGCTAGCAACATGCGCTTCAGCTCTTGGTCTTCCAGGAACAGCCCTGCAACTTGGGAGACCCCGCTATATCAAGGCCGCCTATATACCACCAAGCGTAATGTCTTACCCAAGGATGTCTCTACCAGTTCCTCTAAAACGGCAATGCCTAGTACTCCGTGTGCCAAGGCTCGATCTCAAGGTTCCAGTCCGCAGAAAGAGAATCTCTCTCCAATGTCATTGTGCGAGGGTGCCCTGATGACTTCACCAAGGTCTGTTCTTTGAGACGACAACCCCGACTGCAATTAGTCGACCACAGTACTTCCACACATATATTCTATGGATGCGAATGCTTTTGCGAAGGATTTGCAGCTAGCAGGTCCGAAGGTTGATTCGGTGCCTTCTTGAAATGCGGAGTATTCTTTATGAGAAAGATACGTGTATGATTTGTATGACCACATGGCTAAGGTCAATTGCTTTATAAGGTGATGGTGCTCGGATATGGTGCTTTCTGTTGTTTATTGACACTTCCTTACTTTCTCAGACTTCGTGCTTCTTTCCCCCCTGCTGAAGCTCGTGATTCGAGTCTTGCTTTATATTTCATGTCAGAAATTCGATGTATGATTCACAAAATGTTTTATATCGGGCTGCATGTGCTACTATCCGACTGCAGACAATGAAAGACTCTTTAGATTTGGTCGAAGTATGTTCATTTCTGTATCTGTCTAGTAGCGCAGGCTTGCTTTTCCTAGGATCCATCCGATAGCCTAGGACACGTATTCTAAAACCGAACGGAAAGGCCGACAAGAGCAGCCTCGGACAATGCAAAGTGTGAACGAAGTCTATATATCTAGGAGTGATATTAACCAAAAAGGGGAATCAATCAGCGTCTGCAGGCTGGGGCGATCGAAAATCAGGACTCGGAACTAACGAGAGCATTGACCTTCAGCCTTCAAAAGTGCACAGGAGAACCCCCCTCTCAGCACGAGGAGGCGAAGATAATTCGCGGTCACGGGCGTGTCGAGATCACCTGCGTCCCAGCCTTTCCTCCTGATCGTCGGTCAACTCATAAGCCGGGCGATACCGATGATCCTCGCGCGTGCCGGGAGCAGCCGCCAGCTCTGAGCCCGCCAGACTATTCACGCGAAGCTTCGGATTCGGATGGGTATCCGTGGTACCACCCAAGCTGGTATAACCCCGGTCATACAGCGAGCAGTACCTGAGTCCCAGATGACGGATAAAGGCCCAGATCTCCGCGTAGTGCCAGTCGATGACGGGATGAATACGCATGAAATCCGGCCATCCGCTATCGGTAGGATCAAAGTGGGTGAGGTTTGCGCCGTGCGGATCGGTGCGCCTGGTCCCGACGAAGATGGCCTTGATGGACGGGTTCAGGGACAGGTAGTGCTCGAAGCTGGAGCGGAGGGTAGTGGCGGGCGGGTCGGTGGTGTAGCGCACGATGGCGAGGTGGTAGGCGCGCGAGGACCATTGCACGAAGTCCTCGACATCTGGGAAGGGGTCGGGGGGGAGGGCGTAGATGGCTGGGATGTAGGTGAGGCCGCCGTCCTCTGGGGGAGGGAGCGGGTGCAGGCTGGCGAGGAAGAGGATGAGCAGGACGAGGCAGTCTTTGCCGCCGTTGTAGGAGAGGCAGAGTTCGGAGAGCTTGTAGCGGGCGCGGGCGGTTGCGACGACGTCCAGCGAGATGCGGGTTTGGCGCTGGACAGCGGCGAGGAGGGAGTCCGGGGGGTGGGATTCGGAGAGGAAGGAGTGGACTTTCTGGTGGAGAGTGGCGACCACGGCGGAGAGAGAGGGATAGGATTCCACTGCTGGTACTGGTGCTGCTGTCGGTGTTTTTGTTGATGCGCTGGATGGGATGTTGTCTGTTTCTTTTGTTGTGGTGGGGGAGTCGGGATAGTGTGAAGGAGGAGGGGGAGGAGGGGCGTGGTAATGTTGGTTTGGGACGTTCATTGTAACGCCATTTGCTGATGGTAGCCTTGTAGATGGCTCCGAGATGGAATCCCTCATGTCTTGCATTCCAATGGCAGTTTTTTTTTTTTTATGGATGGTTGTTTGGTTCCGGATCCGGCTGTACTTCGTATGTCGTGGAGGTGACTGAGATGGGGGAGGTGAGGTGGAATTCGGGGCGAACAATCAATCCGATGGCTGATGGATTTGTCAACATCCGATCAACACCACAAATTACAGACTCAGCCCAGTCTGATGATGCAGCGATAGTCCACGATCGACAGCGATAAACCTTGCCAGATCGTCTCGAAAAGGAGACAGTCGAGGGAGTGGAGAGCGCATCTACGGAGAAGTAGAGAATCTTCTGGTAATACCAAAGGCGTCGGCTGAACCACCCCACGCCCCGCATACGTACGACCGACAGCTGCCGATGGCTTATCAGCAGCAATTCTGGTCGACTGAGAGGTTTGAACCAGAATGAATCAATGCTACAAATAGTGGGCGTGTGTTTGGGGTTGAAGCAAAGAGTACGTTGACTCACAAGGAGCAGGGACTTATGCCACGTCATTCGTGCTGCAATAAGGAAGGGGGGAAATGGAAATATATAATTCTTTGATATCGCTAAGATTAGAGAACCTCTTATGTCTCATGCAAGAATGAGACAGCACGCCAGCCAGATTCAGATGCAGGAAATTCATCAACCGAGCACCTTCATCTTTTTCTTCTTCTTCTTGTCGCCGTCGCCTCCTTTTTTGTGCCCCTTCTGGAAATCGCGCCAGCTTCCAATGCGCTCCTCTCGTGTGTCCTCCCATACTTTCTCGTGCTCTCTTTTCCGTTTTCTCGCTTCCAGCTCTTCCTCCTCCTTGCGCTGCTCTCGTCCTTCCTCCTGTAGCTTGGCTTTTAGCTGCCTTCGTCTTCGCGCTTCCTCTTCCAGCAGGACGTGCACGGTCTTCTGGCGCCACTCCTTCTTGAACTCCTCTGTCTGTAGCTCGGGTGAGTCGACCGTATACTTGTGTTCCCGGATGAGGAGCCGTCGCGCATCCGAGATACATTCATCCAGATACGCGCGGGCCTTCTCATCCAGCAATGTTGTCTGCGCCTTCTTGAGGCGGTCAAAGGCATCGGGGGCAGCTGGATTTTTTGTCTTGTCGGGATGGATCAGCAGGGACTTCTTGCGATACTGTAATTTGATATCTGAGTCCGGGACACCGGGTTGCAGATCCAGAACAGCATATCTGATGTGGAAAGATATGGTCAGCCTGTAGTCCGTAAGCCTCCACGCTGGATATCAACTCACGCGTCTAATGAGAATGCCTTTCGAATGCGATCGATTTCCGCATCCTTTCAAATATGTGTCAGTCTGACGCCAAGTTACAACAGAAGGGAAACAGGTTGGATATACCTTGATGAAATCCGATGCCTCCCTCTCAAGTGCGTCCAAGGCGTCCTGCTCATCGGATGACATTCTGACGGCAGTTATGAGGAATTCACTATTCAGAGGTGTCGTCGATCTTCTGCTTTTCTCTAGATAAACAATTGTGCCTGAGGTTCTCCAACGAAGCTCTTGTGATAAGCTTCTTCTTATCTGTGGCTGACTCAGCAGCGGACGGAAAAGAGAGTAAAAAAAAAAAAGTCGCTTCACCGCCCGAGCGACGATTGTTTTATGTCCCGACAAAAAGAATCATCTTTGTCTGGTCTCAGAGAGGGTTCAAATAGTTGCTTCGATTAATATCACGCGGATTCAAAATATGGCGCCCACCACTGGCCCGCGCAACACCAAAAATGCGAAGCCGGCCGTTCAGCGATCGAAGACGCTGAAACGCAAGCGTGGACAGGAAGAGCTGTCGTCCCTCATTCAGCGGGTCGAAGGGCTCGATCTCAAGGAATCCTTCGAATCGTTCTCCGATCTGCCGTTGTCGGAACCGACTCTCTCCGGACTCACTTCATCGCACTTTAAAACTCTGACCGACATCCAGTCCCGTGCGATCAGTCACGCGCTCAAGGGCCGCGATGTCCTCGGAGCCGCAAAGACCGGCAGCGGAAAGACGCTGGCGTTTCTCGTACCGGTGCTCGAGAACCTGTACCGCAGGCAGTGGGCCGAGCATGATGGTCTGGGCGCTTTGATTCTATCGCCGACCCGCGAACTCGCCATTCAGATCTTCGAGGTGTTGCGGAAAATCGGCCGCTACCACACATTTTCTGCCGGCCTGGTTATTGGCGGGAAGAGTTTGCGCGAGGAGCAGGAGAGATTGGGACGCATGAATATTTTGGTGTGCACGCCTGGTCGGATGCTGCAGCATCTGGATCAGACGGCGCTGTTCGACACATATAATCTGCAAATGCTGGTCCTGGACGAGGCGGACCGTATCTTGGATCTGGGCTTCCAGCAGACTGTGGATGCCATCGTGGGGCATCTTCCGAAGGAGCGACAGACACTGCTTTTCAGCGCCACGCAGACGAAGAAGGTTTCGGACCTGGCTCGCTTGAGTCTCCGGGACCCGGAGTACGTGGCTGTCCATGAGACTGCATCTACGGCCACGCCTGCTAAACTTCAGCAACATTATGTGATCGCCCCTCTTCCGCAGAAGCTCGACATCCTGTGGAGTTTCATTCGGAGCAACCTCAAGTCGAAGACGATGGTCTTCTTTTCCTCAGGCAAACAAGTGCGATTTGTCTACGAATCCTTTCGCCATATGCAACCCGGTATCCCCCTGATGCATCTCCACGGTCGCCAGAAGCAGGGTGGACGATTAGATATTATGACCAATTTCTCTCAGGCGAAACACTGTGTTCTTTTCTCTACGGATGTCGCCGCTCGTGGTCTGGACTTCCCGGCCGTCGACTGGGTCATCCAGATGGACTGCCCTGAAGATGCGGATACGTACATCCACCGAGTGGGTCGAACGGCGCGGTATGGACGAGACGGTCGTGCGGTACTGTTCCTTGATCCTAGCGAAGAGGAGGGTATGTTGAAACGTCTGGAGCAGAAGAAAGTCCCCATCGAGAAGATCAACATCAAAGCAAACAAGCAGCAGAGCATCAAGGATCAGCTGCAGAACATGTGTTTCAAGGACCCTGAACTGAAATACATTGGTCAGAAGGCGTTTATTTCCTATGTCAAGTCGGTCTATATCCAGAAGGACAAGGAGATTTTCAAGCTCAAGGAGTTGAAATTAGACGAATTCGCGTCTAGCCTGGGTCTTCCTGGTGCGCCACGGATCAAGTTCATCAAGGGAGATGACACGAAGCAGCGCAAGAACGCCCCTCGCGCCGCGGCTCATCTATCCAGCGACGATGAAGCAGGTTCCGACGCCGAGGAGGGCGAGCCGAAGACCAAGAAGAAGGAGGAGCCACAGGTGCGGACCAAGTATGACCGCATGTTCGAGCGGCGGAATCAAGACGTGCTGGCGGAGCACTACTCGAAACTCATCAATGACGACGGAACGATGGTGGCACCGCCCAACGCGGGTGCTGGTGCTGATGCGGACGAGGATGATGACTTCCTCTCTGTCAAGCGTCGTTTCGATGTCGGTGACGAGACCCTGGGCATGTCCAGCGACGACAGCGACGAGGAAGACGACGACGACGACGAGACGTCTCCGAAGAAGGAAACCAAGGTGGTGCACATCGATGGCAAGGAAGCCTTGGTTATTGATTCGAAACGGCGCGAGAAGCTCCTCAAGTCGAAGAAGAAGCTACTCAAATTCAAGGGCAAGGGCACCAAGCTGGTCTACGACGACGAAGGCAACGCGCACGAGGTGTACGAGCTGGAAGACGAAGACCAGTTCAAGGCCCGCGGCGACGCCAAGGAGCAAAAGGCCAAATTCCTGGAGGAGGAGGCGGAACGCACGCGTCTGGCGGATTTGGAGGACAAGGAGATCGCCAAGCAGAAGCGTCGCGAGAAGAAGGAGAAGCGCAAGGCTCGCGAGCGCGAACTGCTTGCCGAGGCCGAGGACGAGGAGGAGACTGTGGTTCAACTACCTCCGTACGAGGGGGATCACGACATGGACGGTGGGTTCTCCGCCTCCGAGGAGGAGGAGGAGGCAGCTCGCCCCAGCAAGAAGCCCAAGGTCAAGTTCGCCGAACCGGACGAGAGCGACAAGGGATCGGAGCCCTGGTACAAGAAGAGCAAACGGACCGACGACAAGGGAGGCTCCCAGGCCCCTCAGATTCAAACATTGGAGGATCTGGAGTCTCTTGCCAGCGGCCTGCTCGGCTAGCGGAGCATTTTTTTTTCCCCCTCTCGACGATTTACGGATACCTACCCTTTTCTGTTCTCTCTCTCTCCTGTGTCATTTTCATTTTCTTTTCAGCGGCGTATCAAAAGCATTGTTCGCCTTTGGATGATTGTATCAAGCTATGTGTGTATATAGTAGTAGTCATAGTAGTCTATTTAGTATCTACAGTTCTACAACCTACGGAGTATCTAGATAGTAGATCACTTCCATTTCCCTCGATATGGTTCCTCTGTGGAGATATTCTTCCTGTGCCAAGCCCAATTTCGCCCAGTGAGTCAGTGCCAGACTGCCAGTGACAGAACTTGACATTTAGATCCATGGGCCCCCGCGAAGCTTTCCACCAACAGCGCGTGTGGCGTGGCGCCGTCGCCGACCCAATTCCAGGCTTCCAGCATGCGCGAACCAATCTCAGCCAGCGAAGTTTCTTCCAGAACATCGAATTCTGGGGCCTCTGGAGCCTCTGGAGCCTCTTCAGTGTTCTCAGCGGATGTAGCCGACGGTTCGACTCCATTCGAATCTCAAAAGAGATTCACGACGAGGAGGATTCTGCTACGTAACGGGTTTCAATCACGCCATCGCCGCTAGAACGTTTCAAGTGCATCATCATGATAAGGATTTGCTCCTGCAGAATGGCATATTTTCCACGGAGAAAAACGGACTCTGGAAAAGACGCATCACTGTCGCTGTTTTTTGATGCTGGTAATAATCTGCAGTTGACTTGACTCGGACCCGAAGAAGAAAAAGAAAAGAAGTCGAAGTCGCTTGAGATCTGGTAGAGTCACGTGGTTTTATTCCGGATTGGGAAGAGGTATACTTACGGCCTGCTGAAGGTGTGAGATCTTCTGCTTTGCAGGTGTGTTTACCATCCCCCAGCCTTTTTCTATCGACAGGGTCGCAAAAATGCTAACATGCTTCGGGGTCAGAAGTTGTGATTCGATATAGTCACTGGGGAGTGAGAGTGTCCCCCCAAAGTGACATCCTTCATCTGACTGTGGTCAACTGCGGGGTGAGCAAGCACATACCAAACCATCAAAAATCCATCCCAAAATGAGCACGCACGACATCGAGAAGCTCCCTCCGTCGGCTGCGCAGGCGCATCTGGAACCCCAGACCGCGGATACAGTCGCCAAGGAACCCCTTGATTTCAGCAACCATGTCCCAAGCAATAGACTCGCCCGCAAGCTGTCCGCCCGCCAGGTGCAGATGATCGCCATCGGAGGCACCATCGGCACAGGGCTGTTTCTGGGAACGGGCAAGGCACTAGCAACAGGCGGGCCCGCGTCGATGCTCATCTCGTATGCCATCTGCGGCGGGATCGTGTTTGTGACGATGCTGAGCCTGGGCGAGATGGCGGCGTTCATCCCCATTGCTGGGTCGTTTTGTACGTTTGCTGGGTGAGTTGATCTCTGGCCTGATTGGGTCTTGGACATCATGCTAACCGGGTTTTGGGTATAGTCGTTTCGTCGATGATGCGCTGGGGTTTGCCCTAACGTGGAACTACTGGTTCAATGATGCTGTGTCGACTGCGGCGGATATCATTGCGCTTCAGCTGCTGCTTCAGTATTGGACGGATAATTTCCCGGGCTGGGCAATCAGCTTGATCTTCCTTGTCGTTGTGATTTTCTTGAACATGATGTCTGTGAGGGTATACGGAGAGGTTCGTTCGATCCGTGCTGTCCTCCTTCTTGTTCTCATGACTGACTGTCGTTGCAGATCGAATATTGGCTCAGTCTGTTGAAAGTCATCACTATCATTGTACGGTCCATCCTCGTCTTGCTACTCTTGCTACTCTGCTTTAGAATTGCTGACTGATATGGACAGATATTCATCATTCTCGGAATTGTGGTCAACTGTGGTGGGAACACAGAGCACAAGTATCTCGGTGACAAGTACTTCTACATCGGCGATGCTCCCTTCGTCGGCGGGATCGGTGGCTTTGCGTCTGTCTTCGTCACAGCTTCCTTTGCTTTGTACGTCCCTATCCTCCTTTTCCAGCAGCGCAAACAATACTGACGCAGAGTTAGTGGCGGCACTGAATCCATTGCCATTACAGCCGGTGAGACCAAGGATCCAGCCAAGAACATGCCCCGGGTGGTCCGTAACGTCTTCTGGCGCATCTTGCTCTTCTACATCGTATCCATCATCCTCATTGGCCTGAATGTGCCATACAACTATCCCAACCTGTCCAAGAAAACCACCGCCACCAGTCCCTTTACCATCGTTTTCATGCAGGCCGGCAGCGCTGTCGCAGGAAGCTTCATCAACGCCGTCCTCATGACTAGCGTCATCTCCGCCGCCAACCACGCCCTATTCGCCGGCTCCCGGCTTCTCTACACGCTCGCCGTGGACGGCCATGCGCCTGGGTTCTTTGGTAACCTCAACCGCTTCCAGATCCCCTGGGTCGCGGTCCTGGCCACATCCGTCATCAGCGGCCTGTGCTTCGGAGCCAGCTACATCGGCGCCGGCCAGCTGTGGTCCTGGCTTCAGAAGTAAGTTCCACCCCCCCCCTCGGGTCCCCCGCTATTCCTCCCATGCTCACCAACCCCAACCAGCATCGTCGGCGTCTCCAACCAAATCTCCTGGGTCTGCATCGGCATCGCATCGCTGCGCTTCCGCGCCGCCATCCGCCGCCAGAACCTCGAGCACCTCCTCCCCTTCAAGAACTGGACCTACCCCGTCGGCCCCCTCATCGCCGTCGTCCTCAACATTGTCCTGATCCTTGTGCAGGGCTGGTCCTGCTTCAGCCCGACCTTCCAGGTCGTCGACTTCGTCTCCTTCTACATCGAGATTCCCATTATGATCATCATGTTTCTCGGCTGGAAGCTGGTCAAGCGCACGCGCTTCGTGCGCCTCGATGAGATGGATCTCGTGACGGACCGCTACGATCTGGATCCGGATTATGAGGCTCCGGGGGCCGTGTATCGGGATCCCGTGGAGGAGGAGAGTCGGTCGCGGATTGGGCGGATGTTTCAGATCAAGACCGGGGAGGGGGAGAAGGGGTTGTGGGGGAAGATGAAGAGGGTGGGGATGTGGTTGTTCTTATAATCGGATTTTGTTCTTTTCTTACTTTCTCTCTCTCTCTCTCTTTGCGTCCCGTGGGTCTTGTTTCATCAGCTCCATTTATAATGTACTTACGCACCCAGCAATGAAGTCATGACGATAATGATCAAACCAAGCCACCGCTTGTCACACAGTCATATTTTAAACCCCATAGACTGACTGATGGGAGAGGAGAAAGATTTTGAAAGCATGAGCAAACCGAAGTATTTAACAAACCCCCCAGCAGGGCAGAAAACCCAGTCCATAGAACAAGTACATATCAACGCTAATTGAAAACGCTTTATCCCTGAAAGAAAGAAGAAATAACTCCCCGGCATCCAAACAGCCCCAGCATAAGCCCAATAAGAGTATTACGCCATTTGTCCAGCAGGGATACCAGAGCCTTTTTGTTGTATGTATAGTTTATGACATGATTTTGAGCAAGGAAAAGAAACAGGGGGAAAAAAAAAAAAAAAAAAAAAAAAAAAAAAAAAAAAAAAAACTGGAAAAAGAGTGCAAACTGCAAAATGCTCCCCCCCCTTTGTGTATGCAATGTGATGTGGACGTAGACAATTAATGATGGGACTCCGATGGAACTCCAATAAAACAGAGAGGGAAATGATGAAATGACAGAAAATATGCGAGAACAATAGCCCGAAGAGGGGAGTCGTGACTTCGACCTTGACCTTGAACAATGGAAAGAACGACGTAGAAATGCAGGATGGTATAGTAGCTGTGAGAGATGCGAAGCGACCAGAAAACATGGATCGGTAAAATATCCCATACATGTACGGCAGAGACAAAGGAAAATAGTAGGTCGGATTGTTGAGAATTGGAATCCTGGACAGTCTGGTGGTATAGAGAGGACAAAGGAAAGGACGCATCGAGGTCGTCAAGGTCGTGGAAGTTGTTGCGATGATTTGGACATTCTGAAAGGCTCGAAGGACCGCAAACAAAGGAAATTTCACATTTGTGTTCTCGATTTATGTGTCTCATTTTGCGTTCGAGGGACGAGAGGATCAGTCATTCACCATGTCGTCCAATGCCATCTTTCGCCGCTTGGCGGGTCGAGATTCACCGATCCCAGACTCAGTGGTCGGCGGCTCGTTCTCACGGCGAACAGCAGGAAGATGCGATGAGAAGTTGGGTCCCATTGGTGCAATTTGAGTAGATCGCTGTAGTAGTCTTGGTTCACTGTAGCCCGTTTCTATCGCTGCCTGGCGCATCTGGCTGCTGGGAGATATCGGCTCCATGAATGCATGCGGTGATGATAGACTTTGTCGGTGATGTTGGTAGTGCTGTTGTGGCGGCGATTGCTGCTGCATCAGCTCCTCGCGAACTCGAGGTGACCATGCTGCTGGATACGGATCGCTCAAACGATGTGCCTGGGGCGTGGGTCGGGAATGCGGCATGGCTGGTGGGAAGATCGGTGGGAGTCTGACCGAAGGTTCGGGATATGGCTCACGAATGTCCCGTGAAATCAACGATTCACCTCCCGGCAGCCGACCCATCATTCTTGGGCTTCCCGCATATGGCGAGATGGGCACCCCAAACGGCTGTTGATATTGCGGTGGTGTTGTGATTGTTGGTGCGGCTGTCGTGGCAGGCGGTAACGTCTGGTTAGCATATGAAGAAAGAGGTCTCCCAGCTCCCAATGGCGTGCGAGCTGGAGAATACACCGGGCTGAATCCAGCGGCCAATGGAATATAACTCGGTGGAGATGCGACTGTCATCTGCGGTATGGAACCAGAAGAGGAGAAACGCCGGTGTCCCATGTGTGCGTGCATTGAGAGTGAGGGATCCACCATTTGGGGGTAAACACCAGCAGTTGACCACCTTGGGGGATGTCCTTGGGGGTCTCTCAATGTGAATGCCCCATGCGGAGTGTTCGGCAGCTGAAGATCCGTCACGGGCCGAATCTCACGAGATCCGCTTGACCTGTGCGTATGAGTACGTCGGGACAGAGGGGTCTGTGGCTCTCCCGAGGGCGCCACGCTGACTGTTTGCGAGGTATATGACCGGAGGGACGCATCTTCGGCTTTGAGCGGTGGCCTTCCTCTTTTCTTGTGTGTCACATCGACACAGGTGGCCTTTTATCGTTTCAGATAACATCTTAGCAGGCGAGCTCGGTTGATTTCCTCCTTTTTCCTGGATGATCACTTTCTTGGACGAAGTTGGACTCACCTCTTTTCCCGACAACACGCATCTTCGACATGGCCTGGCAGGATCACAACCTAAATGTTTCTTCTTGCAGTTCACACAAGCAGAGGCTACGTGTGCTTTGGTGCGTCGTGTTCCCTTTGGTGACAGAGCTCTACTGGCCGTGCCGGTGGGTGGCGTTCCGAAAGTTGGGGGTGGGAATGTCGAAGCGGAGTGTTGCGGAGCTCGCTGTTCACTGGTGGCGAGCGGTACTTGCGAGGCAGGGGCGGAGGCGCTCAGTCCAAACGACGGTCGTGTCTCTTCTCCCACGGTGGAGATGGCATGTTGTTTGAAGGCGGGACTATGAGCCGTCGCAGGGACAGAGGATCCTGAAGCACGAGTCGTCTCGGTCACAGAGGTCGCGGCCACGACAGGGGTAGCCACTGGCACTGTTGACACTGTTGTTCCCTCCCCTGGGGAGGGAAGCCTGATGGTTCCAGGAGTCTCCAGCGGGTCGTCTGCTGGGACCGAGCTGGACATAGGGCGAAGGGGTGGAAGATCCCGAGGGTTGCACAGACGAGCATTTGTTGGGAGCGAGTAATTCAACGTAAGCCTCTCAGGGGCCGGATAGAATCTTGGATGTCCCAACTGTGAGGTGGTGAGGGAGGTAGGGGGCAGGACTATGGATTGCATTTGGTAGGAGGATAGAGTTCCTGATGCAGCAGAGTAGGTTACGATTCAGGAGCTCGAAGGGACAGGGAAACAAGCTAGATCGGACGTTGCAATGGGCAGCATATCTAGCACGGGGAAATGTCTTTGCCTGCTGCTTTGTATATCCAATCGCGATAGGTTGTTTGTTCTTTTCTTTTCTCAGTGGCTAGTCGTCATCTGCGGATTTTCAAGCTTACAAGTCCGAGGACTAGACGACCTTATAATCTGTCAGTAGAATATTCGCGATTGGACGAGTCATAAACTATGGTGTGTCGATCATTGGATTATAGCCAGAACATGACAGCAGTTTTTTCCATAGCTTCGGTGGTTTTTCATGTAGGGTTCACTTATTATTGCAGCATGGTGGATGATCAATGGGGCTCAGCAGGTGTACGAAACAGGACATCTGATGGAAAGGAAGAGAAGGAAGGGGAGTGGAAGAGAGTGGTATACGGGGGAAAATCGATATGCCTTACCTTCGAGTCACGACGCATGCTGAAAGAAACAAAGTCAGGACCAGCGATGTGATGTCTTTGAGGTGATCTTTGCAAAAAGAGTTCACCATCCGAAAGGGGATATAGGGAGGGAAACAAGAAACAACGGTGAACTATACGGAGAAATGAGACGTGGAAAGCAACCCCAGGTGCCACCTGGTTATGTCAGTAGGAAGCGAATGGAGCTGCCAAGAAGAACAGTCGAGCCCAAAAGGAGATCGAATGAGACCCAGATACTAGTTTCTGTTCCCCTTGAGTGGCAGAGACCCGAAAGTGCAGCGAGTACTCCGAAGGACGAAGCTAGAGATGCTGCTCGAATTCAAAGATGCATTTACGACCATCCTGGACTAGGAGACGGTAGGGACTAGGGAGGGCTGAGAGTGTGATAACAAACTGCCCTAGTCTTCCTCCTTCTTGCAGGTCAGAATAGGCTTCTACCTTAAAATGGGAAGAGCTCTGGTGTGGCATGAGATGCGAGTAAAGAGTGGATTCGGATGGCCAGTGCAACAGTCGACTAGCAACCGATAGACTTGATCTCCGTCACAGCAGATCTCAATGCAGCCAATAGTGGTAGTATTAGTACAGATAGTAGACTAGTCTCCTTAGCAGTAGTTAGTCAACGTATGGAGGGGAAGAGAGAGAAGAGAGAGAGAGAGAGAGGGGAGGGGAGGAGTTCATCCTTCTGCACTCCGAACAGTCGTCGACGACGCGAAGCAGGATGCCACTAAAGCAAGTAAGTAGGTGAATAGTAGGCTGATAGTCAGTCAGATTCCAATCTTCCGGGGAGAAAAAGAGGGCCCATCACATTATTGTTGCTTGTCCTTTGTCTGGGATTGCTTTTTCTTTTTCTTTTTCTTTTTCTTCCCCCCCCCCCTGTATGGACCTCAACAATCATTTTCTTTAAGATTCCTTGTCTGATTCGTTCATGAGGGCGGTTCTTCTGATCGACCCATTTCCCGTTTCGAGCGCCCAAAAATACTGTAATTTGTAAACGAGGGATTTGGGAATTGGGGTGCCACTGCCAGTGACACCGTCTCAAAGGGGTTAAACAATTCTTTTGGAAGGGAAGAGGGAATCAAGGATCATCAGCCATATCTAGTTGGTGTGTGTGTATGTGTGTGCAGTAGTAGTAGTGTGGCTCACTGCTCAAGAACTCCTGCTCCTGTGGGGGAGAGCTGATCCGTTTCCTATTTCTTCTTCCACCTCCCTTTTTTTCCTTTTCCGTTTCCATTTCTTTTCTTTTTTTTTGCTTCTCCAATTTTCCCTGAACGCCGCCAGCTCCGGAGTGGCAGAGACAACCAATGGACCACTGAAGCCGAATCAGGAGGGCTGGACGCAAGGCAGGAGAAGAGCCAGCGACGGATCGACGTCCGCGCCCGTCCGCCTGCAGCCATTGCCAATAGTCCGCTCGGCAAGGATGGAGCCCGCTGAACTGTGTGGGCATGGGATTTGGGACCCCCATTGTCATTATTCTTTCGTTTTCTGTCCCAGTTTGACATGCACTAGGCAGATAATAATGGCCGAATGGGGATTGACAAGGTGATCCAAGTCACCTAGACATTTTATCGACATCGCCAGATTTCTGATCTTGCCAGACCAATGACATGGGCGGGAAGTGCCAAAGGAGGCAAAATCAAATGAGAGAAGGGGGGGAAAAAAGAAAAAAAAAAAAAAAAAAAAGAAAGGGTGAGATGACTCCCATTCTTTGTGTAATGTGTGTCTTTTTCCACCTAAGACAGGGAGGACGAGAGAGCGAGAGAAGATCTTGCGGATGATACAATGCACCGGTTATTTTTTTTTTTTTTTTTTTTTTTTTTTTTTTTTTTCTCTTCCTCCTCTTCTTTTCTCTCTCTCCGTTTTTTTCCCTTTTATTTTTATTTCTTTTGATAGTGCAGAGAGTAATCATCCGAATTCTTTTTCTCCTGACCAATGACTGTGTGTCGCATCTTGCTTCCCTCTTGTCAAGGGATTGAGAGATTGTGCGTTTGCAAGGGGGTATCCGGCAATGGAACTCTCATGGAGATGCTTATTTCTGCTATGTTGATAATCCCAATACTGAACCGTTCAAAGCATGGTTGTTGTCTCCTTTGAGCCCTTGGTAGAGTTGGTTCTCCAAACGGTGTGGAACCGTTCCTTTTACGAAACTTAGACTAGCTGGGGCCAACCGTTCAGGCTGGTCATCGTCATGAAACAGGAGCATCATCAGATCTCAAGGCTCGAAGAGTGAAACCTGTTCGAGTCTTGTTCGCTTGGATAGGCTTGTCTCCTAGAGTTTCCGAGACTCGTGTGGCCCTGTGAGCACGGGACTCCATAATGATATATGATCAGCCTTGAAGGTCGATCACATATGCAACTAGTGAACACCGTCTCATGAGCCTGTCGCTTTACGGGTAAGATGTCGGGACCAATCGAACAACGAACAAATCGTAAGGCTGGCTCGATGAATGACGCCAGGTCGAACAATCAGCCAAGTGGAAAGAAGCTACAATTCTCCGCAGTCCGCACTGATAGATAGCTGTTCGTCGGTTTACCACCTCTATCAATGCCGGTCTGGAGTCTAGACCCTTTGTCCTCATGTTAACTCAAAACTTGTCACTTTGACAGGTGTTAAGACATCTCTTGGTCATAGCTGGCAACTTGGGGTCCCGAGAGACAGTACACAGTACTCCCGAATTGGGAATTTCACTTTGTGCCGTCACAGACTTCGCGAAAAAATGAGTTTAAGATAGGAGATTATCACAAGAACTGGGCGTGTTCCTGTAAACTCAAAAGATGTCGGTTCGATGGTTAGCAAAAGACATGAATACGAGAAAAGAGATATCAAGTCATACAAAGCACCTGCAGACTGCAAAAATGCATGTACTTGGTTTGTGTATCCCTATCATTATTAGGGCGCACGCCTATTGCATCGACCGTTGTAAGTGGGTATTTTTGGAGCGAAGGTATAGTCAGTGAGATGAACAGTAAGACCGAGACTGAGCCTATCAGAAAGAGCAGCCGTCTCGTTCGCATAGGTCCAAGGAGTATGCTCAAGTGATTGATCGCTTAGAGCCCATCTTCAGATGGGTGCTAGTTCGCATGTTTCGGCTGGTGGTTAAAGCAGATGTGACTTTCGATGAATCAATCTGACGAGTAACGGTATGATTGTTGATGATGATGATTGCTAGGTGTGCAGATCAAGATGTGGCTGCAGCCGCAGCGTTCTAGATGGCGATAAAGACATGGATCTGATCAATTCCCCTAGGTCTTGTCAATTTTCGCCCTAGACCCGGACAATTTATGTCGAGAATGTTGATCATTGCCTGCCGAAGTCCAAGGAGAGCCGTCAAATCGAGTCAGTGTCGCAGTGGAGTGTGCTGGGTAGAGCCAATCACCGATAAATGAGCCAAGGGAAATTATGATTTAGGGATCAATTGCGCCCTCATATCGATGATTGGCCCCAAGATAACGGCAAGAGGTCAGGTACATCAACATGCATTGAAAATCACCGTGCTAGGTGGTTAGGAATGTCATCACCCAGCCGTTTGGTACCGAATCCCATGAATTTCACAGGACCCAAGGTCCAAACTTCTTGTTCCTTTCGAGTATGGGTCCACGTCGGAAGAATTTCTCTCTGTCTTTTGATGCCCCACTTATTTTGATCACGATTTGCTTGTTTGCGGCACTCTGAAGCCTCAACTCGACTCCAAAACACTGGGAGGAAATTGATCACATCTGACGTACAGAATACAGATACATGGAGGCTGATACAAGTAAGACTCAAGTCGATGATGATACGAGGCTGATTCTGGTGTCACAGACAGTCTATTGCCTCAGTCAACCCCATCAAATCAAAGATGAGAGTGTGTACGGAGGAAGAGGGGAAAACCCACGTCTCGACCCAACCGCACGCGGTAGCAGCAGTAAGGGGCTTAGTACTCCGTAGTACTCAGTAGTAGTCACAAGATGTGATTCAGGCATGTTAATAGGGTCGAAAGGGGGACCAAGCGCCCACTACTGACGACTGACGACTTGACGAGTGAACCTCAGCAGGAATATAAGCGGTTCATGCATGCCGAAGCGGGAGGCGCCAGCACGATCTACCTGTTAGCCAAAGGAGCTAGGCGCTCAGCGGTGTCAATAGTGTGAGCCACTGGTCATGAATACTCCTTCGTCCCAATGAGGAAAAGCCCAATGTGACGGCTAATTATGCCGTGTACGGTGTACCCTGTAAGATCTTCCTGAATATTGATGCAGATGAAAAGTCAATTCTCACAGGCGCGGAGATACCTACTATGTACTCTGTAGATGGACTGTTTCCCAGTACTTTTCCAAGGGGCAGCCCCTTTCATCGGATTATGATAACACCAACGTCATTTTGAAATTCCTCATTTCTGAGGTTCTTAAATGGGCTGAAGAACGACATCATCAATATCACCAATTGCCATAAGCAATGATGCAGGGGAAGAATGTGAAGAAGATTGGATCAGTCAAGCAAGAGTCAAGACTCAAGACTGACGACTGAAGATAATCAGAGTAGTTACTCCGTGCTCTGTACATACTGTGAACCATTCCAAAAATAGCTTAGCGCATCCCGTGAGCTGAATAGCCGTTTTGGGAAACACGCAGGACTCAATATGGCAACGATTGACTCCAGTATTTGTCACGCTGTCTTGAATCTTGATTATCACAATCCGACGTGACGATCAACTTATGCTACCGCTACCCTTGACTGGCTTAGCTCCATCTGCCTCCCAAGGACTTCCGGCCCTGGAATGAGGGTGACTAGTTGGATAGTCCCATGGATGAGTTTCCCTGATGCATTCATTCTTCAAACTTGGAAGTTGGGGACCCAAGGCTGTGCTTCACTGCTTCGTACCTTGTGACTTCCAACTTATGAGCCTGGAAAGGAAAGAAAAAAGAGCCTGCATCCTACACTACAGACTAGAATCGGACTAGTCTACAGTTGTGACTCGGGAGGAGGAACTCAGATGTGCAGTGGATACCAGAGACACGCCCGTTCCTGTGATTGTTGGAGTCGTTATGGCTGACGAGCACTTACCGGTGCTCCAGAGGTTTGCTCTACTTACTGCTACAAGGTCGAATCAACGATGACATGACGGTGCTGTGTATCACACCGTTGCAGGTGCTTGTGGACACAAAAGCCAAAAAAAATCTTCCGAAGAAGGGTCTTTCTCCGACTACCCCAATCAGGGCCACGTTTCTTGGGATATTCCCCGGCCCAAGAATATTGGTTAAGCCTTGACTACTCCGGAGTACACTGGAGATGATGCTACCACAGACATGTGAAGTATAACTTTGCTTTCCTTTCAAGCGAGCCCTCATCCGTCACGATTCCCATGGTATTTGCTACTTCAGCATGGTCTAATTGCATTCTGGATGGCGATAGTCTCGTAAGCCTCCTTGTGAACTTAAAGGGCTTTTTTCAGACGACTTGAAGTTACGAATACCACCACCATGATCATGAATGGCATTGTGGACGAAAACTGCCGATACAACTGCGTTCCCTTACAGGTTTCCCAGGTTGCAATAAACCAACGCAGCTCGTGTGGGTCAGTTAGGTCTGGTCTTCCACATCCAGCCGCCAATGCAAATTATGCGATAGGTGACCCAGTGACCAGCTTTGCATCCAAATGTGGAGCTCTAGGCTCTAGCATACAAAGCCCCATGTACCTAGGGGTTTGGTGGAGACTTCCAAATCAGATCATACCGACAGACTCAGCAATTACCCGACCAATCAGAAGCCATATTGTCTTGCGAGGGTGCATTACGACTACTCGGAGTCAAAGGACCAATCATTATCAGATCGCAATCATGTGTTCGTGCTGTGTACTTCTCTCTAGTGCCAATGGGGACGACGAAAGGAAGTATCGGTAGCCCCGAGGGTCATTAAGTTTGTCTGTTCTTTTTGCATGAAGCCACTGGTGAAGTTTGTGGGCATCTGATGTTGCTCGGATACTGCTGTACCATTGGCGAAGCCCCCTATACTGTACCACCATATGTTGTTACAGTGAGCCTCGTGAAAGCCCATGGACTGCTCAGTAGCAGCTTGCCACCGGGGCTTGAAGGTCAGATCAACACCAATATTCCAAAGGGTAGACAACCAAAACCTGTCAATGGACGCCGGCGCTCCCGTACGTTTGGGCATTCCAAAGGATCCTGTCGTGGCCCCCTAGCTTCTCTAGGGTGAGGCGAGCATCGGGTGGGAACTCGAGAGTCTACTTTGGAGCTGGTGCATCGATTCATGAATCAGAATCGTAAAGTGCAATTCTGATTTGCCGAGCTTGGCGTGATGCTGGACCCCCGATTGATGAATTGATCTGTCATCTGCATTGAGGACGCAAGCTTTCCGAATTCTCGATTCAGGCAAACTAATCCTACCTCAATTATGTTGGAAAGTCGGTGAAGATGACATGTTGTCGGCCTCTTAACGATTCTTAGTCCATCTAGGCGAGAGTATTCATCAAACGGCTTTTGGATATGAAGGGACCCATCGCCTTGGGTCAACGTTCCATCGATGCTATATACTCCGCTAACCGTTGAAGGATGTTATACATGCAGCTTACATTCCAACCTCATCTGTCGACTATTCAAAAACCCACGATACCAAAGTCCGGAAACCAGCAGTAACGGCGAAGCGGCTTATCTTTCTCATTCTATTCTTGGAAGAGAGAGCACAGAAGGACAACAAAGAAACCGACAACAACAACAAGAAAGTCTTGTCTGTCTTCCCATCTTCCGCCAATGGAGATCAAGAGCTTGCGATATGGACGCCCCAACAGGAGCTGCGCCTGTAGGAATCCGCACATGCGCATCGCATACATGAGCCGCCACCAGGGTAATGGACCCAACGTCCCCGACCGACCGGCGAGAGCTCGATCAAGTGTTTATGAAATCAGGAAGGGAACGGTGAGCATTAGTGCATAGGCCACAGAGCCTTTTCGTCGATCCTGATGGGTACAGCGTCTGGTCTCGGCTGCCTGATAGTCCACCGATCATGCCCCCAACCCATAGCAGTTAACACATACGGAGTTTACAAGACTCTACCATACCTACTCCAGGTATTACCTGATCTTCTTCAGGTTTCGTACAATCTACAGCAGTGTAACGTTATAAATAGGTCTCCCAAGGGCGAGAGGGCGAGAGACAGGCAAACCAAAGCAAGGACGCATCCCCTGCGCAGAAAATGACGCATCACACAATTTGACGTAGATGGAGAATAACAGGAGAGATCAGAAGGTGTTTTCCGGGAGCCGTCCCGCGTAGTGAAAAAGTTCGCCTTCGAGAACAGGAAAAGATGTATACATAGGTTTGGAAGGGCTCCACTGCTTCCATATTTATCTTTCCAATCAATAGTCCAACCGATGGAGACGCGGTGGTTTTTTTTTTGGCTGGCTGGCTGGCTGGCTTTTTGTGGAAGCCTGGGCTTTGGGACCGCTTTGAGGCGCTGATTTCGTAGTGAATATAGCCGATACTCGACTCATTCATTTTTTGTTTTTCGGAGGCTTTCGGGGCTGTCTTTCTTCTGGCTCATCGTATGAAGCGATTTGTATTTGTTGACGATGATGTTGGGGTGGTGTGTTCCTGAGGCAGACTTTTGTATAGAGTCATTGTGTCGAATCTACGCGGCATGCTATGGTAATGGCTTCTCTCAGACAACGAAAATGAAGTAGTAGGATACTGTAGCAGTTCGAGTGCATTCCATGGTATATACAAAAGACCCCAAACGAAATCAACACTACCTCTTTCTCGAAGGCCGGGCATTCTTCTCCTGTCGCCTCTGCTTCAGCTTCCGGGCAATGCGGATATCATCCGTGTTCCTCAGCTCGCTCTTGCCACCGGCAGCCGCACCGCCAGCCTTGGACATCGATCGCTCCTTGGCTTTGTCGGCCTTCTTCTTCATCTTCTCGTAGTCACCACGGAGAGGATCAGCCCGCTTGGGCGCCTGCTCCCTCCGGTGCTTGAATCGCTTGCCGGAGAGGGCCGCGTTGAGACCTGCAGCCAGGTTGGGAGCCTCCGCCTCACCCACCCGAGGCATGCGGCCCACGCGGTTGCCTCTCTTCCAGGCGTCGAACCGTCCGCTGCGGAAGCTGGAGGCGATCTTCGCGCCACTCTCGCCGCGGACGAGACGTGTACCCTTAGAGCCGTCCTCGTCGTTCTGGCGCGCGACGTACTTCTTGTGACGCTTGTCCCAGCGCATCATGGTACGAGGCTCGCCGAACCCGCGGCTTCCCTCATCGCCCGCGAGATCCATGGTTGCACTACGCGATGCTTGGGCAAAGTTGGAGTTGGTACCGGAATGAACACCGTAAGCACGATCTTCTGCCAGCGAGTTATTATTGGGGGTATATGACATAAAGTAGTCGGGGTTTTGGAAAGAGGCCGCGCTGGCTTTCTTCGACTTGTTTCCATTGGATTGCGAATATGATGAGAAGGTGACTTCGAGCTCTGAGTCGGATGCCAGGGACATGTCGTCTGCGACGCCTGTGGGGGCATCAATATCATCTGCGTCAGAGAATGCGGCCTCATCCTCGTTCTTTCCGGCCTCACCCTCCCCTGTCTTAAGTCCTTCAGGGGCATCCTCGAGGAACTCCGACTTTGCATTAGCCTTCGACCGTTTCTTTTTGGTCTCCAAGGTTGTCCGGACTCTCTTGATTGTGTTAAGAGCCTCTTCGCTTTCCTGTTTGCCGATGCGTCGGGTGTTGACTTCAAAGATTGTCTCCGAAGGCCGGTAGCCTCCGATGCGAGCGAGCATCTTCTCTCGCTCCGCTTCGAGATTGCTGGATTCGTCTTGGAAGAGCGGGTGGATGCTTGTCCAATGATCAGAAGAAACCACCTGCTTCGCACGCTTGGCGCTCTCCAGAGATGCAGAGTTGCGGGTCCGCATATAGAGCTTTTCACCCTTGGTAGCAACTGTGCGTTGCGCTGCAATGTCGGCATCATCGCCCAAAACCTTTGTTACCCACTCACAGTTCTGCGACAGACCGTCCCGGGGCAGGCCACCAGCAACAACATCTTCGGCAAAGTTGACGTGATCGCCGTTTTCACGGCCGACTACAAGTCTTCTTCCGAGGAAAAGCTGCAGATCGAGGAGGTAGGGAGCGTCTGCATCTCGGACAAGACTGTAACTCCAACCTTTCCGTCCTGCACGAGCAGTTCGGCCAACACGGTGGATGAAAATCTTGGGTTGGGAGGGGAAATCGTAGTTGATAACGTTCGCAAGAATAGGGATATCAATACCACGAGCCGCAACGTCCGTGACAACCAAGATATTCGACAGACCACTTCGGAAGTTCTGAACCTGAATCTTTCTAGCAGTCTGATCTAAGGCTCCGTATACGTAAGAAACTGCAAAACCTGCCTCATGCAGAAGAGAGTAGAGATAATCGACATGATGCTTGGTCGCAGCGAACACAATCGTCGAATGCTGGGTGGGAGACTCTTTGGTGTTGACAGCCTTCTCCATTTCCGCCCTCTTGCGTTTGTTGGCTTTCGAAAATCTCGCGCTGGCATCTTCCCCTTGTCGTTGCTGGGCCATCTCGGTTGGCCCGGTTGGCATTTTGATAACCTCATGAAGGATGTAAAGCAAAGCACCTTCCTTTTCCGAAGACTTAATGGAAAAGAAAGCGTTCTGCAGGTCGGGGGAAATCTTGCTTTCGGTATCCAAACGGATGAGTGTAGGCTCCTGCAAACCTGCGCGGGCGAACTCCACCAGAGATTTGGGGAGCGTAGCAGAAAACAGAAGAGTTTGCCGGTTCGGGGGCAGGCCGTGGAGAATTTCCGTCAACTGTGCCGCGAAACCCATTTCGAACAGTCGATCGGCTTCATCGAAGACGACATAGCGGATACTGTACAGGTCCAGGTTCATTTCCACCTTCAAATGCAGGAAACGGCCAGGTGTAGCAATGACAATATCTGGATTGCCAGCCATCATGGTGAACTGCTCCTCAAGACTGTCACCACCGACCAGGAGAACACACTTCAAGTCGGTTCCCTTGCCCAACTCCTTGACGACCTTGAGGGTCTGCAAGGCCAATTCTCTGGACGGGGATAGAATCAGGCCCCGAGCTCCGACCTTGGTACTGTGGCTCCTCAACTTCTCGATCATGGGGATGACGAACGCCGCTGTCTTTCCGGAACCAGTTCGAGCCATACCAACTACATCCTGATCATCCATAATCACCGGAATCGTTTTGCGCTGAATGGGCGTCGGGACCGAGAAACCTTTGCGGGCGATTGCCTTCAACAGATTCGCACTCAAGCCCATAGCCTGGAAGCCACCACCCTTTTTGACTGTGCGGCCCTTGAGGTTTGATGCCTTGCGATTAGCCGACGTCTGCTGCTGTGCAATGAAAGCCTCATCGCCATCATCGTCATTCACATCTCCGAGGAAATCAAGATCCTGCGACGGAATTTTCTTTTTCGGCTGTCGCTTGGACTTGGCCGAGGACCGCTCGTTATCCGATTCACTGTCATTCTGGAAAAGGGCGCCTGTGATGTCGAATTCGTTCTCCGACAATGCCGGTGATGCCGCGCGAGGAGCCATTCTGAATGCTGATTGCGCAGCTGGTCCGTACTCTGATGCGCGCCTGTTTGATGATAGCTGGAAAGCGCCCGAGGGCGGACGAAGATACTATTAACTCGAGTCTTCTCAAACAACAATCTCGTTCAAACTCTAAATGACACAGAGAAGAAAATATCCTGTCCACTTCACAGAATCGATGAATCTCAATCCAACCGTTTTTCGTCTCGACCAGAAATGCACCTGGCTCCGTGGTCTGCTGATATCCCAACTTTTTTTTTCTTTTCTGAGGCGGTGGAGAGAAAAACCGAAGGCGGTGAGCCATCAAACTCTGTCATAATCCGACCCGGTGCAAACCGGCCAAACATGCTCGCCCCGCGACGCGTGCAACACGTCCCGAAGCGGTAAAATGGCAGCTTGTTGGACTCGAGGGAGAGTATTCTTGTCGTCTTGCGTTGACTACTCACGTTGAATTGATTTTTTAAGGATCTAATAGAAAAGGACTCTGATACACACACAAAATGGGTCAGTAGAGCATTCACTCTCGTCTCCACCCTATCTCTTCAATACATCTGCAGCTGTACTGACTTTCCTTTCAGATGGTGGTTATGGATATGGCAACTCGTTTGGAGGAGGAGGAGGCGGCGGCGGCGGCGGTGGTGGTGGCTTCATGCCCGGGGAGATGAACAGTCCAGCCGGCGGCAAGGTACTTTACTCTCTACTATATGGAGCTGAATTGCAACCGTGCAGCGGTCCAACCCATGCCCATCAACTGCTCAAGGAACCGAGACACTGATCTCTTCCCACAACCAGGGCGACAACAACAACAACACTCTCCGTCCCGTCACAGTCAAACAAGCCCTCGACGCCTCGCAACCGTACCCCGAAGCCAGTTTCCAGATTGACGGCGCCGACGTATCGAGCGTCTGCGTGGTCGGCCAGGTCCGCAACATCAGCTCGCAGAGCACCAACGTCACATACAAGATCGACGACGGCACAGGGGAAATTGAAGCGAAGCAGTGGATTGATTCACAGAGCAGCGACACAATGGAGACGGATGAAAGCAAGGTCGCCGACACAAAGAAACCCCAGGTGGAGCTCAACGGCTACGCAAAGGTCTTCGGCAAGATCAAGTCGTTCGGGAATAAGAAATACATCGGCGCGCACTCCGTACGGCCCGTCACGGACATTAACGAGGTGCACTGCCACTTGCTCGAGGCGGCGGCGGTCCATCTGTTCTTCACGCGGGGACCTCCTGGTGGTGGAGCCGCTGGCGGCGCTGCTGGTGATGAGACGGGTGCTGATGCGACGATGGGCGGTGCCGATGACTTTGGAAACAGGGCTCTTCCTGCGATGAGCCCCGTGGCGAGGAGAGTGTATAGTCTGCTGAAGACGGAGCCGCAGAGCAACGAAGGTCTGCATGCTCAACTGATTGCGGCGAAGCTGAATCTTCCCATGCCCGATGTGGCACGGGCGGGTGAGGAGCTGCTCACGGCCGGTGTTATCTTTTCGACTGTTGATGAGCAGACTTGGGCTATACTGGATTACTAGGGTAGTTTTAACAGTACAGCGCCCTTTTAATCTTACGTTGGCGAATCTGCTTGGAGGAGGTACTCTTTTATGTGATACTACATAGCTGTTAGATGTTACGACCCAAAAACGACGAGAATTATCACTAAATATACAAGCTGATGAAACGGGACCGTCAATGGTGGAAATAATCACCCTATACATCCACAATTCCCAATGAACACACTGGAGTAGATAACGTGTTTCATATATCATAACACTCATATGCATGATCAGCTCATCGCATTTCTGCGAAGAGCATCAGTAACCGCCCGATTCCAATCCGCCCGAGTAAGGAAAATCATCTCAATGATCGACACCAGGCAAAGGGCAATGGCGACACCCGACCACAGACCAAACAAGCCCCAGTTGAGCCCGAAAGTTGTACCAAAGCTGATGGGCATCGCAATGGCATAGTAGGAAAACAGCTGCACGTAGCCTCCGATTTCCTGCCGCCCGATGCCTCGCAAGATACCATTACAGTTGGCCGCCAGGGCATCGAACAGCTGGAATGCCGCGCAAAGGGGAAGAACCTGAGCGACAAGTTCGATGACCTCCTCATCCGAAGTAAACAGGGTGGGAATATGCTGGCGCAAGGCTGAGAGGAAAATCATGTTCAGAAGGCCGACAATGACTGCAAACCCCATGGTGACTTTCGCCGAAGTCTTCGCCGCATCCACAAGGGTGGCGCCAATGAGGTTCGCAACGCGAGTGCTGCCGGAGATGGATACGGGGAATGGAATTTGGAATGTAATGCTCGAGATGGTGGACAAGACTGATTGCGCCGCGAGGGGAGTCGTGCCAAGCCAAGAAGAAGCTAGAGTCAGGATCTCAAAGGCAAGACACTCAGCCTCAACCATCACCAACCCAGGAAGGGCAAGTCGAATCATCGGGCCCCAGTTACGGAAAGCACGTGTAGTCAGACCATTCCAACATTCCGAACCACGGATGAAATACACGTAGAGGAACAGGAAGAGCGGCATCAGGTTGTCGGTGATGGCGACAGAGATGGGCGCACCAATGAAGCCCCAGCCAAGTTTCTATGTGCGAGTCAGTCAAATCCTCCCCCGAAATGATCGCAATCGGCTGGAGTAGATAACTTTTAGCACGTACCCATACGAAGAACCAGTTCATGAATGCATTGAGGGGAGCACAGATGAGTAGGACATAGAGAGAGGCCGAAAACAGGCCCTGTGCCTGCATGTATCGTTTTCCGCTCTCGAAACAAGCGTACCCCGGGGCGCCTAAGATGAGCACCTTCAGGTACAAACCTGCCAGCATGGCGACCTCCTTCTCCGGGACGATCATCATGAGGACCTTGTCAGAGAAAACCCAGATGACAGAAATGGGAACAGTAATAGCCCACAGGAAGAAAACCATCTTCTGCATCTGCAGACCGACAAGCTTCTTCTTCCCAGATCCGTAGGCCTGTGAACAGAGAGTATCTAAACTAGTCGCGAGGCCCTGGTAGACTACATCGCTCAATTAGCGTTCGAGATGATGAAACCGAGGGGACAGTATCCAACAAACCTGCGTAGCCGGTGATGTTCGCAGTCATACTAGCCAAGCTGACTGCACCAAGCTCCCTTTTTCCCAAGTGGCCCAAAGTGAAAATGCTCGCTACTGTCAGGGAATACTGGAGCAGGAAAGTAAGAGTTAATGGCGCCGCATATTTGCTAATCACCTGGGCTTCCCGCTGCCATGTCGTATGAATCTGGCCGGCAACAACCGCTTCTTCCCACTTTCGGTCGATCGCCTCAGCATCTCTCGTGCTATAACCGTGACCACCGGCTCCATTCCCCAGCAGCGAGGTAGATTCTGTTGGGGTAGAGATGCCTTCCGCCCCATGCCGTCCTTCCACCTCACTGTCGGTCTCCGGAGATTCAGCAGGCTCCGGCGTCTTTGAGCGTAGACTACGAGACAGAAGCCCGCTCAACCTGCGCTGCGATCCATGGTGCTTGATGGATCTGCGATCATCAGATATGACGTGGTTGTCACTCAGAAGACGTCTTTCCTCTTCGATGGCTTGGTCGCGCTCTCTTTGCGTCAAATATTCCCGATCTCCCCGATATGGAACAACGGTAGCATGCGATACTGTAGTGAAGAAGCTGGGACGCTGGTAGGAGCCTACCAAAGAGTGGGAAGCCGTGCCAGGATGACTGTTGATCGCACGCACCGTCGACGCCTCAGACTGATCATCAACTTCGGAAGCAGCTATCGAGTCTTCATCGTCGGCATAATTTTCTATATCTCGAGCGATTGCCGCCTCCGCAAGCGGTGAACTCGACAGAAAGCGAGCTTGGAAGCTTGAATTGTCTGGGTTAGACAGTTGAGTCCCGACCATGGTGACAGTTTATTCTAGGACTGAAGATAATGAAGCTTTTGGATACTGAATTGGTCTATCACAATGAGCGGTAAAGAGCCTCGGCATAGTCCCAATCTTCAAAAAAAAAAAAGAAAAAAATGAAGACTTCAACAGTCCCAAAAACACCGGATTGACTGCTTAGATGAAAGAAACAAAGATAGCTGAGACGGACGAAGATAAAGGCGTTCGGCGTTGCGACGAGTTAGCAGAATTCGCCTCCAGGAACCTTCGGCGATAAGACAAGAGAAAGAAATGGATTAAGCTGGATGGGTCTAACCGTGATGGGTTCCACTGTCTCTCTTGACGCCATCCAGAGAGTCAGACACTGCACCACTCGTGAGTCGTGACTCATTCCGGAGCAATTGAGTTTCCAATTGACAATGGTGCCAATTACTCCATCTGTCCACGGCAAGAAGAAGGTCTTCAGCTCCTTACAGCAGATGTGAGCACTATCTCTTACTCCGGAAGGACATTGTATTGAAGCTCAGTTCAACCCCACGGCTTTTTCTTGGTCTCCACTTCAGATTCCGCATCAAGACATGATTGCAAGTTGGCGACGGGAAGATTTTCTATAGATGAAGATCGGTCAACATCTCCTGGAATGCGATCCTGCTCCTACTTCTCCCAAGAAAATAGCCAATGATTTAAAGTAGAAGTACTGCAGTGGTCAATTAGTTGCAGCGACCAGCAGGGGATGTAAATGAGACTCACACATGATATCGATCCCAATTAGGACTAGCCAGTCTCTCATCACGTGGATCTATCATCAGGTCATCCATCACCATCCTCACAGCATGAGACCTCCTGTTTGATCATGGAGAGAACTGTTGCAACCCTCACCATGAAATTCCAAGACGGTCCTGGTTGAAACTGGACTCTCAAGGTTTTCTGCCAAAGACACCCCCAAACAACCACCAGCATGGCGCACACAGCATCAGGGCAGGAACCGACCTCACTGCGGCCGGGTTTCCATCCCATCTATAACCTGACGGGTGCTGACCCAGTACTAGTAGATGAGTAAGTAAAAAAAAAAAATATAAAAAACAAAAATCCACACGGCTTAGCTTTTTGATTTTACCTGGCCATACAAGTTCTGCCGGACTCACCCACGGAAACACGCAGGCACCGAGATAGCAAGAAACACATCTTCCTCAGACGCCCTCTCCTCGGCGCTCTGCTGTTCGAGAACAGCGCATCCGACGCCCGCGACCACTGCGCCAACGAACGCACATTCCTCTCCTGGCTCCGGCTGTCCATGTACCTCTCCATCGTCTCGATAGCGATCATCATCTCGTTTCATTTCCGCAGCAAACCGACCGGGCTTGAACGCCGCATGGCCCTTCCGCTAGGTATCATCTTCTGGGTTGTGAGTTTAATGTGTCTCGCGAATGGGTTTGCGAACTACGTCCGAACCGTGAATAAATATAGTCGGAAGGCGGCGTTGGTGCAGAGTGGGTGGAAGACACACTTGACCGTTACGGTTGTTGGAGTGATCATCTTCGGGAGCTGCATCTTGTTCATTGCGACTGGGGCGGAGACTCGGCGGTGATGCATCATGAATCTTAGTAGATTGCTATGCGAATGCAAATCAGACTTTATGCTGTCAACTTGTGGAATCTCGGGCAAACTCCTATCCAACATGGTATTAAACTAATGACTGGCTCACGCCATGGTATCATGCTATCCTATAAACAAAAGATGGAAAGTATCAGACAGGAGCTTCAAGGCTCGCGATGAGCGGAGTGTGTAGCGACACGCCTCTGACATCTTACATCCGACGGATGTCCTTCTCTCCCTTGTACTTGTCCAAGCCTGCGGTGCCAAGGTGGCTCCACCACTCAAACAGCATTGAATTGCAGATCAACTTGAACCAGGGTGTGAATTTCAGACCAGGCTGGGTGAACATCTGCTTGAGCTCCTCAGCGGTAACATATTGCGTGTCGCGAATCTCATTAGGGTTGACATCCAGGTCGACATCCGCCTGGATGAAGAGAATATAGTCGACTAAGAAGAGCAAGAAAATTAGCACGGGGGTGGAGCCAGACCGCAAAGACGCGGGGATATTCCAAGACATACTCTCATGTTCACCCCATTTCCCATCACTGGGAGCCTTGTAGTGTATTCTCGTGAAGAACTCGAATTTGTCCAGCGGCACCTGCTCCGCCTTGATTCCAAGCTCCTGGTCGAGTTTCCGCTGCGCCGCCCGCTTGACGCCGAGGATGGCAGCATCCAGCTCGGCACCGGTTTCGCCGGGGATACCCAGAGGGTGGGAGCAGCAGGTGTTTGTCCACATGTCGGGGAAGGTGATCTTCTCCGTGGCGCGCTGTTGCAGCAGCAGGCGGTTCTTGGAGTCGAAGAGGAAAACTGAGAAGGCACGATGCAGAAGACCCCGATCAATGTTGGTCATGAGATGGCCTATCCGTCATGGTAGGTTTGTTAGCCGGGATGACTTCTGCAGAACTGCCGCCCCCAGTTGCTAAGGGGGGGAAATAGGTCGAGAAAAAACCTACAGGTCTTCTTGCTGGCGCTGCCGATAGGCTTATCGTCGTCATCCAACACAATGCATAACTCATCCATCAGACGGACTTGCTCCTCATCGTACCCCGCGAGTTCCTCGCTGTCTTTGGCGGAGCCGTCCGCCGTCGAGGGGAAAACCTCCCGCGCGAGGGATGTGTCAACCTCGGGGAAAAGCGTGGCGACATTCTCCGCCGTGATTCTGGGGGGAGCGGTGACTGTGGTGGTTGCCGACATTGCGATCCGAGACTGTGCACGTAGGATCTTATCGACTATCTGTCCAGGAGTCGAGCAGATTTGGGATTTCTGTGTGCCAAGGGAGTGTTGAGGAATTGGACCCCTTGGCCCCTCGGGTTGTTGATAGAGGAAAACCCCCGCCTTCATATCTAAGGCGGTGGGAAACGGCAGAATATGCTTAACATTTGCCCTATTGTTGTGATTTGTCGCTTTGCGATTGTTCCCATCTCTGCAAGCTCCACGAGATCCTATTGTTGAATGCCACTTGAATAGGTTCATGTTCCATCTGTGTGTCGTTACCCGGATCAAATGGCGACTCCAGTGTAAGCTATTCAGAGTTGACTATGGCTCTTTTTGTTAATCCTCATCTGCCCATCTTCTTGTTGATTCCCTTGGGAGGTTCTTTCAAGACATACTCATCCATCAACCCATCGCCAAACTCGGGGATCAAGAAATCAACCAGTATCAGTATTGATTACTGACATGATGGCACACGCTCCATGCAGTGGGTCTAACAGGCTTGCAACTGTGACTCAGCATATGACGAGACAATGCCATGGTTGCTGCTGCAGAACTCACAGTTTACTAACTACACAATAGCATGCATCTCACTCAGCATGAAGAGAAAAAACAAGGCGACAACGGCCACAAGCAGACAAGGATCATCATGGATTGAATGACAAACATTGCAAGGAATCAGATACCACTTCCAGCACAGCCACCCCGAAGGGTATTAAATGTACTCCGTATCCTACCTCGTCTTACTTGGTGTGAACCACTACGGAGTATCTATGCCATTCAGCATTCAAACCCCTGGCGAAAGCCGCTGCATATACTCAATTAGGATACTGTACTCATCCACACAAAGTTCATACAGAGGGCGGGGGAAGGCGCTCTGCACGGGTATATGCATGGCTGACCAGGCCATGCATGTCAGTTGCTCCGACCAACTGTAGCTCCATGATACTGCCAGGGTGCCTGGATGAATAACTCAAATAACTCCCTGTAAGCGCGTGCTGCAGTAATATGGCTGGTAAGAACGACGGGTCGACATGATTGCGATGAGAACCGAGCATCGCCGGTGGACGAAGGTAAATGTCAGGCAGCTGATGGTGATCTTGTTCATCCACGACATTTATAATGATCAACTAAATATTACCGAAGCAGATTCAATTCAAGGGAGAGACAAAAGTACAATTGGACCAAGGCAATTCGACTTCGATTCCGACCCCGATTCCCCAACAGTTGATCAACAAGCGTATAAATCGTCATGAGATTGAAGAGAATAAACAGCTCTTACTGCGATAATAGTCCCCTGGATAACCACCTAGGGAAGGTAGTTAGCTTCCTGGTACCTGGTCTGGTAGGGTAGACCATTCTCTTGCGCCATCGTCGACCACACACTAGATAGTCACTACTCTACACAGTACACAGATTGGTACTTTGCGCCTACGATAGCCTACCTCAATCCCGTTGATCAGCCTAGCTGTGGGTTTACCTCCCCTGCAAGTGCGCACCATGATCCCCCCCATAGTCCATAGTCCATCACCATCGGTTAAACGAAGACTATGCCGCTAAGTTCTGACTATGGAATCCCGACTCCGGAACTCTAGGACCGGCTCCGTTTACCGTTATTGTAAACGCATCGACCCGCACACCGTTGACATCCACACGATGCATGGAGTGTCAGCGAGTCGTCACCTTTTTTTGAAATTGGAATGGGATACCTTAGCTTAGCCCCGGTTCTTGGTGTGAATGCCATTGTCACCAACCCGAGTCACCTGTCAAAGAATTTAATAAAAAAAAAAAAAAAAAAAAAAAAGCAACTACAGTACGGAGTAGTATCTACCTACTGTGTACGCAGCAGTAGTCAGTCAAGGTGGAGCCAAGTCTCCTAGCAGAAATAGAACCAGTAGCTAGTTAGTCCGGGGGCTCAATCAACGCTCGGAGGACGGTATTCTCATTGACTCCAACGTCCGGTTTCCATGGTTGCAACCACATCAATAATAATATAATAGAATGAATCTAGGAACATGTACAAAGTTCGAGCTGCAAATAATATGACCATCTATCTTCCCGCCCGAAAATGAGTGGGTGACAGCTGCAAGGACTGGAGGAGTCTCTTCGGTTCTGCATGCGTGCCCGGGAGAATCATCTTCAGGAGCTGGGAGGTCCCGTATTCCATGCCGATTGCCCGGGAGAGGTGATCGGTCGATTTGTCCGCTCTGCAGTCTGTGCTGGGTCTGGAGGAAGGGGGTGGTCTGTGTACTGCTGGACTTACTGTACGGACTAGATACTGTCCGGAGGATGATAACTCCAGCTGTCAGTGCTTTTTGATGTTCTTGTTTTAATGCATGAGAGTGGAGAGATTACCCGTACCTATGTATCTCGTACTTGGCAATGATGAGCATCAAGTACAGAGAGAGTGTGTGTGACTGTATCCCCATGTGAGATAGTAGTACGAAACTACAATTCTACAAAGAACCTGTCTCTGCCATAGACTTGTCTACCTGGTAACTAGTCAGTTAGTTCAAGCTTAATGATCGAATAGTTTCAGTAGCCTTTCAGTTTCAGTTTCGCATCTTCTTCAATCCCACAAGCCTCAAATACTTGCAGCGTACACTGCCATTATTCTGCTAGATATTGCTACGCTCAGTACCTGCGTAGATAACAACTTCCCCAACCGTCCTTCCCCGCCCATCTATAATAACCCCTGAACAAAACTAACATCCTCAATAACTCCACCCCGAAACCGAAATCCAGGTACCACGGCAGTAGACTAGATAAATCATCCAAGTAGGCGAAAAGCAACAGCGTCCCCATCCCAGGGAGAAAGAATCATCAACCAACCAACCAACCGAGTCCAACCGAACCGCGCTTATCAGGGGCCGTAAAGCACCAAAGCGCCGGGGGGGGGGAAGACACGTCCACCGTTCCGCGAGTCCGACGTTGAGATCGAAACAGGCCACCACGAAGTAACAGGCACCACTCGACGCAGCACGCAGCACGCAGCAGCCGCCGCCATTGAACTGACAATCGCGCCTCGCGCGGGGGCCCGGCCCCCTGAATGGGCGTGATTGACTGTAGCCTCGGCCTCCAAAGTCCAAAGGGGAGAGACCAGAAGCCAGAAGGAGATGAGATGAGATGAAAGCCGAGCGCCGGAATGCATTTAACGCAACTATCACACTGTTGGATTTCGTTCGCTGTCTCCAACTTCGGGGCCGGGGGCTGGGAGAACTAGTTAACTACAGAGTAGGTATGAACGAGGTGGGACGGGAGGGGAGGGTCTCCGGGCGATCCTGTCGGTCTTGTCACCGAGCCGTCGGTGGCCTAATCGCGATTAGGAATGAGGGTTGGCCAGTCAGGGTCTGTGACGGTGGAGTCGTGGACGCTGGGCGGCTGGGCGGCTTGCGGGTGGTCTGGTTGTGAGGTGCTAATATTTTTTTTTTTTTCGTACTGTATGGAGGGACTATTCGTAGTCTGTACTTAGAGACGTGTACGAACTACAAAGAATGACGGACGGAGGACTTATGAAGGCAGTCTAGATAATATCTAGGAAATAGGCCGGTAGCGCAGTACCTGGCTATATCGCAGCTCTAGCTACTAGGGAGGGCGAAGCGAGCCTGGGCCGAGTTGACCAACACCTCGAGGATAACAGGCTCACAAATAGTCCTTGCAAGGTGAATAGGACATTAGGTTTAAAGTTGTAGATCCGGGTACGCGCGTGTTTGTGGTGGAAACCACTCATTCTCTATTCTTGACATGCTATATGCTGATACATGCGACAGATCAACAAGAATGCTATAACTCAAGGAAAGATCACACAACCAGGTGCGACTCATAGATCGATAACAATGAAGAAAAGACCAACGAGAGAAGAAAGAGAAACACACACACACACACACACACAAAAAAAAAAGGAAACGCCGATCATTCTCGGGGTTTGATGCTATTGTCGCTTGCGCGAGGTCGAAAACATAATATATAAGACAGCCACCCAATGCTCAAATCACATGCTCAGGGGTATTCGTTTTTCTATAAGGTACGTATGCAATATCAGTCGTTCGTGTCCGCGAATCCCTCCCAGGAAGGATTCGGAACGGGTGTAGGCAACCAGCATGCTGCGATCAACGCAGTCCGCATGGTCTGGTCATGATGTATCTCCTCGGGGGTATCGTATATCGAATTTCAAAATCTTTCATTATTGGATCCGCGTTTCCGTGTTGTTTGCTCACTGTAGGAATGCAGGTTTGGTGAGGGCGAAGGGACAGGCTGGGCCAGCTCGGTGGTTTCTTTGCTCTTGGGATTGGACTTTCGAGGTTTGCGGCGACAACCATCGGCTTTATGTCTATAGACAGCGTACATGTTAGAAATGAGACAAAAATAATGCAGAGATCTTCATGCAACTCACCTGGACAACGTATCCTGTCGACTAAAGCGACGCTCGCACTGGTCACAACCGAAATTTCGCAGACCATGGTGGATCTTCACAACACATTAGCAATCGATTCATCATGGGAACAGAAACAAGGAGGGCATCTTACACTGTCTACATGTCTCTTGAGGTCCGTCCTCCTGCCAAACGACTTCCCACACACGTCGCATGGATGCTGCTTCCTGCTACTAGGGTCGTGCCGCTTTATATGCTCCCGGCAGTTTGAGCGCCGAGTGAAGCGCATACCGCACAAGGTACAGACCAGACCGCTAGCCGATGGCAATTTGGGCGATGGCTTATCGTTTACCGGGACCATGTGGTCTTCGTTTCGGGGAGACACCGCCTCCTGATCGTATTGAACACAGCCTTTTACCGTATGGTCAGAATTCATCAAAGGATCCAACCCCTCTGCATCAGAAGACGCAAGCCCCGAAGAGGCGTTGCTCACCATCAGCTGAGGAATGGAGGTTGACATTTGCAATCCCGTCACTATGCTTGAGTCCGCAAAGAGCAGCGGGTCTGCACAATCCTCCGGCTCCTCTTTCACCTCGCACCAACCCTCCAGAAAAGTGGCAGTATCCGAGCAAGGAGTGCTTGGCCACATATGCGATGGCTGACAACCCATTTTATCCTGATTCCCCATGTCCAGAGTGGAACAGTAACTTGGAGACGCACTTAACGTTTGCGGACTGTACAGGCTAAGAGGCGAGGCGGAAACGTCATGGGGGGCACCGAATGAGTCGTAGCAAGGGCCAGCGGATAAGGTGTTGACTTCAAGCGAAGGATTAAAGACGGATGGCATCAGTTGGTCAGACCAATCGGCTGTTGACAGCGGGACCGATTCTGGACCGGAGCAGAAGCCCAATTGACTGAATTGGGTCTCCATCCCGTTATACGTGATCCCGAGGCCGATGTCTGGTTGAGTACTGCTTGGATAGCTTGCATGAGCCTGGACTTCAGGGACATAACAGGGGGCGGGCTCGATCATCAGCACGTCGTCCTCGGACGTTGAAGGAACATAGACCGAGACGGGGGGCTGCGGAATCCAATTCATATCCAGAGTGGCGATGGGCTGCCGTGGATGAAGCCGGTGATCACGATTGAGAGAGGAGGATGGTGTTATAAAGACCTGTCAAACCCAACCAGTGGAGTTCGTTCTGGAGCAGCCTCACAATCGGGGTTCTCGATACAGAAGGGGGAAAAGGATGACTTGATTGAAGCCCAAGACGGAGTCATGCGCGCACTATATAAAGAAGGTTGACTCAACAGCAACGCCGTTGCAGTGTGATATTTGTGGCGAACATGTGTAGCGGCTGAGAGAACCACAGGAGAATCAGCCATATGACGCTTGAGAGGGTAGATTTTCCGCCGCATCGGCGCAGTAGAGTCAACTAGAGGAGTTACCTTGACGCCTGGGTCGGCAAGGCAGACTTGGATGCAACGAGAAGGAAGAATGCGGTGGAGGAAGAAACGAGATTTTGGTGAAGGGGGGAGGGGGGGGGGGGGAGGGTGTGGGTGTGTGTGGGAGGGATAGTGGTGTGGGAAGTGTCTAGCTGGGAGTGAACCGGGGCCGGATTGACCATTGCAGCCCATGTCTGCAACTTCCAGATAGGCGTAACAACAATGGGGACTTATGCACAATGACTTAGCGCCGAAAAGGTGTGATCAGCCCAAATTGCCAGTTTGATTACCATGTCCCTGGAGACTGGGAGAGAGGGGTGTACAGAGGAGGGAAAGGATGGAGAGAAGCAGGCAACCCACTGGGGGCCGAGCAGGCAGTGTCTTCCTAAGAAGTTAGTAGTAGTGACAGGGTCTGGAAATGAAAAAGAAGCGAGTACTCGCTCTGTCAGTCTCTCTCTCTCTGTGTCTGTCTCTGTCTGTCTCTCTCCTCTCTCAAAAAAAAAAACGATAGAATAATATAGAATTTAAAATCCAAGCACAAATAATAATAAATAATAATAATAATAATAAAATAATGATAATACAAAATAATAATAATAATAAAAAAAAAATAAAAAAAAAACAAGAGAGAAAAGAAAAAGGAAAAGGACCGAAGGAACCTAGAGGGGGGCAGAGAAAGGGATTGGTGATCAGGGCGAGAAAAACCATCTACTTAGTGACCTAGGTACTTTACCCATGAGACTGGGGTTTGCAGGAAAAGGGAAAAGAAGGGCCAGTTGATAGGACAGACGGGCCAAAAATGGGCGTAATTATGATGCTTCAGCTTTGCATTCTTCTGCGTTTCTTCCTTTTTTCTTCTAGGAGAGTCTAGTAAGAAGGAGTTAGCCCAAATCTCGTAGCTGTTACGAACGGAGTCACGGAAGACCTAACTAACGCCCTCACGGAGCTCCCGCGTCCTTCCTGCTAGTAGATTATTATTATTATTAGGATTTATTTTATACTTTTTTTTCTTTTCTTTTCTTTTCTTTTTTCTCCTTTTTGTTCTTTGGGGGAGAGTGACCATGAGTGAGAGAAGAGAACGGAGTCACGGAGCAGGAGCAGGAGAGGAGAGGGGCAGCAGACGAGACGAGAGACCAGACGAGACAGACCAGGGGAGAACCACTGCCACCTAGTTCCCCGATCATCGCCGGTTGATCACACATTTCCATCTTGTTTTTTTTTTTCCTGCTGCACGACGAGCATCAAAGAGGTTTAGTTGCGTCCCGACAGTCTGGTACCTTGCTTGGCAAAGGAGCAGTGCGTGTCGCCAGGTGTGATTGGCACACGCCATGGGGGATCCGGGAGACTAGGACGGGGGAAGACGGGGGACGTGAAGAAAGAAAGAAAAAAAAAAAAAAAAAGTCAGAGATGTGAAGAGACCGGGAACGCCTGCAGATGATGTTGTCTGTTGGTTCACGTTGATAGAAAGAAGTTTAAAAAAAAAAAAAAAAACAAAGACAGTTGGTGATGGTTGTTGGTAAAATTGATGACGAATGGAGATGGAGGTGATATCGATGAGGATAATTGATACGATGAGAATGATACTCGGTGATCGAAGAGATGAGATGGAAGCAGTGTTGGTGATGAGAACCCAAAGACATGACGAAGAGCAATCAAAACCGCCCGTTTCCCCTGCTGAGTATGCAACAACAGGAACAACAGGAACAACAGGAACAACAGGAACAACAGGGGGCCATGGAGGGGCATTGCCTAATCTCGCTCCCGCATCCAGGTTGATTTTTGTTGGGGGAGGTTCCATTCTACCATGGCTCAGGTGAGGAGTATAGAGACGATGATAGGATCTGATATTATACCCGGTTGGTTTGTATGTACCTGCCAGGTGCCTACCTTAATCCTACCGTGAGTAGTACCTAGGTACCGATTTACAGCTCAGTGACTCAGGCCTTTTAATCTATCATGGAATGTCATGAGATAGTTTCCCCAGGATCTTTTGACTCATATCTTGATTTTCTATCTAGAAGCCGAGAGAACAGGTCACGCGTTGGTAGGACAACGTCGACGGTGATGAGGAAGCTCTATCCTGGAGAATCGGGAGAATCGTCAAGGGACGGGAATGACTCAGGCACGCCGGTTCTGTTCATCATTAACGGAAGGGGGGGGGGGAGTCGGGAACAGGGAACACACTGGTGCCGTACCTATCTGCTGTCTAATAATAACTGCCTGACTAGGTTGTCATAGGCTCTATCTAAGCAACGATAATCAGCAAGGTCACATCATTAGTTGTCAGACTTGTCAGTACTAAGTAGTGGCCGGTGCTCACGCTAGTCCGTTAGACCGATATCAAGCAGGGTAATTTAAAAAAAAAAAAAAACAAGAAGTGCGTGGGGTTATGGCGGTGGGTTGTGGTCCGTTCGTCTGCAGCCCACTCAGTACAGACAAAATGACATAAACGCCCTATCTATTCTCTAATTTCTGTGCTTGTGCCTAATGTGATGCCTGCTTTACTGTCGATTCCGTTGGTGGAAAGCCACCGTAGCGGCCACGCGCTCCACCTGCGTGCGCAGTTGTTCCACCTCGTCGATCATACCCGCGATGTCGACACGTCCAGTCTGCCTCGTTCCTAGCCCCCAGGCGTCAACATGCGGTCCTGCACGCGAGGTTCCTTTTCGCTTGTCAGAATCCAAGGGAGAAACGCCGGCGGTGGAGGCGCGGCGCGGTGCATGATGCGTCGGGAAAGGAAAGTGCGTTGGCCTGGCTGGCTTGAAAGACGCCCGGGTTGGGGGTGGTTGAGTGTTTCGCCGCGAGACATAGCGGCGGCTAGCCTCAAAGGCCCAGATCAGGGCAACAAATGGGAGATGTGTGGCTCGCAGGAGAATGATTCGGACCCGGCGAATGTGCTCTGCGGATAGGAAGAGCCTCAGGGGGCGAATGCAGAGCAGAGGAATGAGATTCTGCGCCGTTCAGTACGGCGGATAACCACCCAATTGAGCCGCAGCTTTGACTCACCAACGGTGGCATAAAATAAGTCAGCCTTCTAGAGTTGCTGCTTTCCAAGACGTAGATTGATAACCTATGGTTCCTGTATGAGCAAGACTCCATAATTGGGGGGGGGGGTCGAATCACTTAGCGCGATCGCGCTTCTACTAACTGGAAAAGATACTCTTCCCGTGCATGTGCCATGACCTGTATGAAGTTGACATGTCAGCTCTCTGCAGATGATTTGTGGCCCTTACAGCCATGACGACGTAGGAAGCGAACGTACCCCTTCTAGACTCATACTCATCAAGCTGACCAAAGAAGATATTAACAACAGATTGGTCATCGAAACGAATAAAATCCTAAAAAGAAAAAAAAAAAAGAATTATGAGATGTTAGCCAATGCTGTAAATTGTTTCTTTCCGCCATCTCGCGTTCACTCCATGCGAATTGAATTGCAGGCGGCTTGACCGTGATCGACTGGTCCCAGGCGTCAAGCTGCGCCAAACCCGCGTCCCGAAAGGAACCACGCCGACGGGCAGAACCGAAGTAGCGGGGGGAAAGAAACGAACAAGAACCCAAAAAATAAAATAAAATAAAATAAAAAAGAAGAAAAAAGAAAAACAAAATAAATCAGAAGAGACAGGAACACAGGGACACAGCCACTTCAGCAGCATTGAACGTGATCGAACCCATATGCGGTCGATGTGCTCATAGTTCCTGTGGCGCAGTAGATAGAGATGGATCAAATAACTATCAACTATCAAAGATAAAACTCACATCAAACTGTAGCCAAAGATCGGGGAAATCTAAGAATTAGCGCATTAGCTATCTTTCCTCGAGGGCCAACCGATTCTGCCAAACCCCCCGGAACCCCAAGTAGCGCTGCATGACAACCACTAGGTGCAACGAACTTACATCGTATGCGATGTCCTAATAGCCAATCGTTTCAGCCACCATCAATCAAGAACACTTTTGTACAACGTAGCCAGGGGAGATGCGCACGAATCCTAAAACACTCGATCTGCCTCGCACCGTCAGTACGGAATTAGCGGTCGACAAGTAGGGATCTTCACCGCCATACCCAAAGAACACTTTCACCAAAATCCATGACATTTGCTGCAGAGACAGTCGGTCACGGGCGAGCATGGTGAATGTCGTGAGGAACCCTGTCAATGAGTTAGGCTCAGTTCACATGAATCACTTCGCAGTAGGGTCTAAACCGGTATCCACTCACCAATATACAGAACTACAATCACGGGGAGGAATCTGAAAAACGCTTTGGTCTAGAACATATCAATCAGCCTTGCGCTGGCTCGCGCACTCCGAGAAGCTGAGAAACATACCATCTCCTTCAAAACAGGGATCTATGCACAAACGCTGATCAGTATGCATTCCAGAAGATTACTGCCAAGCATGGAAAGGGGTGGTTTGACATACTAGACTTCCAAAGTATGAATTCAAGCTCACAAGCGAGCAAATTCTGTCAACAATGTGTGTCAGCCGAACGTTGTGTGTCACGAACATCTTGACAGCCAAGAGCTGAACTTGCCTTGGAACCAGGAACAAAGCCTCCAAGGACAGTATATCAAATGAGAGGTCTGTGATATAATCGCTTTCCTCGACCAAGCCGATAATCCCTGCAAAAGAAGATCAATGAGATAATCCAGCTGAATTGCAGCACGCCATCTTATCCTCTAACATACAACCCCAGCTGAAAATATAATGAAAAGAAAGCAAGGCGCCTTGTCTATGTGGATATTCAGGGGGAGGCGCAGGACTCACGGGCAACAAGAAAGGCAAGTCCAAAGGCAATGATGGCTATGTCCCAGAGACTCCAGAAGTCCATCTGATAGAAGAGCATCCCCGCATCGACCATGCCGCTTATTTCATCGTAGGCAAAGGCAACTATCCAGACGTACATCAGAGCCTCGAAGATGCCTATACCAGTAGGCTTTCTCTCGACAAGTACCGCATAGTATAGGAACAAGAACGAGACAAAGAAGGCCGCTTCAAATGCTTTTCGATAGATCGGAACTCGCAATCGTGAGTATGGATCTGCGGTTCTGTAACAACAACCCAAGTTATTAGCAGTCGCTGGGCACACCACTGCTCTGACCTACCTTTTGTTAAAGAATTGTGGTTTCTTCTTCGAGTGTACACTTAGCGTATCCCAGAAAACAATCTCGCCCTTCCAGATATTGTCTATCACTCTTTGAACTGCCTTTTGGCTCAGAAACTTCTTAGCTTGAGCAATAGTCGCGATCTCCAGAGCATTGAGGCCGAAGAAGAGGGAAAATGACTCGAGTTCATATACGTCATAGTCAAACCCTTGCGATCCTTGCGATCCTTGAGACCCCTGATCTCCTACATAAGAACCGCTGCGGCGAGTCTTACCGCCGAAAAATCGATACAGTGAGGACGAGGAACTCAACAATAAGGGAGTTCGTTCACCTTCTGTTTCATTGTTTTGATCTTTGCGGGAAGCTGATCCAAGTCCAGACGCACCTCTTTCGGCCTCAGAAAGCGTCGCAAAATCTCTTTTGGGTGATGGAAGCTCCTCGAGCAGAAAATATATCATCTCTCGCTGGGTGAGGTGACAGAGAAACTGCCAGGCAACATATTCACATGCATAGCCGCGGCCCTCATTCATACCCCAATCGGAATCATTGTCTTCACTATTGAATCGCCATCTCAAGATCCTAGCCCGCAATTTTTAGAACTTTTCCCCGTCTAAAGGAGTAAATGAGCTAACTCACATTAAAGCAGAGATGATCCAGCGGTTGTGTGAGTTCTCGGCCAAAGAGCTTACGAGCAACCTCAATGTATGGCCATAGGGGGAAGACCTCAGCTGCTCAAAATTGCACAGGACATCTGGGACAGCCTGATCGAGATAACTGGAGGTATTTCAAGTCAGATTTGCCATTCGTGCGAAGTGGACAGTGCGTGAAATGTACTTTTCTAATTTTCGAATCACTTCAGCAAGAGATTCGCTATCGTCAATGATCGGAATCTCAATAGCATCTCTAGCTGGTAGACCAGAAGGGATTGTTGGTTCCATCTTAGCCCAGAAAAACGCGTGTTGGTTTGTTGACCTTAGTAGTCGAATGAACCCAGGTCAATGTTGTGATTCCTATGTCGTGTCGGTGAAGGGATTCCTGTTCAAACAGGCCTTCATTTAGCTTGCATGAAGTGAAGCATGATGCGGGGCTCATATATCCTAATCAATGATTTCAAATGTCGAGCTGCAGAAGATCATCATCCTCACGATCATTATCTATTGGGTTGATTCGTATGACACCGAAAGAAGACAGCCCAGCTGTCTCCTAGGTGTAGCTATTTGATTGGACACCAGGAAGTGCTAGGTCTCGACGGGACTTAGTAGTAAGGTAGGTAGAGAGCTAAGGTAATGGTTGTCTACGAGAGGTGCAAAATCATCCAGTAGACAGACATATCGCAAGACCTATGTGACTAGCGCTCAGCCTTTTGATAAGTTTCGAAGCAGCCATTCGCCAGACTCCAAAAAAGAGCCCCAATTATTCTGACCGACTTGGGAAAACAAGCAATGGACGCGACGATTTGACGATGTTGCAGCCTTTCAGAAGTTCTTGGCATATGCGGCTGTTTCACCGCCTGCATGTCATGTGACCTTTCTATTAGCCATCAACCAACCTCCATGATAACGACAGGTGCCATGACATGCATGTGTATCCGTTCGACATTCGGATTACAGGCCGATGTTTAGACTGCGTAATCCTGTCTTGCTAGCGCTACTGAACTACTGAGTTGTCCATGATTGATGAAATTCGTGCTTCTTCGTCGCCTCTGAGATGAGTCCGTTGCAACACTATGGGGCAAGGCTACTCCCTCACCACCCTTTCAACGGGTTCGGCGGGGATCGATGTACCCGAGCTATCAGACTTGGTGTATGAGAAGTCCATGGGCGGTGGGAGATTTACGAAGAGTATTCGAGCAAGGCAGCAAAATGGTCTCGTTCTCGTGAAGGTGATCATGAAGCCTTATCCTAGCATGAAGCTGGAGCCCTATGTCAAAGCCATCGTTCGTAAGTTTGTTTTTGGGACAGGTCCGATGAAATGCTGACACTCTGTACCAGGGGAGCGCAAATTACTTGCCGATGTCCCAAATGCTTTGAGTCATCAAAGGATCCTTGAGACTGGCACTGCGGGTTATCTAGTCCGGCAATATATCCATAGTTCCCTCTATGACCGGATGAGGTATGCATTAGCTCTTTCTTCTTGCCCAGCAGCACTGTTCTGACGTGGGCAGTACGCGGCCATTTCCCGAAGATATCGAGAAGAAATGGATTGCATTCCAGCTCTTGTGCGCTCTTCGGGACTGTCATTCACTGGATGTTTTCCATGGCGACATCAAGACGGAAAACGTTCTAGTGACTTCATGGAATTGGCTGTATCTCACAGATTTTTCTTCATCTTTTAAGCCAACATTTCTGCCTGAGGACAATCCCGCGGACTTCTCGTTCTATTTCGATACGTCTGGGCGACGAACGTGCTATCTGGCTCCTGAGCGATTCCTCGAGGCTGGCGAGGAGCCAGGGAATAGGCGTGTCAACTGGGCCATGGATATATTCAGTGCAGGCTGCGTAATTGCGGAACTTTTTCTAGAAGCGCCCATTTTTACCCTGAGTCAGATGTACAAATATCGCAAGGGCGAGTACAGTCCGGAACATAGCCAGTTGGTGAAGATTGAAGACCCTCAAATCCGAGAAATGATACTCCACATGATCCAGCTTGAGCCAGAGTCGAGATATTCGGCGGAAGAATACTTGAACTTCTGGAAAAACAAGGCTTTTCCGGAATATTTCTACAGCTTTCTGCATCAGTACATGTCTCTGATGACCGACCCCATGTCCGGCAGGGCGCAAGCAGGGGCGGAATTGGCAAATGAGTCCGATGATAGGATAGAAAGAGTCTACTATGACTTTGATAAGATTTCTTATTTTCTGAGTGCATCTTCCAAACCTGTGAGAGATGGTTCCAGTCGCAGCACCTCCAGACTCACCGGAAATGCATTTCCTATTCAACTCGACCTTCCCAACTACGGACCCCAAGCTGCCAAGTCTCAGATGCAAGCAGACGACGGGGTCCTGATTTTCTTGACGCTTGTGGTGTCATGTCTTCGCAATACAGCCAGGGCATCTGCCCGTGTCAAGGCTTGCGATATTCTCCTTGCTTTTGCCGAGAGACTATCCGACGAGGCGAAGCTGGATCGTGTTTTACCTTACATCATGATTTTGCTCAATGATAAGACAGACACGGTGAAGGTTGCTGCCATTCGTGCTCTGGCACAGCTACTGGAGATGGTTCAGGTCGTGTCGCCTGTCAATGCGTATCTCTTCCCGGAGTACATCTTCCCAAGATTCCAACCTTTCATCTCTACATCGAGCTCAAATCCGAGCCCAATGGTTCGCGCCGCGTACGCTTCGTGCATCGCTTCTCTAGCGCAATCTTCATTGAGGTTCCTGGATATGATCCAAGCTTTACGCTCTGATACTCGTCTTCAAGCTCTCATCCCGGCTGGATCAGAGCCGAGATGGACTGAGGATGTTACTTTCCATAATCTCTACGACGTTGCCAGAGTCGATCTTCTCGAGTACTTTGAGAATCATACAAAAGCCCTTTTCACTGACACTGACGCGTCTGTCCGTCGTGCCTTTTTGAGCTCAGTCCCCAGTCTGTGCGTCTTTTTCGGCAATCTAAAGACGAACGAGGTGATTCTGAGCCATTTGAATACTTACCTCAATGATCGTGATTGGATTCTGAAATGTGCCTTTTTCGAATCGGTTGTTGGAGTGGCATCCTACGTCGGAAGTACAAGCCTTGAGCAGTACATATTGCCCTTGATGGTTCAATCTCTGACTGAGCCAGAGGAGTTTGTTGTTGAGAGAGTGCTCCGATCGCTTGCTGCCATGGCTGAGCTCGGCCTTTTTCAACGATCGACCACATGGGAGATTCTCCAGATTGTGGTACGTTTCCTCATCCACCCAAACATGTGGATAAGGGAGGCAGCTGTGTGTTTCATCAATAATTGCTCCAAGCTCCTGTCTATCGCCGACAAATACTCGATCCTGAGTCCTCTTGTTCGCCCGTTTCTCAGAGTGACCATTGTGGAATTTTCGGAAGAGAAACTGCTCGACGCTCTGAAGAAACCTCTCTCAAGAAGTGTATATGAACTAGCATTTGTCTGGGCCTCGAAGTCCGAGAAGGGTCTTTTCTGGAAGTCCACGGCTCGGGATGAAGTGTTCAGTTTAGGGGCCACTGATCGCAGTCTTCCTAGGGGACCAAAGAACTCAAGCCTCTCTCTCAATGTGCAACCTAAAAATGAGGAAGATGAGCGCTGGTTATCCCGATTGAGGAACATAGGGCTTGGACCAGATGAAGATACGAAATTACTTGCACTCAGAGGGTATATCTGGGGGGTGTCTTTGCGCCAGGCTAAGGACCTGGACGACGCGCAATCCTCACTCAGCGAGGTGATCGCTCTAACCCAGTATGATGTTACGCCTCAAACTGTGTTTTTTGACAAAAATCAAAACATCAAGCCACACGGTGTTTCTGTGCCTAAGCCTAAAGATGCAGCAACAGGGGAGGGCAAGCCGCATACTATTGCCGATGCGCTTTTGGATGCGTCCACGACAATCGATGGGGCATCTCAGTCGCGTCGCAAACATTTGAGGGTGGGAAGTCACCCGTACAGCGCGATCAGCACGCCCCGACAGCAGGCTCGGGACAATTCTCGAGCAGCACAGTCCCCTGCGCAGTCGCCGGTCATATTATCGCCAACTGTTGCACCAGGTTCACGATCGCTATCGCCGCCTAGCTCCGATGCCGAACGGAGAAACGGGAAAGGCAGACATCGTTCTGGGCAAGATAGCCCGTCGACATCTACTGATCCAGAGAGTCCAGGGGTAAAGGGCAACCACCTGGCAAGCGGCGTGCAGCGGAAGCCCAGTGCTATCAGCCTACTCAATCGTAAGGATTCGTCCAAGGCATATGCCGAGACAAGCATGAGTTCAGCCAATGCATTTGGCAAGGTTGATGTGCCATCGCAGCGGCAGGAGCCACAGTCATCGGCGTTGACTCTGGCACATGAGCGACAGGGCGGGAATGTCGAACGGCAGCAGTACCATGCCAGCCATTCTTATGCGGGCAACGATCCAGTCGTGTTGAGACTCTTGGATTCTGTTTTCGCGGAGAATTATCCCACCGACCTTTTTGATCTGGGGCCCTTTGTCAAAGAGGAAGACGCCAGACGGCCGATCAAGAAAGCCAACGGCCACGATGCAAACCGAGTATGGAAACCAGAAGGGAGCCTGGTCGCGCTTTTTGGCGAGCACAGTGGGCCTGTCAACCGGGTTGTGGTGGCGCCCGACCACGCCTTCTTCATCACGGCCTCGGATGACGGCAGTGTGAAGATCTGGGACACTACGCGGCTCGAAAAGAATCTCACCCCTCGATCGCGGCAAACCTATCGCCACAGCGCCGAAGCCAAAGTGAAGACGCTGGCGTTCGTGGAGAACACACACACGTTTATAAGTGGTGCTACCGATGGCAGTTTGCATGTTGTCAAGGTCGATTATCACAATGTCAATGACACGGTGCGATATGGAAAGCTCCAGCGCGTACGGGAATACCAGCTGCCGGCAGCTGACGACGGGTCGGTGGAGTATGCGACCTGGATTGAACATTTCCGCTCTGACGCACAGTCCACGCTTCTGATTGCCACCAACACTTGCCGCATCCTTGCTCTGGACATGAAAACCATGCTCCCCGTGTATTCTCTGCAAAATCCGGTGCACCACGGAACACCGACAACTCTCTGCTGTGACCGGAGACACAACTGGCTACTCGTAGGAACCACCCATGGCGTCCTCGATCTCTGGGACCTTCGGTTTAGGGTACGGTTGAAGGCGTGGGGCCTTCCCGGTTCCGGTGCGATCCATAGGCTCCAGGTTCACCCCACCAAGGGGCGCGGACGATGGGTCTGTGCCTCGAGCAGTGGCAGTCACGGCAATGAGATTACGGTGTGGGATATCGAGAAAGTCCGCTGTCGCGAGGTGTATCAGGCCGATTCGCCGGGCGCCAGCGCCGTGCTCCCCAATGGAGGACATGGCGGCTCTCCCGCCGACCACACCCCGGCCAAAAAGACGTACCCCAGCTCCCGGGACTACGAGGCCTGGCTCGTCGAGAGCGATCGGCCGGAGGGCATGCTCAGCCGGTTCGGTACGGAAGGGCCGCTGTCGGGGGCCATTGAGTCCTCAGGGCCCTCGCCGTCCAGCGCCCCGGCCGGCATCTGCGCGTTCGCGGTTGGATACGACTCCCCGGAGGACGGCAAGGACAACAGCACGCGGTGCGGGTTTATTGTGTCGGCCGGATGCGACCGCAAGATCCGGTTCTGGGACCTCGCTCGCCCGGAGCTGTCCGCGATTGTCAGCGGGATGGAGGCCGTGTCGGAGGGCGGGGTGGCGGGCAAGCCGCGCTACGAGCTGTCACAGCCCGGGCCGAATCTGATGGTGACCACGGAGCACATCCCCAGTCCTCCGGCGGCGAGCAGCACGGGCGGCAAGGGTAGCAGCAGTAAGAAGGGCGGGGGCGGGCGGCTGCCGCGCAGTACGGTGATTAGTCTCCAGCAGCAGCAGCTGTTGAAGAACCATTTGGACTTTATCCAGGATGTGGCGGTGCTACGGGTGCCGTATGGGATGATCGTCAGCGTGGATCGGGCGGGGATGGTGTATGTTTTTCGCTGATCGCCTGGACGGGAACATCTGTTTGAAAAGATGAGAATCTCAGCAGATCCTCCGTAGATAGGAGTGATGAAATCATCAATTCTCTGGAGAGATCAAGCCCAATAATCGAAAAAGGATGGAGCTGACAGACAGTATGGTAGATGATAAGTAGGTACCGCTGTCGCCTGCAACACAAGTCCAACACAAGTCCAACACCAAAGACTCAACCCAACCCAATCCCCCGTCTAAGCTCGCGCCCACTCATTTCCTGCTTCGTCGATAGACTCCTGGTCCTGGACAGTGTGTTCCTGCATTTCCTACGCAGTACTATCCGGATCTAATTCCTCCTCTCTACAAAACCTCTTCCCTGCTTCGACTCCGCTAGAATTGATACATCCTACATAAGCACTCGTCACAGGGTAATGACTGATGACTGATGAGCAGGTGGACCAGTGGAGCCAGCTGCTGGGATGGTGAAACGTTCGGGGGTGGGATCATGGGATGGACCAGTGATCGACAGGGCGTACTGTTATTCATCTGTCTGTCTGTAGTCTGTACTCCGTAGATACAGTAGATAGATAGATATAATGGGAGTGGCTGTTACTGCTTGAGTGTAGAGATGTATCTAGGTAGAGAGCTGGGAAGGATGTCATAGGGTTATGATCCGCCTAGAACCAACCGATTGGAGTGCCATCTACCCATGGTTCCTTACTACAGAGTACAGAGTGGTTCCGGGGCTATGAACCACGGCTGGAATCATCCCCCATATACTCTTAATATCTGGTTCCGGATAGACAGTTGATATCCGTCGTTGAATCGATTCTTCATAGGGTGCTCTTTGTCGGTTGGATTTGGAATCGGATGGCCCGGGGGGGATTGCGATGATCGGAATCCAGGAGAGTTTACTACTGCCAGAGGTGAGGAATAAATGACTCTACCTAGTCTCTGCTGCCATGCTCTTGACTGTAAACAGAGTGGATGTTTATTTTATGTATGCATGTATGTACCCCTGATGCCAGTAATAATAGCAATCGCAATAATAATAATAACAACACCAACAAATGTGATGTACGGCTGACAGGATTCCTTCCCCATTTCAGTATTTCACTAGTTAACCCGAAAAGTTAGTAGACTACACAGTACTCCATGCAATGTCTCAGGCCCTCAGACTCCCAGTATCAAGAGTCGATAGTCGACAGCCACCGAGGCCGTTTGTCCCGAAGACTCCGAGTCGACTTGATTCCAATCGGACTCGATGCAGAAGCAGAAGCAACAAGTGAAACGGATCGACGGAGGAGTAGTATAATTTCGCTCCCATCCTCGAGTCTGTTGTACATAGTATGTACGGAGTATTATTCAGGTATCTAGATATACGGTGAGCGAAGTGTCCATTCTTTTTCCTTTGTATCAATCACCTCAGGCTAGTAGGCTACAAGTGAGCCTTTTTTTTTAGAGGAGAAAAAGACCAGGTCGTGGAGCATAGGCGTGGATCTCGGAAATAGGGGAGGGGGCAATAATGGAGCTGAGTGTTTTGCACGGCAAAAAGAGGCGAACAGCATGATATTCTTCGATGGGCACGTTTGACTTGGGACAGGCAGACGATGGGTAGGGATCGGATCATCTGTCAGTTTCAGCCATTATTGTGATTGTTCCGACAGGCAACCGGTAGTTAGATCGATAGTTAGTTAATTCTGGAAGCAATTCTCCTCCTAAAATATAGAGAGTAGATTATTCTTCCACGGAGAAGGAGCAAAGTAATTGCTGAGCAAGTTCTCTACTCCTATACCCACATCGTCAAATCTCCTGCATGTCTCTCGATTGAAGTCCAATTCTCAAGAAGATCCCCGCTGCATGAAGTTGAAACAGTCATACTCATGGTTGTGATTATTTTAATCCTTGGACCATGTCCATAATAGACTCTTTTCATGCTTCTTCCCCTGGAAATTTGCTTCCTCCCGTCCCGGACTATCTAGCCACGGTCTAGTCGGCCTGTTGATGCCCACTACTGGCGCAGGAACGGGAGACAAACGACTCCGCAATCAGAATAACACTACTAACTAGACTAGATAGGACTTAGTGAACTGGCTAGTCAGTGAGAACTTCCGGAGTAGAAATAATATTAATCATACTCAGCCGGACTGCCCCCTTAGTAGGAGACTAGGAGTTACCTGCTCAGTGCTCAGCACGAACGAGTAGGAGTCGTTCACTTTCACTTTCACTTTCAATCTCAAACCTCCGAATCCTCTCTTCCTCTCTCTCTCTCTCTCTCTCTCTCTCTCTCTCTCTCTCTCTCTCTCTCTTTCTCTCTTCCTTCTTTCTCTCTGTCTCTGTGTCATTATTCCCACTCGCTCTTTTTCTCCGTCCCTCTTTATCTTCCCCC